CAGAAGATGCGGAGCTGGACACAGAGCGTGTCAAGGAGTAGCTACCCATTCCTGACCCGTCTGATGAAGATGGTCTGAGTGGTGATGCACTCGAAACGATTGTATGACCCTTGAGATACGTGAACCTCGGTATGAGCTGTTCGACTTCGACAGCAGTCGAGCGTAGCAGTTTGTCCCTCTGATCCAAGGGTGATGATGGCTGCAAAATGGATCAAGGATGAGGAGACTGAGGAGAAAAGGATATAAGAGCTCACTCACCAGGTCCATGGCTTCTAGCTCCGTCATATACCTCTGGACGAGCTCCTAGGCCATTTCAGACACACGAAGGTTCAGATCTGGGAGAACCTACGTGGTACTCCCTCCTCCGCCGTCTGAGCTGCGACCTCCATTCCCTCTTGTTGGCTGGGAGTATCTCTAGCAGCAAGGAGTATGCCAGGGGTCTTAGATGTTTCGGGTGGTCCGGAATACCTGGATAATTGTCAGTACTTTGCTTTACCTGAAGGCCCTCTCACCCTTCGCACATAGACGTCTGAAAGCTGTGATTTCCACTACCGGCTCTCTCGCTTCAGGCGAAGAGTCTAGGAAGGCCTGAAAAGCCAGCAAGCTGATAGAAATGGTCAGAATATCATATGAAAAGCTGTACTCCACTTGTCGTGCTGACCATCACCTCGCTCCATGCTGAGTCTAATGCTGACCGTGGAAGAACAAGACAGAATGGTTGAAAAAGAGACGGCTCGGTAGCGGCGGAGACCGATCCTTTTCATAAAACGAGAGGCCCCGACTCACCGTGACACGTGTTTACCATGCGTGAAGACTGAAAACTGCGGAGTCGAGATACGGCGAAAGCTTGTGAGGGTCTTGGAATGGGGCCATTCTATCGACGCTCAGTCATTTCCGTCTGATCAGTTCTGGATGCTCGACATATACTCATGGCTGCTTCGTCTTCCCTCTACATGTGACTTGGCATGTCAGGCTTGTTGAGAGCATGCAAGCATCTTCCCTGTCATTAGTCGTGAGACCACATGCCCCCACATCATGTCATCCACTGGAGCCCTCCGCCATCATGTCTATCGTTGGGACAAGAATTCTCCCTTGGCTCCGACCTCCTGCAACTCTTCCTGCACCGGAACTCTGCCTTCTTGTTCAACGACCACATTTCCATTACACATCAACGACGATGACCCAGACAAGTCCGCTTTGATGGGCAGCATTGAGTTCGGCATAGAGGAGGAGGAAGAGGAACAGATGATCTCGATCAGGCTTGATCCACTTTCAGCCCACACACGAAGCGGCCAGCTTGCGACCTGGCATGTCAAAGCCGATGGACTTGTACATGGATGATGAGTCACTAGATGCGGCGTGTAGTAACCCGAGTCAGAGAGGAAACATCAGCAACAAAGCCCCAGCATGTGGTGCATCGTGGGACGCAGACAGAGAGTGTGTGTGTGTGCACCTACAAAGAGAATACCGATCCAAACGGTCCTGCTTTGGGACGAGCAAGCAATCTTTGAAGCTCAAGCGCAAGCTGGTCATCTGGTGGAGTACCCGCTGTGGGAGACTTCACTGAGCCTAGACGAGTGTGGCAGACGCTTTCACTTAAAAACTAGAGAGTGTTCAACTCGTGTGTCGCATACATCCCCATACATCCCGCTAAGTCTCGCACATTCATGCTGAGTCAATCCAAGGCATTACCGGAAGTGGAACAGACACAAATCGATCCCGCTCACCACAGGATACATGTGTCTCGCGGTGCGGATCGCTTCAGAAATGCTCGTCATGAGATTTGATTCTGACTCTTCTACGGATCAGTCAAGATCATGCCTCGGACGGGAGGTAAGCCTCATGCGTTCCTCACAATACAACGCTGAAGTTTCCACGCGTCAGCCTTGCAGCGACTAATCATGGCTGACGCACAACGGCAGATGGTGAATACGCGATGCGACTGACTTGTATTGGGCTTCATTCACTACCTACTGCTGACAGCAAGACCGGTCTACTTGTCGAGCGCTTCGCCATGCCTTTGTCAATGAGAGCTCTGAAGTGATTCGAGCGAGCGCAGATCGTTACAACGAGCCCGACACGTTAGACTGGTAATAGCCGAAGTCCTCTATACGTCATACCGTAACGCACATCGTCCCATTCACCTGGTACCCATCCTCGCAATCTAGCAAGCGGCAAGCTCCTTGCTCGCAGGACACCAGCGATGCCTTGTCAATGGATGAACAGTCCATACCGCTGGTCTCGTCACACCCCCCACATGCTGCGGATTAGACCCCACTTCGATAGGTTACCCACAATACAGATCATTCAGCACATCGACACATTCCCAAGTTTGTTGACGACGGCCTGGGACGGGACACGCGACCCAACCAGGCAAGCACTTGGCACCAAAGATGGACTGCCTGGCATTGCGCTTGCCCATGCCTGCAGTGCTGCTAGAGAAGTAAACCTGGGCGGTGTCAGTGCAATCTACAAGGTCACTCACGGTTATCTCCACCTGGCCCAAATTGAAGTTATGGGGGTCGGCTATAACGATCTCCCCAGTATCTTTGGCAAATCAGCGGCGATGCCAAATAGATAGTCTTAAATCCCTACATGTGCCTGGAATGTTGAAAGGCTGGACAGCATTGCTGATATCGCAGAACAATGTCCCTTGTCCGTTCTGTTGGGTGGCGGTACAGGTAAAAGGCTGATAAAAAGCGTCGAAGTAAAGAAAGTATTTCAAGGAGGATATGACCGATGAGCACGCAGTGGTGGAGTAAGTGAAGCTTCGAGTGAATGATTGTTCGGAAGCGTAAACGGTGATACCCCCCGATTGAATGTTGAGTGTTGCCCCGCATGTCTCATCAGCCGCGACATACATCTGTGACGTTAGAACAAGCGAGTGACCGGTCTTTGTCAGCACCTACGTAAAAGTCCACAGTGCCCTGGCCTTCCGAGGCAGCGTTGTTCGAGACAGCAACTATGTCTGGTGATGTAAGCGTCATCAGACGATTTGACCCACATTCCTGGCCAGACGATTCGGACAATGGACAATTGCAAGTGAGATTGCCCTGACCAGTGTTGCCGGCATAATTTCCGCTACAGGTGCAATGAATTCCACTTCCGATCAACTGACCAACTGGAAAGAGGCCATTAAGCCTTGAAAAATCAAAGTCTTGACAGGCAGTCGGATCCCACGTTATCGGAGACGTAAAGTGCTGTGGCCCAGGTGTTGTCGTTATTAACACTTGACCAGAATAGGTCTCTGATATCTGAATGGTGTTGGCGCAAATGCTGACTGATTCCAGAATGTCGACTTTGAATTGCGAAAAAGAACGCTGAATGCCCAGCTCGTCATAAAAATCAAGAGAGGCATAGTCTGAATAAATTCAGCACACATCGGCTCACAGGGAGTCCAACTCACATGGTGAGGATGCGGGAGTAAGCTGTGTGTTGAAGTTGCACTGCACGGTAGCTTCGCCGGTAGACGAGTAGGCTGGCTGGCTACAGCTGGTAGAGTCTATTTGGCTGCCTCCGGTAGACGCGTATAAGGACATTGAGAAAAACTCTCCATCCGAGACACTGCCCACACAGTCCTGCGGGTTGAAGGTGAACGTCTGAGCTATACTTTGAACATAACCTTGGGGATTGGCCCCAATAGAGGTGTCATTGCTGCTGATCACTATGGTAGGCCAGCACTTCTGGTCTCCTAAAACTTCAAACTGAGGCATCAGATCATTAATTTGCTTCACTCTCACATAAATGGAACTGTAGTCGACGTAATTAATAGTCAAGAGTCCAGAGGGATCCGTCATGGAAATCGAGCCGAGATATTGACCCACAGGCGGCGTTGTTGAGCCAGCAGTGCAAGTTACATTTCCGTTGCCTTTCCAGGCACGGAAATTGTTCAGGTGCGAGCAATTCAGGGTGTATTGATCACCTAGAACCACATTGAGGGAGGATCCGTCGACCTCGGCTGGAATGCAACTAGACGGATCATATGTGAACGGTATCGTCATGGCAAAGTCTTGCTCAAAGGTTGAAGCTAGAGGCGAACCGGGAAACGCAAGGGAATTGAAGCAGGCGGTTTCCTGGGCGCGGTAGTCGACGACAAACTTATTGTCAGGCGAAAGATACTGTTCGTCGCTTACCTTCTGAGAAAAGGTCGTGACCTGAAAATAGTCCGTGGAATCTACCTCGATCGGTACGGAACCCTTGATCGTGATGTTCCCTGTGTTCTATCAGTTCCGACGAACAAGGCATAGGCGGCATAGAACTCACAGTCCAAGCCCTCTAAGAGCTCGTATGGAGACAAAGAACAAGTCATCGGTTGTGAGCCATCAACCTGAGGGGTCTCGCATGTTCCAGTGAGCTGTTCCTGGCCATTATAATAGATGGCAAACGTTGGGAGGTGAGGATAATTTGTGGCGCAATTGGAGGAGAAGGTCGAAGTGAAATTCAAGACGGTGACAGGGGCTGAGAGCTGGCTGCTGCCAACGTAGGTGATCGCCCAAGGAAACTCGCAATGAGCCCGCGAATGGAGCTCGCTGTTATCGGCGGCGATAGTCACCCGTTGAAGCAGGCAGAGTGCTAGCAGCCCAGCCATACGAAGCAGCATTTTTGAGATATTGCTCTTGGACTTTTGGTCATAGAATCTCGCATACTGCCTCTTTATGAGCCGCTCTCTTTCTGGGGGTAGCGGGATCGTTTGCCGAAAGTTTCTCTATCCTTGGATCATCCGAGCATCTGCAATGATCTTCGGACGAGACCGCCCGAAGCCTCGCGGGAAGAGCAACATTGCGGAGGCGCTGGTGGTACCTGGACAAGGGTGACCGCCAGGCTCAATCGCCTTGGGCGTAATGCAGGAGGGGTATTTTCGGCGCGCCAAGGTTCTGAAAATTGTCCCCGTATTCCGGGGGCATGTGAAAATTACCGTTGTATCCGACCCGAGCTTAAACTTTGGATCATACGATCCAGGGTTTTGTCCTGGCGCTCGCCTTGTGGAGATCTGGTCGGTTGCGTAGACTCACATGGCCAGCTATCTTCTTGATGGATAGATGTTAAATACCTCATGGCTCCAAGACTTTTGCTGAGTTTCGTTGAATGAGCCATGAGCAGAGAGCTCGAGCATCTCGTTGATTGGGACGATCTCGACATCTATAGCTCGTGAGACCTTTTTCATGGCGCTTTGGCAATCGGAAGCTTCCGTCTCATAGTAGTCCTTCATGGCACAGTCTTGGAGGGATTCAAAATGGCAGCGGGTCAGAATATCTCTACAACACGGGGGAACAAGCAAAATTTGGCATCCCCGGTCAGATGGGCTGGACAACGACTGGAGTGGCGGTAGGACAGGGGCCTCTGGCTTCTGAACTGGGATCATGTTCAATGTTTAGACACTCTGACCGCTGTGCTGTTATCCAATCATCCAGTCGCCTGATCCTGCACAGGGATCATTCCGGATTCTCGGATACTTCTGCGTTTTTTTGCTGTGAAACTAAACCACCTGAAGCGGACAGCGCATTTGCTGATGAAAACGTGTCAAGCTTTTCGATGCGGACATTTAACGCAGGAATCTTACGAACGAGAGTGTGAGGGAGCGGAACCAAATTTTCGAGATCCTCAGACGACTACGTAAGACGGGACGCTGATCTTGTAGTTCATCATCAATATGTATATTTGTTGTCTATGAGCTACCCAGCTTGACACTAGGTTCAAGAAGGTTACTATTCCAAGTAAGACCCTCGAGCCGGATAGGTCTGTCCTTGTAAGAGAGGTCGGACGAATAAACCGATGGTCTTGCCAAGTCCAGAGAACAATAAGCGATCTGCGAATCACCTTTGTGAGCTTCATGAAGGGTATATAGACCAAAGGTTGTGTAAGCGAGATCGATGCATTCTTCAGCCTGTATCTAAACAATGACTCCACCCAACCCGCGCAAAGACGGGCGTACCGGATTGGACTGGATTGGGTGGAGTGCAGGAAGCTATGCGACCCCTTCAAGTCAGACTAGTCACTCAACCTTGACTTGTATTGACACGAGTCATTCACTTTGCTTGTTCGATAAATACCAGATAATCAGAATGAGTCACAGCCTCCAGCACCGAAGCTCTGCTTGAGGATCTCTATGCCTTTGCCAAACGCCACACAGTCAACATGGAGTTACTCCGATAGTTCGGAGATATCCGATCCTGGTCGGGGGGGCACCCAAGACGCCACATTTTCAGCCTAATATTCGTCACTAGCGGAATGTCAATGGGCTCCACATGAGCGTGTCACGTCTCACAGTGAGCCCGACTAGTCCGATACGGTTGATTGTTCCAGCATTGCCAATGGAAGGCGGCCAAATCAAGCGGGGATCAATGCCATACCCATCCGCTTCACTATTTAATCCTTGGCTCCGGCCCACGACAACCCCAGAACTTTTACAATGCCTTCACATCAACGCGGCGAGCATGAGAAACATCTTAGCGAGGAGGTCGAGGAGACCCACACAGCCACGGATGTCGTCACTGAGATGTCGGCGAACGAGTTGCTGCAAGCCTACAACGCAGCTGTCAGTGAGCACCAGCTGTCTATACGCAGGTCGGCCCGGATCGGCGTCAAGGCGATCGCTTGGATGTCTGTCATCGGATTAGTAAGTGCCGAGCACGACGCTTCTCACCCCACACAGGTCTCTATAGTTGACCGATTGAACGAAACTCTACTTTTTGGATTCCAAGCTCTTCCTTCCTTCCAGAAAGAGTTCGGAGCTGTTGTCACGCAAACGAATACAACGCTCAAGTGGACCTTAACAGCCAAACAGCAAGAGCTGCTGAGTGAGCGGCCTGAAAGAGATTCAATTGACATTGAGATGTTCTTCCCGGGGTCGCGCATATTCTTGGACTCGCAATCTACGGGTATCTGGTTGACAGGCTTGGAAGTGAGTGATGCTGTTGAAGGGGCTCACCATAGACCGTTACTCATTGATGGGAGCACTCGTGCTCGTTGTATTTGCCGTCTTTCTGGCGTTCTTTGCTCACAACTTTGCCATGGTCCTGGCGGGAACCACACTCAATAATGCCATTCTGGCGTTTGTATCGGCAATTGCTCGTGAGTCAGCTGCGCCTCGCCCCGCTAACGACAGCCGCATGGTGTCTCGAGCTCTCTCCGCTAGCTCTCCGGCCCTACGCCCTTATTTACATGCAATTTGTTCAAAATATTGCGCAACTCATTGCTTCTGTGATGTGTCAGTCGTACGCCAACTCTACTTCTCGGTGGGCATGGAGAATCCCTTATGCTATTCAGTGGGGGTGAGCAGTGCTGGACCAACCGGTTGAAGGAGGCTCATACGGTTAGATTTCCGATTCCTGTCATTATTGCGACATGGTTCGCTCCGGAATCACCGTGGTGGCTCGTCAGACACGGTCAGAACGAGGCTGCTTTAAGGTCTTTGGCCCGTCTGCATAACGGGGAAAACGATGACGACCAAATGCTGGCCCTCATACAATATACTGTTGTTTTGGAGCGTGCCTTGGCCGTGGGTGGCACATATGGGGATGTGTTCAAAGGAGTCAATTTGAGGCGCACGGAAGTCGCGTTCATGTCCAGTTTGGGGCAAAATCTGGCTGGCTTTGCCCTAGCTGGGGGCACTTACTTCTTCGAAGCCGCGTGAGTTGATAAAGACGACGCCGCTGACGGCTGCAGTGGTCTCAGCGCCTCGAACGCCTTTTCATTGTCTTGTGGATCATCGGGATTGTCGATGGTGGCCACCATCTTAGCAGCCGTCGTGATCAAAAAGATGGGCAGGCGCGGTCTCTGGCTGGGAGGCACAGCCGCTATGTGTATCATTTTGGCCGTCATGGGATCTTTAGCATTGGCACGCAAGCAAACACCAGCTGTCGTATGGTAAGCCGGACTCAATGCTTCTGCCACTAAGACTTCTAGGCCACAGGGTGTTTGCGCAATTCTCTTCAATTTCTTTGACCTTCTCTCGTTGGGAGCACTGGCCTCGATCCTCACCGCCGAGATTGGCGCCGTCAACTTGCGCCGAAAAGTGTGTGATATTGCGACGCCTAGCTGACATTCTCAGACGCAAGCAGTAGGCCTGATCGGATACGACGTGTCAGCATTGGTCTCCGGTGCCATCTCGCCCTATCTCGTTAATCCAGACAAGGCTAACCTCAAAGGCAAGGCAGCGTGGATACCTTGCTTCATCAATATACTCCTATTCATCTATGGGTATTTCCGTATTCCCGAAATCCAGGGCCGAAACTCCGAAGAATTGGACATCCTCTTCGGTGCGTACAAATAGCAATCACCGCTGAGTACATCTTCCAGAGCGTCGAGTACCAGCTCGCCAATTCAAACGATACAAAATCGACCGAGAGGAAGAATTTGGATTGAGGGGTTTGAAAGATACAGGATGCCTAGAGCCTGCCAATGTCGAGCCTGTAGCGACTCTGGTCTGAAATATATACAACAAAGTGGGCCGCAAACGGTTGACGATACCTTTTTCCAGATCGATGAGCCCCACCAGGAAATGAAAACCTCGTTTGGCCATTCGTTGCCTCCCCACGTTGACGACATCAGGGCACAAAACTGTACCGTTGTCTTTCAATAGCGCGTCAGTCCAATCTGTTCGATATAAAAGATGATGCCACGGTACGATGTGATGCTGGTCGCGCGAGATCCCTCTTTACGAGCGAGCATCAGAGAAGTAACGACAGTGATTACTATTGTGTGCCGAGACTGGGTCTCGCAGTACTTTTTTTCACCTCAGATTTCGCCGATACAGTTCCGACCGTAAATTTTGAGAGAAGCCTTGACTGATCTGTAACGTTTTTATTATATGAGGTGCAAGCAGACGAGTTGGCACGGGTGATTCTTGGTACATATCGAGGGAAGTAGGATCTGACCCGTATATCGCTCTCTTTCGTGCGTTATATCAATACAGGTCTTGCATGCGACAGATATCCAGACAGGACGCTTGGCGTGGGAGTGATATCGCAGGGGCGTCAGACAACGCATCCCTGTCATGATCCGTGGACAAAAGGCATGCATGAGAGGCTCATCATCCGGCTCAGGAACTCTCGAGCCCTTGCAGAACGCAGGTGCCGGTCTTAACTGTAACGCGAATTGATCAACCCAAGTGCTCCATTAGCTTGGACAAGCCCTCTTCGGCAAGCTTTTCGGCAGACATGATTCCATCTCTCACAACCAGTGTAGCCGCAGAATCTTGAGTAGTCGCCGGAGGTCGTCTGGGGGCCTCAGCACTGCCTGCTGCCCCGGGTCCAGCGGCAGGTGGTCTTGGCGCTCCCGAAGTCGGTCCACCAGCGGAACCGGGTGGTCTAGCGACAGGTTTCTTCGGTGGGTATTTGTGGGCGGCAAAGATGGTGATCACCATGATGACGATAACCCACATACTCGACTAACGATCAGCCCAATGGATTTGCCGCATGCTCACAAAATTTGCCCAAGCGATACCAAAGACATTGTTGATCCAAGCGTACGCGGTCTTGATCTTGTAATCGAGGCAGATGTACTGGACGTTGAGATCTGAGATCAAGCCCGAGGTTTCCGGGTTGATGATGTAGGTGTCGATGTCCTCAATCAGATCAACAGCACCGACGAGGGTGATATTAAGTTTTGGATCCCTGACGAGATTATCTACGGTGATTATCTGCTGGGCGAATGCGTTCTTGTTCAAAAAGATGTTGTTTTCCGATTCATCATCCAGGTCCACCTTGACCGCCGAATAAAAACCGTTGAAAAAGTTGCTGATCGTGACATTGAGCGCATTGCTGGGAACATAGGTCAAGAGGGTAGGATTCGACACGCCATCTTGGCTGGTGCTGGTGTTTGCTGTACTGTCAATTACCGCCTGAATTTCTATCTCACCATTCTCATAAGTGACATAGATCTCGAAGATGCTCGACAGCTGGTTCCAAGGGTTCTCTTGACGCCAATGCAAGCAGCTGACGTCTGAGTGGCATATTGCCTTATAACTCACGTTGTTTGGTTTCTGTCATCGGAATCAGGGGAGCAAGAAACATTGCGTGGAGTTTCAATTGCAATGCCAATACTGTAGGTCCTTGGGCTGTTTTCATCTGCGTGAAACAGTGCGGCTGTCCGGTTCAAGACATCTGACGACAGTTCATCGAGCGCATTACTGATTGTGCCGACGAGGCCGGCAGTCGCGGAAGCTTTGTTGTCAGTTTTCGAGAATCTCAGAATAGAATCAATCAAGTTGACGGGGTCCAGCGATGCCGTGTATTCCGTGCCAAGGATCACTGGAAGTCCATACGAGCTGCAAAATACCACGCCCTGATGGTAAGGCTCTGAGCCCGCAGACCACCCACCTCCATACGCAGCTCCATGCTACGAGTGTCGAGGTGGAGTGCAGCTACCATGATCAGCTCCATCCGGTATGCGCATCATCTCGCTCACCCTCTGTTAGATAACAAAAGTCCAGACCATCACCCCGATATTGGAAGGTCGTGTCATCAGAGCTGGGGAAATCGCTGTTTCTCCCTAGGAGACTGTACTGGAATATCCCTTGTTGTGTTTGCAGAGTAGAGCCGACAGTAAAGCTATGAATAATGAGCGACGGATGCGCCGCGAGCACCCACTTGACAGGCTGACAGGGGAAGTCGGCGCTGGAACTGTTCTTCGGGGCATGCGCCTTATCGGGAGCGAACTTGGAGAACCAGCTTCTGTTTGGGACGTCCAGGAATACGGGACTGATCACGGTGACTGTATCATATCCCGCAGTTGCCGCTTCTCATCAGCCAGTCCCGGTCTCTTGTACCCACCAGCCCACAGCACAAAAAGAAATAACGAAGAGAATCCAAGGCATATTATTCCAATATGGTACTTTGAGGGGAAAGGAAACTAGATGGTCAGCTCGGAGACTCGAGTTCAACTCACAGGTTGGGCGGGGCGATGAGTGACCTTAGTACGAGACGAAAGTACTTGCCAGAGAACGCTGCGGACGGTCATGATGGTAGGTTGCAATGTTAGGATTTGGGATAGCAATCCGAATTCGCGTTGCGATTTGCATGAGGATTTGTTGGTTTCTCAAAGCTCGGAACTGGAGGGAGCGGGTGTCCCGAAAGCTGAGGAAGCGAGTAGCAGACAGGGTTTGAGGCTTTTCCAACCCAGCCATGAACGGTGGAGAGTCAGGCACAGCACGCGATGTAACGGGAACGATTGAGTTTCAGGAACGACCGTTCTTCGAAAATAGATCTGAAAGGCCGGAAATAGCGGGAATCCCCCGTGATCGTCTCGCCAAGCTTCCAGAATTGGTTTATCATTTGCGCCTACGGGAACTGAGGCTTGACGGTATTTGGTTTTTCATACCATAGACCGGCAGGCTCGGATGGATACCGGGACAGTGTAAATACTCGACTTGCCATCGACAATTCCATCATCCCTTGACACACAATCACCACCATGGCAGCTGTAATGACCAATCCAGATGTGCGTCCGCTTCCCAGCGGATGGAACACACAGTGAGCAATATAAGTTGCGAATTCAGGCTGACGGACAGCTTCAACGATCAGTACAAGGCTTGGTTTTACGTGAATGCCTTGGCCTCCAAGACTCAATGGACTCAGTGAGTCCAGTCCATCCAATCGCTTCTAATGCGCTCTCAGCCCCGCGGATGATGCTCCACCTCCTCCCCCTCCCCCTCCTGGACCACCTCCACCAGCCGGTCCTCCTCCCCCATCCGCAGCTCCAGCAGTTGCTGCAGCTGCTGTTCCCGTTGCTGCTCCTGCGGCGGTCACTGCTCCGGCTCCCAGCCCAGCCCCGACAGCCGCTACGACCGCCGCCCCTGCAGGGTCGGCGCCGAAACCTACCCCAGCCAGCGCAGCTCCTGCTCCTGCTCCTGCTTCTAAAGACGTTAAGGCAGCCGACGCCCCAGCCCCTAAGGAGAAGACAGGCTTTCGCAAACTCTTCTCCCGGATGGGCAATAAAGTCAGCAACGAGGTGCTCGAGTCAGTGGAAAAGGTCATGATTGTTTCAACTATCACAGACTCTGTGGCGCAAGGCCACTTGGTTGTCCACAACGTGACAGCGGTTGTACCCGCGAAAGACGCCCCTGCGGCTGCTGCCACATCCGCCGCCCCCCCTCCAGCTGCTAAGATAACACCCGGCACTGCACCGAAAGCTCCAGTGCCTACAGCGGTGGCTCCGTCGGTCCCGGGCGCTGGTGCTGCTCCTGCGCCCGCCACTGCGCCTGCCCCTTCTACGGCTGTCCCGGCAGCTACACCAACCCCAATGCTCGCGGCGCTTGCTACTACAGCTGTCGGTGGGCATGAGGCCCCTCCTGCTTCGGAGACCGCCCATCATGAAGACAAGCAAGCTGGTCCCGATGACGGTCCTCATGATCAGCAAGCCGATCAATCCGATGCCAATGCATCAGGACAGCACACCTCATCGGAACAAAATGCCCAGTGCCAAGAACCTCAGCATGAAGGAGGCGATTCTCAGCAACAGCAAGATCACGATGATGTCCACCAAGATGGCAATGTCCAGCATGGAGCTGGAGATGAACAGGGTGATGATGCCCAGTATGAGGACGATCAGGGGTACGAGGATCAGGGCTATGAGCAGGACGGCGGTGATTATGGTGACTATGCCGATGATGACTATTAGATTCTCGTGTCTGTGATGTACTCCTTATTCATCACCCGCGCTGCTGTGAATTGGGGCGCTCTGCTCTTACATATCCAGACGTTGGAAATCGTGGATCTCGCCAAGTGTCACATTGACACCGTAAAATGTCGGTCACCCACGAGTCTCTTAACCTGGACGCGCTAAAATAAGGCCTCGAATCCGGAGATAACAGATCTTGGTGCCACACAGGCTATAGCAAACGACCCGAGCAGTGATACACTGCATCCCTCTTCCACATTATATTACTATCGCTTATTCCAATGTTCAATTGCAGAGGCTCCTCCGGCCATACACAATGCCTTGTTTCCTCACTTTTTCGACCCGACGCACTGCGACCCATCCGATGAAGGCTCTCCCGACAGGCATGACTCTGGTCAACATTAGTCCTGCTCTGCACCTCCAGCAGTTACTCACCGACAACACAACGACCCATCACACAGCGCACTTGGTCTACATCCTCAATGTCTCCACAGTCGACTCCCAGCCCAAAAGGCCCCGTGTTGCAGCCCCCGCACGTGGTTACAGAGTTTGCATTGATGCACTTTTTTTTGTCAGTAAACCTTGCCTGCCAATCGCTGCCCACCTTTCCACCAGATACGGACGTGGGTCGCTCCGCTGCTATCTCGTGTGGACACCATACCTCGTTCTCTCCACAGAACAACATGTCAGGAGCTAAGTCAAGCCTTTGCACATTCTGCCGTCGACGATGAGGATTGCCACTGGATTGTGGCTGGCATGGGCCGAGTTCATTCGTACTCGTGCAAACGCATCCAGCGTAGATGCCGATCTGATTGCTTGCACATTTAACGCACGTGGGGGGATCAGTTTGTTGAGGGGATGCAGGCGCCCAGCCTGTGACGCAACGGCAGATTCCGCCGCCGTCCACTTCGGAATTGGCAGGGCATGGTATGACGCAGGCATTCAGATCCGGATCGTATGTAAAACCTGCGCCACAATCACACGTCCCCGATGTTGTGTTATAGCTAGCGTTGGGAGGACAGGGATCATTCTGAGGGGTCGTACAGCCCACCCCTGGGACATACTCCTCATCGGGAGTCAAACAGGTAGGGTTGGGTCCACAGGCGAATTCGCTGGAGGAGATCTGGTAGAGATAATCGGCACTGTTGCTGCAGTAGCATCCAGGCAGCATTTGCGCTGGTAGCACTTGCATTTGCATGGATGGCTCGGAGTTGGCTGGACACAATTGACACGTGAAGTAATTTGAACCACCGTAGCCGCCGATTCCATATCCGCCCGCGAGATCGCACTGGCAAGTGCTATTCGCGATGATAACTCCATTACCGATTGAACAAGGCGAGCACTGTTGAGCGAGATAGTTGACAGCAAAACCACTGGCGCAAGTGGTGCAGGAAAGGGTGAGCGACGTGTCTCCTGGCTGGTCAGGAGCGTAACCGGGAATGCATTCGCAACCAGTCGCTGTGCCTTGCGTGTTTGCACCTTTGCATTGATATTGACATGACTGGCCGGAAGAGATCGCTCCAGCAGGACAGGCCACGCATTCCTCTCCGTTCCAATACTGCGCGCTCGAGCATGTTACGCAGGTCCACGTCGACCACTGAAAATTTGCTCCAGGGTTGTTGCATTGACAGCCGTTGTTATCAGTAGCCTGCGCGTCGGAGGGACAGGCTTGGCAGAGGAGATCTCGGCTGCCAACCGCCCCGCTCTTGATTATGTAGCCTTGACTCAGATCGCATACACATTGATAGGTGTTTTCGGAGGTTTCACCGAGGATTTCACCAGTCTGGCATTGGATGCACTGCGGCACGCCATCGATGAGGCTTCCGATACCGTATCCGGTCGAGCACGCGCATATGCCTTCGCCGTTCTGGGCGGCACCGGGAACGCATTCGCATGACGTTCCATCAGGAGAGACAGAGGATTGGCCAGGACAGCTAGCACACTGCATTGTCGCTTCCTCGAAGTACTGTGGAACTCCAGAGGCGCTCAATGGACAGGCACAGGTTTGGTTCGTCGACGAGTAGATCGTTCCGGTAGGACATGAACAGTCCATGCCAGAGACCTGGAAGAGATTCCCAGAGCACGATGCGATACACTCTTGCGTACCATCTGGGAGACTCAGGGTGTATTGCGGACACTTGCAGAGCTGAGCTGCAGTGGGGTATGTAGAACCACTGTAGATGTTCATAGTCTTCACATAAGGGGCCTCACACTCGAACACGCTATTCGAAGCTGGGAGAAAAACCGTTCCTGGTCCGCATATGCAGCCTGCCTCCGATGCTTGACCACAGCCAGCAGGACATTGTTGGCAATCGTTGCTCGGACCCCAAAAGTCGGAGGTACAGAGGCATTGAGGACTAGACCCTCCATTAGGATCGAGCACAGCGTTTGCCGGACAATTTGGCAGACACTCGTAGTTTGCAGATGGAATGCGCCCTTGATAGGTGAGGTACATCCAGACTTGCGAGCCAGACCCGCATTCGCAATCCGCAATATGATATCTGTTCCGGCTATTGTCCCAATAGGGGTCGACATCCATGAGAGAGACACCAGAGGGGCAGGAGCAGTCACCGGTATAATATGGTGAGGAGTCAAGTGGTGCTCCTGATATGTAAAGGCCGCACTGGCATTCCAGATCGTATCCAGGTCCTGAGCCTCCGGGAAGGGAGAAGTCGTTATAGAAAGGCACCGCAACCTCGTTGCTGGAGCATGAGATCGGCGTGCACTGGCCGTTGAGGCAGCTTGCACCATTCTGAGCAGCTCGTCAGCGCCTCCCCTCGTCTCTTGACATGCTCACACCACATGACGAGGCTCCTGGGTCCGGTTGAATGACGTTGTTCGGTGTGCCGCAGACACAACTTTTCCCAAGAATTTGTCAGTAAGGAAACATGTTAAATGCTTGGGAGACGTACTTTCCATTGTCACCATATACTGGACCAAATTGGCCAGTCTGTGGTGGAGTCTGAGGTTGAAAGCCGGCCGTACCGCATTTCAAAGGCGCCAAGATCCCACACTCGCCAAAGCCTAGGACATTGTTGGGGGGTGTCCACCCTCCGTAAATAAAGTGGGGTCCGTAGTAATTTGGCCAGCTATCTTGGTTGCCAGAGCATAAACCGCTTAGATTAGTCGCTGACGATAGTCGTCCAATCACGCTGAATAGCGCAATGAGCTTTGCCGGTGTCCACATTGATCCACGCATCGCGCAGCTTGATGCTTCTTGGGAATGAAGATCGAAAGGCATGTCAGCACATCACTGACAGAAATTTGCTCACCTCGCTCGTCCGCAACGGCAGCCGACACATGCCAGTTCCGGCGGCCGTAACGATAAAAACAGGGTGGTTGATAGCCCTGAACGCCACGGCGATCCCGAGACCAACATTAGCCGGCGGTGTTTATCCCCACGCAACGAATACGTGCAGGCCGCACTTTACCGCGGGAGAGTGTTCAAACTTTTTTTTTCCCGAGGGGCTGAGCCATAGCCTGTTCGCTTTTTTGAAGCGATTACGAGCCGAGTGAACCTCGGGGGAACGGATCAGTTCGTCTCGGTGGTTCTAGCACTGATTGGCATGGAGTTCGATGCGCGGAGACTGGGAATGGCGAGCTTCGCTCTGCACGGCTCTCCGCCCAAATCAAAAGACGGTTGTCGCTCGATAGGGACAATATATCCATGTCAGAACACTATGAAGCGGGCGCCCGTACGTGTCTCATGATCAAGACTCTCTCTTCTGTTCGAGGCATTCAGCCTCTCGCTGATGACTCGTTCCATTTATCGAGGCTCTGCTGAGTGGCCGGCATAGCAGGCGAGGGAGGAGCATAGGTAGATCGACGTCAAAACCGGGAGGAGGGCAAAGTCCACCTGGAAGTCAGCTCGCTGTTATGGCGCTGCTGCTTATCTTGCGCATGGTCTATGTGAGAGATGGACCTGTCCGGCTCGGGGGTCCTGCCTGACAGTAGCCTTCTTGATCAGAGTGTCCAGCTGGGAAGGCTCATGGAGAAGAGATATGCATATTGATATTGATGTAGAAACACCAGGCCAATCCGAGTATTGGTTCCGTCGTCTCACACTTTTCTTGCGGAGCAAGGAGCTGTACAAGTCGTATAGCTTGGATAATTGGCGCGTTTGCCTCATGCTGGAGCTCCGGGCCTTTTTTCATTTCGTGTAGCACAATCAGTTCAAAATTTCCATATGGCCATTTTGACGAATCTGACTTGACAGCCCTTCACATGATCAAATTTGACCCGTGCTCATTGCAGCCGGGGCAGCTGTCCCTTTCCCCCTCCTGCCTCTTCCCTTTTCCCACGGGTGTAGCCGAACAACGAGCATTCGCCACGATGGCCGAGGGACAGAAAATAAAAAGATCCATCCGGACTTGAACCTCCACTTTTTAAGGGCGTGACAGAGGTTCCACGCCTACTCTCCACGACACGCTTGGTACCTCTCACACTCATACTGTACATCATGCCAGGTTACAGCAAGCCACCCAAGCATGTCCTCGATGTCATGCAGGCATCTTCGCCTGCGCTGCCATCTGTTGCCCCCGGTAGCCAACATCTATTGCTCATCCATTGGACTGATTACCCTGCGATTGACCGGCTCTCGCGCCCCTACCTGCGCCTGGGCGGCTTACGAATCGAGCCTCAGAATCATGGACGACGAGATACGCCCGCAGGATATGGAATCAAGCCGACCGCGCACGCATACACTCTGATTCGCCTGACAGACGATAAAGAGATTCAGATCACAGGAATTTCCGGTCCTCAAGCCCTCAGCGAGCCCTATTGGAGTTCCGACGGGAAGTATTTCGCGTTTCGAAACAGCACTGAAGAGACTGTTGAGTTGTGGATAGGAGAAGCAGAGACTGGAGAAGTCAAAAAGGTCGATGGTATCCACGTCAACGCCACCCTCGACGATGATATCGTGTGGCTTCAAGGCAGTCGTTTGATCGTCAAGACGGTGTCTTCGGAGCTCAAGGTGCCGACCCCCGCTCCAACCTCTGCCACTGGACCGGTCATGCAGGAGTCGTTGGGCGGTAAAGGACAAAGCAGCACATACGAAGTCCGAGATACACTCAATTCGATCCATGACGAGGAGCTTTTCGACTTCTACCTGGCGTCCCAACTGGTCATTGTGGATGCTTCGAGCCACAAGATCGATGCGATCGGGCCTGTAGGTCGATACTTTGAAGTTGAAGTGGCGCCCGATAATGTCCATATCCTGGTCTCGTCCATTCACCATCCTTACTCTTACATTACGACTTTCGGCCGATTCCCTCGAAGAATGGAAGTGTGGAAGTTGCACGACTTCACACTTGAGAAGACCTTTGTGGTGGCCGAACTCGCTCTAGCGGATCGTGTCCCTGTACATGGTGTACGGAGTGGGCCTCGTGACTTCTTCTGGAGGCAGAACGCGCCCTGCGAGCTCTTTTACATAGAGGCACTGGATGGGGGAAATTGGAAGACTCAAGTGGAACATCGCGACAAGATCATGAGCTTGGCCTCGCCATTTGACTCGCCGAAGGAGGTGATACGATTGGAGCAGCGTTTCAATGGGATTGTCTGGGGTCAGGAGCCCGATCTGGCGCTTGTGAAGGACTTTGACAGGAACAGGCTGTGGCGCAGGGGATTCTTCATCAATGTGGACGAACCTTCTTCGCGGAAGATGCTCTACGACATGTCTGCGCATGAAAAGTACGACAATCCGGGTGCACCATACACAAAGCGTCTGCCCAATGGAAGTCGGGTCATCCGGCAGGAGGGGGATTTCATTTTCCTGTCTGGAGATGGCGCTTCACCTCAAGGCGATCGACCATTCTTGGATAGACTGAACATCAAGACTATAGAAAAACGTCGACTGTTCCGATCTAGCAAGGACGCTTATGAGCGTTTCCTTGCTTTCGGACCTGGATGCGACTTTTTGACCTGGAGACAAACGCCCTCAGATCACCCCAATGTCTACCGACGACACATCGAAGGAGAGGTCCAAGCAGATTCCGGAGAGGCGGTGTACGAATCCAAGTCTGCGGTTGTCACTCAGATGCAAGACCCCGCACCGATCGTGAGACAGATCAAGAAGCGACTGGTGTCTTTCAAGCGAGAGGATGGGCTCGCCTTGTCGTTCAAACTGCTAACTCCTCCCGGCTACCAAGGGGGCAAGCTGCCTACCATCCTCCGGGCTTATCCTTTGGACTATGCAGACGCGGCTTCGGCAGGACAGACTTCGGGTACAGACATGAACTTTGTGCGTTTGCGTCAGTATCTGTTCTTGCTTTTGGCTGGTTACGCCATCATTGACGAAGTATCCTTCCCCATCATTGGCGACCCGAAATGTGTGTACGACACCTATCTGGAGCAGCTGGTCGCCAACGCTAAAGCCGCCGTGGAAGAGGCCGTGCGGATTGGCGTCGCTGATCCTGACAAGATTGGAGTTTGTGGACACAGTCATGGTGCATTCATGACGGCGAATTTGTGCATTCATTCCGACCTTTTCAAGGCCGGTGTGGCGACCTCCGGCGCCTACAACAAGATCATCACCTCATTCGGTTTCCAGAACGAGCGACGATCGCTTTGGGAGGCACCGGAAATGTACGCTAAGGTGTCACCTTTTCACCACGCCGACAAGCTCAAGGCGCCACTGCTGGTGGTCCACGGTCTGGATGATGCGAATCCTGGAACCACCCCCCTACAGAGCAAGCTGTTCTACGAGGCGTTGCGAGGGAACGGGGCAGTGGCACGTCTGGTCATGCTTCCGCATGAGCCACATTGGTATGCGGCGCAAGAGACGAATGAGCATTTCGTACATGAAATGATCGAGTGGTTTGACCGTTATGTGAAAGGTGGATAGCGGATGTGCATGCATGGTCGGATCTTGGTTGACGGCGTGCAGCCCGAAGTATATTAAAATTTAGTGCGTGAAGTTAGTGAAATTCGATTGCTTCACAATGTACCTGCGGCGCTACCCGGTGGCGGCAGCTCGTGCTTGGTACATAAGAGGTGGCGCGTGATAGGCTTCTTCCCCAACAAACCCCAAGATGCTCGCATACCTTCTCGTGGCCCTGCTTGCCGCCATTCCCATCTTGTCGGCTCCGATAGAATCTCTGAGCGCCAGGCAGAGTTCCTATGTCAAACAACTTTACCTTCTCAAAGACCCGCTCATCTCAGACAATGACCTGATCAAGTCTGCCGGTTTCAACACGGTGATCGTGTTTCAGGTCGGCGTGGAACCCAACGGTGATATCATCTTTTATGGCGCCAATGCCAATCCGACTGTCGCTACAGGAGGTCAATACGTTGGAGGATCTGCGTATGCCGACACCATTTCAGCGTACAAAACCGGCTCAACCACGATCCAGCGCGTGGAACTCGCTATTTTGTCTGGATCCATGTCCTACCAGAGTATCAAGAGCTTGATCGCAAGCAATGGCACCGGTCCCAATACACCGTTGTATGAGAATTTCAAAGCCCTTAAAGCAGCGTGGGACCTCGATGCGATTAATGATGATGACGAGGAGGTCTACGATGTCAGCAGTACCGTAGCGTTTGCGGGCATGATGGGAGAGATCGGCTACAAATACACTGCTGCTCCTTACACCAATCAAGCTTTTTGGGCAGAGGTCATCTCTCAGGTCAACCAGAACAGTCCTGGTCTCTTTGATCGAGCATATCTGCAAACCTACGACGGAGGAGAGGGCAATGACCCTGGACAGTGGGGCAGTGCTCTGGGAATGCCTGTGATCCCACTCGTTTGGGTCAGCAATCCTAGCGATCCGCAGTACGGCGAGACCCCTACACAGGCTCAGCTGGCGTTTGAAACTTGGCATCTCACCGAGACGATCGCTGGGGGTGGTTATTGGAACTCATATGATATCGAAAACTCGGATCATGCGGACTACGACGCATACGCTCAGGCTCTCACGAATGTCTTTGGGTAGACAGGCTCATAGGTTGTATAATGGATGCACAGCGTGTTCGCTATGACGTCAGATCGAGGCGTTGCCTTACAGCGAGATGGCAAAGTGCTTGTCACGTATAGCAACAGCACCCGAGACTGGTAGCAAGTGGTACATTCGATGGCGACTCGTCCGCAAACGCTGCGACGATCCCGTTCATGTTAAAGTAGACTTGATGGCGAAACGAAGCCTGCTCTGGTCCAGCCGCATTGAAAGCTGATCAGGACGCGACCGCACGTTTCTTTTTAGGCTGAAGCAGCTAGCTGATCGAGAGACAACAACGCGATGATTATCCACACTCCCGCGTTTATCGGAATTCGAACAGTTCCCGCCCCCTTCTGACCCGACAACACTGTTCTTCGGCCGAAAAAGCCATTCCTTTCAGGCAATGTCCCTGATGCTTTTCATTCGAGGCTGTCACTACTACTCTCATTTGCATCCTCCTGGTCACCATGAATGGATCTCCCCGCTTCGTTCCGCATGCGTGTGTTGCCATCATGTACACCCCTCTCTCGCTCACGCTTCTAAAGACTAGCTCAGATTTTTAAGAGAAACCACAATGAACTGCGGGGATCGACTTTGAAAAATCATCAGTAATGGACCGTTCATTGTCTAGACTGCGTGAGAGAGTTTTCAGCATGATCCAGATTGACCAAATACGCCATCCTGGGATTAGACAGGGCGGAGAGCATGACGAGGTCTGTCGTCACGGAGACAACGTCCGCAACATGATCTCCCGATATAGTCCCGTAGTGCAGGTGAACCTCATTGTATTGTCAACTGTCCAATATTTACGATATCAGAAGATTGGGCACAACGCACGTCGGCACAGCGCAACGTTTTTCTGGACTAGCGCCGACAGGCTCTCATGCCTGAGCTGCTCGACAGACCCGATCCGCTAATCCTCAGTTCAGGTACCACCGATTAATCTCTTAACTACGATCATCCGTTCCCCAAGAACAGAGATGCCGGCTGGGAGTAAGCACACTCCAATCAAGGCAGAAGGGTCGCACGTTCAGAAGCGAGCTGCGCGCCAGCCGATATATTTACGGCCAGCACGAGTGGGACGTGGCCATTTCGTGTGCATTCATCAGCTGGTCAGAATCAAGTTCGAATTGGTAGTGTTTCAGTCTCCCTTGGCCTCGCCTAATCATCATTTCCAATAGCACCGTATCCGCCTCGACCGTCCGATCCATGGCCGTGTCGGTGGGTGACGAACCATTCTGGCAGCGTCCAGGTGTCGTCTTCGCCGTGTGTGTGAACAAGCAAAAGCATGTAGGTGAATCCGACTTTCGCCGAGCTGCAACGCATCAGCGTGGTTTGGTACAGACAATAGGGCTTACACGTCGAGGACGGCATAGGCGATGACTTCGGTATTGACGGATACCATGTTGGCCCCTTCGGTCAAAGCAAAGACGACGGGGTAGGCGGCCCAGAGGCTGACGTCAGCAGTGTGCTTCGCGAATGGCTCACATAAAGGTCATGATGGAGAGCAGGACGAATAATCCTCTTGTCTTGCTAGGTCGGTGTTTCGACGCTTTGGAGGTGAGTCACGGTACTGGAATTTCGCTTACCTCGCAATCCTCCGGTGATGAGGACGTACCAGATGACGAGGAAACCAATGCAGCTGACCGTGAACCAGGTCCATCGGCTTCGCTCGCCAGTGGCCCATCGGGCGGGGACGAGGCCACCGAGGAGACCAGTGACGATCATGAAGACGTCGGCGCAGATGACCAAGACAGTGTCGGCCGGGGAGAGACCAGCGAGCACGGCGAGAGACAGGAGGAGCAGAGGGGTAGTAAAGAGCCAGTCGATGTATCCTGTGCTATCAGCGCGTTCCAGTGACGTGGCGACTTACGAGCAAAGTAGACCTCTCGGAAGTACTTGTAGACGCTGGCATCCGCGGCGTGGTTGTGAATGGGGACAAAGGTCGTTCCGAGACCAGTAGCCATGGCAAGGTAGGAGACCATGGCAATGGTCAAAACACCGGCAGAGACGCTACCTCGTATTAGCCGAAGGGCGCGCCACGAGACGTGCGCTCTCTCACCCATGGAAGAAGCGGGCGCGTTTCTCGACGCGGAGCGCCATGGGCCAGAGACCAATGAGGCCAATGGTGAAGATGGCGAAGACGACCCAGAGGGTGGTATGTCCAGCCTTTGTGGCGTGGAGGAGCTTGGGAATGGGACTGGGCTGAAGCATGGGGGAGGGAGGGAGCCAAGTCAGCGCACGGGCCGACAGCGGGAGGCGTGGCTCAACACTCACAAAGTCATCCGTGGGGAGTGGACCTGGGGCGCCATGGTGGCCACCCTTGTGATGTCCTCCTGTACCCCCAGGTGGGCTGACGGTGATGGTGCCAGTGGGAGTACCCTTGAAGTCGAAGTAGTCCATTGTGAATAGTTACAATGCGGGGATGTGAGATGTGTGGAAGGAAGATGGGAAGGCGGAAGGTAAGAGAGAGAGAGAGACAGAGAGGCGCGACTGGCGTATTCTTTTAACGATATAAGTCGATGAGGTCATCATCATCGGAAGCGTCATTTGTCACGCTATATCCCCGAGTGTGGCAGTAGAGCACGTGCTGATGGGTCTTAGGTGCTGATCGATCATGGCACGCTGCTGGGACACGGGTGCATACAGGTGATGGTGGTGCGGCTGGTAAAGTGCTAAGAATGGGTTGTTGGTGCAGAGCAGCATGTGGCCTTGCAAGGCTCTCATGCAAGCTCATTTGTTTCCATCTGTTCCCAAAATGCATTTCGCGAAGAAGGGTTTGCCATCTCACTCCATCCTCACAGGGCGATGAACAGGATTGAGATCGACGTTCAATCTGTCCACAACGTAGCTAGCGCACGCAAAATGGTCCTTGTGTCCAAATGCTTCTCGTTAGCTGTAGTGGGCCCAGATCTGTGGTGTCATTTTCGCTCCTCTATCCCCTCATGCCGACCGATGGGCAGCTCTCGTTCGCCTCATGTGACGTAGAGACGGAAGCAATTTACACCCCAATTCCCCAAATCGGTAAATGACCTGTCGATCGGCTTTCTGTTCATTACCCGTCTCAAGTATATATATATACTGTGTGTCGATCTTATACTCCACACAATTCAACGTTCAGCAATCAGTCGACAACCAAGTCTTACACAGATAGCAACCAGTCATGTCTTCGCTCCCTCCCCGACAACCAACTGTGAGTTGCTCTTCGACTACCTGACAGAGCTGACGATTGCAATCCTTCGCTCACGTCACCGTACCTCGCGTTCACATTCCCAGGCCGACCCCCACACTCTCACTCACCTGCAGAATGCCAAACAGGCAACTCAGACTGTTAACAGATTCGCCAAGCGTGACCCCGCCCTTTTCCCCCTTTCTATCATCATGTGTCTCGCACTCGGCGGAGCGGGCTACTTCTTGTGAGCATACCTGACTCCTCCGCCGCTCACCACAAATCAGCACCCGTAAAGCATCAGAGCCCGAACCACACCGTCAATTGATGGCCAATGGTGTCATCAATCCTTGGGATGACCAAAGCAAACACGACACACACCCAAGGTGAGCCATTACGGTGAACCGCAGCTGACACTCAGTGCTGTTGCCGCCTTCAAGTACAGGCACAAGAACAGGGATGGGGTTTACGAGGATTCGCTCCCAGCTCTCAACACTGAGGTCGCCAACGTGAGTCTCTCATCGTGTTCGAAGCTGAATGTGAAGCTCAAAAACGAGGCCAAGTTCAAGTTCCGAAGCGCCTGATGTGCCAGAAACATTCAGTTGTATGTACATTAGGTCAAAATATGTATACGAGCAAATGCAAACAATGATCATAACAATACATGTACGAGTCTGGCTGGATCCCCCGCCCGACTGGGTTCATGACACTACCTTCTCTCTATGTGGACCCCTCATCTGGATGAACGTACCATAGGCACATTTGTTAGGCAAATTGACGGTGACTGTACGACTGTGAGGTCCTTCACTAAATTCCGTCTTGTGACCCATGCATTACAGTATTTCCTGCCTCTTCTACTTGGCTACCTGCATATCGTCTGCCGCTTCTTTCCCCCAATTGTTGATCCTAGGACGATCTTGTAAGGAGGCATCCTGTATGCGCCTTTCGTCGAATTTGGCTGCGTGTACAAGATGTAATACTCGCTTGGCAGGACGCTCATGGCGGGATGTGGCGCGAGGCTACAATCATATATTTTATTACCATATCATAGAATTCATGTTGGAGACCAGGAAATATCCCAAATTGAGAAGATGACGAGGGAAGAAGTATTCGTCGAACAAACTGATCTTGAGCATGAGAGCTCAGTTGGAGGATGTTGAATGGGGCTACCTCAAGAGCGAATGGAGAAAGAGGGTCAAAGTCGATGGGAGATTCGTACACGTGAACGGTCCCGTCGAGGTCTGTCGAGGTCACGACAGCAGGAGTATTTGGTCAGAGAGGAATTCGAGTCTCAGCTCCACGTAGTCTACCCGAGCTGCCAGCGGGCATACCGTCGCATGCGTTGGGCTGAAAGGAAACGTAGTCGATACCATCAAAGTAGTTGTACACCTCTGTTGCGTGAGCTGGAAAGTATATTTGTTAGTGGTTGTCTCTGTCTGGCCTGAGTTCACGGGAGAAGGACCATCCAACAGAGTTTCCCAAGGGCGTCTGGTCAATCCAACTGGCAAACGAGGTCACAAACGATCTCGCTCCGCCTTAGACAAAGCCATCGTATTCGGATAAGTAGGATAAGCTCTGATTCACAAAAATGATAGAGTTTGGCGGAGCCCGAGCGCGCCTCCGTCTAAAAGCCTCGCAGGTTGAGCCATGCAAGCCTCGTTGCAGGTTGGCATCGATAGTAGCAGCTTCAAAAATGGGTTCGCTGACGATATTCGTGTCACGGCAGAAGCCGCCGAGGTAAGACAAGGGAGAACGAGGGCGAGACGTGAGCATAGGCGGATGTTCTGAGAATGCCTCCAGTCCATCTGCTGCCCTTCCTGCCCTCTTGTTCTTCCTGCCTATGTAATAGTGTATCCAGAAATCAGCCAGGAGCAACCGCACAGTTTCGAAATCTCTGAACAGATCTGGCGACTCTTGGGTTGACGGCCCACTCCCCGGCAGCCGCGTCTGCATCTGCCCCTTTTTGAAGTCCTTCTAAATACGACCGCCAAGTGTGGTCTTGACATCCCAGCTGTGCCAGAGGGATCTGCCAGGCCATGTGATCGTGCGACTGCTCACGTGGAATATCAGTCTAAGGCGGACAGAAGGAAAGGTAAGACATCATCGGAATATTCGGGGATCTAGTATGACATATTATTAGGCTGGTCAGGACCAAAGGCACAGGAATAAGCAAGGCGAGTCCCCTTAAAAGGATCTCGTAGATCTCAGTGTTTGACAAAGGGTAGATCCGGTCCCCCACTTGTGTGAAAATCTCGAGTGGATTTGATAAATATGAATGTGGACCTTTCAGATTCTTCGCCGTTGAGAGCCATCTTCTGTGCCACCGCCATCCAACTTCATTACGTACCCCGACATCGCTTTCCGAAGACGTTCCAAGACTGGCAGACCATCGGAAAGCAAGCGTAAGAGAGGGATCGACCAGATGAGAAGATGCTCGGACCGTCGAAGACGGTGTGACTTCGTCTCTCCTTGCGACTAGACGGTGGTATTGCATTGAATACCTCAATTCCTCGGGGCACCTCGGAGTACCCGATATCGAATCGCTTTGTCCTACGTAGGCGTCGGTGGCTCGGCCGTGCTAACGTACTTTGCCCTGGATCTCGGGACGGTAATCAGACAGAAAAAGAAGGGAAACAGAAAAAAAGCAGTTTGCTTCTATGGTCGCCGGCCTAACTCGCCACAATGCGAATTTTTCTCCCAAAACAGAAACTGGATCCCAGGTCGCCCCGCGGCCAATGCAGCGGCGTTGTCCATTCACCCATCCGATCGGACCCTTGCCCCGCGGGGCGGCAGAGCTTTGACTACACTATTGGCAATCATAAAAAGATCAAGGGCGCTTCATTTTTATCGAAATGGCGTTTATTTGACGGGAATAGCCCATTATCGGCCTCCGAGCACCGAAATCTTGATCATGAGCGTAGCTGAGGGTCACTGTATTCGGTCCGAATGGAGCTCCATTACCGTTTCCTCAACGCCCCCCTCGGGGCAACTGAACGGGAATTTGAAGCTCTCTGACGATCGTATCCTTGACGATCATCCTCTATAAGACTGAGTCCAGATCCCACCAGGTCCCACCACTCATCATCATCACCACTACGCAATCAACATGTCTCAAATCGACGAGAAAGCCGATATCATTCAGAATGAAGCGCCCATCCTCGAGGGAGGCGCGCAGACGGAGCTCAATCATGAGGGAGTCCGCAAGTCTGCTTTCGACAACCTTGGCGTCTGGGAGACTGCGAAGACGTTCAGACGAGCAGTATTCTTCTGTGTCGCTTGCTACACCATGAGTATGCTCGATGGATGGTCAGTCTCTGTCGCTGGATCGATTGTCGTCAACAAGGGATTCGTAAACCAATTTGGTACTAGGGCAGGCCAGACGGGAGTTCAGCAGCTGTCGCCGACGTGGCGTGAGTGAACGCGTGTCTGAGCCGAGCTGACGGTGTTAGTCTCCGCTTGGCAGTGTATGTATGTGAGTAGAGAAGGACATAGGGAGACTCGGCGCTCATTGTGTAGAACTGTGGTCAATTCCTGTGTCTTCCCACCATTCCCTAGTGAGTTTGTGGCTGCAAATCCGATTCTGACTGCTTCTAGCATCGCCAACCGTTACGGTCGAGTCTTTGTCTTCTGGATGTCTTTGCTTTCCTTCTTGATCGTGAGTTTGATTGCGCGCCAAACGCCACCATAAGTGTGGGAAATCTCCTCGGCAATCGGCAATCGGCGGATCCCGAACTGACTGTTCTACAGGGCATGGTCTGTCTGACAATTGCGAGAACTCCTGCTGTCTGGGTAAGTTTTATGTCTTTGGGCTGTTTTGACATCCCCAGACTGTCGGTCAATTCTTCTGTGGACTCTCAGGCGCCATGGAACAGCTCTCAGTCACTCCCTACGCAGTGGAAATTGCCCCTACAAGGTCAGGAGCCTTCAGCAACAATCGCACGGGAAAAGATCACTGACGTTTATCAGAATTCGAGGTGGTTTGGTCACATTCCAGGCGGTCTGGTGAGTCGCAGACTGGTTGTCACGCGCTGACTTTGTCAGGTCATCCATCTTCCAGATCATCCTCGCCTTCATGCTCGAAATCATGAACCGAAAGTACCCTTACGACTGGTTAAAGCCTCTCTACGTCGTCTGGCCCCTTGCTGGAATCATCTTTGTCGCTATCATCTTGCTCCCTGAAAGCCCCTGGTTCTACGCAAGACGAGGAAACAAGGAGAAGGCCATCAAGTCTCTTAATAGACTCTACAAGGGTGTTCCGGGCTATGACGTCGAGGAGGAATACGCCGTCATCCTGCGAACGCTCTCACACGAACAGCAGATGCTTGACCTCCAAGGCGGAGGAGAGAGCTGGTTGGATCTTTTCAGACGCGGCAATCTGAAGCGAACTGTCATTGTCATGGCTTTCGAGGCTGGTATCTTGCTCGGAGGACTATCCATGGTCGGAAACTTCAAGACTTGTGAGTGATTCTATGCCTGATCAAACGCTGAATGTCAAGACTTCTTTGCCATTGCCGGAGGAATCAACCCTTTCTTGGCCAACTTGATCACCTCGTGAGCTTTCAGGGGTGGCTTTTGAGCTGACATGCAGCATCGTCAACCTCTTCATCGTCGCGGTCTACAGCGCCATTGCCGACAAGATTGGCCGTCGAACCCCTGTCCTCGTCTGTTTCATCGTTGTCTGCGTCACCCTCTGGATTATGGGAGGTCTTTACTACGTTTCGGCTGGCAAGGTCGTCGGAGGAGTGCTTGTCACCTGCGCTTGTCTCTGGAGTGGTGCAGAGACCATTACTCAAAATGTGTACTGGCTCATGGCTGCTGAACTTCCCTCCGCTCAGCTTCGACGTGAGTGGATGTGCTTCAAACCCTGCTGACATGTCAGTCAAGACTTGCTCTGCTGGTCTCTTCTGGGGAGCTGCTCTTGGAATGTCCACTGTGTAAGCTGCATGCCCCTTCATCCGAGCTGACAGTCTAGCTTTGCCGTCCCGCCTTCTCTTGACGCCCTCGGTCTCCGCTCTTCCTTCATTTGGGCGGCTTTGACCGTCCCAGTCTGCGTCTTCCTGTACTTCTACCTGCCAGAGACCAAGGGGTGAGCCAAGACGCTGTGGCTCTCGCTGACGATCAGACGATGCTCTGCCGAGATTGATGAATTGTTCGAGCGTGGTGTACCAGCCTGGAAGTGGTCTACTACCGTCACATCTGTTGAGGACCAGCTCAGAGAGGCTCAACTCTCGGGACAGATCGCGAACAAGGAGAATTTCGCTTAAGAATATGTTGTCGGATGCATTGTTTTACACCAAAACCCGATCGTACAGTATTTTTACACTCGCTCGTCTATACTGCCCTTGACATCGGTTCGTGTAACGGTTGTCGGTACCGTAGAATCTGGTCTGTCGAGCGGATACAACAAGACGAGTCGCTGCATGACCATGGCAACACAGCCGAGAACGAACATCCAGACGGTGGTCGCTGCGAAGCCAGGAACATAGCGAGGAGAGTCCTTTGCTGGCCATAGAAAGACGCCGTAGATGGAAGCCGAGTTGCCCAACGAATTGACAAAAGCTATGACGACGGCTCTCTTCTCGGCGGGGAAGGTGACGACGTTAGGGATCCACATGAGGATGAGGGGACAAACGGCGTAAACAAAACTGACCGCAAAGATGAGGAAGACGTCTACGAGTCAGACGGAGCCGGTGGAGCAGACTCACATTGGGCGAGATGTGTGGTGACTGACACGGTGAGGATGAAAAAGACGCATCCTCCGAACCCACAGACGGCGGTTGGGATCCACTTGGTCCTGCAGATGTCCGATAGGAAGGAGAAGATGAGGATGAAGGCAAAGGCTCCGGCGTAGATGGGTATAGTGTGGTCTGAAGTGAGCAGACGGCACTTGATCCAGTCTCACATTGCCCTTGATATCCCGTCCACCCGACTGTCATCAGTGGAGTCTTACGTACGGACTCACGGGATCCCACAAGCGTCGGGACAAAGTACTGGATGGTCTGTGCGCCTGTTGAAAGCATATCTGGGATTGAGCAGTGTCCACATCACACCACGCACACATCAAGACGAATATCCACGTTCGCCAGTCCGCCAGGACTAATCGCACGGCCTTACTAGACTCTATCCTCTCGCCTGTTCCTTGCGTGTTCGCGAGGCCGTCAAATGCCAGTCGCTGAGCTGCTAGCAGGCGTTCCTCTTGAGTCAGCCAGCTGGTTGTCGAGGGATAGTCGGGCATGATGAACCCTGATGATCTCAGCACGGCAGGCAAAATGAATATTACAAGTGAAGCAACCGAGGAAAGACGATCCGACCCCTTCGATGATCTAGCAGTGAGCCTAGGGGCGACCATAGACTGACTCACAAAGAGCCACTGCCATCCCTGGATGCCTCTCTTCCCGTCAAGATGTTGAGTCTGGCCTCAGCATGGAATGATGAGCTCACTCACTATCAAACCCGCGAGAAGTCCAGAGAATGCTCCGGCGATCGCAGTCGCAGTGTAGTAGATGGAAAAGCGTCTCGACAACTCGTATCGCCTGTACCAGCTCGACAAGTAGAAGGCGACCTGAAATGAGCGCCTCCATCAGGTGTACCTACCCCTGGCGAGAAACCGGCTTCGACAATGCCCAAGCAGAACCTGATAGCTGCGAGCTGTCTCCAATCCTTCGCAGCGGCCATGCAGGCCGCAACACCGCCCCAGAGCACGCATAACGCGCTCAGGTATACGGAAGGGCGGACCCTTGTGAGAATGAGATTCGACGGGACTTCAAATAGAACATAACTGATCTGAGGGTCAGGCTACGCGCGTCATGAGACCTACGAAAAAGACGAGGAGAATGACCGAATATTGATCCGATGTAAGGCCAAAGTCATCTTCAAGTCTAGCGTGAGCGAGATCAATACAGGTCTCACCCTCCAGTTTTTGCATTTCTAAGCGTCAGCTCGTCCCAGACTCTGTGCGCACCCTATATTCGCTCGATCCAGATACGACAATGCTGCATGTCAACCCGACAGTCGGTCCTCACCCACTGTACAAAGCCCAGACACAAGGAATCACTCTGAGATCGATCTTCCTGACGAGGTTCCTTTCGTCATCTGATCCTGGAGAATATGCCGCCGCGAGAGCCGCGACGGCAACGTCAGTCATCTCGGACATGGCTTTCCATCTGAGGTCCATGAAGATGCATGATGAGTCCGGTCCTCAGAAGCTTGTTCGACACTAGCGGCGATGTCCGAAAGTCGGTGCAGCCATGGCTGACCAGTGTCATGCCCGCATGATTCATGCGTTGTTGCCAGACCATCTCGCAGAGCCCACCTCACCGCTGCCATGCATATAATCAGCCTTGCTGAATATATCAACATCTTCAGATTCTTGACCTCTTTGCTTTCACGACACATCGAATACCCTGGAGAACAGATGACGTCGTGCGTCCACCGACCGAGAATACGCCGCCGTGAGCGGTATGCTCGGACACCAGGGGAGCGGCTCTCCGAGGATAATCAGATGTGGCGGGATACAGGTAACGACCATCAGTAGCTAGTTCATGGTGAATGTCAATGCCCCGCTATGTAAGCGTAGACCGCCAGCATCCGCTTCTTTCAGTGTGTCCTCGTTGTCCGCGGTCGTACAGGGGCCCTTTGGGGCTCTCGTCGGTGGGCGCTGCCTCACTTATACCATCACGAGCCGCTCAGAAGGTGCAAAAGGGCGTCATGAGTACCAACGAGCCTGGCTCTATCGGCTGTCACCCTCTCAGAGACAGTAGTATCGACCAGCTCTCCGAAAAGGAAGAAACTTCCCGAGATGTGATCTCGACTGCCAGATCATCATGTCCACCGGAACTTGGGCATTTGCGATCAGTACCTTGCCAGATCTATTTCACCCGAGCTCTCGGAGTTTGGACCAAAGTTTGGCGACTTTTATGACCCGAGGGAAGCAGCTTACTCGGTCAGCATCTTGCTCTTTGCGTGCGATCGTACATGAATACTCCTTCTTATTGACCGATTGCCGTTCCCGCCACAGGCTGTTTGCAAGTTCCTGGTCGGTCCATTATTGCTTCGGGCCGTGGGTCTTTAGACATAACACCCGCCTGCGCCTCTCTGCTATCCTCTGCTCTCTCTCTCTCTCCTCCTCCTCCCTTGGAGAGTTTTGCCACCTGCGTCTTTGCATTGGGCTGCATCGGCCACTTTTCTTGGGTGGTCTATTCTTCTCCACCACGGCTCAAATAATTAGAAAAAAATTAAACATCCCTTCCAATTCACCGAGAATGCGGCGATGGCACACACACACCACCCACCACCCTAACCAACCCAGATGGGCATGCATCATCTGATTCCAAAAAGGGGGCGAGAGGAAGGGGGCGGGGATGAGATACTTAAAAGGGTCGGGTGGGAGCTCCTAGTGGATTCCCCACCACACCCCTCTTACCCATACATCCCATACATTCACCATGGAGCACGCAGGACCAGTCGATGGCGGCACCAACCAGTACAGAGAGGAGCTCAATGAGATCCTCAAGAACCGAGACATCAAATGGTACAAGGGACACTATCTCAAGCTCAATGCTCTGCTGGTAAGTCACTTCCCTCTCTTGATCGATCGATCGATCGATCGAAGGAAGCTACACGCATACTCAAGCTGACTGGTCAACCAACAGTTCCTTCTCGTCATGACGTCCATGAACAACGGTTACGATGGCTCCATGATGAACGGTTTGCAGACTGTCGAGAACTGGCAAGTCTTCTTCCATCACCCTCACGGATCGGTGCTTGGTGTCTTCAACGCCATCCAATCCATTGGAGGAATCGTCGGTCTCCCTCTCGCTCCTTACTTATCTGAACGGTTCGGACGTCGAGGTGCTTTGGCTATTGGAGATGCCGTCATGCTCATCGGAGTCATTCTCCAGACTGCTTCGCAAAACGTCGCCATGTTCATCATCTGTCGATTCTTCATTGGAGTCGGTCTCGCCTTTGCTTGTCTCGCAGCCCCAGTCCTCATCACCGAGCTGGCGTTCCCGACCCACCGAGCTCCCATCACTGCCCTCTACAACTCGTCCTGGTATCTTGGATCTATTCTTGCGGCGTGGATCACCTACGGTACATTCAGCATCGCGAACACTTGGTCATGGCGAATCCCTTCCCTCATCCAAGGGTTTCCGTCACTCCTTCAAATCCTCCTGCTCTTCCTCATTATCCCAGAGTCGCCTCGTTGGTTGGTCGACAGAGGTCGCTTTGAGGAGGCCCACCGAGTCCTCACTGAATACCACTGCAACGGTGACGACACCGACCCCCTTGTCGAGCTCGAACTACGAGAGATCCGACAAGCTATCCACATCGAAAAGGAAATCAACAGGACCGTTACTTACCGAAGTCTCTTTGCTACCAAGGGAAATCGCCGACGAATGCTCGCCATTATCCCTTACGCCTTCTTCTCCCAATGGTCTGGCAACGGTATCTTGTCATACTATCTGAACATTGCTTTGGTCTCTTCCGGTATCACCTCGCACGCCTCTGAGAATCTCATCAACGGTCTCTTGCAGTTGTGGAACGTCATCACTGCATATGGAGGCGCTCTCAGTGTCGACCGACTCGGTCGTCGACCCCTGTGGCTCACCTCGGCCGCTGGAATGTGTGTCGCCTACACTGCCATCACCATTGCGGCTGCCTTGTACGAAAAGTCTCCAGTCACTGGTCTCTACACTCAAGTCGACCCTCCCGTCACACTCCACGCGCGAACATCTGCCGGCCACGCTGTTGTTGCAATGTTTTTCATCTACTATGGATTCTACAACATTGCCATGTCGCCCCTCCTCGTTGCCTACACTGTTGAAATCCTTCCCTTCAACCTTCGTGCCAAGGGTCTCTTCGTTATGCAAGAATGTGTCAATCTGTCTTTGGTCTTCAACCAATACGTCAACCCTATTGCCCTTCCCGTGCTCAGGTGGAAGTACTACTGTATCTACGCCGCTTGGATTGCTGTCGAATTCGTCTGGCTCTACTTCACCATCATCGAGACCAAGGGACCCAACGGACCCCTTCCATTGGAAGAGATTGCCGCCATCTTCGACGGAGAAGAGGCTCGAGAAGAGATTGCACGCACTCAAATCGCTCCTGCCGCTCAAGATGACAAGTCGTCGGGTAACGAGATGGAGGAGAAAGCAGCCGTATGATTTGCGTCTGAAAGTGTCATTTGAATGTATGGTCGTTACTGTGGTTTCCCTACATCCAGTTTCAATAAAGGTCATGCTGTCGTCGAGGCGCTTGATGATCTCGATGGTCATTCACCCTATGTCCAGCGGAGTACGGGCCGAAGCTAAATCCAGGACGCACCCTGGCAGGCTCGCACCGCAAGGCAATATGTGTATCAGACCCTTCGCCAGACCACTTAATGATTTGCCTCGATCGGATACTTCGTACAGATGCGATTTGCGCATTTTATTCTCACCGTTGACTGCTTTACCGCATGCACGACCGTATCCTTATGACTGTTATTCTTGCCGAGACTCCAAACCCGATGCTTGGGGCCATTGTCTGTCTTCAGATCGACCTGAGCGTCACAGCTCAGGAGGTCACACGCCTCGTCACGAAGCGATATGCCACATGGATATTCACCGATGCATAGGATCGAGCGGAGCAGCTTACACTGTCACTCCGGTGAGAAGCCCCTCTCTCGCAATGCCGTTGCTGCCTTCAGTAGGCGGGGCCCGCTCGGGGGATTTGACCCAATTTAAGAATCGCACTAGCGTCCTTTTTGCCCCGTGAGTCGACATTGCCAGGCCTGCATCCCGGTCAGTTCTCGGGACAGATTCGGACGACATGGTCTCTCGCAGGAGCCTCATATAAGGTCTCGATGTAAGCTTTCATGTCATCTCCAGAACACCATGCTCTTCCTCCTCGCCCTTCTCGCGCCGCTCGTGAGCGCAGCTCCTACTAAACGCTGGGAATGTGCATCCACGAATAACTCGCAATGCTCCCTCGCTTCTCTTGCAGAGCGATCTGGCAAGCTGTACTTTGGAACGGCTTACCAGTCGTTCTATATGGCGGCAGAGGGTTTCACGCCGGTCTTGGACTCTGAGTTTGACCAATACACTCCCGAAAATGAGATGAAATGGTCTGTCATTCAACCTGAGCCCAATGTCTTCAACTGGACCGGAAGCGATCTCGTAAGCGGACCTTGCCACAACTTTTGCTGATGACAGATCATTGCCCATGCGAAAAAGACGGGATCTATCGTGCGAGGACACAACTTTTGTTGGGATTCGCAAACGTGAGCACGTGGAATCCAGTCGCGCTGATTCTCAGCCCCGGATACGTGACCAACATCACCGACCCTGACGAGCTCAAGTCTGTCTTGAAGAGCCACATAGACGCCGTACTGGGTCGTTACGGGAACGATCTGTATGCATTCGACGTAATCAACGAGCGTGAGTCATTCTTACGGACTCGAGCTGACCCGCAGCACTGAACGACAACGGCACGTTCAAGTCAAACGTGTGGTACAATGTCTTGGGCGAAGACTATCTCGGCATTGCGGTGAGTCGATTCAATCATCGTCTGCTCACTCTCAGCTCGACTATGCTCATGCTGCCGCCCCCAATCTCAACCTTTACATCAACGACTACAACATTGAAAGCGTCAACAATAAATCCCAAGCCATGGCCAAAGTCGCTCAAGGCCTCCTTGCTGCTGGCAAGCCACTCAACGGAATTGGCTTTGAATCTCACTTTATCGGCGGCGAGACACCCGACGACATCGCGGAGTCCATGAAGCAGTTCACAGATCTCGGCCTCGACGTCGCAATTACCGAACTCGATGTCCGGGTTCCGGTGAACAACATGGGCATTGCAAATTCTACATGGCTCGAGATTCAGTGGGTGTTAGAGAAACTGCAATGCTAATAACCAGGGCAAAGGACTATGCTCAAGTCGTGTCCGTCTGTCTCAACAACACAAAGTGCCCGGGAGTCACAGTCTGTGAGTTTTGACCGGGTGAACCTCCTTGACATTCGTAGGGGGCTTTGCAGACTACTTCTCCTGGATTCCCGGCGTCTTCGCAGGATACGGTGCGGCAGATCTGTACGGATTCACTTACCAGCCCAAACCTGCGTTTTACGCGGTGCAGGACACGTTGTAAAAAGGCGATTTGGCCGGAGACACAGGTATTGAGGTTTACAAACGTTAATAATAGGATCCAGAGTGCACATGGATCTCGTTCCTATGCTTCAATTTGAGATTCAGCGTGGTGAAGAGGGGAATTTAGCCCATTTATAAATAAGCGAAGCATAGGGGGGGAGCGAAATGTGCGGACCTCACCATTTTGACAAACCCTATTCCCGTCCAGTTCAATGTGTGCCTCGTCGACTTTATTTCTTCGTTACGGTTCCCCGCGATACGATATCGCGGCGGAGAGGAGTGCGGATCTTGGTTCGACGCCACGTTATCTAATGTGGCGTCACGTTTACGACGCCCGTTCCAAGAAGCTATCTTGCTTTGGGCCCAAAGTTTCGGGCGTGACTGCTTTGGATGTATTTTGGACCATGTCGGCCCCAACGGCGTACAATTCGCTTACGACGCCTGATCTCGCGGAATCCTGCTGGACCCATATATACTCAGTCTCAGGATATCCCTTTCCCACCATTCCGCCACCATGTCTGAACATCTCTCAGACGACGTGTCCGAAGAGAAGGTCATCACACCCAACGACGTTTTCGGAGAGGTCAAGACCTTTGTAACCTCCGAGAGCGAGTGGGTGCCCCCCAATGAGTGGATCGAGCGGTTTGTTGCCGAGTATACCGGTCATCACGATGGCAGCACCGAGACCCTGGCTCCCGGTACTGATCCTCTGAGAGCCGCCTATGCAGTCTTGACCTTAGAGGAGGACGCTGCCAAGGGCGTCCTTGTCGACGGCCTTAAGGCATATCGCCAGGACTATACCATTGACCACAACCTTCTTGCCAGGTGCCGGTCGCTTCTGGAAGGACCCGAAGCTCTTGGTACTGATCGAAACGATTGGGGCTACCAACTTTGCAAGACGGCCGGTTTCTTCCACAATTGGTCGTGTTATGCCGAAGTGAGAGCAGTGACACTCCCCTATGACGATGTGGATGAGCCATGCGAGACGTTCAGAGCGTACCTTTTGGGAACCCTGTGGGTCTGCGTCGTGACAGCGGTGAACACTTGTGGGTGATCCCTTCCAGGATTTTCCACTGACTTTAGTCTTCTCACAACGTCAACCTGGTATCAGTATTCCCGGTCAGCTTGTTCAGCTCTTGCTTGTGCCTATGGGACGAGGACTCGCTCTCCTTTTGCCAGACTGGGGATTCACTTTCCGTGGCAAACGCCACTCACTGAATCCTGGACCGTGGTCGGCCAAGGAGCAATTGTTCTCGACCATTTTCTTTGGCGGCGCCTCCACTATCGGCAACTTTACAGGTCTTCTCGATTTGCGAATGCCTGCTTTCTTTGGACTCAAATGGGTCACCTTTGGTTACGCTTTGATTCTCGCATGGGCCAATCAGCTGTTCGGGTTGGGAATGGCAGGTATCCTCCGACGACTCACAGTGTATCCTACCACTGCAGTTTGGCCACAATCACTCCCCACTCTGGCGCTGAACAGAACGCTGATCAGCTCGGACAACAAGCGGGAGACGATCAACAAATGGAAGATCAGTCGTTTCAATGCGTTCCTCGTCGCCACTGGCATCTTCATCGTCTGGTACTGGATTCCGAACCAATTCTTTGGCGCCCTCCGTATCTTCAATTGGATGACTTGGATAGCACCCAACAACATCAAGCTAGCCGTCGTCACTGGCGGTTACGGGGGCATGGGCTTCAACCCCATCTCCACGTTTGACCCTTTGACCTCCGGTAGTGGCGCCATGAACGTGCCATTCTTTGCGTGAGTACATCCCCAGTGAACATCACTGACGCCGCCCAGCCAATTCCAGCAATTCGTCATGCGAGTCATCTCTGGCGTCATCATCATCATCCTCTACTTTGCCAACGTGTCCTGGGGTGGCTACCTCCCGATCAATTCGAACGGTATCTACAACAACAAGGGAAAGACCTACAATGTTAGCATGGTGCTTGACGAAAAGCTCCAGGTCGACATTGACAAGTACAACGACTACGGCCCCCCATACTATTCCATCTCGAACCTCTTCATCACCGGCGCAAATTTCATGTATTACACCTTCAGCATTGTCTATGTGTTCATCCGATACCGCGAGCAGATTGTCAAGGCCTACTATGGTGTCGTCATGAATGTTGTCAAGAGGCGAAGTGGTTACCATGGGTTCACAGATGGAAACACTCGCATGATGCTGGCGTACCCCGAGGCTCCGGAATGGTGGTACACCATCCTCTTCCTCTTTGGCTTTGTCATCTCCATCATCACGGTCTGTGCCTTCCCCACGCAGACGCCATGGTGGACGATCCTCGCTATTGTTGGCATTGGCGCCTTTTTGACTGTCCCATGGGTCATTATCCAATCCATCGCCGACACTGGAATTCAGCTTGGAACCATCTGGCAGGTCCTGCCCGGTCTCTGGTTCCCTGGTGAACCCTTGCCCCAGCTCATGTTGCTCATGCTCGGTGACGCGTTCGAAGTTATGGCGGGAAGTTTCACCAACAACCTCAAGATGGCCCACTACGCCCGCATGCCCCCAAGAGCCGTCTTCCGTGGACATGTCATCGCCTGTGCCATCAACGTCGTCATCTACTGTGCCATTCTCCAAGTCTACCTCTCGTTCTTTAACAGCGATTCGACGCTCTGTCAGTGGGACAACCCTCAGCACATGGTCTGCGCTGGTCCTCACGGTGTCTATGCATCAGTCATTCAGTTTGGCGCATTCGGGACCAACAACATGTTCAAGCTCTACCCCAAGCTTTCTTGGTGCTTCTGGCTTGGAGGCATACTCGGTGTGGGCTGGATCGCCGGGGAGTATGGTCTCCCACGTCTCCACAACCGAATCAAGGGACGCATGGAGGCGAGCAGGTTCGCGTGGTTCGACCGATATATCTGGACGACGGGTGGCCGAATCCTCGGAACGCTCAACCCCGCCATCGCTCTGTCTGGCGCTCTCAATTGGTCAGGTAACAACAACTTGACCTATGCTACCACCGGTATCTACATCGCTTGGCTGTTCCAGTACTACCTCAAGAGACGATACACCGCCTGGTGGCAGAAGTACGCGTATCTCTTGTTCGCAGGTATCAACGTCGGTGTGGCCATCTCGGGTCTGATCGGGACCCTCGTGTTCAGCTTTGGAGCTGGTAAGGGTGTGTCTTTCAAATGGCGAGGAAATACCATCAGTCAGGCCGGAGACGACTGGAAGTTGTACAACAGTGAGGTCGCGTATCTACCTTTGCCTGAGAAGGGATACTTTGGTTTGGACAGGAATCAGTACCCGGAGAATTGGTAGGTGTGGCAGCTAAGGTGGACTCGCGTTTGAAGATCTCGTGGTGTCATTTGATGCAATCAATCACCGTGTCCCATGTATCATCTCTCCGACAATTGTCCAATCGGCGAAGACGGCATCGGGCAACACGCCTTGCACATTCATGCACAGCGGTGGTCTCCGTAGTCACTTCGATCAGCCCAGCTAAACCAACAGGCCCCAATGAGCCCCAGTCCAGCGGCAGAGGCGCCGCCGTCATCTCGATTGACACATGGCATAAATTAAACCCCGAAATTGCTCCATGGGCTCTCGTCGCACGCTCCATGTGCCAGTTCCGAGCCGCAAATTAATTGATGCATTTGGCGCTAGTGGAGCTTGTTCGGCGCACGGCTAGACGTATATATACTGATAAGACACGACATGGTGCATCACCAACGCAGCCATGTTCTCCCTCCTCGCTCTCCCACTTCTAGCTGTAGCAGCTGCAGTCCCCGTCAGCAGGCAGGACAGCGGCGGTGTCAAGGAGCTGTGGCTCTTCAACGATATTCGAGTCTCCGATGCCAACGCTATCAAGACTGCCGGCTATGACACCGTGATCATGTTTCAACTGGGCATCTTTGCCAATGCTTCGCTCGCTTACTATGGAGACGAGAAGGGTCAGAATGACAACCCCGTCCTGCTGGTCGACGGAGGTGTCTACGTCGAAGACATTGGGCTCGCCGACATTGTCACCGGCTACAAAACCGGCACTACTACCATCGACAGGACCGAGATCACCATCGTCTCTGGCAATGTGTTCTGGCAACGAATCCAAGCCATGGTCGAGGCCAATGGAACTGGCCCAGACACCGCACTCTACCAGAACTTTGCAGCCTTGAAGACCGCCTGGAACTTAGATGCCATCAATGACGACGATGAGGAGAACTATGACGTCTCGAGTACCGTTGCCTTTGCCCAGATGCTGGGACAGATCGGGTACAAGTTCACCACGGCTCCTTACACCAACACATTCTTCTGGGCACAAGTTGGACAGGGCATCAATGATGCAAACCTTTACGACCGATCCTATCTCCAATGCTATGATGGAGGGGAGGGTAATGACCCGGGACTTTGGGCTTTCGAGGTCGGCATGCCACAAGTGCCCCTGCTCTGGGTCACCAACACCGACAAGCCACAGGATGGTAACACCCCGGCTCAGGTTCAATCTCAGATGCAACAGTGGAAAGACACGTATGGGTCCAACATTGCTGGGGGAGGATTGTGGAACGACTATGACATTTACTACAATAACAATTCATATCAAACCTACGCACAGGCTTTGGAAGCCGTGTTTGGCTAGAAATACCAATGCATCGCTATAACTTTTCGTGCTGAACCTCGACTTCTTGCTTGAGCTCTCCCGCAACTGACTGATCAGCGGAGTTTCCAAACCACCACTCACTTGCGAGCTGCTCCTCTCGCGAATGTTTGCCCACCCGCTCTGCCGATTTGTCGAGAGGTACGATGAGCTTCATGGTTCGGAATAACTCGTCCATCTCCTCGAGCGTCCTTCCTCTGGTCTCAGGGAAGAAGAGGTAGAAGAATATGGCATTGGTCATGGAGCAAATGGTGAAAACGAGGTAGTATTTCCAGCCTAGCTCTTAGCAGAGCCTCAAGAGCTACTCACCGATCGAGTCGAATGCTTTTGGAGTAACTTGGCCGATCATGAAATTGGCCAGCCACGAGGCAGAGGTGGTGATACCCGTGGCCTTTGCTCGGACGGCAGTGTTCATGATTTCGACGGGGCTAGGGTCAGCCAAGCACCTCATTTCACTCACTATACCCAGGATAGAGGTCCGATGCAGAAGGAAAAGACAAAGTTGTAGATAAAGATCATGACCACAAAGGCGTACCCTTCGCCTTTGGTGCCTCCGCCGGTGGCAAATTGCTTTGCCATGGCACTGCTGTCAGCTCCCGAATCGAGCTTCACCCACGTTGCTACGGCAAAAGCGACGCTCGCTGCCAAATTGCCATAAATGAGTGGAGGTCGGCGTCCGACTCGGTCAAGGAATAGAACACAGAGCGCCTCGGCTGCGAGTCCATTAACATTGTTGAGACTATTGATGAGGAGAGCGTTTTTGGCGAACCCGACGGAGGAGTACACTGTGCTACAAGGTGAGCCACATCCCATGACAGCACTCACTTGGCATAGTATTGAATGGCGGAGACTCCAGTCATCTGGACTGAGAACTGCAATACAACTCCATAAAACACTTTTCTCAAGTTGGCACCGTCTCGGAAAATCTTGTCCTTCAGCACTGATCATTTGCTGACTGGACATACCACTGTCCATGCTCTGCTTGCCATCTCCTGCTCTTCGTCCAACTTGGCCGAGATGGTCGCAAATTCAGCTTGGACCAAACGGTCGTTGATATTGCCACGAGAGTGAAGTCTGGCCAAAGAAGCGAGGGCCTCCTCGGGACGGCCCTTGATCATCAACCATCTGTTGTCAGCTACAAGTCATCGATTCCGCTCACCTTGGGGACTCCGGGAGCACAAAGAGGCACAAGACAATGGGGATAGCGGGAAGCATTTGGAATGCGAGCTTTGGATCAGCTTCACACGCGAAAGCCAGACTCACTGGAACCCGCCATTGGATCTGTGTTCCCATCGCACCTTGCTGGCAGCCGTAACCGATCCATCCGGCGACAAACGCACCTATACCCAGAGACAGCTGGAACAAGGCGGTCAATTGTCCTCGGTTAGATGGGTGGGCGATCTCGGATTGGTACACTGGAGATGAGCGGAGAGTACGCGTCTTTCACATACATGGGACCAATACACCCTGAGGATGTCAGTGGCTGTTGAGGAGTCTCCGCTCACCAGTTGTCCGATCGCCAGTCCGGCAATGAATCTGCCGGCCATCATCTGCTCCTTGTTCTGAGTAGAAGTCTGAATGACTCCTCCAACAATAAAGATGCATCCAGCGATGGTTACTGAGATTAGCTCTGAGCGCTGATGTCAACTCACAAGCAACCCGTCGGCTCAGGGCATCGGCAGCATAGGAGGCTGGAATGGTTCCGACGAATGCACTATTTTCAGCTCCTCCCAGGAGATATGACTTACCCTAGCAATAGGGACGAGGTTATGAACCCGATATAGTTTGCATTGGTCGTGTCAACAGTCTTGACAAAGTCGGGTGCCGCCAGGACATAGGCAATGACACCGAGATCATACCCGAATAGACCTGCACCGCTCCTGAAAGAGCTCAGCGAGATACGACGTCGGACCTACGCAACGAATACGGCACAGAGAAACGTGTAGAGCTTAGGGGATAGTTGACCGACCATGTTAAGGGGGGATGTTTTGATGCGGGGCTCTCATGAGCCCATGTGCTGGGTATTTAATGACGTTCATGTCGCCGTGAGACGGTGCGAGGCTCCGCGGAGAAAACAGATTCGCCGAATCTGATTCGGCGGATTGACTTTGGGGTTTTATATTTCATAGACAGCCAATGAGTCCCAGACAGAGATTGAGGCAGAGACATCAGCGGTGTGTATGCGAGATGCCAGTATGGACCTCCAGACATGACTGAATGAGCAGAAGACGTCCATTACCTGTCCACACCATTCTATGCGTTTGCCAGTCTGGACGGTTCATGATGACTGCCACCACCATCATTCCGCCGCTTAGATTTTGGGCATTTCGGCGAAACGCCAATCAATACCCGGCTGCCATCCGCCGTCAACAGTCTTCACTCAAACATGCACAGACGAGAGCCATTGCGCAGACGGCTGGCGTGAGTGCAGCAGTGAAGGGCCGGACTGACTGATCAGGTGCACCAACTGTCGAACAGTCAAGGTAGGTAGCCCATCTCGCACTCGGCTCAGTCCCCAGTCTCGCTGCGTTCCTGTCCCCGACTCAGGCACATCCTGTCAAAGATGCGGTATGCGGGGTCCCATAACATGGCTAACGCCCAGTTGAAAACGGTCTGACCTGCCAGTATCCGGCGCGACGACGCCGAGGCGAAATCTCGCCTCGAGGCTCGGCGCGACAAGAGCCCAAAGATCCGCCGTCGCAACCAGCAGAGCGTGTTGTGGCTTATCCACCGGATCGACTTCGTGCGAGAACTTCGGGACCGAGTCAGTGGCAGAGTCCAACGACATCGCTTCGCGAGTGGGCTCGGGTGTCAGATACCCAACAGAGTCCTGCTCGATCCAATGTGACGGCAAGCGGGATCAACCGCCATGTCGATGTGGACATGTCCGGCCAGCTAGACCCATTCCACGCGAAGGCCGGAAAGACCACTGGACAACGCGTAGAGCAGCATACGGCGACCTTGTCGGACTATCAAGATCCTGGTGAGTGCTACTATGAGGCTTTCTGCTGAATCAAAGTCGCGTGCCATCTCCTCAGTGCAGTCGAAGCGGGCGTCTTGTTCATCTCGTGAGTGGGCAGGGTAGCACAATCTGACGGCAGTTTCATGGAGCGACTCAATCCTATGGTGGGGCTCCTGGACCCGGCAAGTGAGGCACATTCGAGACGTAGCTTATTCAGTCCACGATTTCTCGTCTATGCGGAGGTCGTCACTGCTCTTCACCACCATCATGGCAGCTGCAGCTAAATTCTTTCGCAAGGAGCTATACGACGCTCTCATCAGCCACTGCCAGACGCTCTTGCTTCGGTCAATCTTTGCAGGTCATTGCTCCATCGATCTGGTCCAATCACTCATCCTCTTGGTGTTCTGGAAGACACCAGTGGACAAGTCAGCATGGGTCAATATCGGCATCGCAGTGAGGCTGTCTCATCAGCTCGGTCTACATATTCCTAGACAGGAGCCGCTACCAGCGGACCCCGAGGAGGCGGCACTGGTACGAGACAGGGAGAGGACGTGGTTCTGTGAGTGTTCGCGGGTGCCGAGGCTGACAGCAGGCTTGTCTTGTAGGTACAAGCGTGCGAGCAAACGCTGAGGTCCCGCCTTCAGGCATGGACGGAACGTGAGCCAGCCAGGGGAGGCGCCGCTGATGACAGCTATTCTGACATTTTTGGACTCCCCCATACGATATCTGAGGATCAGTTCATGAATGTAGGTATCTCGCACAATCTCGCTCATTACCAGGCCGCCGTTTGGGTTCAAGAAGCCACGGATAGTTCTCGGTCCATCGACCTGCACTTGGCAAGCTCGATAGAGTGAGAGCCCTTGTCGATGAGACTGATAGGTAGGCTTGCTGGGAGCCACCTCATGCTTGTCAAAATCAAACGAGAGGCGCATCTCATCAATCGTGATCTCAAAAAACCCATACTACTGCAGATACGAAAGGACTATTCTGAGCACATTGAAAAGTGGTTTGAGAAGGAATCGGGTGGGTAGCATCTCCGATATGACTGACACGCAGCGATGAGCTCCACGGAACGGGCCTTTCTCAAATGGTACGATATCCGAGCCTTGATAGATGTCTACTTTTTGCTGCTCGACGGGTCCTTGTCAAGCGAAGACGCCGCACGCAGACAGGAGATTGTCGATCTGGTGCACCGGCTAGCCGAACAGACAAGTGTCTTGGGTGATTCGGAAGACCTGGTTTTCCTGCAGGACACTGCAGCTGTCCAGCTCTCTACACTCGGTTCACTCTTGCTCGACGTAAGACGACCACCAAAAATGCTCGCTGACCGTAGTCATTCTCCTCCTTCCTCCCCCACCAAAAGGCCTCCATCTTTCGAGATCTATCCATGATACAGCAATGCTGTGCGATGGACCGGACCGGTGACCAAACCTTGCCCGTGGCATTTGTCGCGCGTTTCCTCGGCAAGGTCACGGCGCAATTGTCCGGAAGCCTTACGTTGGATATTCCTTCGGAAGCAGAGTCGGGGCTGGGCGTTTTAGAGTTCATCGATCCCGCAGGACCGGAGGTGGGGGGAAAGGCATCATGGCAGGAACTGACGAGCAGATGGACATTGTGCCGTCCGATTTCGACGACGTGCTGCCAGACCCAGATGGGCAGTATTGGTGAGCTCACCTCATCGACGAATCTCACACCAGGTCCTCGTTATTTGTGTCCCCAACTGTTGTTCTTGGCCCTCGTTAATTCGGTCTAATTATAGCCCGAATTGACGCATGTAATCTGCCTGAAATTAAGCGTTTCCGGCGCCACGACCGTGCGGACGGGGGGGCCCTCAACTCTCGTGGAGTGAACCATAATGAGACTAGTGTGAACACGTCCTCGTGTAGCAGAAGAGGACCGGGGACCCGGGTGGGGAGAATAGATCCTCCAAAAAACGGGAATATTGGAATAAAGTCATGTCCACTCGACGGCATCGTTCCGCTCCAATGCCCGCCGTGAGATATAAGACAGCGTTGACCTACCCGGCTCTCTCCCTCAACAACCATCATGCCTAGACACATTGAGCACGTCCAAGAGCTCCCAGCAGACAGTCCGGTGTCGATTGACAACGAGGACAAGATCTTGTACGGGGACTCACATCTCGACATCAACCCTGCAGATGAAAAGACTATCGAAGGCTCCAGGGATCACGAGCTCACAGCCGAGCAAATCGCTCAGCTCAGGCAGCGCTATGGCCACAAGGCCGAAGCGGACGACATTGCGCCAGCTCGTGATGTTCAGATGATCATGGAAAAAGTCATCGGCATGACAGACGAGGAGGCCCTCGAAGTTCTCGTGGAGGCGATTCAAATCCACAAGGCCGACCCAAATTTCCCCCCTTGGACCATGAGCAAGCTTCGTGCTTTGGTCGAGGGGTACAAGGCTTGCGATATGTCCGAGGACGACTGGAGCTTTGACACGAGGACTGAAGCTGCTATTCTCAAGTATCACTCGCCGTATCCCGAGGTTCGATCGGTCACTGAGCCGTTTGATGATCCCACGATCCCTGTTGAGACGATAAGATCATACACGCTTGGCTTCATGTTCATGGCTGGGGCTACGGGTCTGAACACATTCTTCTCTCAAAGACAACCAGCCATTGGCTTATCGTCCCTCATCATGCAGCTACTCCTCGCACCCTGTGGGTATTTCTGGGCTCGCGTCGTCCCCGCATGGACCATCCGACTCGGCAAGTGGGAACTGCCACTGAACCCTGGTCCTTGGACATTCAAAGAACAATGCTTTTCGACCATCTTATTCACGATTGTCAATGGTGCAGGCTCTGCCCAAATCCTGATCCTGACTCGTGAGTCTTAAGTCATACGCTCGTTGCTGACCCTCAGAACGACTCCCTCAGTTCTTTGGACTCGACTGGGTCAGCTGGGGCTACGAGATCCTGATCAGTATCTCCCTCCAGGCTTTTGGATTCTCCCTGGCCGGTCTCGTCCGCCGTGTGGTCATCTACCCGCCTCAGGCTATCTGGCCTGGTATCCTGCCCAAAATTGCTCTCAACAGAGCGCTAGTCGTGCCTGAGAAGAAAGAGACCATCAACGGTTGGAAGATCTCGAGATACCACTTCTTCATGCTCGCCTTTGGCGCCATGTTCATCTACTTTTGGATACCCAATACGCTGTTCCAGGCACTTCACGCGTTCAACTGGATGACTTGGATTGCTCCTGAGAACTATCCCCTGGGCATCATCACAGGCTTCTATGGCGGAATGGGTTTCAACCCGCTCGCCACATTTGACTGGAACGTTGCGGGAACCGGAACGTGAGTTAGAGACCATCGGACCTCCGCTGATCACATAGACTTACGACTCCGTGGTTCTCGACGATTCAACAATACTTTGGCCAGATGACAGCTGGACTCATCATCATCGCCATGCATTGGACAAACTCTTACTGGGCGGCTTACATGCCCATCAATTCGAACCAGTTGTTCAACAACGTTGGAGGTGCATACAACACGTCAGAGGTGAGCATGTCAGGCATTCGTCGACTGATTAATCAGCTGCTCGGATCCGACTTCAAGGTCGACCTCGACAAGTACAAGACATACGGCCCGCCATACTGGAGTGCTGCCGCCTTCTTCACCGAGGTCGGTTGGTATCTCTGGTACATGTTCTCGATCCCCCTGATCATCACCCGATACTTCCCTCAGATCCAGATGGCTCTTGGCGGTATTTGGAGAAGTTTGCGACACCGAGAATCCGTGTACGAAGGTCAAAACGATCCCCACTCGCGCATGATGGCCCAGTACAAGGAAGTTCCCGAGTGGTGGTACCTCTGCGTCCTCGTCGTTTGTCTCGGCTTTGGACTCATCGCCACGCTCGCCTGGCCGACGCTCTTGCCCGGTTGGGTTCTTTTCGCGGTTCTGCTCTTCCACATCTTGCTCCTCGTACCCTCAGTCGTCATCGAGTCCTATGCCAACGTGAGGATGGACGGGGGTATTCTGTTCCTCGTCCTCGCTGGACTGTGGCTACCAGGGAATCCGCGCGGGCTGATGGTGGCATTGATGTATGGGACGCAATTTGGCCAGCAGACAGACAACTTTATCAACGATCTCAAGTTTGGACACTATGCCAAGATCCCTCCAAGGGCCATGTTCAGAGGCCAGATCCTCTCGGTCATTTTGAACACGTTCATTTGGCTGGCATTGACCAACTGGATGATTGACCATTTCCAGGTCGGCTCGTTTTGCAATTGGGACAACAAGCAGCATATGGTATGCGCCGGTGTCCACGGTCAGTATGCCCTCGCCCAGATGTACGGTGGATTCGGTGTCCGTAACCTGTTCAAGCTCTATCCCATCCTGCCATGGACATTCTTGCTCGGGGCCGTGGTCGGTACCGGCTGGGCGCTCACTGAGCATTACGGACCTGGCATCAGGGAGCGGGCACGACTCACATGGTCAGAACACAAGTATACGTGGACCAATCGTCTCTTTTTCAAGCCCGTCGAACTCGTCGGATGGGTCGATCCCGCCATCTTCCTGCACGGATGGGTCAATTGGACCGGAGGGTCCAACCTGTCGTACAGCACCCAGGGTGTCTACATCTCGTTCACGTTCATGAAGTACATCCGACATCACTATTCGGCTTGGTGGCAAAAGTACAACTATCTGCTTGAAGCTGGCTTCGATCTCGGTGTCGCCATTTCCGGCATCATTCAGACACTCATCTTTGCCATGGGTAATCATGGAAAGGGGTACTCGATCGAGTGGTGGGGCAACACTGTCAGTGAGGCGGGCGTGGATTACCAGAGTTATAATCAGAACGCGACGCTGTTGGCTATCCCAAAGGACACGGGTTACTTTGGATTACCCCCGGACCAGTATCCGATGTCCTTCTAGGCCTCCCAAGCGGAGCGGGGGGGGCGGTGATGATACGAGGGACGACTTGAGTGGAGCGAGACAGATGGCTGTGACGAGTGATCGAAGAAACGTGGCCAAGTTTCCGCTCGGCTGGGGCTCGTGTAACGATAAAACGAAGGAAGATTACAACTATTTGGAATGTATTTTGTTCTCTCTCCGTATAGGTTCCTCTTCTGAGGTACCGATGGCGGTCTCAGACCTCAACGTGCCATGCAGCAATGCTATACCCCCGCTCCTGCTACCTCCCCAAGTGCCACAACGCCGAAAAATAAAATAAACGGAAGCAAAAATAATAACCGCGGCCGAAATATCCCAAACCACATTTTCCGCCGTATCTCGTCCAATTCTCGTCCAATTCTCGTTCAGATTGCATCAAAATGCATGTCTAGAGTGCCCCAATGTTCACAACAGCAAAAAGGAGGTAAGCTCGACGAGGGGGTCGAACCCTCGATCTCCTGATCCGCGGGACGTCGCTTTACACGAACAGAACGCCTTAGAAGTCAGATGCCTTACCACTGGGCCAGCCGAGCCTAAAATCGGGCACTTTTGGTGTGATATAACATTCCGACGCCCATTGAGCCTCTGGGAAGCAACCAGGACCTCACTAAGCCCCTATGGCCTGTTGCCGACCTTCGATGCATCGCTTTTCATCGCGCAAGCCCATCGCAGAGGCCCTGACGTCTTCGAGAAGCCCATATTGACCAATTTTCTGCCACAGCCAAATTTCCGCCACATTCCCTTCCACACCTGCCGACATTTGCTTCCGTCGCGACGCGCGTGAGCCGATCGCTCACCACTTGGACCGCTCTATCTTTGACGAACCCTTGACGACTGCTGGCGCATACGCACGGCGATCGCTGCTGGTCAGCATTGAAATCTCACCATGGCATACCCAGGACCATCTTACGGTGCCTCTGATGGCCCTTCGCCGCCGCTCGGCGTTCCCTCGAACGGTCTAAACGGACGCACCCCTTCACCTCTTCCCGCCGTGCCTCAGGTCGGTTCGTCAAACCTCGGTCAACCTGGCTCCAATGCTCCTCACGCGGGCCTGTCCACATCATCCTCTCAGGGTTCTCTTTACCCATCCAATGTGTCTGACAAGGGTCCCGACTACGTCTACTTTGAGCGGAAACCAAACCAATTTGGGGAGAACGTAGCTGGAAAGGCCACGGCCGCAAAGATGAAGCTCGAGCTGTATTACAAGGATGCAGTGGAAGGTGTAGTTGGACGTAAAGACCGGTGAGAAGTGTTCTAAGACAGCGCTGATGAGCAGCCGAACAACCCTCGAAAAGCAGCTCGCTGCGGACACGCTCACCCCGGACTCTCTCAAAGCGAGACAGCTCATGGCGCTAGGAAGGCGCGAGTCAAAGTGAGATACGCCAAGAGATTCCCTTTCTGATGCCAGCTTTCTTCGCCTTCGTCGCACACGGATCGGTCTCGAGGATTTCCGCACTGTCAAGGTCATTGGCAAAGGTGCCTTTGGCGAGGTTCGTCTGGTTCAAAAGGCGGACACTGGCAAGATCTATGCTCTCAAGACGTTGAAGAAGAATGAGATGTTCAAGAAGGATCAGCTCGCCCATGTTCGAGCCGAGCGTGACGTTTTGGCTGAGAGCAACAGTCCATGGGTGGTCCAACTATTCTACTCGTTTCAGGATCCTCAGTACCTCTACCTGGTGATGGAGTTTTTGCCTGGAGGAGATCTCATGACAATGTAAGGTGATAGGTGGTGCTTCGCTGATGTCCAGGTTGATCAAGTATGACACTTTTTCCGAGGACGTGACCAAATTCTACATGGCAGAGGCAATCCTCGCCATTGAAGCGGTTCACAATCTTGGCTTTATCCACCGGTATGTACGAGAGGCAGCTTCGCGCGCTCACCTTCAGTGACATCAAACCTGACAACATCTTGATCGACCAAATGGGCCACATCAAGCTATCCGACTTTGGCCTCTCCACTGGATTCCACAAACAGCACGACTCGGCTTACTATCAGAGGCTTCTCGGTGGAGGGGACGTGTCAAACCGCCAATCCCAAGCGAACATGTCGAATGCGGCGCGGAACTCGGTCATGGTGAACGCGATCAACCTCACCATGACGAGTAAGCAGGACATTGCGACATGGAAAGCGAACCGACGCAAGCTGGCCTACTCGACGGTCGGAACGCCAGACTACGTGAGACGATGCGAGGGGATTTTGCTGACGATAGATCTCGCCGGAAATCTTCCTCCAACAGGGCTACGGCAAGGAGTGCGATTGGTGGTCCCTCGGCGCCATCATGTTCGAGTGTTTGGTCGGTAAGTGGACAGATGAGGCCCCGCTGAGGCCCAGGTTACCCTCCGTTTTGCTCTGAGAACGCACACGATGTATACCGCAAGATTATTGATTGGCGGAACCACCTTTACTTTCCAGACGACGTTCATCTCAGTCGCGAAGCCGAGGACCTGGTCAGACGGTAAGCTTGAATAACCTGCATGGCTGATCTCTCAGTATGCTGTGCGAGTCAGAGCGTCGTCTCACGTGCGAACAGCTCAAAGCTCATCCAGTGAGCGTTTTCCCTGATTGCTCTGCTGACCTGAGTTCTTCTACGGGGTTGACTGGACGAGCATCCGTGACATCGATGCGCCGTTTGTGCCTCATCTTCGGAGCATCACCGATACGTCCTACTTCCCCACCGACGAGTTGGATCAGGCCCCGGCAGAGCTGCCAAGTGCAGGAGACAACGGGTCTAATGCCAAGAAGGATCTCGCCTTCTTGGGATACACGTGAGCCTCGATCTCGGTGTGTGAGCTAATGACATACATAGGTTCCGCCGATACGAAATGCTATGACCCTCTTTGTACAATTGATGCATTTTTTACGACTACAACGTGTTAGGAATGGTAGTGACCGCCGTCCTCTTCCTCGGCCGCGATATTGTAGGCCCTTTTCAGGAGATCCTCCTTGCGAGGCACCCAGCTGACGTGAGCGATGCACATGACTGGACTCACATCTCCGCATACGTCCACCAGTCTCTCCATACGCCCCACCGTCGAGCAAGTAATAGCTGGACAATGACTGTTATGGGTACTGCCGGTATCAACCACAGAACATCTTGCAGATGAGTAGGGTCAACAAGACACACGCCGACCTCGCCCATGAGGACGACTATCCCGAGCACGAGCACAGAGGCGTTGAACATGGGTCGAGAAAAGTAGGGCGGATCGGCGGGAATCAGTACTTCCTCGCCTGGTTGGCTGCGATGTAGACCCGTGCCGGAGCTAGAATACTCGAATCGTAAGGCCATGCCGATCTCCAGGTCAGTCTCGATCACGATGTCACTCACAAAAACCGACGCCAGCGCAGATGGCATGGCTATGACAAAGGCCAAAAATAGCCGAAGCATCCAGTCGTACAAGTCAGGCGAGCCATCGGGCCTGGGCGTCTCTTCCTTCCAATGGAAGATCCGAGCCAGGATCTCGTGCGCCCCCCACATCGTGACAGCTAGAATGGGAACGCCAAACTAGATCTCAATGCCCAGATCTCTGATGTTTACTCACCATATATAAGGCCATGAACATGTTGGCGCCCCGAACACTGATCCGATGATTTGCGCTGTTTAGCCCAGCCAATGTGAGGACGACCGAAGTAGTGAGCACTGGCTGCAGTATACGGACACCTTTCGAGCTGAGATAGATACAAGCCGCCGACAAGGCGGCGGCGCCGGCAAGTCGAACTAGTGACGATCCTTGTGTCTTCTCACGGAGTTCGTATACACCAGGTATCAATTCACTGTAGGCGAGTTGCGCGGTCCTAGCGGGGGTGAACAGCACGATGGACCCCTAGAGGTCAACCTAGCGGCATGGAGGGCACTCACATGGTAATTTGCCGCGGTGCTGGCGATCCACAAGATAGCTCCAAAGGCAATGTTGAGCCACAGTTCCGATTTAATTTGCCTCAGTCCAAACATGAGTCCAAACCAGATGGCGAGTGGGACGAGGAACGCTACTGCCAGGACAGAGATAAACAAGCACTTGTTCTTCACCGTCGTGGTGAAGGTATCCGGTTGAACAGGGGATGGGCGCAAAGTCTCGACAACGATCCATCGCTGAGGAGTTAGCGAGAGTGCGTATGAAGGACTCACCCGGAGACTGTAGCGGCATCCTTTCACAACTGCTGCAACGCATAGGGCCTGTGTTGCGATGGAGTAGAAAGCTTCGCTTACGGGTCCAGCACTGGAGAGCGGCATGACAGATGATGTACGAACAACAGAGGAATATCGGTGTGTGCTCAAAATAGCATTGCCACCAAGCGGTGTAACGGGTTCCAAACTTTGCATCAAAAGCTACAAACGATACAAGAAGATGGGAGACAAGTAGGAAGGAAGTGGAAATTTGAGAAAGTGTAGTTGGACGTCAACGCGACAACCATCACTTTTGGGCAGGCTTCTCCTCGACTGGCGCGACAGCTTCAATATCTTGTGCAATCTTCGCCACGTCCTCCTTTGACGGGATCCAGCTGAGGACGTCAGCGACAGACGGCATGCTCAGCTCACATTTCCTCATACTTCCACCAATCCTTGAGCGTACCCATTCGCTTTGCCGTGATGAGCTGAACAGCACAGACAGTGGGAATAGTCATGAAGATCCATGCCATTTCAACTGAGTGAGTGGGCTCAAAGATTGAGGTCAAAACCTCTGCGACCACGAGCGAAGCCGTGAGTGCGGCGACCGAAGCGCGGAACATTGGCTTGGCGAAATCAGGAGAGGAGGTGGGGATGATAGCCGCTTGTCCGGGTTCACCACGGAGGGCAATGAATGAACGGGTCTGAGCATGATCGAAGCGTAGAGCCAAACTGATCTGCAAAGTCAGCTGCTGTATCGATTTATGCGCTCACCAGAACCCCTGCCATCATACACGGCAGACCACTCATGACCATGATCATGACACGACCCAACCATCCGTACAGCTCCGGCTTGGGCTCTGACGGCGCTGCGGTCTCCCCGTTCTCACCAAAGAAGCCGAGGACGAGGGTTATCAAGCCGCCCAGGACAATGCCGATGACTGGAACAACGGTCTGACAAAGCCAATCACACGCCAGCAGGTACACTCACTATGTATCCCATCAAGACAATGTTTGCCCACTTGACGTTCATCTTGGGCATATTAGCAGTGGCCAAACACATCAGGACCCATGCTGCAACGACGACGGGTTGCAGTGCGCGGATGTTCTGCGAGCTGAGATAGATGCAGAGAGCTGACACTCCAGCCGCGCCGAAGATGCGAGGCCAGACGGTGTCCTCGCGCTTCTCCTTGAGAACGATGGCTCCAGGGTCCAGCTTGTTTGCAATGTAGGAGAGTTCGATGCGAGCGGGAAAGAAGATGAGAGAGGACTATGAAGTCAGGCTACATTTGCGCTGACGAACTCACCGTGAATAAGACAAGGGTAATGAGAAGGCCCTCTATACCTGCCCACAGGGCATTCAGCCAAAACTCTGACTTAATCCTCTGGGCACCAAAGATCAAACCGCCTTCAAAAGCCATGAAAAAAGCGAAGATACTCAGACCGATCGCTCGAAGCTTCCATTTCGCGTTCTTGGGAGGCTCCGAAGGATGCAGAGCTACCTCTGGCGGGGTCAGTGTGGAGACGGCCAACCATCGCTTCAATACGAGTCAGCGCGGAGATAGAAACAAATCGTTGGAGCGCCGCCCGCCACTCACTCTCAGAGAATAGTCACATCCCTTGACGACCGCACCTACACACAGTGCCTGTGTGACTGTGGAGTAGAATGCCTCTACGAGGGGACTAGCAGTCGCAGGACCTGACATCGTATATGATCCTGCTCGAACTGTTGTTGTACTACGAGGAATGAGGGGCAAAAGGAGACGGAGATGGGGCGGTGAATTGTGGCTTCAGGGAATTTTGCTTCCGTTGAGTGTCATTTATGTGGCACTGATTCTATTAATAAATAACGTAATGTACTACAGCTCCCATACGACTAGACGTTGCAGCTCCCCACCTCCAGTGACCTGTAAGGACATCCCTGTAGCACTCCTGGGGCTATACACTCGGGTTGAGATGGCACACCTGTCATTGGCAAAGATTTCAACGACATCATGATCGAGGAACAGTCGCAATCGGAGTGGCTCTATGCGCTCACGGCCATCGGTTTCTGTGCGGAAGAGAGTGAAAGGTGCGCGTTCAGTGACCGTGTTGATGTCATCTCGTGTCGTAGACCTTGATCTATCCACTAGTAGGCACTCATTGATGCAGTCAAATGCGATGACAGTCTCGTATTGTGCTTCAGACTCCTCCCGAATGATAAATGACACCATTTGCGTGTCTTTGGAGAGCTGCAAATCGAGAACGGCCTCACAGGACAATGACGCCTTATCGAGAAGCCGGTGACGAGACTCTCCCATTGTGATAGACGACTTTTCCAGGATGGGTGACCGACGCAACGTCTCGAGCTCCTGGACTGGCCGGTAACCAACGGTCAGGACGCATCGTTCGTCCTCGACCACCTCGACAGAAGTGATCTCCCTGAGAGCCGTTCGCAATCCCCCTATAACATTGTCGATCTTCTGTATGAACACTTCTCGGGGTATGGAGAGGCACCCAGTCCAGCCTTTGGCCTGAAGAGCGTCTTTGCTCAAATCTTCTTCAATGATCCATCCAATCAGCAACTGGCGTCCATCTCTTGCATCGAATTTGGCGGCAGCGTAGAACGATCCCCAATCCAAATTGCCGACGACTGGGAGGGACAACCTCCCCTCGTCATTCAGAGAACCCATGGTCCAGAAAGCTGAACGAGGTGTATGCTTCGGTGCAGACGGTCTCTCCACGTAGTATGCGGCGTCCAATTCCTCCTCGACGCCCTCTGAGCCACCCATGAGTACTTCTCGCGATATTGTGCGGTCCAGGGACCGCACCGTGGCAAAGCTGGCACATTCCCAATTGACACCAAGGTCTTTGCTCCAACGGGTATTTGAACCAGCGTTTGAAGGTACATCAACGGTCAAAGGATACAGGTACGTCCATCTGGACGGGTGTTGGGGGTCCAATTCGTACAGGAACACCCTGGGACCAGCATTTTGTATACCACCGGACATGAGAGCGTACAGGCTCCCGCTCGAACCCCGTTTTGCATCTAATGCAGGCCACGGCGCCACGAAAGGGTCACGAAACCCAGTCACATCGATAGATGACGGCTCCTCTTTGACGCAGGGGTTCTTGGAATATTTGTGCCCTGGGACATCAGCTCTGAGAATTCCAGCACTCACATGTCTTCCCTCCGTCTACCGAAGTTGCCATGGCCACACCCTCGCATCCTCGCGTATACGGTTGATCCCATGCGATAGGAAGGTGATTGACATTGGTATAGAACACCGAGAGCGTATCAGTTTCTCCGTCAGGGCCAGAGGGATGGAAACAGCCCGTGAAGATACCTTTTTGGTCGTATCCTTGATCAGGGGAGAGGACGGGCTGCGAATCAGCGCGACGCCCCCATCATCAGCTTTCACCTCTTCGCACGAATGCGTCCAGTTAACAAGATCTCTACTTGTTGCGTGACCCCAACAGATGTTATCCCAGAAAGGCGAGTGGGGATTCCATTGATAGAAAAGGTGATATAACCCAGTCTTGGAGTCATGTCCCGGAGCACAAGGGTCATTCATCCCTGCCTGTCAGACGATATCATGTGTCACACTCACATCCTCGAGGCGCTTGAAAGTGGTACTTGTGTCGACCACTACTCGGCGATCCATGCTGAGGCGAAGGATCTATCTCAGTCATTGATAGGCCAAGTGGATAGTAATGGCCCGTCTGCAAAAGTCAAAATCACAAAGCGTGGCGTTTCGGAGATGCTGATGTCGGATACGTGGGCATGGAATAATGAGCCTGGACTGTATCTTACAGACCTTCAAGACGGCATCAGTGCCGACACGGCTACTCACTGGTCGCAAAGTATCTGCTGCTGACTCTAGTTTGTACATATATGCATGGGCTTCATCCTCAGTAAGAGCGTCTCAAACAGTCCAGGTTACGTAAACAGTTGACTGTCCGACTCGGTATTTTCCGATTGCTCATTGAAATTCATCGCTCACGGACTGTCATTACATACAGGACGAGGCTCAAGATGGCGAGCACGGTCAATGGACATGGCGATGGCCCCTCGGCTGATGACGCTGGTACCCGAGAGAAGATGCAGCGATGGAGTCAGCGACTCGCTTCCCTGCCAAGTCTTGCTCTTCCCACCGATTATCCTCGACCCAGTGAGCATTCCCCAATGACCATTCTGACTGCATGCAGGTCCTGCAAAGCTCGTCGAAGCGACACAGACACTCTCCCTCCCGTCATCACTGACTCCCTCCCTACTGAGACTCACTCTCGCCTTCACTTCTTCCAGCCCCAACGCTCCTCTCCCCACACCTTATCACCTCCTCCTCACGTCATTCGCCATTCTCCTCTTCCGCTACACACCGGACCCTTCGCTGGTCATCTGTACCTCCGCTCCAGAGTCTACCAGACCCCTGCTGCTGAAGCTCGATCTGACCCCAGAAATGACTTTCCTTCAAGTGTTGACTCAGATCATGGACAAGGAGAGCGAAGCTACAGCGGATATAGTCCCGCTATCTCATCTGGTCGATCATCTCAAGCCAGAAGGTCCACTGTTCCGAGTCCGGTTCTTCGACTCAACGTTGGTGGATCTGGATCCTTCAGCCTCACTCACAACAGATTTGACCCTGTTTCTTCTCGCGTCCACCTCGGAGACCCCCCTCACGAGGACTTCTATCCCGTCCCTCTACCTCCGATTGGCTTACAACTCGCTGCTCTTCGCCCAGAAGCGGATGTCGCTGCTCCTGGAATCGCTCCTCCAGCTCTTGATGTCTGCTGCCACTCTTCCACCTACACATGCTATCGGATCGCTTCCTCTACGGACCTCATCCCAGTCGGCGATCCTTCCCGATCCTACTGCAGACCTGGATTGGTGTGGTTTCAAAGGCGCCATCCCAGACATCTTTGCCGCCAACGCAAAGGCACATCCGGACAGGATCTGCGTCGTGCAGTCGCATCTTGCTCCCGGTCAAACGACGATGGACGGACCAAGTCAGGGCAGGACAGAGTATACCTATCGTCAGGTCGACGAAGCAAGCAATGTGCTTGCCCATGCGTTGCTGAAGAATGGTCTAGAACGGGGTGAAGTGGTCATGGTGTACGCCGCGAGAAGTATCGAAATGGTGGTATGTGTCATGGGTATTTTGAAGGCCGGGGGTGTCTTCTCCGTTGTCGGTGAGTTGAAAGAGGCGCATTCTTGCTAATTCACAGATCCCGCATATCCGCCCAATCGTCAAACCGTCTATCTACAGGTCTCAAAGCCTCGAGCCCTGTTGATCATCTCCTCCGCTGGCACGCTCTCACCCACGGTCTCCGACTACATTGAAAAGGAGCTGTCACTCCGCATTTTGGTGCCGGCAATTACCATCAGCACCCAAGGCATCACCGGCTCGCAACCAGACTCGAAAGCCGAAGACATCCTTGAGCCCTTCCAGCAATGCAGTCAAACACCCGCTGGTGTGGTCCTGGGTCCAGACTCTCCCGCTACACTCTCATTCACATCTGGAAGCACGGGTATCCCCAAGGGTGTCAAAGGTCGACACTTTAGCTTGACCCATTTCTTCCCCTGGATGTCTGAGAGATTCGGTCTAGGGCCGCAGTCGAGGTTCACCATGCTCAGTGGTATCGCCCATGATCCCATACAGCGAGACAGTGAGCTCCACCTACTGGACCTTGCTGACGGACAGTGTTCACGCCACTGTTCCTGGGTGCTTCCCTCCATGTACCTACGGCTGACGACATTGGTACTCCGGGTCGATTGGCAGAATGGATGGCGGATAACGAGGTCACCGTAACTCACTTAACACCAGGTAGGTTGGGTGTGATGTCCTCTGCTGACGCGCAGCTATGGGCCAGCTGCTTTCTGCTCAGGCCACAAGGCAGATCCCAACGCTCCAGAGCGCCTTCTTTGTCGGCGATGTCCTCACCAAGCGAGACTGCACTCGTCTCCAGCACCTGGCCAAAAACGTCAACATTATCAACATGTACGGTACAACCGAGACGCAAAGAGCTGTCTCATACTTTTTCACTCCGAGCGTCAACCAAGACTCCACTTTCCTCTCTACTCAAAAGGACCTGATCCCCGCTGGACAAGGGATGATCGACGTTCAATTGCTCGTCGTCAATAGGACGGATAGAAACCTCCCTTGCGCAGTCGGTGAAATGGGCGAGATCTACGTCCGATCAAGTGGTCTCTCTGAGGGCTATCTTGACCCCGAAGCCACCAAGGAGAAATTCGTGGTCAATTGGTTTGGCGACAACATTGATCGACCCGATTCACTCGCGCAGACCCAGCCAGAGGCATCAAAGTACTGGTTCGGGATCCGAGATAGGATGTATCGCTCTGGTGATCTAGGCAGATACTTGCCAGACGGATCGGTAGAGTGTACCGGTCGAGCCGATGACCAGATCAAGATCAGAGGCTTCCGAATCGAGCTCGGAGAAATCGACACGCACCTCAGTCGTCACCCACTGGTCAGAGAGAACGTGACGTTGGTTCGACGAGACAAGGACGAGGAGAAAGTCTTGGTGTCCTACTTTGTCCCTGTCGGAGGTGATGAGCTACAGGAGCTCATGAGTGCGAGCGAGGCCGGTGAAGATGAAGAGCACGATGCGAGAGATCTCAACGAGGAGATGCTTCGAGGAGTCAGACGATACAGAAGACTCATCAAGGACATTCGAGAATACCTCAAGAAGAAGATCCCCTCGTATGCCGTGCCTGCGGTCTATTTCCCCCTCTCCAAACTTCCATTGAACCCTAATGGCAAGATTGACAAGCCCGCCCTTCCCTTCCCCGATACTACGCTCGTGGCTCCTCCAAAGGCGTCAAGTGGCAAGATGTCGCAGACACAGAAGATGATTCACGATATTTGGTTGCGTTTGTTGCCTTCTCCGCCTGGATCCCTCGACCTTGACGAAAATTTCTTCGACATGGGTGGTCATTCGATCCTGGCTACACGATTGATCTTTGAGATCCGAAAGGCATTTGTGGTCAATGCCCCGTTGGGACTGGTATTTGAGCGCCCGACAATTGCGGGACAAGCCGCAGAGATCGATCATCTCAGACATGTTGACCTTCACGTCGGATCCTCAGACCCGAATAACAAGGTGGTCAAGGAGATTGCCTATGCAGAAGATGTCGACGTCTTGTCGGCTCAACTCCCTTCGTTCGACCCATTACCATCTGAGTTTGGCTCGGAGCCACTCACGGTGTTCCTCACGGGAGCCACCGGATTCCTCGGCGCATTCATCCTGTCTGATCTCTTTTCTCGCAATGTTGGTAAAGTCATTGCCCTGGTACGAGCCAAGGACACCACGCAAGCCCTCGATCGACTTCGAGAAAGCAGTGAAGGGCGGGGTGCTTGGAACGAATCATGGGTCTCCTCTGGTAGACTCGAAGTCGTTGTCGGTGATCTCGCGACGGAACACCTCGGCATGTCTCCAGAGACATGGAGACGAGTCGCGCAAGAAGCTGATGCGGTCATTCACAACGGTGCCATGGTTCATTGGGTCTACCCTTACTCGAAACTCCGAGCCGCCAATGTGCTTTCGACTCTGGCCTGTATCCACCTTTGCGCAGAGAGCAAGCCAAAAATGTTCACATTCGTCTCTTCGACGGCTGTGCTTGATGCCGAGGGATTCGTCCGCAAGTCGGACGAAATCGTCTCGGCTGGAGGACGAGGTCTGAGTGAGGCGGACGATCTGGAGGAGGGCAAGAGTGCTTTGGACGCCGGATACGGGCAGAGCAAGTGGGTCAGCGAGAGGTTGATCATGGAGGCTGGGCGAAGAGGTTTAAGTGGACGCGTGGTCAGGCCGGGGTATGTGTTGGGTCATTCCTCCACTGCTGGTGAGTTAAGACTTGTGTCCCACTCGAGCTGACATTCAGTGACCAATACGGACGACTTTATCTGGCGTATGCTCAAGGGATGCTTGCAACTTGGTCTCGTGCCGGATATCAACAATACTGTCAATCTCGTTCCTGTAGACCACGTCGCCCTTCTTACATCTTTGGCCGGCGTCACACCTCCCACCGCTCCTGGTGTCCCCGTTGTCCACGTTACAGGTCACCCTTCACTGCGATTCAATGACCTGCTTGGGTCTCTACCTGCTTACGGGTATCAAGTCTCTCAGATTGAATATATCCAGTGGCGTACGAGATTGGAACAACACGTTTTGGAGACCCAGGACAATGCTTTGTTCCCCTTACTTCATTTCGTTTTGGACGACCTGCCGACGTCTACGAAGTCTGCCGAGCTAGACGATACCAATGCTCAAGCCCTCGCCTCGTCAGCTGGAGAGCGGCCGACCAGCGGAGTGGACCAATCGCTGATGGGACTTTATATCGCTTGGTTGATTCGGGCTGCTTTCTTAGATGCTCCGCACACGGAGGGCAAATTGAAACTTCCGACGCTTCAAGGAGGCGTCGCCAAGGCCATCGGCCGATCTACTCAGGGTTCATAGTTAGACTTATTTAGATGCATCTTTCATCCTTTGAAGGGACCGGGGCAGGACCATGCGAACAGTACATTCTGCCACACTTCGATCCTTTGTTCTAAAGTCTCCTTACAAGGAGGTGTCTGAGTCAGCAGTTTGGTGAGTATATCGCAATGGATGGAGCTGTGCGCATCCCCATGTCTTCATCGTACACACTTTCACATGGCTCTCTATACCTTAGCTTGTCCCTCGTTATCGGCGTACTTAACAAACTAAACTTTTGACTCTGCCAGTAAAGGGCCCTGCATCCCAATCTCACGCCCCGGTCTGTGCCTCACAAGGACCCAGCTATTGTCCTCGTTTCCCTCAGCAGTTCATCTCCATCTGTCCACCCTCGCCTCTCAGCCGCGCTGCCCGTCTTCTTCCAGAACAATAGACCCCCCCACCTCCCGCCAAAACTCAAAGCTGTGGCGCCACAACGCAACATTCGATCACGTGTACTAGAGAACAATAAGCGACATTAACTCCCGCTCCTCCATTCTTTCGCTGTATCTCTTTCTCTCTCTCTCCTCGAGATGGAGGAAGACAGCGCCGACCGTGAGATGCATATGGATGTGGACGTAGGGTCCGGTTTAGGGTCCGAAGAAGATATACACCAATGGAAGAGTCATCAAGCTGATGTGAACAGGTCGAATTCAAGCCAGAACACAGATTCGACGATCCTTCCTCGGGGCGGACGTGGTCGGCCTGTCTTTGACGAGGATTCAAGCGTGCAAGAGCTCGTTCACCAAGAGTCTCGCCACTCCTGTACCTCTACCGCTTCTCATTACCAAGCTCAAACTTTTGAGCCTAACACTTACCTATTGTCCTCCCATCTTGACAAGTCACAAGCTTTTCTGACTGCTCTAGACCCTGGAGGAGCACGACAGTATAGGCAGCGAGCCGATTCGGCCGCTCCGGCCTCACAAATCTCTTCAGTCTCTTCTTCAAGATCCAGGCGACCCTCTTCATTATCTATCCGATCCTCGGTTCACTCTCCTCCTGCATACTCTCCATACCGTATTCCGCTTCCCACGTCTTCCGCTCGGTCCACCATTATGACTCAGCAACAAGATATTGGAGAAGGCGGGGCAGAGCCCCCAATCGTCAGATCGGGCAAGATTCCTCTCGATGAGCCTTCAACTCCAGTCCGATTATCCGCCTCGTCGTCAAGCGACAAGCGAATCAATTCTATGGATCTACCAGCAACGCCGCGATCAGCCGTCTCCGTCAGCTCATCTCCCGCTCTAGCCTCGCCTTCAGGTTCCATGTCCCTGTCCAACAGGCGTAAAAAGGCACCTCCATCATTCCCTTCTTCACCTCGACAGGATGTTCCGCCCGTCTCCGCATCGCATCTCCAAATCTCGCAGAGGACGAGATCAGGTCTCAGCTCGCCGCCCATCCCACGGACGGACAGTCCAACATCTCAATCTTTACCTCTCCTTACGCCCGCGATCCTCAAAGTCCCCACTACCCCCATCTCCTCGCCTGCGTTCAACAGATCTGGCTATGGACATCCGCTTCCTCGACGTGGCTCTCACAATGGTCTCCCACCAATCAGAGGAACCAGAAGTCCTCATTCGCCATACTTTCATTTAGGGGCTGGATCGCCCCTGCCACCAATCCCCTTGTCAGCATCTGCTCCGTCGCCACAGCGAACTCCAGTACCTCTGGCGCCTCGTTCACAGGCTGGTCTGACAGAGCAGGCAGAAGTCAGGAAAGTATCGCAAGCTTGGGTAGTGCGGAGCCTTCAGCAGAACGCGCCAAAGGTGTGGTACAGCCCAGAAACGACTGATTGTCGGATTGGTACGTGAGCCTTCCCTTGCATTCGATTCTGATGGGCTATAGTTGTACCACTTTGGTCCACTCTGGCGGCTCGTAAGAAATCCAAGGCAGAAACCCTTCAAAATGCGGCGCAGGAAGCCATTGTTACAGACGCTAGCGAGGCAGTCAATGTCGATGTCTCTGGTGTACGACCCTCGCTGGACACTGGCGATTCGTTCCATTCGAATCAACCTGGTAAGACATATTGGCCCCCTACGCCGGAGGGAGTGGCGCACATCGATGCAACTCGCGAAGGGATGGCGCAAGGTAGAGAAGACGTCGTGTCGTCGCACATCGTGAAGAGGGGCAGGAGAGGGAGTCTCCCGGAACGAGATCAGATCCCGGTTGGTCTACAATTTCGAAGGCCTCACTGACTATCCAGGTGCTTGTGTTCCCACTGCACAAAGACTACCTCGTCACTCAGTCCAAGCTCTTTCGTAGACTCTTCTCGTCAACTTCCTCGCAGCTCGACTTACCGATCCCGAACGATATACCGTCGATGAGGCGCAGTGTCTCAGATAGCGCCGCCGGACCTGTATCTTCCGACCCATGTACAGCGGCCGACGGCAAATTCAAGGGCGCAAAGATCCTCCCTACTCCACAGGGTGAACCCACCGCCATTTACATGCCCATGCCTGATCCTGGAGCTTTTGGTGTGATTGTCCATTGGCTCTACTGGGGTGATCAGAAAGCCGTCGAAATGGCGCTCAGTCAAGGGATCATTGACTGGCAAGGATTAGTGCACAACATCGATTATTTGGATCTCGACGACAACATCAAGCGGATTGTGGGCAAATGGTGGAGAAAGTGGGTCAAGACAGAGTCACAGAATGGATCTCGCCGTTCTGGTAACGAGTATGATGAGGACGAAGAAGCTGAGGAAGAGAAAGACGTGGTAAGAGAAGGGTCAAATATGGACGCGGACGATGACGACAAGAGCGACATAATGGTAATCAAGGGGGAGGTGGAGGATGATATGGTGGAAGGCTTTCAGAACTTGTAATCATCTGCCAGCCGGAAGTGACTGTAATCGGTTCCGTCTCTCCTGTATCTGTCCGCTTGTAAAGTGTGAATGGTCAACTCGCTGGAACTCCCCAAAACACGATCTTCTGGGTGTCACTTTCATGTATACATATACCTTCAGCAGCGCCTAATTTTGCATTCGCTGGTAGCGATAGCCCAGTCTCGGGGCCACCTTTATCCAACACGATTCCAGGATCAGAGCCATGAGATTGACCCATGCGTAGAACGCCTGAGGCGGGTCAGTGGCGCTCAAGTTCGATACATACCATCGGAATGACACCCATGAATATGTTTCCAATGAATCCACGACGAGCTATCGTTTCCCACAACTCTGTGCGAACGATCTCGGGTGCCTTTGGCGAGCGGAATGGGCCAGTCAAGCGATAAAAGGTGGGGAAAGCAGCTCCAAAGCTGAAATGGGTGAGCTTCACCACTCATTCAAAAGGACTCACCAATACACAAACGTTACGAACCATCCATGTTCCCTCCAGAGCTCTTTCAGACCCGGTGCTGATCCCATATCCCTGGCCAGTGTGGCCATGTAGGTCGAGTAGTCAACCCCGTACTGAATGCGCGACGCTGGCGAATGGAGCAGATGGTAGTTTTCAGGTGACCGCGGCACAGGTATACGACCCATTGACAGGAGAATGAAGAGCTGAGCCTGCATCTCTGCCATTGGCGGGATCGCGCCTGAAGGGTGAGCAAGCCTAGAGGCTGCTGAACTCACCAACACCTGGACGCAGAAAGCCAACGAACCCAATGCTTAGGTCCTTGTCCCAGCAGACCCCTCTGATATTACACTCGTCTGGCCCTCTTGGATACCCCTCACCAAGCCAGTCCCATTCCTGCTTGTAACCTGTACATAAGACGACGAGGTCCGGCTTGCATTCCTCCTTCCATCCGATCTCCTTCCGTCGATGTTTCGGTGGCTGAGGGAATATCGCGCGACCCTCCTCATCGAAGTGCGTCGGGAATGGTACCAAATGGATAGTCGGGTCTCTGACGCCTTTGGGGAGCGGTGGATCGATGTAGTGCGCAAAGAATTGGTGTAATCGAGACATTTTCCGATAAGGTCGATTGATGAATTGCATCGCTTTGGCCGATTTGTTCAAAAAGACGTATGCTCTACCCTGTCGCTCCGGTGGGAGTTCTCCAGCCCACTGATTACATCCCGCCTGTGTTCCAGTGAGAACCCAGAGGACCCGTTTGATGACAAAGTCGGAGACGAACCATCTGAGATGCGAAGCCGCGACCCAAGGATGAACATAGGCAGTCTCGAAAAGGTTGGTGATGAGACCGTCAATGGGCAGATTTCCATCAAATGTCGTCCCTAGGACCCTGAAGTTGTTCAAGACTTTTGGAAATGACAGGAATCCACCTCGAACTCCCATCCATGTCCGAGTCGCATTGGAAAGTACCGACTCATACCCTACGTCCATCCCTGTCTCGCCGGCTCCAAGAACGAGTACGCGCCGATCAGCAAGCTGAGAGCGCGACTTGTACTGTGATGAATGGATCCACTGAGGGGCACGAGGTGAATGACCAGTATTGAGACCTCGGATCGGAGGGATATTGGGCGTCACGTGGAGACCAGTCGTGATGATCACTCGTTTGGCGAGGACGGTGTATTCCTGACCTTCGTCGGACCCTCGAGACAATCGTCGAATCGTCGCTCGGTGAATGAACCCATCTGGATCGGAATCGTTCCGTTCCAGAGACAGGAGCTTGGTGGAGAGGTGTATGTACGGTAGGAGTTTGAAGTGAGAGGCATAATCTTTCAGGTAGTTGACAAAGTTCGGAAGAGATGGGTGATCGGGAGCATTCAGAGGATACCTGACACACGCCTTTAGCTTTATAAAAGGGGATGCTGCTCACCTGAAGTCTGAGAAACAAGTCAACTGCTTGCTACTGACCAGCTCTGCATTCTCGTACCCCCTCCATCGGAATGTGCCCCCGATCTCGCTCTCCATTTCGACAAGCATCGGCGGTGCGTCGCCAGTGAATGCTGGACCATGTTTGAGAGTGTACTTCAGAGACACCAGACCAGAGGGACCACCCCCGATGATCAATGTGGAGGCGTGTGTCGCCATGGTCGAGGCTGAGGTTGAAGGTCGATAGGGACAAGCTGATCGACACGTCCCGTAGAATGGTACGTAATTAGTGGCAGCCGAGTGTGGCGGGATGCTAGCCCTGCTTCTCCGACAGCCAGAGCACCAACAGAACATGCTCAGAAGTTTCTACGCATAGTCAGTCAAGCTCACTGGCTCGCATCGTAGCAGAGCGACATTCTTCAGCTCGGATAGTCTCTCAGCTACATCGACGTCTACGGCGCTACGGGGGTGGTTGTGTACTTTAGGCTCTCTGAAGCAATACGATTTTATGAGATATCTGACGGTTGAGGAGAGTCAAGGGATGGCCACGGTCAGACACTTGTACATATTCGCTGTCCGACAACCATTAGCGAGTCGGTCTGGAGTCAACTGGGACTGCACAGTATCACCAGACAGACTGCTGCACTTGAGGTTGCCACGTGTTCACCCCATTGCTCCCCGCGTGTACGTAATCCAATGTTCTCTAGTCCCGAGTGGCTGAAGTTACCCCGCCGAGCGTTTGAGTGTGGCTCATCCTTTGGGACTGGCCAGCGAGTTGGATCGATTGATATACCCTGCCAAGAGAGAACGGGAACACTTGAGCACCAGATGGGGATGGGCATGGGGATGGGGATGGGATGAGGGTCAGCTACCCGTGTATTGAGGATCAGACAGCACACTTGTTCTTTACTGAGACATTCCCAATTCTCATTCCCCTTTCTTCCAATCTCGTCTTGGCAATCTCTCTCCATTGACAAAGACTGTATCCAACAGGTTCTATATACCAGATCTACAACCTCATGACTTTCGTTTTATAACACTCACTCACTATACCATCTTTCGTACCCCTCGCATCCTCCAGGATGGCTGGTCCATCGACTGGACGGCTCATGCCCTTGCTCCTATTGGCATTCTTCTTGCCAAGCATTGTACATTCCGCTGCAGTCCACAATGTTCATCATCGAATGCTACCTTCTCGAAGTCATCACCGACGAGCCCCTTCTCCTTCCTACACCCCACCTAATATCACTTTCAGCCCCGTGAATGGATCAAGCTCGATCCAAGATTCCTCCTACCACCGTCTCACGGGGCTCTTACCCACCGTCCTCGAGAACGCGGTAGAGTCTTCCTTTCACTCTTGGGAGATCGGGACTTTGGTCGAAGCCATCCTCGAGACATACTACCCCTCGACCAGAGCGTTTGGATACGATCCCAACTACCTCAACGGCAAGGTCCCAACGGAAGCACTTCAAGTCGTTGTGGCTGCTCTGGGCTCATACCCATGGTCAGGATCACCAGAATCCACTGCGCTCAACACGTCCTCGGCAGATTTGTCAGACTATCTCAGTCCGTCCTCTGCACCAGTCACTCTCGCTCCTCAGGCTCTCGTCAACGGTGATGGATCCCTCGGCGATCCTTGCAGTCTTGGCGCAGGCGTATGGACGCTGGCCGAGTTCCTCACTCAGCAAGCAGCGTCTCAATCATTATCCACTGGGAATGAAGGTGCGGACGACTATGCTTGGGCAGTCGGCAACCAACTTCAATACTTGAGACAACAGCCAACGTCGTCAAACGGTGAGTCCTCAAACATACCGTTCTGACCACTCAGGGACCATGTCCCAGCGTGAAAATGGCTTTCAGTTATGGGCCGACATGGGATACATGATACCGCCGTTCTTGGCCTGTGAGTCCAGCGTCCTTGAGGGTTGCCTTCCTGACCATGTCGCGTAGCTCTTGGCCTCGCCACATCGAGTGATGACCTGTTGGCCTTGGGAATCAACCAATGGTTGTTGGAGTCGTCCGCCCTCCTCGATACCACCAAAGACATCTTTCGTCACATCAACGACTTTGATGCCAGACTGTGGGCCACCGGCAACGCTTGGATGCTATACGGAGCCTGTCGTGTGGTAAGTGGATTGACCATGGATGTTTGTTGACTTGTGGCTTCAGCTCGCCAGTATCGGCGTCGCTGGTGAGACGTCCAACTTGGCTGCTCAAGTTGGCTCGACTGTGCGGCAACTTTCCGCCATCTTCCCCGCCATTTTTGCTCAGCTGGACGTGAGGATGCGATCATGCGATCTCCTGCTGACCCACCACAGAGCGATAACCTTGTGCCCAACTACATGTACGAGTCTGAACCGTCGCTATGTGAGTCAAACAGCTCTTTCCAGCTCCCAACATCGCTGACCCGTTCCCCAGCTATTGGAGATGCGGCAGGCACAGCACTCATCGTTGCGGCATACTACCGCTTTGCGGCCCTAGCACCACGATACGCGACTCAGACTCTGACAGCTCAAGCGAATAAAGCCTTTGACGGCGTGATTGCTCAATTAGGCGACGACGGATGGTTGACCCATGTGAGTCGTATTGACCCCTGCTCAACTTTGCTCACGTCATTCGCAGGTCGTCGATCCAATGGGAACGAACGGTTGGGTGGTGAACCTCAATTCGGGTCAAAGATCTCCCGAGGGACAATCTTTCTTGGCCCATATGTGGGTTGCAAGGACAGCGCTGGGAGTGTAAATTTGGTTCGCATCGATTAGGAGTCTGTGATGTATACAGATTGATGATGAGGTGCAAAAGCGTGATTCACTATGGTGTAAGGTAGAATAGCAACCTGATCTCGAGCAGTGTAGTTAGTTACCTCCACACCCAACATTTTCGTCGACAACTCTGTCTGTTCTCTCAGCACTCCATTGAGTTCCAGTCGCAAATGAGGTAGCCTCAAGCATTGTATCTTGGAAAGAAGATTCTCTGAGACTCATCTCTGACGTCCCATGGATGCGCTCAGTTGGCAAGTCCGACGATACGACCGCATCACGTATGAGACGTTCTTAGTGAGTCAAATTGCGATAAACACCCCCTTGCTAATTGTCTTCAGCGTGACCACTTGATTCTGAACCGACCACTCATCCTAGACGCATCCCATACAGCCTCGTGGTCAGCAGCCAAGGCCTGGCGTATCGTCGCCCAACCTTGCGAGAGGCTGTGTCATGAGGCCGACTTGAATGCATTGAGTCGTTACGGGCATCACGTCGTCCCCGTTGCCGATACGTCCACTCGATGTTTCTCAGAGTTTGAACGGGATGAGAGGCCGCTCAGGAAGGTGCTGGATCTATGGAAGGCAGGAGAAGGCCAAAGTTTATACGTAAAGGACTGGCATCTGCTCGATTTGGTAGAGCGCGAGGGGAGGAAAGTCAACGAAGTCTACGAGGTCCCGGAAATCTTTCGAGGTGAGCTCCGCGCGTGGTATGGAGCTCATCATGCCTAGATGACTGGATGAACCCTGGCTCTCGGGTACGAGATGAAGAGTTTGCAGAGCACGACCGTCATGGCACTTCGTCAGACTTTCGATTCTGCTATGTGGGTCCAGCTGGGACATTCACACCACTACATCGAGACGTGTATGGCTCTTACTCTTGGTCTGCAAATGTGGTCGGACGCAAACTATGGTGGTTCTACCCTCCGCATGACTTGGACAGCGTCAAGAGGGATGGCGAGCTTGTCTTTGATGTGAGGGAGCTTGAGGACGAAGGGGGAGGCATCAAGATCGTGCAAGAGGTAAGATGCGGTTTCGACAGTACATGCTGACGGTCAGGAAGGAGAAATCATCTTTGTGCCTTCTGGATGGCATCACCAAGTCCTCAATCTAGACTTTGTGAGTCCTCCAGCTTTGTCCCCCTCAATATGCTTACCGTTCAGTGTATCTCGATCAACCATAACTTTGCATCTTCGCCCACAATCCCGTATCTCTTCGAAGCCCTATGTGTGTCTCAACAGCGGGTCGAAGAATCCATATCGGATGTCAAGGAGATGATACAGCAACGTCTTGGCAAGAATGGACCATGGGAAGAAGAATGGGTCGAGGAAGTACAGGGGCTGTTGGAACGTGATGCGGGGTGGGGGTGGTCAGGATTCTGGGACATGATCTGGGCCAATACGCAGGCGAGTTGACTGTGCCCAGGCCGCCAACTTGGTATTGATATCCTGTCAGAAACCACCTGCGCCTGCTTCCCTGTCTCCGCCTCGAGCACTGCAGGATCAGTACGTGCTCGAGGCGATACGAAAATACCGCAATCTCCCTTGCTCGCGATTCCTACCAGCCGTAAATGAGGTCGTAGACCATGTCGAGCGGGCGATCCGTTCTGCTCCCGCTGATTGACCCCGATAGCAGGCAGAGACTTTGATATTTGCATTCCTTGATATTTGTAGCGCATTTCCAACGATGTATAATGGGATTTGTTCCCTAATGACAACCTGACAACCTCTGCGCAGCCCATTTCTCACCAAGGGTCTACCGCCTCGACCACATCTTGTGCCGAGATCCAGCCCTCATCTCTTTACGCCTTGGCCTTCTTCGCCTCGCCCTCTGTCTCTCCGTTGCCTACCCCGTCCTCTTCTGCAGCCTCATCGGCTTTCCGTTTGTTCCCAGGAACAGACTTGCCAGCCTTGTCATCTGGCTCTTCGACATCGTCATCTTCGTCGTCTTCGTCCGGCTGCTCGTTCTGAGAGATCCAATCAGCAGATGACCCGAGGAGCCTGCGATCGTGTCGTAATGCGGTGCAAATTGAGAGGTCCCAACTTACCTCGTAGAAATCCTTCAGCACTTGCTGATTGGTTTTACCCTTGGGCGCAGCGCCTCCATCTTCCTCCTCGTCATCATCATCATCATCATTGTACTCTCCCTCATCTTCATCTTCGTCTCCGTATTCTTCACTGTCTTCTTCATCAAATTCCTCTTCGTCCCCCTCTTCATCATCATACTCCTCGTCATCCTCTTCTTCATCTTCGTACTCGTCTTCGGCTAGGGATGACAGATATCAGCCGTGGTTCGAGTGAGAGATTGACACCGAGACGACGCGACACTCGACGGAATCCGGCCGTAGTCACTCACTCTTCTTTGGTGGAGCCATGGTGTCCGCACTCAATGCACTTTCAAGAGACAGCTACGCAGAAATGCAGAATCCAAAAGGGCAGGGCTGGCTGGCTGGCAGGTCACACGTTCACAGGTCGGTAATGGCGCGGGTGAGATCCCGGAATCCCACGTGGCCGGGCCGGAAGTGGCAGGAATTGGGCAGCGTGGCTGTAGGGAGGAGTTTCCTTTGGTACAGGCCTGCTGAACGCTGAGCTTGGGCTAGTTGTAGGTGTCTGTCGTGAATGTCCTTTCGTATAGCTGAATCAGAGGAAGGTTTCCGAAGACTTGATGTTTTCACAGCCGAGATGTGTCAGCTTCGACGGTGCTAGAGCGACCAGATCATGGAATAGTCAGCTGCCGCGCATAGATCCCAACGACAGAGCATGACTTCTGCTTACATACGCGTCGACCGATATATTGACTGTATTTTGGTACGGATGAGCCTTCAAGCGGAGAGTAGTGCTTCCGTCATCTGAAGGGGTTATTCAAACGGTCAACATCACCGGACGAAGGCGATCAGCCCAAGTTTAGACACCCCTAGCGAGCTATGGAGTCATGCATATCTGCGGTCTACCTACGACATCTGGCTGATGCTGATCTCGGACCACATCACAAGCTCACGAATACAGCTGCCTTGTCCAGTCTCGGATCCATCATCGGCCAGTAGACTGCACCCAGTCAATTCAATCGAGAGCGGGTGCCACGTGACATTGCTTTTGTGACATGCATCTCCGATTTATCGGTGGGGCATCACGGACTTGGATTCCGTCTGCAACGGCCACTTCATTTGCACATCATGCCTAGACGAACGACGCAGCCGGCATCTCCAGCACCCGAAGACATCAAGATACTGGCTCCAGAGGATCCAGATGCGTGGCCTTTGCTCGTTGCTTTTGACTTGGAGTAAGTGCAATCAAGTTTCCCCGAATCTTTTTTACTGGAGTGATTGACGACGACTTTAGCTACACCCTATGGGATTTATGGATCGATGTGAGTGGTTGGATCTGATATGTAGGCTCATGTTCAGACGCATGTGACACCTCCATTAAAACGAACAGGAGACGATATCAACCTCTTGCATGACCGGTGAGGCGCCTGATTCCTCTCATCTGTCCATTTGGACTGAACAATCTTTCTAGCCGAGGTCAAGACTTTTCATTTTATCGTGATGTCCCGTCTATCCTTGCTGAGCTCAAGAGAAGAAGTATACATGTAGCGGCATGCTCAAGGACCAGTGCGGTAGAGCTGTGAGTGCCTCGCCTCGCCTAACGACGTCAGCTGAGGACGGCTTCCAGAGCTCGAGAGGCTCTGGGAATGCTCCTTGTTCCCGGACATGAGGGTGGTGGCAAGCCGGTCAAAGCGGTCACATACTTCAATACGGTGAGCTGGTCGAAAATCTCCCAGACTCCAATTGACGGTGTCATCCAGATGGAGATTTATCCAGGTGAATATCTCGTCTCACTTGATGAGACTGATGCAGCAGGCTCCAAATTGCGACACTTCCGCGAGGTCCACCGCAAAACCGGGATCCCATACGATCAAATGGTTCGTGTTTCTTCCGCATTGATTATCTCACAACCTTAAGCTCTTCTTCGACGACGAACATCGGAACTTTGAGGTCGAATCGTTGGGCGTGACGATGCAGCTTGTACCTTCTTCAGGAACGGATCGCAAGCTGTTCGAGGCGGGTCTAGCTCTTTGGCGCAAGAGGAGAGGAATAAGGATCAAGACGAGCGACGAGGTTTGACATTTACATTGGCTGTCCAATCACATCGCACATATAGTCATCAAGTCGTCATTGCATCTCAATCTGCATCATCATCATAACTCGTCCACTCAATGTGTCTTGCGACTCTGACAGAAGTCCTCGGCGAGATCCAGAGCTCTACGGGCCGCAGCCAGACTCTGCTGGTACCTGAGATCAAGTGATCAGCTTTAGCGCGACTTCGTGCAGGACATGAACCCACCCAGCCGGTCCAAACCCATAGGCATGTACCACGCCCACTTTCTTGCCCACAAGACGCTCATGGACCCTTGGACCGAGCCAGCCTTGCCCGAGGACTCTGTGCTCCAGCTCGATTCTCGGTCCACCTTCGCGACAAGGTCTCAATCCGACATTGTGCGAAATGACTTCAATATCCTCCCATGTTGGATTCTTGTTGGCAGATGAGCTCTTCACCAACTTTGGTTCAATCTTGATTGCTGATTGAAGGATTCTTCTGGCTTGAGCAGGATCAGGAAACGGTGTATAGTCATTGGGTAGGAACGTTCCGCCAAGGATGACTTCGCCAGAGGTACCCGGTCGGGGGACGATGTAGATTGTAGGGTATGGTTCTTTGATCTTTATCAGTGTACCCTATTTAGCCTGGTACACACCGTCATCTGGACCAGGGATAAAGCTCGACCCAATGTCCATATAACACCGCTCAACGCCCGGCGCTTTGACTAGGACAGTCTGGCCTTTGGCGGGGTACACCTGAGGATCCTCAACGCCCAAGAGAGATCTACTGCCGAGACCCATAGCGTTAATCACCAGATCGACGTGGTCCATGTGTGCAAAGGTTGACTCCAGGGCCGCCAAGTCGTACGCTTCATCCAGAGAAGAAAGACGCTTCTTGAAGATGGGTATGTGCTTGGATTTGACTTGTTCGCCCAAGTAGCGTATATACCGGGGTGCATCCCAGATGTATGTTGACCATTCTAGGCCATGAGCAAAGTCACCGGGTAGAGGCTTCGAGGACGAAGCTGCAACTTCTCGCATCTGCGAGAGATCAACACTAGAGCTCATTTTGGCCTACTCACCCCGCCGACAAGCTCATTATACCACATCTCATTGGCGTTCAACGGATCTTTTGACAAATCAACGACATCGATACGTTTGAGCAGGTCCGGGATCTCCTTGGACAGCTCCCCAAGCTTGAGGAACGTCTCCTTGTCGCATTGAGATCCAAGCGTCGTGCCTTCGTGATCGAATGGATGCCAAAGACAACCCTGTAATCTCAGCTACATGTTTCGTCGGAATGAGACTCACGGCCCAAGGTGAAGCGAAGCCTGTCGAGTCAGAGTCTTGAGGAAGGTCTCTTGCAATAATGACTGGTTTGAAACCTCGTTTGTGACTCTCCAGAGCTATCGTCAGGCCCACAACCCCTGCTCCGAGAATGACGATGTGGGACATGGTGAGTATCGTTGAGGAATGTTCATCATTAGGCATCTCGACTCGCTACACGATTATTATCATCTTCGGTACTCCCGAAATGTCCGATAAGCGGCCTCCCATTTCATCAGCTATAGACATGCACCATGACCGAGAAACGCAGCTACAATACATATATCACCATGCAATCACGCCTCAACCTCGACTTCTCGCTTCTTGAGTACCAGCTTCTCACCCTTTACTCTCTGCCAGACATCAAAGACATCCTCAACGACCGTTTCAAAGTGAGACGTCGCGTCGTAGGATTTGGTAATGTAAATGTTGTCGGCGGTACCTGGCGAAGTTGGAGAGTAGAGTGGAGTGATAGAGACGAATCTGTTTGGTCAGACCATGTCGTCCAAGATGACTCACTTGTCAAGGACATTGCCGAGGAGCTGGAGGGCAGGCAAGATCTCTCTCTCCGGAACGCTGGTCTCGACGATCGTGGAGACGATGGCGATCCAAACATTCTGAGCGGCAACATTGTGCGCAGAAGAAACGGCGGCGATGTAGATGTCTGTGACGTTACTGACAGCTCGAGCTCCAACTCACCATTCTTCCTTCCCACTTGGTTTTGGGGAATGATGATCTGACACGAGTCCGCCTCGTCGGTACCGGGGATGGGATGCTTCAACAAGCAGATGGCCCTGATCACCTTGCCAGTCTCGATGACCCTGACTTTGCCTCCGGATTCAAGATCCTGTCCCGCGCCAAAGTACGAAGGATCTCCAATGACTTTCTTCGCTTTGACCGTCTCGCCCGCGGAAGTGACTCCGGTGAACTTGCCATCTTCGCCGACGTTGACGGACTCGATCTTCTTGTCAAGCATGTAGGTTCCTCCATAGATGGCGGAGAGTCGAGCGAATGCCTGGGGAAGTTCTCCAAGACCGTAGAGCGGGTAGATGTAGGGTGATTTACCGTATCGAGCCATAGATTGGGTGTAAAGGATGATCCGGTCGACGGTGGCTCGAGCAGGCTTGGTGATATAGCTGACGAAATCAGCATTGACAAGATACTTTTACTCACTCGTCGTCGAGCCACAATGCCATTGCGTGTCCGATGAAGTCTTGAGTTCCCGCTTCGAGCCCGAATTTGGTATACACGTCCTTCATGGAGCACTTGTTGATGTCGAGGCCTGCAAAAGATGAGCGTCTGGGCACCAGATCCAGATATATGACCCACCCTGATGAGTCGCGGGATCCTCCTCTTTCCAGTTCTGTAAGTATTGGAAAAAGTTCTTGGCTCTCCTCTTCTCGAAAAGACCCATCAACGGACTTCTGACCGCCTCCATCTCCGTACTTGGGACTTTTGAGATTTTGCCATCTCTGTAGACGTAGGAACCAGCGATGACTTTGAACTCGAGATATCGCGTCACATCGGTGTGAACGAGCATTCGAGTGAGTTCACCTGAGAGGATCATTAGCGCGATGTGGAAATGAGCGAACCGGCTCTCACGCACCAGAGGACAAGATGAATTTTGGGATCAAGTCTACTGCATAGTCACGATCACGTCCGAGGTTCAAATTCTCTGAGGGTCCAGTCTGACGGAACTTTTGGTAGAGCTATGGTGGCAAGGCATGGATCGAGATCAAAGGTTTCAACGTGCGAGCACAGACGCGGTAGGGGAGGCGTCCAAGGTCAGCGCGGTCAGATTTGAGCATCACTCGACGCACCTGAGTCAGATTCAAACTCGCGCTGTCACCTCCATAGTAATCATTCCTGTCCATGTGCAACACCTTTTGCCCATCGACGGACAAGAGTCCAGACAGGATACACTCGGTGAGCCCGGTGCCCTATGAGACGGGTCAGAGGGGATGGATGAGCATGCTGGGAACTGACCAGAACGATGACCTGTGTTATTGTGGTGTTGTCGTCAGTTCATGAACATCTACTGAAGGCTCAATGTATCCCCAAAACAGAGGTCGATGCGGAAGGCGGATGGACCGGATGTCCAAGGCGTAACACTCACATCATATTCCTCATCCATGGTGCTGGCAGCCTAGCGCAGAATGAAGAAGAGTAACTGATTCGGGGAGAGGGAGTGTGTATATGGAGCCAGCCCGAGTATAAGCTATGGTTACTCGCTATCGCAGTTGATCTCGTCGTTGTCGTTGTTGTAGACCTGATGAGCGTCATTGGTTACCCGGCAGCCACCACGCGTCTCTCGCCGCCCCACGTGTCATTTTCATAACGCCGAGAGACGTCGAGAGTGTGGCACTTGGCAGTCACAGTCAGTCACACCTCGGGATAGGTCTCATACCTTCTCTTCAGTACACAATCGCATACAGCATACTTTGAACCTGGAAGACTGAGTCCTGGGTTAGTCTCGAAGACGGGGAGGGATATATCTTCCTCCGAGTCGGCTCCGTGCTGGCCCCTCAACACAATCGTACAGCTTAGCTCGCTCTGCAATTCAACCGACCTCAGATCGTCTTGCTAGTCAGTCGTGCTAGCTGTGGTTGAGTAGCGCGGAGACATCATGGAGAGTGTGCTCGAGAGAGATCTGGATCCGGAGGAGATGGAAGAAGAGGAAGATGTGTTCGGTCAGTTCAGATCAATCAGCTGGAAACTACCATGTAGCTGATCCGAGGGACATAGATTCATCCTCTGAGGGATCGTCGACTCAAACCTCGACGCTGACCTGGATTGTGAGTCTGGAGTCTGAGCCCTGGCTGTAAGAGAGCGAGGGAAGAGAGGCTGTCTTCCAGAGCTTCAGGAATACTTTGTCGGTTGGGAACCACTGACGCGCTGCAGAATTGGTTCACCTCGCTTCCCGGGCATGACTACTTTTGCGATGTCCACGAAGATTTCATAGAAGACGACTTCAACTTGACTGGTGAGTCATTTTTCATCAGGAACCAGACTGAAATCATTCAGGCCTCCAAGCGATGGTTCCATTCTGGAAGGAGGCGCTGGAGATGGTTCTAGATGTCGAGCCAGGTGAGTTGCCAGAATATGCTGGCTGGGATTACTTGGGCTCACGCGTCCATAGAGGAGGACTCGAACAAGATACCCGACATGTCGATTGTAGAATCTTCTGCCGAGCTGCTGTACGGATTGGTCCACCAACGTTTCATACTGACCAAAGCGGGTCTGACATCCATGGTCGGTCGCATCCGAACCTGCTCACAAAGGATCTGCTGATGCCTAGACAGGTCGAGAAGTATGAACTGGGTCACTTTGGCAGCTGTCCTCGGGTCTACTGTCACTGGACACATGTCCTGCCTGTCGGACGAGCCGATATGCCAGGAATAGATACGGTCAAGCTGTTCTGCCCAAATTGCGGAGATATCTATTCGCCTCCAAGTAGCAAGTACGCCAATGTGGATGGTGAGTGGGAACCAGTCGAAGTCGGACCTGATCTGATGCCGGCTTTTTAGGCGCCTTTTTTGGCACGACCTTTGGACCACTCTTCTTCCAGACATATCCTGAACTTCTTCCTGCTCCTTTCGCCCCACCTGCCAATACTTCTTCCCGTCCACAATCTTCAGCCTCTTCACCTGAAGATCAACCGCCGGAAGGTACTTTGACAAATCCGAACCCTCATGGAGGTACCAAAGTCCCCCTTGTCCAGATCTACCAACCGAGGATATATGGATTCAAAGTGTCGGAGAGAGCACGATCTGGACCACGGATGCAGTGGTTAAGGGATCGACCAAGCAGCGCTTCGGAGTTGGATCAAGTGGACAACGATGGACGTTGGAAGTCTGGATCGATCCCATCTAGTATAAGGGAGCAGCAGGGAGATTTCATGGATCAGGATAGACCGTCGGAAAAAAGAACAGGAGTATTGTTTGACGACGAGGATGATGAAGACGATGACGAAGAAGAGGAGGAGGAAGAAGAGGAGGAGGGAGCAGGCGGAAAGACCCAGGACAGAAGCCATGGCCTAGGACTGGCAACTGGACATTCGTCATCAAATCAAAGGGTCCGAGATCCGATACCCAACAAAAATCCGCCTCAGCGGTAGTGGTGTGTTGCTAGCCACGGAGGCAGCAAATCGTTTCCTTGTTCTAGACCCATGATTCTGTAGAAGTATTGTACATCAGTCTCCAGCTGAGGGCAGACGACCCGAGATCACAATGGCATTGATAGGAGCCAAAATGGTCAGCAAATCAGAGCATAGAGATGTTCAGGTATACATGGGATCTCCCTAATGCGTCTTTGCCTTCGCCCCTGAGCGCTGTAAGCCTTGAATCTCACGGGTGGAAGGATTGAACTCACCGTCTACATACATATTCCTCGTTGCTGATGGCAGGGTGGCCACCATCCCATCCAACTCTCTCTTCATGATCACTTGACAACCGAGACGAGATCTGTCGATCATTAGTTCAGCATAACGATGTCTGTTACGACAGGATTGACTAACGTGTCTTCGAGGCCAAACGCCAAATCCAACATGTCGTTCTCCTCATCATCCGGCTCTGGTAACATGTCATAGTGCTCAGGTGATAAGATCACATGGCAAGTTGAGCACGCTACTGAGCGTTCACAGGCACCTTTGAAGGACATCAGCGAACGAGCACACATCGGGAGTCTGTGCTGCCCACCCTCGAGATCCACGTCGTGTTCATGAGCCAATGATAAGACGTCGTCCCCTTCATTCGCTTCGATCGTTTTGATATCGTTCCCTTTCGAGTCGCGGAATGTCAACTTGATGCTGAAGCGTAGTAAAAAGATCAGCCACGACCCGCGAGGTGATTGAAAACGCCAATCGTCGTCGGCGATGGTACTCACCCCGTTCCGGGTTCGGGCCGTGTGAGGTGTTCATGTCGAGAACCTGGATATCTTTAATATGAGAAGCTCGAAAAGCTACGACTCACTGCTGGTAGAATGGATTGCTCGGACCATAGATACACTAAGTTCAGACTTTGACCCCTGCGAGGCTGATGTCGCTCCCTGTACGACAAGTAGTGATCCAGAGGCTTTTGGCAAAACTCGAATCGAATACGATCGCCGCGGGAATCCATTCTTCACCGCTTGCTGGGCATTTTGAAGAGCGCCACGACGGGCACGAGGAAGCAACGAGGGTCCTCCTAGCATGTCTTTGCGTCTTGACAGTCTATTATGCGCGCTCGTCAAGCTGATACTCGTCCCAAGTTAGCACTGATCAGTGAATAATCCACGAGCGCTAGAATTCTTCGAGCAACTGCACGTGGCAAGACAGATTCACGTGACTTGAGCAAGATGCTCTCCGTGACATCGGAGTTGTCCACCAGGTATTATTGTTCTCTCCTCCGTGATAGCCCTTGGCTCTACGGCTTCAGTCTAGAGAAGCGTCAGTGCAAGATCTTCTCTTCTCTTTCGTCCGATAAACAAGGAAGGGCATCAGCTCGCTTATGGAGTCTCTTGAGGTCCCTCTTCCCCTCGTACATGGCGTCATTCATTGGAACGAATACGCCTTAGACTTTTGCCGATGAAGGATGGTGGAACAGCCCAGACATCGGGTTTCGTCATCTTGCTTGGCTCGACTGCCTTGAGAAGTTCATACTTTGAAAGAAGCTGGAAGAACAGGAATCTTGTCAGGTCACAGAGAAGTGATGCCAGTGCTCTCGTCCCGTAGGATTCTCCAACAGTGACAAAGGTGCGGATCTCTCGACATGGTTAGACTGCGCACTTCGAACACGGAGCAAATTAACTTTATCCTCGTTATCCTCGTTATTATCCTTCCTTATGCTCGCGTTGAAAGGTGAGGTCCATCGTCAGGAGAAATTTTGATTAATGGCGTAACAAATTCTGCAGTAGAAAGGAAAGGCTTTCCCGGTTCCCAAGAGGTCTTAGATATATAATAAATGACCACTGGAGTGGCAAGACTCTCTCTCCCTGCGAGTCCCCACTTCCTTCAAGGAGAGACTACTCAGCTTTTCTTGTATCTCGGTCTTCAACTTTCTTCAACGGCACAGCGACTATCACAATTCGACGATGAGTGTCGCAGCAGAAGATACCGGTATAGACCAAGCTGAAACAGATGTTTCTGAGAAGAAGGTACGGCTGAATGAGCTTCGGATACGCTCTGTCCGACAATTGATTGAGACCTTCAAAAGCAACACCGATACGCTTGAAGAATACGTTAAAAGGAACCCCGATGTCTACATCCCAAGTTTTTGGTCGTTGGTTGGTGGAGATTTCGAGGAATGCTGTCAGACCCAAGAGAATGACCACAATTGCACTGAGACCTTGGCAGACGGGGAAGAAACACTCAATTTGACGCAAAGGGAAGTCCAAGGTTCAAAGACAGACCTCACGCCAGGCGGGATCTCCATCACTTTGACGAACACCGACCCTATTTTTGAGAGCCTTGATGATTTAGACGACCTCGCAAGCTTCAATGATAAACGCTCCGAGACGCCAGCAAGATGGGTCTGCACTGCGGCTGCTCGAGATCGAGTCGTCGAGGAGGAGCGCCAAGAGTCCATCGCTCGCGAGAAGATGAGTGATAGGTTTTCGAAATTGAGCGAGCTCGCTAGCAGTGGTACCTTCCCCTTTGCAGTCGAGGCCAAGGTTGCCGTCGAAGAACGGTCTCGGAGATCGGCTCCTCTCAAGGCAGCTTCGGTCTTTATGGTCACCAACCCATCGGACTGCCAGGAGCTCGAGATAGCCAATGCTGCCCTACGTTCTGGGAGAGCGAATCAAACGGCCGAGTCGCTCAGAACCTGGCTAAAGGCAAACGAGAATGAGTTTGGACCTCAACTGACGATCTTGTGAGTGACTTGGGACTGTCTCTCGACAGAAAGAATGCTAACACATCCAGGTTGAGGGAAAGCCCTGAATCCAGGGAAAGCCTCGGATCCGGCTGGCAATCCGTCAACCTTCAGTGAGTCATTTGAAACCCCCCCTCGCTGCAAACAATAGTCTTGGAGGCTGATATCTCGGTCAGGGCTGAGGGAAAGATGGACCGGACCATGGTGCTCATCGGCTACGTCATTCCCGACAGTGAGATGCAGAGCGGCGAAGAGACGCCAAAGATAAGTCATATGACTGATTCTCAGTTGGCTTGATAATGGGCAGCTATTCACAGCTTTCGTGCTGAACCTGCTCCCGGTTGATGACACGACAGCAACGACACTGGAATCCTTACCCATAGCTAATCTGTCTCAGTACCCTATGCATTCCGCACAGGCAGCCTTACACCTTTCCATCCTGAACCTGAATTTCATCACTGCTTGAGACATCTAGTATCCAGGTGCATGCCATTCCAAAGGGCTTTGAGGTAACGCACAGGGCGATGTGGTGCTCTCTAGACATGCACCCCCGTTGGCTCTACTGCTCAGACAAAAACCAGGCATGAGTCCCTTTCGCGTGTGGCGGCTGGCAACCTGTACTTTTTCCAGCGAAAGTGAGTTAGAGAAGATACAAAGGCGAGAGTCGAGTCTAACGAATTTGGTGGACAGTGATGATGCTATCGATGGAAGCCAAAACCATTGAGGACAATACTGTATATGATCGTCGCCCAAATTACGGTACATGTGGCGTGGAAGTTGATACGGGAGAAACGGAGGGAAGCAGGACCTCACGTTACCATTCTGCGAGTATAGCCTGACGCAGCTGCTGACTAGCCCCGCAGCAGCAAAGATATGCCAGTCCATCCTTGCTGTCGGGATCCAGCTTTGTGTTCCGTGAGTCACGTTACATAGAGGCTTTCATGGCTTGGTATTAACAGTGAGGCTGATGAACTGTTCGGGACCAGGGAGCAGTAGAGACGGGGGTAGTTACCACTCCCTTGTCATACCTGAGCCTGAAGCAGACAGCCGAGAGAAGAGAGAGGATTCAATTGTGGATGGGTCTGAGCCACTATGATCATGACGGGAAGATTATTGTGACAGACCGATACATGCACGAGTTGCAATTGACAATTAAGGAGGGAAGCGCCACTGTCCTCGACAGGTTTATCTCCGGGGAGGCGGAGATTTCTACTGATGCCACTCTGACTCGCCTCCTTAGTCTTCGTTTAACCATCATCATGGACTTTCAAGACTGGAAGCGCCATGTCAGCTCGACGCTGTCTCTGGCTTCGGATCTATTCACAGTTGTCAGGCTGGAAGGAGGGTATCTCAACTCGACGATTCGTTTGGAATTGCTTAGAGATCTACCCGATTTCCCTGAATCGATACCTCATCTCGCGGGGCAGCGATCCTTGGTATTGAAGCATTATCCGGGCTACATGTACGCTTGGCCTGAAGCTCAACTGTCAACTGCTAGAGCAGCTATAGAGGCCAAAGCTCTGAGGATGATGAGGGACAATGCCCTCATCCGAGAGGCATTCCAAGAGCAAGGCGTATCGGTCCCAAGCTTGGTCCACTTCGACGAATCAAACAACGTGCTATGGATGGAGGACTTTGGGCCTAGATCCACGATGGAGAGTGGATTGGAGAAACTCTCGACAGATGTTAGTTCACGGCTCGGGAAAGCATTGGCTGGATTGCACATTGCCACAATGCCCATGAACAAGCATTTGACAGTCGAACCCATGGCTGGGCCGCTGGCTCTTGCAGAGCACGAGGCTCGGATGAGGAATATTCTGAAAGACGAATTGGATGTTGACGGACTCATGGAAAGCCTATGTATGAAACACTCCCCTATCATTGGTTTGCCACATGGAGATGTAAGGGACGATGAGCTCTGCCTTGGGCTCGGGGACATTTGGCCATCCTCGGTCCTTCTCCTGGATGACTCGAGCTCCCCTCGATTAGGTATCATAGATTGGGAGTTTTTCGGTCCCCTACATCCCGCTTCCGAGCTTGCTACGGTCACAGCCAGGCTATATATATCCTACTTGGGGCAGGGGCTTCAGGAGGCCTTCGAGGACATAGCCAGAGCATTCGTGTGTGGCTACATGGAGATATTCCAGGAATCTAAACATGGGTCTTTGGTCTCGCGTGTATCCTGGTCCGACAGAGCTGCTGCGGCATGGGCAAGAGTCCTGCTGAATGCGTTGGTGAGGGCCCAAGGAGAGGATGGAAATAGGTGGAATGCGCAGATGATGGGAAACATTCGATCACAAGCTGTGCGACTGCTCAGGAGACAGGTCGACGATCCTATTCTCCGATTGGTTTGCGCCATCGGATAACGGGCGCCTTTACTTCACAAGGCTGGACCTAGAACATTGATGGGACCAGACACACATCATTCAAGCGGGGTGGCAACACATCGCCTCCGAAGTAACAGTGGCACCGAGGCCAGCCCCGCAGTTCTGTCCCCTTGAACGATACAGATCCATCCATACCCCCAAATAGGGAGGTGGTGGCGCCAAGTCTGGCTTGAGTCGGGTAAATTCCATCTCAGTTTAACGGTCTTGCCAATTGAACGAGATTCCAGACTCGTTCCTGTAGTCGATGTAGTCCCTGGAGAGTTCTGCATGTACCCGAATACTAGAAGATGACAGCAGAATGAGAATGAGAGGCAGGAAACCAACCATGTAGAAGGGTTGCAGGGGGGTTCACGCCATGAGCACCCCGGATTTGTCTACTTTGTGCGAGAGAGAAGGCGTTTTCCATTGCGGGAATGGCTTGAAGTTTGCTTGGACTGTCGCGGTTGATTTTGATCTTTTTTCGGGGGCTGAATTTGGGGGGCCTCCGGGGGGTTAACTCATTGTTGTTTTTGAGGCCTTGAACATAGATGTATGAGGGTCCATAGTGAGGGTACGATGGATGCATAGAAGAGGCAGAGAGGTAGTAGTCAAGCAGCTGGGGTCTGCAGTGTATGCATATGACCACCTCGAGAGATCGAATGGCGTAAGAAAGCGCAAAGGGGTGTGTGGGTGTGCCATCCATCGAGTTCATGTCAATCCGTCAAGCCACGTCTGGCAAAAAAGGGGCCAAAGAATGATCCGCATTCTGCTCATTTTGTTGGCTCGAAATGAGTGACGCTGAGGCGAGGAAGCAGAGGCACAGCGTGGAGAGAGGAGAGAGATCTTCGTCGGGAGAGAGAGAGAGAATGGGCGCTATTGGTATCTGTTGAACCCCCTTTATTATTATTAGTCTCCTCATCTCTCTCCACCCCATCCCATCCCATCCTCTCCTCTCCGCATCCTGCATCCTCTACTTAGTTTCAGCTTGACGCTAAACTGAATCAACCTCCCTTCCGTGCAAACATCCAATCCCTTTCCCAACTCTCATTCATCCATTCATCTTACTCATTCCTTCCTTCGACCGTCGATCCTCAAGCCAGCCTCTCCGCTGCAGCAGGTCCTTATCTCGACACACCGCCTGGCGACAGACTCGTCCTCCTTTGACAGACTCGTCCTCCTTTGAGACGACGACTATATCAAAAACCGATCCGCCTCGCTTTTTGACTCTACTTGGACCACGCAACCATGCAGTTCACCACTCTGATCATCTCCTTCGTCCTCTCCTTCACCCTGTCTGTCTTTGCAGCTCCGGCCATGTCTGACAACAATGCCGTGTACGCTCGAGACGATTCACAACCTGTCACCATTTCCTCTGGTCGAGATGGACTCTGTCTGTCCCTCCCTCAAGGAGATTCGACGCCAGCAGGCAACGGTGTACCCGTCATCTCGATGGATTGTGATCAAGCTTCTGGATGGTACATTGATCGAGGATCAGGTTCAGTCTTGCTCGCTGCGGACCCTACATATGCTTTGGACGCTGGTCAATGGCCTGGAAACTTTGGAAGTCTGAAAATCTGGACAAGTTACCCTGGACTCTATCAACAGACGTGGGTTCTTCGCTGAATACCTACTTGAGGTAGATGCTAACCACTCTCTCTCTCTCCCTCAGCTGGTACTACACCAACGATGACCGGATCGCCATCACGGGAGGAAACCAATGTCTCGATGAAGGTGATAATGGTATCCAGACATATCAGTGTACCAACAACGATGGCAACCAGGGTAGGTGTCCTCTTTCTCTCTCTCTCTCTCCCTCTATCTCCCTTGATTGCCTTGCTCACTTCAACATAGTGTGGTACACTACCGAGATTGAATACTGCGACTAGTGGGGCTGCGAACGAACGAGAAGAACGAAGGATTCCCCTGGAGCACGTTTCTGGCAAACGCTCTCTATCTAGCAAGATTGCTTGCTTTTCTACCCCTTCGACCAACAGAGAGCCTCTTTAGAGGATCTCCTTCGTTGTCTTCGCACATCATTGTTTTATATTACTCTTATACGCTTTTCATGGCATAATATTTCGCAACTCAACAACAATGACAAGAGAGTCGTAACATGTCTAACGACGACGATGAAAGCTACAAAGAAAAAGCCTAACTACTGACCGTTCATGTTTGTCTTACAGGATACCCCCCTCAGCTTTCACGCAACTACTCCCGATCGTCTCTCTTTGTCCCTCTTGACTCTTTCTCGGGCTGCTTTGGCAACTTCGAACGATCGTTTCTTGGGATAAGGAGCCGTGAAGATGTCTTCCATCTCCTCCAAGGTCAATTGCTTCGTTTCGACCGCGAACAGCCAGACGGTGATGACTCCGACAATATCCCAAGCGAAAAAGATGAGATACACTAAGAAGGGACTGATCAGAAAGCCTGACTTTTTGTTGTTGTTTTCGCAGAGCCGAACTCACTGATGTATCCAACTTTACCGAGTGCAGGGGGAAGACCAAAAGTGTTGATGGTCGAGACGGCATTGGTGACCCATCCTTGGAGGGATAGACCCTTGGCTCGGTTCTCGAATGTCAAGACTTCTGCGGGGTAGAGTCCTCTGCAGGATGTGTCAGGATGCGAAAGCATGGGTAGGTATGATTGTATGGACTCACTGAAGGGGTGTCATCCCAAAGGAGAAGACCACCATGAAGAGGAAGCTTGAACGCGCAACCGTCAGTGACACGTCACAGGATCGCTCTCGGTAAACGACTCACATGAAGCTGATTCCAGCGTTAGCTCGGGTTTGTGACTGTTCACCGGCTGGACTGAGCAAGCATCCAACGATTAACATGCCACATGCCGCAGCGGAGATTCCGAAGAGGAGTAACTTTCGTCGACCGACATGATCGACAATGGCTGAACCAGACAGAGCGCCAATCATGGAAGTGCAACTGTTGACAAGATTGAGCTGACGCTGTCGATCACGGTCGACGATTCCAGCGAGTTCAAGAAGGACGGGGAGGAAGTCTGACGGATCTCTCGGTCAGCCAATTGAGGGAGGACGTTGTCGGCCTTCTCAAGATCTCTGGGTACTCACACGTAATCATTCCATTTCCAGCCAACTGTCCCCAGCAGGAAATGATCACACAGAGTCCGAAGCGGTACCTGTTAGAACGAGAGTTGAAAAGCATTCTAAAGTCCCAGAATCGTCGGTCGGCACCGTTCACCGAGATGTTTTCCTCAATCTCCTGGACTTGAAGTCGGATCAGGGGTGAAGTGGGGTCGTTATCTCTCGAATGATACTTTGCCAAGATGGCGACGGCTTCTTCTTTCCTTCCGCGAGCGTAGAGCCATCGAGGAGATTCAGCGATAAAGAGGACAAAGAGGGCATTGATGATGGCTGGTCCGCATTGAAGATACAAGCAAGTTCGCCAGGAGTATTCACTTGCGACTCGACCGAGAGGGATAGCAACGCCGGTAGCAATGATTTGACCGACCTGGTGAGAGAAGCGAAACGCAGTGAGCGCAGTCACAATATATATTACGCCAATCCGCTCAGACACACATAGTAGAACGAGTTCAAGACTCCCATGTATCTTCCTCTTGATCTTGGCGAAGTGATCTCAGACATGTATGTCTTGGCGGATAATGCTGCTGTTGAACATCCGAACCCTGTCAACCATCTTCCACCGAGCAGCATGGACATGCTGCGAGAATTGGCGGAGATACAGGCGCCGATGCTGTGGGGGTGACAAGCGTCAGACATGGGATGATGACAAGCACTGTGCTGGAAGTAGGCTCACATCAATAAGGTGTTGCCCCAAAGCATAGAGTATCGTCGTCCGATGAGATCAGGCAGAATGATGTTGGGGAAGAAGGCGGTGACTCCTCCGACGGTGTAGATTCCCTATAGGAGGAGGTGTCAGACGGACGTCCACCCCCGTTAAGGTGCCACAGGTGCCACTTACGAAAACGATACCAGTAGATGGACTCCCAGAGGTCAACCCGAAGAAGTTCTGAAACTGCTTCATGGAGTTGACGGACGACATGATGGTGGTGTCTGATAAGGGCATTTCAGCTTTCGACGATCTTAGGGATTAGCTTTACTTACCAAAGCCCGTATCGCACGAGTTGACAATGACGATAAAACAAGTGAGGAGGAATTGAATATGAGCCCAAGAGCTGATGGGTGGACCAGGATCCGCTTCATTGGCGAGTTTCAATGCGGTCGCTCTGTCCTCGGCGGACATGTGAGCCGGATGAACTTGGTCCAACTCGTCTTCTCCAGTGGCGAGCTCATGATGTTTCACGTGCTCCTTGGTGTCGTATGCCCCGAATGCTTCGGTCGAACTGGGCGGACTAGCACTCCGTTCAGTATACTCCTTCGACATGGTGACTGATATGCTGTGGTCTGTCGAGTGCTCAATCGGTCGAAAAGTGTTGAACAGATAGACGTCGATGAGCGAAGAAGCGGGGAAGCAGCGACGGTATTATATACAGCTCGTAAGCTGCCCAGACCATTCTGGACCAACCCCCCTTTACCCCCCATCTCTGGGCATCACTGACCCCGGCTTTTCACCCCGAACATGCTGAGCGGGGCCGGTCCGGAGTTGAAGAGGTTGCCCCATTTGGGCTCTTCATCGTCTTTGAGCTGAGCTGAGGTCTCACGACGCTCTCTTGCACTCTCTCTCTTCCCGGGCCTTCACACTCGGACGTGTCTCTTGAGGTGTTTGCTTGGCAGTCGATGATGATCCTATGACCTTGCCCTTTTTTTCCTCCCCGCCTCTGACAGTCAGCGAGTCAGTTGCGTGGAGGGAAGGGGGTCAGCTTGTGTAGGACTAGGGTGTTTTGTGTTCGATCGCTCTATTGTGCTTCTTCTCTCTCGCTGCCTCTGGTTGTCATCTTCCTCCCATCGATAAGAAAGCTCAAATGGACCTTCCGAGCTACATCCCAAAGAGTGACAGAGAAGCTTCTTGCCAAGACATCATGAAAATGGGCCGATGCTAACCGCCTTCGGATGAATAATAAAACCTCTCTCGGATGGGACTTGGACGTTGCCGATTACCGTGTCTAGCCGCTGCGGTATGGTTGGGTGGGACCTGCGAAGGGTGTATGGACGGATGAATGACATTCCGAGTTGCTATGATATCCGGAAAGCCCACAGATCTTGAAGTGGCGAGTGCACTTTCCGCCACGCCTAGCCCGGCGATGGAATAATAATGTCAATGTACCTCAATTATACTCGGCCGCGGAGGATTATGGTACTTGCCACGGTGGATTTTTTAACGTGTTACAGCGACGATCATCACTCGCGGTCGGGCAATCCCCAATTGGCAGCCAGTCACGTCGTAAGGTAGATTTGGTCAATGACTTCTCCTCTTTGCTTAGAATCACGTGTCACTCCTCTTCCTCGCGACGTGACCCCTGATCAGAGATCTGGCAAAGGAGCTGAAGAGGGATTGGCGTTCTTCTAGAGACTGACCTCACATGCTGGGAACCGACACGCACGGTTTCCCTCACTTCGGTCGACAACGAATACATCATTGGCCCAGCTCTCGGACTCTATGAGTAGTCAGTCGCGTCGAGTTCTCCAAGCAGCATGTTGGCGTCTTTTGATCCAGTCAGGATGATGGGTTCTCTGTCGAGCGGGAGCGGGCAGCAGCAACCAACGATGAAATTTGGAATGAGGGCGAAGGAACGGAAGCAGGAGAAGCAAGACACAAACACACGCGTAAGCCTTGTGCCACCTTCTCCGGAACGGACCCCACGCACCTTGGATGCAGGTCTACTCCCGTGACTGTCCCTTTATGCCCCGGCAACTTGTACAATATTTTGCCCGATTCTACATCCCACACTGTCACAGTTCGATCCCCTCCTCCCACGGCTATTCTCTGACCACCATCATGTTTCGACCAAGCGACGCGGATGAGACAAGATTCGAAACCTGCCGGAGCGCCCGTCAATGATCGGTAGACGCGCATAGGATCGGAAGAGAAGGGTCTGATATCGTATATTATAAGAGCGCTATCGAGAGAATAGGTCGCGAGGTAGTGTCCCGAAGGAGAGAGAGCGAGGGATGTGATCTGAGGGCAAATGGAAACTTTAGCAAGGAACGGACACGGAGGTTCATTCAGCTTGACTCACCGTATCTGTGTGTCCATGTAGACTGTAAAGAACCTTGACTGTCCGTAGATCCCACACCTGAGCTCATGAGCGACTTGGGCTCTCGCCGTTACAGTTAGTTGGACCCACCTTGACTTCGTTATCTACACCTCCGACGAAACACTGATTTCCATCTGCACTCCATTCCACAGCCGTCACTGGACAATCTCTTCCATCATCAAACTCTGCAACGGGTTCCTTTGTATCCATCCCGATATCCCACACTCTCGCGATCCCATCATCTCCTCCCGTTAATACCAGCTCACGTCCACCTGATATAGTCACTGCCAGAGAATTCAACGGCCCAAAATGGGCAGAGTATCTGGCTAAACGTTCTCCTGAGCGTAAAGAAGTAGCCACGAGCATTCCATCGGCACCGCCCTGAGCGCGTGTCAACGCGATTCTCTTCGTAGCGATCTATCTTTGACGGCCGAGAGCTACGAGGTGACTCACAGAATAGATGACCTCCGAATCCAGAGAGAATCCGATATCCAACACTGCTTGTTTATGAACATTCGGCAGGAGTCCAAAGTTGTCATGTGGTGGGAACGTGTTCCACAAGGCTGGAGAGAGGATCAGTCCTAAACACCTTCACCCGGTGCTATGACCGCTTACATATACTCCTATCGACTGAACACGCTGCCAATGTACGACCTGACGGATCAAATTTACAAGCTGTGATTTCGCCCTTATTTTGACGTATGTGTTAGCGGGGTCCGCAGTCTCGCTTCGCTCAAACTTACACCGTGAGATCCTGATAAAGCTACGATTGGCGCTTCGAGCCCACTTGTCCTTTTGATAGTACGGACCAGAGCGTTCTTTCGTTGTCCTTCTCCAGAAGACGCGACCGTCAATGTCATTCGTGTTGGATCGTGCTCATCCTCTTCATCTTCGACTCGAGCTCGTTTGGCCAACGCCACGCTTGAGCCTGGACCTGGCTGAGTCGTAGGCGGAGGAGATTTACGGATGGACATCAGGGCTGGAGATGAGGAAATAGGGTGGGCGTGCAGATGGGGTATTGATTCGGAAGTCTAATCGGGCTTTTTGCTTTCTCCAATCAGCCAGGGGTGACTGTTTCGCAGGAGCTTTGAGCGGTGGCAATTCCCCTCCGCTGCGTCGTTGCTATGAGTCCAAGCTGAAGAGAAACCTTGCTCGTGCTGTCCTGCTGGCGTCTAATGAGTTATAGATGAGATAGTGAGCAGCAGGTGTTGGGCTTTGGAAAAGTTGGATGAAACGTACAGCGGAACTAACATGACGTGGCAAGAACATGGATCACGGGATCAAATGTATCACAGCCCAATGCTTGGCCGCGGACCTGTTGAAGTCTTCGCTCATCGCGTGCCAGCAACAACAGACAGCTCAACATTGTTGATCCTATAATTAATATTGCTGCACCCTGCTTGCTACATCTGTTCAAGGACCAAAGGCAATCCAAGTAGCGTCATGAGTACCGTTCTGTCCAGTCTCGTCTGAAGGTGGCCTTCCTTTGCCTAGATCCCCCATCCCATCATGCCGAGTCTACGCGGAACACCTAACACCTCGCGACTCTCTCTGACTCCATCTCGGCATTCTCAACGGGGAGGTGTTGTCAACGATCAACTCACGAACATCAAAGGCAATGCATCGACTTTGACGAACGGAAGTATGGAGATTGACCCGGCGTTGTTAGGTGAAGATGGACAGATGGACATTGATGGTTATGCTGAGGAGGACGCTGAAGGTGAGGAAGTAGATGAAGAGGTGGATGCGGATGCAGATGCGGATGCAGATGCGGAGGGCGAAGTGGAACAGGTGGAGATGATCGGACAAGAGGTGAACGGAGCTGACGGTCCATTCGGAGGAGATTTCGAGGTAAGTCCAACGGTTCCAGCTTCGATCGTTCCGTCCCATGATCTAGCTCGACCAAATGGGACTCAACTGACGCCATGCAGTATGATCCTCCATCTCAATCCTCTCGTGGTGGTCCGAGTCGACCCGGTCGTCCGTCTCGCGCGTCGAGTTCTCAACGACGTGCCTCCTACGACGAATTCGCGAGCTATCCTGATCCTCTGCGTCATAGTCCCGCTCCAGCTCCAATACCTCCTATGCAAGCTGCCCCTCGAGGGCGAGGACGACCACCCAAGAACGCCTCGCTGTCAGCCTCTCGATCGGCCCCCAAGTTGTCCGAGCATTTCAGTGGTACGCCGAAAACCTTGGCGAAGGGTAAAGGCAAACAAATCGTGGCGAAAGCCGGTCCCATAGGCCCCGCCAAGGGCAGCAAAGGAAGCGGTCAATCAGGCGAAAAGTTTCAACATGATTTTCATTGTTCTTTCTGCCTCGGAACGGACGAAGCGAATCGCCAGGGTCAACCTGAGCGTATGCTGTCTTGTGCTAGATGTGGGCGAAGTGGACATCCGACGTGTTTGAATATCATCTCAAAGAGGTTGCTCAAGACGGTCAGAGAGTACGAATGGTGTTGTATAGAGTGCAAAACGTGTGAGATATGCGGGATCAAAGGAGATGACGTGAGTTTGATGCTCAGGACGCTTGAGCTATTGGGGGCTTTTCGGAAGCCTGAGCTCACCTTGACAGAATCGCCTCATGTTTTGTGATGGATGCGATCGAGGATGGCACAGTTATTGCTTAAATCCGTGAGTTCGGAGTAGGCGAGATTATCGACCCCTCCTTGACGCGTCTACAGGCCACTTGTCAAACCGCCGAAAGGTAATGCTTTCATCGGATTGTCCCGGACGAAGTCTCCGCTGATCACCTCCTTTCAGGCCAATGGCTATGCCCTACTTGCAATCCACCCAGCTCCTCCTCCTCCCATCCTAATTCGAAATCCGCACCGAATCTCAGCTCTCTGTACAAAGGCAAAGGCAAAGGCCGAGCCTCTGATCTATCCCTCTCACACTCCCTATCCCAAGTCACGCCTACCCGTGGACGAGGTCGACCGAGAAAGTATCCCATCGGTGTTTTGGATCCTTTGATCAATGGCGTCGATGCGCCCGGTTCTCACGGTCCAAAAATCAAGCTCAAATCGGGCAAGAAACGCCAGGAGACGGAAGACCAATCGGAGGATATGACGCCTGGTGTCAATGGAAACAAGATGAAAATCCGTCTGAGGATACCAAGTGGAGGGAGACAGCCTGTGGAAGTAGAGAGTGAAGAGGAGAAAATCCCTTTTGGGGGAATCATCACAGGTCCTGACGCTGATACGACCAAGACGAGCATACGGGAGACAGATCAGGCGGCATTCGAAAAGGCTCTTCAGGCTGCGGAGAGCAAGTTGAGCGCGTCGTCGAACGGGCCTGGAGTATCAGGAGATCCGACAAGGACAATGACGCCCGCATCCCCGGCTCCGTCAACCAATGGAAGCTCTTTCCCTCCGACAGCTTCAAAGAATGGTCAAATGAATGGACACTTTTCGACCGCTACGCCTCTGGCCAATCGATCCTTGAGAGACCGACTACTGAATCAATCAATGCCCACTCTAGGCACACCCGGCGATCAGACGCCCACGAATGGATCAGTGATACCGGGCACGCCTCTACACATGCCATCTTTATCCGGTGCTCAGAAGATCAAGATGATCCGATTTGGAGTATTTGAGATTGATACGTGGTTTTCTGCGCCGTACCCTGAGGAGTATCAACATGTCCCCGATGGTCGACTGTGGATATGCGAGTTTTGTTTCAAATACATGAAGAGCGGGTTCGTAGCGGAGAGGCATAGAGTGAGCCATGACATGACTGGCAGTCCAAAAGTGCGATGACTGACCCTGTTTTTAGCTCAAATGCAAAGCTCGTCATCCGCCTGGTGATGAAATCTATCGAGATGGATCCGTGTCGGTCTTTGAAGTGGACGGCAGGAAGAACAAGGTGTGTCGGTGTCGACTTATTCATGTGCCTAGCTCACGCGTTCTCAGATCTACTGCCAAAACCTCTGTCTATTGGCCAAAATGTTTCTCGATTCCAAAACCCTCTACTACGATGTCGAGCCATTCTTATTCTACGTCATGACGGAAGTGGACGATATGGGCGCACGATTCGTCGGATACTTCAGCAAGGAGAAGAGGAGCTTGGACAACAATGTCAGCTGTATCATGACTCTCCCTGTGAGGCAGAGAAAAGGATGGGGTCAACTTTTAATTGACTTCAGTACGTCAACAAAGGGCGGCGGCAGTCGCGGAGGGTATTTACGCTGATATGAATCAGGCTATCTATTGTCCAAAAAAGAGGAACGGGTGGGAGGTCCAGAGCGACCTTTGAGTGGTCTTGGCGAAGTGACATACAAGAAATACTGGTCACTTGCAATCATGCGATTCCTACGTGATTGCACGATTCCGAACCCGACTCTGGAAGGTAAGTCGAGCCGGACGACGACAATGGCTGACATACTCAGACATCTCCGCGGAGACCAGTATGACCCTCGAAGATATCTACATGACGCTGAAATATGAAAATATGATCAATGTTTTCGATACGCCACCTCGCGAGATACCTTCCGGTGGTGCCGATAGATCGTACGGTCGACCTCGAGGTCGAGGTCGAGGACGACCGCGATCCCTAGGCAATCGACGTCCGCCTCGACCTAATTCGGCCACTCCCGCTGAATCAGAAGACAAGGATAAAGTTGTCCTTCCTGAACGATATGAAATTACCTGGGACGCAGATTACATCCACGTCGTGTTGAAGAAACATGATTCAAGAGGTTATTTGACTTTACGACCTGAACGACTCAAGTATCATCCTTTTCTGGTCAGTCGAAATGCTCCCAAACCCCCTGGCGCGCTTGCTCGAGCGACATTGATGGCGAATAATCCGAATCAACGGCGAGAAAAGGGGGACGAGACAGGTCGACATATCAATGGCAAGGTGGAGCCTCCTCGTGGACATGCAGAGGCAGATGCCTCTGGCGGACAAGCAGGCAAAGAGGATGCGATGGAGACACCTGAAAAAGTCAACGCGGGTCAAGATCAAGCTACATTGGAACTTGTCGCCAGACTGTCTGGTGGTACAGGACGAAATCTTCGACATCGCACTACTTCAGTCGTATTTGATCCGGATGACCAGCCGAGCTCGAAACGTCTTCGAACGAGTAGAAGCGCTACCTCTTTACGTGGACGACGTATGGCTGAGGAACAAGGCGACGACCATGATGACGATGAAGCAGAGGGGGAAGTGAATGAGGAGGAAGATGATCCATTACGGATCGGCAAGGGGATGAACGGTACGCCAAAGCGAGGTGCCAGAGAGACTCGATCAAGAGAATCCATTCTCAAGCAGCCGAATGGTTCGGACGGATCACTTCGGAACGGGAAAAACATGTCTCCGCGGCGGATTCTACGTGGAGACAGTGAACTTCGGGAAGAGACCGAAGAGGTCGAAGAACCTGTGGAGGAAGGGATCGACGACGACGACGATGACGATGAATGGCAAGTTGATGATGTAGATGCAGATGCAGATGCAGAAGGGGAAGAAGAGGATGAAGAATGGGTAGAGTGAGGTGGCGTACCAGTCCAGTCGAGCGGCACGGCATGCGGGAAATGTTTTGAAATGTAGTCTATAAATGGTCATGCAGAGTCAGCCTGGGCTCGCGGATGGATGTGTACCATTATTACTCTTGCCCTGTCGTGTACCTGATCGGTGTAAGAGGGGGTTACCAACGTGGTCACTGTCATCCCATACACATCTTCGGCCGAACAGAGACGCATTGCCCAATGTTCTTTTCTTGGCACTCGCGTTCTGGATTCGGGCGTCGAAATCAAAGGGAAGCGAGTCAAGCTCTCCGAGATCGAAGCAGTTCCCTCCAAGGTCTTTCTCCCCATACGCTGTGAGCTCCCTCGGCCGAGTCACCGAGTGGGTCCTTCCTCTCTCTCTCCCTCTCCCGCCGATGCCTGGCCCCCTTGCTCTGCTCCAACTTCCCCTTCGCACGCCGCCCTCAACCCTCCCTTAATTCCCTAATCAGATAAGCGACGGAATCAAAATTGCCCATTTTCTTTTTTATCAGATAAAAAAAAAATTTGATGGAAGAAAAGAAAAACTTCCGAAATCGGCCATCTGCGTCACACACAACCTCGCTGCGTCTGCTTCTTCTGCTTCTTCTGCTGTTGCTACTCTGTGTGTTGCCTGCTACTGCTGCTGCTGCCTCGCTGAACTCCCCCTCCCCTCGTCCTCCCTGACAGTGACTTCTCGCTTGCTGTCCTCCCTTGCATCTATCCGTTTTTGAAATACACAAACGAACAGACCTTCTGAATCTCACCCGATAGGCCCGAAAATTGGATCGAGATCGAAGTTGAGGAGCAAGCAAGAGAAAAAAAAGGTCTTTCCTCGCAAGTATACATATATATATATATATACTCAGACTTGCCGTGTGGACGAACGTTATCCCAACTTCTCTACCTCCATCATCACTTTGGTCGTGAGAGCTGCCCATCTCTCAAGACACACTGCAAACTTCGAATCTTTTGACGATCTTATTCCCCGCCTCACTCTCTCTCACACATGGGTCTCTTCCGCAAAGCGTCCGTGACGCACCTCTACCCTGACGATGCGATCCGTCACGAGTTGGAGCAACAAGGCGACACCAAGACTGCTTTCGGTGACAAGTCACCAGGTGTCCGAAGGATAGAAGCCATCTCGAAATGCTTCACGTCCTGGCATCTCTACGTCTTGTTCATTTCCATCTTTTTCGTCTCTTGTGAGTGGGGCTGTCTTCTGTTACCTTCACAATATTCAAGCTGAACCTGTGAAAACTCGTCAGATTCTTACGGGTGAGCAGAGCTGCCTATGAGATACATATGACAGCCGGACCGAATTTGACGCTCTAATCCTAGGCTCGATGGCTTTGTGCGATTCCAATTTCAGACGTATGCCGTAGCTTCGTTTGGCCTCACGGCTCAGATCTCCACCGTGAACGTCGTCAGAGGTATCGTTGCCGCGGCCGCTCAACCTGCTTTCGCCAAAATCTCTGATTACTTTGGACGTATCTCCATCTTGTTCATCGCTGCCATGTTCTACGTCGTGGGTGAGTTGAACCGGAGAGACGTCTCTTGCTATTCGTAGCGGCTCTGATTGACCTACCATCTAAGGAACCATACTCTGCGCCGCTAGTAAAGACCTCGCCCAGTTCTCCGGGGGAGCTTTGCTGTATCAATTTGGCTACACTGGAATCCAGCGTAGGTCTGGATCCGCTTGCTGCTGATGCTTCGCTGATCGTCTTTCCTCACTCCTCACAGTTCTCGTCGAAGTGATCATTGCCGATACCACTTCTCTCCGATCTCGACTTTTCTTCTCTTACATTCCCGCCTTACCGGGTGTCATCAATACCTGGGTCTCCGGAAACGTTGTCAATGCGGTCTTGGCCAATTCGAGCTGGCGCTGGGGAATCGGTGAGTCAAGTCTTTGAGCACTCAGAGAGTAGGAGGAGACTCCATACTGATGCCCCTTGGACCAGGCATGTGGGCGATCATCTTCCCCGTCCTCGCTATACCCCTTCTGTACTGTCTTGTTCATGCCGAGATCCGAGCGGGCAGAGCTGGATACCTGGACGATATTCCCAGCCCATTCCGATCCCTTTCACACGCGAGTCTATGGACAGACGTTTTCTGGCAGATCGATCTCGTCGGCCTTCTCCTTCTCGCCGCCTCCTTCGCTTTGATCCTCTTACCGTTCACCCTCGCTGGAGGTGTCGCCTCTCTATGGCCCACAGCCAGGATCATCACACCCTTGGTCGTCGGGTTCGTGGTGGCTTTACCCATCTTTGTCATTTGGGAACTGAAGTTCGCTCGTCATCCCGTTGTCCCATTCCGACTCCTCAAAGATAGACAAATCTTGGCTGGATTGACTATCGCTTGTCTGCTCAACACTGCTTGGTACTGTCAAGGCGATTACCTGTATCAAATTTTGATCGTCTCATTCGATCGGTGAGTCGTTGGGTGCACCGTGTACTCGCGGACGACACCACTTAACTCTTTCTCAGCGATATCATCTCTGCCACTCGGACTCAAAACATTTACACCTTTGTCTCTGTCATTACGGGTGTTTCTCTCGGCTTGGTCGTCCGTAAAGTCCGTCGAATCAAGTGGTTCGTCGTCGCGGGTACTTCCCTCTTTGTCCTTGCATTTGGACTCTTGATCCGATTCAGAGGAGGCAAAACGTCAGATTACGCAGGTCTTGTCGCTGGGGAAGTCATCCTGGGTCTTGCGGGTGGTCTGTTCCCTTACCCTACTCAAGTCTTGGTCCAGTCTGCAGTCCAGCACGAACGAACAGCAGTCATCACCTCCTTATACCTCGCTTGGTGAGTGTGGCGGAAGAGAGGGAGACAACAGATAAGGGGAGGATGGCTTTTGGCTGAATTGCATACCCCGCTTCGCTCGTCTAGCTATTCGATCGGATCCGCTCTCGGCAATACCATCGCTGCTGGAATCCTTACCAACACACTTCCCGGCAAGATTCAAGATGAATTCGTTCTGCACGGAATCAACAATGCGACGCTCGCCGCTGAAGCCTATGCTGACCCTTATGGGTTCTCAGCGACTTGGCCGATGGGCACACCTCAGCGCGATGCCCTGGCGGCAGCTACGAGAGAGACTCAACGACTCATGTGTATCGCCGGTATCTGTATCTCAAGCTTACTCGTCTTTGTCTCGCTGTGTCTCAAGAACCCCCACTTGTCAGACGAACAATCGTTCGAAAATGCAGAAGGGTTCAGAGTGACTTCGCACGGTGATGGTCACACGTCAAACTACGAGACAAAGGCGGGAGGAGTCGATAATGGAGATGACGTGAGCCCACATCAGACTGTCGTGGGCGACGCGTCATCGGCGGCACCGGGATACAAGTCCGTTGTCTAGGATGCTGCAACGGGGTCACCTTGGGGGGTTTCCAGAAATCAAAAAACCGAATCACGCTGTTCTCTTTACGAGCCGAGCTCCGTATCTCGCTGTATATAGAAGTTTGATGCAGCTTGTGCGGTCGAGACACGTGAGAAACGAAAGTCTCGCAGCGGGCACTCTCTGCACGCAAATCATGACACTGCATCGGCGTCCTTCTGCCGATTCTTCTTGATAGCTAAGGACCTGAAAGCCCACACTAGATTTTCGTATACTACAAAGGTCGTACATGTTCCTGGTAAGATCCTCAAAGCGTTCGTGCCCAAGCCTTTGTAAAAGGCCAAGAACCCCTCGTTCCGGAAAGTAGCGGAGATACAGGCGGGTATGGTGAGTTTGGGGCTGGAAGGTGTAGGAGAGAAGTTCTACAGAAAGAGAAAAAAATGTAAGTGAAAGAAGTACGAGACTCAAGCAACTACCTACCTGGATTCTCGCTCTGACGACTTGATAGGGGTAAGTCAGGGCGATAGCGACGAGTTTAGATGATCCAGATGCGAGAATGTATTCGGTATTAGTCTGCGAGATTACAGCGGATTAGCAAAAGCTCCAGTCGTACAGAGGCAACGGACACAACTGACCAATTTTTCATCTTCCACCTTCCACTCTTTTCCTTTCCATTCAAAACTCTTCCTCTTGAGGTCCGCTCGATGCCGCTTGATAGCTTCGTACGTTGCGAATTGGATAGATCCGTTGGATACGCCGACGAGAGCGAGTAAGGAGCCCTTGTACAGTCCTCGAATGCCTTCCTGGGTGTATATCGTACGAAATGCACCTGGTCATGATATGTCAGGAAACACTTGTTGGGAGCTGAGGCAAAGCAGGGAGGTTTGACTCACTGACGAGACCACGGTACGCTGGGTTACTTCGACCCGTTGCGAACACACGAGTCTTGACGACCCATATGGGATTGGTCAGCATAGCCGTCACGGCGCCTTGACGAGCGTGTCAGCTCTGAATCGAAGCGTAAGACTCGGTATCCCACTCACTGGCCTCAGCCGCAGCGAGTAAGTGTTGTGAGCTGGTAGTGCGATACGTCGGATCATCCCCCTGCATCTGTTTCTTGATCATGTTGTAGCTGCGATGAAGAATCAGTCGTGTTCTATCATGATGTGAAGGGGGAGGTAAAACTGGAAACGCACAAGAGAAAATACAGACCCCAGCTGGAGGCTCCACCGACCAGATTCGGCATCAACCCTCTGTACAATCCTTTCCAGCCGTCCGCAATGACAGCTTCTTCTAAGGCTCTATAAACGCCTGTACCGAGTCGAGGGGGCCGTGGATCGCGTAACGCCGCGCTGATACTGGAGCGGGACCCAGAGCCAGAAGTGGAGACATGTGTCGATGATGAGGATGAATAAGAAGAAGATGGTGATGATGATGATGATGATGATGATGATGATGATGAGGAGGAGGCCGATGAGGATGCGTGCAGGGAAGATGAAGAAGGTATAACGCCTGTTGGCGGGGTGGTGGTACTGGTTAAAGCAGTGGACGACACGAATGGCGTTTCGGCAAGTTGAAATCTGACTTTGACGAGATCCAAAGGGTGCATGACGAGTGTCGCGACTGTTCCTGCTCCTAATCCAGCCACGGCATGGTCCTGGAGAGCGGGATCGATGTCAGCCGTTTACATTCGTTTCTGTTTTGCTTGGATGCGGACTGAGCGGGGCGCAGAGGAGGGCAATGAAGGTCTAGAGATGTATGGTTCTCTGAGCACACTTACGATGGACAGATCTCCGAAGAGAGATGGAGATGCGGACAGAGCTTGCGACATGGTGCTAGATGAGATATGGGTAGTCTTGGACGGTCAATGGTATGAAATCTCGATGGCTGCTGGCAAGGTTGCGCGTCGTGGTGAACTATGGCCTCATCCTGGCGAGACCGATCTATATCTCCCAGCTGTCCTTTGACTCTGACACTGGCTGTCCGAGCTACACGTCTCTCGTAGTGGTCGTCGATACGATGATCGTATGTCTAGTGAGCCTCGTCTGATGTTCAAATGTAAGTTGGGACATCATCAACTTTTCTGAAATTTTGTTGATTTTCCGTCCAAGATCCGAGTGGCGACGGGCGATTCAATGATGAGCAAAAAGGTCAGACGACCTCTGAATCACAAGTGCAAGAGCTATGATGGTTCTCAGTGCAGAGTACGAGTGACGAGTAGGTATTCCATCTACGAGATACCATGTCCAAATAGAGTACATGTGGTTTAGACAAGACTTCTAGATAATCCAGGCGGGCGTCTGGTCCTGGGTCAACTGTGGCGCTGCCCTGGAGGGTCACGCATGATGGTTCTCCCGTATCCATCTAATCAAAGCCTGTATATCCTCCCACTGCTTCGTTCGTAGTCTGAGATCTTCATCTTGATCCCTCATTGCCTTGTTTCTCGGTTTCTGTACCTTTTCACAATCATCAACGAATGCTTTCGCGGCTGATATGTCGGGAAGCAGAGGATGAGATGTTCGGGAGAGCCAGCTGGTCATTGTGTCAGCGCATGATGGGCTCAAAGCAGCAGCTCCGGGGATTATATCATGGTGCAGGTGCGGAGACTGGCCGATTAATAACTGGATGAAACTGACTATTTCGAGTTCCAGTAGTCACCTGGTAGGACCGATCTGGTCAGTCCTTCTTCGCCAGACACTCCACGGAGTGGGGAAACACGGCTGAACTCACCCTCACGCCGATGCAGCGTTGCATGTAAGAGGTTAGCCGTAGGATCCTATCGCACGCTTTCAGAATGATGTTCCATCCATGACTTCTGAGCAATGCCTTGCACTCACGCCTTCGTTGGCTTGAGCAATCTCATGACAATGATGTATGTCATCATTGGCGAGATGGAGGGCTGCCGGCCGGGAAAGGGGGAAGAGGAGGGGCAAAAGCAGCACGAGACGTTAGTGATTGACCGTTCTCGAGAGGTACACAGTCGTCTTGTCATTCATCGGGCTTCACTGGGACTCACCTGCAATCACATACTTGTGTTCATTGAGCTTTGAGATGGGTCTCGCGAGGGACGGGTCAAAAGCCTTTTTACCCGGTTCAAGGGGTGGTATGGGATCACGAGCGAAGAGCTGATCTTGGATCTCATCAGTCTGTGAAGGCATCGTAGTACGAGCACGTCGGTGGGATGAACAAGAGGAGAGGGCAGAGTGCAGAGGAGGGATGTATCGATGTTACATTCCAGTGATCGCCCCGCGTCACCACCTCCACCTTGTTCCATCGGAAATGCTGAATCGTCGATGTTCTTCTTCATTTTGACACATTTGGACTAGCTATGCCCGCATATAGACCCTGTGAGTGCGCTTCTGATCCCATCAAGGATACCTAAGACTGATATGTCTCACCTCTCAGTGACCTCTCAGTCCGCTGCTGGACCCAGCGTGGCTCGGGATCGACAAGCTGATGCCCTGGCTGAATTTCGAGCGCGGAGATTACAACGGAAATTGGAGGACCTAGAGGTAGGTCGAGAGAGGAGAGAGGGGGGGGGATCAGCCGAGGCATGATTTGGCTGCAGTCTTCACATCGTCATGATCTCAACTCAGATTGTCGTCAGCCAGCTTGTTGTCGAACTTATGCGCTGATAAGCTCGCTCTGTAGCGAACCAATCCAACTGATATTCCCGCTTCTTCGTTTGCCGTCAATCCGCCTCCCTCGTCCGCGTCGACCCTAACTACGTCTCTGAATCCAGCAGTGCAATCCAAGAAGAAACAATCTGGAAATGTGAGAAAAATCCTGTACGCACGAAAGAGTCTCAAAGACTGGCTGGAAGAATTGGTAAGTGGGTACAACTGGGCACAGGACCAGGGCGGGGTCGAGAAGACTCCTCCAACTGGAGACTGACCGCGCTGACGCCGTTGCAGCCACCGGAACCTAAGCCACCTTACTTGCTTGCTGTGGCTCCTCCTCCTTCTATGCCACCACGAGGATCATGCTCTTCCTGTGGCTACGTAGGGGCGTACAAGTGTCCTCGATGCGGAGAGTGGAGTTGCGACAGGAATTGTATGGGCATACATGAGCGAGATGGAGGGTGTGGAGTGGGGTGGTAGCGTCGTCGGGGGAAGACCTTGGTTTGCGTCCTCGTCGATCCTTTTCCATCCAATCACACGCTTTTGGCTCTCGACCCGTGGAAGCGGTGGAACGGTCGATTGATCGATCGACCATCTGGAGAATCCCACAGTGCATCTACTTCCTAGTCTCCTCCCAACATCCAGGCCACAGTGCAAAGCTTGGCGGGGGCCTCGCGGCAAGTTATCATAGGCGAAAGAGATGCATTCAGCTTGTGGTATGGCTCATCCTCATCCCTCATCTATATGGTCCACCCGTCTATGGATCACCACCAGTCAGAGGATGCGCTCATGTGGCACGCTTGTAGTACCCCTTTTGTTCCAATTCCCTCTGGACATTCTTCCTGAACCCCTTGACTGTATAATCCATGAAGAACACCCAGATTGGCATCCCGATCTGGGATCGGGGTTGGTCGAGTCAGTCGCCTTTTAGCTTTGTTGGTGACGAATGGACTCACACCGGCCAATAGCCACATGAAGAAATCTTTGATGGGATTGTTTCCTGGTACTCCGCCTCTTGAACCCATCCTCATGAGCTCGGAAACGAACATGGTAGTGGATTGGTAGTATCCCCGTTGTAGGCCTAGTTGAAAAGTCAGCATGGATCTGTCTGGAGGAAGTGGCACATGGAAGAGAGAGAGGAGTTGAGGAGTTGGGAGTTTCAAAACTTCCTCCCACTCACCCCTGACCATATGATTCACGCACTCCTCCGCTGTGATGAGCGTATCGCCCTCTTCGAGTTTCTTGGTCGGAGCAGGTTTCGACGAGTTTTCAACTTCGTATCCTGGTGTATCGATCCCACCAGGTAAGAAGAGGTTGACCGTGATGTCGTGTAGAAGCATTTCGGAACGTAAAGCATCGGCGAGGCCTGAGTGAGTGAGAGAGAGAGGGGTCAGAGACCAGTCACCATCGAAGGACAAGGGTCACATGTCCAACTCCACTCAGTTGGCCTGAGGGCACTCACCTCGGACCGCATATTTCCCTGGTGAATATGAGGTGTAGCCTACGAAGGCCGTGTAGGATAAGAAGGACCCGACCATGACTATGCGGCCTTTGATCCTGTTGGCGACCATGGCTTTGCACGCGGTCTGTAGGAAGGAGCGTGAGTGGCCTCCATGACACACGGCATTGTACTGCCGGCTAACGGCTCACATGGGCGGTCCACGCTGTCGTCCAGTACGTCGCATCGAGGCCCTAAAGAACAAGAGTCAGAGTCAGGGAGAGGGTTCTTCCACTCCGCGATTTGCGGTCGCCTCGCCCGTGTCAAGACCCTCTCGCTCACCCCCTGTAGTTCTTCCGGCGTGTGATCGATAAAGTAACGTGGCCTTGAATACCCCGCACATAAGAAGTAGTGATCAGGGTATCTTCCATGTCTCTTCTGAGCCTCTTCAAGCGCCTCTGAAGCGCCTTTTGAAGTGATGAGGTCGGCGGAGACGTAGCTGACTTTCTGATCCGGCCTAGCGATGCTCTAGAGAGGGGGGAAATGAAGGCGTCGAGATTCAGACTACCGCCTGATAGGATCATGATGGAGAACTCTCACCTCGAGCTCCTCCAGTACCTTTTTCAATCCATCCACACTCCTGGCTACTATGACGACGTCGGAGGCTCCGTTCTGGACGAGCCATTTGGCAAGTGCTCGACCTAGTCCTTGAGAACCGCCCGTGACATAGCAGAACTGTGCGTTGGGAGCATATCAGCGCTGTCAGAAAACTGTTATGGCCAAAACAGGTTGAAAAGTTCCACACTCACTTTGCCCTTTGGATCGAAATGAGTCTTAAACAGACCCATGGTTGAGATGGAAACGACGAGCACGAATAACGAGACGAAGACGGTGAGAGGTGTCGAACCACCACCAGTCAGAGAGCGGTATATGCCTTCTTCCAGCATGAAGCAAGCAGAGTCAAAGAAGCAGCAGTTCCACGAGCTACTAGTAGAGTGATGAAGCTATGAAGGACTGATCAATGCATCTCTCGCCCGTTTGGTCCGTCGACGTCGCCATGAATGAAGGTCGGGGTTGGAAGATAGATACTCAAGAAAAAAGAGTCCGAGATGGAATGAATCCCCCTTTCGGTCATCCATCCAATCCTCACACGTCGACGGCGACACGGCGACACGGGCTGGTTCTGTGAGAGGAGAAGGGCAGCAGAAGCAGCAGCAACGAGGCATATACAAGCTAGTAGGAGCTGAGCATTCCACGATGTTGCCATCATGAAGGAAGAACCTATCCCCTTTGTCCCTCGAGCTGGGACGGCAGAGGAAGCAGAACAAGAAACTGTCCATGAGGTATATGAGGCAATCTCTACGCATTTCAGTCAGACAAGGCGAAAGGTGGGTCCAATGAAAGAAGCGATGTCGCTAGGATGTGGTGGAACTACTCTCCGGTAAACTGTCCATGCTGATCTGATCAATCTCACTGTCAGCCCTGGCCACTTGTCGTCGCTTTCCTCGACTCTCTTCCTCGTGATACCATCGGTCTAGATTTGGGAGCAGGCAATGGGAATCATCTTCCACTAGCGACTTATCCGCCGGAGGAGCACCCCACAGGACCCGAGGAGGAGGAGAAGTATGATCTCAGAGTCGCAGCCTCGTCTCAGTCTTCCGATCAGACCCTCAAGCGGACGGCGGAGGCTAGAGAATCCAATGCGAGACCTGGTCGATTCAGTATAGCCCTGGATCACAGTGCAGGCTTGTTAAAGTTTGCCAAGGGGCAGTTGGTATCTGGCGGGGAATGCATAAGAGGTGAAATGGGATTCAAAGGATGGCGGGGGGGTGTATTTGTGAGTGGGGCTTGCTTGCCTTGAAAGGATTCAATCCCGTGTTCTTGCCTTCTGACAAGCCTTGAGCATAGGACTGGGCGATCAATATCGCCGCTATACATCATCTGACGACGCACGAACGACGTAAGGATGCAGTAGTGGTGAGCTTTGGCATCTGTCGTTTCATAAACCCTTGCTTGACCTTGCTCTAGGCAGTCATTCGGCCCCTTGTCCTCCGAAGCAAGGCCCCGTTCTCCCGATTCATGCTTTACGTCTGGGCGTACGAGCAGAGCTCTGGGTCAAAGAGAAAGATGGGAGCGGCCGCTGACTCAACGCCTCAAGCTGAGCAAGGGGGATCACATACAGGATCATCGAGGCATAGTGCCCCTGGGGAGGAGATGGACGCATCATCAGACATGGCGAATCTGGCCATCTCCAATGTCTCGGGTGCTGATACCTCCTCCAACTGCACGGACAATCATCTCACGAACCCTAAGATCCAAGATGTCCTGGTTCCTTGGGTATATCAACCACCGCCAGTCAAGCGAACCGACGCTTCCACCACATCCACGGAGACCATGAAGGACAGCGAGAAGAAGCTATATCATCGATATTATCACTTATTTATCAAGGGGGAGCTAAGCGATTTGGTACGGCAAGCAGCCAAGGAAGAGGGCTTTGTCTGTGTAGATGCACGGCCAGATTCTCTCGTCTCAGCGTGTGATGGCGGGACGGGAGCGAGGACCGACGCCCTTGAAATTGGGACTAGATGGCTTAGAATCAGAGGAGAAGGGTATGAAGCTGATAATTGGTGGTTGGAAGGGGAGGTTGGCGTGCGGAAATAGTAGTATGAGAAGAACATCATTCTGCGTCTTGAGCTCCTTGATCCCTTTTGGACGGACATTTACTGCCATGCTCGTCGCTATGCAATGCATCTTGTTGTATAATTTACTGTATGTGTATGGGTGTCTGTCTAGTTGTGCCTGCTGAGGCAAAGGTTCGACTTGCTGTCCCTCACATGTGCCTCTTCCTTTGCTCTGCCAAAGCCCTGAGCAATGCTACTTTGACCTCTTGAAGATTTCTGCTTCCAATCTGATGCTGTTCCTCAGTGACCCTGATTGAGTCTCTCGCTCTCTTGTCTTTCATGTCCTTGACAATGATCCGCCTCTCGACCGAACGATACTGAGCGATCAACAATAATTGTCGCTTTGCCAATTTCAACCATTCTTCAACTGTTTTGACACCTCGGCTATCGCCCAGAGCGTTGAAGGCCACTGTGAAGATCTCTCCAAAAGGCTGTACATGCCGTATCCAATCCAGCTCTCCTTCTTCCGCTTCGGTCTTGTGATCAATGGCTTGTAGACTGTTGTCCATTGCTTCTGAGACACTCTTGAAGATTACCTCGAGTTGCTTAGGGGTCAATCGAGGTGATCTGGGCAGTGTTTTTGTCTTCAATCGAAGCGATCCATCGATGGAACTAGGTGAGACACGGTACGGGTTTGCAGGCGGACTGGCGAGAGCACATTGAAGCCAAGCTCGAAGGATGAGATTGGCAGTCACTCGATCAGGTTGAAATCCTTGACGACGGTATCGATCGATCGTGCAGATCATATCTTTCAAGTGGTGCAGTCCCGGACCATGTCGATGCCAAGATGGTAATTCGGGAAGCAAAGGGTCGGTCTTGGCAAGGTGAGCAGCGAGAGGCGTCTCGGTGAGATACGTAAGACGAGCATTGAAGTAGTGTGTCAATTTTTGCCTATCGGTCCATCGGCTGGGGTAGATCCGTTCAGGATCTGGCGGAATAGGTGTTCGATGACTAGTGAACCAAGAGGAAGGAGTTTGAGGAATGTTGCGCGATAGTTTAGGCTTGACAACGGAATAATCGACAGAAAATCGGCGAATGTCATCTTGTAGGCCACGTAGACGATAGGCCAGATCACCTGAACCTTGATTCTCCAAGTGAGAAGCAACGTTGTCAATGATCTCGTCGTTTGTCGCTAGTTCTGGGGTGCGCAAAATGTGAGTGACGACAATGGCGTACTCTTTCCTCCGGAGAAGATTGTTGATGATTGGTGGGAAAGGTGGACTGGTGGTATGCTTATAGCCTGATGTATATATAGTGGTTCAGGTGGGGCAACTTTATCTTACTCAGTCATACTCACCCAAAGGCTTGGCCGACATTTTCCCCCGTTCCGTTTCCGTCTTATGGACATCCACAATCTTTCGCATGGCAATGATGGCTGTTCGTGTCCTCAGGGGTAAATGACGGACATCCTCGTGCTCGACTCTATTTGGTAGTCGACGTGTGGATTTGAGAATTTCTTTGACAGTCCGAGGGGTGAAAGACTCAGTTTCAGAAGAGGTTATCAGAGGTAATGTCGGCTGTGGCGGAATGGTCGAAGGCCTCGGGATAGAGCATTCTTCTTCTGATCTGGAAGATGAAGAAGGCGGTTGATCGGGGAGCATCAAGGGTGTCGATGAAAGTGAAGGAGACAGTCTTGCAGAGGTATCTTGCAGCTCAGCATCCCCGTTGCTGACTGACGGGATCTGCCCTCCAGAAGATCCTTTCCGTATCAACGGAGGTGGTGGAATAATAGGTCCAGGAGGAGGTATCGCTAATTCGTGTCTCGATGCGAGGCTCGTCTGACCTGCAGGAGGCCTCGAGAAACGCCGTGGTGGAGGTTGAGGTGGGATAGCCCAAGGCGGACCATCTAATAACGGTGGATCCCAATGTTCCACAGGTTGTTCAAGCGTAGAGAATGGGCTCTGTTGGTTCTTATTCCGACCGTGTCGTCTTGAACTTGAGCTGAAACACCGTCTCCTACGTGGCTCAGAGGATCCGACGAGGGGTCCACCTGTCCATGGAGCTGCACTTGGACGTGAACTTGAACCGCTACCACCACCCGAGCATCCATGCCTCACTCGATACGCGCTTTCGAAACCAATGGTCCGCCTTGCCAAGTAAGGCAAGACTACCTGTTGGAATATGGATGAGGTTTGTCTCTGCATTCCATCACGGAAGAGAGGCAGAGACAGACAGAGACAGACCGAGAGCGAGCGGGCGGGTTTAGGTAAGGTAGGTCCAGCTGCGAATGCTATCTCAGCATGTTTCTTGACGCATGTATGTATAGTATCTGAGCTGGACCTTCTCGGGTTAATGGCACCGGTGGGAATCAAGTGCCACATTTGCTGAAACGCCGAATAACGCCGCTGAGAACCCGAAATTCACAGCCAATGTCCACTGTGGGGGCGGGGGGCGTGCTGAATTGAGCTTCAGGTTGTCGTCTCTACATTCGACTATACGCTTTAAATATCCTTCTGATCTCCCGGCTGTAGAGATCAATTGGGAGCCATAGTCATCGCTTTTGAATCCTTCCTCCCCTACCACACACACACAACATCACTATGGGTGCCACTCGTGCTGAGAAGGAAATCTACTTCGTCAAGCTCAAGGCTTTGCTGGAGCAATACCGTGAGTCATTTGAGGGATCTTTTGGGTTGATAGAGTGATGCTGACGATGATCTTCTCGCTTGCGTCTCACCACAGCCTCCATCTTCCTTGTCAACGTTGACAATGTGTCCTCCCAACAACTTCACATGATTCGACAGGCTCTCCGAGGTACCGGAGTTGTGTTGATGGGCAAGAACACGATGGTTCGACGAGCTCTCCGAACGCTTCTCGCTGAGATGCCTCAATTCGAAAAGCTCTTGCCATTCGTCAAGGGAAACATTGGATTCGTCTTCACCGCTGGAGATTTGAACACGGTTAGACAAGTCATCGTCTCCAACAAGGTCGCTGCCCCTGCTCGTGCGGGTGCCGTCGCCCCTAATGATGTCTTTGTGCCCGCCGGAAACACCGGTATGGAACCTGGAAAGACTTCCTTCTTCCAAGCTTTGGAAATTCCCACCAAGATTGCCAGAGGAACCATTGAAATCGTCTCGGATATTCATTTGGTCAAGGCCGGTGAAAAAGTCGGAGCCTCTCAATCGACGTTGTTGAACATGTTGAACATTTCTCCCTTCACCTACGGTATGACCGTCGTTCAAATCTACGACAATGGAGTCGTCTTCCCTCCTTCCGTCCTCGACGTCGAGGAGTCTCAACTTATCGCTACCTTCATGTCTGGAATCAAGACCATCGCCGCCATCTCCTTGGCCACTGGTATCCCAACCATTGCTTCCATCATGCACTCTTTGGTCAACTCTTACAAGAACGTCTTGGCCGTTTCCTTGGCCACCGACTACGAATTCGAGGGATCTGCCAAGGTGAGTCAGTTGTCTGGATCCGACAGCGTCATCCTTCCCCCCTTTGCCCTGTGCTACTCCCTCTTCTCTCTTTCTTCCGGATGTCAAAACATACTTTTCTTTCTTTCTACTGGAGATTGCCTATAGTCCTGGCTTTACCGCGGGAAAACGAGAGGATCCCATATTCACACTCTGACCACACGCCTTGTCCCCGCCACCGTCACAATTGCGCCATTGTAGTGTCATTCTTGCTGACTTTTTGGCTTTCAGATCAAGGAATACCTTGCCAACCCCGAGGCCTTTGCCGTCGCTGCCGCCCCCGCCGCCGCCGAAGGAGGTTCCGCTGCCGCTGCTGATGAGCCCGCCGCCGAGGCCGCCAAGGAGGAAGAGGAGGATGAGGATGAGGACATGGTGGGTCACTAGGGTTCTTTTCTCAGGTCATATCGCTGATGCTTTCACCAGGGCTTCGGTCTCTTTGACTAGACGACTGATTCCCAATGCTCATTGGCCACGTTGCGCACCTGGCATGGTAGAGTGTACTATTACGGGTATGCATATCATTGTCTTCAGTATGTTGTCCACTTTTCTTGTCCCGGTCGTGTATGCCCAAGAAATCCATTTCCACTGCCTGAAAATAACCTCATCTCAGCCTAATATCTCGTCGGGTAGTCCCTATGCGCCCGGTACATGTACCGAGCGGTGTAAGGTGGGCCACAGAAGAAGGCACTAGATGGACCTTCAGTACACTGACAAGCGCCGAGACCTCACCTGGTGGCGGCGCAGATGAATCCTGCAATGCCAAGCCATAGAGCTGGCCCGTAAGCCGTGTCGATAGCTGACTCGTGAAACCTGTTACGAGCAGTGACGAAGAGGACGAGGGCAAAGATTTCCGCTACGAGTGCGGTGAGTGCACCAACGGCCTGTGTGTATTGGAAGGCGAGCGTCAGTTCCATATTCTCTTCAATAGAGGGTTGGCTCACCGTCGGAATCCTGAACCAGATCGAATTTTTAGATGGACCCCAGAGGGACCATACGAGACCCCACAGACCCAAGAATATGAGCAGAGCGGCTGCGAAACAGACAGAAGACTCAGCGAATTCGAATGCGAATGGGGAGAGCAGAACAGGAGGCGAGTGAAGGAGAGACAGATAAGATTGAGGGAGGGAGGACCCGACTTACCGATGGGAAATAGAACCAACGTCTGTGTCAACCAATGGATGATTTCCCTGCCGGTCTCGTACCCTATTCTCCTCCTTGAACAAGATCCAAACTGACAATACCCTAGGGTCCCGTATTTGTATCCTGTAGACGTGGAGAGGAAGAAGATGTTCTTGATGTAAGGGATCGAAAAGCTGGTCAGGCATCTGAGAGGAGTAAGATCAGCTGGGAAACAGAGATGAAAGAACGGCCTCACAGCACGACTATACTTGACACGCTTAGGAATACACCGATCAATACATGGCCTTCAAGACAATCGCTTGCCTGGAATCTGTTCCGAGGGATGTAAGACATGGCTTGGATGTGATGATAGAGTCATGAGTCAGTCGACAGTCAGCGTTGATCCCCCTCTCAATCACATCAAGTCAGGTTAGTGTTCAGTGATCTGGTTCTATGCGCCTCCTGTGTGAGTCTCGATTTGGGACACCCGGCACACTGTCCGCATAACACACGGCTGTACACAGTGTTCAGGAATACCGACCCCTCTCCGTCGATGAGAGAGTCATCAGTAGTTCATATGCTTGACCATGTATATTCCAATGCTTCAGAGGAACTATGAAGAACCGCGGGCTGCACTTGGCCTTAACATCGATAGATTTCGTTTTGCTGGAATCTCTTTCCAGGCACAGATGACGTCACGTGGCTATCACTTGGGAAACCATGATCACTCAATGGGCAGCATGTGGAGTGATGGGGGTTATACCACGTTGATGGTAAGTGGATCTATCCCATCGACTGCAGTCATGTCCCGTCTGGATAGTCAGGACGTACACGATGTACAGGTTGGGATCATTGGTTCAGGCAGTATGGGAGCGGTGAGCTGCATAGGATGTTCAATGGATCGTGACGTGTGTCGTACTGACCCTCCTGATGTCAAGGGGATGACGCTGCTGTTTGCAGAGCATGGCGCGACTGTGGGATGCTACGATACAGACAAGGAAGCGGTGAAGACGCTTTTAAGGCAATCGGAAGAGGACAAAGTGGTAGATGAATCGAAAGTCTACGGATTCACTTCGTTGGCAGGGTTGATCCACGCTTTCCCTCGACAAGGGCAGAATCAACCTCGTATCCTTGTACTCAGTCTCCCCCATGGCAGTCCAGCGGATGGAATCTTGGATGAGTTGAAGGATTTACTGGACAAAGGCGATGTGATCTTGGACTGCGGGAACGAGTGGTGGGCCGATACGCAGAAGAGACAGGCGAAATGTGAACGGCTGGGAATCCATTGGATCGGCTCGGGAGTCAGTGGTGGATGTGAGTGGAGCGAAGCGAAGCGAAGGGAAGCGAAGCGAATCTGTACCCACTCGAAATGAGCCTCGCGCATCTTTGCTGACTCGCTGTACTCCAGACCAGGCCGCTCGACATGGCCCTTCCATGTCACCCGGAGGAAGCGAAGAAGCCTACGCCATTGTGGAGCCATACCTTAAACAGTGGGCCGCCAAGACGCCTTCTGGTGAGCCTTGTGTCGCATACATTGGTCCAGGTGGATCAGGTCATTATGTCAAGATGGTGCATAACGGGATCGAGCATGCCCATTTATCCATATTGTGCGAGGTTCGAGCATTGTTACATGGTGTATTGGATTTGGACAACGACACCATTGCCAAGATGTTTGAAGAGTGGAATGAGGATGGACCGCTGCGTGGTAACTTCCTCGTGGGGATAGGATTCAAAGGGCTCAGATTCAAGGAAGGTGATGGGATCAAGAATGAACAAGGGATAGTCGAGGAGATTGAGGATAAAGTCACTCAGGATGCGGACAGGTCTGAAGGTACTGGAACCTGGTCGGCAAGAGTGGGTTTCATTCTCTCCTAAGCCATACATACGCTGTAGCTCACACGAAGCGATTTTAGGAAGCCATGAACCGACACGTCGCCTGCCCAGCCATCGCCGCGGCACATACCCTTCGAATCATTTCCGCCGACAAATTCGAACGACTCGCCGTCGTGCATAATCTCTCGACCCCTCAACCTCAGAAGAAGCCAGTCAAAGATGGCAAACTCGATCCAGAGCTGGCCAAGGCATTTCATCAAGCAACTTACGGGGCTATCCTTGGAGCGTTTGTCCAGGGTCTCGAGCTCATCACGCGTACTTCGACGGATGAAGAATGGGGCGTGTCCCTGGCTACTTGTATGAAGATCTGGCGAGCGGGTTGCATCATTCAATCGGGTGAGTCGGCCTTAGTAGCGGGACAGAGGAGGCTCGCTTACGCCCTTCACTCTCACTCTCAGACGCGATCTGTGATTTGCTCTTGCCTATCCTTGAAAAGTTTGGCCCTTCTCAACCTCTCAACTTGCTCGAGTCGTGTCCTGAAATCGCCTCCGAACTGGCCAAGACCTACGCCTCGTTGAAAAAGATCGTCGCCCTGGGTGTCGAGACAGACGCAGTGATTCCCGCCATGTCGGCGACATTGGAGTGGCTCAAATCGGTAGGCGGGAAAAACCTACCTACGAATTTCCAGGAAATGGAACTGGATTGTGAGTGTGGAAAAAAGCCAAGAACCCACAGGAATCGTCGACGACTGAAGCTGATGCTCGCCGCCTCTCACTATGTTAGACTTTGGACATCACAACTATGACATTGTTGGGAAGACTGAAAAAGGCCATCATAAAGGTCGATACCATACCGAGTTTAAGAGCACTTGAGAGATGACAGAAGCGTGCCCGAGGGTGGGGGGGGGGGGGGCGGGGATGGTCTCGGCGCACCGGATTCATCATTCTTACGTCTATAGAGTACGACATACGTTAGAGAATACGACCCAAAAAAAAGAAAATAAAACTCCTCTCTGTCATGTGAGCTTACTCACAAAAAAGCTAGTTCACCGACACCTCGGGCCCGAGACTGCGTCGATCCAACCACGCCCCGCCCTTACTTGGCGGTAAGGGGCGTTCTCTAGCCTTGCTGGTCACTGTTCGGTCGGTTGACCGGCCGGGCGGGCGGGAGGGCGGGTGAGTGTCGGTTGGTGGAGTACCTTACACACCCTCTCCTGATTTGTAAGCATGCTGCTGTCGTACCTGACGTTCACATGATGCCTCCCTCGCTCGTCTCACGCATTCTCCGCCCCCCGCCCCCGTTGCATGCATACGTGGGTTGGGTCATGAGGAATCCAGCAGAAAAAGTAGTAGTAGTAGCAGTAGCTGCAGCTCCAATGGACCCGTCGATCTGCCGCTGCCGCCACACGCCCCTCTCCCCATGACGTCGATTTCTCGTTTCCTTTCTGTTGGAATCGATCGCGTGAAAAAATGGAGACCACTATATATACCATATGTACGAGAGATCGGACTCACACTACTACATCTCATCCCCTTTCCCCAACAGCTGCTCACCGTCAGAGTCAGCGCCGCTTGCGAAGAGGTTCTTCTGATAGCTCCAGCTCACACCATGGACACTCTGCGAGACTCTGTGAGTGGCAGCTCGATGCTCGCGATGAGCATTTTCGAATGTGGCACACGAACGATTCTGACGGTCATCAGGCATTTGGAGTCTTCGTTCGTGCAATCACTCGAAACAAGGTCTTGTTGTACAAGGAAGAGCGAGAAGGGTTCGAATTACCAGACAAGTACAAGCAGGGTGAAAAGCAACCTCGTGGTGGTAAAGGTCGACGCATTCGAGGGACCAACGATGTCCAATTGGAACGACCGATCACTCCGCCTGGTACACCTCCACCCAGAGAGAGTGACAGCAGTGATGACAGTGCGAGAACGGTAGTGGAGGATGAGGAAAGGGAGCAGAATCAGGACCAGAACCAGAGCCAGAACGGTGAGGGCGGCGAGAACAACGGAGAGAACAGCGACGATATCATCGTGGATTGGTACGGCGATGACGATCAGGAGAATCCCCATAATTGGTGAGCAGTCGACGCCAAGATGCTTTCCGTATTATCGCTGACATGGACCCAACCCGCCCTTTAGGTCAATGTTCAAAAAATGTTGGCTGACCGGTGCCATCATGTTGATGACTTCCTCCGTTTACATGGGCTCCTCAATTTACTCTCCTGCCATTCAGGAAGCCGCCCAATACTTTGGTCTGGGTCAGGTGACAGTGACCCTTGGTCTTTCCCTCTTCGTGGTCGGATACGGTGTCGGTCCATTGTTCCTTTCTCCCATCACGGAAATTCCTCAAATCGGTCGAACGTCCCCTTACATCATCACCCTGGCTCTCTTCACCATCCTCCAGGTGCCCACAGCATTGGTAGACAACTTTGCAGGGTTTGCCATCCTTAGATTCCTCGCTGGATTCGTAGGCAGTCCACCACTCGCTACTGGAGGTGAGTCGTGTCTGGCACTGTGTTTGTATGTTGTCCTGACCCACCTTCCAGGCGCCTCCATTCAGGATGTCTTTGCCCCTCACACCATGCCTTACGCCATGGGCCTATACGGTCTCTCAGCAGCGTCTGCACCTGCTCTCGCGCCCATTGTCTCTTCTTTTGCAGTCCAGGCCAAAGGATGGCGATGGGCATTCTGGATCATGCTCTGGTTGAGTGGATTCTCCTTGGCCGTGCTCTTCTTTTGGCTACCAGAGGTGTGTCATCGGCTTGTGTTTCTCATTGACCTATCGCTGACCGGTCTTCCTTCCTCCCTCTTCATGGTAGACCTCATCCAACACTATCCTCCTTCGCCGAGCCAAACGGCTCCGTAAACTCACTGGGAACGATCGAATTAAGGCTCAATCAGAGATCGACTCAGCTCAGATGACTTTCAAAGATATCGCCATGATGTCCCTTGTTCGACCTATCACCATGACATTCACGGAACCCATCGTTCTGGCCTGCGATCTTTTCATCGGGCTCATCTACGCCATTCTCTATTCGTACTTTGAATCGTTCCCTATCGTCTACAATGAAGGATACGGTTGGAGCTTGGGCGTTGGAACCTTGCCTTTCGCCTCTTTGCTAGTCGGAGCTGCCATCAGTTACGGCATTTACGCCCTGTGGAACAAGTGAGCCAGGGAGGAGGGAGCAACGGCACAGAGCTGATACGTCTCCAGATATTATTTCATCCCCCGGTTTGAAAGACATGGTGAACAACTCAAACCTGAGGCACGACTCCCGATGGCGATGCTCGCTGCATTTTGTTATCCCGTGGGTTGCATGTCCAATCTCGTTGTCTGACTCTATGTGACAGATCTGCCTTTTCTGGTTCGCTTGGACAGCCAACAGAACCTCTTGGGTCTCTCCAGTCATCGCATCCGCATTCTTTGGTCTCGGCGCCACTTGGTCGTTCATGCCCATCTTGACGTACTTGCCTCACACGTACCCACAGTACGCAGCGTCTGTACTGGCATCAAACGATTTCTTCAGGTCCATGCTCGGTGAGTGTGACATCATAGGTCGACATCTCCAGAGCTGATCTTCCGCTGTCAGGCGCTGGAATGCCACTCGCTGCTCACGGTCTCTTTGTCAACCTCGGTATCGACTGGGGTAACTCCCTCCTTGGATTCCTTACCGTCTTGTTCATTCCTATTCCGTGAGTTCTGCGCATCTCCCGTAAACCTTATGACCTACCATATTGATGCCTATGCCCAGTTTCGCTCTCTGGAAGTTTGGCCCTTGGCTCCGTGCCAGATCGCCCATGGCATTGCACGACGATGATCTCAAAGAGAGAGATAAAGGACCTCATGCAGTGCGCGCTCACGAGGTCGAGGAATCGGCTTAGGCGTATCGCACTTTGACTCTTGCTCAATTATCACACAAGCTATAATAAAGCATTCATTCTATATATCCCTCCGTCTAGACTCTGTAGACTCAAATCACACTGTAGCCATAGTCCACATATTGAAACATGTAGCTTATAACATGGTGATCTGACCAAGAGCGTCCGCGGGCCATACATATCCTTTATGGTACTGATCGGAGGATCCGATCGAGGCATGTGACACGGCTTTGCCGATAACCGATAACCGCACTCCGAATACAGAGATCGGATTTCGAGCGTGAGTCTCCTCAGCGTTGTGGAAGACTGGTCTCTACCGTCGAACGTCCTGAAAGGATCGATGTGCATATCTCCCCTTGAAAAGTAGAGGTTCCTTTAAATCTCTCCTTGAAGCTCCCTTGAAGAAGGAGAGATAGCATCAGTTGAGAAATAATATAAGACATTGGGCGAAGGTCGTCTCTCGTTGACTTCCACGCTTTAGAGGTTCGCGCCAAATCTTTCAGTACTTCGTCATGACGCTTAACCTGATCGAGGCTACGCTGCAAGAAGTGGTTGCAGCTCTGGAGGCCAATCAGCTTACGAGTGAACGACTCGTCAAACTATATCTTGGTGAAGTAACCAGCACTTCTCACATGAAAAATTGATGCTGATCTTTGGGTAGAACGTATCGATAAGGACAATATCAAAGGCCTAGGTCTACGAGCCGTCATCCAGACTGCACCGATCGATCAGTGTGAGTGACAAATTCAGCCTTCTACAGCATTCAGACTGACAAGCGATTCTCTGGCAGTGATTCGTACTGCAAAGCTTCTGGATGCCGAGAGGGCAGCTTCAAAGACCCGGAGTGTTTTGCATGGTGTTCCGGTGCTCGTGAAGTGGGTCATCGGAGGCTGAAGTCCGACCCCTTCTCGAAGCTGAATCAGCTGTCAGAGATTCTATTTCAACACACCCCTCAATGGGTATGCAGACCACGGGAGGATTGTTGGTCCTCGGTGAGGGTTTGATGAAAGCGCTTAATGATACGTACTGTACGAGCTGATGTATTTCAGAGGGATCCACCGTGAAGAGGAATGCTTCGATCATAGACCATCTGCAGGAAGCAGGTTGCATCAGTGAGTCTAGACGGTATCTGCTCTGCTGATCGCTCGCCAGTCCTTGGCAAGGCAAATATGACTGTTCTCGGCAATTTTTATGGCACGCAGCCCAGTGGATGGTCACCTCGTGGTGGTCAGACCATCTCATTCGTCAAACGTGACAGGGGTCCAAGTGGCAGTTCTTCCGGTAGTGCGGTAGCGCTGTCCGCTGGATTCTGTGCGTTCTCCATTGGCGGCGAAACGTGTGGCAGCATAGTGCGTATCGAAAACGCCGTCATCGGCACGAGCTGCTGGAGACTTGACTTCCTAGAGCTGATACATGGATTACCTAGACTTCGCCTGCTGCTCGAGCCGGTCTGTACGGCATGAAACCTACCATTGGATTAGTACCCGTCGACGAATGTATCGGTATCAGGCGAGTCCGGGTCTGCCTCAACTGCATTCTCCAGGCTGACTCGATGTCGAACCTGTAGCTCACGTGTGGATTGCCTCGGACCAATGGGCAAATCGGCTTGGGACATCGCAGCCATTCTTGAGAAGATCGTCGTACCTGGACGATCATTCGTTGCCTACACGCAGAAACCATACGACAGAGTCTCGACCTCTCCTATTCGATTGGGTATTCACCGAAACCATGTGAAACCTGAAGGATCTGAGGACGATGAAGTGACAGCGGAGCTTCGGGAAGAAGCTCGACATATGTTCGAGAACGCCTTGGAAAAGCTCATGCCGATGATAAAGGCCGATCCAGCAGACACTGAAGATGTCAACGCAATGTTTCAAGGACCAGCTGCCAGCGACAAAGAGGGTGAGAAGCCCAGCTTCTTGGACGGTCCCAATCAGATCTTGTTCGAGGTAGAAGCCTTCGAAGCCATCAATGAGCATTTGGCTCGAATCGACAACTGTCCAGTCAAGAATCTCAAAGACCTGGTAGAATGGAATGAGCAGCACCCAGTGAGGTGACATCTGAATTTTCTATTCCGCTCACCATAACCCACCAGGAACTCGCCTTTCATTCGCCTGGTCAGCCAGACCAGCAGAAGGAACTGGTGGCTACACTGGCTCGTGGTGGAATCAGAGACGAAGTCTATCACCATGCGTTGGCAATTGCGGAGCGTGTTGGGCAAAATGTAGAGGCGACCTTCGCTCAACTTGATGTGGACGTCCTGGTCTTTCCAGCACCTTTCGCATGTCTTGCCAGCTCGATTGCCTCGAGTGTGGGGTTCCCTGTCGTGAGTGTCACCTCGTCACACAAGCATGGCAGTGTCTCAACTGGTCGGATTTCAGGCTACCATACCGATAGGTACATTCAGTACTGGTCAGCCTTGCGCAATCAACCTTTTGGCCCTCAAAGGTCAGGATGAGCACGTCATCGCAGCCATGTGAGTGTGATTTAGGGATCGATGAAGGGCAATACATCTGAATCATCTTTTAGGGCTGCCTGGGACAGTGTGCACGAGGCTTGACTGGCTCAGACTGTGAGCATCAAATAACAGAGATCTAGGACGGAAAGCTCTACAGTATCTTGCATACATCACATTACCATCTACTCATACCGTCGCTCACAGCGTTACGGTGACCCGCTCTCTAGATGACTTGAAACCTGCCTCAATTATGCGTAATAATAGCACCGCTTGGTCCGGACTGATGGCTAGCTTCGACTCGTCGCCAGACTTTATGGCGTCGTACAAGTTGGCGTAGATTGCGGGATACTCGCCCTGACCCGTGGGATATCTAATAATACTTCATCAGCATGCGGTACGTGAGGTCCCGCAGTGGTTCACAAAGGCCTACTTTTCCAGAGGTAACAGTTCGGCCGACGCTCCGTCCTGAGCTCTATCGCCTGCGTTCTCTTTGACGAGCTGGAGGCTGCCGTACATCTGAACACGTGCTCAGTCGACATGACATGGGAAATGAACTGAACTCTCACGTCTGGATCTGAAGCTTCCGAATCCAGTCCATGTTTGGTGTAGGAGCCTTTGAGTCCCTTGACGACGAAACGGACTTGGGGGTCCATCGGTGAGAGCATACGAGCGTGAAGGTGCACGAAAAGAGGAGCATATGAGTTGCTTTGAGGTGGATACTCGAGCATCATGGAGAACTGAAGGGGAGGGTAACAAATCAGTATCTGTGGGGAAAAGATGTTACGAGCAGCGACTTTTAGTACTGACTGAATCGTCTAGGCCTTGAGTACCTCGCATGGACCAGCTTCGGGCCGTCACGTTCATCGGTTCACCGAGTAGATCGATGACTTGATCAATGATGTGAGAGCCGAGATTGTATAGGTTATCGTTGTATTCTCCCGGTGTCTCCTTCCAGCTTGAAGGGTTGATAACGGACAGAGGTCGGAATCGGTCATAGTGAGACACCAGCTCTGTCAATGGGCCGAGCTAAGCATGTTGAGTTTCAACAAAGAGATCACAAGACGGGTGGGGAGAGATGAAAGAAATGGTGATGGTGATGGTGATGATAATGTTCATGATTTCATCATGATCCAGGCTCACCTTTCCACTACTGATCAGCTCTTTCAACGTCAAGAAATCGGCATCCCATCGTCGATTTTGAAACACCGTCAAGATTCGCTTCTGCTTCTTGGCTAACGCGAAGAGCTCTTCAGCTTCCTTTGCAGTCGGAACGAGCGGCTTCTCGCATATCACTGAATGATCAGATCAGCATGTACCTAGAGGACCGACGGAGAGGAGAGCGAGAATCTCTTCCCATCCATAGAGCCAAACTCACCATGCTTCCCTTTCATGAGCGATCTCTGACAGTACTCATAGTGCGTCTTATTTGGCGAACAAATCGCGATGAGCTCGACGGCAGAATCGTCCAAGACTTCATCGAGAGTCTTGACGACCTTGACGTCGGTTCCGACTGTCCTTCTGCATGTCTGCTTGCCTGATCGCTCGACAACGGAATGTAGAACAAACTTATCAGGTAGAGCTTGAAGGATTGGGTAGTGCAGATGGGATAGAGACATCCCTGTGCCTACTATGGCTACTCGAATGCGATCGTCGGTCATTTCCAATGTGTCGGACAGAACAGAAACAGAAAGGTTGTCAGACACCTAGTGTCGCCTCCACTTCATGTCATCACCACACACACCGATCCTTCGGATCCCGGCTAATCCGGCCCGCGAGACTGCCTCAACCTCCGTCCGTCAGGCACCCAGTTTCCCAGATCAAACACCCATGCATGCCATCGCATATTCCCAAGATATTGTGTACACTTTCTATAGATCGTCCATCTATGAGAAACATGCTGATTAAGAAAAAACTGTTGAAGTCTGATAGCACACCTCTAAAACACGCCCCAGATGAGATTCTCAAAGTCCAGTATGACTGTCAGGAGGTCCCTGGTAGTGTTTACGTCCAAAGGCAAGGTACCACACGCAACACAAGGCTGCGGCAGCCACGAAGACGACAGAGGCGTCTGCACAGGATTTCAGGCAGATCATAGACGCTGAACGGGACAATGACTCACAATTCATGTTGACCTCGGTGACAGGAAGGTAAGGAGGGAAAGACAGAATGGGAATAGCCAGCGTGAACCAAGCGATGGAGACACTGAATGAATTCCGATCAGTACAGGTATGAGAGCGAGTGTCAGTCCTAGCTCACACGTTGGCGAAGTAACCGAATTTGCCTTTGTAGAACTTTGCCCCTTGGATCTTCTTACGTCCTTCCAGGAACGAGACGAGGATGGGCACGAAACAAGCCGACCCGAGACAGATGACTGAAACACCCAAGAAAGCGTTGAAGGCTTCGGTCGAGCCGAAGTAGATGCAGGCAAGAGCGCATTGGATGATCGAGTGAAGGAGGAAACCGTTCAGAGGCATTTCAAATCGCGCAGAGGTCTTGCCAAGGATGGATCTTCCGGGGAGACCGCCATCACGGGCGAAGCTGCAATCGTCAGGGAGAGTCTCTCTCTATTACGCTAAATGCTCACGCCCAGACACATCGAGAAGCGGCTTGGGAGCAAGCAAGACCGCACGATAGACCAATGACAAGGACTGGAGTCATTAGTGGTAACTCCAAGATAGCATGGCAACACTCACTCAGGAAGAAGAGACCAAACGCAGCCTTGGTGCTACCAGTAGCCTCCAAGAAAATCTCAGGCAACGGCTGACCAGTAGGACTGGCAAGAATTCGGCTGAGATCTCCGAGGGTGAACATGATGGGGAGGAGGAACATGAGACCCAAAGTACCGCTGAAGCGCAAGTCAGTCGGTGGGTCATGACCGAATGGGAAACGCACTTTACTACAACTCCCCATACCCTGTTTTGGTCAGCCGAAATCTCATGGGCAAGGTCGTGTCCACTCACATCGCCCTAGGAATCGACAGCTCTGGAAGAATAGCTTCTTCCGCCATAGCGGGCAGCATTCCCGTGGCACTGAAACAGTAGGCACCTTGAATAAGGCCGAGGACCCATTGCTGCAGGATTAGCTGGATTTTTTCGATCGGAATTTCTCACCATGCCTCGAGGCCATCCGGCACCCATGTCGACGAATTTACTGATCGTAAGTGACTCGACACAAGCTAAAAACTCACGTGAAAACGTATTCAGCAGATCTGTGACCCATGTGTGCTTTGACCGGCAAGGTGATAACTGTGGCGAGAACACTGAAGGGGAAAATCAACGTGAATCTCCAAAGACGGAGCGCGCCCACTCACGCTGACACGATGATGATGATGGTGAAAGTCTGCGTGGTTTAGCCCGAGCGTCTTTCTCGTCACTCACATCCACGTGGTGCATCCACTGCTGTCCGACCAAAGCGATGACACCGAGGAGGATGATACTGATTGTCAGCGAAAGATGGTCGCGTGACACTCACATGGCCATCGAAGTGAGAACGGTGTGGAACGGCTGGGGCTCGTAGGTCGGGTTGAAGACTATCAAAGGTCAGTCACAGGCAGTGAGTCCCTTGCAAAATACTCACGGATGACAGACGAGAGGATGAGCTGAGCCGTCCTGAAATTTCTCTGGGTTAGGATTGACTATGACGCAAAATGGGTCGTGTGCTCACGCAAAATTGACAGCGAGGGTCACTGTGATGTTTCCGACGACTGACAACCATCCCACGATCCAGGACACGAGTGGTTTGAGCTTTCTGGGGGAAAGCATGTACGACCAATAGTAGACACCACCCGAGACAGGATATTGAGAGGCGATTTCACCGAGAGAAACAGCGACGCAGACGTAAATGCTTGACATGATGATCCAGTCCCAGATGGCTACCATGGCTCCTCCATCACCTAGAGTGTAGAAAAAAGTCGTGGAAAGACCGTAGGGGACAGAAGAGAGGACGATGGTCATTGCCCAAAGGGTCAGGAAGGATTTGGTCTGAGCGGAAAGGTTAGTCACTTTTGTACAGGTCTAACGTCTGCACCCACTCGAGGAAGCTCTTGAGCATATCTGACAGTGGGTCGTTAATAATCGTCTACAGTCGAGCTTGAAAACAGCTGAGACTCACCCCAGCTCCTCCAATGTCCTGTGATCCTCTCGGAATCCGACGAGCTCATCGCTGTCATTGGGTCGGGTGACTTCCTTGATCTCTGCAGGTCGAAAATGAGCTTCCTGCGAGCACGGGCCGTGGGATATCCAAAACATACCGTTGGACATGATGAGATTCCTTTGGAGCTCCTCTTGAGATCAGCCGACGATACTTTGGTTCTACGAAGGTCAATCGGATATCTCTTGACAGATAAGAAGAGTGGGATCAACGTCAAAAGAGAACCTATCTGATCTTTTTTTCAAGACGTCCCACCAAAAAAAAGGGGGGAAGAGCTACCGAGCGCGCCCACGTGGTATAAGCAGTGGCGACTGATTTCTCGCTCTCAGGCTGGATGGGTGAGTAGGCAGTATGGCGAGTGACACGGCACAGGCTAGCACGAGGGACAGCAGATTCAGTGATTCAGAAGAGTAGGCCATAAAATACACTGGGTCTCTCGCTTCTCTTCTTCAAGATTCTGTGGCTACCCCGTGAAGGATACCTCAGAAGTGGCCGGTGTCTGCATCGGCTATGGTAAACGACTTGACGGTCGTCATTATTTTTGGGGCTGCATAGGCATCCCATCTCATCCGTAAGGCTGAGCACTAACGCATCCGGGACCTTAGAGTCCCATTCTCACTTCCATTTGTATATGGTCTAGGAGCGAAGGCTGCAAAGCCTGCTGAGTCGCGACGATCTGCGCTTTCCGACTCATTACGTAATATTGGCGCGTCGCGGAGATCATTCAACCCTCGTTCAACCATGTTGAGATGAGGATGATGATGCTCTGATCAGCTTCAGAGGCGATTCGATCTGTGAAGCGACCTCTGCCATACTTTGCAGTTGGTCTCTCTCTCTGATATTTGCTATCCTTCGCCATGTTCTCTCAGACTTCAACTTCCGGCGTCGTCGTCTCGAAGCTTGGAATCGAGGCTTGTGCCTGCGGAGATGTTGTGACGGGCGTGTTGTGCTTGAAAGTGAGGACCACTGAGCAGGATGGACCCCATTCGACGGCGGCGCAGAGGTCTCACGAGTCTGATAGAGCTGACCTCAAGGAAACCTATAGGTAAATACACCATCCGATGGGACTCGGTACAAGATTCCTCTGCTTACTGGTTAGCATGAAGACCTTCGGACACAACCTGCCTTGACTGACACCCCTTGCAGGCTGGGGCAACATGATCACCTCCTCGCCTCTCATTTATCCTTTTCGGCTATCCGTCGATGATATGCTCCCATCTCACTACGAGACTGCCCGTCGGCTGCTCTCTCCGCCAACCACATCGCGGGCTCAGACTGCTCCGCAGGCAGCACCATCCATCGAGCTGAGCAATGACCAAGTGGTCCTGGTTGGTCAAACTTCTAGTCATGGTCGTTCAACTGGAGAATCAAGCCGTAGAGGTAGTATGAGCAGAGTCGACTGGATGATCATCCTGCCGTTCGAGTTGGGCGTGACGAGATCAAATTCAGGAGCATTCAGTGTGAGGTTCTGATTTCCTGGTTTGTCTGTCATTCAGCTAATGCGTATTCGCAGGTTCGGCTTCCACTACCAAAATGCCTCGACAATGTGCTTCGATTACAAATTGCTTCTGCTGAACGCGACAAGCCAATGGGCGAAGTGAGCATCTTGACGGAACCGAAGATCCTACCGGTCCCTGCATCGACCTTTGATTCTCCTAGCAAGGCTCAGAAGGGTATACCCGGGACGCCGAAGGGGAAACTTGAACAGTGGAATGATTCAAAGGACACAACCGACGAGTCAGACGAGGATGACGCATGTTGGCTCGAGGGGAGATTTCAGAGGTGAGCGAGTCAAAAAGAAAGTAAGCTCTCTAGCCGGCACTGAATGATTCCAGCACTGAGTCTCTGTCTCTGGAATGGGTCATGGCGTCTACGATGCCATCAGCGAGGCTCCTGGTCGAGCCCCGATGGCGAGCAGAACGGTCGTCTATAAACGTTCATTTCGAGGCGCTCATACCCACTCTGGATCAGATATTGGCCATCGAAACAGTCATCCCCAATGGTTGGGTGTGGTCTTCACTGTCAATCGCTGGCGATGAGCTGATGTCCTGGAGGTCATTCGATGGACATTCATCGAATATTGAGTCATCATGGAGGTTGCCAGATAAAGGCTCGATCGCTACGGGTCCAGCTCTCGCCGAATCTGAAAATGAAGATGATGGTCTCGATCTCGATCAGCTAGAAGATTCCTTCACCACACTTCGATCCAGGAGTTATCACAATCCTATTATTGGTGATGCCTGTCTTCCTACGCCTCCAGTCTCCTCTCATAAACAGGTCAAAACAGGAACTACCTTGCGTACCACACGGGCCTCGTCAAGTCACGCAAGTCTCTTGAGGCAGACCATGCCTAAGGAGTTGGAACGCATGGACGACTTTTCGTTCGAGATCAATGCGCTGGAGGAGGATGGCCCAAGAGATGCGGCAAGTCGCACGCCATCGGCAACACCTCTTCGCGGTGTGCATGTGACAAATTCAAGGGGAGATCATGGACTGGCTACACCGAGACTGACCCCTTCTCCACCCGTGACGAATCTCTCTCTTGCGCACGATACGACCCGTAAATTCCAAAGGCCATCAAACGATCGACTATTCGACCTCGAATTCCGCTCATCGGCGACCGAGATGAGGTCCTTCACTCTGCAGGGCACATTAGTGCCTCTCCATCGGACTTTGGTGACTTCCTCCTTGCCATTGATTGTACCTTTCGTCAAAATCGATCATGAAGACGCGCCAACCTCGTGCACCGTCCAATGCGATGGCGCCGCTTTGCATTCTCGCAATGACCAGGAAGTCGGCTCAGACGTCTGTGACATCAGCGAAAACTCCATTGGGACATTCCAGTGGCCTGGCGGTGGTGGTGCAGCCATCTCTCAGAAATTGAATGGGACTGTCAAGGCAGTTCTGCATCGTAAACATCTGGAGGACACATCGTTTCGTCTAGAGATTGCCATTCTGGTCGATCGATCCAGCCAGGAGATCGGCTTTCGACTACCATCAGGATATGCTTCGAGGATTCAAAAGGCCACCCTCGCAGGTATCAATCTCAAGACGGCAATAGGTCCCGTGGTATCTTCCAGCCCGATTCAGTTATCGGGAGCTGAAATCAGATTCGGGACAAAAGGCAGATCAGGAGTCCTCCTGGCGTCAATCGCTTTGGAGCAGACTGAGGAGGCAAATATAACAGAAGATCCTGTTGAGGAGACACGCATTCCCATGGCGGAGTTTGAAGGCGATGGCAAGCTCATCCTGAATCTACGCGGGGCATGGGGTAAGCGGACTAGATGAAGCTCTACTCATTCTATACTCGCAGATCGCCGACGCTCGAGATATCATGGTAACTTTGCTGCCGAGCTGGAACACACTGGACTGTCTTTTACTTTCCCCTTCAACACCGTACCCGAACTCTTCTACCGCTCCGGCGACGTCTCATCAACGACCTGGAGCGAGACACGATCATCGTCATGGAGATCCCGGACACTACCATCTTGGAGCACTCTGCTCAACATCTTCTTTATCTGGTTACTGCTTTCCTTAGGCCAGCAAGTCCAGAGACTTCGGACAGAGGTGGCCTTCGTAGCGGAAGAGACACGAGATCTGAGGCAGTTCGGCTGGTCCTTCCCGCAAAGTAGCATCGTCTCATCCGAGGAAGTGACGGTGCCCCGGGGCGAGGATCCTCCGCCAGATGATAAAATTCCTGACCTGGTCACGCCCCTGGAGCATCGCGAACTGGATCTTGGCTCGCAGGACAAACTATCTCTCGCTCTCGGGCGAATCGTACCCGAACACGTACGATGGACCGCTTTGTTCGAACATCCAGCGTGAGTCGGAGTATTGGGCATGACGACCATATGGCTGACTTAGTGGGAAGGTTGCAATCTGTTAGCAATGGTTTAGACTGGTTATGGCGTGCTGTCGTATGGCTCATCGCTCCAAGTTGACCACCCTCATGTGATCTTATATTCCTCTGAGCCGGCCAGGCTGTTTAGGCATTGATGCAATGTGCCTGCATGCCCAGACTCAGAGGTGACGAGGTTTGCCATTCTGATGCAGACACGGCACTGTACGATTAGACGAATTTAAGGATTCCTTCCGCTTGCGTTTCACTTTGGGAATCCAACAAGCTCCCCGCTGACTAGCCGTCCCTCTTTGATGACCGCTATCAGGTTTTCCTCTGGACGATCGAGCACACATATATCCTCCAAGGGGTTCTTTTTCAATACGATGAGATCCCCAAACGCCCCCTGACGGACCACGCCAAGCTTGCCTTCTTGCCCCAACATCTTGGCTGTGATCACAATCAGCTCGCCAGGTGAACAAACGAGACTCACCGGGATTTACGGTAGCGTGCTTGAGGATCTTGGCTGCAGGTAGAATTCTGGACCTGACTGTAAACTCTTCGGTTTGGAGAGCGTGCATCGAGATCAACAGATCTGACCCGTAGCATATTGTTACTCCCGCTTCGTCGGCCATCTGATCGGTGTCAGCGAACACCCTTTGACCTTGTGAGCTTACTCTGAGGGCTTCCAAACCCTGCTGCATGACTTGCTTGTTCTTGATCTGACCGCTCGGCGGTAAAAAGTTTTCAAAAGGCCTTCTGACCATGATTCCATAACAGCTGAGCGTGGGCGTAAGGTAGATCCCTTTCCGAGCCATCCTGAACAACTGTCAACCTGATTGCACCAGACCAACACGGACAGCGCTGCGCTGCGCTCACATCTCGGCCGTTTTCTGCTCTATCAAATTCCCATGCTCGATCCCTCTGACGCCATTCGATACTGCGTGTTCGATCGCTTCGGGCGTGTAAGCATGCGCAGTGCACATTTTTTTCCCCATTTGCCATGCTGTCGATGTGATCGCTCGTATCTCCTCTGCGGAGTATTGGACCGTCTAGATTTCAGTAAAGACGAGAAGAGGTCTATATCTCACCTCTATAGCATCCGTTTCGCTGGCCACACCTCCACCCACCATGATTTTTATAAAGTCGGCTCCTTGTTTGAGCTCCTCGCGTGTTGCTTTCAGCACAGCAGGTACACCATCTGCTGTCCTTCCCAAACTCCCCGAATGACCAGAACAGCATCCTAAGCCATCACCTCCCGATTGGGCCGGTGAGAAATCTCCATGACCCCCCGTCTGAGAGATCGCGAAACCGCATTGAAACAATCTGGGTCCTTCCAGCAGACCCTCAGCAATGGCATTGGCAGTATCTTTCGTTGCTCCGCCCGTATCCCGGATCGTCGTAAAGCCTCTTGAGAGCATCGATTTGAGGACATATGTAGACCGGAGGGTTGTCACTTGAGCGTTTGTTCGAACCATATCTGCGATAGTCTGGGGGAACATCAGCACAGAAAATTTTCAAGGATGGCTCACGTTTGACCCTGGAATGGCTGAAATGTGCACATGGGCGTCGATGAGACCTGGACAGACAAATCGGCTGTCCAGATCAATCTTCGGGGCTTTGGTGTCCGTGTAGGTGAATGAGTCGGTCAGACCGATGGAGGCAATGTGACCATCGATGATCTCGATAGTCTGGAGCCCATCGAAGAGCTTGCCCTCCTCAGTATCGATGACCTGAGCATTGATTAGGTAAATTCTTGGAGCAGCGTGGAGAGGCATCCATGGCTTGACGCGTAAGAGAGGGAGCCTGGGCAATCATGGTCAGACACCTCTCCCGTCTACTGTAAGGTGACTCACACTGCATCTCTAGGCTCTGGATCATTTGGAAACGGCCAGTCTTTGGCTTTATGAGTGCTGACCATCATGTATAAAATAATCTCAAAGAGAGAGCGATACTCCATGAAACGAACGGGACTTGGATCGGACTGAGCCGATTTGTTTTTCCCCACCCTTCGGGCCGACCCGACTCCTATCGGTCAGACATTCCTCGGGGACAGTCGGATGACAAGCACCGGGGAAGAGAGTGGAGAAGCTACCGAGTCGAGTGATAAGGTCGCGAGCCTTATCTCGAATGCTCCTTTTCAACATGATACCACTGAATTAGAACCGGAGCAGAAACGTCTTGAAAGCCATGACTACCGACCTCACGACTCCTCTCGATCCGCTCGATGCCATCGAACCGAAAGGTGATGAGGTGGAATACGAAGTGGGGATGAATGATAAGGGCGAAAAGGTCCAATTGGACACCATCACACCAGAAGAAGAGAAGAAAGTATTGAGGAAAATCGACTTGATCGTCTTGCCCCTGTTCTTCTTGATCTATGGATTCCAGTACCTCGACAAGATTGGTAAGGTCTTGGTCTATTGAACGCCTCAGCTGACGTCAAGCCCTGAGCTATGCCGCCATATTTGGAATGAAGACCGATCTTCACCTCGTAGGACAAGATTACTCGTGAGGGCGCACAGATTGAGCAAAAAAAGACGCAGCTGACCTTTAATAAGATGGTGTGCGAGCATATTCTACTTTGGTCAACTTGCCTCCGAGTTCATCGCTATCAAGGCATTGCACATTTTCCCCATCAAGCTGTATGTAGGAGGTATGTGTGGGACCTCGGAACCAGTGCATCGTTTTTACTGACCTGAGGCGTCTAGTCACTGTGGTCGCCTGGGGAGCTATCATGATGTGTAATGCGACACCTCATGATTTTGGAGGTCTCATGGTCGCGCGCTTCTTCCTTGGCCTCATGGAAGGTAGTGTCGCTCCGGCCTTTGTCGTCTTGATCTCGCATTGGTACAGGTAAGGACAAGTCTCGCTCTCCATATGATCACACTGATGGACGATTCTACAGAAAGCACGAGCATCCTCTTCGTATCGCAGTCTTTGTCACGGCCGATGCTGTAGCCCAGATTGTCGGAGCTCTTCTCCTCTTTGCACTTGGTGGTGTCGACTCTGCGGCGATAGCAGGATGGCGGATCTCCTTTCTCGTTGCTGGGACCCTGACCATCCTCATCGGAGGGATCTTTCTCCTTGTCGTCCCAGTGTCCCCTCATGCTGCCTGGTTCCTGAACGAGAGAGAAAAGTACGTCGCCGTAGAGCGAGTCGCAAGAGAACATGCGAGCGGTCAGCATTCCGAATGGAGATGGGATCAGATGTATGAAACGCTCAGGGATCCGCTCGTAAGTTTGATGAACATGTAAAGGGGCGACAGATGTTGATTTCTCCGGCCAAAGTTTTATCTCATCTTCACTTGGGCGTTTTGTATCTGCGCAACTTCAGTCGTCAGCTTCGGTTCCATTGTCATCAATGGGTTTGGCTTCTCTCCCTTGAAGGTGAGTCATGTGCAGAGTGTCGGTAGCTTTTCTGACGACCGCAGACTGTCATCGTTGGTTTGCCAGGACCGGCCATTCAAATCACAACCATTTGGCTGGCGGTCTTGGCCACACGGATCTGGAAAGGGGCAAGAGGGTTCATCCAAACCGCGTTCATCCTTCCGCCCCTCATCGGCGTCATCATGCTCCAGACGCTGCCATACGAGCGTAAATGGGCCTTGACAGGGGGTTATTGGCTGGGTGAGTCGTTCGCAAAGGTCCAAATTCTGCGAACTGAATCTTCAGCCACCTGCAACTCCTCCGTGTTCGTCATCAACATGTCTCTGATCTCTTCCAACATCAAGGGTCACACGAGAAAATCACTGTGCTCATCCGTCTACTTCATTGGTGCGTCCGCGTCTGTTCCGAAGAAGGAAGGAAGAGAGCATTGTAGCTGAAATTGGATCAGGCTATGCGGTCGGATGTGTCGTCGGTCCTCAATTGTTCATCTCCGTCGAGGCACCACTGTACCCCACGGCCATGCGAACCATTGCGGGGCTCTACGTCGTCTTCATCATTGCCCAACTGACGTTCATGGGCCTCAATTGGAAGGAGAATCGTAGACGGGACAAGTTGGCAGCTGGAGGGATGGAGAGAGCTATTCATAGACCTGCAGCTGGGGAAGACAACGAAACAGACAAAGAGGACCTGGGATTCCGGTATGTCCTGTAGATCTAGGAGCTCAGTCCAGTCCGGTATGGCGATGTGTCAAAAGCCTGTCGGTCCGATGGTTGGAGATGCAGACCTTTGGGTTTGGACACACGAGAATCGGATCACGGTCCGATATCCAATCCATGCGACAACCACTACTATCTCCGATCGCGGAGATCTGGGCCTTGTCTCTTTCAGTCAGATGCAGTTGAGCTTCGTCGTGTGAAATTTCCCATGGGACCCCAGTTGGGCGCCTCTTTGCCGTCGCAAATGGAACATCTCTTTCAAAAGACAATCGATCCGAGATCGGACCATGTGTATAGACTCGTGAAATCGACGCCACATCAAGAAAGTCTTTTGGAGCCAAAAATAATTATTACGTCCTTTTGAAGCTTCTTTCTCCTCTTTGCCTCTTTTGTCATTTTTTTCAATTCGTGCCAAGACGGTTTTAGCAGCCAGACAGTCGGTCGTGGGATTATGTATAAGTACACCGAGTGCTGAAGTGCTGCTTAAGAACCATAGTAGCCGCAGACACTCTCTCACGCGATCATCTAACAATCACTGGTCTGGATTTGAGCAAGGGTCATCAAATCTCTGGACCCATTCCATTTGCCCACGACAGATTGTCCGCCTTTCCTAGCCATTGCACGACATGACGAACATCACCGAGGCCAAGTTTCATGAAGTCGATGCAACCGATATCAATGCTGCGACTCAAGATTCTCCACATCATCCAGATAATATCTCCAAGGACAAAGCGGCCATGAAGAGCATGTATGAGGCTGCGAAGTCTGCATCGGGTGAGTGTGGCACTCTCCAAAGGAGGTCCCACCCTTTCTCTCTCTCTTTCGGTGCTGACTCTGACGTCCCAGACAAGGAACATAAGATGACCTTGATGCAGGGACTTCGTCTGTACCCCAAGGCGGTAGCGTGGAGCATTCTCATCAGTACCTGTATAGCCATGGAGGGCTATGATGTGGCGTTGGTGAGGATGAGAGAATGACAACGTGATTGATATCTTGCCCATTGCTGACGCTACGACGACACAGGTCGGCAACTTTTACGCCTTTGACACGTTCAATCGCAAGTATGGTGAATTGACCAAGGATGGAACGTACCAAGTTCCAGCGCGTTGGCAAGCTGGCCTGTCAAATGGGGCACAATGTGGAGAGATTATCGGACTCATCATCAATGGCGTTGTATCCGAACGGTTTGGATACAGATACACCGTCATGGCTTGTCTCGTCGCCATCACCGCGTTCATCGCTATCTTCTTCACCGCACCGAATATACAGGTCTTACTCGTGGCTGAAATACTCGCGGGTATCCCATGGGGTGTCTTCCAGACCTTGACGATCACCTATGCGTCAGAGGTCTGCCCAGTAGCTTTGAGAGGTTTCTTAACATGTTATGTCAATTTGTGAGCGGAGAGCCGGGCGGGACGACGTGAAGCGGAGGGCAGAGATGCATAGCTGACACTAGTCAAGCTGCTGGGGTCTGGGACAGGAGATAGGTATGTATACTCGGAAGAGAGCGGTCATGTGCTCATCAACTGCTCAGCTATCGGAGTTATCAAAGGCGTCTTGCATCGGACCGATGAATGGGCCTACAAGATCCCATATGGTCTGCAATGGATGTGGCCGGTGCCATTGTTCATCGGCGTGTGGTTTGGTGAGTCCTCTGCCTTTGCACACTTCGTATACTGCCACTCCTGAGCTGACATTTCTCCCAAGCGCCGGAATCACCCTGGTGGCTCGTACGACATGGCAGAATCGAGGATGCGAAACGATCTCTGTTACGACTCACGTCCAAGTCTCAGCAAGACGACTCAGATCCCGACGAGACAATCGCCATGATTCAACATACGACAGAACTCGAGAAGGACATCACGAGTGGCGCTTCGTACTGGGACTGTTTTAAAGGCACCGATTTGAGGCGGACGGAGATTGTCTGTGTCATCTGGAGTATCCAGACACTGTCTGGGAATACATTCTCCAACTACTCCACATACTTCCTGACTCGTAAGTCTCTTCGTCATGCCTTGGTGCGGCATCCGGCCTCCCCTCCGAGGGACTCACCCCAGGACTTGACGATTCCCCGAAAAATCTTCCCGTACACCAAACTACAAGTCTCCACGTTTGTCAGGTCGCTGACGGCACTCTCCAGAGGCCGGATTGGACCCGTCCGCATCGTACTCCTTTGCCCTCGGGCAATATGGAATCAACATGATCGGGGTCTTAGGGGCATGGTCTCTCATGGCTTTGGGGATGGGTCGACGGACGCTTTTACTCGGTGGTCTGACCGGTCTCTGTGTAACGCTTTTTGTCCTTGGATTTTTGGGCATTCCGAAGACCAATGCCGCCCATCTAGCGACCGTGAGCGACGTCCGGGATTCTACTTCTGTTGTCTCTTTGCTGATCAGACAAACCCAGGGGTCTATCATGCTTGTGTGGGCGTTATTCTACCAATGTTCAGTCGGGTGAGTGCCACAGAAATACTAGTCGAGCGAGAGCAATGGGTGGACCACATGAGCGGTGTCTTGGGGGTCATGGTCATTCATGGATTCTTCTTTTGACTCCTCCCCCTCCCATTTGGTTTGCGCGTTTTACAATGATCCGGCCCAGACATGCTACGCCGAGAGACGAGAACAAGACATGGCTGATATACTCGCTCCAGAACCATTGCCTATTCGCTTGTGGCGGAAATGTCGACCCGGCGACTTCAAATCAAGACGGTCGTGCTCGGTCGATGCTGCTACAACATCACAGCCATCATCGCCAATGTCCTGACTCCCTATATGATCAATCCGACCGCCTGGGCATGGGGTAATTATGCTGGCTTTTTCTGGGGAGGATCCTGTTTACTATGCTTGATCTATGCGTATTTCCGCGTCCCGGAACCTGGTGGAAGGACGTTTGCGGAATTGGACTTGTTGTTTGAACGCGGTGTGCCGGCGAGAAAGTTCAAAGAGACCAAAGTCGACGTATTTGACGTTGCGCTCGCTCACCAAGTCGAGATGGATAAACCCGAAGTGGGTCATGCTGAAAAGGTCTGATGGCGTTGATTTGTGCAGGATAGGAGATGGAGGTAAGAGTTACTAGTCATTCAATCAATAATTCATTCGGTCAGCCGTCAGCCAGTCTGTAGTCTTGACACATGTAGCGTCATAGAAGTGCAACATCAGATTACATCCTTGCGGACGGTCGAGCATCAGATACTGGTGAACGACATCTACCCCCCCGAGCTTTGACACCACCCCGATCACCGGTCCATCGGTCCGTATTTCACCGGCGACACTTTCGGTCAATCAAGAGGATCCACCTACTGTAAATAAATTGCGAACGAGAGGGAGGTCGGGGGAGAGCAATTCACATGATGAGACCCTCACACTAAAAAAACCACCTCGATCGGTTCCGCCAGTGCCTGCTGATCGAATCAGGGAGAGAGCGCCGTATGTCTCCGCGCTAGACGATATGATTGCAACCACCGAAGCAATAGACGGAATTATAAAAGAAACAGAAAATGGGTGACATGCTGCGCCTTCGGTGTCATGTTGTCACTGTTGGCATGCTTTTATTCCGATGTACGGTGAGTACGTGAGTGTTTTGAGTGTCCAGGGAAAATATGACGGAGGCGAGCTGTCGAAATGACGGCGCCTCTGCGAGCCCGTGTGCTCGACGACCCGTCCACGACGCTTCATCCCCAATCGTTTATTTTTCGGAGAAACCTCGCTGTAATCATGTTGGACTGGACCCTGAGTACAGGTGGTGACTTTGTACCTCTTTTCTGGTGCCGCAGTCAAATAGTCATAAATTTAGTGCATATCAAGGATTGGGCAGGTCACAACTACCACCGGTATGTGGAAAAGCCACATTGCCCTACGGAGTGATGATGATCGGGACTAAGTAAAAGGGCTATATAACGCCTGAATTCTCACGCCCTGAGGTGTCGAATGGACGTGGCAGCAGCAACAGCAGCAGCAGCAGCAGCAGCAGCAGCAGCAGCAGCAGCAGCAGCAGCAACATTCAATTAATTCTCGCAGACTGGAGACCTAAACGGGACCCATTCAATCCATTAATAGACCGATAGTTCATTCACACGGTCTCGGTACCATAACTTTTGTGCCAGCGACGGACAAAACTGACGACGACGTCGTCGACGACAACGACGGTCTTTGTCAATCAGTTCCCGGACCGTCCCGAGAGGCCCCTTTCATGTCCGATGGACAGGGAGAGAGCACCTAACACGAGTGCACAGTGGCTTTTTTTCGCCTGGAAGGACCCGACCGATGGACCCAAGAACGGAAGAACAAGGCTATGCTAGCTATGCTTTTCTTGGTCATGGGCGGGACGGAGCCTGTGAGAAAGAGAGAGAGAGGGGTGAGAGAGGGGAGGGAGACAAGAGACAAGAGACAAGAGCCAGGAGAAAAAGACACGTTTGCAATGGGTGCCCTCATGCCCACCAGAGAATGTAGACAGGTGTGATCAAAAACTTACGTACGAAGATCCGATCCGGAGATTGGGTTATATATACAATAGTCTATTCGTTTTTTTTCCTTGGGTGTGCCTGAACCAAACGTTCCCTTTTTTGCCACTTTTTTTTTAATTTTGGTTCCGTCGCCAGGCAATTTGGTATAATATCGCTCAACTGATGAGCGTGCGCCACACCTTGGTTACGGAGCTGCTGCTGCTGCTGCTAAATGGATGGATATGTATGAATGGATGGATGCATCACATATGGGCTGGGCAGGGCGGCAGCAGCAGCAGCAGCAATACTAGTCTAGGCCTATTCAAGGCAGTGTCTTTTACCTGCTTCATTGCTTCCGTTCTTCCACGCTACGGTACCGTGTCTCAGGTGTTTTTCTTCTGCCTCCGCCGCCTCTTTTGAGTGATCGTCCTCCCACCCGACCCCTCCTGCCTGCCTGCCCTCTCTCTCTCTCTCTCTTTCGGCTATTCATCGCTTGAACTATCTGTGACTAACGGATTGGAAATATCAAAGCAGACTGTGTCTCGAGGTCCACGTCCCAATATATGTTCCCCTTGCACGCAATTTGTAGCTTTTTATATCGGGACATTCAAACGCTCTACTTTCGTTGATCTTTTCCCAGTTTAGAACGAGGACCCACTTGGGGGCCAATCTTTCTCGGCCAGTTTCGGACCGACTTACATAAGAAGTCCACCGACGGGAGGTCCAGTGATACCACTACCGTCTCGTTCCAAGTGATCATCATCAACAACAGCGTCCGTCGTCTTATTACAACGAACGGTGAGTCGGTCGTGTCATGTTAGCCGGATCCTCGCCTATTCGTTTTTACCCGACGCTTCTCTTTCTCTCTCTCCCCCCTTACACCCTTCTCCGAGTCCTTGACCCGATACATCGCTCAATTGTCTCTCGTGTTGGAAAAGATAGAGTTTGGAACCGGGTCGCGGTTACAACCAAAAGGCCAAGCAGGCCACGACGTTACTTTGCATTTCGGTCACTCTCTGAATGGGGCAATAAACCATAAAAAAAGAAAGACCGTTGCTGAATACGCTTCAGACCAGTACCAGCACCAGCAGGAGCAGGAGCAAGCACCATCATCAGTAACACGATACCCTTGCCCCTTCTTCCAATCCTCCATATAACGGATCTTCTCTCTCTCTGTCGCACGGGAAGGATATCTACCACCGGTCTACGGTCTCAGTTAGACTGTTGATCCCATTTTTGGCGACGCCGCCACCACCACCACCACCAACGAACCTGTTCCCTTTTTTTTCAATTTATCGGATCATCATCACCTAAGAGCCATCGTCTCAGCAACGATCCCTTGTGCCCGCCGCCGCCGCCCACCCCCTCCGTCGTTCGTCTCTGCTGCTGCTGCTGCCGCTGTCTCGTGCTTGCTGTGTAGTAGCATCACACTCTCATCTCCGAAACACTTTGGGCTCTGTCGAACGAAACGCCTCTTTCAATCATATCTATTTCCCATCTACATCTTTGGACCTCCGGTGTCTGCTTTTTTTTTTCGACCTCTCTAGCTCCCTCCCTCCCTCCCTGCTCCCCTCCTCCAATTCACTCTACTCTACTCTCCCTCGCTCTGTCTCTCTGTCTCTCTCTCGGGCGCTCTCACTCAATCGCTTAGTATTATTACTCTTAATTTCTTTTTTAATTCACTTCACTCACCGCTTGGTGTGGTTCCGGGTAAAGGGTTGGTTGTTACCTGCGCTCTGGTGCCCTAAACTGGCTGGCGCACCGAGGTGGTCCTGCAACCTTCGTCATCACTTCCATCCGCGGCCGACAGACTTGCAGAGCAGAGGAGAGTAGAGACAGGAAGAGCCACCCCCCGCCCCCGTGCAAGGAAGGCGAGTCAAGATCGACAGATAATCTGAAGATCGGCATAAAAAAGAAAAATTATAGGTTGTGATACTTAAGTATTGGGTTACTCAGAGGGTGTGTGTGTGTGTGGTGTACGAAGGAGTCGTGGTGGAAAAAGATCTTCCTGTTCAACCCTTCATCATCATCATCATTATCATCATCTTCATCGTCCGTTAACACTCCCACCCACACTGCCCCCATCGGTCGACGAAGATTGGACAGTGCGACCAACCTCTCATTTGGCCACCCCCTTTGAGGGGAGCGAAGGTTGATTCCGAATAGCCGGAATAAGAATTGTGAATCAAGACACACCTCTTTTCGGCTTTCCCGCAATCAAATCTCACCATCATCTTCATCATCCCTCCGCTATCTTGTCTTTGACCAAGCGTGAATAGCATCCCGCGACACTCTGGCTCTGGCGCTTGGCTCAGTCACTCAAGACTACCATCGGTCTCTTGCATACACTCTCTCCCCAGTGTCTTTGTGTCCACCCACCCACCCACCCACCCATCACTCACTGCGTGACCTGTAACAGGTCTATCTTCTCGGCCCACCATAACCCTCGCGGCGTCTTCACACGTAGCCATGGAGCCCAACTGGGGGGTGAGTAGTGTGTCCGGCTGGCTAGTTACATCTCACTGATGACACATTCTGCTTTTCCAGGGCTTCTACAACTACTATCCTCAAGACTCTAGTCGAGCCTTTGATCGACCCCAGCAGACATCCAATGCGAACGATGCCACCACTTCATCACACGATGAACAGTCGCATCGTCGACACATGAACCCAGGTCCATTTTTACCTCCACCTCCACCCCCTGGACCACTATCTCATTCTTCCGGTTCCCCCCACATGAACTTGCCACCATTCTCTCATTCCTTCTACTCTTCCTATCACCCACCGTCCCAATCTTCACCACAGAGCGGCGGCGGCGGCGGACCAAACCTTGGTGGCCTGAGCTCATCCTACGGTGCAAGTTCAAGCTCTGGCTTTGGCGGTGGAAATAATGGCGGAGGCAGCAGCTATCACGGCGGTGGTGGTGGGGGCAATGGTGGAGGTCCATCTGGACACAACAACTCGGCCGGGATGGGAACGGCTAGTCCGACGACTGCACCGGGACTGATGGGCGGTGGCATGTCGCGTGGAATGCCAAGCAATACGCGTGCACCTCACAGTTATTCTGAATCCCCTCGACTCGGACATGGAGGAATGAACAACTATTCATCCAGTCCAGGATTACATCACGTCTCTCCGACTTCACCAACGACTCATCTGATCCCTCAGTCTTTGTTTGGGGGTGGAGGCGGGGGAAACACTGGTCCCGGCGGGAACACTATGAATGCCAATTCCAGCGGTGGTTTTGCGGGCGGTCCGTTGAGATCAGGTGGCATGCAAGGGTCGATCAAGCGCAAGGATCGGAAAGGAGGTGGTGGGGGTGGTGGATCGCCCAGTATCAGCGGAGAAAGTTGGGATGAGTCTGACAAGTCTGGTAAACCGATCATCGGAGAAGAAACAGAGGAGCAACCTTGGGGAATGCCACAGGATCAATACAAGGCTTTGAACCCGAGGGATAAGAAACAAGTGAGGAATAGGATCGGTGCGAGGAGGTTCAGAGCAAAGCGAAAGGGTGAGTTGGTGTCTCTTAGCTTGGAGACGTGTCGCTGAATTCTCCTCCTCTTCCCTTTCTCTCTCAGATTATGTCAGTAATCTTGAAAGCTCGTTACGCGCGAGAGACGACGAGATGAACGCGCTCAAGCATCAGGTGGATGCGTATCGTACTCAGATCAATGAGCTGAGGACGAGGTTGGGCATGCCCTTATTATCCCCTCAGATCAGTAACAGTAGCAGCACACCTGGACTGGGATTACTGGTCAGTCAGAGTGGGAGTGATGGCTGGGGTGATATCAAGGATGACTAATCATAAAGGGTGATCTACATATTTCTATAGTTTCTGCAAAGTGCATGTATCTACACGAACACACGCGCCTATCACCTCTTTCTCAGAAGAAGGGGGATCATTGGCATGGACTATGCTATCCTGCCCACGCTTTGCTCTCGCTGTCTCTCTCGGTTATCTCCCGGATGTGGATGGACATGTGGATGGGATGTTCCCGGCCGCGGGCGTGTCTTGTAGTTGGTGAGTGGCCGCCTCTTTCGGCTGATGTTGTCTGAACGACGTCATTTTTCACCGGAAGATCTATTTTTGGGACGGATATATTTATTATTTTTGCTCAATTGAGGTGTATCCAGACGTTTTCTGCGTTATCCCATGGTAGTGTAGTGTAGTGAGACCCACGAATGCCCAATGTAGAGAGAGTGAGAAAAGCCAGCGTGCTGCTTCAGCTGCTGCTGCAGCACGCAGCCAGCCGTCAGCCGGGAGCCAGGACATTTTTTGGGCGTTTTTGGCTTTCCCCTTCTCTAAATGAAATTTAAGCTGTGGGACACTGACATCATCATCAGTCATCTGCTGCTTGCTGCTTGCTGCTTGCTGCTGCTGCTGCTATCTTCGGGACATGAGATGCCCACAGATAGATCTACTTGTCTCTCCTCTCGGTAACCAAAGGTAAAGGTCGTAGCATAGCGAGGGGATCAATCTTCCGAGTCAGAGAACTGTCTACGTCTCTATCCCTCACCTTCGTCTCTTTTCAAACTTCCAACCCTCCAGACGTTGAGGGTGAACAGGGGGACCAGGTTTGTGTGTGTGTGACTAGTGACCAAATCACCCCCCTTTTACTTTGGTCAGCCAATTGCCCGCAATCTGGGATATACATATATATATATATATATATATATATATAGCTCTTCAATCTCATCAGCTGTTCGACCGACAAAGTTGTCATTAGCCAAATCACCATGGGTCTGTTGAACCGAAAGAAGAATAAGAATAAGAACGCAGAGGATGGAGATCCAAACAGTGAAAAGGCTCAACGTGAGGAAGCCGAAAAGAAGCGTGAGTTGGGCCCTTCACCTTTACTGGATCTGGATGGTGACAGGTGCTGAACAACCATTTTTCACAGGATACCAAGGGGAAGAATACGAGGTTCTCCTCCGGTACGTGGAGGACCAAGCGGAAAAACAGAAGCGACGAGGAGCAAGTGGCGATGATGATGAGGACGATGACAAGGACGCAAAGTATACTAGACCTTGGTATGCGCCTTGGAAAAAGGTCAAAGTGAATGGCAAGGCCAAAAGGGTGAGTAAGCCTGTGTCATCCCCCACACTCGCGGATGCATGGGGGAGTCCCATGAACCTGATGGGTTATTTGTGCTTCTACCGACCCACCCAATTCTCCTCAGGTCCCACCTGAATGGCTCGAGACGGACAGACGAAAAGGTCTCAGCTCCGGTGATATCGAGCCCAGACGGAATGAATTCGGGTACAATGAGCTTGAGAGGTGAGCAACTAGCGAGGGGCTGCTGGCGAGGTATGCGACGCTGACATTCTGCGCCCGCCTCTCCCCAGTCCCAACGAGAACCAGCTGCTCAAGTTCCTCGGGTACTTCCGTGGTCCTATTCTATACGTCATGGAAGTGGCTGTTTTGCTCGCCGGTGGTCTTCAAGACTGGATTGATTTCGGTGTCATCATTGGTGAGTATCCCCAAGCGTACAAGACACGGCAGCGTTCGCGTGGCGAGCCTATGATGCTCACTGTGACCCACAGGTATCCTGATGATGAACGCTTTTGTCGGATGGTACCAGGAAAAGTGAGTCTGAATGCCCGAGGTGGACCCCCGAGTGGTCCCTCGCTCTAACCCCTTCCAGGCAAGCCGGAGATATCGTCGCTCAACTCAAAGCTGGAATCGCTCTTCGATGCACTGTCATTCGAGATGGTAAAGAACAAGAAATTGAAGCTAGAGAACTCGTACCGGGAGATATTGTCATTCTCGAGGAGGGATCTACTATCGCCGCAGATGCCAAGGTATGCCAAGACGGGTCGGTGATCAATCGATCAAAGGTGTGCTGAAAATATCTCGTTCGGCGACTTAGATCATCGGTGACTATGAGGACAAGGATGGATCCAAAGTGAGTGTTGACGGGTCGTGTCATGAATGATTCAGTGTATTAACGTCGTCCTCCCCCGCGCCTTTAGGCCAAAGCCCTTCAGGAAAAGATTGACAAGAAGAAACGAGCAAAGAAGTCTGGTCAAGCCCAAGCTGAAGATTCCGACGATGATGATGACGACGACGACGCCAAGGGACCATCTCTCTGTTCAGTCGACCAATCGGCCATCACGGGTGAATCGCTTGCGGTCGACAAGTTTCTCGGAGATACTGCTTTCTACACCTGTGGTGTCAAGCGTGGAAAGTGCTTTGCAGTCGTTACTGTATCTGCCAAAGACTCCTTTGTCGGTCGAACTGCCGCTTTGGTTTCCGGTATGTTGTCTTTTTTGAGATGAAGCGACCGTCACCTTTTGGTTTTGAAGCTGATCTGATCGACACAGGAGCCAACGACAAGGGACATTTCCAAATCGTCCTTGGAAACATTGGTACCGCGTGAGTGTACCAGACTGATATCATCTGAAGCAGCCATCCGCTCCGCTGACACACATCGTTCTCCTTAGACTCTTGGTCCTGGTCATCTTCTTCATCTTTGTCGTCTGGATCGGCAGTTTCTTCCGACACGTCGGTATTGCGAACCCCAAGCAGAACAACTTGTTGGTCTACGCCCTCATTTTCCTCATCATCGGTGTTCCTGTCGGTCTTCCTGTCGTCACGACCACGACCCTTGCCGTTGGTGCCGCCTACCTCGCCAGACGGAAAGCCATCGTTCAAAAGCTCACGGCTATCGAATCATTGGCCGGTGTCGATATCCTATGTTCAGACAAGACTGGAACTTTGACCGCTAACAAGCTTTCGCTCAACGACCCATTCATCACTCATGGTGTGGATCCCAATTGGTTCATGACCGTTGCCGTGCTGGCTTCGTCTCACAGTGTCAAGCAACTTGACCCCATCGACAAAGTCACCATTGTTGGACTGAAGGTGGGTCCAGGTTCCTTCTTCCTCCAAGACTTGACTTTAAACGCTGACGGTTTCCACCTTTTTAGGACTACCCCAAAGCTCAGGAAATGCTCAAGGGAGGATGGAAGACTCATAAGTTCACTCCCTTTGATCCCGTCTCCAAGCGAATCACGGCCGAAGTCGAAAAGGATGGCAGAAGATACACTTGCGCCAAAGGAGCTCCCAATTCTATCCTCAAGCTCAGGAAATTCGACCCAGAGGATGTCGCTGCGTACCGTGCGCAAGCTCAATCTTTCGCCACTCGTGGATTCAGATCTCTCGGTGTAGCTTGCAAGGAAGATGGAAAGGAATGGCAATTGCTCGGTATGCTGTGCATGTTTGATCCTCCTCGTTCAGACACGGCAAAGGTGAGTGGTGTGGATTACCTGACTGTCGCGCACGGCTGTTGACGTTTGTGCGAAATAGACCATTCGCGAGGCCCATGATCTCGGTATTCAAGTGAAGGTGAGTTTTTGTGTCTGTGCAGTGTGCACCTGACACTCCGACGCCCTGACTCACCCACTACCCCCCCTTCTCTAGATGCTCACTGGAGACGCCGTCGCCATTGCAAAGGAAACTTGCAAACAGCTTGGACTCAACACCAACGTTTACGACTCTGAAAAGCTAATCGGTGGTGGCATGGCCGGATCAGACATTCGAGATTTCGTCGAGGCTGCCGATGGATTCGCTGAGGTTTTCCCTGAACACAAGTACCAAGTCGTCGCTTTACTCCAGGAAAGAGGTCACTTGACGGCCATGACGGGAGACGGAGTCAACGATGCTCCTTCGCTCAAGAAGGCCGATTGTGGTATTGCCGTCGAGGGTGCTTCGGACGCCGCTAGAACCGCTGCCGATGTCGTATTCTTGGACGAAGGTCTCAGCACGATGATCACTGCTATCAAGGTCGCTAGGCAAATCTTCCACCGGTGGGTATCAGCAGGCATTCTAGTTTTGTCACTGACCCATTTCTGCCTACAGAATGAAAGCCTACATCATCTATCGTATCGCTCTCTGTGTCCATCTTCAAGTCTACCTCATGCTTTCCATCTTGATCATGAACGAGACCATCCGAGTGGACCTCGTCGTGTGAGTCCTAAGAGTTCCTCCTCCCAGTCACATGGTATTGATTTCGTGCGTTCTCAGATTCTTGGCCATCTTTGCCGATGTCGCTACCATTGCCATTGCCTATGACCGAGGTGAGTCATGCCTCGTGTGAGAGCAAAGGTTCTTGTGCCTGATGGTCTTGTCAGCCCCCTACGCCAGACAACCTGTCGAGTGGCAATTGCCCAAAGTCTGGTTTATCTCCACTGTCTTGGGTGAGTGAAGCCGAAGGGCAATTGATGTATAGGCAGACAGACAGACTGACACCGCCCTTCCTTCCCTAGGTCTCCTGCTCGCGGGTGGAACGTGGATCATCCGAGGTACCTTGTTCCTCAACGACGGCGGTATCATTCAAAACTTTGGAAGTGTTCAAGAGATCCTCTTCCTCGAAGTCGCCCTGACGGAATCATGGGTTATCTGTGAGTTCCTGCTAGACCATCGTCCCTGTCTTTTAACCTTTGTACTGTACTGATACGGCTGGCTTTCTTAGTCGTCACTCGATTGGCTCAAGAAAAGGGAACGCCCAACGTTTGGCCCTCGATCCAGCTTATCCTCGCCGTCTTTGGAGTCGATGTCCTGTGAGTTGTGTGGTCCTTGACATGCCAGGCAAGGAGTGAGCGTGGACTGATGAAAATGACCCTTCACAGCGCCACTCTCTTTGCCCTGTTTGGATGGATTTCTGGTCCTGCTCCTCACAGCGGTTGGATCAACATTGTGACTGTCGTCAAGATTTGGATCTACTGTTTCGGAGTGACTGTCATTGTGCTTCTGGTCTGTGAGTGGAACCCATCATCCGTTTTAGGTAGCAGAGCATATGTACTGAGGCTTTGACTTTCTATTTCTCAAGACCTCATGCTCAATCAGATCTCATGGCTTGACAATATCGGCCGAAAGACTCGATCCAAGAAGAATGAAAAGCTTGAAAACTTTTTGACCGACTTGCAACGATTGACCATTGTTCACGAGACGGACCACGGTGGATCTTACTACCGATTCGCCAGTGGAGCAGCTACGCCAAAGGATAAAGCGGCAGGTGGAGAAAAGGACAAGAAAGATACCACCAGTACCAACAAGGCGACGAAATCAGAGGACGAGAAGAAGAAGAGTGTAAAGATTGGAGAGCAAAAAGAGGGAACACAAGGTCATCCACCTGCTACGGCTCAAGGACCCACGAGGAGTGGACCCGCAAAGGATGAAGATGATGAAGCGAGTTCGAGTGAGGGTAGAAAAATCGAAGGAGAGTAGGTAGATTCCGGTGGTCAAGTCCACGGTAATCATCTACTATCCTGTTCCGTTATCGACATTTCTCTCCCCCTCAAATTCAAGCACTCGTGCTCCTCCTTGCCTCTCTCTTGTCGTCTTTCCCTTTTTTCCCACTTGCTACTTGGCAGCTCTCATTCCCACCACTGTTTCGCTAGACCAAAGCAATCTCGTTTTCCGCCTCTGATACTGTTTCATAGGATCCCATTACTTTCTTACTCTTATAGTCGTTCATTGATGCAACGGTGCCTGCACAAGATTTCGACTTGTCGCTTGTCCCAGTGACCCAGAGCTCCAAGGTATACATGATTATCCAAATAAACCAATACAAGAAGAAAGACAAGACCAATGCAACATCTAGAGACGCGAGATACCCCGCCTACCACGACTCACGCCTAAGTTAACTCTTGGGCCCACAGGCAGCTTGGAAATCCGTCTCGTCGATCAACTCTTGTAGACCCGCTACGAATGTCTCGAGGGGACATAGCCCCTCTTCATCATCTGGACAATTGCGAATCCCGACAAGGGGCACCGGCGCATCGTTCCAGATGAGTCGGATCTGTTTGGCAGCTTGATCCGTACATGATAAAACTTGGATCTGGAGGTTGGTGGCGAAGGGAGTGAATCTGGGAAGAAACCGTGCATCAGCGAAAGGCAATGATCGGGTGACGAAGGGAAATCGGACACACTTTGCAGCGATAAATGATCGATGCTTTGGCATGCGATCGACCGGTGGGTCTCCCGATTCGGCAAATGTAGTAAGGTTCATGGCGGAGAGTACTGGAGTCAAAGTCAGGATGAATCGATTTGAGGGATGCTCACGGATGGCGAAGAGTGTATCATGGGTAAAGTCAAAGTGCCTGGGCAGGTGTGAGCGGGTCCGCTATCGTGGAGTTAAAACATATCACTCACAACACATCGTTCAATGGGAAGTGTATATCATCGTGTAGTGTGGAATTGATGGCAGAATCGAAATCGGTGATTCGGGCTGGCATGGTGTGAGAAACATGCGCGCTGGTCGGGCTACTCACTATGTGTCAACCTCGAGACGAGCTCCTGCAACCACGCTTTGCCTAACGGCTTGGCATACGGCCATCCGAAACTCGCAGTGTACCACCATGAAATGTCATTCCTGTACTCGTATCCTCTCCATTCGCGGACAGTGAACAAAGTGCAAAAGGACGAGTAGCCAAGTGCGACAGTCTGAAAGGGTCAATGGCTAATCCACTGGGATGCAAGTCCCCCTCACCTCGTAGGCACACGTGTCCATCTGTCAGAGAGTGAGCTTTGTGACATCTTACTCAGGTTTGGAGGACTCACCATGTCCGCCACATCGGCGATGCTAAAGTCGTAGCCTGTGATCAGACCATTCAATCGCTCTCTGGCATCCTCAAGAAAGACGTTCTCCCAGGCGTGCATTTTCTCCCACCCTGATCGTTGGCTGTCATCGTAGGAAAGATCGCACTATGCGTTTGTTAGCTGCAGGAGATCAAGAACACTCTGTAGCTTACCGCGCCCCAGGGAGCGAGAGAACAGTTGAAGCCTGGAGATTCGATCATAACTTCGAGATTGTATTGAGACTCCGCAGGGTAGCCAAAGAAGCCTGTGATAGTGGTCAGCTGGAGGCAGCGCGTATAGACGAAAGCTTACCCGTTGCAAAGTTTTGAGCAGACCGGAGCATACGACTTGCAAGTGTCAGCTGAGGGGCCAGGAAATTCCATTCGGCTCTCACTCTTGGGACTCTGTTCGGAAGACGGGCAGTCGACCATTCATTTTTTCGAGCAAATGACCATACTTAAGCCGAGCAGCGACGCCGAGGTTGACTGAAAGATCAGCAAGCCTCCTTCCGATTAAACACACAGAGCTGTTGCCTTCCGAACGGTGTGAGAATCTCTCTTCCCAGCTGATACGTGTAGTCATTCAGGAACGATAAGTCTCCATGAGCTTCCCATCCTGACACTTCCCTCATCCGCCTAGCGAAGCCTTCCGGTCCGCCGGGCATTGTCGTAGGATACCTGAGCCATCTATCAGCTCATCCTCCACGGTCGAAGCAAGAGCTCGGCGTACCTCGCACCGTGACGCTGGAGCCAATGTAGTGACTCGACTTGACAGGTCTCCGGGGTGACTCGTTGAGCTTCTGGTAAGCCGTGCGAGTCGACTGAAAAATATGGACTGAGGTTTCCCCAATATTGCATAATGTTGAACGATCCTCTTGCTGAATCGGGTGGTACGAGGGGGCTGACACCTGTGAACATGGGTAGAGAGGGAGCAGTAGCCATGAGATTGGCTCTGAGAGGAGAGAGCAGGCCAACGAAGAAGGCAAAAAAAGGAGAGAAAAAAAAGGAACATTGTCAGCTGATGGGGTCTGATCTGGTCGAGCGCCTTAGGATGGGGAAGGCGGTAACTCACTCGTTTCCTGTCGGAGTGGGTCCAGCATATCCCACGCTATGGTAATCATGTCAGCTTAGTAGGATTGGAAGCACCACGAGGATGCTGTGACTCACTCAACTGGGAAGTTGCCTGGATCAGGAGCCGCTTTACCAGGAGCGATCTGATTCAACCAGCTCTTCCATTCCTCTGGTAGTTGTTCCCACTGCTTGGCTCTATTGATAGCTTCTCGACCGAACCAACATCCAGCGAGTCCAAAGGAGGGAATAACAATGAACAGAGCGAGGCAGAGACATGACACTGCTCGTCTGAACCTTGAATGTCGTCTGATCTCTAGCTGCCTCGATAATTGTTGAGCATGAGAGGTATGATGGGAGGAGTCGGAATGCGTAGTTCGCTCGTATCGTGGTAAAAGGGGCTCATCGTCTTCGCCCCGGAGAGGCGTACGGAGCTCGTACCCTTCTTCATTGGGCATCCGAGGTGAGCCTCTCTTGCTGCTGCTCATCGTGAATGAGGATGAACTGGATACAGATGATAAGATGATAAAAGAAAAGCAGAGAGTGAGAGAGTGAGTGAGTTGCAAAAAAGCTAGGTGCTTTCGGGATCTTCCAGTCATGCTTAAACCACGTGGGCAGTTCGGCATGGGGGGGGCCAGTGGATCCCTGGCATTGACGGTGAGTAGTGAAGGCATCAAGCAGGTACAGACGGTAGGAGCAACGCTTGATGCTGAGGTGCGGGATCATGCATGGAGCCCTAGTCACAGCCTCGCCTCACTTTTGCATTTCCCCCGCTTCATCAATCACTATCGTCATCCCCGTCGACCAGACCTCTTCTGGCTCGCTCTGCCTCTTCCTCTTCCAACCGCCTTTCCTTTTCTCTCTCCTCACGTGTATACTTTGACATGTCCACTTCCTGAGCACCTTCCTCGTAAAGTGCTTCGTCGGAAGTCGCAAGAGCTTGAGACGATTGGAAGAGCTGCTTCCCTACGATATTGGGGAATGCCATCAGTCTGAATCCAAATGGGGAGGAGTGATGGAGCAAGCATTATTTTCGACTCACCACTCGGCCTTTCCTTCCGTCTCTTGAAGTCTTCTCTCTCTTTCGGTGGGAGAGCCTTTAAACGATCCGATTCCTCTTTGTCTCTCTTCTGCCTCAGCTCTTCAAGAAACTTTCTCCGCCATGCCTCGAAGGATGCTGTCGTGACGGGTGTACCTCGTGTCTTACGTGCTTCCATCTGAAACACCGAATCAGTACGGAATAGCATCTTGTTTGCCAAGCGGATAACCGTCCGATAAGGCGTCGGTCCCCCTTTTCACTCACCTCCTCATACTCTGCGGCTCTCCTGTCATCCTCTTCCTTTTCCCTCCTTTGACGATCTTTCAGTACCTCCGCCAGAGCCTCCCGAGCAGCGGACGCGATGGTAAATGTCATAGCCATGCCTATGCTCTCCTCCGCCTTCGAAAGAGAGCGTGAGTGAGCTTCCAAAAAAAAAAAGGGCAGAAAGGCCGACGCGAACTCACCACTTGGCGTAATGATTCGAGCAACTTTTCTTCCTCCTCTTCGGACAGTTCACCCGTTTCTTCATCTATACTCTCGAATGATAAGTCGGGTATCACATCCGGATAAGTTGAAGGATACGAAACGATGAGGTGAAGAGATACTGTAGTTTCAATCATCAGAGTGAGCGGTTCTGGAGTTTGCCTCTGGACGGTCGTCCTGGCTCACATTGTGATCCCGAGGCTTCTTCCGGTTCCACTAATATTTGTACTTTCCTATCCCCTAGCTCTGGTCGGTGGGTCAGCGAGGCCCTGTCCTTGCTCTCAAGCTGTCTCACTCTCTAGCTCGTCAGGAAAGATGGACTCTAACACCTGGTGATAGTCAGTGACTGTGAGCACTTGGAAGTTCAAAACTCACCTCGAATTCCTCATCCAGTATCGCTTGGTAGTCTAGCCAAGCGTTTATGGTCAGAGCCTGCCGCACGAGCTAGGCCGAGTCGCAGATATAGCTCACCTGCCATGGTGATGGTATCGTCTCGTATTCCGAAGAGCTCACTTCTATCGTCTCTCTCTCTGTCCGCAATGTCCCAACTACAGTGCGCTCTCTCTGTCAGATGCTTTTCGCTGCCCAAAAGCTCGGATCCGAGATGTCCACGTGGTTCGCCACTCGACGTCACTTGAAACCCTGCTGAAATGGTTGGAGTTGTATCCTCGATCCATCCGGGATAGACAAGGGCCATGTCATCCTCAGGACCATCCCTACCGCCATCTCAGGCGAGATTGGCGGCTCTGAATCGACTGAAAGCGAAAGAAAAGTTCGCGGGAGCAGGAAAGACGACGACCGGTGCTGTCAATGCTGTCGCCGGATCGAGTCGGAATGGGGCTGCTCAAAAGCAACAAGGACAAGGGGGGCAAAGCACACAATATGTGAACAAGCAATCTGCGCAGCCTGCTTCAGCTAGAAATATGGTGGAGCAACAGAAACAGCAGGAAGAGCCATTGAAACGGAATCCGGGGCTGGTGAGTGATCGATCAGCCTAATGCAGTCACTGTTCCTCTCCCTGGAGTCTAATCTGCCCCTTTTCTTCGATGCTTCATTCTTCTGGAAGACGGCCGTTTGACTCTCTTTCCAGGGAAAGTACTTTGAATACGATCTCAGCAAGCTGCATAATTCTCGTGGTGGATTCTTGACAGAGGACGATGCCGATGATGGGCGGATCAAAAGTGTCATTGAAATGGCCAGGGAGAAGGAAAGACAACGACAGATGATCATGGAGGGCGAGGAGCCAGGTGAGAGGTCATGGAAAGGTCGCTCGCGGAGAACTCCTGCTGACACGTTTCCATAGCCATTTTTGCAGATACCTCACCTCGGTGTCGCGAGTGTCGTTCATTGGAGATTGATAATCAGTTTCAAAAGGCTCGTGCTGTGCGGCATGTCGTTGTATTATTGACTCGCTATCCAGGTGTTCAGCATCAACGTGTGCAAGAGCTGTAAGGAGAAGTTCCCGGAGAAATACTCTCTTCTCACCAAGACCGAATGCAAAGAGGTCAGTATGTTCTTCCAGATGCATGGAGTTCAAGCTGATTCAGGGTTAAGGACTACCTTTTGACGGACCCGGAATTGCGAGACGAAGATCTCCTACCGCATCTTCTCCGTCCGAACCCATACGCATCGACCTATAGCAATATGATGCTGTTTATGCGTGAGCAAGTTGAGAAAGTCGCCTGGGACAAATGGGGAGGTGAAGAAGGTTTAGATAAAGAATGGGAGCGGAGGGAAAAGTTCAAGAAACGGAAGAGGGAAGAGAAGTTTGAGCAGGGGCTAAGGGAGTGAGTAGCTTTCAATTGAAATGGACGTATGTGTGGCTGTTTCAAGGCTGATCATAGTATTTTCCAGTCTACGGAAACGGACCCGAAACAATCAGTACCAAAGACGTCAAGAGGCTCAACACGTACATGAATTCGAGGCTGTGGAAGAGGCGACGGATGAGGATGGAGGGACGAGATCCATACAACGATGCTTCGGTTGCGGTGCAGAGCAAGAAGTAGAGGTGTGGTAATGGGGCCGAGAAGACGACACCCGCCCATGATGTAGCACATCGATATTGTTGTATGTAGCAGCTCTACCAGGCCTCCATGGTCCTCCTCCTTTCAAACTCGGTACTGATGCTTGTCAGTGGTTCGCCATGGTGGACACTGATTGGGAACGCACTGGAAGCTTCAAAGTCGCGAGACTCACTTCTATCGCTCAGAGACCCTTCCCGAAGCAAGCTCGACTATAGCACCACGATCGTACCGACCTACCCTCTGATCAATGGCATACATACATTTTGCGCACGCTATCGTAGAAGCATGGTTCCTGTTTTGACGGCGATCGCCGCTGCATATGAACGCAACCAGCTATTGTCACGTGATCTTCATCGGCTCCGGCCGAAACGGCCCTTTTCGTTGTTCTTTCGAAGCATTTTGGCAGTACATTTGTGATTCACCCAACCATTGATCAAGCACAAAAGCACGCAGAAGCTTCAAGCCCCGGACTGTTGAAGTCAAGTCACCAGCGCTGCTGATTTGTGATTTCTCCATCGCGTCAGACGCCCGCCCCACTTTCGACCATACAAGGATCAGGCCAGATGAACTGATCAGAGAGCGAAAACGTCACACTGTCTTGTCTTGATGAGGATGGAATCTTTGGTCATCCAGGGGAAGACGGCTTCTCTGTCAGGCCAGACCTCTGAGAGATGCCGGGAGTTCTGGGATGGAGTGGATTTCACTCCTTGCTTTCGTGACAGGCAAGCCTTTACATGGTTCACAATTCGGGTTCCAAAAGCTTATCAAAGATCCACAGGTACCTTCAAAACTTCCCCCTCGTCTTGACCGCTCTCGCAGCTGTGATCACCAGCTTATACTACATTTCTAAATGGATCAAATCTCGAGATCGGTCTCGATCACGCTTGAGTCCTTCTCAGCTCATTTCCCCAACGGCAGATTCGGATCTGGCTCAATTGGAATCGGAAGTCATCGTATCTTCCGTTGCCGTCAGCCTCTTGCCTGCTCCGAAAGGCAAGAAGGAACTACCCAAACCCTTGTCGCCAGAGGACGCACTCAACGTCATAAGAGACTTCAAAAGGGAGTCAAGAGAATCAAGGCGATGGCAGGCGATTAGATATTGGATAAGGGTGATTGGAGGCTTCGTTTGGGTGGGGCTCGAAGTCGCCAGATATGTCCAATCCAGAGAATGGAGGGATCTGGTCTTTCCAGTGGGTTTACTTTTCTATTCTGTGACTTCAAGACTGATGGCTTCCAGACGTTCACCCTTGTTCTCGCTCTCATTCCTCGCTCACCGCTTACCTACTTTCTCTCCGCTCACATCATCCCGTCCCTCCTGCTTCTCCGTAGTGCAGTCATCCGATCCCATACTAGGCCTTTGGATCTAGCCCCGCCGATCTTTGAAGCTGTTTACTGGTGTCTGATGATCTCTATACCATACTACGAAGGTCTGGAAAATGTACTGGAAGGAGGGAGATCGAAAGGCGGAGGATCTCTCGGAAGCTACGGCGCAAAGCTTCCAAGACATATCGAGGAGCCTACTTGTGAGTCATCTGACTGACCCTTTGGGCTGACAAACATCACAGCGTCGTTCAGTCGAGCAGCTTACATGTTCATGTTGCCCTTGTTGTTCAAACATTATCGACACGTTATCAGATTGGAAGACGTTCCTGCATTGCGAGAAGATGACAGCTCCGCCACGGCCCTCGCAGCGTTCAGGAAAGATCAAGCTGCTAGAGATGCCAAGTATGCCAAAAAGCACAATGGAGCAAAGAGGCAGAGGGATCTCGCATGGGACTTGCTTCGCTTCTTTGGCGTCGACACGTTCATCCAATGTGTGAGTCTGGTTGAAGGCGTCGTAGGGCTGCAGCTCACCGGGCTGCCAGCTCTGGTCCTGCTTCTTCATCTGCCTGCAATATCTCCCTCCTGTCGCTCTGCGACTTCTTCTCAAATTCTTCACCGAACGCGAGAGCCGACCTTGGATTCCTAATCACGTCGCGTTTCTTTACGTTGCCATGATGGCAGGGGAACAATGTCTTGGTGTTGTCGCGTATGGCCAAGCCCTTTACCTCGGTCGACGAAGGTGCATCCGCTTGAGGGCTATTCTCATCGCCGAAGTCTTCGCCAAAGCTCTCCGACGACAAGATATGAGCGGGTCAGTCAAGTCGTCCGCGAAAGAAGGCTCAGAAAAGGACACAACGGAATCCACTGCATCAGCCACCGACGGCAAAATTGCGAATCTTGTGTCTTATGATGCCTTTCAGACAACGGAGATATGTGCCTACCTTTACTATTTGGTGTCCTGCCCGCTCGCCATTATCATCAACTCGATCCTCCTCTACAGCACCCTGGGGGTTGCCGCGTTTGCAGGTATGGGAGTTCTGGTCCTTATGATACCAATTCAGGCAGTCGTCGGCAAACTTTTTACGGTCGTCCAAAAACGATTTATGGCCGCTGTAGATCTCAGACTCGAGGCGGTCACTGAAGTGATCGCGCACATCAAGCTCATCAAATTCAACGCTTGGGAGACGAAATTCTTCGACAGAATGTCAACTACTCGGACGAAGGAACTATACTATCTGGCCCAACGTTTCGGAGTCTCGTGCTTGTCGAACGTCCTCGTCTGGGGTACCCCCGTCCTCGTCACTGCGAGCGCTTTCGCCGTCCACTCGTTGGTTCTCAAGCAGCCTCTCACGGCTGATCGAGCATTCGCCTCGCTGGTTCTCTTCAATATGCTTCGCGATCCAATGGGACTGTTCCAGGAGACCCTGCTTCGATTGATCCAGGCGTACACTTCATGTCAGCGTATTCAGGAATTTCTTGACGAGCCGGAAACTCTCAAGTATCAACAGTTGTCCGAGCCTGGTCCTGATGATCCCAAGGTCGGGTTCACGAACGCCACTTTTGGCTATTCTGAGTCTAGCAATGGGCAGCCTGCAGAGCATGAACCTTTCAAGCTTGGTCCGTTGAATCTTGATTTCCTACAAGGCACTCTCAGCATAATCATTGGGCCTGTTGGATCAGGCAAGACCACACTCATCACCTCGTTGCTCGGCGAGACTCGTCTGTTGGCAGGTAAAGTGTTCATGACGAATGATCATGCGAACCGAGATATATGCCCAGTTGACCCGGAGACCGGCTTGTCAAACACGGTCGCGTACTGTGCTCAAACTCCTTGGTTGCTAGGAGCCACGATCCGAGATAACATTGTGTTTGGCTCGACATGGAACAGTAATCGGTACCAGCAGGTTCTCGACGCGTGTGCATTGAGGCGGGACTTGGAAATATTCGATCTTGGCGATGAGACGGAAGTCGGGGAGAAGGGAACGACGTGCTCAGGTGGACAGAAAGCCCGAATAGCTCTAGCTAGAGCACTGTATTCACCTGCCAAGACGATCCTCCTTGACGACGTGTTGTCCGCTGTGGACGCTCAAACCGCTCAACATATCCACGTACACTGTCTACAAGGACCCCTGATGCGCGGTCGAACATGTCTCATGGTCACTCACGCCGTGAGTCTGGTAGCGCCGACAGCTGGATTCGTAGTTATGCTTGAAGATGGTCGAGTCGCCCATGCCGGTACGCCGGCCAAGCTCGAGGCTGCCGGAGTCTTGGAAATCATCTCGGACGACGCGGACCATACTTCAGGCTCTCAAACCACATCAAGTAGCGAGCAAGCTTCAGACGAGGAGCCTACTGCTGGATCTTCAACGCTGGTATCTGAGGATCCCATCGATATCATTGAGGAAAACCTAGATGGTGTCGAAGGGGATGCACTAGAGACTGCAAAGCAAGTGGAAGCGGATAAGGCAGCACCGGCAGTTATCAAGCTGGACAAGCAGTTGGTACAAGCAGAGACTTCACAGAGTGGTGTCGTTGGCGCCGCAACATACGGCTTGTATTTCAAGTATCAAGGCAAGATAATCTTTTGGATCCTTCTGGGATCTGCCAATATCGGATCGCAAATGTTGCAGGTCTCCACCAATACATGGATCAAGAACTGGGCGAACTCGAACGATAAGAAGGCAAGCATGTTGAGTAACTTGTTGGTGTCAAAGGAGCCGAAATCGACAGAGTATTATCTCGGAATCTACTGTGCCATAGCCGGTGCTTATCTTTTGACACTTGTCGCGAGGATGGGTATCGGCTATTGGGGTTCTTTACGGGCGTCGCGAAAATTGTACAGCAAGTTGCTGAAGCGGATTCTTGGGGCGAAGATGAGGTGAGTAGTGTTTCATGACACACAAGACTGATAATTCAAGATTCTTTGATTCGACACCTTCGTAAGTCCTGACTACTCCTAAGTCTTGTGGCTTTCTCTTGATTGATGAACATCTCAGGGGCCGTATCATGAATCGACTCAGTAAAGACGTCTCCTCGATTGATACCGAGGCGTCAGAAAGTAAGCGCTTGTTCGTCTGATCCCGCTAACCTAGCAGTCCTGCAGTACTTCGCCAATTGTGTCCTGGCCGTCATTGCTGTACTTGCCGTGGTCGTATTTTCTACTCCGAGTGAGCTGAGACTAAGGAGCGCCTCATTTCAATTGGTTGACGCATCCATCAGAATTCATTTTCGCCCTCATCGCCATCAGTATCATGTACTGGACTGTCGGGGTACTTTATGTGACCACGAATAGAGAGATCAAGCGTCATGATGTACGTTACCAGCTCTTGCGGTTGAATTGCAGGCTGATGAATACCTTAGAGTGTAACTCGATCGCCTCTCTTCATCAGCTTCTCCGAAGCGCTGGTTGGCATGTCTACCATTCGATCCTACGGAGACTCTCCTCGATTCCTGCGCAAACTTTTCAACGAGCTTGATCAAAATAAGTGAGCTGCACACGCTAGAGTATCGCACGAAACGCTGAACTCTCGGTAGCCGGTGCTTCTGGTATTTGTGGCAGGCCAATCGTGTTCTCAATAACTTTAGCAATTTTGTCGGGTCTCTGGTGACTCTCTTTGCGTGTATCTTTGCTCTGCAGTCGACCATGGATGCTGGAGCTGTCGGTTTGTCCATCACCTATGCTTGTGAGTGACCTATGCCGTGAATTAAGCTATTTTGCTGAAGCGAGAAGTGTCTTTCACCGACTTTGTCCTCTGGGTCGTTCGATTGTATGCGGCCGCTGAGATGACGATGAACAGCGTGGAGCGAGTCGCAGAATGTAAGCAGTGCATCGTGCCTTATAGAAGCGGCTAAAACTGGCAACAGATCTGCAGCTCGATGTCGAAGAGGAGGATCACGATCGGGGTCGAGATCCCCCAGCATACTGGCCGACTGTAGACGGCTCTGTGGAGGTCAAGAATTTGACCTGCCGATATGCTCCTCAACTTGACCCGGTACTGAGGAACGTCTCTTTCACTATTCAACCTAAAGAGAAGATTGGTATTTGTGGTCGTACAGGAAGCGGGAAGAGTAGTAAGTTCGAGGGCTCGACTCGGAATATAGATGGCTGAAGCTGTTCCTCAGCGCTGGCCTTGTCATTCTTCCGATTTTTGCACCAAGAATCGGGCTCCATCTTCATCGATGGGATCGACATAGGAAAACTGAACCTTGAGTCGCTACGATCGCGACTGACCATTCTGCCGCAGGGTGAGTGCCCTTCATAACGATGAGCGGCTGTGCTGATGATTTGAACAGAGGCTCAACTATTCTCTGGCACCATCCGCGATAATCTGGATCCATTCGACCAGCACGAAGATGCTGAAGTCTGGGACGTGTTGCGACAAGTCGGTCTCAGTGGTCGAACACCGTTCACCTCACGCCATGGTAGTCGGGCGGGCTCTTCGGTCGATTTGAAATCCCATTCAGCCAAGGTGCCGAAGGATGATCTGCGGACAAAGACGCTCAAATCGAATCATGAGGATACTACCAAGACGCGTGTTATGGCTGCAGAGGCAGACTCTGACGAGGAAGTAGAGGAGAGAGTGGTCATTCGAAGTCTGGATGAGAAAGTCGCGGTGGGGGGCAAGAATTTCAGTGAGTCCAGTTTACGCGGTCCGATTCTCATTTGCTCATCCCGTCTCCAGGTCAAGGACAGCGACAGCTACTCGCTATGGCTCGGGGACTGCTAAAACTTCGAACGTCCAATTTCCTCATCATGGACGAAAGTACTGCCAATCTCGATCACGCGACGGACATGACGATTCAGAACGTCTTGAGGACCAGTCTGGCAGATACGCAGATGCTTGTGATTGCACATAGACTGATGACCGTCTGCGGACTGGACAAGTACGTCCGGTCGGAGGGAGTGTCAAGCTGACGCTATCAGGATCTTAGTGCTGGATCAAGGACAGGTTGTCGAGTACGGAACACCTTGGGAACTCATGCAGAAGGAGCACGGAACATTTAGGGATCTATGCAGACAGAGCGGAGAAGAAGCTCAGCTCATTGAGGTAGGTCATCCAGGCGATGGAAAAGAAGACGTTCCTGATTTGTGCTAGATGGCTAAGAGTGTCCATGAGAAGAGACAGTCAGAACGAATCTAGAGAGGATCATTGGAAGATCATGTATCAAATAGAAATTCATGGGTCGATGGTCGTCTCTTTTAACTCTGCCGCCAGTGTCCTATATGTTGTCTACGTGTCGTCTACTGCAATGTCTATTCGAGGCGGGGTCCTTTATTCACTCCCTTGGGAGGAGCTATGGAGAACAATGATGGCGATGCTCTATGGTTTGGCCTCGAGAGAGGGGGTGGTGTTGCCATTTGATGTCTGCTGTTCTGCTTCCACCTTGGCATGGTTGATGTAGCTCGGAGGCCAGATGACGGTCCAAACGGATATGGCTAGGAACAAGGGCAGACTATCAAGTGTGTAGAAGAACACCTCGTGAGTCGGAATGTAGCCGTCGTATCCTTGTGAGTACTCGATGATTCGGTAGATGCATCGGATCTGTAAACATGGTGTGTGATCAGATGCTGATCATCGGCAGATTTGACGACTCACCATGATTCCGACGGTCGTCCACATCATGGCAAAGTAAAGTACCTTCCAATTTCTGGCGGTGACTGCCTGTCCTTCTGCCTCATCTCGCGCTCCCACCGAATGGCGTTGAACCATCTCGATGTACTTTGGGCTGCTCCAGATGGGACGTTTGTGGCTGTGGCTGCAGCGTCAGCTCGAGATGTTACTAGGAAGGGTCAGTCACACTGCCACTCACACTCTGACGGCGAAGACAATAGCCAAGAATGTGAAGGAAGCGAAGGACGCAGCTTGTGCACTGAGAGCAGCCAAAGAGATCTGTAAAAAGCGTCCGAGTCAATCTACTGTATCGTTGTCGGACTGTAGCCGGTATAGTAACTCACCCAGTGACCCAGGTTGGCGATATTGGGATTCTGGATGGCTGTCAATCCACCACCACATGCCTGTAACCAGAACGTTGTGATATCGCTAGTGACGTAGATACGGGCGATCCATCGAGGTCTGATGAAGAGGGCATCTTGAGCTCCGACGTGACTCGCGATTCGAGGTAGGAGCACATAATTCAAAGCGATAAATCCGCATGGCGAGAGGAGGGTGAGCTGAAGGGAAACACGGTAAATCAATCATCTCGCTGACGATCGAATGGTATGCAAATCATACTCACCAAGATGGTGATGATGTATATGCCTAGAGACGTCGGATTTCCAGCAAAGACGATCCGGGTCGCAAAGCCTATAGCCATGGTTGTAGTGGAGATGCCTAGGACAAGCATGTACCTGTGGCGGCCTTGGCGGAAGAAACCTGCCACATGTGTTTATTAGCTGGACGATTTTCTCATGCAGGTGAGATCGCAACTTACGAAGCCAGTAGATCAAGGCCAGTAGACCAAACAGGACCAGAGCAATGATGGATAAAGTGTTGCTCGGCACATAGCCACCACTGAGCATCCTGTCAGTCTCACATTTCCAGGTGGGTGTATTGTGGTCGGTCGACTCACAGAGGAGCTGTACGGACCATGACTTCAACCGATCGTAGTCAGTCGAAATGACGTTGCGTGGGAGTAGTCAGAGAGCTATTTCTAGATGTGTGATAATTGAGCTTGGCCTTCTGACGTTCGTGTAAGGGGGACAAGCTACTTATACGTTCTACATCGACACTGCAGCGGGGAACAGTGTAACCCGTTAAAAACGCCCCGGTTTTTCACCCAAATTACCCGTTCCATAGCGGTTAACGTCAACCCCGTTCAAAACATTCCCCCCCCCCCAAGTCCTTTCACTGAAATTCCATCCTACTCACACCATGCCGAGTACGGACAGAGCAACAAAGAGACAACGGGCAGCCGTGGTCTGTAGGCTGTGCCTATCTTGCAAGACTCGCTGCGAAGACGTCACGGAGCTAGGTTGTAAGCGGTGCAGGGACAAGAAGCGGCTCTGCTCGTTTATCGAGAACGGGGAATCAACGGGCAATTCCACAGCACGACGCCCCGTTGAGAGTGCGACGGATAACCGGACCGTGCTTCCCAGAGACTCCTCGTCGTCGACATCAAGGCAAGGACGGAGGAATTCAAGACAGGAACAGACGGCAAGACAGTCTGTTATTGAGGAGCGGCACAACTTTGTTCCGCAAGTCGACTCTGTCCCTCCTTCTGTGGCCTGGCATACCTCGGCATCGACTAGCCCTTTCACAAGCAATCATAATGCTCAACCGATCCTCAGTCCCCTCCCGTCAAATGACAGTACCAACCAATACCCTCACTTTGACAATGTCTTGGACTCTAGCGAGTTTGACGAGAGACTCTGCACTGCTTCCAATGCGAGAGAGTTCCCCGATGTCATCAAGTTGGGCTTGATGACTTCGGATCAGGTCGACCATGCTTTCTTCATGTGAGGAGGCGCTCCTGGACATGCAGCACCCGGTGACTGACCTGTGACGTCGACAGATTTCAGCGTAGGCTTACTGCTCTCCTCTACCTACCCCCGTTCTGCGAGCTGGCTGTAGACAACAACATACTACAGCACCCGTTTCTGACATTGGCGACTTTGTGCTATACTCCTTTCACGCAGACTGTCGACTTCGCGCCGTTGATCGACCGATCGGTCCGGCTTGTCATGAGTGGATGTGTTAGCTCGGAAGTCGTCACTGCACTCTACTTGATCGCCATGGCCCCCGTTTTGCCGAGTGCAGCTCAGACCCCTCACATGACCTCGGGCTGGTTTCTGGAATTGGCATACTCTGCCGGCCGTCGACTGGGACTAGAAGCTCGGTCCAAGAAGGCGCTCGAAGATCCTGAAAGATTATGTGAACCTTGGTTTGCAGCCACTCTGGAGCTCGTGCTGCTGGTCAGTTCGTCTCCGATCTATTCATAAGCTGATCATGACAGTGGGAGAACATCAAAGCGAGACACAACATGTATATCGAGAGAACCACTTTCATGGCTGATCCATAGTGTCTCCCTGATGTACACACTGACGGACGAGCTACTTCCTTCCTGGGCCAACCGCCTGCCTTCCAATCATCCACGCGAGGCTTATCGTCTGGCAATCGGCCAACTCAGGCTTCTATTAAGTCTTGTGGAGGCGGCGGCAGGGACGCACCAGTGTCTAGTCAGAGAAGAATACGAAGGTACCGCCAGTGGACCGGTAGCAGACATGGATCACAAGGCCTGGAGAACCATGATGTCAAAATTGGACGACCTAAGTCATGATCCATGCATGACGGGTAGGTAGAAAAGCAAAGCCCACCGCTCACAGTGTCAGATCTCATACGATCCGAGATTGGATGTCTACCACAAATGCTGGCGATGCGATACGGTGCGCTTCTGCGCAAGTTTCCCACCCCTCTGGCTGAGGAAAGGCTATCTGCCATGATAGTCGTCGTCGGAACCGTCCTATTTCCATCTCTTAAACACCTGGCTGTTTCATGTGAGAATCTTTCCGAGGATCAGCTACCTCATCTTCCGAGCTACCTTACAACGGCATACGTCTTTGGTATGCTGCACATCCGCCGAGTCATGTCTTTCGTACCTCCTTTGACGGACGGTTCAGATGGCTGGGAGAGGCAACATCATCCGGCTCTGGACCTCGTCGAAAAGCTTGAAGATCGTCTCTCTCGCGCAGGTCCATTTCAAGCCTTGATCTTATCCAAAGGCAAGCAAGCTTTGGCGAAACAAGGCAGATTGCATGGGAAAGCTCGAAACGCCCAAGACATGGACGCGAACGATCCGTTTTCTGGACTTGCGCTCTGGGACCTTGATTTATCAATGATCGACTGGGAGGCACTGGGTATACCTCCGATGGACAATTGAGGAATGAGCATCGACATTCGACCTTTGAAGGATCTCGGCAGATGTCTAGACACGCGATGAATTAAGCAGGTCACAGGGCGAATGGATTGCCAGCTAGATGTCAATCTCTCCTTGAATGGGAGACTGAAAGTCGGACCCTCCTGGCAACAGGGACACATGGTCAAAGGAGGTTGTCGCATCAAAGGTACTCACTCGCTCTAGGAGAGATGCGGCCCTGTCAGACAATAGATGCCTGCAATCAGATATGCATGCATGCAGACATCGTCCAGCGTTTCGGACCTGAACCCGCTTCAGCTGACTCGACATGCACGCATGTACAATCCTCGCGACCATACTGATCTTTCACGGCTTCACCAACGGTCTGTGAGTGGCAGCAAGGTGTCTCGCTCAGATCCTCTCTGACACCCTATATCAGTAGGCATGACCGTCTCCCACGACGAGCACCAACAAGGAGAGCGAATGAAAAGTTTGAAATGGTCATCCTGGTTCCTGACGGTTGTTGGTGGGGGGCACCAGGCGCATCCACAGAGTTCGGTGTATGCGAAGAAGACATGGACATCACACTTGAATTTACGACCAAGACGTCTAGTCAAGCGAATTTCATCTTTGGAGGACTGCATCAAAGCGGGACGGCAGAATTACCAAGCGGGACGATCGTCATGGTTCCAGATGACAAGATGAGTGTGAGTGCGGTCGGTCCTCTACCTTCTTTCTTAATGTAGCCCCAGTCCTGCGTGGACGACCTCGATGTCAACGTCAACGTCGGGCACTCATGTTGACATCCTGCAACGTAGTGTACCGGTGGATGGATCATCTCTCCAACAGCCGATGTGACGTTTTCCATGCCTGCCAGCGCTTCGACCCACTATACGTCTTTGATCACCTCTGGCGGAGCGTACTTCGCTTGCGAGACGCCTGTCCCGACAGCCATGCCCTCGGCTTCGGCCTCTGCTTTCAGCTCAACATCAGGGACACCGAGTTCGGCACAAGGACACTCGATCTCGAGCTCATTCGCTTCCAGTACGGCTTCGTCGAGACAGTCAGGTAGTGCAAGTGTTAGCGCTCGTGCAAGTGCAAGTGGTATTGCGAGCGCGAGTGCAAGCCTGAGCTCGGGCGGTTTGAGAGGAAGTATGACTTCCAGTGCAGCTCCCAGGACCAGTGTTAGTGCCAGTGCCAATGCAGGAAACGGTGATGATCCTCATCCACAAGGTCAAGTCTGGTTGACCATACCTGACCCGCATGTCTCCGTGTTCCCTCACACTGCCGTCGTAGGGGAATGGAATGCCGCTGGACCCTTCGCTCATCTCTTCTCGTTTCACGCTTGGGTCCCGACGTATCTAAACGAGACATTCGACATCAGCGTTTTAGAACAAGAGGTTTTCGTCAGCAAAGCCATGGTGCGCCAGCCGATGGCAAATGTAGCTGACAATCCTTTAAAGTGCTCGATAGGTTTGACAGCTCGACCCAGCGGTACGGAGATCGTGACGTATACGCTCGCATCGACTTCACCTTGGGTCCATCCAAGCGGTGATGTCAATGGAGCGTACTTGCATTGTTAGTGACGAGTCAATGAATGGTGGGAGACCCGCTCTGTCTGTATCAAATGTCATGGCATACCGTGATGTTTTGTAGCGTCAAAAAAGTGGTTTCTCTTCCACGTATCAAACCTCCCAGATCCTCCTACGCCGAGCTCGTATTTACACCATTGACCTCAGTCCGCTTCCTGGCAGACCGACCTGAGTGACACCGTCCACGACGTCTATCGAGTTTTTGTATTCCGGCAGGTACCTCGCCCCGTGGTAAGCAGAGACAATGGACGGTGATCCAGAGTAGATAGGCGTCAGAGAAGCCGGACAGATCTCGAACGGTGTAAAGTGGTCGTAGGTGATTTCGTGGCTATCTCTCGGGTTTCGATCACCCTGAGCGAGGACGGATCTCGCCTGGGGCCAAGTGTCAGTCATGGGATCATAGAGCCCGCGGCAGACTTACCTGAGTGATGACCTTGGTATCACTAGGATTGGCCTCAATTAATCGCCTGGCAAACACCGCTGCAGTAGCTTGATTTCCAGCTTTTGAAAAGACGCTCATCGCTGATCGAAGGGCCAATTGCACGTGTGACTGCTGAAGTTTGCAGTGTGTAAAGTAGGCAGCGAGCTCAAGATTACGAGTAACGTTGTCGGGGTCCTCGGCAAGCAAGCGACGACGCTCAGTCTCCATTGTCAGACCAATCACGTATTCTCTGCAAGTAGTAACGAGGTCCTTGACCTGGGACACAGAGTCAGCAACGTCTTGCTAGATTGACGCATATCTACTTACCTCTTGAGCATCCTGTTCCGATGACACAACCACCATCAGGAGCTTCTGCAACACGGCGCGATAAGCTGCGAGAGATTCCGCAAACTTTCCACGGGAGAAGAATCGACTAGCTTCCGCGAGCTCGCTGTCCTTGACATCGTGTAGATTGTACAGGGAGAACGGCAAAACTTCGCGCAACTCGGTGGTTTCGGGATTGCGGCGCACATTGAAGACAAGAGGAGGCAAAGAGGGATTGGCGGGAACAGACACGTGAGCGTTCTCATACGCGCGCATGAACAACGGCTTGAGAGGCTCAAAGTTGACAGCAGCGACTTGACGATTGAGAAGCTGGACATACGTCAGCTCGGCGCATATCTTGAAAAGGCTGAAGCTCACCTGCATAGCCGACTCGAAAGCTCCCGCGGCAGCGTGATCGCTGGCCAGAGGTGAATTCTTGACCCACATCTCGTCTTCCGCCACGCCAGCGGTTACTCCTTCTGAGAGATCGGCTTCCACGCCGGCACCCCCTTCATCCGCTTCGACTTCATCCTCAGGAGCCGTGACGACTTCAGCGTCCAGGTCCCAGCCTTCATCCTCATCCACCGGTTCGTCATCTTCGCCGTCAATAGGTTGATCCACACCCCAAGCCTCAAGTTGCTCTCCACCATTAGCCATCTCTCGGGCAGACACTTCTCCAAGGGCATCCGCGCCGCCATTGGCGAGCGCCCGGTCAAAGAAGCTTTCTCCAAGATTTTTGATTGGCCAGTTGCTCTCAGATTGGGAAAAGGCGACAGGAGGAGGAGCCAAGGACGAGTGACCAGCATTCTGAGGTGGCGAAGGCAAGTCATCCTCTGTCATGCCAGCTTCCTCGAGGATATCAAGCGCAGTGTCGTCGAGACCATTAGTCTTGGCAGTGTAATAGGCCAGAGGGTCTGGAAAGCGTCAGAATGGGCGTCGACCGGCCGCGCATGACTCACATTGTCCAGTCTCTCGCAAGACCGCAACGCGAGCTTTGATATCTCCCAGATAAAGCGAGTTCTGGAATCGACTCATGTTGTCGCCTCGCTTCGTGGCGATGTTCTGCATCATACTGAGTTTTTGGACATTTCCAGTGATCAGGTACAGGAAGGACAGCTTGTCAAAGTTGCGAGTCTTCTGGTATGCAGTCTCGACGATCTGACAGAGAGTTAGTTTTTGCAGAAGATGGACTCGGACTGGTCTCACGCTATGATTGCCCTGCTTGAGAGCTGCAGCTCCTAGGCGTTCCCAGACATCTTCTCTATCGACAGCCCGAGCCATTTCCAGGGCGACAGTCAAGTTACCGCACTCTATAGCCAAGTCGAATCGAGTCTGCTGATCCTGGACAAAGTGAAGAGCGATCTCAGGGTATCCCTTCTTCTGAAGGTAGCCGATGATGCTTTGTCCAACGAGGTTCGAGTTTCGGATGATCTGCAAGACTTCATCATAGTTCTTGCGGACGAGGGCAAGCTTGAATCTGTACTCGGTAGGGTCGATCGGGATTGTTCGTGGCTTAGCCGTCCTGTCGAGGCAGTGTACAACCTGACCCTTGATTCGAGTCAAGTAGACAGGCTGGTCCAACGTCTTGATGATACCATTGTCCCTAGGTCTTCAGCGTCTCATCAGTCAAACTGACTAACCCTTGATGCAGAGCATATTTGATATGGTTCAGAGTAGTATAAACAAGCACTCCGCTGTCATCCCAAGCAGCAGACTTGATGCGAATGGTCTCGTGGATCAAGGCGCTCTGCGCAAGGGACTTGTTGGCAATGGTGATGGCTGTGACGTCAACGAAAATGATCTCCTCACTGCAGACTCACTATGCTTGCTGAGCAAAGCAACCATATTTCCATCAACGCTCCAGACTGCGTACTTGACAGGCGGCGTGTTGAGCTCGGCCAAAATCTTCTGCTGTTGAATGTCAAACAGGATTACAGACGTAGCCGATGCCAGCAAGAGCGAAGCGGTTCCTCCGTAGAAGATCTCATTGGTCTGAACAGGGCATTTGACAGATTTGGTGAGGTTGTTGGACAGGTCCCGAATCTCGATGTTCTGGGAGAACAGTGAGCTCTTGAGATGGAACGAGACGTCGAGACTCACCTGACCGGCTTTGTCAAGCACGGCCAACCTGTTTCGAGCAACGAAGATGGCGCAGGATCCATTGCCCTTCTTGCCATCAGAGGGAACGTCCTTTCCGTCCCCAGCAGAAGGAGCAGCGCTCTTGGGCAGGCTGATGAGCTCGTATTGGCCGTTCTCGGTGGCCTGAGATCGTCAAAATCAGCTTTTCATTGCGTCCGCTTTTGCTGCCCACTCACCGAAGTCACCAAGACCGCTCTCTCGGCTGGGTTATAACTCAATGTCTTTGGTTGAACCCATTGCGAGCCGAGTTTGCGAACGCTGCAGATGCCCTGATTCGTACCTGTAGACAGGTCTGCCATTCGCACGACCTTGTCCTTGACGTAGAAGAGTTGATTACCAGAGAGTGAAAAGGCAGGACGTTCACGTTCGAGCTTGAAGACAATGAGACCGTTGTCGTGACCTGTTTAGAAGGAGATTAGATCAGAACCCTGAGAGAAGTGCAGAAGCGTATGAACTCACCCGCAGCAAAAAGATTGAGTTCCGGATGAGCGATCAATACCCAGAATCTGTCCTGGTCTCTCCTGAACGTCTGAACAGCCGTCCTCTTCGTCATATCCCAGACCCGAATGGTTTTGTCCTCACTGGCTGAGAGGATCAATTCGTGTCGTGGATGGAAGAGACACATGGAGACATTGTTGAAATGTCCTCGACAGCTGTCCACTTCCCAGGCTTTCGTCTCTGACATTCGCCAAAGTTTGACCTGTCGATCGTCACCACAGGAGACGATCAGAGGTAACGTCGGATGGAAAGTGGCCCAGTTGACCCCTCTGTCGTGTCCCTCCAAGACGTATTTGACAACTGCGTCTGTGTTTCCAAAGAGATCCGCTTGGCCCTGATTCTGACGTTGAAGTTGCTCTTCGAAAGACATGGGCGCTTGGTGCGCTTGGTTCTTCTTACGGAGACCAGAGATATCCCAGACTCGGACGGTGAGATCCATGGAAGCAGACACGACCAAGTCGTCCCATGGGTGGAATTGTGCGCACCTGGAATGGGTCAACCGCCAGAATCAGGCAAGTGAGTTTCCACTCACATGATGTAATGGTTGTGTCCCGTCAAAATAGCGATACACGTCCTAGCTTGCCAATTCCATATCCTGATGGTCTGATCATCCGAAGCAGAGATGATCCATGGATATTCGCGGTGGAAGTAGACTGTGCGGACGTAGTCGAGATCTAGAGAAGGATCCAGGTTCAACACGTGTCCTGAAGCATACATTACGCCCGTCTATCACTCACGTCCGTTCAAAGTGAAGAGACACTTTCGCTGTTTGTAATTCCACAACTTGATCTTGTAGTCATCACCACCCGAGACAAAGATAGGCTGTGTAGGGTGAAAGCTGATAGCTCGAACGGGTCCTGGAAAAGTGTCAACTGCAGATGTCGTGCGTATACCACTCTCGACACACCATCGTGCTCCTCAAATCTGTCTACGAGCGTTCCCATCTGGTAGTTCCACAATTGGATCGTTCCATTGTGGAGTGACGCAGCGAGCAGAGGACTCTTGGGATCTGAGATGGGATTGTTAGCTGTACATTCCGCGCAACCGCGGACCCCATAAACTCACGGAATGCGATACCCTTGACGCGTGGGCTCTTGCTCTCGAACTGATGAGTGCAATTTGTCAGGTATCTTTCCCCGTCAAGTGCTCCTCTACCCACCTTTGTGAGCATCTGCATGGTGCAGAAGGATATCCACCGCTACGAAGCGGTCCGTACTGATGCCTCGAGTAGATGTTGTTAACGCAGCTCAGGGCTCGAGTTCTCTTCCTGGAGCTTGAGATCTAAACCGTCTACAGGGTGAACTCAGCCCAGCAGCTATCGGATCTGCTCTTCTATGTCCAAGGTTGGCTGAGGCGAGTTGCAAGCAGCAGCAGCAGCAGCAGCAGCGACAGCAGAAGCTGTATGATAATATATGAATGGGAACTACACGCCAGTGCACCATTCCCTCCACGCAACGGAGAGGTCAAATGTGCCACGCGTCATATCGCCGTCGGCGTTATGAAATTCGACCAGGGTGGCGGAGCGATCGTGGCAGTCAAGCAGGGCGGCTTGTGGATGTCCTTCAAGCAATGCATGCATGCATGGATGCCCTTCTATAACTCATCCCTAGCACTAGCTACCACCTGCTTAGCATGCTCTGTACCTTGATGAACCCCCTCCTTTACGGCGCTAGCACCGCTCTCCACTGACCGGCTGGCATCGCCAATGACACTCTTGACCGCGTCCGTGGCAGCTTCGACATATTCTCCCGCATTCTCGGGAAATGGTGTGGCTCCAGCAGCTCGTGCAGCTTCTCTAGTCACAGAGTGTACGCCAGAGCTGACCTGAGAGATGAGAGACGAGGCGCTCTCTGAGCCTTTGGAAACACCTGATGCGACAGACTTTGAGCCGATAGAGGAGGCTGATGCTAGACTTTGCGATCCGACGGACGACGCGGATGACAGGAACGAGCTTGCACTGGATATCACTTCGATGCCGGATGAAGAGATCGAAGGTCGCTCAGGAACGATGCTCTTCGCTTTAGCCGAGAGGGACGAAGCACTGGCAGACGCCTCGGATTGAATGGAGACGAGCGTTTCCGAGGCGATGCTGGTTATCGACGAGCCGGTGTCGAAAGCTTCAGATGCGAGGGAAGAAGCAGAGACCGACGCGGATGACACAACGTCCTCGGCTCGTCCTTTGATACTTTGCGTGGAGTCTGAGTTGCCAACGGCCTCCTTGACCGAAGCAATGGCGGATTCAACCTTGTCGGAGGCACCTGAAACTACGGACGCGTGACCCTGCTTGACCGCATTGCCAATCGACTCCAGGTGCTCTGACGCGCCTTCAGGGGATGGTGTTCCTCCAACAGCCGAAACGACTGATCGGGTCGCGTCATGAACCACAGAAGAGGCGGCGTCAGAGATAGACGAGGCAGAAGCTTGAGCTTGAGAGACGACCGATCCAATGGTGCCTGATTGGTCAGAGACAGCAGAAGAAGCCGTCGCTGAAGCCTTGGAAGCAGCCGCTTCCGCAGCAGAGAGAGCGTCAACCACTTGCTGTCTTCCCTTCCCAATAATTGCACTATCCACTACCACGTCCATGGTCTCCTGTTCGATGGGCAAGATCGAAACTCGGGACTCGGAGCTCGTCTGGGATTTCGACGCGGAGGATGGTGTAGCTGGAGAGCCGGCGGCAGATTCCGCAGCGACTGCTTGCCGAGCTTCGATTCTGTCTGCCGCGGTACGTTTCAAGGTAGACAAGCGTTCTTTGAATCCGGCAAGTCTGTCGTCGAGCTCAGTGGAGAGCTCCGCAATGGCAGTGTTGATGTTGGCGTCTTTGGCGGAAAGAGCCTTATCCTTGGTCTCTCCACGCTGAAGTGCTAGGTATTTGCTTTCCCATTCCTCACCGCCTACCACCGCCGGTCAGCTTAACGAAGCAAGTGTTCAATGACCACTTACTCTTCTTCAATGCGTCGAACTTGGTCCAGTCCTATACTGAGCGTCAGCGCGTCTCGCGATTTGTCACCGAACGTCCCCACCTTGGGAGAAAGATCTGCAATTCCAGACATCTGCACCTGTTCAGCTGATGTTACTCCGTTCTGTTGACCCGACCGACCTTCAGCTTGAGATCTTCCCACTCTTTGCCAAAGAGAGCATTCAACGAGTCCATCGCCTCCTTCACGAACGACTTCCCTTCATCGTTCCATTTGATTTTCATCTTTTCACCTCTCTCCTTGGCTGTAGTGACCTTTTTCGCCAATCGATCCTCGCTCTTCTTACTAGACGCTTCGACCTGTTCTTTGGTGAGACTAGTAGACTGAGTATAAAGCTTGTCCAATCCGGCAAGAATATAGTCAATGTCCCGGGAGATCTCTTCCCTGGCATTGTTGGCCAACAGGGGCAATTTCTGAGAATCCGACAAGATGGATCGATGATGGTCCAAGAGCTGCGGGAGATTATAGATGCATGAGCCCTTTCCTTTGTGTACAACATCAGATCACTGCACCTTTTGCCGTGTGTCCTTGAGTCCCTGAGCTCCACGTTCATCCACGCGCTTCTTCAAAGCATCTCTGACTCTGTCCATCTCTGCTCGATCAAATACTTTAGCGGAAGGAGTTGCCGATGAAGCGGCTGATTTGATCGATTGAGTGGCCTTATTGATTTTTGACATGGCTGATGCTACCCCCTCCGCTGCCTTTTGTTTCTGTTGTGCAGCCTTGTCGTACGCGCTGTCCATGGAACCTCGACGTTGAGCGGCTCGGCCACCTTCTGGAGACGGTAAAATCTCCGAAATCAATGTCCAGAAGGATCTGGGTGGAGCTTCGGCAAGAAGAGGAGCAGGGATGATCTTCTCAACGAGCGGCTTGATGTAAGGGATAAAGACCTGTTTGTCGAACGCAGAGATGTAAGGGTCAAGGATGACTTGCATTCGTTTGATATGTGGTCCAAGAACAGGATCAAGGTGAGTGTTGTATTGCTTGACGATGTATCTTAAGGGCAAGATCAGTCTCTACGCGCCTAGCGTATCAACTCACGCTCGGACGATGGCGCGTCCCCGGCTCAACTGCGCGTCTGCCCACATGTACCCTTCCTTGAGCTTTGGGAAGATGATCTCCTTCGCTATCCTTTGGCCTTCTTTCCCGGCTCTGATCGCATGTGGTCTAGCCCATGTGTATCCTTGTACACTCTTCTGACGAGAGAAGTGATAAGCTTGATTGGCGTATCGTCCAGCATGTCCAGTGAGAGGATGACCAGCGATAAAGTTGTAGGTGTTCACTGAAGAGTCCGCAGCGGACCGAGCGTACTTTGAAGCAGTCTTCACGTGAGGTTCTGCGTGGGTTCGATACAGTTTCGAAGCCCTCGAAGTGTATGGCGAGGTGAGTGTGTACCATTTCGCTCGAGCCCACGGGATGTGAGGAGAGACGTATGTCAAGTAGAGTTTCCTGGCTCCCCTGGAGATCCTATTGACAATGGGTCGAATAGGACCCTCCCAGAGTTGAGTTGCGGTAGTCTGGGCATTCTTAGCGACGGGTTCGATCGCATTCAGATAGAAGGGGTGAGCTGTCGCTCGGGATTGAAGATCATCCAAGATAGGGTAGATGTATGGCTGGAGGACCTCTCGGTGGTACACGTTGGCAGGATAACATAGTGTCTGATGCAAAGTTGAAGGCTCCTTATGCAGACCGAGGGGCGTCAGGAAGAACTTGGAGATGGAAGATGAAGGTGTAGAAGGCGGAGGACAGATGACTGTGGAAAAGAGGGATATGGTGAGGAGGAAAGGGATAGTTGTGAGGATGGAAATGATCGACCAAGGATGTCTTCGAGCAGTCGCTTTGACTCTCCGTGTCGTTTGCTGTCGACTTGTCAGCGGGGGCAGCCAAGTTCAGTCGAAAGCACCTTGACGTCCTTCGCTACGTCCCTCGCCACGACTTTCGCCTTTTGCTGCATATCTCTCGCCGTGGCGCTGACGGTCGGTCCATTCTAAAGGACACAATCAATCAATCAGCAGCGAAGGATGCGCTACATTTTCTTTCGCCAACTCACGTAGAACGTTGATGCTCCGTTGGGTCCAGACGTGGACTTGCCTGATGCTTTGCGCTCATTGACACCTGGCTTTGGCATATTGAGAGCGCACTGGAGCTTTGTGGATGCCGTTGCTCGCTGTCACCACTGCTGTTCTCGTCCTCGTCGTCGTCCTCGTCGTCGTCGATGAATCGCTTTTATATTTCGTCATGGCCCATTGCGGCCACCAAGAACACAGATTGATAAGGTTGATCCCGTCTAACGTCGACTTCGGTGCTCTCTAAACTGACACGTCATATCACACCCCCATGCCCTCGACGCGACGCGTCTCTCCCCTGAACATTGCGAGAGATTTCTCCAATCTCTCTCTTGAAAATTACATTTCATTGACCATCGACCGTCACTGGCTGATCCTGATATTGACACGCTCAAGTCTTGACACTGACGTATCATGGTGAGTAGCTCATGATGATATATATCACCGCCCAATCACTCACTCTCTCCGGTTCCCTTCTTCAGTCATCACCCAACTACCCACCCTCCTCTCAACCGCGTCCAAAGCGCGCAAGGTCACCAGATGATAACCCAAACGCTGCATCTTCGCCAGCGCCTGCAGGACCATCCGCTAGATCTTCTCCTCTCCCGTCATCTCTCCCTCCTTCCTCACCCCCGGCTCCATTCTCTGATCTCGATGATGAGGAGGATGTAGGGGACGACGAAGATGAGGATATGAGAGCTAGAGGGAGAGCGAGAGATCGGGCAGACGACGAGGATGATGAAGAGGGAGAGGATCTATTCGGAGAAACAATGGTCAAGTGAGTGGTCTGCCAGAGACCGGCCGGGACGCCCTAATGGGTGACGTCCATTCTAGCGATTACGAATCCAACGCTGCGCTCGACACATACTCTCAAGCGGATATCGATGACCGATCGTCCATAGCTGAGATGACTCGAAACGAACGATTGGCAGCTGAACGGTCGATGGATCGAAGAGATCGCGGACTTGGAGGTCGTCGAGCGGGTCGTCGGGATCATATGCCGGCATTCCTACAGAGTGACGACGATGATGCGGAGGGCTACGGTGAGGGTTTATTGAGCGGCGTCAATGTAAGGAGGCGGAGAAGACAATACGATGAGCGCATGGATGAGGACGATGCCGAAGAGGAAGAGGTGAGGCATGCCTCTTGTCGGAGAGGTCGCACTGACCTCCTTTCAGGAGATGTCGCTTGAACACCTGGGGGATGTCAAGGCTGGATCTATCGCCGAATGGGTGGCCTTTGAGAATGTTCGTCGGGCCATCCAGAAGCATTTCAGAAGTTTTCTCATGACGTACGTTGATGAGAAGGGGCATTCAGTATATGGTCAACGTATCAAGCATCTCGGAGAGGGTGAGCCAATTCAGTGTCTGCTTGCGTATACGCTGCTCACCTCCCTCTCCTCAGTCAACTCCGAGTCCCTTGAGGTATCCTTTATCCACCTTGCCGATTCTCGACCTATCCTCGCTTATTTTTTGGCCAATTCGCCTCAGCCGATGCTCGCTCTCTTTGACGAAGTGGCTCTCGACGCCATTCTCCTGTATTACCCGTCTTATGATCGTATCCACTCCGAGATCCATGTGAGGATCACCGAACTGCCCACATCTACTTCTCTCCGTGAACTCCGACAGAGCAACCTCAATTGCCTCGTCAAAGTCTCCGGAGTCGTCACGAGACGGACGGGTGTATTCCCTCAGCTCAAATACGTCAAGTTTGACTGTAGCAAGTGCAATGCCGTGCTAGGCCCTTTCTTCCAGGATACGAACAAGGAGGTCAAAATCACTTTTTGCTCTGGTTGCGAATCACGCGGACCATTCAGCGTCAATTCGGAGCAGACTGTGTACAGGAATTACCAGAAGATGACTCTTCAAGAGAGTCCCGGGTCCGTTCCTGCCGGTCGGTTGCCGAGGCATCGGGAGGTCATCCTGCTATGGGACCTTATCGACGTTGCCAAACCAGGAGAGGAGATTGTGAGTCATGTCATGATTGTGAGGATATGAGCCTTCACTGACGTGGCATCAGGAGGTCACTGGTATCTATCGGAACAATTTCGACGCTTCGCTCAACACCAAGAATGGCTTCCCGGTGTTTAGCACTGTCCTCGAGGCCAATCACATCAACAAGAAGGAGGACCTCTTCGCCGCGGTCAGACTGACTGAGGAAGACGAAAAGATGATACGAAATATGGCAAAAGACGAGCGTATCTCAAAACGAATCATCAAATCCATCGCTCCATCCATCTACGGTCACGACGACGTGAAGACGGCCATCGCCCTGTCTCTCTTTGGTGGTGTGCCGAAGGATATCAACCGAAAGCATCGAATCCGAGGAGACATCAACTGTCTTTTACTGGGTGATCCCGGTACTGCCAAATCTCAGTTCTTGAAATACGTTGAAAAGACTGCGAATCGAGCCGTATTCACGACTGGCCAGGGTGCGTCAGCCGTTGGTCTCACCGCGTCCGTTCGTAAAGATCCCATCACTCGAGAATGGACCTTGGAGGGTGGAGCTTTGGTCCTGGCCGATAAGGGACATTGCCTGATTGACGAATTTGACAAGATGAACGATGCGGATCGAACGTCTATTCACGAAGCGATGGAACAGCAATCCATATCCATCTCAAAAGCTGGTATTGTGACTTCCCTCCAGGCTCGATGTGCCATCATCGCAGCTGCCAACCCTATCCGAGGAAGGTACAATCCGACCATTCCGTTCCAACAGAACGTCGAGTTGACAGAGCCCATCCTGTCTCGATTCGACGTGCTCTGCGTCGTCAAGGATGCCGCTGATCCGGTCCAAGATGAAATGTTGGCCAAATTTGTGGTTGGAAGTCATCTCCGAAGTCATCCACAATTCGCACCTGAAGAGGACGAGGTTAACGTCGCGACCAGCATTGATGCGGACGTGAGTAAAGCGAAGGCCTTGCCTTCCTTGCAGCATAGACTGATGAGACATCTGCAGATCATTCCGCAAGACGTGCTGCGGAAGTACATCATGTACGCCAAAGAACACATTCAACCTAAATTGCAACAACTGGATCAAGACAAATTGGCCAGGCTATACGCTGATCTCCGAAGGGAATCCCTTGCGACTGGCTCCTTCCCCATTACCGTTCGTCATCTCGAGTCAATGATCCGAATGAGTGAAGCGAGTGCGAAGATGAACCTGAGAGATTATGTCCGAAGCGACGACATCGACCTTGCTATTCAAGTGACTGTCGGATCATTTGTCAATGCCCAGAAGATGAGCATCAAGAAGACTCTAGAGAGGGTGAGTGTATCTCAGATCGGACAGATAGAACGCCTGCTGACTCGCTTGTCTTCCCAGGGCTTCAGGAGATATGTGCATCAAGCGACAGACAACCAAGAGCTTGTCTCGTTCATTCTGGGTCAGATGATCAAGGAAAAAGTCCAACTCTACCGTCATCAACGTGGGGAGAACCCTCCTTCGGTATCAATCAAAGTCAATGCTTTGGAGGGTCGTGCAAAGGAATTGGAGATTTACGATGTTGGACCATTCTTAAAGAGCAAATTGTTCATCGCCAATGGCTACAAGGTCGTCCCCGGGGAGGCTGGAGGGAGCGTCGAAAAGGTATTTGCAACCGAGGTCTTGTAAGGTATGGTCGACGTCATATAGTCTGGGGGGTTCTTGTTTCAGGTTCGAGTGAGGGTGGTAATATGCATTTTGCCCAGTGTATGAATACAAGGTGCTCATGGTCCAGTTTGGGTCATATGTCGTCGAACGATGCCGACCCGCCTCTTCGCCTAGGTTTCAGCACACCTTGTTCAGGTGCTGACGGGGGCTTTGGTGAAGGTACCCAGGGCTGTGGTGTCCCTGTTTCAGCCATTCGCCTCTTTGTGTCTTCCTCTGAGAGTCTTCGGAGGTCCTCTTTTGTGGCGTGTTGAGATGGATCGACCACATCCGGAGGTGGTGGCACTCCGGGAGATGTCGGTGTGGGGATAGGATAAGGTGATCGAGGGGCGTTTTCCTCAAGGGGAGCAGCAGGTGTGGAGAGTCTATGTGACGTTGATGGTCCAGACGAAAGGGTATCACCGTCAATTGACGCATAGTGTTCCCGCTGTGATTGATCGATAGATTCAACTGCACTTCGCCTTGATCTCGATTCATCGACCTTGACTGACGAAGGACCTGCGATGGCATCCCCTCCAAATAATCGATGATATTCCGGTGAATGCGAATGGATGGATAATCGTATATCCGAGTCGGAGGCATACCCTTGACGAATCCTCTCGGCACGTTCACGTTCTTCTATAGCAGCGACGAGGGGCGTCAGATTCGTTTGACGTAAATGATCAGCTTCGAGTTCCTCCACTGAAGGTGGATTCGGACGGGTATGTGATAGCCCTGAGCGGGGGATCAGCTTGACTGAAGGGACAATAAGGGGGGAGGGCAAAGGAGAGCTCACATGCTCGCCATTGAACTTGGTAAAAGCTGTCAGCTGTGGCCCCTCTACCAACTCTCCGAGACTCACCTGGCAGGTTGACCTTGCCTGAAGTGTAATCGGACAAATGTTCAATGTTGTTGTATTTGACACTTCGTTTCGGCCGACCACCTGGTATGAAATATCAGCTGAGAGGTTCACATGATCTCATCAGCTCACCTCCTGATGGCTTGGCTATCTCATAATACTTGTTCCCTTGATCCCTCACATCAGTACTCGACACGCCAGTCGATCAGTTCCGACTCTCACCACTGAGATCTCTGCCTTTGAATCGCTGCGGAACGGCGATATGAGCTGGCTGCTTTCAGGGGAAGTCTTGAGCTCCCACTCACCTTGCCACCACCCCAGGCCAGCGCATCCGCTAGACCTGTGAAGAACTTGTTCATGCTGTCGTGTCCATCATCGACATGATCACCATCGTCCACCTCCTCAACGTCACGGCAATCGCCAGTGAAAATTTGGTTCCGTTGAATCAGTGCCACGTAATACGCGTTTGGTTCTACGGTGATCATCTGACAGTTGACAGTGAGGACGACGACAGCGAAGGCGACCGTAGACGACAACGATTCAGTGTCCTCTGCCTGGCGCTAAAGAATGAAGCAGTAGAAGGGACCGAAGATTGATACACTCTGATCTTGGGTTGCGAGTTCTACAACATGTCCGGCAAGAAGAACAAAGGCAAGGGGATCATGGCGGATGGGCAGCATGGGCAGGATGGTTTGGCAGACTTGAAAATGGATAGCAGTGTGGATATCTTGGCGAGTGATCCACTTCCAACGGTCCACGTCAGCAAGTCAAACCTCGGAGAGATGAAGAATGCGCTGGACGATGCGGTGAAGAAGGTGTGTCTGTCCGTGGCCCTGAGCTCATCGCTCGGACTACATCCTGACGCTTTGAGCTTTCAGCACCTCACCGGCATGTCGTTCACCCCTTCTATATTCAATCCGACGGTTCATCTCAGTCTAGGCTATACATCCGTCCTACTCTGCTTGGGGAGTGTGCTATACTCTCTGCGTGTGGAATTTGAGGACTCCAAACCTGCTCTGTGGGTCGGCGTCGTCGGTTACTTCACATTCCAGTCGATTTTATGGGCGTGGAAGAGATGGGTCGAACGAGGAGAAATTTTCCGTGGAAGGAGACGGCGCATCGTCAAACGGGTGAGCCAGCGAAAGCGAAGATGAGGCACAATGTATATGCTCGTCGCTAACACTGAGTTTCGCCTCGCCTCTTTCTCAGATCGAGACTGATCATATCCAAATCACGACATCTACCAATTTCAACGCTCCCCAAGTCCCGTCTATCACTTTCTCCCCTCATACTCGACCTTCTTCTCCAAGTCTTGCACCTTCATCACCTATCTCTTCTCCCGGATCATCACCCAACAACTCTTCAACCCTACCGCCAAAATCGACCACCGATTCCCAACAAACCTTTACTCCGAGCTCTATACCCTCGAGCGTCGGAAAGACGGACTGTGGACCGACCTACTCTGTCCAGTTGACGCTGAGTACGACTAGCAATAGCGGGAAATCGTTGTTGAGGAAAAGTCGAGTGGTCGCAGGTCGAGGTGTCGGAGAGTTTATCGACACGCATGGTGGGATCGAGGAAGGAGAGATTGGTCGATGGTTGAATGGACTATTGATTGATGCAGGCTTGGTCGGAGCTGAGGAGACGGAAGGACTGAAGGAGGAGTAGGCGGAGAGGCCACGAGTACTGAAGGAGAGCACTCTCGAAGACGTTAGAAGCCGAATGCCATCAGGTAAACCTCCTTCCTACTTTCCAGGGTGATCTGGAGGATGGGACCTTTCACACCGAGAAATGATTTGTTCAAGAATCTCTCGGGATGACCTTGTGCGTATTTTATCTGTCAGACCATGAATAATGCACGTTCCTGCTGCTGTCGACGACGTGCTACACGGCATGCTCAATCTCATAAGGGACAACGTCGTTCGGATATCGATCATGTTGGGGTTTCTTACATTTTAAGACAATGATACGGATTCCACAATCACGATCGATCTCGACCCAGTACCAGCTGTTGCTGACGTCTTGACTCGGACTGACCAGCCTTATGATTGGGTGCTGGAAGGGCCGTTCTCATGATCTTGAAGGAACATTCAGAAATGGCCCGTTTCCAGACCAACGGATCAGCTTTCAACTTTGTGTTTGTGTCTGTTTTACTTTGTGTTCAGGACCTCGTGGGTTCCCACACTGATTGAGTCCTTCTAAGAACTCACGCACCTCACCGTGATGATGGGACTGATTGTCAGCGGATGTCCCATTCGTCCTTCGGAGACGAAGGGAAAGGGATTGCTTTCATCCTTTATACCATCCTTTTTGCAGACCTTTCTTCATATTCGGCAGGCTGCCGGCCTTCAGGCCGCGGATAACTGAATCTGTTGATTGACAGATGTCCTTGGATGAGTTCTGTCATCCCCTTTGAATCAACTCCAATCATGCGCGAAAGAATCAAGTGACAAAGGCTCTTTAAGGAGGAGCAGGCAAGATGACAGTCAGCTCCTTCTCGCCCCCTTGAACGACCCTCGGTTCTCCTCACCTTGAAATACGCGTCTGAAGCTCATACTGATTCAGCCTCACGTCAGTCATGTCTGCGCCGTACGCTGGGTCCACAGAGTCCAACCCGGCAACTGGGTCATCAGGAGCCGCCGAATCTGTGGCTGGCGGTGGTTGGAACCCGCAAGCTAGTCCGATGACACCTCAAGCGCTTGATCAAATGTACTGGTCTTTCACTCCCGGCGATCCGTCTTCATACACTGTAAGTAGGTCCAGGAGGGTATATGCAAGTATACTGACTTTGAGTCATCAGTTCTACCAGACTCTGGGCTTGGCTCTGTGTGCCGTCATCACCATGTCCACTTGGACCAACACGTTCCGATACTTTCAGACCTTTGGCAAATCCGACAATGCGCTTCTACAGAGTTGTATCGCCTTTGGATTTCTTCTGACGAGGTATGTCAGGCGAAGATACCATTACGCGGTCCGCCTTGCTTACCATGCACCGCAGTGCCCAGCTCTTTCTCCAGGTCTACCACGTTAGTGGCACCCTTCTCCTCATCCTCTCCACGAAGAGGAAGAGCTCTAGCTGACTCTCGCCTTCGAAGTCTCACGAGCTCGCATACCACGCATTTATTGACTTCGTATCCATCCAGCGAGAGGACGGAATCATCGGTTTCTCGCAAGCGCTAATCTCGAGCATTTTTGCGTTCTTTGGAGTAGTCTACTACACTCACAAGATCTATACGGTGAGCCGTTGACCAGTTCAACTCATCTGACTCCCTAGCTATCGGGTCGGAGATGATACATCCTGAGTATCGGAATGGTTGCTGCCCTTGCACATTTCGGCATATGCCTCTAGTGAGTAAGCATCAGCTGAATCTCTTTGACTTGTGGCTAAAAGATGCCTCACTCCTCACCAGTATCAATATTTGGGACCTGCGAGTACCTCAGTTCACCTTGCAGAACCCATCTGCTCTGCCCAAGTTTTACAAACATTCGAATCCATGGATGAAGGCTTTCTTAATTGTCAACATGGCACACGATGGAATCTTGTGCATCATTCGTGGGTGTATGGGGAACCAGTTGAGATCTCGCGAACTAATGGAGGGATGATTCAGTCTTTGTTCTCTTGCATCGAACAAGGAGCCGATTGTTTCATCTTGGGCAGAATCTCTTCCCGAAACTCATGGCAATCATCTTCGAGTGCATGTGAGTGAAGTGAAGGCATTCATGGCATCGCGGCGAGCTATGTCTTGCAACGCTGATGTCGCGCCACGACAGGCTGCCACCCATGATCGTCACCGCCACAATCTTGGCTGGATCATATATTGACAATAACGATGGATGTGAGTCATCCTCCCAGATCGTGAGATTATGGCCTATGCTGACGCCCAATTCTAGACGGCTGGGTGACGATCTTCTACGCTGTGATTGGCCCGCTTTACTTCCACTCCGTCATCATCAGTCTGGTCTCGCGTAAGAAGTTGCGAGAACTACTCGACAGCAATTTGACGGACCATGGGATCCTCAAGCTCAATTCCTTGCCCTTCAATAGCAAGCATTCTCAAGGTTCTCACAATGATCAAGTGAATGTCCACGTTGACCAGATCTCTTCAAGCTACACCTTGACAAAGGATCGACCTAGACTCAATAGAGATCTAGCGGACGAGGACAAGCGTAAGATCTGGGACGAGGAGAATAGCTTGAAATGGGAAAGCGACCGCGTATCGAGTGAGGACGTCCATGCTCAATAATACGAGCTATCAGCGACTGGTCGAGTCTAGTTGCGAATAGTGTGCGAATATCTGATACACGAGCCAGCCAGCGTCTTTGTATATATAGGGCCGTTTTGACTTTAGTTCTTGCTTGTTTAGTTGAGACCCCGCGTCTTGCCTGTGATGTATCTCACCGTTTGCCGTAGAGATCTAGCCTCTGAGTGGGGCCTCACAGCGAGCGACACCCATCAATGCGCGACGCTGCCAGGTCATGGTAGCAGCATGCCCCGCCACACCGACCAAATTTGCTTCCGCTGAGTCGAAAGTTCAGACCGAATGCAACCTTTCAACATTCAAGAGATATCACGAAGATAGTGCTCCTGCAATTCAGCGACTTGACTTCACCAACTAGATCACGCAGACCACCATGGCGCCTCCGAAAGGCAATGAGAATGCGCTTGGTCTAGCAGCAGAGAGCTCCAGCAAGGGTAAATCAGCCAAAGAGTTGAAAAAGGAGAAACGAGCTGCTGCCGTTGCGGCCCGTGGACCAGCTGCGACAGAACGGCCTGGATCCTCAAGTTCAGCTCAACAACAGCTGGGAAGTTCTCCTCAGCGTACGGGATCTATAGCCATGTCATCGGGAGGAGGTGGGAGCGGAGGCGGCGCTGTAGCTCAGGAAAGCTCTCGATTCGAGATCCTATCCACTATCGATATCCCGTTGGCTTCTTCTTCCTCTTCTTCGGCTGCTTCCTCCTCCCGCCAACCAGCGCCTTCATCCAAGAACACCAAGTCGATGGAGACTGCTTTTTTCTCTCATTTGCCAAATCATTCATTGCCAGATACAGCTGCGGCCTACAAGGGAAGCAAGATCCACCCGGCTGTGATTCAAGCTGGGATCATGATGTCTTCAGGGGAAATACGAGGGGCCAACGCCAGGACAATGGCGACCATGTTGGCCTTCCAGCAGGTCATTGAAGAATATCAATGCCCAGAGCAGACTGTCTTATGGAAGGATTTGCCAAATCACCTCAGTCCAATGATTGCGTGGTTGGAGGATTGTAGACCCAAGGGGGTTGGGGGAGGCAATGCCATCCGCTGGCTGAAGGGCGAGATCAATCGGCTTGGAGAAGTGGACATGGGTACAGATATCGAAGTGAGGGCGGTATAGAGCCTCCTGTCCGTGAACTCCTGGTGTAGGAGCTGACCCGCTCTCGGCGTGTAGCAAAAACGACATCTTGTTGGCGCGATTGACGATTACCTGACTCAAAAAATCGAATTTGCCGATCAAATCATCATCTCGCATGCCCAGGAAAAGATCAAGGCGGGAGATACGATCGTCACTTATGCTAGGTGGGTCGTGCTGAGCATTCTTGATGTCTGCACCGTCTGACTTGAGGCAGATCATCAATCATCGAAAAGGTCCTATTGCAAGCTTGGCGCCGGATGAAAGAGGTGGATAGCAGTGCCGAATTCAGAGTCATCGTTGTGGACTCGAGACCATTGAATGAGGGTGAGATGACACGTCGTCTTTCTATGATCTGCGTCACTCATATCGTCACCGCTCAGGCCGATCAACCCTCTACACGCTGACTAATGCCGGTATCCCCTGCACCTACACCCTCCTCCCACTCGCATCATCTGTGTTGCCAAATGCGAATCTCGTTCTGGTCGGGGCCTCAGCTCTTCACTCCGATGGATCGTTGTACTCTCGAGCAGGTACAGCAGTCATCAGTATGCTCGCGAAAGAGTACCGTGTGCCCGTCGTGGCTTGTGTCGAAACGTACAAATTCGGGGAAAGAGTCTCTCTGGACTCTGTAGCTTCCAATGAGATTGGCGAGCCTGAACAGCTCTTGCAGATCCCAGGCGGCAAACCATTCCAGGGAGATTTCCCGGCTACGTTGACACCGCTCAACCTCATGTATGACTTGACGCCAGCCAACCTGATCACGACGTTGTGCACCGAGGTGAGCTTCACCATGATGGTCTACTCTGAGCTCATACCCCTGCAGCTCGGCTTCATTCCTCCAAGTTCTGTACCCACAGTCCTGGGCAAAACCGCCCCAGTTGTATGAGCGGTCTTCCCCATTTCACTGCAATGGCCTCACGCATTCCAAGAGAGCCAAGAATATAGCATGTACAGCATTAATACAATAGGCCCTTTTGCGTCACGCAGGTACTAACGTCCTCTCCCTTCTCGTACCTGAGATCTGTCTGGTACTCACGGCCGAGTCCGGCGCTAAATTCTCACTACCAGTCTTGAGCGACATCCGACTGCCCGCCTCTTTCGATCGCAACATTCTCCCGTTGTGATTACCTAGAGATGGCGTGACGAGTGTCATGGATGATAAACGACGGTTCATCCGTGGATTCGGTGCTTTGAAAGGTGCAGGCGTCTCCATTACCTCCGGCAAGTTGTTCGTCGAGCTACTGATTCGGCTTGACGAGACCAAGGGCGTGCTACCTGCAATGCCGCGGACAGCAAATCGTCGCTTGACCTAAGGGGGAGAAATGTAATCAGCTCTGCTCAGCTTGCATGAAAGGACCGGTCAACTTACCAGCTCGAGTTCCTGCTGTTTCGAGTCCAAAGCGATATTCAGCATCTCCAGATCCTCCTTGAGTTCGGCCTTGCGTCGATGCAACGCAGCAATCTCAAGGTCCTTCGTAGCAGACTCTGATCTGAGTCGAGCAAGCTCATGAGGATCGGACCGAGTTGACAGTGAGGCAAGAGCGGATTCCTTGCGAGCGATCAGGAGATCCCTCTGGAGCTGCAACATGTCAGTTCTGGGTCTCCGCAGAAGACCTACCTCTCGAGCTTTTTCCTCCGACACTAGCTTCGCGTCCCTCGCTTCTCGCAATTCACGTTGAACGGCCTGAAAGGCGGAGGAGTGATCTTGCGATTCTCTTTGAAGGTCCTCAATCAGTGCCGAAAAGCGGTTCTTTTCTGCCCTGGCATCCAGTTGGATTCTCCTTGAGCTCTCCTTGAGTTGCGAGATCTCGTCATCCCTCAAGGCAATGGCATGTTCATCCATTGATGCCCTCTTCTTCCATTCCTCGCGCTGCGACTGTGCTGCGTCTCTCTCGGCGCAAGCGATGCGCGACTGGTCCATGCTCTCCGCAAGCTGGGCATGAAGCGCTCTCTCGCGCTTCGATACTACCTCCAGCTGCTCCCTCAGCTCCTCATTCGTCTTCCGGTCTGAGTTCAATTGCGCAACAGAGCCGTCACGTTCCTTGTCTGCATACAGCTTCTGCAGCTCATCACGCTCTGCCCTAGCATCGTCTCGTTCCATTTGGACTTGCGCCGCCTTGCCATTAGCGATAGCCAAATCCGACATGGCTTTCGAAAGCCTGATTTCTAAATCTCGGTTGAAAGACTCAGCAATCGTCGTTCGATTGCCATCATTGAAGCTTGCAACCCGCACAGGCGTTGGCGATGGAGTCTGTTCGTCCGCCAAATGTAACTTGTCCAGTAGATTGGAATCACTGCGACGGAGCTGATCGACTTCCGCCTCTAATTCCTCGCATTTCGTCCTCCACACTTCCGCTTCTAGCGCTCGGATGTTGAGATCAGCTAGCACGGAATCTCGCTGCGACACCTCATCTTGCAGGCTAGTGACAAGTCGTTGATACAGCGTCAACTCGTTGGATAGCGCCGCAGCGTGGGCAGAATGAGCGTCGAAGACCGCTTTTGTAGGTTCGATCAGGCCGTATACCAATGGCGATGGTGTTCGTAACTCCAGGGAGTTGACCGATGAGCTAGCGGGGAACACGGGGGAAGGTGTAGCAGAGGAGCAGTCAAAGAAAGCCGTACCGTTCCCTGGTGTATTTGGAAAGCCAGACTTGTTGCCAGCTCTGGACGTGTCAAAAGCTCTCGCTGGAGGAGATTGCAAGACTTTCTCAACGATGGGTCTGGATGGCTCGTCATTGTCTACGGACGCCTTGTCGGGAGACGCTTTGATCAAGGGCCAAGAGAGGTCGGCTTGCTCCGCTGACATGTCTGCAAAGATGGACCGGAAAGGCTTGGAGTCCTTCACAGGAGTGATAGGCGAAGACGGTCTGGCTGCAAGCGGAGCTGGGCTCGAAAGTAGATTTCGCTGAAGAACGATATTTCTGGGCACAGGACTGTCTGTATCGCCAATTTGTGATCCGCTAGCCTGTGCTCCTGTCTCTTGACGAGGCGGTGGTTGGGCGACTCGGTTCGGCCGTAAAGTCTGCAAGAATGAGACGCCGTCCATGGATGCGTCCATCGAATGACCCGAAGCAGTCATTGGTGATCCGTCAGGCTTTGACTGCGCCACTGAGAAAGAAGGTATCCCCGACATGTTGAGTTTCTCCGTCATGAGGTCGGACATATCTTCCGGGACGAGCATCTCCTGAGAAACCAGTTCAGAGATTTCATCTTCAGGTGGATCAACCGCTAGTCCGAGTGGAGATGAATGGATCGTAGGTTGACCTGACCATGGTTCTCCCTCCTCCTCCGCTACCTCGCCTTCGTCGTCGTATTCTCCGGATTGGTTACATGAAGTAGTGGAGCTCGCCACGAGCGATACTTCGCCTTCTTGACCTGGTACTTCCCAAGATTCATCCATTCTAGGCAAGGTATCCGAAAGAGATCGGCGAGGCGACATGGCCGGTACGACGGACAGTAGTTGAGATAGGAAGGATGTGGAAGGGGATTTCCGAGCCGGTTCTGTTGACATATGTAGAGAGTGGTTGGGAGTGATGACTCGGAATCTGTTCTTAGGGAAGAAGCGCACTGTAAAAAGAGGAGGATCCGCATGAGATGAGAGGCATTCTTCTCGAGTTGTGCGAGGCCATCGCAAACTCACCGCCGTTGCCTGAGCCGGGGGTTCCAGATTCCCGCAAGATCCCTTTAACCCCTTCTCGTTGCAGATTCCTCACAGCAAGTGGAGTCCCCATCACAGGAGCCTCGAGCATATCACCCGAGGCACTTGAGCGCATCTCAAGACGATGTTTGACATCTTTCTCTCGCTCAAAGTCGGATGGATCTATGTCTCTGCGTTAGATATGACATCGTGCGGTCAAGTGTTTATCCTCCTCACCGGCTGGATTCACCAGCACCATCCCCCTTTTCCGCGTGAAACTTCCCGGTGACCTTGAGAAGGACACTGGAGAAGCATAAGCAGCCTCTGTTGTTGATGGTCCAGGACCTGCTACAGCCGTCATGGTGAATGGTCAATGTTGTAGAATGAAAATTGTTGTTGATAGAATTCCAATCGAGGTTGAATGACAATCATCCACGTCCACCACGTGGCTTTTGTTGACAACAACATTACTCTCTCTACTCAGACTCTGGCACATCCTCATGCGTACCGATTCAAGGTGTCGTATGCATACATAGGGTCAGTACAACATGGCTCTTCATTGTATAGCACATTACACGACCCCTCCTCCAGTCTTTCTACCACTTTTACTGCTATATGGATTCTTCTCAGCATCCCCTATGGGACCCCGAGTGGAACTCCGCGTCACGCGCCGTGGCGAATCCTCCATGCGAACTGAGATGGGCTGTTGAGGAGCGGGGACACCGCCAGACCGGAGGATGGGCTGAGGTGGTGGAGGAGGCAAGAGGTCGGCAGAGGACGTCCAGACGGAGGATGAAGGATGAGCAATGCTGAAGGATTTGGGTGGTGATTGGGGAGGCGGGGGGGAGGCGGAGAGGGAATGGAGATCGGAGGAGTAGGACGAGGCAGATGAGCTTTGCGGTGGTGGTGAAGATATGGAGGCGTGTTGCAGGGCGGATGTGAGCTGTCTGAGCAGCAGTCAGCTCAACCATATTCTGATTCACCCACCCCACGTCCGCTCGTCGCGAGTTCAGGAACTGTATACAATTCCCTTTGAACTGTACCAGCAAGTCTGAGAGCCGATTGTAAAACTTGATGCCCTCTTCTGCATTGTCTACCACCTCTCGCCATTTCCAATAAGCAGTATCCATCTGCTGGAGCTTGTGCTCGCGGTCACGGACTCGGGGGTCATCTTTTCGTTCGCGTAAGAATGCAGCGTTTTGTTCCTGTGGAAGTCAGCCACTCATAGATGTGCAGTGCAGAATAACACACGCTTATAGTCGCCAGAATAGCCTCTTGCTTGGTTTCTGCCGCACGCATGTCTGACTTGATCTCATCGTACTTGCCCAAGCCCTTATCAAAGATGCTCTCGAACCATTCCGTCTTTACATCCCCAGATCCACCATGCGCCAAGCGGGTGGCCTCTTTCAAAACGTCCGGGCGAACATCATCATTTGCAGCTATTTGCTTGGCCTCAACAATAAGGGTTGCACGATGGGCGATTTGATCATCCAGATCCTCAAGCGAGGCCCGGAGCGGCCGGACAGAGGTGGGCAGTACTGTCGTTGTCCCAGACACGGAGGGAATATGGTCATTCAGATCGTCCTGAGGGAGTGAGCATTTGATGCCATGAACACACGAGCTCGCTCACTTCACCACCAGCCAAGATGCGTATCAGTGGCTCCCATTCCTCCCACTTCTCTCTGACCGTGATATCACTTGCGCCAGCTTGCTTCATTGTCCCCTCGTACTGGTTCGCAACGGCGATGAGATGTTGGTTCGCAATATGAGATGGGACTCTCGATGCAGCCCGATGGGGTTCTCTGTTCTTTAGGTTCTCAGTCTCGTGAGCCTCCTGATCGAGGATGTCCATAGCCTGCATGAATCAGTCAGCTCCAGCATATCCGCTGTATATTCCTCGTACCTCGGAGAATATTCTGCTGTTGGCTGTGGACAGCCTCTGGACCTCGGCAAGGAGACTGGTGATCTTTTGAACGCCTCCGCTGGAATCCACTTCCTCCGCTTTGCGCAACAAAGATGGCGGCAGGCCCACTCGACGCTCCAGAGCTTGGATGGCACCGGGCAGGTTTAGAGATTGCAACGTGCTACTTTGGGATGAGCTGGACATAGCTGATCATGAGACTAATGGCTCACCTTGCTGCAAGCCCATCCAGCTCCTCTCGCTTTCCATCGAGCTCTCGGATCAATGTGTCTCGTCTGTCATCATATATACCTTTCGGTGGTGTCAGCCGTCATGGCCCATACAGCAGCGTTGTCGAAGCTCACTGAGGGCGAGATGGACACCGTAAGGTACCAGAGCAGTGAAGAGCGGGTGGGTCCCGGAACTGCCTCCCATCAACCAAGCTATTGGGTCACCGATTTCGACCGGAACGGCCAGTTTGACCATACCCGCACCTTGTATCGGTGTGAGTTGAGTTGCCGGTGGGACAGGTTTGACATAGACCAGATCATTGTCCCGCACGGCTCGCTCTAGAGCAGACTTGACAGCTCCCTGAAGGGACTGGGAGGGGTAAGAAAAATGATCTCGCTTGACCTTTGCTTCAGCTCACCCTCATGTCCTGGACGACTGCCTCCGCGACGCCGGATTTCCCCATGTCCAGGCCTTTCTTCGTCAATCCCTCAGCAACACGTAATCTAGCAATCTCCTCTCCGTATCTATTCTTCTCTAAATCCTCTTGGCTCAGTCTGTACTGAGCCGCCGCTTCGAAATGCATCTGTTTGATCGTGATGTGTGCGACCCAATTCTAAGCAAGTGTGAGCTGAGCATGTGAGCGACGAGATACGACACTCACTGCCGGGAAAAAGCCAATAGATGGACCATTCGAGTCATTCGCTGACGCTAAAGCGGCCTTATAGTAGTCGGACACCTGAGGATGTGAGATGTAGAAATTATCCGGGTGCAGTTGCTCTCACTTTCATGGACAGCTTTCCGATGACTGCGTTCTTATATGTTCCCTCTGCAGCAGATACCCTCAGCTTTTCGCTTTCCCACCCGGAGAGCAAGCGACTTACGTATCACGGCCTGTTGCCAGAAACATTCTTGCGCTTCAGCCAACAAGAATTCCTTCAAAGCGCCGAGGAACGACGGAGTCAGGTCATACCCAGCTGCTGTGGGAGCCGCCAAATCGACCTGTAATAACGGCAAGATGGTCTGGATCAAGTGATCAAGCACACCAGCAGCAGACTGAATAGATCCTCGTCAATCACTTGTCGGCTTGCCTCACAGATCAATAAACTCACCGAAAGATATCCTAGCGCTCGTTTTATGCCGTCCACTTCGGCTCTCCTCTCAGAGGCTGCCATCGAGGCATACAAGGCAGCGATGTTGAACAGGACGCTAGCTCGCTCAAAGCTCAGGGATGGGAGCGAGATTGATGCGTCGGGAGTCAGAGAGTAGAGCGGAGGGAATGGAAGGTGGAAGGCGAAGTTGACGCCGATCTAATGGACAGAGAGTCAACAGAAGTCGCTATGCTATACAGAGCTCGACCCACGTCTGACGGAAACTTGGTCATGAGAAAGGCTAGCTGAGCATGATATCTGCCGATATCATCAATTAGACTGCTCTCAACACCATCAAATGACCCGACTCACCTCATGAGCCCCTTGACTATTTCCGGGTGAGCTTCTGGTTTCGTCTCGACGAGTTCTCTCCTCATTCCGACCAGCGTATCTACATCCTTTCGGAACGCATCAGGATGAGCATCCCGGAAGTGGTTGCTGATATAGCTCAGAAGCTGGCTCGATAAGTTGGATAACGGTGTAGCTCGCTTCGACGGTATGGGCAGGAAATTCGACTACGGCGAGGTTGGAACGTTCAGGATAGCTTCGTCAGCGGGGACATGACTCACCATGGTGGAGGTGTAGGCGAAAGCTTCAAAGTAAGCCCCGAACAGACTACCAGCCTAGAGGAACCTGTCTACCTCGTATTGCCTCTGACCAGCCTCAATGCTGCGTCGAGATAGCGTTAGGATGGGTGGACAGCAACAACAACAACAGCACAAGGTATGGTGCTTCACTGGCTCAAGAAGTCTCGCCCATCATCGAAAATATTCCACGTCATCACTTTTTCCAAACAACACTTTGGCCACTCTCCATGACAAAAATATCAACGCAGCGACACGCTGTTCTGAACATTGACAGTGTTCAACCTCCCTATGAGCCCGCAGTGAGACAGCACAGGCGATGAAGAGATCACCTTCTCTCCGCAAGAGCCGTCGTGGCCTCGCTCCATTCGCCCCGACTCCTTCTCGCCTGTCGCACTCCACTTCAGCTCACGAGCTCAGAAATCGTCATAATCTAGACGACGACGAGGAGGCGGATGAGGATGAGGTGGAGAAGCTGAAGCCGCAAGACGAGCCGAGAACGGATCAGGGCATACAAACAGGCTCGTTCAAATTCTCGCAAGGATCAAGTGCTCAGCAGACCACGCCCGGTCGATTCAGTACCCCTATCCGGAATAGGTCCATTGGGACCGGTGGGCTGCCAGCATCGCCACGAACGCCTGAGATCCACTATTCACCCTTTGCGACATCCACACCTCCCAGTGGTCTCAGCAAGAGTACAAGTGTGCCCTTCGATATGGCCGCCAATGATAAGGCTGCGAGGCGTCTGGATGTAGAGCTAAGGCAGAAGAAGGAGATCACACCTACGCCGAGGAAGAAGAGATTCGTTAGGCGCAAACCACTTCTGGAGAGGTGAGCTGAACCCGAGGCGATAGCCCCCATCAAAGGCACTTGAAGTGACCTCGCATTTCAGAATAGCAGCATACCCTCAGCAACTCGCTGATATGTGGCTGCTGAACTGGCCGCCTTCTTTTGAAAACATCTCACCACCTGCCCATTATGCCAATCCCATCGCTTTGGGTACTCACGTCCTCCACTGGCTCGTCTTGGCTCCCCTACTCCGACGAGAAGACGAGCCTCAAACTGTCCTCCGTGATACCTCGGTAGAGAATCGCTGGTCAAGATTCGATGATGATGAGAGCAGCCAGCGGTCGAACCTGGCAGGGTGGAAGGTGGGTCAGCGTTTATCTTGAAGCGGCAGGGTTGACGCCTTGCAGACCTTTATCTTCACCTTGCTGCTCATCACCTTGACGTCTGCGAACTCTATCTACCTCTTCACGCGCTACAGAACGTATGACATGCAGCTACGATCAGTAAGTCGGGCGCTGCGCGCCCATTCCTCCACGCGACTGATTTTCCTTCAGGGTCGAGATGCCCCAGTGTCGCCCCACGCCTCACCCGTCTCAACGCCTCACGCACCTCGCCGAGACTCTGATATCAATGATCTGAGCTCAAACAATTCTTCAAAGGTCAGGTCGTCGCTCATCGGCACCATTCGTGCTATCAAGACCATCATCGTTTGGGCCTAGTAAGACCTCCGATCGCCCCCAAATGCTGATGATGATCAGTACGGGTATCCTTGCCATCTTTGGCCATCATGCGGCGGGACTTGGAAACGGATTTGGCGCCGGCCAAGGCGGGGACACTATCCAACGATTGAGGGTCTGGGAACCTCCCGACTTCGCACTGCATTTCTTTTGGTGAGTCGAGGCCTCCAATGAACCGAACTTGACTGACTCGATGATAGTGCATATCCTCCTTCTGCACCTCTTCTCTCTTACCTACTCGCCCCGATTCATCCCTTTCTCACTCCCTTCTTGCACCTAATCACGTCTTTCCTCCTCACCCACCTCGCTGGATCCTACTCTCAATTTGTTAAGGACCGTATGGTACTCTCAGCAGAAGTCATGAGGGAATATGATCAACGCTTTGTGTATCGTAAAGTCTTTGCTCCTCGAGTGGACAGAGGGGTAGGAACTCACGATGGACCATGGTACGACTTGTAGATAATTAGATGAGCTTGACGAGGACATACTGTGCATAAGTATTACGGATCATGTGTGCTGATAGCTGACTGAACGGCGTTCATTCCCAGACCTCCCGGTTGCCGACCTCTTGAAACGAGTCCTCGCCAACACTAATGATCCTTTGATTGACAGACTCCCACAGCTCTCCTTTCAGTCTCTATGTGAGATGGCTCAAGCGCAAGGCCTGCAATACACTCCTCTTCAGCATTCACCACGCCGCCCCTCCTCACTATCACTCCAGAAGCGGATCACAACTCTCTGCTCACAATACCTCCAACCCTGCCATCCACCACTGACCCCACCTCGTTCCTATTGAGACGGATCTATCCAAGAGGCAGGACTCCGAAATGAAATGGGAGAAAGTCATGGCCTCAGTGGGTGGCGCTTCGTTGCTGACCAGTGCACTCATGGCCTCGGCTGATGGACGTCCGTTCGCAAGACGTCCATTCCGAGCAAGGGATGCTCGATGGAATTATCCGCCGACTTATCCAGACGAGCCCGTTTCTCAGGCAAGTGGGCCTACTCCCCATGCATCAGATTACAATACAGCATTCACTGGCTCCCATTTGACAAGTGGATCAATGGCCGACACTGTGGGTGGGTGGAGCTTGCAGACCTTCAACCCAATGTCGGATTTCCTGTCGTTCGGATCCATGACCGGATCTTGTGTTTTGAGCACACCTACCACCCCGAAAGCAGACCGTTCCCATAAGGACGGTCACGCTGAGCTGCCTCTCCAGAAGGCACTTAAATCCGGAGACAGCGACACGGAAGTTGCCAGTGCTCCGATGCTCCGACTGACGCATCGTGCAAATCTAGCGTGAGTGATTTTTCACGGGATTCACCGGAGACGTTGATGATATTCACGATCGCGAATAGTGGTCGTCCAGCGGCCGCGAAAGTGCGAAGGGCATCTCCAGTTTCAGGAAGGACGGGATGACCGAGCTCTGACGCAATATCATTTGCTGCAATATGTGGCTGAGGAGAACGTGACCTGTGTATCACTGTCCAGGGATCCAGAAGATGCATAGATGCCTCTAATTGTCTATAGCTCCATCCGACCTTGTGATATTGAGCTTGTCGATCTGATCAGCCAACGGAGCGTCGACAGCGGGCGAAGATGACATTTCCGGGAGGATCTCCACATCGCTGATCGCTTGACGCAGCGCTTGACCAGTCTCGTCGATCGAGTGCAGGAATCGGAGGACTTCCTTGCAGAGCTGAATCTCTCGCTTCAGACTCGAATTACGAACGGTACATCGAGACTCACACCATACTCCTTGCTCGCCATCGCCAGTCTGAGCAATCTCACAGTATCCTGCGACTGCTCTCAGTTGATGCTCAAGGCTCGGATCCGGCACGCTTACCTTGACATCATCCAATTCCTCCAGGTTCTGCAAGACCAGCAGATATCCAGCGGCAGTCCGAAGGAGCTGCTTATCTAGACATCGCTCGAAAAGATCTCTAGGTTTACCGACTGTCTTGAAGAGCATACCCCATCGCTCCACTTCAATCTTCCTGGCACAGCCCACGACGACGTCTAGGCTTTCAGGGAAGTGGTCCAGGAATTCGATCACCAGTGGCAAGATATTCGATCCAGTCTCGACCTCATCCTCGAGGACAGAATGCAGTAGAATTTCAAGGGAGTGAGCAAAGTATTTGATCCGCGAGTAATTGGTAGCAAAGGCCAGAGCGGACATGAGATCTTGGGACGAAAGGTGATACCGTAGGAATTGCGGTAAGAAAAGATGTGCTCCTGTCTGAAGCTTGAAGAGAGTGAACGGGAGAGATCGACTGGATGTCTCGTAATCAACACCAATGATGATGCCTTTATCCATAAGTATAGCTTTAGGTTGTATCAGTGCATCGCTTCAAGGTGACTGCAGAAGCTCACATAGTGGGTAAAACTCGTGAGGGATATAGATGCTCTCCTTGACTGATTCGTAAGCATCTTTAGTAGAGTCCAGCTTAGTCGCTTCTATGGTCAAGGCGTCTAGCCAAACCCTCATGCCTTTTCCATCATAGCCCCAGAGCGAGTTCTCCAGAGTGCCGATACCGTGAAGATGAGTCCAATAAGCTTCAATGCGATCCGCTAGGACCTGCATATCATACCGTACTTCATCGTTGGCGGCCTGTGCTGCTGTCAGTAAGAGTATCAGCGACTCAACGTTACAACTAACCCGTCTTGGTCTAAGCAAAACCAATTTACCGTCCACCAAAAAGATAATGGTCGCTACAATCAGATCGTCTGCAGGATCACCGAGTTCTGCAAAGAAGTCAGCGACAAACGTTTAGCATTTGAGTTCACCCTTTTGGGCCTGTGGGATGAGCCAAGACAGAGCTCTGACGCGAGTCGGGGCCTCCAGTATTCCAGCGAATGATATACTTCCGCACAGGTGCAATCGTATCGAGTCAACTGTCGGCAGTATCAAGAAGTGATATAAGGTGTTGTCGGCAGTGTAGACGAGCAGCGAATTGTCCAGTAGCGACATGACCGTTACCGCTGTTGGTAAGATTTGAGAGTGGAGGACGGTGCTCATTGACAAATCATTGTCACGGGAGTATAGTCGAATCTGACCATCATCAACGAAACAGATCGAGACTGACAGCTTACTTGGAACGTTTTATCGACTTCGACAGCTGCTATGAGGACGTGATGGAACCAGAGCAGGCCACCCCTGACAATGAATTCTTTCTCCTCCCTCTCGTCTGCAAAAAGTTTCCACCGGCCAGAAGCGGCAGAGTAATGTGTCAGTCCACGGCGGCCAGCAACTGCGATGAGCTTTCCATCTGATGAGATTGATGTATACCGGATCGGCCAGTTGGTAGAAATGTAAGCGTTCGGGATCTTGAGTTTCGTCAGTCTAATGATCGCCCACTGGCTCACCTTTATCGGTTGCCATACATCTGATTCAGGATTGATGACGCTCTGGTCCGGTTGATCTGCGCCTCTGTAAGCTAGGACCCGGTCATCCATCTGCAAGAATGCGTATAGAGTATTGTCTGGTGAATGTTGTGTCGACGTAGCGCTCTTGACGAATGGCAAAGCGTACAGTCTCGTGTCCGCCTCAGGCAACGCTTTGGCAAGTATAAAGAGCTCGAGATTACCAGGCGCCCAGAAGCAGGAGTCGACACCATAAGCAAATGCCTCGGTAGGATTGACACCTTCTTCGTCGTTGAGAAGGGAGCAGCCATTGAGTCTTCCACTGACGGACCAGATGGCCCATCCGTGCTCGTATCCTACAGCGAGAGCATACCCGTCAGATGTCCAATTCAAGCTCGTCACGGGTCCCGGGTCCAAACCTTGACTTTAGTCCTTGATGCAGGTGTTCAACTCACGACTCTTGGTCTCGAGCTTGATGTCAAGTGTCTGAGCCATACGCGGAGCAGCAGGATACGTGGGCACCGAGACCAGATCCACCGAGCCTTCAGAAGTTCCAACCGCTACTATGCCAAACCGCGTATTGATGGCGGTATGCGTGGACTTGACGCAACCCGATGTGTTGGACTCCGCACCAGCCGGCATATCATTGGCGAGTCCCACCGAGCCATCTCTTGATGAGATGTCAATAGGCCAAAGTCTGGACCCGACGAACTTCGATCTTGGGGACTCTTGCTGCAAAGCAGGAGACGCTTGATGAGGTGGCAATGCGGATTGAGAGGTCTTGCGAGAATTGGGTGGTCGTGGGTTCTGTGCGAGATTAGGCAGGGGATTACAATGAGCAACAGTGTCTCCCTTACCGCAGGAAGATGTTGAGCGACCTGAGACGAATGATACAAGGCACAGACCTGGCCGTTTGAGAGCTGCATGATGTATAATCCAGGAAGACCTGGTGTTCGATGGAGGGACAGCCTCGTCGCATATAGCTGGTCTTTGCCTGCAGTTCACCTTAAGCATCGATTTGAGATGAACGACTCACTCTCGCCTATCCAGTCCTTGCCTTCTGTCAAGTCCCATATCTCGCATTCCGCCTGATCCTCACCATCTCCATCCAGCGGATTCGGCGGGAATTGAGTGCCTGGCGACGCCAGTAGAGCCGATGGGATAGGCCAAGGAACAGTCAAGATGGATCCTGGGTGCTGAAGAGTGATATGCAGATGTCTAGGTTGGGGCAGGACGCTGGTAACTTTGCCCATCACGAATGCAGTTCCGACCGGTTCCAATTTCCATCCAACGAGGACATCTCCTTCACCTGGTCCGCCAGGCGTGATGAAGGAGGACGACGCGGGTTGATCATAGGCAGGCTGAGAGGTAGAGACAAGCTTGTAGATGAGTAAATGAGAGGTCGAGGTCTGGAGCGCAGTGTGTGAGCTGCTGCACGAACTATACCACTTACAAGGACAATCAAACCACGTCCATCTGTAGCCCAGAACACGTCGGTATTTTCACCCCATCGCTCCACGCTATCTAGACTGCGGCTCAGGACAGTTTGAAGCACTGTAGGCTGAATTGTATGGTACGGTTACTGGTGCTTCATTTGCTTGCGCAGATGCTCCGCTCACCCTGACATCCCAGATGCCCAAACCATTCCATGTCAACGTAGCGAAAAAGTTGCCCTTCCTGCTAGGTACAATTCTCAAAATGTCTTCATTGTTCAGGGTCGATGGCGTCTCTAGTGCTCTAGTAGCAAGTGTGGGCCAGTACATGACCGTTTTGTGCGATTAGTCCATGATCGTGTGGAGATGGTGTTTATAGGAGACACAAAGGGATGATCAGCAGCTTGAGCTTGGAACGTTTCGTGTGGCTCGGTCGGTCTGTTGATCTACGGGAAGCCGGCCAGATGATTGATAGATACATGTATGCGCTAGAAGATTACAAAAGGGGGTCTGTCTGCAGTGATTCCTCATGCTTCACGAGATGCCAAGTCGTTGGCTATCTGACCATCCTTCTTCTTATTCAACTGCTTGTCCTTTTTGCTGGTCGAACAACCCGCTATACCCTCCTTGTCGAAATGCTCCACCAAACGACGATACCCAGGTACATCCATCAGTACCTCTGGATTGACACCCTCTGGACAATCATTCTGCTTGTAGATTGTGAACTCGCCCGTCGGCTCGATGATGACAGCTTCAATTTGAGAAATGTTCCAAATACCAAAGCGTCTCAAAGCGCCGTTGAGGTCGGATTTGGAGACTCGGTGATGTGCCATCACTTTGTCCAGCGCTCTACCTCGGAAAGCGATGACCAATGGAGGGGCATTGATGGCGTGTTCGAGGATTGATCCATAATTTGACGACATGTATGACCTATGATCGAGTCAGTATAGAAGACCTAGCGGATGCCTAGACGATTTTCACTCACAATATCAGTTGGAAGAGGAGGAGGGTGACGAGCGATATCAATCCGCGGAGTAGGCTCGTCCCATTGACGATTCCCGCCAATGTACTTCCCAAGGCCACATTGATGATCCAGTCAAATAGCGTGACGGGAGCCACACATCGATTTGAGCTCAGTCGGAGGTAGAGAAATAAGGTGACTATGGCAATGGCTCCGACGGTGATTGGGCTGATATTTCGGGTCAACAGAGCCGTAGGCTGAACAGCTGGGCCTGCACTCACTGAAGTAGACTTGCTATTGAGAAGAAGTCTGACACTTGGATCGCGTCGAATCCTGCTGGATTCTGAGAAGCTACGAGGAAGAACTCAGCGGACCACCACCACCACCCGCAGCACCATGACGGTTAGTAACCCACCCGTGACCCCATTACCACAGTCCTGGTAGGTCAGATTCGACATTGGGCGGGCGGATGGACTGTATGGAAGTCTAGCTCAATCGACCATCTGATAGCGATTGAGTGCGATACGACCTCTTCTTTGCTCCGCAATGCCTCCCCCCTCTCCCATGTCAGGTACAGCGAGCGAGCACCATAATGTGTCTCTTAACTGCGCCGGAACCCCCCAACGCAGAAACTCTTCCGTGGCGCTTCGTGACGTCAAATAACACTTCCGCTCATTTGCCCGGTCCTCGTATGGCATGGGGACGCGTTCCGCAGAATGGAAGCAGGCGACGTTTGCGCGTCTGGTCATCTGCGGTGCATGTGCCAGCTACTTCTCGAATGCATGCTCGAGACAGCGAACAGCTGTGCTGATGCACGCGCGGCGGAGGGGAGCAGGTACCCCAGAAAGGGTCATCGCCGCACGCACCCGAGGGCCGTGGGTGAGGATCGCGACGCACCATGGACCAATGAATTTCTGCATATATTCATCGTCACCATGACTATGCGCGCCCGTGAAGACCTCATATCCTTGAGGAAACCCATCATGCTAGGCCATGAAGTCACCATGACTGCTGTCAATGCAAACAGGTCAAAATCCTCGAACGCCACACAGAAATTTCAGGCCCAAAGCAACAAATTCTAATAAACTGCTCACTTGACATTACTCGAGCTATATCTTGATAGCGAGCACACCTTGGAGGATGGGCGATATTCCCTTTCCGATCGCTGCTACAGCTTCATCATCCTCGTCTCTAGCACTAGCTTCGGGTTCCTCGATTCTCTTATACCGGACTAGCTCGGGATCCGCCTCGACATCCTCGTCGTCCAAACCGTCCGATCCAAAGAATCACCCAAGCTCTTTCATTCGACACATCGCCATCAGTCCAGATGAGAAGCATATAGCAGCTCTGACAGAGGCTAAGCAGCTTTTGGTGTTCGCCAGCGAGTCCTTGGAGGTGCTCTCTCGCCGGTCCATCTCTAAACGAGGAGCCCATTTGTCCTTTGGTCCCAAAGGCGATATCATCCTCACGGACAAGGTTGGAGATGTCTACCGGTACCCCTTGGTTCCACGAGTGATACACGAGGATGAACGGCCAGGTAATGGTCTATTGACTTCCGATCCATCTCGGAACGTCGATGCCGATTTGCTGTTAGGGCACGTCTCCCTCATCAGCATGCATCTCTTGTCCGAGGATGGAAAGCATATCATCACCGCCGACAGGGACGAGCATATCAGGGTATCACGATTCCCTCAATCATTCGTCATCGAGAGATACCTTTTTGGATCTGAGAAATTCGTATCTGCACTGTGTATACCCAGCTCGCAACCTTCCTGGCTGATATCAGGTGGAGGGGAATCCGTCTTGAGGACATGGGATTGGACAAATGGGAACCAGCTCGGAACAGTGGATCTTGAGGATGTCTTGCCCTATAGGACCGTCAGGAGCACTCTGCGCAAGGATAAGAAGCAGGGCAAACGGAAACACGACGCGGATAACGACGACGAGTTTGAACGAGCTCCTGAGGGATGGACATTGCCATCGGGTCGAGGCATATGCATCAAGAAAATCACATCAATGCGAATTGGGGAAAAGAGTGTCATCATCTTCTTCTCCTCAGGGTATGTCCCACAGTCTTAAGCTTAAGGAGCTAGCTCGTGCTGATGTCTGTGATGCAGGTGCCGGGCAATACATAGTTTTGAGCTACCTTCAGACTGCTCGGAGAATCCTCGCCTCAACACGCTTGAAACTCCTTATCCGGTTCTTGATTTTGCAGTCCATCCAAGGGATCGCAGCAAGTTCGTCATCTCGATGGATACAACTTGGGGAACAATCAAAACAAATGCCATGCCAGATAACATGCGGGGTATCATCAAGGACGCCACACCATCCGAGGAGGACCTTCAAGCCATGCGCAAATCGATCATGATCGCCGAAGTGTCGGATTCTGGCACGGTGAGCCTTGCGTGCTGATTCCCCAACCAAACTGACCATCAATCAGCTGTCAAATGTGTCCTCCACCCACTCGAGCCTTCTCGATCCCCTTCTCGCCATGATCAACAACGCATCCTTGTCCGCATCGTCATCCGCCATCGCCTCCCTGGACCTATACGATGAGCTCTCTCTGTACCCTCGCTGGCCGGGATTCGAAGAAGACGACGATTTGGCCGGGCCTGCGGACGACAAGACCGTCACGATTGGGGATGCTAGCGGAAACGCATCGGAAAAAACATACTCCCGTGCAGAGCTGGAGAAGATGAACCCTAAACAGCTTGGACGCCTCAAGGCCAAGGGCGTAGATATTGGAGACCTGATGCCAAGGAAAAAGAAGAAGCAGAAGCTGGACAGAGACGAATCAGTTGGCGCCGACACCGTGCAGGGATGAGCGGAATGTTGATTAAAACGACAATGGGACAATGGCCCGTCTCCTCCAGGCCTATCGCTGATGCATGCTATGGAATGGCCTGCCTTTTGCTATTGCTACACTCTGCTAGTCTTGCTCGTATTATTTGTTGGTGCTGGACCTCCATCGGAGCGTGCGATATCCAAAATCCACTGCTGTATGTTCTGCGGGGGATTCCGATGCGCGAATGCAAGTCTGTCCAGTCTAGACTGAAGCGGGAAGAAGAGTGAATGGTTGTCGTCGGGGCTTTATCCCAGCTCAAGCAAGAGCAGATGCACATCATTACGCAGAAGACCCGGTATTACCGAGCGGGGCAGAGGTCCTCGAGACAGGCGCCGAGCTGACATCCGCAGAGCGAGGGTTCAGACCTCGTAACGTCAAGTCGTAAATGACGTCTTCGCACTTCTTCAGATCGTACTTGAGTGAGTCAAATTTGCGGCGAAGGACATCATTTCGCAGATTCAGCTTGTGTGTCGTCAGCCAAGCCATTGAAATTACAGGCGTCAAGCTCTCACCTGAGAATACGAAGCGAAGACATCGTTGACAAAGCTAGCGATCCGTAGGGGGAGATGATAATTCCCGGCAGTCACAGCATTGACAGAAAGACGAGGCTGCTACAGTCTCAGCTTTCATGTCATCGAAAACTTGTAGAAAGGGGAACTGACCAGCTCGTTGATTGCTCCTATGACTCCTTGCAGATAGTCGTCCGCAGTGAGAATGACACCATCCGCCGAGTCCTCTTGGACTGAAGTAGGACAGGGATTAGCATTCAGACAGAAATCAGAGTCTCCGAGTTGCTCACCTCCGAGGTGACGTGCAACATCATGTGAAGGAGCCAAAGCGTCCTGAATGATGAAGATCGCATAGGCTACCAGCTGCGTGAGAGTGCGCAGTGTTGGGCCTACAGCGAAAGAGTATCTGAATTCTGTCAGGCAACGTACGATCCGGCCGAATACCTCAAACGTACCGGTAGAATTCTCCAGCAGGGATGAGTGTAGAAACTCCCGTCCACAAAGGTCGTACCTGCTCAATGAGGTCCAGCGTCCGTTGAGCGATGGCTCTGTCTGAATACCCAGGTCAGAATGACAATATGTCAACGTCGCCAACCGACTCACGATCCATCCCGTGGACAGAATGAATGTCGTTCAGAGTCGACGCTGCTCGTCTAGATATATCCTCGATGGGTTCCATAGCTTCTCTGATAGCCTAAGAGATTCTATCAGCTCCTACATGCTAGGACTCTCCTCTCCCTGTCCTCACCTTCTTCAGCTCTTGCTCTTTCTCCAAAGAAGCGATGACTGAGCCTAGTGCCCGATCTACCGAACTGAGACGCGTCTCTCTCAAGGTTCCAGAGCTGATCGGCACAGCATCCGAAGGTAAGCCTCCAGATTGAGCTCCTGTCGCCATCGTTGTACCGCGGTGAAAGCACTAACTGGCCTCAAGCTGAGATTAAATGCAGATTCAGCCTTGGACTGGATCAGAAAATCCTATTCGTGGCACCCAGCGGCCATTGTGGCGGAGGTGCGTGTGATTTGCTCAACTTGGTAGAGACTGGCTCGATCTAGCCAAGTGCCATGCCATGAGGGATCGTCTCTGCCGCCTCACCAAAGCTCATCCGTGCGCTGACCGGCAATAGCTGCTCGAACAAACTTACGTACAGAAGCTGAGTCGGCCGAACGCAATCCTTTCATGGGGATAGAAGGCTCCAAGGGCAAAGACGAAGAGATAATTCGCACAGAAACGACGAGAAACCCTCACCTTCCACATACACCAGACAAAGCTGTTTCGTGCGCGTACGACTCAAGACCAAATCGGGCACTGTAGCTCACTTCGCCCCAGAGACGTACACTTGGATTGTCGCGACAGCCCGTCACAGAATTCGATCCCGAGAGTGGGCTTTGTTGGAGTTCTATCGCGCCAGTAAGGTCCATGGCTTCGGGCGCAAATGCTGTGTCGTCCTCCAAGATCACCTATCAACCGGGAACAAAGGCCTCCAGCCTATTTGGTAAGACCCAGTGGAACGTGTGAGACCGTCTCTGGACTTTTCGCTCTCTGGCACGAGGAGCTGGAGATCGTCATTGACTCAATGGTCCGGGAGTCGCTCCCCGATTACTCAGTGAAAGCAAAGACTGCCTTGGAGAAGTATGCAAGCGGAACTATGACTCAGGAAGAGTACGAAAAGACGGTGACGGACATGGCAGAGAGTCAGTACGAGCTACTTGAAACCTGGAAATCCAAGGATCTTTCGAACTATGCTGAGGAGGATGAGGTAGTAGGGAAAATTCAACAGCAGTGCAAGGAGCTGATGAAATGATAGCGAGCTGATGGTGGGTCAGTGACAGGGAATGCATTTCGTACTCTGCTTTTCAAGCCACTCTCGTGGACCCAAGGGCAAAGTATACGTTCTCGTCCCCCTAGGGTGCAACATATCAGAGGTCTTGACCTTTGTCATGATCCAATGAAAGGAGCGACACCTCCCTCTGCAGAGTATCTTCCTAACGCAAATTTTGTTGTTGCGTGACAGCCTTAGAATCCATCCGTTGTGAGGCTGAGAGGAAGGGGAGGGATGTGAAAGGAAAGAGTACACAAAACGGCAGAGGGCCTGTGCGGCTAGTCCCCGCTCCGTTGCCGGTGTGAAGGTATCTGCCATGAGATTTTTGGTCTTGTTCTGCATTGAATTGCTGTGGGATCCGTACATCATTACCTAGAAGCTCAATAACACCGTTTGAGATTGGCCACTACTGTTGGGAGGTTTTGACTGCCATGGGAAAGCTGATCGGACTTGTGAGGTCGAAGCTTGGGTCTAGTACCCGGAAGTCAGGCCGAAACGGAGCCCGAAGAAACCAAAGGTCTGCTCGAAGAGGATACTGGGCCGCTTGAAACCTCATACGCTGGCACTGACTGTACATTCAAGGACGCATTCGACAAATGGTCCGAATGGACAAAGCAGACTGCTAAGCTGCAGAATAAAGTCATCTTATGGTGGTTGGAACGACAAGCTCAAGATATGCAATCTGTGCGATCCAATTTGATAGAAGGAAAGAGCTCGACAAACGATACTCAGAAGATTCTAGAGATTAAAGCCCTCGGATTCCATCCCCAAATACAGACTTGGCAGCGGGATCCTAGCAACAACAATCCTGACGAGAGGCGGATAGTGGCAAAGCTGAACGAGGAGTGCAGCATCATGTCTCGGTCTCAGACTGACGCCTTGTGTGGGTCTAACGCTCAAACCATATTCCACCATCTAAGGGCCTTGGGATTCGAAGACAGTAGTGAGATGCTCACGGACCATGATACGTCTATTCCAGCAGAAAGTTTTCAGGGCGAGAGCAGGAGTGCGTGCGTGCTCTTAGAAGATTTCGGTCCAGTGCAGACTAGATGCATGAACACGGAAAGACAATACATCGCCTTCCTTCGTGGCACATGCCTGCCGAACCATACTTTGACCTGAACACTTGATTTGATCGGAGACGCTTCCAAGCACATTGCTCGATGTTGAGGGATGTTACGAGGGACGGATAAGAGCTCTGTCCCGGCCGAGGATGGTCTTGGCAAAGGTCTGGAGGACAATAAGCACCATGTCCATAAGCATGGACCTTCGACCGATCCAGGATGATATATAGAGGTACTGCAGGTCTGGCGAGATCGATGCATTTCTTTCCCTATAACTGTAACAAGGGACTTCTGAGGAGTGTCAAACAGGAGAAATCGTTATGGATCCCGAAGCCCCTCTTCATGGAGCTGCAATATGTAACATATGCCCAAGGTCTTTATGAGAAGGCTAAGTATGGTTGGATGAGGATATGGAGACATGTGATACAGTAGAATTATCTCGCTTTCTTGACATGTTACTGTATAGCAATTGTGAAACGAAGGGCATTCCCTTTTACGCCGACCTCAATCACTTGACGGACATTCATACCCCAAGCAGCCTTTCCAATGAAGAAAGATCCCGCTTGCCGCTTCTCCTGGTTACCTATCTCCTTCGACCGTCTCGTAACAGGACCACTAACAGCGCAGGCGTCTTTCCAGTGAGACAGCGCCTCGGAGACATGGGGCTGATGACCAATTAGACGGAGGTGGCACTTTCTACCCGTACAAGATTCCTGCCACATTCGAAGGATATCGTACAACACGAGCAAGATACATCACAATCATATACCGTACCATACCTGAGCAGAATGCATATCAGGCAGGATCGTTCTTATCCAAGAAAGCCATGCTCAGAGGATCACCGCTCTCAGATACGAAAAGAGAGACCCAGCCTGGCCTTCTAGTTTCAAATCAAAGGAAGACAAAAATCCTCTCGCTCTGTCCCCAGAATTGAATTCTCTCGAAGCAGGATTATCTGCTCTCCATTCGTGGCCCGGGGTTGGCTCTCAGAGGCGAGACGTGTATCACACATGTACTCCTTTCCTATTCCCTGTATATACCTGTACCTTTCATGTTCCAGTCTACCAGGCTTGCATGGGAGTATGAAGAAAAAACTTTCCAGCCCCCAGGAGTAACTCAATCCACCTCTTTCTCTGCCTTCATCAACCAATCTCCCCAGCTTTTACCTCGTATTGGAATTGAATTTGACTCGAAGATGTCCTACACTCCGGACGTTTACATTGGCGCTTTGGCGTCGGCACATGCTCTCATCTTCCCTGGCAGCTCGACGGCGCCAGACCCGCAATTTTCGTCGACTTTCGTCTTCACGGAGGTTGGTGACCCCTCCAGGAAGAATCGAGTTGCAACGTTTGGAGCCAAGTTACTCACCAAGTCTATGGAAAAATGGTGTTCCGAAGGCGGCGAGAACGCCAATGCTGATCGCAAGAGAGCTCTATGAGCCAGTAGCGTCACTGATTCTGCAAACGAGGCTTCCGGTGAGATTGGCCTCTCGTGGGCTCCTTCCTCGGAAGAATCTGTCCGGAGCCAAATGAACGACTACAACAAGGCAGCCACAGGGGAGAATCGCCTGACCATGAACGACAACGTCACAAATCTGCTCCGTGGCTGAGATAGTCTGCATGTGGCATGATGGCAAGTGGGTAAGACCATAAATAGAGTGGGGGTATACAGTAGAATGCATTGGCGAGATCGGAGCCAATCAGTACCCTCAGAGCGGCGCACGTTTCGGAAGCACACATGCCATGACAGTCGATGAACAGTCGTAAAAGTTCATTTATAAGATGATGAGTGGCTCAGACGAAAGCAATGTTCATACTGAGGAGAATACCCTGAAAACAGAGGACAAACTCTTCAGAGCGATTCCGACAGCTTTTGCCACAAGGCTTCACGATTTATCGCATTGGTAGCCCAAGATCCAGGTTTCGAAGGCCCCATATTGTACTTCCAAGCTTGTCCATCGCCGAGCATGCGTTTTCTCTCATCTGGCTCACAAAGGCCGATCTATCAGGACGCCCGTCAGCGTTCAGATGAGAGCTGGTACTGTACAGCGATCTGACCCACGTATATAGGGACGGGTGCGAAGATGTCTCTTGTACTTCCGATGATGAACATGCCAAGCCACATGACCCAATCGAAAGGGAATGGTGCCCAGTCGTATGTGAATGTGGGAGTGTTGATGAGCCCTGAGTTGGATTGGTGAGCGGAACTGATACAAAAGGATCATGCTCACCTGGCCATAGATTGTAGAAAGAATAGCGAGGGAAGCGCTTGTTGAGCTCCTAAAATTGAAAATCAACAGGCTTGTCTTGGTATGCGCTATCAGTGACTTGCAATGGTGATCGAGTCGAGAATGACGCTGTCCCTGGCAGACTGGTCGAGGAACAGTCCCGCCTTACCTCTACGACCCTTCCGTTCATTGAAAGATAGATCGTCCAAAGATAGATCCTTCAAATCTTGTCCGGCGTTCGCAACGAAGACGACGGTCCCTGCGTCCTTCAATAACCTCTGAGCGGCTACCTCGTGAGCGAAAAAATCACAAATCGAGACAAGCTCTGGACGGCATAGCCTTTCTCGTGTCTCAAGTAGGGATCATGTATGAGCATCCTTAGTATGCTCCACATAGTTGACGCAGTTGGAACGATGAATGGCTCACCCATCCGAAGTGAGCTCGACCTTCCCTGTAGGCCGGCCATTCTGGAACAGCATCTACCGGGTGAAGTTAAAGACTGCCGTCACGAGCACCGCTCACAGTGCAATCAAGGGCGTGTAGCCCTACTTCCTCTTTCAGCTTTTTCACAGCATCCTTCATCCCGGACTCCGTACTGGATCCCCCAAGTCAGCTGGATCGAAGTAGCTACCCTGGTGAAGAGCGACTCACAGTAGATCAACTTTGATAAATGATATTTCAGCCATCTCCCCTCTAGGCTTCATAGCCTTTGCCTCTCGTTTCATGTTATCAACATTGATCTCATCTCTCCCTAATATAATGATTCGACATCCCAGGCTTGCCAGCTTTCTCGCTACACCTTCGCCAATACCGTTCGACCCGCCGAACAGGGCTACTGTCCGGGCGTGCGTGGACAAGTCCAGACTGGAGACGTATTCCGAGACGTACTTAGTGCTGAGCGCCGCCATCGCATATGAATCCGGGCAAAGTATCGTTCTCGATATCGCCTGTTATAGTCGAGGACACACGCCAAGGATCACAGGACAGGGCGATCATTGAATGATCGACCTTTTCACCGAGGCTCGGTCATCCGATGGACGGACTTATTATATCTCGACTGGACCGGCGGGACGTGCAACACTGATTGCATTACTACGATAACAAATACAGATGGTGTGAGGCGCACCCTCAGCCCCATAGTCTATATGCTACTCCATGTCCTGATGACCAGCGATGACCAAGGCGCCGTGCCTCCTCCCTCATATCCCTTCTCCGCGTGCGAATTGGCGCATCAACCGCCAGCATATGAAAGCCCCGATAGCCGCGCTTACCCCGCCGATACTGAGGAGACGCGAGTCAACGAGTATTCGATGCTTGCAAGGCTCTAGACTCACCGAAATATCAACCCGACTGCCGCTGGAGACGACTCATCCGTGCCTATGGCCTCTGCTCTGCGACTGAGGTCTCTCACTAGCCCATCCTCGTCAAAGCCTAGTCCTGCGGGATCCGCCACCATCCCTGAATCCAATCCTGTACCATTGATTCCTAAGACAGGGTTCGAATTGGGATGATGGGTTGGTAATGGATTTGAATCTTCCATCAAGGCGAAGATGATTGAACTGAGAAACGTGACGAGGAATTGAGGACAGACAAGAAAAAGATTATGTATACCCAGTATGATCCCTGCTTTATCACCGATTTCATTGCCCGCTTGACCTGGGATAGGCGATCGAGGTGAACTTGGTCGATAGGGTGATGCGTCGGATTCTGAATCCGAGTCGGAGGAATCGCCATGATGGATGACAATGGATGTCTCGGTATGGTCAATGCCGACTGTATCGTTTTGGTGTATGAGCGGAGTTAAGCCATCTCCGCTCGTATCCATCGCCGGAGTATTCAGCTTGAGGTCCAAAGAGCTGGGTCTTGAACGTCTGGAACGGGCTGAAGTGACATGATCGTCGGAGAGCGAGGGACGAGATGAGCTAGGTTGAGATTCTCTAGGACTGATTTGAGAGGAATTGTGGGGATGCGGATGTTGAGGTGCAGGTCGGACTATGGAGATAGACTCAGGAATGACAGAGGCGTGAAGCGGTGTAGGAGACTCCTCAGGATCATAGTCATCTCTTGGCGATCCTGGTCGACGATCATACTTCGACCGTGGACCAGACCTATCGACGTTGCCTTCTAGTAGGATTAACTCGCCCAGCAGACAGAACGGAGCCCCTGAAGGTCTGTTAGAGAGTCCTTGTGAGGCCCACTCACATTGGAACAGTGCCCATGAGAATCCGGTAGACCCAATGACGAGGTAAGCGCCAAATGGGGACGTCACGAACCTTGGTATAAGCATCAGTCATTTCTCAGGCTTCTGAGAATGTCACCTCACCATGAGCCCAGCATCGCCAACGCAAACCAAGCCTGAGCAGCGACCCATACCTTCATCAAGGTCAATCCTTTCAGTGGGAACACTCCTTGACCAGATCTAGCTCGATCGAACACGTCTCTGATCCAACTTATGGCGAGTCGGAGGCGACCCGAAGCTCCTCGTTCCTCTTGCATCCTCTTCCAGGTTGCGGATCCCGGAGTCGAGGGCTGATCAAGCGTTTGACCATTCCCATTCAGAGCTTCATACTCTAGTCTCTGGTCAGACGGCAGGACGCCGGATGACTCGACTAGGATCGGGATCGTCATGGCGCAGATAATATTGACGACAGCTTGACAGAACAAAGCTCGAGCTCCCGCTCTGACGGCTGCCGCGCCGACATCCGGATCGGACGGATCGAGTTCTGGGTGAGACGCTTTGTAGACTTCGGTGACCCAGATGGTAGTGAAAAAGAGCACGGGATACCATCCGAGACTACCGATGGGTCAGTCAGACCCAGAACCTTGAATTGAACCAACACTCACGACGCAAAGAACTGGATTGTGCAGACAGTTTTGATTCCCGGTGGTAAAGCAAACAGGTTGTCCCAAATAGCTCTCAGGTTGCTGAAGAGACCATTCTTCTGAGGGCGACTAGGAGCGTTCAGCATTCTCTGGGGGGGGGACGACCCTTCACTCACTCGTCACGTAAGAGCACACGTTCTGTCACCGCCCATGAGGTGAAGAAATGAGCGGTCATGAGAATGGCACTAGTGATGAAAGAGAGGATTTGGAGCTGAGTCTTGCCAAGGAAGGGCAGTACAGGCGGAAGATCCAAATTGCCACTGCGAGCCCAAATGAGCTGACCCTCCAATTCGTCTTCACACTGGGATCGACTCACACAAAGAACCCTGCTAAACCGCCGAAGCCATTCATCCTACCTCCCCATGCGCTCCCTTCCTCCTGTTCTTTTGGAGGCAAAGAATCCACGATCAACGCTCTGTCCGTGCTCATCACCGCATTGATACTGAAATCAATCATGTAGATGGAGGAAACCGCGAGAAAGATGGCCATCCAATTTCCGAACCCGAACAAGGCAGCGACTTCTCTGGACCAGCCAAGAAGCATCATGGCGAATACACAAATTGTACAGCCTGCAATCATGAATGGTCTTCTTCTACCCCATCGAGATCTTGATCGGTCGGCGAATGCTCCGACTAGCGGTTGAACGATGAGGCCAGACAGAGGACCTGCCATGAACACGAGGGACATGTAGGATTTCGACAGGCCAAGGTCGAGCAGGAAAGGAGAGGCTGTGAACGGTCGAGGTGTCAGCGAGTGGTGACGGGCATTTGGATTGGTCTCTCAATCACCATATCCCATTTCAATCGACCAGACGCACTTCAACGACGTCAGCAGGATCCCTCGCGAACGGCGTGCCTGCCCACCTGAATCCCCAGCATGCCGACCGTCAACAACGGTAGGCGTGCCCATTTTGGTCCTTTGACGCTGGGTTTGCCTATCCACTGAACAGCATGATGTGAAGTCGAGCTGGATGATTGACCTCGTTCTTCCAGCTCGAAGTCTTCCGGTCCAGTAGGTATGTAACCCCCTCCCGTCATCTTGTCGATACGCAGATCCGAATATCAGACTTCTGGAATGTTGTCCAATCGCACCGCTAATGGATCCGCCGCTGCTGCCGGCCTCCAACGTTGACAGAGAAACTGTCTGTAATCCCCTTGTCCCTTTCTCTACTCAGCATTTGCCTTCCACTCCAACAATTATGCAAGCTTAAGACGACATCGACTTGGTTCAAGCTTGCTACCAACTTAGTTCATTGCTCACTACTGTCGCACTGCGCGTCTTCGATACGGTCTACCCCGCTAAGCGGGTAACCTGAATAAAGAACCAGTAACACGTGGTTGATCGTCAATTTTATTTTTCTTTTGGGCAGCACGCCCCTTGGATGAACGAACAACTTTAAAGACTCATCCATCTTCTTTCTTTGTTGACCGAGGATCCTTCCAGTGAGGTCAACGTCTCAGAGAGAGTAGTGAAAGATCTCCTCGTCATCTGATTCATCTGGTGGTAATCCATCCGACCCAACTACACACCATGTCCGCTCCTAACCCCAAGGCTTTCCCTCTTGCCAACGCTCAGTTGACGAACCAGGTGGGTTGTACATGGATCCAGTGGCAATGAGACCAGAGAGAGCTGATAGATGATTCGCCAGATTCTCGACTTGGTTCAGCAGGCATCTCACTACAAGCAATTGAAGAAGGGGTGAGTGTGTGGGCCATCTACAGCTATCCATCCCTCTTGATGCCTCTTCTCTCTCTCTCTCTCAAATATCTCTTCAAACCCCATCACCGCTGACTGACAGCCCTCCCCAGTGCCAACGAGGCCACCAAGACTCTCAACAGAGGTATCTGTGAATTTATCATCATGACGGCCGATGTCGAACCCATCGAGATCGTTCTTCACTTGCCACTCTTGTGCGAAGACAAAAACGTCCCATACGTTTTCGTCCCTTCCAAGACCGCCTTGGGTCGAGCCTGTGGAGTCACTAGGCCCGTCATCGCTGCTAGTGTGACCACCAACGAAGCCAGGGAGCTCAACAGTCAGATCCAAGCCGTCAAGGTGAGTAGCCGGATGGAAGAGCTGAGATGAGATGCTAATGTCTCGTTCAGAATGAGATTGAAAAGCTGCTCATCTAATAGGCTGAAGAAGGGAGACCGGAATAGATATGGGTATAGGGACGATGGAAACCTGATGCATCGATGATTGGAGATTTCTGGGCGCTTGCTGTGCACGACAAAGGTTATGCGGAAGCGAAGGTCGCAAGCAGATGCTGTGCTCAGCGCTCAGCGATCCAGATGATTTGACCTCTTCGCTGTCCAAACCTGTATTGGATTACGATCTATAAGTCACTCGTCTTATAATCATCGTCAGCCCTCACTGGGCATCGCTGTCCTCCGAGGATTTCAGCGTCTCCCGCCGCGGAAACGTTGAGTCGTTCAGACTCGGACGATACCGATCAGAAACGAGTTGATTGATGCTATCTCGCTTCGAGCTCTACGAGATAAGGGTGATCAAGCGAGTGACACCTGATGCTAGCATCTTTCCTATTGCCATGTTCGTATCATAATCTTGGCTAACTTCAGTCATTCCACCGTCTGATTTTGAGTGACTTGGGAAGGACAGTAGATAGGTGAGTGGCTCTTTGTGTCTGTGGCTCCGGTGAGATGGGACATTTGTCGTGCAGCTGCACTGCGATGAACGCCTGGTGCGACGACCTAGGGCCAAGCCCCCATATGTCATCATGAAGTTGCTGAGGAGCTGTCCCGCCTTCCACGTTACATGCTTTCCCCCTCATCACCACAATGACCGTCATCTCATCGGACTCCCGTCTTCATCTCGCCTCCCATTTTTTTGGGAGCAACGAGTCGACATTGTTTCCTCATCTTTGATCCTTCCTTCCTTTCTTTCTCGTTCGTTTCTTCCTCTTCATCTTCCGTCGTCACGTTTAGATCACATTGAATAGCTATTGCGGAGAGAAGGAGACGACACTGACCCAACGTTTGTTCGCGATTACATTCTTCCGCTCACTTATCATCGGCGCTCCATCTGCCCCTCATACTCCTTCGGATCTTCGCGACTCGCCGATCCGCCAAACCTCCACCTAAAAGCAAACTCTCTCTCTCTCTCTCTCTCTCTCGTCTAATGTCCTTCTCGTCAGCATCTCGATCTCTCTGGTCTGTTTCTCCCTCTTGTATCATCACAGCCACTTCACCGACGACATCAACAACAGCAGCAACAGCTTCAGGGCGAGCATTACATGTATCAAATCTCTATCGGAACAACCATTTGAACCGGATCACTCCTCAACGACGCCGCCCATTTCATTCCACCATGTCGTCTCAAGCCAACGGCAGCAGCAAACGGCATCCGGTCTTAACGAAATCAAGCATCAATCCTGCAGTTCTCGAAGTTGAGTACGCAGTTCGTGGTGAACTTGCACTCAAAGCCGACAAATACACGCATGAGCTCGCCGATGGAAAGAAAGATTTACCCTTCGACAAGGTCGTCACGGCCAATATCGGGAACCCACAACAGAAAGGATTGGACCAAGTTCCTATCACTTACTGGCGACAGGTCATCTCATTGTTGGAATATCCGAACCTAATGGAGGAGCATCTTGAGATCGCCAAGCAGATCTACCCCTCAGACGTGATTGCTCGAGCCAAGAGCTTACACGAGGAGATTGGAAGTGTGGGCGCCTACACCGTTTCAAAAGGAATCTTGGGGATCAGAAAACGAGTAGCTAAATTCATCGAAGGTGAGGAAGGTTTCAGCTCGACTCGATGTGAACTAAAAACCCTTTGATGGTAGAACGCGATGGGTACCCTGCCGATCCCGAGAACATCTACCTCACTGCTGGGGCTTCCGCTGGTGTCTCGCAGATCCTCGGTATCGCACTGCAAAAAGGAGACGGCTGCATGATCCCTATTCCCCAGTATCCCCTCTACACCGCTACGCTCGCCTACGTTTCTGCCAAACCCCTCCCATACTACCTCTCCGAAGCGGACAACTGGTCTTTAAACCACGATACCCTCGTCCAGACGATCGAAAAGGCCAAGAAGGATAACACGCCCGTCAAAGCTCTGGTCATCATCAACCCTGGCAATCCAACGGGTGCTTGTCTCCCTGAAGATGCGATGAAACAGGTCGTGCAGCTCTGCTATGATCACGGTATCGTCCTGATGGCAGATGAGGTGTATCAGTACAACATCTTTGATCCCGAGAACAAGCCATTCATCTCGTTCAAAAAGGTCTTAAGGTCAATGCCGAAAGAAGTGGCGGAGACTGTCGAGTTGATTTCATTCCACTCGATATCAAAGGGCGTCAGTGGAGAATGCGGAAGGAGAGGAGGGTACTTTGAATGTACCAATTTGTCGGATGAGGTGATGGAGCAGGTCTACAAGATGGCCAGTGTGTCGCTGTGTCCTCCCGTCACGGGGCAGGTGAGTGCTGAGTCTGCAGGGAGCCATCGGATGCTGACGATTGTCCTGCCAGGTCGGTGTCGACCTTCTCGTATCCCCTCCCAAACCCGGCGAGCCGTCTTACGACCTTTGGAAGACTGAGACCACTACCACCCTCTCCCACCTCAAAGAACGCTCCCAGTTCATGGGAGAAAGGTTCAACTCCCTTCCTGGGATGTCATGCCAACCAGCCGATGGTGCGATGTATCTGTTCCCACGGATTGAGATGCCTCAAAAGGCCATCGCAGAGGCAAAGAAGCAAGGCAAAGCGGCGGATGTAATGTACGCCTTGGACCTATTGGGTGAGGCACATGCGGACTAACAGGCGGATTTTCTCTCATACTGACTCTTCATCCACAGACGCCACGGGTATCTGTGCCGTTGCTGGATCTGGGTTCGGTCAAGAACCGGATACCTACCATCTCCGTGTGACTGCTTTATGTCCGGGTGTAGAGAATTACGTGGCGAAGATCGAAAAGTTCCACAAGGACTTCATGAGCAAGTGGCAGTAGGCAGCGGAAGGGCTGGGCATAGAGAGAGAGAGAGAGACGAAGTAGAGTGACCATCTTGAAGAAGTTTGAGGATGGGCTGAGCGGGCACTCAGCATGTGCACACATTCATGGGATACTATTAATCGATATGCATGTACATTGACAACCTTAGCTACCAAAATTCAGATCCTTTACCAACCCTGATCAATTCCATTCGCCCCGGTCCTACAAGACGGGCATTGTCAGCTCGAGCCCCAAGCGCCTGACAGCTGAGACTGCGGTGTCAACTCACCATCATCCTCTCGTTAGATTGTTGTTGGACGAGAGGCGATTTCCGCTCCGCAGCCAATTTGGCAGACAACTGACCAGCCTTCGGATTAGAACTATTCACTCCTTTTCCTTGAGCCTAGATCGTCGGGAATCAATGCAATATCAGCTACCGTACTTGCTCCCTCCAGTTCAAACACGGGGGCTTAGATGAATTCTCACCGCTTTCGCTCTCTCTTCCGCTGCTTTTAACGCTCTATCTCTTGCGTCTCCATCTGCATCTCCAGTTGAGCCACCCAGCACTCTCGGTGGACTAGCAGCTGCGTTTCGTGGTGGTGCTGATGCATGTGTATTGGCCGGTGCATGAGACGTACTCTGAGGGGCGGATCCAGATCCCAGTCTTTGACCTTTGCCGCCCGCCGGCGGCTTGGCGGGGTCGGACATGCAGTTTCCCATGGCGATAGCAGAAGTCACGGGAGTTCACCGTAAATACTGTAAATAGAGGTCTGGAGACAGGTAATTGAGTGTTGGATTTGACTGCTTGAGCACCAAAGTCTATCGACGAGAGAGCGGTGCCAAGATTGCTTTGATGAGTTCGTTGGGTTGGGTGAAGCCGGAAAGTGGAAGATAGCAGCGCGAGCTGGGATAAAACGGCCTTCCAAAAATGACGTCTCGAAATCGGGTTCCCAGGCGTCTTGTCTGTCCACTGTCCTTGCCAATGCTGTACGTGAGGCTCGACAGGAGCACCGGTCGCACCGTCTGTCTACAACCACAGCATTTGAGCCGAATGGACAAGCTGCGTAAGATCGCCGGGAAAGCGGCGCGCTTGTCAGGAAATTTGATCCCGTTTGTAGGTTAAAAGTACTGATACATGGCAAAATGGGGTGAGATGGGCATTGGTAAACGCTAAGTTATACGACATACAGGCAGGGTACAGGTCCGTGGCGAGGTATCTGTGCTTCCTGCTATCTGCTCTTCGATCTCTGCTCCGCTTCCTGTTCTTTGCTATCCTGTCTTCTGCTTTCTTCCACCTCGCTGAGGAATAGATCCCGACGCTAAGCTCCCTCGCTGACTCGTTCCCAATCTCCTCCACTTCCCATGCCACTACCGCTAGACGTTCCTTGGCTGTCTCCCGTGGGACTTCCGCCTGATCCGAGACAGCAGGCATCAGCGACATCCTAATGAAACCGGACTCGGTACTCACCCTCATCGATATCATCGATACTTGCGGGAGCTTGTGGTGGGGGACCACCGGCGCCGAAACCTGCTCCTGCTCCTGCGGGTCCACCACCGGTCAAAGAAGTGAGTTCAAGCAACAGTGCAAAGACGGGAGGAGGTGCGACTTTCTGGTAGACTGAAACGAGAGTCAATGGCCCTGTATACGGTAGAGAAGCATTGAGGGAATTAGTTAAGCTTACTCATGAGAAGCTCGACAGGCTGGGGATAAACTCTCAGAGCACGGTAAAAGTGAGCGGCGGCTTCGACGTAGCTATCAGGGCCTGATGAATGTCGGTCAGCACGTAGATGGACGCTCCCTCGCCCAACTCACCCATCGCGGCGAGCTGTTCACCCTGTCCGACATGCTCTTGGAAGTACATCTCTTGTTGCTCTGGGGCACTTGGTGGAGATTCCGCTTGAATCTCTTTGAGCGCTTCACGGAGAAGCTAAGAGGAGAAGGATCAGCGCCGACTTCCAGCTTTGATGTGCATCATAGACGGGGTGTCCAAAGCTCGTAAACCGGCTGACTTGGATGATGGCTCAGAATCCCAAGACTCACTTTTGAGTTTCGGTCCTTCTCCGCCTTGTTCCTTGCTTCAGCAGCGGCTCGGACTTTCTTATGTTGTTTCTCTAGAAAAGGTTGTCAGCTCCATATCACCGTCGAGAGCCCCCATCGAACAGAGCGAGTCTGGGACGGCCTGACCCGACTCACTGATAGACTTTCTAAACTCTGGGTTATGTCTCCTCTGGTAGTCAAAGTAGACCGCATATCCTACCAGTCCAGTGAGGATCGCACCGGTGGTGATCAAAGCGACTTGAGCTGGAGTCCTTGAAGCCATCTTGAGTTGACTGGGGCGAGTTTCGTATAATAAGACTGTCGAGGAAGGTGATCCGATGCCAGCGTTCAAAAATTCGCCTCTGAAATTTGATTCCGTCAGACAGTGGGTGTGCTAATGTGACCACCACCACCACCACCGCTGTGTACATCTATCTCAACTGATTCAGCTGGATTCAAGCTGTTAGATACTCTATTGTACACCGCGTAATGTCTGAATCAAGCTCGAAATCCAAATACGTCCCTCCTCATCTTCGGTCCAGAACCGGCAAAGCATCGGACCCACAAACGGTCACGACCCAAAGGCCTGGATCTCGAGACCGAGTCAACGGCTCTGGACCCTCTTCATCATACTCTGGTAGCGCGTATCAGCAACCTGGATCAAATCGTTCCTGGACCGCTCAGTCTCAAGGTTCAAGTTCTTCTCGAACATCATGGTCACATGGTGGACAGGACCCATCTCCAGCTTACCAACAACGAGGTGGCAGTCATGATACGGGACGATGGGGTCAGGATACGAAACATGCTTCTCGAGGTGCACGAGACCAGTATCCTGGTTCTGGAAGACCATCTGCTTATTCTGGATCGGGATCAGGATCGAACAGCCGTACACCGCATACTTCCCCCACGCTGCACGTCTTCGGAGATAGCTTTGTGGGACCTTTCAAGCTCTTATCCGATGATGGCGTAAAATTTCAGACGTTCAAAGGGTCTTCAGCCAAGGTAAAGTCCGGACATCTTGAACTATGGCCATCTACTGATACTCATACACCTCTACTTTCCAGGGTCTGAACAATCCGAAATCCTTAAAACAAGTGTCGAAAGAGCTCGTACCTATTCTGAACAATCTCCTCGCTCCTCCACCTTTTGCCTACTTTCCATCCTCCGGAAGATGGGCCCTACTGATCTTTGGAAATGTCGACCTGCAGATCAACTACCTCTGGCAACTACAACATAAGCCTATCAACGCTCAGACGTTCGCCTCCAATCCTTCCAAAGGATCCGCTGAAGATTCTGCTTCCATCGCCGCACCTGATGGAGAGCTCGATGATACCCAACACGTCCTAGCAACAGCCACCGAAACATCTATGAAAGGCTCTGCACTGGGTCCAGATTTGTTCGTCAAGGCTGTCGTTTCTGCTTACACTGCTTGGCTCCAACGGGAGATCGTAGACGGGCCTATCGGCCAGAGAATACGCGAAGGAGGAAAAGATTCAGGGTCGTCTCGGAAACGAGGGACGAGCAAGGTGCTTATCGCCGCTGCCTTACCTCCATTGGTGGAGGATGAAGTTCTTCCCCGCATCCCGGAGAAGTATGTAGAGAGACTGGAAGAGGATCACGCAAAGAGGCAAGAAGCGATGGGCAAAGGAGACGCGGAATCTGGACCGGCTGAAAGGATTTCCAAGACGCCATGGGCCAGGAGCAAGGATACGGACCCCCCGGTGAACGATACCTTGGACGGTGTATCAACGCTTCATATTTCAGACGACTTGGACAAGGGTTCAGATATCAGGGGGAGATCCCAACCTGAGACGAGGGATGGCCAAATATCGCCTCAATCCAGTTCGACGGAATCATCCAATCGATCCAGTATGTTTGATGTTTCCGCTATGGAATCATCAACCCATACCACTTTGACAATCCCACCATCCTCCCCTTCTGCGAGGAAGAGCGCGTCCTCGGTAGATGCCTCGGATCTCGCGAAAGACAGTGGTGCCAAGGCAGAGTCGAGCAAGACATCCATTGAAGAGCTCCTCAAGTACGACCCTCCGCTGTGCACTCTACCAGTCAGAATCCTCATGACCAATCAGTACAACAGGCAGCTTCGAACTTTCTGTGAAGCTCACCCGGATATTTTCTCCTTCATCGATATCACCAATGCCATGCTCGCTGGCAATTATACTTCCTCGCCCATAGGTCGAGCTGATCGATCCACTTGGGCCTGCCCTGTAGACGCTACAAACATTCATCCTTTATGGGAACCGACGCTGCCACTGTGGTTGGAGGAGTTGAAGAAAGTAGGCGTACCGACTGAAGGTTATCGCATCACAGTGGACGCCGAAGAGACTTTTAGAGCCTACGAGGCTGATAAGCGAGAGAGAACGGCGAGACAACCTTGGGGTAAGGATGGACATGCAGCCGCGGCCGCAGCGGCAGACCTAAGTGGCACAGGTGACCTGGAAGGTGGAGAAAAGAGGAGGATCAAGCTTAGGGATGAGTAGGGAGAAAGAGAGAGAGAGAGAGAGAGAGAGAGAGAGAGAGAGAGAGAGAGAGAGAGAGAGAGAGAGAGAGAGAGAGAGAGAGAGAGAGAGAGAGGGGGGGGGGGGGGGGGGACCGAAAAGATTTACAGTCTTGCTCATACATGTTGCGTATCTTGCTTACTGTTTGTCATTGTGATATGCTACCTCATGTACAACGCTATTAGCAGAGATCTCTCCCCTCGCACAAGCCAATCGTGGTCATATATCTTCAGTTCTCTTCCGAATGGAGAATGCGTGATATCTAATGAAGAACGAGTCAGCACTCGATTGAGTTACACTGCATTCAGCAATCAATGCCGTACCTGGTGTACAAGGCCTGTTTCTCCGCATCAGAGATATAAGCGGCGACTGGGCCAACTCTCAGTTGACCGTACTGAACGTTGCACTTACTCAACACGTCGACCTCTGAGTCCGAATAACCTCCATACTCCACCATGACCAATCGAGCAGCTTCAAGGAACGCAGTCGTGTTGATGACGTGAATCTTGCCGAGTTGGCCCATGCGTCCTTAGTCACACAAAGTGAGCTTAGAATGGTTTTGCTATGGCACGATGAGAGCTGCTCACCCTCACCGTGTCCTATAGGAACACGCATGTCATTGCCTACAATATCTTCGTTGCTGAAGATATGTACCACATCGTCGACCTGCGAGTCAACAGACGAAAAATCAGTCAAGTGACTCTTTGGAATAAAACAACAGACACCAGCGGATGTCGTGAGCTCATCATCACCTTGAAAGGCGCCATGCCTGCATTCTGAAGCGATCGATGAAATGCATCTGTCCAAGCTTGAGCGCCAGTCGGCGTCTTGCCATTGGACAAGATGGGCGGTGAGGACGTATCGAAGACGAGCAGGATACCTCCCCTTCGGAGCAATCGCCAGGCATTCTTGAGTAAGAGAGGGAACGACGCAATCTAGAAAGGTGTGGGAAATCTCGTATCAGCTGGCATTGGCTTGTGGACACTATAGCTGACTCTGAGATGAGAGAATCGGATATGTATCACGTCGAATGATTCAGGCTCGTATGGGAGATCTTCGAGATCTACAATGTCCCATCTGACAGAAGGAGCGTCAGCGCACAGATTTCGTATTCTTAGACCGTCGAGCGCTGACTCACTCGACATTCTCACAGGTCTCCCTGTCACGCAACGAATCAGCACAACAGGTATCCTGCCTCGCTTGAAAAACCTCACCGCTCCTGTATCGGCACATTGTCACACCCGACGACCTTGACCCAAGGGAACATCTCCGCCACGTCCATCGCCCAGACCCCTACGCCCGTCGCCACGTCTAATACTCTACCATCGGGCTTCTCCCTCAGGACCTCAGTGACTGGCCCGAGAAATGGATACCCCAGCAGAAGCCGCGTGAGCCAATGTTGAGCTTCGACTCGCTCCAGCTCGAGACTATCGCATGGCCATGGAAGGGGACCCGGTAGTCGAACACGGCGCCCTCGCCAGAGGGCAAAGTATTCCGAGGGTTCACCTGAAGACCACAGGCGTGAGTGCAAGAGGATCCTCGCATTCCGGCCACGACCGGCTCACCTGAGAAGGTAAACGTAATGGGGGACCTTGATCTTGGAGTCAAAGGTAATCTCTCGAAGCGATGTGCTCTATGGAATCGATTACTCCTCTGATCAGCGATCTGAGCTGTGGTGATAGCTGAAGCAGCTGCCATATCGATTCGAGCTGGTGATGCTGCATCATTGAGGCCAGAATTGGATAGCTGAAGACGTGGTTGATGAGCCATATCTCGATAACCACTGGGTGGTGTGCCTCCGCTATACGTTTCGTAGTCTTTTCTCGAGCGCCGAGAGGTAGAGACGCTAGACACGTTCCGAGCTGAACTTCTACCTTTGCCTCGAGTTGAGGAGTCGTGCTTTTGGATGAGGTCCGGTAGAGGTTTTGGTAGAGGTGTTACCAGGGGAACGGGAAGAGAAGGTATGATGGGCGGAGTATTCGACGTTGCACTGATGGGAGTTGGCAGTGGAGCCGAAAGCGCATGAACCATATGACGAGATGAATTTGATCTGGCGATGGCTGTAGACGGAGAGGGATGGAACACATGACTGGGAGTGGAACTGAGAGGGGTGGGTACACTAGGAGCGCTAGGAGAGACCCCTAGGTGATGTTTCTGGTCGAACCTTTTGCTTCGATTCGATAATGGTCCTATTGGATATGGGACAACCAAGGGGCCTGCTGATGATGATGATGATGACGTTGTTTGAATCTTGGGTCGAGCTCGTCTCGGATGTTTGGGCTCAGGATGATCGAAGGCCGGTACAGTGGATCGTCTCGTTGATCGAGGTGGGTTTGGATCTCCTGCGATTCGAGACAAATCCTCGCCGGTTGGCGTTGTCCCTGCAACGAGTGAAACATCTTGAAGGTTCAAGTTATGCGACGGTGATCGCTTCCTTCGTTCTCTGGGCATGATTCCGCTTGATTGGCTCTATCGTTGAGAATGACTACCGAGCAGATAGGTTCTGTTCAGTATGCGACGACCTCAAGGCTATCAATGAGAATTTCAAAGTCGAGATGCGCTTGATCAAGCGACAACATCGGCATGTTTGACGCTGATGATTATCTCTTGCTATATTGGCTCGGGAGCTTCTTTCCAGACAGCCAGCGACCGGTAGCGTCCCCCTCCCCTTACCGACACAACACACAATCGAGGAGATGGTGTCAGTCAACGAGGTAATAGAATGTATCCTGTCAGTGAGAATCATAACGTCAGAAAGGCATCTTTGCCGCTGGTATATCTCGGATACCAAAACATCGCAGATGGAAAGGGAGGGAGCGTCCCGATTGTATCAAGGGAGAGGGACGTTGTATGTGTGTGCATTCCTGATTGCTGTCGGTATTGAGATCCGAGCCGGATCATAGCAAGCATCGTCTTACTTGTAAAGGACGCGACCTGAAGTCCCAGGTCCGAAGCCAGCCATGATTGTAGACACTGGGGGTTTGTGTGGGATGTATCGAGTGATTGATTTCCTTCCTGCGCGAGTGACGACCAAGGGCCTTTGCTTGTGACGATTTAGTCAGTGAGACGAGTATCACCACGATTGTGCTGCGAGGTTTGTGCTATGGCTCTCATAGTTGGTCACAAGTCTCTCGAATGATACACAGAAAGGCGAGAGCGTTGCAGAGTGAATTGCAGAGATGATTCCGACCTTGTGACGTCTTTCGGGTGAATTTATATTCCAGCAAAGGGTCATCGCCACCACCAACCACATATTGACCTCCAACCACCTTCGACTGCGATTCTGTTCTTGACCTGGATCTGAGAGAGGCCAGAGCAAGGCCTGGGTAGTAGTAAGCTCTGTATCCTGAGTCCCTTGGGACGGGTTCGAATCTGTATCCCTTTCCACTTCGTCAATTACAGTCGCGTGTCCATGGACTTATCGACTCGGTGATAAGGGGTGGAAGTCATCATCCAAATTCTTTCACGCCATCATCATGGGCACATCTCAATCGCGATTGGGTGGGTCCCGTCTACAGGATGGAGAGCTTCACAGGGATCAAGAAGCGTTCGATGGGAGTCTGAACGAAGTCTCTGATGGACCTCCTATTCCATCCTCTTCCATTCATCGGCAACGCGGCGGCGGCGGCGGCGAGTCATCCAAGAGAGGACGAGGATCCATTACGGCCAGTTCATCTGCCAGTCTCAATGGATCGAAAAAGGGCAACAAGAGGAGGAATATTCAGTCTGAAGACGAGCTCCCTGCTCCGGCGTTAGCGGCAGACCCATCGAACACATCTCAACCTACATCCTCGCTTAGACCAACCCCATTGGCCTCTACACGTACGCGATCACGCACTTCCATCCTCTCTCGACCTGTCTCTCAATCCTCCACTGAGATCCGATCAGGCGGAGCTCTGCATCGAGTCATGTCTCGCTTGAGGTCGCATCGTTCAGCTTCATCGAATAGTCTCGCATCGACAGGAATCACAGCCAGTGCCGCGGCAACGCCAAACTTGGCGACGCGACCTGCACCCATCACTCTGCACTCTACACCCTCGCTTCCTACCTCTCCAGGCCCTCCAGTCCTCCTCTCCCATCTCATCTCTCCTTCCCTGTCATCAGCTCAGAATGATCAACCCTCCTCGGCGACCCTGGACCCTCAGCAGATCGCTCGTCCTGACAATACGACACTATCAATGGACGACCTCGTCAAGCGGATCACAGAGATCGAAAGCGATCTCGGACCTCGCATCATGTCAATCTTTGAAGATGCAGGCGAGACGGACGCAGAGAGAACATGTTCGACAAACTTGGTCAAATTGTACGATCACATGAGTTCGGAAACTCAGCAAGGGAGGACATTGGAAGAATTCGATCATATGCGACGAGCCTCGGAACAGCTTCTTCAGTACAGAATTCAGCGACAACAGATTGAAAATCATCGTTTGAGGGAGGAGAATGATCGACTTAGACAGGCTGAAGCGAGGTTGGAAGAGATTCTCAGGGACACAGAAGCGGAGCAACAAAATCCTCTGGCCCGGACCGATTCACCGTCAGACGGATCCAGTACGACCCCTCGCGTACCAGCTGGAGCTGTCCTTGTCATTCAAGGTCTAGTTCAAACTCGAGCAGAAATCTCAGAGAGCGAAACGAGCACCGGTGCCACAGCGAATTCCGATACTCAGTCCTTATCTGGAGTCGGTTCAGCGTCAGACCATGGTGCAGAGTCAGAAGAAGAAATCTCAGCATCGTGGCCGCGACGATCGCGAAGATTGGCCAATCGGGGCCAAGCATCCAGGCGTTCAAGTGCGAACACTGATGTTTCGGAACTGAGCCTAGAAGCCCAAGTCCGAACCATTGGTAACCTCCTCAAGTGAGCTTGAGGTGTCCAGATGCAGTTGAGACCTTGACTGATATCTCGCAGTGTCGCAGCGGCAGCCATCTCTACGACCTTGTTGACTCCTGAGAACTCTTTGCGGAATCGAACCCGGCCAAGACCTTCAGTTAGCAGCACTATCACCTCGTTTCTCGATCGTTTCAGAAGTCCAAGGCGAACCAGCAGTCCCAATGTCGAAGCTGCCATTGGGGACTATCTGCGAAACGCCCTCAGGGATTCGAGCGGAAACTACACCAACCCGGGTGGAACATCTAGTGAGAGCTCGACAACCATTTCCGGAGACGGTGGACTGGACCTTGTCACAACTGTCTCAGACGAGTTCAGGGGCTTCCTCGAAGGTCTTCAGAGAGACCTGGTCGAATCACTGAGGGAATTTTCACTCCCCAGTACCGAAACCAGTACGTCTCAGTCGCCAGACATACCTCAGACGGAAGATGATCTGTCGCCCGCGATGGACCCAGTCGATTCGGATGCGCCTGTGATGTCCACGCCGCCAGCTCAAGACGTGCACAATGCGATTCCAACCTTCCATCATCAGCCTGGGCAGAACCCGCTTCCCACTGTCCAGGGCGATGCAACTCGAACGCGCACGGGGATATCGGGAGGTCACGATGGTCTGCCTCGCCGACTAAACTTTTTCCGCGCTCATCTTTTCCCTCCCGTCCGAGGGACCGATCCGTCGATACCTGCCGGACCAGACGACCAAGACGCCATGGTCCCGTGTGTATTTGTCGGCGTCCAATCTATTCGTCATGGGCCAGATGTGACTGCAGAAGAAATGATCAATCATCCTGACTTCCCATTCCCCGATGGACAAGTGCCACCTCGAGCGGCGGCTGGAACTCCAGCTTCCGAAGCTCCACCAGGCACACCAGAGGATGACATGACTCCAGGGGAGATGCTCGACTCGGCTTTCGCCTCATTGTCCAGCAATCAACCTGTCGACTCGGCGTTGCCTTCCCCGGCCAATCTCGAAGCACCACCCCCATCTCCTCTCTCCGGCGCGTCACCAACATTCTTGCCTCCCGTGACTCGACCACGTCGACCATCATTACGCTCTCGAATAAGCAGGATGATCTCGACTGCACGCCCCGACCCGCCTCCTCCGTCGGGTCAGGCTAACACCTATCTGGTGTACGTGATTGGGGGCAATTATCCTCGAAACCACCCTATCCTTCGAATCCCTGCACTCATGACGGGCGATCCACTGACTGACGAAGATATGACTTTGATTGGCGAGCTACTTGGCAATGTCAAGCCCCCCGTTGCGACTCGGGAAGAGATCGAAAGTGCGGGATTGAGAATTGTCAAGGGGTCCGAAATGGTGTCATTGGGAGAAAAGGGCGAGATACTCCACAATTGTCTCGAAAGGTGTTTGGTGAGTAGGCGGCGGCGGCGGCGGTGGCGGTGGCGCGAACGTCTCTGCGTCTGACAAGACTGGAATCGGGCTCGTTGACACGTTCTTTCCGTGCTTAGATCTGCTTGTCGGATTATGAACCTGAGGACGACTGTCGAATCCTGAAATGTCGTCATGCGTATCACAAGCCGTGTGTAGATCAATGGCTGAGTCAAGGAAGAAACAGTTGTCCAGCATGTCGTACAGAGGGTGAGTGCATGATTGCATCGCGGGGTCAGACATCGATGCCTTCAGCGCTGACTCTCTCTGCTTTGTAGCTGTCAACAAATCGAGCCCGTCGACGCGATCGACAGCGGGACCAGCGCAAGACTCTAATATCGCTGAGACAGCTGACCAACCTACCACGTCCAGCATCAATCTCCAGGAAGTGGATTGATGCAAAAGAAGCAGATCGAAATGCTCGCATCCCCAAGCCGATCAAGAGGGTCATAGACCCATGTAGCATATAAATATGATTTTCTGTATCCATTCTGTATCGTGATGCAAAGATGCCATTCACACTGTGTTGTCAAGTTTGTCGAGAACGACCTGTTCTTCTCAACCATATCATGCATTTTTTTAAATCAGTATACGATCGATTCCTTTGAATGTTGTCGGAAAGTCAGAGACATCTCGGGAGGGCGGACGAGATGAGGTAAAGGGGTATGGGCGTGTAAGGGTATGCCTGCCAGTCGAGGGACCAGACTCGATCGGTAGGTACTGATTTGGATTCGAATTGGAGCATCAAAGCTAGGCCGCGAAGGTCCTCCCAATCTATGACTCCTGAGTCGAGGCGACACCACGGTAATACTTTGCAGTCTCCACACCGTGATAAGGATGGTTGACAACATTGAACCTGGAACCCACCCGATGGATCAGCACGAGCCCATGGGGTGTAGCACGCAAATAAGGACTCACCAGGGCAACGCGACCATCATGAATTGACTAAAGGTAGAGTTCCTAGCTGCCACGGCTTGCATATAGGGAGATAAAGAGCTTGATCCATAGATCGGTAGACCCTTTTGAGCCCGATTGGAGAGTTCTGCAAAGTCCTTCTTGACTTCTCGAGAGTTTTCAGATGCGCCCCAGAATCGTTCTGAGAGAGACACAGCGAGGGTCAGCGACCGTCGAATGAGACCCGGAGTGTATTCCGGGATCAGATGAGAAAGAGAGAGAAAGCCATGCCCACTCACTGCTGGACTCCATGTATGCCAGCGAGAATCCGACGAAGAATCCAAAGAGAGCGTTCACTCGGATAGCACTTCGGACGGTCTTGACTTCGAATCGGGAGGTCGTGTCCCATCGGTCTTAGTAGAGGAGATGCGTCAGCATAAGATCTAGTACACAGGCAGGAGGAGGAGGTGCGAATCTCAAGAAGACCGACCGGCCCAGGCAATGATGATCTCGCTCAGAGTGTGATCTTCAGCTGATCACGAGGGAATGGACATGGGGCAAGATCCTGCTCAAAAGGAAGGGGGAAGCGGGCCCGGATAATTCGACCTCCTAGACAAAGCGCCCACCCCTAGAACGACTCTCGGTCCTTTGCTCGGCTCTCGCTAGACTCACTATAAGACAAATACAAGAACGGCGCCAAAGTCGTCATTCCCAACATTCCAGCCCAATCACTGGCCCGCATGTACCGTATGACTCTTCCAACATGAGGATCAATGTCGATCAAGGGATAGTCTCCGAGTGACTTGTGGATGGGAATACGAGCACGCGTATGAGGTGTTCGTGGGTCCGGTTGTTCAAGCCAATTGTTCACTGGTTGAGAAGAGGTAGGAAGGGGTTTAGCAGAGTAAGTCGAGGTCGAGGAGGAAGAAGAAGAAGAAGAAGAGGAGGAAGCAGACGACGATGAAGATGAAGCAGAGCTTGAGCCCGAGGCTGACGAGTGCCTTTCGTCCTTCGCCATGGTGTGAGCTGCTTTGAGACCAGACGCTCCTTCTCTGGATAGATGATACCCCCGCTGGATGGATGGATGGATGGATTGAGGACGCCCACCACGCAGTAGAGGTCCCCCGGCGATTTGCGGCGATAATTCCAGAGTGGCACACACTGTAGTGGCATTTCATCGACAGCGAGCAGGCATGGCTTCGTATACATCCCATATGCATACATGCGGCCATCCGCTTCTAGGATCTATGTATACATAGCTTGCTGGGATCAAGACGCTCCATGCATCCTGGATCTGACAATGGGGGGCAAAAGCGCGTCGGCTGCTGGAGCGCTCCGTATACCACTCCCCACCCGCCCTGAAATGGGACGTGAAGCACCTCTATGGTCTGGACGGGACCCAAAAGGCCAAGCGCTTAGCTGCTTCGCGAAATGATCGCTAGTCAGACTCGGATAAGAGACAACGACGGCCAGGAGAAAAGGTTAATGGCGCGCTGTCATTCCGAGCATTGCAAATATCCTCAACAGCTTAGGTCGCAAGGCCGCTGGCCTGATTCATTGCGCCGCGGAACTGATCCAAAGTAAGCCCATACCGCCATATGACAAATGATCATCTGAGGTGTCTTACCTGCTCGATCTGCCAGATCAGGTTTTCTTCCTTGATCTTCAGAGCGGATCTGCGTCTGGAGGGAAAAAAACCATTTAGCTTTGACATACGAGCTGTCGACAGAATTTCCGCACGAACAGAATGGTGACGCGCAGGCACTCACTTTTGAAGCATTGTTACACGTTTCGCAGCGTACTCCCCTGCCTCATCCACGGGCATCTGTAGGTGAATGTCCAGTCCTAGGTCTAGTGTCATCTGGGACGTGTCCGGCCTGGAGTGACGAAAAGGGAAGTCAGGTTAGCCCCCAGTTGCAAAGGTAGGAAGACTGTAGCGAGTACAGTCTCATCGCAACGATCCAAAGATGAACTGTCTGGCAGGCACAGCTCACCACCGACTCACACGATGACATCGACATAGACTCCAGCACCGAGGTCCATCATCGCCTCTTGGGGCCGCCGAGCATCGGCGACGAGAAGCTTGGCTTTTTGAGATACATCATCACTTTGACCTTATCGTCAACATGTTGTTCGCAGATGTACACGAGACAGCAAAGAGGCATGAAGCTGGATCTCATGCACGCCTGAAGAGTTCCCGGCTGTTGAGATGGACTGACTATTCTGCGATGTCTTGCTCCAACTTTGCCAGATTTCGCCTCAATTGATCCAAGGAGGGCAGGAGGACGGTGTTCAGGTGAGAAGCGTAGGTCTGCAGCTTGATAGTGGATGTGCCGTCGTTCATTGCTGCAGTCGTGATTCCGGTCTAATGGACTATGGTTGCATACAAAGAAGCCCCGTGATTGGGACTGCAATTCATCTTGACAGCGGACAATGCCGCCGATTCGAGTTAAGAGATCACCTGATCAAAATTGAAACGTTTCGAACAGCAATACATAGACATTTCAGATCATGATTCAAACGTTCATGAATACTATCGAGGCATGAGATCTCCTTGGCGTGTTCTATTCTCAGGACGTGATCAAGTAATGGCAGATCGTTGCCCCTCCCGTTCGTCGGTCAGTTCCTGTTCACTCGTCCCGTGTGTCCTGTGTCGCATTTTTTTCTTCCACCTGGCACCGTGGCTTCTTCGGATGACATTGTGACACTTTGTGCGACTGTCACCCAGAGGCTGTTTTGTTAGACGGGCACTCATCCTCAATTTTCTCGCGTCTTGCCGTTGTAGTACTACTGTCTAGTAAACGGGATAATTTAATGCATCTCCTCTAGGCAGGTGCCACTCTTTTTTGTGTGGTGTGTCTCACATGAGATCCATCCACGTTTTTGTCTCGTAGGTGTCGATCCCCCCTTCTGCCGATCAAACAATAATGACCCCCCTACTCGATGCAGCGTGATAAGGGTGACAGTCTCGGATATTTTTCCCCCTGATTTGATCGAATGGTACGATGTTCGCCCAAAAAGCCTGACCCAAAGAGATTGTAATGTCTCGGGGAACAAAGGGTCAGTCAGCTGCTCAGCTCGCTGCTGCTGCTCGCCCACAGACAGCAACGGGATCAAAAAATTTTGCCGGCGAAAACCCAGGAGAGGTGAAAAGGGAAAGGACCACGGGAAAATCGAACCATTGATTTTTTTTTTCCCTTTCCTCTCTCCCCCCCACCCGCAGGTCAAAAGTGGCAGTGTGGCTCTTTCTTCCCACTTTGGGTCAGTGGAGAAATGCAGCGGGACAGAGCTCCAAATCCCATAGCCTTGGGCCGTCCCTCTGAGACACCCGTGCAGCCGGCACTGACCGACCCGGTCAAGGGTTTTCTCTGCCGATCAACCATGTCTCGGATCTTCTACCCTCCAACAGTCCAATAGCCGAACCAAATTTCCTCCTGTCCAGGCAATCCCGTCATGTATCCCGTTAGTGTGACTTTTTTTTTTTACAACCTCCTCGAGGAGTTTGTAGGTCGTCCCGGAGAGTCAAGCTTCTCTGACCCGGTCCACAGCTTTCGCTCTCGCCTGTGGCCAGCTGGGAAAAAAGAATGAAAGTGAGGGTCCTTACCGGGAGCGCCAGATGAGGAAAAACCAGCGTCATGCTGACCTTCTACACTCTCCTTCGGGACGTCGACGCACCGGCAAAGAAGGGGGTGGCCACAGGTCCCGGAAAGCTTGATGAAAGCAAGCAGTGGCTCCGAGACCAACCCACATCCCCCTTCCCGCTTGTGTTCTTGTGAAGAGCGGGGCGAGAGACGGAGAATCATTTCACCATGTGCAATATGGTCCCGTGTCATCCCGCTACGATGAGAAAGGGGGTCTGTGCTGGGATGTGGGACATGAAGAGAGGTGAATGGACTGGACTAGGCGGGAGATGTCTATCCAAAAACTTGACGGGGAGGACCCACCTCCCAAAGAGGGACAGAGCACGATGGGCAGGGAGGAGGAGAGACCATCGCGACGAGGTCGGGGTACCCTGGACATTCTCTCAGGTCCTGACCTGTCCCGTCTCATCATGTTTCGGGATATAATTTCACTAGGGCTCTCGCGAGGTCGTCATGGGAAAGAGCAGTGTCAGCCTCTGGGAGCCATGATTATGGCATTCCGCGAACCTCTTTCTTAAGAAGACTTTGACCCCCCCAAAAGTCCTTTCTTCCCATCATTTCTGTTCGTCGTGCTTTTGACATTCACTCATTCATTCATTCACACACTTCATCAAGTCGATAGCGACCCAGTCACCATCGACTCTGGACTGATCCACTGAGGAAGTACTCGGCTGGATTCTACTGGGACCAGCGCTTGATCGAACAGAGTCGCTTCATTTGTGGCAGAGAGAGAGACACCAGCAAAGGATTTTCCTCCCTTCTCTTTCTCCCGCCCTCCCCTTTGAGCATTCCTTCCTCATTCATTCCTTCTTCCCAAGATGCTCATCTCTAACCTCAACCTCGTCTCCATCCTCTCCTTCTCGGCCACCCTCTTGGCTACATTGCCCTCCGCTTCAGCTTTCTCTCATTCAAACTTCACCTTGGAGAAGAAGTGGCATGGAGGTGGGGGCAATAGCGGCGGCGGCTCCTCCTCTCAGTCGCAGACTTTGACATGTGCTGCCATCTCTGGACAATTCCTTGGTTTCAGCTTCGATTTTGGATGTCTTTGTGAGGCCGATGTCTCGTCCTACTGTGACAACAACGGAGGTGGATGGTACTTGGAACAATTGCTTAACCAATACGTGAGTGCCACAAACCAAAAAAATATATTCAAATCACTGATATCAATTTCAGCTACAAGAATACGGAACCACCTTCAAATACCCTGCCAACGCTCAGCCTACCTGTGACGGTTACGGAGGATATACCTGTGGAAGTCTTCAACGAACCAGCAACGGTTGTGGATCCACCAACTGTCATCCCTCCACCTGCTCCACGAGCGGAGTTTGCTGCCCTCGAGGTCAGACTTACAACCCCAGCACCCAATCATGCTGTGGATCCACGGGATGTAACCGACAACAGACCTGTACGCCTATCTACTCTTGCTCGACCTACGAGAGCAACGGCATTTGCTGTAACACCAACCAACAAGGATGGACCGGATACAATACCGTCTGCTGTCCTCCTGGTCAATCTGAGCAAGGTTCCAGTGGAAACTGTGTCTGCAACCAATGTGGTTACACCGTGGACCCCAACGACTCTAGCAAGTGTGTCTCCACTTGCAGCAAGTCATCTGGCAACGCGCTTTACGCCGACTCCAGATGCCACCACACCTGTCCTCAACAGGGATGGACATACTACAACACTCAGTGTTGCCCACCCGGAGCCAAGGAAAACCAATGGAACCAATGTTACTGTACCGCCAAAAACTATGAGCTCGTTGGATCTGGCAACTCTCAAACTTGTCAACCTACCTGTTCTTCCGGTAACAAGTGGTGTCAGACCACTTGCTGTCCTAATTACCAAGAAGAGAACTCGCAAGGACAATGTGTCTGCACTCAACCCGGCTACATCAACAACGGCAATGCTTGTGTTCAACCCACTTGTTCCAATGGACAGATCTTCAACCCTGCCACCGGCATGTGCACTGATCAATGTGACACCGCCAACGGTTATACATATCAACAGAACAACGGACAAAGCTTTTGCTGCAAGCGAGGCATGACCGCTTGTCAGACTGTCTGCTGCCCTTCCGGAACTTCGGAAGTCGGTAGCACAGGTGTCTGCTGTACCCCTGGATCTCAGGTCGTCGGCGGAATGTGTGTCTCTCCATCTGGAGGATACACCACGACCACCACTGGTATGGGCCCTGGACCAACCTCTGGACCTCCCGGTGGCGGTGGACCTCCCGGCGGTGGTGGTGGTGGACCTCCCGGTGGTGGTGGACCTCCCGGTGGTGGTGGACCTCCCGGCGGTGGACCTCCCGGCGGCGGCGGACCCCCCGGTGGCGGCAGTGGACCCAACTGGAAGCGAAACCAAATCACCTTGACTGAGGAAGAGAAGATGACCGACTCTTACCGATGCCCTGCCGGTCTCGCCGCTTGCCCCGTCACCGGCGCCACCTCTGAAGGAATCTACGAATGTCTCGACACCTCATCCGACTTGCAATCCTGTGGAGGATGTGCCAGCTTGGGTCTCGGAAAAGACTGTACCGCTATCCCTGGAGCCAGATGGATGGGTTGCAACGCCGGTCAATGTGAAGTCTACTCATGTCGACCAGGTTGGAAACTCGTCAAGGGACAATGTGTCAAGCCATGAGACATGTTCGACCCCCCAAGACACGACTGAAAAACCGAAAACAACAAAAAACAACTAAAGCAAAAAACCTTGTTTATAGATGGATCTCGCTATACCTCACCCAGTTGCTGCTGCTATCTGAATTTAAAATTATTGTGGACATTCACTCCTACCTTGTCTTCTACCTATCCCGACATTCTCTCTGAACGCCGTCTTCTGGGCACTTCGGTCACTCTCCCCTCCCCACCACATTCTTTTGTCCCGCCGCATCTAAGCAATAGATGCTATGCCACTCCATAGCTACAGCCTAGCCTGTTTTATAATATGTACATCGTGTCATAGAGCAGATTCACCCGAGAGCAGACGATCCGATCTACCATGGGCAATCTTTGTATATAGCACAGATGATGCATCATCGTATCCAGAGATGAAAACACAAGAGTCCACATACATTCTCATTATATCATCACCTGGCGGAATTGGCTACTAGCTAGATACGCTCTGTTCTCTTCTTCTTCACCGTCGGACCTTTCGAGGCGCCGTGTTCTCACCGCCCAGCACGCTCAACGCTGTTCTACTGCCAGAGAAGTCTTCATGCAGTTTGCCCGTCGTCTTCGAGGTTGGTATTCCATTCGAGACGCCGTTGAGTCCTGGCAAGACCTTAGGTCGAGGCTTGACGATCCGCAATGGAGCAGTCTCAAGGGGAGTCTCGGATTGAGACTGAGGCGCAGAGTGCTCCGTAACGTCGGTCGACTCTTCTAGGTTCTGGTGTGATCCAAGGGAAGGTGCGTCCTGACCTGACGGCACGACAGCTACGATCGGTTGCGAGCCGGATGCTTGTCGCTTCCTCATTTGCGCTATGAGTATATCCCTCGGCTCGGTCTTCTCCCATGCTGTCGGCACATTCCAGCTCTTCTTCTTCGGCGTCACACCAGTCGGTACGTCCTCCAGAATCTCCTGAGAGACAAAGATCGCAGTCCGGTCGACGAGCGCCTCAAGTGTGGATTGAGCAGTCGAAAGGGTGTTTTCGAATGCCGAGGCCGCTGAAGCGTGCTGAGAAGTCGTCAGTATCCGGGGCGTCTAGACTCGGCAATCACTCACAGACTTCATAAGTGTAGCAGAGAGCTCATCGGTTTGCGCAGCGGCCACCTCTATCCTTTCGCTAGATTGAGAGTGCGTCCGTTCGACCTCGGCTGCGATGGCATGTAAAGTCTTTGATTGCTCGCCGGAAACCTCGGTGGCAGCTTGCGATACTGGAAGAGGGTGAGCCTGGAGTGTCGTTCCCAAGTCTTTGGTCGAACTCACGTTGCAAAGCAGTGCTGTCCAGCTGACCGCAAGAAGCCTCGACCACAGATACGCATTTAGCAGCCTCTGTAGATGCCTTCTTGCCGTAGTTGTTAAGTTCAGTATGTAGAGCAGCAGTGAAGCCGTCCAAGGACTAAGGAGAGTCAGACACATCCTCGTGTCAGCTCAGCATTCACTCACCTCTTGACCAGTCACGCGTTGCATCTCGGCGGTCCTCTGTGCTTTCTGGAGATCCACTTCAAACGTGTCTGTGAGACCGGTTGACGCATTGTGGCTGTCCGAAACTTGACCGGCGAAAATGTCCATAGCTGCGAGAGACTGTTCGTTCTCTGATTGGATCGCTCCAACAGCTTGAGAAAGCGAGGAGTCTTGGGCGTCGGTGAAGGATTCAACCATGTTGGTGAAATTCATGACCAGGTCTGTCCGAAGCTTGACTGTCTTTGAACGCTCGTCAATCAGCATGCGACTCAAGAGCGCATTCTGAGAACGCAGGCGAAGGACCTGTAATCGTGAGCCGAGCCGCTTTGCGAGATACGACTCACCTCGGCATCCGACGCATCAAGGGCAAGTCGCCGTGCTTCTTCAGACGCCTCTCGCTCAGCTTTCAAATGTGCATGAGCAGTCGATATGACAGCGTCGACCAAGTCCGCAGTCGAGGTGAGTACAGATCCGACCTATTGATGTCAGCACGTCCTGTGCGCAGGTGATTTACCATGGCCAACTGATCCTTCTGATTGTCGAGAAGCTCTGCAATCATCTTTGAAGAACGCTTGTTCAATTTGGCAGCCCACTGCTGGACAGCATGCTGAACTTCGCCTTTGACCTGGACGACGGACTGAGCGGCTTCCGAAGCCACGCTCTTGCCAGACTCGATCGATTCTTCAAGTGACTGCGCTAGGTCGTTGAAGGTCGCAAAAGCAGACTCCAAGTCTTGAACATCCTTCTTGGCCATCTGAGATCGTCAGCCACTATCAGTCAAGTGTCAGCTCACATCTTGCCCTTGCTTGACATGCACGGCCAGATCCTCTTCGACCTGAGCTCTCTGGTTCGCTTGGACGTTCTGCAGTCCTTTGAAAGCCTGGCGCAATGCTGTTGAATGGCGACTGAGGTCGGATCCGAACGCTGAAGCTGCGTCCGTGTTGCTACCCATGACCGAGGTCTTCCGAGCTTGGGAAGATCGGTCAGTCTTTCACTAAACTGAACCTGAACACGACTCACCAAGCTTATCAAACAACGCCCCTACGTCCCCGACACTAGCTAAAGCCACATCCTTCAATTCCTCTGCCACCTTTTCCATTCTTGACTCTCCGCGTTGATAAGCGTGACTGACGACCATCTCCTCTTCCAACTTCTGCTTGGCAAGTGATAGTCCCTGCTGAGTTTGCTCCAGCAGCTCGCCGAGCTCTTTCTCTGCCTGTCGAGTCTTCTTTAAATCCTCCTTCGTGGCCACCATTCGGACAACGAGATCGTCGAATTCTCTCTTTTTGGTATTGAGTTCGATCCTGCAACCATCGGCACGCTGTTGAGCGTCGACCAGGTCGCTCGCGAGCTTCGTTTGAGCCTCTGTCATTTCCGACCATTGCTCATCTGGCACGTAGATCCCACTCTTGTCCCTGGCGGCGATGAGCTCTGCTTTCAATCGTTCAATGTCGCCGAGATATTCTCGTAACAGACCAGCTTTGGTGAGATGAGAATTGATCTCAGGCTTGTTCTTGATAGACCGAGCACGGAGAGCGTAATCCAGTGTTGACAAGGTCTCTTCGAGGTTTGACCTTACTGGACTGACCGTCGCAACGATACACGTCTTCGTACGTCCACCAAGAGAGTCTTGAAGCAGTCGAGTGAGTTTCGATTCTCGATAAGGGATATGAGGACCTTTCTCGACCAAAGCAGAAATGACGCGACCCAAAGTGAGCAGAGACTGGTTGATCATTCCAGCCTCGCGAGCTCGTTTTTCAGTGGCGCCCGATCGACCGATAGCCTCTGATCCAGCAAGATCCACCAAGTTGAATTTGCCTATGCGGAGTGTATCCTCGCTGTGAGCGCCTGAACCAGTCTCCTTGACCATAACGGTGACGGTGAATATCGTGTGGGATCGGCTGTCAATCCGTCAGCACATATCCGGACATGCACAGGAGACCCTCACGAAGACTCCGTGTTCATTTTTGTCTCCGCTGTCTGCCTCCTCTGACATCCCTTTTTCAGTACCTTGAGAGCGTGCGATAGATTCTGCAGCCCGACCTCCTCCGCACCTTGAACCATTGTCCCCTTCTTTCCATCCTCGTAGATTTTCAGCTGGCTGTTGGACCCAGGCACGCCATAATCTTGTGACAGAAGATCTCGTAAATCTTCGTTGTAGATCTCAAGATATGAGCACTTGACCACATAATCGGTGTTTGATTTGGCTTCGAGGAGGGCAAAAAGGCGATGCAAGACGCGTGGGATTATACCTCCAGCATCATTTGGTGTATCCAGAGCCGACAGATCCAGGTCACCCTGCATTGTGTACCTGTGGCCGCGTCAATCATATGCCCGAAACTTGTCGCAAGCATACGCACGTCTTTCCAGTTCCTGTCTGTCCATACGCAAAGATAGTGCAATTATATCCTCCAAGGACTTCATCCAACATGCTCTTGGCGACTTCCTCAAATACCATTGTTTGATCCGCCTCGGGACCGAGGACTCTGTCGAACGCATATGATTTGATGTCGGGGCTCTGGGTGTTGATCCCTGCGGATCCGAATGCAGATGATTGAGGGACAGCTTCGATGGTGATACCCTTGGATAAGGCACCTTGCGTCTTCGCTATGATAGGAGAAGTAGATTCGACCTCGCGTGGGGTTCGACCTCTGTCAAGCTCGTCAGCGTTGCACGCACTTCAACCATCGAGCTGCTCTCACCTCAATCTGACCACGACATTGATGTTGGTCTCTCCCACCGTGATAGGATGCCGACTGGGACCAGACATGTCATCTTTACCCATGGAAGGGGGTTTGACACTTCCAGCAGGCATGACAGATAACCTTCCGACCGCTGTAGATGATGATTTCGGAGGTGCCATGGATGACATGGAAGTCACTCTAGCGATAGTTGGTCGCCCCGTCGCTGTTGGTTTACGTGACATGGTGTGCGACGAAAGTGACAAGCACGAGATAGAACAAGGCAACAACAAGATCCCCCGGGGGTTGGTTGTTATTATTGTTGGATTTGGGATAAAATAACAAAATAACACGCGGTTTTAAATATTCAAGTCTAGGCGAAGGGGGAGGATGGAGGTGATTAGATAGTGGTGAAGGTGGTGGTGATAGCATTGACAGCCTGACCAACGGTTATGTTACGGGGAGCTGCTACGAGGATCAAGCCACTTATCTCGGAGGTGATGCCGAGCACACCTGGACCCTCGAGGCATTCCCGAGCTGGGTTACCCATTGTCGGATCACAACCTCGGCATGCCCGAGGAACCATAGCCAGGTGTATCCACTGCTCGGGCAGGGCCAGGCAGGTACAAGTGCAAGGGAAATCCGTGGCTCTAGCGCATGATATAGAGCCTTCAGGCTTGGAGGTTCTCAAGAAGATCACGGCTAGAGCCTCTTATAGAGGTAAATCAACTTTCAGAGGAATGAGTACCGGCAGTTGCTGAATTTCCATCTCTCACTCCATCACAGATCCCATCACTCGATATCGTCACTTGGTGGATGTAAAGACCCTTCGCCCTGACCCACATCAAGAAAGTATCATTCAGAAGCTTCAAAGACTATGGACAGACTTGAAAACATATGATCCAGGACCTCTGCCGCCAGAAACGCCTGAAATTAAGAGCGGACTCGTACGTCGGAGTCAAAGTGACGCAAGCATTCCACGGAAATCTCGCTGACCTTGGCAGTTTGGAAGATTCTTCGCCGGTGGATCTGGTCAGCAGACCTCGACAAAATCTTTCGATGATGTCCCAAAGGGATTGTATCTGCATGGATCTGTGGGGACTGGCAAAACCATGCTCATGGATCTTTTTTACACAACATTGCCACCGCAGTTTGGACCTACCAAGTGAGTTTGCGCATGGCCTGACGAGTCCAAGTCGACTGACATCCGTTCTGATCAGATACGGGGCCACACGCATCCATTTTCACAGCTTCATGTTGGATGTACAGAGACGCCAACACGAAGTAACGAAACGATATGAGGCGATGGGCATGGGAAAGAAAGATGCACTACCCGAGGTGGCTCGAAGTCTCGCGGCGGAAGGGAGGGTTCTATGCTTTGACGAATTTCAAGTGAGCAAGAAGATGGGCGTCCGTACGCGCGCGCTGACTCGTCTTGTAGGTCACTGATATCGTGACCGCCATGCTGCTGCGAGGACTGTTGGAGCGACTCATGGGATACGGTGTCGTCTGCGTGATGACATCAAAGTGAACTTTCAAGCGTAGTACGGTGCTGACCTGCTCGCAGTCGTCACCCGGATGAGCTGTACCTGAACGGCATCCAACGAACATCCTTCTTGCCCGCCATTGAGCTACTCAAGCAAAGATTCGAAATCGTAGACCTGGATTCAGAAACGGGTGAGGTTTCGTTGATTCCATTTACCTCATCCGCTTCCTTGACTGACGTGCGCATTCCCAAGACTATCGGAAGATACCTCGAGCTCTCTCGCACACGTATTATCAGCCTCTTGATACCGGGACAGCAGTCGAAATGACGAAGCTCTTCGAATCATTGACATCGGCAGATCCAATCTCCTCAGAGGTTGTATCCGACAAAAAATTGCCACTATGGGGCCGCAAGCTTAACATACCAGAGTCCAGCGGATCAGTAGCTCGATTTACCTTTCAAGATCTCTGTGGGAAGCCTTTGAGCGCGGCTGATTACCTCGAAGTCACCAACAAGTTCGGGACGCTCTTTGTGGAGGGCGTTCCGAGGATGGGGTTGAGTGAGCGAGACATGGCTAGGCGATTCATCACTTTTATCGATGGTCAGTCTCCTTTCGGCCTGTCCAGAAGCGAAATTGACATCTCGTCGTAGCTTGCTATGAGAACAAGGTGTGTACCAACTGGCCATCACTCGCAACCTTCGAGACTAACATTGCATTCCAGGTCAAGCTCTTCATCTCGTCCGAAGTGCCCATTTTCCAGGTATTCTCGGACGAAAAGGCAGGCTCATCGGCGGACGACTCGCACATGAGGTCCAGTGAGTCTAAGAAGGCTGGCATTCATGGCTGAGTAACTGACTCTCACTTCGCAGTCATGGATGACTTGGTGGGTTTGCCTGCTCGTGACCAGATCCTTAAAATGCGACTGACGATGTTCATTCAGGGACTCTCCGCCGATGAGATTGGATCGTCATCACTGTTCTCAGGCGACGAAGAACTATTTGCATTCGCGCGGTGTGTCTCGCGTCTCTCGCAGATGGGGTAAGTTTGGATCTCAGCAACGCTTTCCTGCCATGCCTAAACTTTTCCTCAGAACACAAGAATGGTCTGGACAATCTGGGATCCATCGTGATCCACCTAGATCCGAAATCTCAGAGACGGAGTGAGGAACACCATCACGCACGAATATACCCTGCATTGGACAGCATAGTTCACATTGAGTATTGCGTACAATTAATGCTGCATGGTGCATTACAGCATTTTGTGCTACAGGGAGATGTGTGTGTGTCTAAGTTTTCTAAGTCTACGCAAGTGGACACGGTTCTCAAGCCGACCAAGATTCCGCCAGTCGTTCACATGGCCTTGTGTCGATGTATCCGCTTGCGAGGTCAACGATAGTCCACAGCAAACCATGTGTGAGCATAGATCGAGCCATAGACACCCCGAGCCTAGGTAATCGTCAGTGTTTCAGCAATCGAACAGGAACCCCGGAACGGCTCACCCCCGGTATAATCTTGCAATGCCTGTGATCAATGGTTTCGGATTGTCTTTGTCGGGTCCACGAACCATGCGGAGGAACTGATGCAACGGTGTACGGCGGGGCAGTCCGGACAGGGCTCGAAGTTGAGCTTTAGTCTGGGACAGTGTCAGCAGCCGCGTTCTAGGTCTCCCATGCCGATGCCGAATTTCACCTTTATTGCCTGAGGCGCTTCGTCAGCAGAGGCTCTGACACACTGGACCGCACTCACATCCACCGGGTAGATCACTGCCCAACTCGTCACTCCAGCAACACTTCCACACATGAACGGGATCAGGCCTTTCGGTAACCAACTCCTCGCCCATTCCGGAACGTCTCCCTGTTCTTCGTCTCTTCCTTTGCCTTTCCCTGGACCATACGAGACCCTCTTTCGGCCAAGAAACCAACGCATCACATCGTACTCTGCGAAGTAGAGTGCAGTTCCAAGTGTGTCTCTCAGGAAATGGAGCCTCCAACCAGTGTACAGTCCTCCTGGACCGGCAGTATCGATAATCATCCGAACCGCTTGAAGAGTCGTAGGCGGGACAAACGGAGGCGGCCGAGGAACTGTAGAAGGGCCGGCTATTGGTTTTGCCACGTCGGGGAGATGAGTGGATGGAGATGCGGAGGTGCCGGACGGGTGATGGGACAAGGACAGATTCGGTGGTGGCACATGAGCTGGGGCTTGAGGGAAAGCGGCAGGGTGGGATTCTCGATAAATTTGATATTCCAGTTGGCGACGGACCTGCAGTCCATGAGCTTTGTCAGGAAGAGCGCCGCATGGATACAGAGGCACTCACCTTTACAAGCTCGAAGGGAGCACTGCCTATGCAGACGACAGCACCACTAGCCCCGCCTGCGATCATACTGGTGGTGGCGACATCCGCAGCGGTGTCGCGATTGAAGACACCAAGATGTACGTCCACCCACGGCGTCTGAGCTCGGGACGATGATGAAGATGGAGTTGCCGGGTTGATGAGTGATGCAGTCCCACCTGTGAGATCTGGCTCAGAATTGAGGATCCGCTTGGTGGATGTGTAGATGGTAAAGGAGACTGTCCGAACAATTGATATGGTGAGTAGTGGTAGCCTTTCAGGTATCAGCAGATACTAATATAGGAGGTCCAGTACACCCACGGAAACCCTCGCCACAATCTAATAATCTCAAATATCAGCGAAGCTACCGCGAGGCATCGGTTGACACCACGTACCCTCCCACACCTTCCTCCCTAATGACCTCTGAGGCTAGTCGATGGAGCGGAAAGTTCTCCCTCGAGCTCTGCAGTCGAGACTTGAGCGAGTCGAGCTGCGCAGGATCAGCACGAGGGTGGCAGTGGAAAGAATCTCGAATTGACGCACTGGGAAGCCTGTAAAGGTGGATACGAGCGAAGCCGTTGTTGCGGATGCGACCTGTCTTCAAATCAGCAGACCCCAACTCGTTTTCCAAGCTTCGACGCACGACTTTGTGCTCTAATCCATCGTCAGCTCTCTTTCCTCCGGCTCGGAGACTCATTCCATCTTACGTTGTAACCACTCATCCATGCCCTTCGCTCGTTTGACCCATGGCCCATCAAAGGGGGCCTGACGGCTGATAGGTTGTCAGTGGGATTGTCCACACCGTGGTCCTGTAGCCATGACGTACCTCTCCGCCGCCATGCCCGCCAACTGATGCCCTTGAGAGCCCCTCTGACTTTCCAAGGTCTCCAATAGGCTCTCTTCTCTCTCTCTCCGCTGGCTACTGTGATCGCTATCCAGTCTATGGTCTTCACGATGTCCAAGTCAGAGACATTCACCAGCTTATTAGCTTGACATTTCAGCTGGCGGTGACGTCGGAATTAGATCGGATGATCAGAATGATAGTCACGTGACTGGCCAAAAAATGTGTTGCGACGTCCTGGCGAGTCTCTCTCATAGCGTCCACGACCCTCGACGGGTGATGAGGGGACAGCTACGGCAACAAGCAGCTAGATCATGTCTGGGAGATCAGACATGCCATCTAGCTCGAGCTCCACCCTTTCGGTTATTCTCCTGTACACCCATCTCAGCTCATCCAGGGCCCATTGAAGGCCGTAACCTCAGTTTTGACGCAGCGTACAAACCAAAGTGGAAACCAAAGCTCCCAGCTTCGACCGCCTACCAGTATTTTGAGACGTCAGACTCGGATCGCAAGAATGGGCAGAGTAGCGGCCGATTTACTCCCTCTGTCGACCCTGCGACCGGGCTTGAGCGGTCCTTCATCTTCGACCTGGACACTGTTCCTGGGGACGAGACACTTCGAGATACGAGGTTGAAGATCTTTCGAGAACAGTTGGAGGAACGGAAATCGCTTGCGAGAGAGCTGAAGGAGGCTACTTGGTTCAGTGATCCGTACTGTGAGCCGCGAGTGGGCCCTCCCTGATAAGTGCATCGCTCATCTCAGCGAGCAGGGCGGATGATGAAGTCCCCGCCACGGAAGTGCTTCGTGACATCGGCTGTGCTGCCAACTGGTAAATAGGCGGCACTGGCCACAAAGAGCAACGCAGAGCTGATCGTTGTCAGATTTTCTCATTCAATTCAAGCCTGTGTTGGCACCGGGCGACTCGACCGCAAGCCAGACGACTGCAGGCGATGTGGAAGAGACGGAGGTAGATGATGTTGATTTCGAAGCCGAGGACCACCAGAGTAGTGACCAGGATATGTCTCCTCAGTCTACTCACTCAGTGACGTCGACAAGGCCGCGTAAGGGCTTTACACTCCAGCCGAGCCACGGAACACAGGATGACAGCGAAAACGTCAGTAATGCAGTCTCACTCCCCCGAAAGAAATACAATCCGGCGCGGACAATCCTGCTCCCGCATCGCATCCTCCATCCCCGGTTTGCTCCATCGCGAGGAGGAAGTTCGCTGTATGCGACATCTAGACGAGAGATCGTCGCTCACCTGCCTTTGGAAGGTGGGATCTACTAGCCTTTTTGCGTCGGAACATAGCTAAGATGAGATCAGGCCGTCATAAATCTCATTTATCGAAGCTTGCTCGCAACTTGACGGTTCCTCCCAACCTCACGGAGATCATTGATTCGCAATTACAGGACCGTATCGTACAAGAGTTGAGACTTCTCTTCGATCGGATACGGACGTCGAGCGACAGACCCAATGGACAGTTGCGGGACCCTGTCCCGGAGACCCTCACGAGCGGCCTTGACTTTCAAAGTTACCAGAAATCATCAGCGGACCATGTCTCGCAAGAGGAGCATCCAGCCGATGGAACCACAGCCGCTGGTATACCACTGGATATCCCACCATATGCCAAGGTCAATGACCTGGATCCAAGATGGATGTTGAAATTGAATGGAAGTCGAAATGTTTTACATCGCCTATCTTTAGAAGATGAACGAATGGTCATGAACGGTCATGGCTACATGGCACCGGATACAATAGCCATTATCGATATCGGCAACGTCGATTTCGAGCCCGCTCAGCCTGCCGACACGCAGGTTGAGGTGGGGATCACTGAGCCATTGGAGGAGGTGGAAGAACGTAGGAGCGCTCAGTCTGCCAAAAGGAGACGTCCGCTCCAAAATGAAGATTTTCATGCACAGGGACCTCGACTCTACCCTTTGACGACGGAAGGACACTTGGGAACGGCTCCGGTACTTACCATGATATCTGGACCCAAGGGGGATATCCCAATATTCCACTTGCGAAACATACTCCCCGCCGAACACCTCACCTCTGCTCGAGATCTCATCGACGCCATCCTCGCTTTCGAAGTCGTCATCAAGGCACGAACTGAAAGTCGTGTGATGGACGGGTCTTCCCTCAAATCGCACTCGTCTGCCAGCCCTGACGGTATTGACAATGCAACTGCAGAGGAACTCACCGACATAGATCAACAGAGCTCGAAGCCAACCAGTCACGAGCCGAAATCCGTCTTGCTCGCTCTGAATAGTTGGATAGCCCCGCGTGGATTGGTCGGGCGAAGGGGTGATCTAGGTATTGCTCTGTTCATCGCTCTGCAAAGGATAAGGCTATGGAATGGCGGCGGATGGAAGACAAGGTATCGCAATCGACTCGATCAAGACGTATAATCGGGATACACCGCGTAGCGTATTCAGAGAATCGCAGTGTAGAATACGTTTCACATGCCATGACCAGACAATGTGGGACTTCTTTCTCTTTTCTGCTCAAACTTTCATTATTAAGAGATTCAGGTCTTTTCTCCCATACTCTCGCTACTCTCGCTACTCTCGCCACTCCCGCTCCTTGTCGCCTGCGTCTCAGTCCTCCGCTCGCCGCTTACACTAATGAATCGCAGATGAATTTGATAATATGTACAGAATGATGGAAAATGATGATGAAGATCATGAAATAGGGCAAGAAAAGCGCGAAGACCATTTAATCGGCAATGACTCGATCAGGAGGCGTATCTGCGGAAACGTCAGTGTGATGCTGCAAAATGATAGACAGCGAAACATACGGATTGCCTATCACAAAGTCAGCGACGATCGTTCTCACATATGCAATGCCACTCACAGGCATATACCACCAGCACAGGCGGTGATTTGGTCATGTCACTCGTGATGATCACAGGCAGGCTCATGAGCTCTTTGATATCCTGAATCTTGTGGCCTCCACTGGACCTCAGGCCTTCATAAGTGAATTTCGAGCGGTGAGCGCTCTTTTGTCTCTGGCGAGATCGAGTCACATCGCCGGCGACATCTCGAGCGGACGTCTCCTTCGCGTACTTGTCGCCCAGAGCCTTGATCTTGAGCAGGTGGGGGTCGTCGGAAGTGCCTGCAAGATACGAAAGAACATCTTGATTGGTCCAGTACAGCCTGAGTAGTTTTAATGATCAGAAGATTTCCCGTGCGGAAATGTCATTGACTTACGACAAGACATCTTTGTGCTCATCGTATACCACATTGTCCACCGGCATCTTATCGACATGCACCCTCTTCTCGATGCCGAATTCGGGCTGAGGCCAGTATTAAGGCTTTACCGCAGCGCAAAGTAATTCCACTCACGACAACAACGTCAAACGCCTCATCCAGGACTCCGGTGACCCGTCCTTGGCGGATGACAGGCCCATACTTTTCAGTCAAGTCGTGTATCAGAATACACAGGTACAGGTGAATAGACTGCTCCTCTGCCAACTTGGCACTCTCTACAGAGTCGTCAGAGGCTTACCCCTATAAGAAGAGAGCCACACTCACGCTTCTTCATATTGCATTGTTGGGCACATTTTGCAACTTGATCCCGGTCCATGAGGAACTTGACATCGTTGGGTGATGCTGGAGGGTGGTCAGGATTTCCCACAATGGGCTAGGACAGACCCACGACTCGTCAAGCAGGCATCGAGCATGCGGTGGACCAGGATATCGGCATACCGGCGGATTGGAGACTTCATGATGTTAGCGATAATGCAAGTGCCAGATGAGTTGCGTACCGTAAAGTGGGTATACAGCGGAGTAGCAAGAGCCCAATGATAATACTTTGCAATGTCGAGCATACCGGTACAGAAATACCGAGCACTGCAGCATCACGTTAGCGCTGTTCCCACTGACAACCAGAGGCTCTCACGTCTGCATCGCTCTGCGCTTCAGCAATTCAAGACACAAGCGAGTGTCGGCGTCCTGGATCTCGTCGAAACCTTTTTGGAGCGTTCCTGCGGTGCTTCCGTCAAACGCAAAGCCAAGTTTCTTTGCTCGCTCGATGAAACCGTCCTGATGTCTCGTCAGCTTGTGTCTAAGCGACTGGGACCATAAAACTTGCAATTCGTCGCTCAATAGGTGATTCGTGTCTTCTCAAAAGGGACTGCTCCGGCAAGCCGTGTGCGATCACTCGCGCGACAGAAGTGTTGGCAAGGAGCATAAACTTTGCAGGTGTCAAGTAGGTGAACATCCCACCAGAAGTGGCTCACCTCTTCGACGAGCGAGTTGGCATCTGTTCTCGGGTGAGTCACGCAATCCACCGGCTCTCCATCATCGTCCAGACTAATGGACACCTTCACGCGGTTGTTCAGCATAGCACCGGATTCGATCCTCTTCTGACGGAGTTTTGAAGCAATCTCCTGCGAGACTCGTCAGAACATCCCCTAATGCCCACCGGGGGTAATACACACATGAAGCAGAACAATGTCATTATGAAGCTTCTGCGCCGGGACGGGCCCGTTGATTGTGGTCGAGTCCAGAGAACCACCAGCGATGATATCTTGAGCGTCTGAGTAGGCGAATTTCGCACACGACCTGGGCGGATAGTCAGCTGAAGGCTATTCATTGCCGTACTTCGACGGCTCACTTGATGATCGTCCTGCTCATCTCGCTCTTCAGGACGGTCCCATCTTGGTCCAAAGTGAAGAACTCAGAGAACGTTAATCGCTCGACACCGGGTTGTAAACTGCACAATTCTTCCGACAATTGAGGAGGAAGCATAGGCACGCTCCGCTGGACAAGGTATACGCTCGTCGCTCGCTTGCGGGCTTCTCGATCGAGCGCCGTGTTCGCTTTCACTACGTTGTGAGTCAGCACCACTATCGAAGCCCAGATTAGGTCAGCTCACCAAAGTACGATACGTCTGCGATGTGCACGCCGACTTCATATGTCCCATCGTCGTTCCGCTTGACAGAAAGAGCGTCATCGAGGTCTCTGGCGGTCGGAGGATCGATCGTGAATATGCGTTCCTCTCGCAAATCTTTCCTGATCTCGTACTCTCGTTCGGGAATACTGTACTATCTCAGCTCATCTGCTCGCAAAGACCACGAGGATCACTCACGTCCAGGGCAGCGGTGGCAAACACTTGATCGCGGCTTCCGGGAACTCCTCGGTGGGAAAGTTGCAATCCTTCAACAAGGCACTCGTCTCAACCTCTCGATCTCCGATCGGGCCGAGCTCCTCAACCAGCGTACCGAAGGGGTGTAACGAGGTGCTACCGAATTTGTCAGACCTTTACCTCAAAGCTGGTCTGACACACTCACATTGGCCATCGCTTAATGGTAGCGACGAACAGCTTCTCACTGTAATCATCTGGATTCTCGATAAAGTCTGATGGCGCTTGCTCGGTAGGAATGGCGATGAGCGGTACCCGCTTATCCGTGGGTCGGAACCAAACGATCTTTGGTCGTTCCTGAGTCTCTTCCCGTCTCGCGCGATCCCCTTCACGTTCCCTTCGTTCGAGCTCTTGCTTCTCTTTCGTGGCTGCTGAGGACGGGCGAAGGACCCCGAGCTGGCCGGAGAAGAGCTGTCCTGGCATTCTCTCGACCTGCAAGGTTGTGAGCTTGCGATGTCGTTCTTTTGACTAGCTCACCACTGCGACAACGTGCCCCGCATAAGTCGGTTTGGTATCGTCATTGACTTCCTCGTCCTCGAACAAGGTCAAGCCTTGACCCTCTACTTCCACATCGTCCTTCTTCTTCTCAAGTTTCTTGGCCTGAGAGGGCTTCAAATCATACGCAGCATTCTCTTCCTTCTTTCGCTTTTTCTCCTCCTTGTCTTTCTTGGTGCTCCAGACTTCGTCGACGTCAAGCAGTTCCACAGCCACGATGTCACCTTCGAGAGCCCTGTTACGATCTTTGGAACCGCAAATATAGATGTCGGCCTCCAAGACATCTGTAGCGACGTACGCGTCGGATCGGTTCTTCTTGTTGACTCGAAGTACACCTACGACCAGCTTTCCGGCGCTCAAGAGAGGTGGTAGAGATGCTTGCGGAAGATAAGGGGCAAAAAGGGATTTGCGCTGCGGTCCGCTCGAGCTTGATTGAAGCTGCATCTGAAAAGCCTGTTGCTGCTGCCACAAGCTCTGACCTGCAGGTGTCGACAATGTGGTCGCGGCCAGTAGGTTAGGCAGCATATTAGGAAAGCTGAACGAGGCCATCTTGCTGTGGCCGCCTCCGGCAGCAGCTCTGAACTGAGCGAGTGACTGCAGTTGAGCTTGTGCAGCCGCCAGATCCGAGACGGCCGCGACTCCACCTGCTGACCCAGCTCCCATGCCGCCGCTTTGAGATATGCTATTGGATCTCCAACTGCCGGACTCCATACCTGATCGGCTGCCGGACCTGTGATGGCCGTAGACACCATCCGGAATGCCATCTTCTGGAATGTCACCTCCAATGGACATACCCAGGCTCATCGACCCAGACTTGTTGAATGTGTTCACGCTGTGTCGCCTCGAGTGACCAATGGCCGAAGGCATGGGAACAGGAGGTGGTGGCATCTCCGCTCGTCCACGTGAGTCCGATCGATGATGACCCGCGGACTCCGGGACGTTTGATAGACTGAGTGAGCCGAATGTGTCTGGCAAGCTGGCAGAAGGGACAGACGACTGTACTCGACGATGTCTGGCCACGGGCTGCACCGCTGATGATGACTTAAGGACGCTGTTGAGCTGACTGAGGGGTGTTTCGCCTTGACTAGCGAGGTCTTCCTGCATCAGGGCCTTTTGTTTTGCTTGCAAGGCCTCGATTTGGCTTTGGATCTCGAGCTGATTCAATATCAGCACGACAGTACCCGGCAGCTCAAACTCACCTGCTGCTGCATCGCGGCACTAAGCTCACTGCCAGTGCGCTTGTGCGCTCTTGCAGCAAGACCTGCCAGACCAGCGGCTGCAGCACCTCCAATGCCCTCGCTTCGATTGATTATGGGCGGATGGAGAGGCGGAGAGATTGATGCTTGTCTGTCGCTAATCTCGTCCATCTTTTTGGCTCCAAACTTGAAGCTTGGTGCAAGCTGAGGTCGGTTGGAGACGAGCGGAACGGTTCGCTTCTCCGGCGAATCCTCTTCGAACACTGGCGGAGGGTTGTGCAAGGTAGCTTGAGCCAAGGCTCGAGCTTGTTCTTCCTGAGATCGACGCTGCACAGTGGCCAGCTGTTGCTGTTGTAGCTCGAACAATTGTTGAGCCTGTGCGAGTTGCTGAGCTTGCTGTTGCTGCTGTTGTTGTGCTCTTTGCGCAGCGAGAGCTTGGAAACGCGGGGCTATGAAGCTGCCCATCTGCTGATGGGATGGGATCTGCTGCTGCTGTTGAGCCTGTTGAGCTGCCAATTGACTAGCTGCGAGTTGAGCTTGAAGCAACTGGATTTGGTGATATTGCAATTGCTGAGCAGCCAATAACTGCTGGTAGTCGAAGGGCTGAGCCTGACCGTAACCATCCAGATCACTCCCTTGCAGTCCGAGGTTCTGGTAGCCGAACGACTGAGATTGATTGTAAGGACTCATACCAGCCAGTCCGGGGAAAAGAGGATGGGGACCGGACGGTGATGAAGCTCGACGATCGTTTATAGTGCTGTGAGATCCAGTGCGAGGATGTGACCCAATGAATGAAGTTGGCATCTGAGCAGCTGGTGAGATGGACATGTGAGAACCGCCTGGAGAGGCAGATGAAGGATTGAAAGACGGAGTGAAACTCGGTGCATCCGCCTTGAGCTTTTTCGAGCCTTGCCGACTGAGCGATGCTGAGATTGGTACTGGACTAGTTCCGCCAGTCATTGGCTCGCGTTGGCCACTCGCTGATCTGGAGGCGGGAGCCGATCCTCCACTGGAATTACCAGATGAAGCAGGCATGGACTTTAGGTCCGATATCATCTTTTGTAGACTTGCAAGGGCGTCGCCACCGGATGCTCCAGATGCCTGCTTTTGCTGAGCGACGTCTTTCGCAGCGTCCAGAGCCGTTAGTGGAGCAGAGACGGACGCATGGATCGCGCGAGGGGCCGGGGCGGTTTGGGTCTGAGAAGCAGCCTCATTTGCAGGTGTCGATTTGTTGGTCGAGTTGCGCGAGTTGGTCCGCGCAGGGGCCGTGTTGATAGGTTGAGGTCTACGATTCTGATTGTTGCTGGACGCTCTCCGTTTGTCCTGCTTTTCCTGCTTCTCCTGCTTCGGCTTGCTGTTGTCGGCTTTTTCTTCCTTCTCATTCGAAGTCGTAGCAGAAGCATCCTTCTTGCCTTTTGGTTTCTTCGTGTTGAGATCTCCATTACTTATGCCAAGACTTGTTCCACCGCTGATCGTGGTGGTATGACCTGACTTCTTCGTCTTGTCTCCTCCTCCTCCGGAGGTACCATCGCTGGTTCCTCCACCGCGGGACGAATGAGAATTGCTCCTGGAGAGATTCACAGATGAGGTGCCATGGGAGCGACCGCGACGTGACCGATTAGACGCTGCGGAGTTGGATCGAACTGACTTTTGAGGTGGTGCGAGATTGTTGTGAGAAGCAGGGATCGGAGCTGGAGCTATCACTGGGCTGGCGTCTGCCATGACTGGGAAAGCCTTCAATGGGAGGATGGGCGGATCAATTAGGAGCTTGTATGAAATCTTGATCCAGTCCACTTTGGAATGTCAGCATAGTCTCCCAGGCGTTTCTCCACAATAGACTAAGGCGTCCACCGGATTTGCCTAAAACCAGCAACACCCCCCCCCCCTTTGTCCTCGCCGCCGCCGCGTTTGGGCCGCGTCTGTAAAGGGTGGAGCAGCGGCAAATGAGACTCACCTCGTTCATGCAGCTGACAGACAATCACACCGTATGCCAGCACTGCTAGCTCTCCACGTCTTGCTATGCTGTTGATGATAGTCGCTGCCCAAGAAAAATGCGAAGTGAATCAAACCGACAACGGTATCCCACCTGCGTACAAAAGGCGGTGTGAGGAAGCGAACGTGAGATGACGAGAGAAGGTCGAAAGAGTGAGAGCAGAGAAAAAAGAGAGTGGGCTACCTTCTAGACGCTGCCCTCCGAGTCCACCTACCGGCCGAGGATCGAGACGATAGGGGGATTACTGCGTCGACAAGAGAGCAACGCACAGCTGTGGAGTAAATCGAGCATTAAAGAAGAGGTCTCGTCGTTGCCGAGGAACGCGTCGCAGCAAATTCATAATGTGGCACGTGGCTACGGCAGAGTTTCTCCGACTCTTATATACGACAGGCCGCTGATGGACTAGGTGAACGTCGTCGATGGCACGAGCTAGCTACGGATGTGACATTGCGTCTGCATACATGGCTTCTCGGCCAGAAGCCACCTTGAATTAGCGTCAGTGAACGGGCGGAGTCTCTGGGAAGAGGCAACCCCAGCCCTTCAGCCCAGATTTGACGCAATGTGGCGGCGGCTGGTGTGCACCTTTCATCCGGTGATTCTCATCCTTTGTGCCAGTGCTCCTGTAGACGTTTTGGACCAAGGCTAGAGATATTATGGACTGGCAGACCGCTACATCGCTAGGCTCTCCCATCTGATCAGTGCTTGAGGTCCTGCTGTTACGAACCCGACTCAATGCTCCAGTGGCACCGCTCGCCATTGGTTCTGCTGGCCGCCTTCTTCTTCCTCTCAAGAGCTCGAGCCAAGCTCTCGGATCCATTCGTGAACCTCACGGAAGCTCCACTTCCTCCGTTACCTCATGAGCTTCAGAAACGAGATGGCAATTATGTCAAATTTGCAGTCGAATGGCCAGACAAGTCCTTGATGGAGGATAACAAGGAGAACTCTCGATGGTGGTCCGATGAATCGTGGGCAGGAGGTTGGTGGTATGAAGCGGGACATTCAGCGAATATACCCGGTGCAGTCGTGGTCAACTATTATGTGAACACTCAGAACGATTACATGTGGAAGACAGGGCATGCCACTGCGCAAGTTACGGTGAGTCAGCAAAGGAAGCAGTGTAGATCTCAAGGCTGACTCTTCTCACACGAAGTGTACCGGTGGTTTCACAGCGCCCGCGTCCGGTAGCACAGTGACCTTCACAGTCGCTGCTACTTCCCCATACGTAAGACCTACTGCTTCTAACGGTGCCTTTTTCACGTGCGCTCCGACCCTCAGCTAGACCTCGGCACAAGGACGTCAGTCGCTCAAGTGCATCTGTGTGGCGCAGACGAGACTTCCGGTTGTGTGTTGCCATGCATGATTGTCCCTATCGCTACAGCAACGTCTCCCCCAAGGCGGCCCTGGCCAGAGAACATCCCACAGCGATTGTCTTCTCCGCAGCAGCTTTGTCCACTAAAGATGGATTGACCTCCTGTACACTCAATCAGCCGGATGTTAGGAGGATGGAAAACAAACCATAATGTCCAAACCGACCAGGCAGCCAGTCTCTGCGACCGCCTCCGTGATGTAGTGTCCTGAAACCATGGTCAGAAGATTACTACAGAAAGGTGGAAGCCTCGCTCACCCTCTCGGAACGTCAGACCACCTCGCACAGGAGTACCAGTACCTTTAAACAGGAGTCAGCGGATTCACGCATGATGTCCGGAAAACCTTACTCGGAGCCTCGCTGGGATCCAGCGCATCGACATCGAAGCTGAGATGTATCGGTGTGTCTCCATTCTTGTTGACATGCGCAATAGCCATTTCCATGACTTTGCCAATACCGTGTCTGTCGATGTCGTGCATGGTGAAGACTTTGATGCCGTTGGCTTTGAGGAGCTTGCGCTCTTCAGGATCGATATCTCTCAGACCAACGTAGACCCTGTAACGTGTGTCAGCTGAGGAGACTGCAGTGACTGGAAAAGCATACAGCTCTTCAGGTTTGAGACACGGTTTGACCCATTGGTTGAATGGCTCGATATTGCACCCCGTCAAGCCGAGTAAGAAGGAGACGGGGCAGCCGTGGAGATTGCCAGAATCGGTCGTTTCTGGTGTGTTTATATCGGCGTGGGCGTCAACCTATACACCAGTCAATGCTGCTCTGTCTTCCCATGCGTTCATGCTTACCCAGATGAGTGCGGCATTCGGATATTTGCTCTTCGTCCCAGAGACTGTACCGAGACCCTGCAGGCCGTGTCAGCTAGTCCATCTCATGCAAGCTGATTCGAGTCACCAGGGAGTGGTCTCCACCCAGCGTCAACGGTAACCATCCCTTCTTGGCTATTGATCCGACTTCCGAAGCGACCTTTTCACACACCGCAGATACGAGTCTGGGTTTCTTCATTCTGCCGATATCGGGATCCGGTAATCTCTGTATCATGTCGGTCTTCGAGCTCGCGCCAGGAGTCGAGTCTAGGCAGCCGAGACATCAGCGCAAGTAACAGAGACGCCAGTCTGGGCTCCAGCTCACTGTTCACCTCCTTGCCCTTGATTTGGGTTGAATCTGCTGGGACAGGATTATACGGGATATCGACAAACGACTGCTGGGTCTCATAGTGCACTTCCCAACCAAGATTAGCTAGTTGAGACACCAGACCAGCTCCAATGAGCCTATTCGGGGCCAAATCTACGCCAGATCGGCCTTGACCTCCACTGTGAGGTGGATCAGACCTTTATGCCCAAGACCACGTAGCTGTACGCTCACCTGAAAGGACATCCTACGATCTAGAAGAAGGCCATCAGCTCGGAAAGCGATGAAAGGAGGCTCCAAGTGCCATGGAGCGAGCTGCTCCAGCCTTATCGCGACGAGACGATCGCCGGTCCCACACTCGAGGCTTATGACTCACCGCGACTTTAGCAGGTTTGGCTAAGAACTTGTACTCGTACTGCGGGCTCTTGATTTCGCCTCTCGGACTTTCTGACAGCACAGTCTTGGGCTCTTGATCCGCTCTCCACCCTCTCGGAGCTGTCCAGACGTTTCTACTGAGGTTCGAATGCGGGCTGACACCATGTCGAGCGAAGGATGTCTTGGGTCGAGACGCGGTGCTCAGTGGTCGAGCTACTGACAGAGGCGCCTGTCGACTGGCAGCAGCCGCCAACCTGGCAATCTTCACGGTGGATCTCATGCAGTATCGTTTCTGGAATCTAAACAGGTCGATCTATCTTTCTAAAGAAGACTGTCTATGAGCAGTCTCCCAACAGTACAATCCCAAGACACAAGACATTTCGACAGACCCGTCAACATATTATAAGCGCAAGCGGCCGGAGCCAAGCGCTGCCGGTTACGACTGTCACGTGATTAAGCGGAATCAAAAGTCTTGTGTGTAGAATTCCCACGGTAGCGTCATAAAAAGTTAGGTGCATCATCGCTTCTCCAGCGTCCAGTTGACTGCTGCTATATTTGACCCACCCCTTGCCAGCTCAGCTCACGAGCAATCTTCGTCCAGGAGCATTCGACCAGCACAGTGCGAGACATCAGAAGCTTCAGCAGATATCTCAACGTGATAGTCTCATTAAACCCGTCAACTTGACCCAGATCTCTCCGTCCAGAATCTCCTGCCATGTCACGCAACCAAGGTGAGTCTAATATTCACATGTGGCTGTCCTCGTTCTGAGCACGCCGCCCAAATGATGCCTGGTGAGATGCTGACTTACATCCTCCCATATAGATACTGAGAACCCTTTCGAGCCCTCCTCGCATCTCGACTCGAACCCGTTCGAGAATCAATCCGCGAAGAATCCATTCCAGCATCCCAACGATTCAGCATTCTCATTTGACTCGCAAGATACAGCCAGAGGACTCGGAAGGGCCGAAGCCGGTCAAGCAGGGACAGGGTACGGATATGGTGCTGGGCGCGGCGGGTCTAATGCCCCGGCTTCTTCTGGAGCTGCCGATCCATATGCTGCCCGTGAGGCTGATCTGAGGAGACGTGAAGAGGAATTGAGACGACGAGAGACGGCTTTGGGGATGAAGGAGAACAACTGGCCGCCTTGTGAGTTGTGGATGCGACTGTCCAGCACATATCACACAGAGCCTTGAGCAGCGTAGTGCTGACTTCCACCCCCGCCGCGCAGTTTTCCCTTTTATCCACCATAACATTCAAGAACTGCCGGACGACCATCAACCAGTCATGAAATTCCTCTATACCCAGTGGCTCGCTTTGATTGTCACCCTCATCGTCAATCTCGTTGGATGCGTCCTACTGCTGATCTCAGGGTCATCAGAAGGAGGGTGAGTCACCGGGGACCTCGCATCAGCCTCCCCGCATTACTCTCGCTGATCCCACCCTCAGAGCCGACACCGCCGCTTCGGCGGGCTATCTCCCAGTCATCGGAGCATTGTCATTCATACTGTGGTATCGACCGATTTACCTCGGCTTCGAGCGTACAGAAGGCAAAGCCATGGCCTTCTTCTTCTGTCAGTCCTTTTTCAAAAATGGCTCCTGAAACAAGCTGATTGCTTTCTTAGATCTCTACTTTGCATTTGCAGGCTGTCATCTCCTCTTCAGCATCTACATGGCGGTCGGCATTCCCTGTGAGCCTCTCTATGACCTTCATCAGGTTCTGAGCTGACACATGCATCAGCTACTGGATCTGCCGGACTAATCAACACGATTCAAATGTTTAGTCAGGGTCATATCCTCGCCGCCATATTCTGCCTCTTGGCCTCTATCGGATGGGTCTTGCAAGTTGCAGGTGGAGGTTTGCTGTACAAGAAGGTGTGGGACTTCAAGAACAGTAATGGAGACATCACATTTGCAGAGGTTAGTTCAGCCTTCTAGGTCTTCAAGTGGCCCAACTCGCTGACATTCGCTCGATCAGGCCACAAACCAGTTCAAGAAGAACTCGATCACGACGATCCTGTTACATCAGGCTCGACTTGGCTGAAGGGATACGACTGAAACATGGCAGACGAAGACGGAGCTGCAGAAGGCGTGTGACGACAAAGAGCGACGATTTTCATAGACGATTGAATTGGGATGTATCCGAATCAGGTGCTTAAGAACAACCGTATGCACGATGTGCATAGGTAGCATTACTTGCCTATTCAGGCGTGTCCTTTGAAAGAAATAGCAGTGCTCAAGACAGTTCGTTCTTGTCCAAGGGTAACGATGGACTAGCTCTCGGCGAGGCCAGGGTCAACTCACCATCCCCCCTCACGCGGAGCCCAAGATACTACCTGACCTCAGACTCCGTGGACTTTCTTTCAGTAGGTCGTCCAAGTGAAGGGAGAGGGCCTTAAAATTTTGATCAAGGACAGATGCAACTTGCTGTATGAAGGACGACTCCAACGAAGAGGACAAGGAACTCAGTCTCTCGTCCCCCACATTCAGTCTCTCGTCCGTCCCCAGCTGGTTTAACAACGCCTCCATCCTAGCATGCTCTGCTCTTGGACCCAGAGTTGATAGCGATGGGACGACAGACTTCGCCGGAAGCCGGAAGAACGTGTTTTGACACCGCAGACCAAGAGCTTTGCTGCATCCAGATCCAGATCGCAGCAACCCGAACAGCACTGCCACTTCTATCTTGAATCCAGGGTTTTAGTTCTCTTTTTTCAAGACAAGTCCAGATCACAAATCTTCGCCTCGCAAGCGGTCCCTCACAATTCGATGGGGCTCATCGACAAATGAAGAAGACGGTGGAAGGATATATTATCAATGCATCTATGACGCGTACTCCAAATCGCCGCATCAGATCCGATCACCTAGCTACATCCCCTTCCTACCTCAAGCTCTCATCGTGGTATGTTGGTGGAGGGCTGCTTTCCCCCTGAACATCTGCAAAGTTGCCCGAATGTCTGGGGTCTAATCGGGACGTCGAGACCTGAGGTGGCGAAGCGGGCAAAGCAAAATTAGCCTCGATGGGCGTTTCTGGTCCCCCGGCAACGGGTAGTCCGGCCGCTACGACTGGCGGGAGAGCCGAGGGACTAGCGGGTGGGATACCCATACCGATCCCGGTTCCTCCACCGTTAGACTGAGCTCCCGGTGGGACTGGAAGTCTTCGTCCTGGGCTTGCAGTGGATGATGAAGGGAACGCCGTGTTTCCATTGGCATATGTTGGACTGATGGGTGAATCGTCTGCTCGAGATACCTCATCGGAAGTTCTCGGTTTGGGCCTTCTAAATGCGGCTGCAGAGATCTTGCCACCGCCAGTAGTCGGTGCATAAGAAGCAGCGATGGGTGACGTGATGCTGCCTTGTTGAGAATGAGATGGCGCAGGGGAAGAAGAGCGAGGAAGAGGTGAAGATGATCGTGCCGGGGAACCGATCCGAGGAGGAACGGGGAGCTGACTAGGGGTAGGGAAGTATTCTGCGTTTCCACCCTCTTGCGCTTCTCCTCCAGCTGGTGTGTGGAAACCGGCTCGACTGCCTGAGTCAGATGGCGGGGCAGGGATGCGATGTGCCTCAAGACTTGACCGCTGCTCCGGTTTTGGCTCGGGAATGGATTCATGATGATCATGCTCATCGATGTCGGTCGACGTCATCAGAGCTCCGATCCCGCTTAGAGGGTCCTGGCTGACAGGTCGAGGTCTAGACTCCTGACTGTCTTCAGCTGGAGGTGCGGGACCATCCTGTAGCGTGACGGGCGTGGGTGAATGGGCACGATCTTTGCGGACATTGAGCGGCTCCCAAGGTCGTTGGAGTGTCGAAGCCGCTGCTGCGCCTGGCGGCAAGTTGGAAATTTGCTCTTGAACATTGTATTCAGATGCTGGCGCTCCAAGTACAGGAACCGATTCTTCCGTTTGTGGGTGACCAGCCTCTGGTGTGGGTTCCTGAACAACCGGCACTTGAGGAACATTTCCGCCTTGCCAAGCGGCATGTTCTGCATCCATTTGACGTTGCTGATCGTACTCGTAATCATGTCCGCTTTCCTGTTGAGCTGAATGTGCCTTTAAAGCCTCCTCTGTGGGGCCTTGCCAGAAGACTTGTCCGCCTTGGTTAGATGCTTCGTTGGGCGTGGCACCTTGGTCGGTCCGAGGGTATCGACCGGTACCTCGATCGTAAGGATTGTCGAAGCCGCCATAGGGGTTCGCTTCGTCCAGACTGAAATCTCGACCTTTCCCTTTGAAGTCAACGGGTTGGTGCATAGGGTCATTTGGAGAGTGAGGATGTTCGAACTGCTCAGCCGCGGCGACATGCCCTGGATCAGGTGAGTGTCCATGAAGCGAGCCGATCGGGTGATGAGGGGGCAAGCCAGGTGGTTTGGGGCCGACGGAGCCGGCAGAAAATTTGACCGAAGCGAGCTGGAAGGCGTGAGCTGAGAGTATCGGCCGAAGATAAGTCGACTCACGCATTTGTTGGCTTCGTTGACTGCGTTCTCCGTCTTATTGTACCCCGAGTATGGGGCTCTGCCGTAGCCAGGTGGAGTCTCCTCCAAGGGTACTTCCTCGATGAGCAATTTTCCAAGCTCGCCAACGATGCACAGTTTCTCCCCGAGCTCTTCGAGTCCACCAAACTTGTACGACATGGCTTCCTTCACCATTCTTGGCAAGATCAGCGTGATAGAAACTCTTGACGCTCACTGTCGCTTAAAATCCCCAACTTTGGACTCTTCGACGACGATATCCGAGTCGAGCTGGAGGCCCAGTATCAGCTGCGCTTCTTATCCCGCAGTTTGGTTATTGCCACCCACCTGTCTGATCTCTGTCCTCAGTCTATCCAATAGCTCCGTCTGCTGAGGCAATGCCTTGTTCTCCGGACCCATCTTGGCCAATTTCTTCTCAGCCGTCTCCGCTTTGTTCCCAGTGGTCTTTCTCCTCCTCCTCAACTCTTCCAATCCCTCTTCTTTCTCTCGGATTCGCTTGAAGCATCCTCTGATGGAGATGGAATGCTCGGTATACACCGCAAACGCATTGGCGACTTGTCCGAGGAGAGTAGAGGACTGAGTGAGGACGTCTTGAAGATCAGGTCCCTCATCGGATCCATATGGCGGGAGCGCAGCCGCAGCTTTGGCAGTCTCTGTGGCGAGAAGGTCATTATCGACTAATTCTACGTGAGGGAATGCACACCTACCCTGACCAATCTTATCAGCAGCTTGAAGAACGCCCTTCTCTGTGGTGATGATGCTTAGATCTCCGATCAGTACCTGATCACCTTTTCGGCCATCACGTTTGCAAGGACTCACTCTTGCAATGCCCGTAGATCTTGATTGCCTAGTCCAGGAAGCAAGCTCTGATGAGCTATACTTTTGCCCAACTTCTTGCCTAGTCCATCGAACCCAGCTCCAGCTCCGCCACTGGATGGCGAAGCATCGTCACTGTATTCATGATTATGCCCTCCGCCATGGGTCGTGCGAGCTGGTGAAGTCTGTCCATCCCCAAGGCCTGAGACTTTCCTTCCAAACGATCCGAGGGAGAATTTACCCGACGTGTTGCGAGCGCCTGACATGTGGAGGCTTCTGGAGGGATGTGACCTGTGCTGCCAGGACTATTCAGCTGTCAGATGTGGAATGTGAATGGTGGATGTTGATATTGTCGTCGTCGTTGTCGTCGTCGTTGCTGGAATGCTATCTAATCGCCGCTTGCTGGAGTTTGCCGAGGGGAACTGTGCAAAAAAGCTGTACCGCGGGGAGCCAGCTTACGTATGAAAATCACGGCAGCAACCATAATGACACGTCATGTATTATTCTGATACAAGTCTTACGTCATACTCGTGTTTCAGGTGGGAGCATCACCGTACCCTTTGTGTTTTTGAGAATGGGGAATGGTGAGCAGAGACGATGAGATGGCGAGGAAAGGACAAGGAACAATGTATAGTCAGGGCATAACAATGAGCGTCTCTGGGATCTCAATTTGAGCTCGCTTCCTCGTCCTTTGTCTACAAAGCCGAATCACATTCCCTCCCGTGTATCATCGCCCACCCTTCACCTCCTCGTCAAAGGCTCAACTCGTTCATGAATGCGGCTTGGTATACTACAGAAGCTCCTTATGGTGTAGGATATCTCGGAAGATCTCACAAACTATCAATTTACACTTCATACTCTGTCCAGCCCGCCCTCTTATCAGTCTGCAAAGCGTTCCCAGTGGAACAAGCCGTGGGGCATTCAAACGTCATATCGGATCAAGTCCTAGATACCGGAAGCTGGTGGCGAGAGACATCTACAGATACCTTTGAGGACGGCCATAGACAAACTTCTACTCTCTCCCTTCTCTCCGTCTCCATCCACTTGCTTCATCGGGCTACATCGAGGCACCAGAACACCGCCTGAACAACTCCGCGAATCAATTCTCCTTGACGACGTCAGCATCGTCCTCGTTTGAAGACATCGACGTCTGACTTTGAAGCATAACAGTGGGGCGGGACACACCTAGATAGCGCCCTCGCTCGTGTACAGCTCAAGACCATGGTCAGTCGTCTCTTCATTCTCAATCGCCTCATACTGACATTGCCCACGCTTCTACCCTGCCTATCCAATCTCCCTCACGTCTGTCCGTGCTCAACTTATGCGTACCTGACGACGGGTCATATTGAACGACATCACCATCTCCGTCAATAACACCCTTAACTGTACACTCACTACGATGCCTAAAACTATGGCGACATCCGTGGCCGTACATCCGCCGACCGTCCACCCGACTCGTGATCATGGCCTTGCTCGTCCTACCTCCAAACATGTCAACCTTTCACCTCCTCATCACCACGGCCGATCGGCCTCAACGGCGTCTCCTCCTGCTATCGAACGTCGGTCGGAATCGTTGATGGCATTGACCACGACGGCCACACGACGCCCTCCTCCCGCTGCCCTACCTCACCCTGACAAACCTTCGGATCCATCCATCCCGTTCTGTACACACTGGCGGGACTATTATCCCGGTCCACCCCTCGATCCCGAAACGATCTTACCTAAACCCACGTCTAAACAACGATTCTACTCTACCAAATGGAAACTGGACAATCCTAATCCAAAAACTCGGGAAGGGGCAAAGGCTTTCTACGGGTCCGGTATGGGTATGGGATACCCCGGTATGATGGGTGGTATGGGCGGTATGGGCGGCATGGGTATGGGCGGTATGGGTGGAATGGGCATGGGCATGGGATATCCCGGTATGATGGGGATGATGAGTGGAATGGGGATGATGCCGGGGATGATGGGTGGAATGGGCTACGGCGTGAGTGGCAGCGCCACGGTCCGGGACACCATCCAAGTATCGAAGTGTTGGCTGACTCTGCGATCTTGCTCAGATGCCCAGATATATGCCTGGAGGGTGAGCATGGCCCTCCTAGCGTCTGCTGACCCATACAGAATGTACGGAGGTATGGGAGGATACGGGTGAGCGCTATATGGAGAGCTCAAGACTGTTTGGATCTAACATTTTGTGACTTTCAGAGGTTATGGAGGGTGATTAGTCGTTGACCATTGTGCCGTCAGCTGACGAAAGACCAGGATGTACGACCCAATGATGGGCTACGGTGTAAGTACCTACCATCTCCTAGCCCCTCACAACATCACTTGACCTGTCACTGATCCGTCGATACAGACGCCACCTGCCGCTCTCTTTGTAGACGACAATCCCGATGCTCATCGGTAAGTTGGAAGTGACGGGAAGAGAACCTGCTGACGTCGCTTCGTTTTTCCTTGCTTCCTGACCCTTTTCGGTCTCGACGCTTTGTGACCTCACTGCCGTCCCGCCTATATCATGCTCCATTGCAACGCCTTCATCACGCGCTTCCCATTTCCCTGCACACAGTATCGAACACGCTTACCGACAATCTATGCCAGATTCCTACGGTGTCGGCCTGGGTATGATGGGCGGTATGGGAGGCGGGATGGGCGTCAACGCCATGCCAGGCTCCCAGATGCTATTGTACGGCCGGGGGATGGGCTACGGGGTGAGTCGAAGTTCGCAGAATCATATTAGCGGAGCGACATATGATATGCCCCTCCGAATGATGTCAGATGGGTATTCTCCGTCTGACACACGTTTCAGGGATGGTACGCCTAAGACGCAATTCGTCCAGTCGAGCAAGAAGAGGCATAGGAATGGGACAGAGTCGCAAAAGCGTGTCAGAAGTAGATGTGGTGCACATATCAGTACTATATCATGTAAACCAAGAGCTAGAACAATGCAAAGTGAACAGTGGCAAACAGAATCTTCTGATTGCTTCAGTTGGGCAATGCCGGTGGCGTGCTGATCAGTACGGGCAGTCTCCAATATCACCTTAGATGATGAGCCCCAATCGCAGCTTTCGCCGGCAAAGTCGAGAGCTCAGAACGAGTCGGGCGACCAATCGTAAGCAAACATGTACAGTGTCTCGCTGACTGCATGCAAGTGATGATGATGATACGTGAACATTTTTCTATCGTGTGAACTGCGGCCAGTTCAGCAAGGATGTCATTCGTTCGCCTCAGCGGCAGAGCCATCTCACCTGAATATCATCGATCCTCAAGATCAACGACACAGTTTCCGTCGCCAGTTCCAAAGCGCTCGTGGAGACCAACAAAGGCTGAACGACATTTTCATCGAGAATATTGGAGATGATTCCCTAGAAGATAGAAGACGATGACCGCTTCAGCCCAATCTCAAATGGGTCTGAGAGTTTTGGGACCAACCTTCTTCACGTTGATACCTGCATTCCTCTCCCCCAAAGCATGCTTGTTTCGCAATTCCGTCACTATACTGATGGGATTCAATCCGGCATTTTCAGCTAATGTGGTGGGAATGATCTCGAGGGCTTCGGCAAATGCTTGAAAGCAGTAGGCTTCTTTTCCTTTAAGTGTTTGAGCATGTTGAGTCAGGAGACGAGAGACATGAATCTCGGGTGCACCACCACCGGCAATCAGGGCACTGGCAGCAGAGGATTAGACTCTTTCCCCTTCACTGATGCGGCTGCTCACCGCTTTTTGACGAGACACCTAACGACACACAAGGCATCGTGCAGACTCCTCTCACTCTCCTCCAAGACCAGCTGATTCGCACCGGTACAAACGACGCTAACTGTCCTACCAGGGTTCTTGACCCCAGTGACTTTCACGACCTTGGCACCGCTCTGAGACGTCTCTTCGATCAACTCGGCATATCCCAGCTTGTCCTCGGTGAAAGCTTCGATATCGGCCACAGGTCTACACCCTGTAGACTTTGCGATAAAGTCAATTTCATCCCGCTCGATATCCTTGATAACCATGATTTTAAGCTTGGCCAAAAAGTGAAGGGACAAATCGGTGACAGCGTCTCGGAGGATGGACTTTTGGATCAGGAGGACGTTACAGCCGGTCTTCTTAATTCGTTTGCAAAGGTTCAAGAGGTATTGACGTTCTTCCTTGAGAATCTTGTCCATTTGACGGTAGTCATTCACAACGATCTGGTTGTCCATCTGACCATACGCCGTCAGTCACAACGAAGCCGTTTCTCAAGATGACTCACGTCAGGCTTCGGACTGCTCAATTGGAATTGAATCAATCCGATCCTAGCTTTCTCCATCCTCGTCGGTCCACCAGCGTTGTTCATCGCCACTTGGTTCAATGCCAATCCCTCCACCATTTCCGTGTCTTCGATGGTACCTCCGACCTTTTTAACGATCCTGATATCCCTCAGATCAACGTTTGAAGAGGTAGGTGTGACGAGACGAGTGACGGCAGACACGGCAATGGGAGCAAGGGTGGAGGAGTATTGCGAGACAATCTGGACGACCCTGTCAGTCCGCTCCTTGCAGCAAGAAAAACAAGAGATGAGCTGACCTTTGAATTCAGACTCGTGCTCGCTGCTCGAAGCAGACTTTCCTTGTCGTTCAAATCGACGGGTGTACTCATCTCTTCAAGAAACTCGACAGCTTTGTTGGCAGCACGTTGAAAGGATTGGGCAATGGTCGTAGGGTGGATGCCTGGAATGTTGGATCAGAACAGGGTGAAGATTGTATTGAGAGCGACATTCTCACCCTGCGCCAACATCTTCTCTGCGGCCGCTAATAAGCTCCCGGCTAGGACGACGACACTGGTCGTCCCATCTCCCGCTTCGATATCCTGAGCTTGTGAGAGTTCAACAAGCTGAGTTCAGGGTGAGCTCTATTGGTCGCTGCTGAGATCAAAACTCACCATCCGCGCTGCTGGATGCAGAACCGCCATGTGTTTCAGGATGGTCGCTCCGTCGTTCGTAATCACCACTTCCCCGTTTGCGGTCTGAATCTATGAGTTCGGAGTCAACGGCCATGCTGCGAAGTACAGCAGGGGGGTCGCCCAAATTGAAGGGTTGCGCACGGCGTGTTGCACATTTGGATCTAGCAGCCGCATGTTGCCCGGAAGTGAGACTACCGCTCACCATCTTGTCCATACCCTTTGGTCCCAGACTGGTCCGAACGGCATCGGAAACGGCTGAAAGGCATGTCAGTGACTCGTTCAGACAGCAGATCTGGTTTAGTTCAGAGCAACAGACTCACCCTTAGCCGCGTTGATGTTGGAATTTCTGACCTCTGTCGGCTTGCCCTACCATTCCGTGTCAACTTTATCGACTCCCAATGAGCGATATGTCAGCTCACCTTGTCGTTGAAGGATGCGTCCATGCTGCTAGGTAGGCTTGGAGCTGCCACAGCTGCTGCTGCCATTTTGATACAAAGCTCTTAGAGTGCGAGTTCGACTGTCTCTCTTCCTCCTTCAAGCGCGATCAGTCGAGCTCGCTATCGTGCTTTGCTCCAATATGCTTCAGAGACGAGTTCAACTGTCCGAGCTCTACACGCTCGCGCGAAACGCTGGTTGGGATAAAATGCGATCTCAAAAATAGACGATTAATTTTTGACCACGTGGGAGTCACGTTGGACCTGGATCAATGTTGAGTCTCCCTTAGACTATGACACCTTTGACCCGTTGAAGTAGCGACCAGGCGTGCATCGGTAGCTTCATAAGAACGTTCGACACGGCATCACGAGCCCTATTGGCAGGCAGGCAGGCATCTTCTCATCGTCTCTTCGCTTAGGGGCCAGTGCTCCCATCAATATCGATCGTCCACTTAGCTCGTATCATTGCTCCGCCGCGTAGAGCCCACCGTCATGGCCAGACTCAAGTCCCAATCTCGTTCGGCAGGTCCGAAAGAAGCTATGGATGTCGATGGGGTGGAGAACATAGTCGATGCACCGGAAGAGGAGGCCAAAGCCGCCACCAATGGAGCAGCTGAAGGCGAAGAGGAGCAAGAGGAGGGAGATGGTGATGAGGAGGAGGAAGAGGAGGGAGAGTACGAAGTGGAGAGCATTGTAGACCATAAGATGCAGAATGTGAGTGAGAGGGATCAGGTTGATCATGAGATGCTGACGATCTGGTTCTTCTTGCAAACTTTTACTGACTTGCCGCATCTCCTTCTCACCTCCATGCCGACCCTTTACGACGTATTCGCTCGCTTGTCACGGCTCGTTCTAACAGGGCAAGTACATCTGTAAGTCTTCTATGCATGTTGTTCCGTGCAACACTGCTCACTCAATACCCTCAGACCTCGTTTCATGGAAAGGCTACGGTCCAGAACACAACACCTGGGAGCCAGAAGCTCACGTGTGAGTCTGATCACGGACTTCCTTTGCCCTAGCCTCGAACACTTTGCCTGACCTGACACAGTGACCATGCCGAAGAGATTGTCTCGCTGTACTGGGACACGAAGCCCAAGACAGCAATTAAGTCCATGGGGACTGGCAAGAAGCGAGGTCGATCGTCAGCCGTGGCGGGATGTTCCAGTCGAGCCGCTAATGGCGGGAGAAGCAGTCAAAAGAGGAAGCAGGAAGAGGAGGAGGATTTTGCTGAGGATTACGAAGAGACCCATGTGGACAGCATGAACAAGTATGAAGATGTGAGGGATTGGGAAGATCTGGTGGCGAGCGTGGATACTATCGAGAGAGGAAGGGAGGATGTCTTGATGATATACTTGACGATGTGAGCGGGGAGAAAGGAGGTGAACGAGAGCTGACAATGCGTTGCGCTTCATTTCCATCCTCATCACCATGATCTCGTCTCGTCTCATCTCATCTCGTCTCGTCTCGTCTCGTCTCGTCTCGTCTCGTCTCGTCTCGTCTCGTCTCGTCTCGCCCCGATTTATCACGGTCTCAAACCTTAGGACCGGCGGCGAGAAGGTCGCCCAACCTGCGGATGTGGTCTACCGTCGATGCCCACAAAAGGTGTGTTCTATGCCCTTCGACGCTGAACTGACGCTCGCCAGGTGCTGAAGTTTTACGAAGCGCATCTCAAGTGGAGATTGACGGTCTGAAGCGGATACCATGGATGGGGCTCTATTGAGCCGAGATGTAGGATTGATAAGGGGGTCACGGAAGAAGGCATTGACAGAGCCCTTCCTATGGACCATTAGATGGAATCTCCACGGATGAGACTCCATTCTGAGCGATGATACTTGACTTAGGGCATTTCGATTGTAGATATATACTCAAATCTCCATGTAAACCGAAGGAAATAATTCCTTCCATATCATACAGTACTACTCAAACGCGGCACTTTGCTCGTGACTATAATAACAGCTGTTCTCAACTTCACTTGCCACCAGGCCTTCACTCGCATGAAAGTTAAGGTACTACGCGATTCAGTGTCTCTTCTCATAGTCCAGTCTATCTGTCTTCCCTCTCATAGACAGCCACGGACTCGACGAGTAGTATATGGCGCACAGCCCTCTGCCACTTGTTCCTTGATCCGCATGTGATTCGCTCTGAGCATCTCCGCGGACACATTGCGTCAGATCATATGCTGGATTCAAAGCTATGCAGTGGTGAGTTCTTCGCCAACGTGGTCAGATCGTAAAGTTTGTGCATTGTGTGCCTTGCTATCAGATTATAAAGAAAAGGAGGCTGTCTGTACAGTCGATTTTGTCTGATTCCACCTCATCATACTGACGTCGTCCAAGAGCAATCACCTCAAGGGTTGAATTGCAATACTGTACTTGAGAACACAGGTACAGTCCAGCTCCAAGTGTTCGTATCGTTGCTCCATCTCTTGAATCGCTCCGACTCGAATCGGATCGAGTCAACGATGGATCGTTTGGTAGCTGCAGCAGATCCAGAACCCGAAGAAGACATGGTAGCCGTGACGTTTCCACCCATGATCGTATCCGAGACGCTGATGCTGCCCATCGTCGGCGCAGCGGATGCTGAGCCCGTCATCGCGGCGGAAGAGGAGACCATGGTCACTGGGGTGGTTGCGTTGGAGGGCAAGTTGCCCGGTTGTGGCAGTTCTGATCCAGTGAGCATCCTCGGTTCGATCGCATGGAGGTTGTCGACAGAGTTGTAGACATTGGGGTCTTCGGACTGAAGTGTGGTACCGTTCACAGAGTAGTATCCCGAGTCAAAGTTGAGGGTCAGAGGGACGGTCTGGTTGCCAGTGTTGACGATCTAGGGTTTGATCAGACCCGCATCAGCATCTCATAGCCATGCTTTCCCATCGACTCACCTTGAGGTAAAATGCGCCCGAGCTCTCATCCACCACTCCAACCCAGTAGAGAGGGTTCAACTCACCCTCCACAGGGACCGTGTGCGTACCTCTGAAGTTCGCGAAGAGGTGCTGTTGCCAATAACTGGCAGTGAGAACAGTGAGGTTGTGTTGAGCCTGGAAAACGATCATATTGGGTGTCCAGACGTAGAGGTTCAAATTCTGCAAAGACGGTGCGTAGGACATCAAAGTGACCAATGAAGGGTTCCGTTCCGCACTGAGCATGTAGATTCCTTCACCGATGGCGCTGATGAGTTCGGGGTAGGCTGGGTGAATCTCGGGTGGATCAGAGTAGTTGACGTATCCTGTCGAAGTGTCTAGTTGGAAGACACTGTATTCTCCAAGGACGATTTCGATATCGGTAAAGTTGTTCTCGGCCTCAAAGTTGTCCCAGTAGTTGAACGTATCGAGGTAGAATGAGGGGGTCTATAACAGGTCTCAGCACCCTCGGACGTCCCAGGCAGTCAGTCAATAAAACCCTCCTCACCTCGTAGTGGTGAGCATCCCATCCTCCACCATCTCGAATGGGAACAGTGATTCCTTCACCACAATCTGCGTATCCTCCTCCTGCGTTCTCATTGTACTGAGTCTGGATGAATCGAATGTTGGGGTATGCCTTCTTCAGAGCGGGGTAGAGATAGTTCAGTCGATAAGTGTAAGTGCAAGAGAACATGTCTTCGTTTCCAATCTCCACATAAGTGATATTGTACGGTTCTGGGTGACCATACTCGGCTCTCTTCGCTCCCCACCTTGAATGGTGATCAGCCGGCCATCTCATCAGCCTTTGGAAGATTGACTCACTTGGTGGATGTGTCACCGAGACAAAACTCCAGCTCTGCTAAGATCTCATCCAGGACTTCGTCCATGAATTCCAGGGGATAACTCGTGTGGTCCAGCGAGTAACCGTCGTACACAGCCAACAGCGGTATCATCTCCATATCTTCACACCAATCGAGGTATTCCATCAGACCGAGACCATCAGTGTTCCAGTATCCCCAAGTTCCAATTCTTCCCGGTCGGTTTTCAAGGGGTCCAATCGTCTCGTACCACTTCCACCGTTGAGCAATGGAATTACCCTCGATATTGTTTCCTCCTGGGCAACGGAGGAAACCAGGTTTGAGATCATAGAAAGCTTCAGCGAGATCTTTACGAAGTCCATTTGGTCGGCCTGGAGGGGGCGAAGGTTCTCATGATCAGTGACCCGATCTCGCTCGCCCCGTCCAGCTTTTCGCTCACCCTTGAAAGTCTCGGGGAAGAGGGATGTCAGACTGAGGTAAAAAGTTTGTCCAGCAACTTGAGAAGCATCAAAGGTGATGGCAAATGTGTTGTTGGCATTAGGCGCAGTGACATTGTTCTCCAACGTGAAATTGACTTGAGAGTACCTGAACGTGCCAATGTGATAGTTTGAAATGGTCGTGTTGACCCAAATATCACTGGTCAAATTAGATCTGAGATCGACCGTGATGTCGGTGGTGTTGTTAGGGGGATACGTCTGATTGACAGCATTGATCCAGAAGCTACCGGTATACGTTTGAGGACTGACGTCCATTCCCCAGAATCCTGTATTGAGGACACCGACTCGACCAGTGGCGTTGGCCGGGAACGTCATGGCCATTGAATTCGGCAAGGCATCTGACAGAGGGTGGTAGAGGTCCAAAGCGATTTGCGTGTCGCCGATAGGTACCCACCGATCAAGAGTAGATTGATACGGTTCGATAGGGTTATCATTGCCTGTAATGGCGCCTCCTACAGAACATTTGCACGTTAAGATACTGCCACTTCCAGCCTCTCAAGCAGTGTATGAGCGGCTCACCTGAGAAGGCCCTGTTGGCAATGAGCTCTGCATAAATACCACCATCTCCCGAATGATCGATATCTTCAAACATCAGACCATACAGATTCGGAGCCGTCGCATTCCATTTCGACTTGTCCTGCGTTGTAATGGACAAAGTGACCTCTGTGACATTAGAATTCGAAGCGATGATATAATTCGGAGCGAGAATTCCAGCTTCAGATCCAGCAGCCAGAACCACTTGGCCCCCGATTGCCGCTAAAGCTGCAGCGGTCGTCGTTGCGGATAGTGTTGGCGCTGAAAGTCGCATATTGGTATTGGACCAAGATTCTACGAAGGAAACGTAGAATTGACGAGCAAAGTCCATATCCAAGAGAAAGTCTCGGCGAGATTCCCTAGAGGTCCTATTATAGGTCGTTGTGAAAGTTGGATTACCTCCACCGTTTTACCTATGAGCCGGCTGAATCGGGCGGAAGACGCTCGCAGTTAGGCCTGGTATGTCGTACCTCGACTCGATCACACTTCTCTGTGTGCCCCCTCCGTCACTCCACGGGGAAAGATTAAATGTCCTTGGATCTATTTGGGTTCAATTGGTCCGACGCTAAACCAGATGGAGGAAGGGGGAAATGTGAATTAGAGTTGCAACTCGCCGGCCGTATCGAAGGACCGACCCTTTGAGGTTTAGAGCTGACGAAAGAATGATCTCGCCTGTATGTTACCGCCGAGATGAATAAAGATCAGCTGCCAGTCCAGTGACCTCTTGTCAATGGACCCATTCAATGACGGTAGTCACCACACCGCACCACGCCGCCTCCCGTCTTCTTCGGCTCTCCGTCTGGACCCCCACCCCCCACTTTGACTCCGTGAATGCGGAATGACACGTGAAATGATGTATGGATCGGATAATTAAAAAAAGGAAATTCTCCCGAACATTGCGAAATCTCGCCGACAATGTCGGAGCAAGCTATGATGAGCATGGGTCACTCGTAAATGTGGACTAGATGGATTACAGGAAGGTGACATGTTTCCTGCATCATTGCAGGACCGTATGATCTGATTTCATCTGCGAACTCTGTTCCTATCACTCTGGATGCAGCTCACTGACAACAGAAGCCAAGACAGTGATACTAACGCCGAGGATCAGCAAGTTCCAGCACCAGCTTACAAGACTCGTGTGTAATGACTTACTCGTCTATCTTGCCTCCCTTGAAGTTCAACCCAGCCTTCTTAGCCTCCACTTCAAAAGGCGTCTTCCAGCTCGGTTTGCCCGACTCGTCGACCTCTTCTCCTGTCCTTACCATTGCTCGTCGACCATACGCAACGAGTACGTCCGCAAACAATCTAGCTAGCTCGCTGTCCCTCTCGGCAGGTGACAGATCGGCGTTGTCAGGGTGATCCATGATACCTCGGAGATGTGAGAGGAGGAGAGGGAAATGGGCTGAGGGGACATTGTCGGATAATCCGTCGGTCTGAAGCAGGACATCAGGACCAGCTTTAGGTGTATACCTGTGGTTCATGAACAAACGAGGAAGACTCACATAGAGCAGGATGATATCGCCAGGCTGGAGCTGAGCTTCAAACGTATCAGAACACTTTTCGTTGTCCGGCTGGTCCCTGACGACTCCGGAAGCGTCCATTCCTTTCGGTGTCTTTGTGAGCTGGGTCTGTACATCAAGCGTTCGTCAGAATGCAGACCGATCAGAGCAGCAGTCAAAGTTCCTCACTGGGCAGTTGAAATAATGCGTTAACGCTGGTGTCTCAAAGATGACCTTGCCATCTCGCAGGATAGTACATCCAGAGTCTCCCATGCTAGCGCATCATGAGCGGTTGACAATCATGGCCGAGTTGAACTTACTTGACACCCCTCAACACACCTTTCGAGTCAACAGCAATGCCACAGGCCGTAGCACTTCCAGCGACCACGCTCTCTTCCTTTAGGACACGCTCGTAAGCTTGTTTCAGGATTGCTCGAGGATGAGCCGTTTCTTCTGGCGACGAAAGTCAGCTGCGGACAGAACAGAACAAAGAAGACGACAGAGTGCGTAATCCAAAGACAAGGCCAGAAAAGTAAGGGTACGTACCTAAGGACGACGAAGATTTCGCGTAATGATACATGAGAGCCTGGGAGAAGAATGAAGGGTCCACCACGTCAGACCATCCACCGACTCCATCGGAAATGGCGAAATGGACAGGAGGGTCTGAAGATGATGAGCTGGAAGTTTCGGGTACGTCCTGGTAACGAGGTGATCATATCAGCGATGACAGTTCCAAGGTCTCGCTAAGTCATTCGCGCTCTCACTTCCAAGTCGACAACTGCGTAGAAATCCTCGCCTGCTCCCCAACGCCGAGTCTCATCCTGTAATCTCTCATCCCATCCTCCAGGCTTATCGACCGTCAATTCACCACGACCAGCTCGACGATCAAGACTCGATTTGACCCATTCAGAAATCAGCGCAGCCCCGTGGTCGTTCCCTTAGTCAATCAAGGAAGCCAGCATGGCGTTAGTTTTCGAATATCGTAAGGATTCTCCATTTGCAGGAGAGTGACAATCAATGACAGCACTCACCACTGTACCCTGCATAGCCGTATCTCGGAGCTCTCTCGTTCTTCGGCACGAACGGCGGAGAGTTCTTTGACGCATAAGATAGACCCAGAGAGTAGATGGCAGGTGAACGTGATGAAAACGTATAGTCGGAAGTGAGAGGTTTGAGCGCTCGCAGCAGTCGAGCAGAGGGTTTCATGGTGAATCAGACGAGAGCAGGGCGTCTCAATGTCTTGAATAGCAAAGGTCTTTTGATCTATATCCTTGCCCAGTCGAGCTCTAAGGTGTCCTTGATGCACGACTGGCACCGTATGTCGAATTGAACAGCAAGCACCGAATTACTTCAGACCGAAATCTCTCGATCATTTTCGGATGGACCCGAAATCAGTGGCAGCCCTGGTCGTCCTGAATCCCGACACAGTCTCATCGCTCATGCATCGACATGTGTACAGTCTCATCACGGTGCTCCCAACTGTGTGTTCATAATCTCCTGAAAATGCCCCTTTTCTCTATATCGTCGTCGTTAACTATCCGTAAAGGGAAGAGGCCGGGAAGGGGAAATTCGTATGTACTTTTTTGCTTTGATCTTGCTTTTGGTTCTGCTGTTTTTCTCCACATGATATTGGTTGATTTGGCTGGCGTCTTGAGAACGCTATTGAACGCTATTGAACGTATAGACAGATCCCCAGTGGGTATAGGAGGAATGCGGTGAGTGAATGAATATAATGGAGGGAAGCGGAATGGTATCTCGCGTGGTTGTAGAGCTTGATGTGAGGATGCACGGTCGGGTGAATTGATTGGGCGGGTATAATAATCGTTGGTACAGCACGGAGACAGGGCTGCTCATCGATCCCAGTTCCAGAAGAAGGCTTTCTAGACATTTCGAGGCCATTTTCGTAGTAGAATCTCTTCACAGAGTCGTATCATTTCAAACACGAAGCCAAAGTCGGTGTCCACACCGAGGCTGTGGCTGTGGAAAGCCCATCACTTGATCTTCCTCTTCAAACCAGTCCCTTTCTTCGCCTTTTTACCCTTCTTCGCCGCCTTCTTCTTTCGCCCGAGGACAAAATCATCATCGCTATCGTCCTCTTCACCTGCGTCCATCCCGGATGCGTAGTCCAGCTCGTCCTCGCCCTCGATATCGGGGTCAAATGGCTGAGGGTCGAGAACCTGACTGAGAGGACCCGAAGGGAATGCAGAATCTTCATCCTGAAGCGATTGGAACGGCATGGGCGCAGAGCGGTCGTCAAAGTGGACGTTGGCGATACCTAGACCGACTGCCGTGATGCCTCCAGAGTCTTTGCGGATGGCCCGAGGAGGTGTCGCCAGAGTGATATTGTGCACAGGTGTATTCGGCGATCCATGAAGATAGGTACGGTCACCAGGAGCTTGGATGTAGGCAGGGGAGCCTAACGTAGGCGGGAAAGGCTGGAATGGCTTCATCTGAGACGGTATGAAAGGTGTCTGACCGGGATAATTAGAGTACGGTCGAGGCGCACGATAGTGGTCGAACGCGGGGAAGTGCTGAGATTGAGATGTCCAGGGTGTCATCGGCGGTGCGGGGTACATGGGCGTCATACTCGGCATGAAGACCTGCTGCTGAGGCATATAATGATTTGTTCCTGGATAGCCGACATACTGAGCTTGCCGCTGTACAGGCTGCGCCGTGATGGGTGTCATCGTCGGAGTTATATTGGTGAGATTCGAGAAATCCTGAATGTTCCCCGATCCAACTAAGGTCGATGCGGTCGACGAAGACGAGGCAGCGTAGACGGATGAGAGAGCAGGCGGAGGCCCATTCGGTGTGGAATACTGAATAGGCGGGCCCCATAGATTGGTAGGCTCGACTTTAGTCATCGCAGACATGTCGACCTGATCGAGCGGAACTTCCTCTGAGGCCACGGTCGATGCCGCACTGCTGAGGACCTGTTGATCTAGAACATCTGACATTTCCTGCCCAACATTCTCTCCAAATACACAGTGAACATCGTTGAAGCCTGTCTGTGCTGGTAGAGATGCCTGATTCCAAAAGGTGTTCGACCTGGGAAGATTTGGTGCCGAGTTGAACCGTTGAAGGTGGGGGGGTGCAGAGTGAAGTCGGCCCATCTGATATTGCGCACTGGTCATGACGAATTGAGCGGGAGCTTGAGCCAGAGGGCTTGACTGGACATGGGTGGAAGCCCCCGCGGTCATAGGAGCTGCAACAATTGAGGAATTGGCCACATCGGGAGGGTGAAAGGCGAATGACGGAACAGAGTGGACATCGACCAGAGGTGGCTCTGGCGAGTGGTCCCTCGACATGCTGTCTGGATCGACCACAGAGACTGGGGCCGAGTGTGGTAACGACATCATGTTGGGAGTCTGGAATCGAGATCCAGCATACATATCGCTATCCGCATATGTTGACACCGGGACCGGGACCGGGACGGGGACGAAGGAAGAGTGGAGATGAGCCGAATGAGCGGGAATGGCCAACTGGGATGGATGGAATCCTCCAGCTGCTCCTTGACCCGGGACTTGATGTCTTGACATTGGCTCTGACACGTTCCGAGCCATCCCGTTGATGTTGTCATCTCTCACAAGTGTCAATCCTTGACTGGCCGAACGACTCGCCCAAGCCGGGTGGTGACTACCACTGTTGAAGCTGAATCCACCTGGCGAGGTCTGGACGGAATAGATGTGCTGCGAAGGTCCGAAGTTGAGATGAGACCCCTCGTTCGATGTCCCAAAGGCAAATCTTGCATCTCTGGCTCCAGAGATTGGCGATGAGACATGGTCGCTGGGCTCGAGCTTTGCTCCTGGGTCATCCTCTCCGAACTCTGTCGAAGTCGGCGACTGGGCTTCCTCTGAATCGTACTCATCGTCCTCTCTGGCGACGGAGGAAGGTGAGTGGCTTGCCGTTGCTGAAATTGGAGTCTGTAAGGACGATAGACTTGTTTGACCTCGACCGGACCCTGAAAATGAAAGAGAGGTTGGACCTGTTGTGGCCGGCGAGGGGATCGTCGAAGGAGCACTCGCGTCTCCATTGTATATGGTCCTGCCAGTTCCGACCGCCACTCTTCCGGACCCTCTTCCTCTTCCTCCTCGGTTCCCTCCCATTCCTCCTCTTCCTCTAGGCTTGAGCCCGTACCCGCCTGAGGCATACACCGCTCCCCCTGGCGGGTCTCGGGAGGCGGTGAACCCGTGGGGGGTTCCGTCCGATATAGTGGAGCCCGACGCGTCTGCGATCGAAGGCGTACTGACAAAGTATTGAGGTTGACCATCTGGACCGGGCGGGCCAGGAGCAAGATAAGTGCCTTTGGCGACTTTTGATGGGTAAGGTGCGCCAGGTTGTGTCCTTCGAGCAGTACCTGCCAGTCGACTGTTGTTGGCACCTGGAGGAGGAGGGAAGCCAGGATGGGCGCGACGATAATGCTTCAGGAAAGTGTTTCTGCGTGCGAAAGCGCGTGTACATCCAGGCACGAGACAGACATAAGGCCGGTTCCCGGTACTGAAGGCTGTAAGCACTGGAGTGACCGTTGCAAAGGAAAGAGCTCACTGAATGCGTCTGTGACGAGCGAGTGAGGAGGAATCTGCGAATGCCTTGAAGCAATGTTCGCAATGGTGTGGTCGTTCTCCGGTACTGAGGAAGTCGCGTGAGTTCATACGGGACCACTGGTAGGGTGTAAACTCACTGAGTCCGTGTATGAACGGTGAGAGCTGACCGCTGAATGAACGTCTTACCACAGCCTCTTTGCAAGCAGATGTACGGTCTGAAAGTAAGGCAAGCGTCAGCTTGGTACATCAAATGAGCGGGATGAGGGAAACGGAATCAGAGGGAAATTGACTTACCTCTCCCCTGTATGAATTCTGTAGTGTCTAGCCAAGTCAGACTTTCTGGCGAAAGCCTTATTGCAGGGGTTATGGTCACAGATGTAGGGTCGTTTGGCAGGATCGTGACCAGGTCCTACAAGATTGTGGTCATTGACCAACTGTGATGGTTTTGTTTTGGTATCAGCAGATATGACAGGACCAAAGACGTCGTTGTCGACCGTTGGCGACGCGGCAGAAGCGTAGGAGGTAGTGGCGTCATGAAGGGAGTCGCCAATCGATTGGCGAGAGGACGAGTGAGTTTCAGAGTCACCAGCCATGACATGATCGAGGTCGAGGACGTTTTCAATGACGGATATTGAATCGTTCAGGACGCCATCGTCAGTACACGATAGACGGTCATGAGGGGAAGAAGTGAGATCAGGTTCGATAGGGTCAGAGGAGAGATTGAGAAAGGCGCGATAGATGTCCGAATCGGAGAGAGCGGGAGATTGAGCAGGTTTGAAACGGAATGGGTCGTCCATACCAGAATACAACGGTGGAGATGGTGAGGTACGAGGGAATCGTCGTGGTCGATGTGATGAGGTTTGAGTATCGGTGGTTGTGGTGTGAGAGCGTCGTGAGGGTGTATGAGGCAGAAATTTGAGTCGTGGCATGGTCAGGAGATGGGGAAAGAATTGTCAGCTGAATGCACTCGTTGAGATGGTCGAGAGATGCTGTATCGACGTGGATACAGTAGGAAGAGGGTTGTAAGTGAAGAAGTAGAGAGCGAGAGGGAGGTGAGGTTATGTCGATGATTTCGTTGAATTTATGAAATGTCGCATAAAAGAACTCAGTCGCGTGCGCGCGCACGCGAGAATGAGATATGGGGGGGGGAGAAGTGATTTGGAGAGGAATAGAGGGGGATGAGGAAGATGGAATGGAGGAGGTGAGCGGAGCGATGCACTCACGTCTAGGACATCCATCGTGTGGGTAGTGAGGAGGGTATCACAAGGTTATCCGATGTAGTTGGGGTGCGGAGCGTGATGGTCAGGGTGAAAGTCTGATGTCAAGCTCTGGTAGATGGGTAGGTAGTGATTCAAACCGTAGAAGAATAAGACTATGACCTCGACACGATCAAGAAGAGAAGAAGCGACAGGTGTATACTACAGTACTGGGTGTCTGTCGATTGGAAAGGCCAGGACGGGCGGCGCACAAGAGGGGGGGCTATCGATATCCAAGAGCGGTTGCCATTTGCGCGGGACAGAAAGAGGGATATGGAATTTTTATTAACGACCAGAAGTATGCCAAAGGAGACCAAACGGAGTCCAAGGGAATCGCCAATGGCAGTCAATCTTTTGGTGTATCCGCCGATTGGGAGGTGGAGATACGAAGGTGAAGGGATAGTATCGCGAATGGTATGAAGCCCCCAGAAGATGGATTAAGAAAGGTATTCCGACCACAACCAAACGTCCAAAGGTTGCAATTTAGAGGCCACCCAAGGGATGGTGAAAATGGTCAATGGCACCCAAGAATATGTCAGATTTTTGTTTTCCATCCGATGGTCAGATGGGTCATGCGGGATGGTGGTGGGGATGATGATAGGATACAGGAACGCCAGAGCCAGAACGGTAAGCGTCAAAGGAAGGGTTGGGAAGGGCGAATGGAGGAAGGGGGTCGTTTCCCGTTTGAGGATGGCCGAAGATGGTCGCCGCCGCCGTTTTTCGTCGTCGAGGTACAACGATAACGATGGGAGTCAGGAGGAAAGGAGTGATCGTTTTGAAATTGAGGGGAGGATTGAGGGAAGATGGAGGAGAAGGACTGCCAGTCAGCTATCGATCTTTTTGGGGTATATATCGATTCGACGCTGAGATAGCTTCTCTTCTCGGATGAAATACCGGATCGATGGGCAGGGCAAGGCAGTGAATAGGAGGGGATCGGATCCCATTTCCATCACTTTCCCAAGGCAAGGTTTATGATCATCATGCGGGTCCTCTCGTGTGCAGCACCAAGTAGATTGAAAATGTGGTTCAACGGGGCTTCTTGCCCATAAAGGAATCCCGCCCTTTGTCCGCCGCAGCTAGATCAAAGGCAGGCAGGCGAACTCCTCCGCCGCCACAACTCCTCGCGGGCAGGGTACGCGTGAGACTAGACTCACCGGAGGGGGGAAACTGCCAAAAGTGGAGCTGAATCAGTTGGCGCCCCTTTGACGAGGTCGTGAAGTGTGGGCTGCTTTTGAATGTGGCGATTGATGGTGACCAGTACCAGGTCGAGCAGCGAAGCGCACCCAGAAACGCGGGATTTTCTTTAGCGAAGCTTCAGAACTTTGAATGAAAGAGCTGGATCATCAAGATGAGATGAGGAAGGAAGGGAAGGCATGTAGACCATCAGCAATCTTCTTTATCAATTTTGCCATCACACCAAGACGACGACTCACCTCGAATCAGATTCGCTTTTTCAATCAGAACTCTATCTATGCTTGGCGATATACGCAGAAGAGGTTTCGGTTCACTGACCCAACGAAAAAGTGGACGAGCAATTGACAGGTCGTGCGTACTTCTTTGATTCGTTGATCGTCGCGTTACGTTGCGTTGCGTTGCTGCACTGACCGCGAGGCGATGAGATGGTGATTGACTCTTATGAGATCTTCGCGGAAGATGGCCGAGCTAGCTTCGTTTTGAGATACCTTGATGGAATCGGCAGATCTGATTGTCGCCTCGTTCAGTGTAGATTCTTGACAACGCTGATCTTGGATCTTGACGACTATATCAATCGCTGGTGAACTCGCTTTCAACCTCTTGTCCATCAGAAATTTCCCTTATCCTGCATCTATTATCTCGTCGTCATTGAAGTGTCTTGCCCCACTTCACACTTCCACATTGTCTTTCTTCTAAGCCTGAGCTGTCTTCTTCTGCCACACCGTCGGTCGTCCAAGTCTTAGCGGCTTCCTTGTTTCAGACTGTCACCTCTTGAGCGGACTCAAGTATTGTTCTTGTGTGATATGCTTCGAGGTATTTCAATTCGGGCCGGTGAATGCTATAGAAGCCAAGAGCGGTCCGAACAGAGGCACTGGATTTGGGAAGCCGAAGGCCGAGCGGGGGAAGAAGGACAGATCCTCTGGTCGTTTGTTCGATCTTGATGAGATTTGATTGATTGATGCGACACAAAGGGAAAGGAAAAAGGGGATAAAAGGTGATCAGTAAGGACGGGTGAGGGCATAAGATGGATGTAACCCTGACCGATGCCAGAGATGACTTCTGAGAGAACAGTCACATTAAAGCCTAGCGCAGCGCAAAGACAAGCTGGATCCCAGCAGGGCCTGGCTTGGGGGGCCCAAGACGGTCATTCGGGAATACTCCTCTACTCTGCTCCTTCCAACGAGCTGGAATTCCGTTCGTGCGCCGTCATGAGAGGGGATTCATCGTTTGCTCCATTCTAAATCCTTCACTTCCTTTCCTCTTCCTCTTGCCATAGGAGCCAATGATTTCCTTCCAGAGAGTCCGCCCCGCTTGCCCACGAGTTGACGATCTGCACAACTCTCTCCCTTGTATCGATCTTTCGCTAGTCCAGTTGATTAAATAGGGAGAGGCGTTTCAAAAAAGCTGACATGTCCAAGTATTTTAATAAGAAGAATGGGATGACAGTTGAAGGTGGATTCAAAGACAATGAGAGGATCAGCAAACAGTAAACGTACATGGTGTGAGAAAACGGTCGTCATTGTTTTTCCGCTTCAGGTACCTGCGTGTTCTGTTGATGAGGAAGAACAACGTTCTGGTTCTTCTCCCTTCTTTCTCCAATCTCTATCGGACGAGTTGCGAGAAACAGTCTCATCGTTACCGCCGAAAATAGCGGAGCGGATTGAGATATAAGGCATGTGGTTGACTTTTCCTCGGGATGCGCTGCTGGAGTAGGATGGCTTCTTGCTCTCTTCGACCCTGTAGCCACGTATCATTTGAACGGTACCGAGTGCTGTGTTTCATTGACCAAGATTTGATCAGAAGCCCTACTGTGGCCGACCAGAGATCTGCTCCATCGCCGGTTAGTCACTCCCTGTCCAGGCGGATCTGTTGGGTGTATGATGTGCCGGCACGGGTTCATAGTATCGAAGATGTGGCGTGTGGAGTAGTGTAGCGTGGACAATGGCCCTCTGATCAACTCAAACAATGCGAGTATCCAGAACAATGGAACTCTGACTCTTCAGTATTGTTTATGGGATAGGTGAGAAACACAAGAGCACGGGAGAGTTGAGGCATTTCACCCGAAAAACCAAAAAAAATTGGTCTGGAGCGGAATTTATGCTTATCGAAAGTCGCGTGGCCGGCCAGGATGCCTTGAGACAGAAGTGTAATAAGATGCTGAAAATGCTGGATGATGCAATGACAGACGGACAAAGGGGACAAGGCTACTCAGCCCTTCACGCTAGATAGTATCGGTCTCTGAGGTAAGATATCAGTAGTTGACCTCGGCGTCGACCACACCACGAACCCGATATGACCCATTCCTACGGTCTCAGGTCAGCCTGACACCAGCCACCGAGGGCGAACACTCTCACCAGGACTAACAACCCAAGCCCTCTTCTGCTTGACTTCCTTCATACTGTCCTTACGGTCCCTCGAGAATTTGAGCTCCTCAACTTGCTGTTTGGTCGGCGACCAAGTCTCCTGGCCGGCATCACGTCTCTCGCCAAAGCCCGAGCCCGAGCCCGAGTCCGGACGATCGCTGTCGATCACCTGATTGGGATTCTGGTTGTCTATCCGGTATCCCTCTAGCGATGATCCTGCCTCAAAGCCGCTGTCTCCTCCGTCTCCTTTGAGATTGAGGCGTTGAAGGCCGAGCGTATCATGTTCCACCACTGTTATAGAGTAATCGCCTTCGCCAGCAGCTTCTCCCAAGACTGCGTTGCCCAGTGGCAGGTGCATCTCGTACAGGTCTGGGTCAATGGCAGCTGTGACGACCTGAACGGAGGGGAAGGCTCGGCGGATGGTTGTGAGACCTCGACGAGAGATGAGAAAAGCGAGGAAGATAATATTGGACTCGGGAACGCCATGATCAAGAAGCACTCGAATGGCCATCACTGGGGAGGTCGAGATGTCAGCTGAAACCCTATATCTATTCCTGCAGCACTCACTCGCAGCTGCTCCAGTGCCCATCTGTGGGTAGAAGTCCGTCAGCGCGAGACGATTGTACCGTGCACTGGGAACCCACTTGCGAGTCCAACAACAACGCTCGGACAGTCTTGCTCGTCTCCCCATTCTTGACGGATTGAGGTAGATCCAAGGACAGAAGGATAGGTTCACCGGTCTTGGGGTCAGACTGAATCAACATGGCTCCAAGCGGGACGTCCCGCACTACCCGGCGGAGCCCATGAGAGAAAGGTCCACCGGATCGAAGGATTGACACGCCAACCAGGTCCTGGCGAATGTTCAGTGTGACGTCTTCTCTAGAAACGAGTCTACGACTTACCTCTTGCATGCTTATTGTGCCTTCCGTCGACATGCCTACCGGAGTCTGGACTCTGTGGGGCTCGTGAGGTAGGAGTGAAAGTGCCTTTTCGACGATCATTGTCGACAGTCTATCCGCGTAAAAGATAAAGTCTCCACGCTCAGTCTCGCAGTCTCTGAGGATAGTCATGATACCCTATCTGAGCATCAGCATCGATCACGAAGTGAGATGCCACAGCACTGACTTGGAGCTGGGCGGTCTGCTCTAGCAATATAACCCCGCTGTCTTCATCTGTGTCTCCAAAGGTATGTGTCGTATTGTTGCTCGGTGTTACTTGGGTCTTTCCATTTGCAAGGGGTCTACTCTGACCGTCCCGACCTAGACGACTTCTGAATCTGAGCGATCGATTGTCGAGTTGATCCTTGATGTGCGAGACGAGGAGATCAATGGCGAGCTGATTCGATGATCCTGGCACAATCTGCACAACACATGTTCGTTTCAGCTACCGCAATGAGCCACTGTATCTGATCGACTTACAATATCCGCATGCTTCGACGAAGGTTGTACAAAGTTGTCATAACTCGCCTTGACGAACCGAAGATACTGGAAGACCTATCAATACACAATCCTAGATCTCAGCAGCTTCTGCTCACTTGATCCAAGATCCCATCGACATCGCGCCCACGTTCTTTCACATCCCGCTTGATGCGCCTGGCAAGCATCAAGTCGGAGTCGCAATTCTACTACTTTGTCAGACCGAGTGTTCGCCGGCATAAGTCGAAGCCACGCACCACGAAGACTTTGAGATCATATAATGCTCTCATGTCAGCAGACTGTAGTGCCATGATCCCTTCGCTGATACCTTCAGCTCCTATCGCCAGGATCGAAAGGCTCACACAATGATGACATTAGCTCCGTAGAGGTATTTCGTCTCTGGCATTCGTTCTGATCCCCGCGTTGTCAACTCCCGGCTTGACGACTCTTCAAATGTTCTCACGATGATGGACGAAAGAGTACACTGGAATCTGATGGCGGTGTTAGAGAAGCTAGGCAGGCATCCTAAGACCCACCTCGCAAGCTCGACCTTGCTTCAGATCCGCAAGACACTGTTACAAACCTCAGCGCGGAAGCTCGGCTAAAGACAAGCGCGAGAATTCAAGCATACCTTGGCAAAGAGGGCCGTATCGATCGAGTCGGGGTGGTCTGTAGCACAAGGCTTATTAGAACGAGACCAGTTTCGAAAGCTTGGTTTCCTCACCCAGGTCCAGGTCACTCTTGAAAGCCAGATCAATCTCCTCCTGCGTATGTTTTCGATAGAACGAATCTTGGGATAGGATCAAGACGGTGGGTACGTAGTTGAGCGCCGAGAGGATAGCTCGGGCCACGGAAGTCTGCAACATACATCAGTGCCTGATCATCTTAGAGCGCTCTCGGTAATTGACGCACCTTGCCCGAAGCACTCCCTCCTGCTATACCTATCACGTACGCTTCGATGTTCTTCCCCTCTGGACTGTACCATGGCAGCCTGCCGTGACTAGTCATGACGACATTCTTGCCCTTGGCGCTGAAGCGATTGGGCTGCCGAGTCCTGCTCGACGATGATGCTTCAGCTGAAGGGGACGACATGGTGATGAGATGCAGTTCAGGCAGTGTCCCGAATGTGATAGATAACGATGCAAATGCACCCTAGCCGCAAGCCGGGTCGGCTAACAGTTTTGCTGGGTTTCCTATCCGAGGAATGAATGTCAATTGTGGCAATGTGGCAGAAGGAAGGAAAGGAGGTCAGTTAGTGGATCGCCTGCATGTTGACAAACGTGTCTGAGCTACCGGGCACATCGACTGATGGGCAGCTGAGTGTTCCATCCAGACTCACGTTGCGTGGTGTGACACATGTCCACCCCTTGCCCTAATAGTCCCGTCCCAAGGGTTGTGTATGAATGGAACGTCAGACTTCTTACTGGTCAGAGGTGTGAAGGGATGTCGCTGGGTATCCAGCCTCTCCCAAAACCTCGCCTTTGTTCCGTTCGAAGCTTGACCTCACTGAAAGGTTCTCACATTGGCCATTGATATGATCACAGCGTCCCCTCCAGAACCACCCCTCGACTCACCGCGGAATACACCCAGTACCACGGATTTCAACAACTCAAAGAAATGAGCGACGACAACGGTCAAGGGGTAACGATCTCTAGCCCTTCTGAAATTACTTTTGAAGCTAGTGAGCTGTCCCGATGGAAACTCCTCTTCCATGACCAGGCCGAAGGTGACCATCAAGAGGTTATTTCGACCAAGGATTGGGCGATTCTGAAGACTACGGATGGCCGCCAACAAATCATGTTACGTAGCACGGCTGGTGATCAAGCATCGCAGCATTGGACGAAAGGCATCCTCTATGGGGGTAATTCAAGTCCCGACTTTGATGCGAGTGATCCCGGTCAAATGCTTCACCCCTTCGACTCCACTGGTCCCAAGGGAAAGCAAATCGAGTGTATTTTGAGGACAGCCATTGAAGAAGCTGGTTCCGAAAACGTATCGACCCATTCAGTCGGATCTGATTTGATTGTGATGGGCTCTGACCCATGTGGGATGTCTCTTTTATCGCCATTGTATCTAGCGCATGACTTTGCTAGTATCAAGGATACTTCCATCATGCTTCCTGGCCAATGGGATGGATGGACTTTGATTCAGCCAGCAAGTCAAGGCTACTGGTTCAGGATTGAGTCAGAACGAAGAGACTCCGAGGCTCTCTTAGGCCTGATTCGACGTGGATACGATGAACATCAAGAAGGATCACAATGAATCTGCACAGACTGGCGATCAGGAACTATTTTTACAGATAGAGATAGAATGAGAACGGTCAAAGTGACGGGTCATCTTCGGCTGGGTTTTCTCAAACACAGCTCGAAGCGAGTTCGGCTGCGAACGGCTACAGTAGAACTCCTGATAGGTGTCGGCGCGCACATATCTGATTCAGGTAGTCGTAGCGAAATGAATTGGCTTCACGTATAGAGAAGTATCGCCCGATTCTGAATGTGGTCTCGCAGACCACTACACGCTCTTGACGTCTACACTGGCACCATTCTTATAGATCCGCCAACTCCTCGGATGAAAGGATTCCATCTCCTCATTGTGATGCCCACACCTCATGCGTATGCTCTGCGTGGGAAGTGGTGCGCTGATCCATGACTTTGAGCTCTTCCTCGCGCTGACAGAGGACCGCCACCCTCCGATTCTGTTTTGACATGAGAGAAGGAGATTTGGCGGTAACATGCGCAATGAGGCTCTGATTGAGACATGGAAATATTGCCTCTGCGCTCTAGACACTCAACGAGATGGATCATGGATCCCCCTTGAAGGATGGGCATGCTGCACACAGTACATATCAAGACTGCCTCATGAGAGAGGTACAATGCCACCAGGAGCCCGAGACCCCTTTATAGGATCATACTGAAAGCATGGCAGCCAGCTGAGGATCCTTTCAGACATGCAGGCGGGGCTTAAAAAGGTGGCAGAACCCGGTCTCACGAGCTGACCTTTTCTTAGCGCCGTATCTTTCACGGTAACCGAAGTATCCACCTCGTTGGCACAGGACAAGACGTACTGATCGATAGAACGCAGTTCCAGCTCTCTACTGAGTGTATTCCATGGCGACTATGAGCATCACCTCTAACTCGAGCGACTCTAGCGAGTCAGGTCACTTATCACCTATCAGCGGGTCGACGTCATGGTCAAGCCATCCTGATTTGACTGATATTGACTTGATTGAAGTTCCGTCTCCCACTTTGGACCCCGAAGATGGTATCCATACAGTAACGGGCATGGACCCTATTGGTCGGACCAGCTTTACAGTTTGGGAGTTGAATTACGATGGCACGTCCGAAGTCGCTACTCTCAGCTCTGATGGCGTAGAGGCCCGACTGGTCAAGCGGGATCGCACAGACACCGTGAAGGTCTACAGAGGTAAGCACCAAGAAAATGAACTTCGCTGATTAGTCCTCATAAGACGAACTCGATACCTTGACCTTTGCAGATTGGGGCAGCACTGCCCAAAGTCCCATTGACCCGCTTGACGCTGCGATCCTCCGATCCGCAGTGAATGAGGTCGGGGAATGGCCACCAGGAGTCAGGTTCCGAGTTTTGCATGAGCTTTCAGCTGCGGATGTAGAGACAAGTCAATCGCCAGGGTCACAGACCTCCACCCATGGCGGGTCCGATGCCGAACTCAGGACGGACACTACGAACGTCCAGGACCAGCCGAACTCTGCAAATGGTGATTCAGTTTCTGCATCTTGATGTCTATCTACAGCAAAGAGGCAAACATCTGAAGTACACTGTCGGCCCTTGCGCTGATAGCTATATGTATATGTATACACGCAGTAGCGAACGTTTCGGACGTAGAGGATGCATCAACAATAATCATAAGCTTTTGCACTACATATGACTGGCTAGAGGAGAGCTGGTAATCAGGGGTCCACTGGCTACATATTCTTCCCGTCTCGAAGGACCTACAGTATTCACCAAGCTGGGATTGTCGGAGCATAGCCTCCCTCTAGCTACCGCGTTCTCACGCTGTCCCTCCGGTTCGAAACATTTTTGGTCAAAGGAGCGTCCTGGGAGGCTTATAGAGGGAACCATGTCCCGGTCTGACATTGAAAATTGCCGCTTCCAACATGTGTTCCCGTCCCACGCTCTCAAGGGCTTTGTTCAAAAGCTACTGAACTCTCCAGAACAACTTCCAAGTTCACGACTTATAGCCCCATTGCGTTTGCAACTACTGCATCATTCTGAACGGCATGGCTGAGGGCACTGTTCCACGAACAAATGTCGCCTCTGAAGGCAGCTCTGAGGCAACGCAGAACCAAGCGACTGACACTACACAGAGTCGATGGTCGGCATGGAAAATTCTTTTCAATCATCAAGACTCAAATGACGACCTGTGGGTCCATTCTGATGGTACTCGAGCGAAACTGAAGACGAATGAGGGAGAAATATGGCTGATGAAAGGTAAATGAAATGCGGAGACAAGGTATCGGGGAATAAGCTCATGCATTCCTGCAGGGAGAGACGAGCCGACCATGATGCTCAGAAATTATACACGGAATGTCACCGAGCTTGAATGTCTCATACTCCGAACCGCCCTTAGTGACGCCAAGAACCCACCACCGATGACGCGTACAGTTGCGAGCAAGCTGACTGGCGCACTTTGTTCGCTGTTGAACCAGACAGCGTATGGGACACACAGCGGATTCATTGGGAAAATTACTTGGAACAACGGCCTTCCACGCCGCTGACCATCTACGAGTGGGAGGCGTCGGGACAAGGGAGTCAACTTCGTTGCAAGTGGGTCAGATCGAGCGCGGGCTCGGCATACTTCTCACGGTCACCTTGAGAAACATACACTGGAATTTTGGATGACCGCAGACAGACAGCTGGCCGTAGACACTAGAGTAAGACAGCCAAGAGAGTATGAAATATGAGTCTGCCACACCTGCTGCCACAGTGAGAATATACAGTATATACAGTATATGCTCCCCGACGCCCGCCCGTCCCCTGGTGCCTGAGAGAGTCAACTTGAAACGCCACACTGCCACATTCAGTAAACATCCTTCCCCTTTTTTGTTGTTCCCGCTGCCCGTTGACACGGGATGAGATGCTGCTGAAAAATTATTATATAGCTGGATCTCTCTTGGATCAATTGACTCATTCCTCATCCCTCTTCGACTCTTCCATCCTTCGTGAGGAGCATCATCTGCAGTACTGTTGGCCGGACGCTGATAAGGCTTCAGTCCCTCTCTCTCTCTCTCTCGCGCGCGCGCGCGTCACATCCCTAGCAACAGCCTGCACCTAATCCTCAGGCGGGCTCATTCCATTCCTTGTCCTTATCTCCTCCCTCCCATCAGCAGATCTGGATCGTGGTTTACACCGCCATCTGCCATCATGTCTCGACCAGGTACACCTACTTTGGCATCGAGAGGCTCTTTTGCCAATCTGGCCAACTACAAGAGCGGGGATGCTTCAGGCCAGACTTCACCCACTGAAGTGGAACGAAACAAAGCTGAGGAGGAATTCCGTCAGGCCCTGTTGAAAGCTCAGGACGGGATTGAAAAGGCGAAAAAGGAGGAAATGGGCGTCCCGGCGGCTTCTCCAGGTGGGTCAAGTGCATAGTCTCCAAGGCTCGTATTGACGCCTTTTTCAACCTCAGTATGGCCAATTCTCAGTTACTGTGTGGCTTCCATCTTGATGACTGTCACCAACAAGTTTGTGGTCTCAGGCAGTGCATTCACCATGACCTTTTTGCGTGGGTTTGCTTGGCATTCCGACAAACCCAAATCATCAGCTGACGTCCGGTTCATAGTCCTCACGCTGCAGTCTGTCGTCTGCGTCGCGTGTGTCGCTTCTGTGAAGCGCACCGGGCTCATCTCTTGTGAGTCGCCTTGCCCGCATGGTCGTCGTGGATCGCCTGTTGATCCCTGCCACTCCTCAGTCCGAGATTTTGACTTGAACGATGCCAAAGCTTGGTTTCCCGTGTCTTGTCTTCTTGTTGCAGTGATCTACACCGGGTCCAAATCTTTGGTATGTGGACACATCAGATGATATGATGATGAGAATTGACCCCTCGTCCAGCAATTCCTCTCCATCCCAGTATACACGTGAGCTGGACTCGAGCCCTCCCTCCATCTGCCTCTGCCATCGCTGAACTCATCTCCAGCATCTTCAAGAACCTCACCATTATTCTCATTGCCTACGGCGAAGTCCTCTGGTTCGGAGGGTCCGTCACTGGCCTCACCCTCTGCTCCTTCGCACTCATGGTTGGATCATCCATTATCGCCGCATGGTCCGATATCACCACTACCCTGAGCAAAATGTCTGCCGGTATCGCTGTGGTCGACCCGTCCTCCGGAGCCGACGTCCCATTGCTCACTCCCCAAGGTATGATTGGAAGTTTCAACCTCGGCTACCTATGGATGTTCATTAACTGCATTGCATCTGCGGGCTATGTGAGTCATTGCCGATGCGAGCAAATTTTCCTGACGTCCTATAGGTCCTCTTCATGAGAAAGCGAATCAAGGTCACTGGATTCAAAGATTGGGACTCGATGTTCTACAACAATCTCCTATCGATTCCTGTTCTCCTTGTCTCCTCTGTTCTCGTCGAGGACTGGAGCGTTGCCAGCTTTGCCCGGAACTTGTGAGCGGTGGCCTCCACCCGCCTTACTGACAGGTGCAAAGCCCCGCGGATCACCGGACATTCCTCCTTGTCGCCATTGCCTTTTCAGGCGCGGTCGCTGTTCTCATCTCATACTCCACCGCCTGGTGCGTCCGAACGTGTGGTTCAACCACCTACTCCATGGTCGGAGCCTTGAACAAGTGAGGAGATGCGCTTCGAGAATCTCAGAGATATACATACTCATACTATCCTACCCAGGTTGCCTGTCGCTGCTTCTGGTATCTTGTTCTTCGGTGACCCTGCCAACCTCGGCAATGTCTCTGCCATCGCTGTCGGTGGATTCGCCGGTGTCGTCTATGCCGTGGCCAAGACCAACCAAGCTCGTGTCGAGCGTGCCAAAACTTCCCGATCGAATGAAAAGGCATGATCAACGTCATCCTCCTCCTCCTCCTCCTCCTCCTCCGCTCTCCTTCTTCTTCTTCTTCATCATCATCTCAAGGCAAATAAGCGCATCACAGGACCATTTTGCATCATTTCATCAACATTCTAAGGAGAAAAACTCAAGCTCTCCATGACCCATCTTACGATCGCACGTATATCAGCAACTGTAATGTGCCAAGCACTGTTACGTCCGCCTTCATCAAAGAGTCGGCTCTCATGCATCGCATATGATACAGATTGTTAATCCAGCGGACATACTATGACAAGACCTAGCCTATCTGATGCGCTTCTTGCCTAGCCTAGAAGCAAGACTTGCACCTGTTGATGGTCCGCTGACCGGCGGCTGAACCTCGACCGGAGCCATGAGGATATCCCCATCATCCTCTTTCGGTTGGAACCCCCGACCTTTGTATCTGATCCGGCCCGTTGAATCTGTACCGTTGCTGTCACCGTGGGATGCTGACCGGATACTAAATGTCGGGGGTGCGGGCGCTGCGGAAGCATCATGCAAAGGTGTGGATTGCGTCGGCTGCACTTGAGCGCGATTACGGATGCTCAAGCCTGAAGACTGGGTTTGCACAGGCAGCTGTGGGTCCGTCGGCGATTTCGACTCGGTTGATTCCGTTGCGCCAGGGGTTGGCAAAGACCTAGACTGTGATCGATTTAGAATGCTGAGATTGACTGTCTGGGACGGTGTTGCTGACGTGACTTTCGTCTCAGGATCACGACGAATGCTTAATGATGGTTTTGCCGGAAGAGTTGATGAGACACTTGATGTCGGAGTCATGTCGTTTTGCGACATGCGGCTCAGCAGTGAACGTGAGGTACTGGCCGATGGTACAGGAGATTCTGTGTTCGCTTTCGCACGCTTCGGCGCGCGTGATTCGTCGATCGGTGATTTTGTTGACGCCGAGCTACTCATTCGGTCCAAGAGTGATCGGTGGGTTGGTGTAGAGGCAGCAGCGCCATCCTCTCTCTCCCTTTTAGCCGGTGGGAGACTGAGTCGATCGGCCAATGAACGTGTTGGAGCGGCCAAACCGACGCCGTGAGGTTCAAGGCTCTGAGACGCAGCGGGAGATTGCTCGGCTACTCCGGAAGATGAAACGAGTCCAGGTAAAAGCTCCGTGCCATGGTATGATGCCCCAGAGGCGATCTCGAAACGGTCTCTGGAAGCTGCAGCGCCCTTTGTCCTCTGGAATAAGGGTAATGGGTTGCTGAGTGGCACCAGTGGGTTTGATGACCCGGAAGCGGCCGGAGCTTCAGCAGGCACTTCTGAGGACGCAGGGGCGAGGGATGACGGACGAGATAAGAGTTCCTGACCTCTTTGACTTCCTTTACTGGCGGGCTTGATATCCGTAGTCGTTTTGGGTTGCTGCTCGGCCGGCGCAGCTGCCGTCAATGGTACAGCTTGCGGCAGTTCTGGCACGTTCGATTTTGAGGCGCCGAATTGCTCTGCCCGTGCTCTTGGCACCACTTTGGGGGGCTCGAGCTTTGTCGGGGCTGGAGATGACTGAGATCCGACAATTGGAACGACTGATGCAGGAGCATCGATCGGCGTATCTCTTCCATGTGACGAAAGTGCAGACTCATTTCGACCACTTGATGTTTTGTCAGGCTGAGTCGATAGTGTTGGGTCTGACGGAGGCTGAGCGCGATGGAGGCCTACCCAAGACGGCGTGTATGTGACAGGCAGAGACCTACGGTCATCTTCGATGAGCTATTCAAGTGTCAGCCTGCTTGTTGTCAAGCTGCGATAACAAACGCACTTTCGCCAGCTGCGTTACACTTTCCAGCTGGACAATATGCCCAGGATCTCTTATATCCCTTTGCTTCCTCCTCGCGTCATCCGCTAAGTCCAATAGAGCGTTGGCATGGGCCTTTTGTATGAGCTTATTACGTGTGTCTCTCTGAGGAACTGTATCAGTGAGAGTACCGAGAGCGGACTAGCGACGCACCAGACGAAAAAGCTCATAAAGCGTGTACAAAATCTTCTCGATCGCGGAACTCTCGTCGTGATCAAAGTAGCTGCGGTGATCCTGGGCAAAATACTGATCGAACCATAATCAGCTGTCTGATATCCATCAATGACACACTCAGCTCACCTTGAGCCCTCTCAGATATGCCTCTGCAATATCCGCTGCTAATCCTTGTCCGTCTTTGCCAGCGAGATACTTTCCAGCCAACGCGATCCACCTGACCGTCTTATCCAGTATGGTCATCGCGGACTCATCCCTCTTCTCCAGACTCAACGATATCATCGCGGTCCCATGATCAGCTGGAAAGGCCAGAGCTTCCACCGCATCGAGATCACTTGGGGCACGCTTGGCAAAGCCAGCAAAGACCTTGACGATTGGCGCCGTCTTGTCTACGCTTGACCCAGCTTTGACGGACCGAGTCACGAACTTGACGAATCTCCTCACGGCTGAGCTCGAAGCGCGAGGTCCAGATATCCTAGGCAGGGATCCCATGAGATTCAAAATGGCCTCTTTGTCTTCCCCCGAGGCCGTGGCACAGACGTCTTCCAATCCATTTTGTAGCATCTCCTCTGCATCTTGATGATCGCCTTCCGAAAGTAGACTGTCCAGTTTTGGTTTGGCATCCCGAGATAGAAAGTTGATTATATTCTGTCTCGATGCGCCCGTTTCCTCATTAGCTCGAATATCATCAAGCGCGACTGCAAAGACGTCGTTGGGTGAGATGGAGAGGAGAGTGAATATTTGCTCGTGAATAAGTCTGAGCTCCCGAGGTGCTAGAAAGTGCCTCAGCTTGTGTCGTCGACCGCCCATGAATAACCCACGACACTCTAGGAGCTGGAGTAGTACTCCGGCATTCCCTCGGACCCATCTCGAGTCTGCCTTGGCGGTCGCTCCGAGGCCTTTGATGCCTATGATTCGGACCTGGCATAATGCGTCAGTCTGTTCATCCCAGTCCTGAATGCAAAATCCGATGCCCAAGCGGATGTGACTGCGCTCGCCTCACCTTCTCCTCTTCATCCTCACACAAATCCAGGATCGCATCAATAGCCTTGTCCTGTAGATCGTCGAATTCCCGAAAATGCTTTGCCACGAGGGTCCCAAAGAACGCCTTGCATTCATAAGATGGGTAGGCGCAAATCGATATCAGTTTCTCGTAGAATCTTCGGCGCTGGGATGCAATCAGTCGAGAGAGAGAGACCATTTGAGCGCGATTTCATGAAACTCACGGCTTCGGCAGTGGACTGAGAGTTGGCTCGTGTCAAGAGCTGCTTCACTTCTGCCAGCGCATCTGCCGCTCTAGAAGACATGGTAGAAGGTGCTCCCGAGTCTAGCGGGCTGAAGCGCTGTATAGTCCCACGCTCATGGCTGCACTTCAGTGGATGTACGACAATGGCAGAACCAGCCTACGTTCATGATAAAATTACATCGGACTTCCGAAATGTTTGCCGTCGTCGGCAGCTTGGTCTGCTCTGGCGACTGATAGCTCTTCCCACGTGAGCTACTGGATCATGTACGGGGTTCACGTGTTCAGCTAGATGTGACTATATGAATGGCTGAATGGCTGCATGACGGGGTATACGCCTGTCACACACACCCCTCTATCTCTCTCTATCTTACTTGCGCTGGGTAAACAGGTTGACTTCTTTAACCTTTTCTCTGACCTGGAAGGAAGACGAAAAAGCGTCAGCCTTAAGCCTGTCGCTTGACTGGTCGAGCGGTATCCATCAATCACTTACCATTGCCGCGAACCTGCGCATATGCCTTTGAGTTCTCAACCTCCTCCTCTTAGCAGTTGGCGGCTCGAAATATTCTTGATTTCTAAAGTGTTTCTTCATGTTGGTTTGCTTGATCAACCGATCCAGCGACCTCATGGCGGGACGAACTTTGCCTACTCCACGAACAGGTACAGATCGAGAGGTGAATTTGGTATTCACGAATCCGCTCTCTCTAGGTCTGGACAGCGCTTTCCACCAAGCGTCAGGGTCGGCGTTTCTCGCCTTTCGAGCAGAAGGTATGTCGAACTTGAATCCTGGAACGGAACCTGATCCAGGAGGAGGTGCACCTGATCCGGAACGTGACGATGTTGATGATGATGATGACGAGGCTTGAGCAGAGTTGGCTCCAGTTGGTGTAGGGGCTAAATGCCGAGGAGAGGTTGAAAATGGTCTCGACAGTGGTGGGAGATAGCTGATAGCGACGGGTCGAGCGGTGAGTATTCTCGTCGCCCCCAGTAAGCGCGATGGTCCACTGAGAGTATTCCGTATGACAGACGCCATGGTGAGCAGAAGATGAGCTGATGAGCAAGATGTCTAATAAGACTATCTACGCATCATCGTACTCATCGTTGATCCTTGTATGAGATGGGATATTCTGAAAATTAAATGACACTGTAGATAAATAATAAAATAATTCCTTTGGCATTAGGTCCGCGAGTTCGGCCATCCCATCCATCGTTGGTGTCGAGTACTGGACTATCAAGGGGACCATCGCCATGCATCACTGGGAGCTAAGGCGGTGACATGGTACAATACTCAAAGCACGTTACGACGTAGTGAGTTGGAGGCAGAAAGGCAAGATGAACCAGGCTGACGAATACCGCCTTTACCCTTCGGCTCTACCTTTCCTTACCGTTCGGTCGCGCGACCTGCTTCATCGATACCGGGTATCTGGTCTGACTCTCGCTGAACCCCACTTTTGACTCACTTTGGACGCTCTCATGACTCGCCTCGTCTCCTTTCACAGCCCTGATCCACCTGCCCAAGCCATCCAAGCCTTCTTCGTCCGATACCCAAATCCATTTGCCAGACATGTTCTTTCGGTCGATGTACTAGATCGGTGGATAGACCTGGAGACCGGTCGACTCCACACCAAACGGTTGATCTTGAAGCGAGGGATCCTGCCGAAATGGGCAGCGAGATGGTTACCCGTATCGAGCTCAAGCGGAGGCAGGGGATTAGACGCTTGGGTCATGGAGGACAGTGTGGTCGATCCGCCTGGATGGGGAGAATGGTGGAGTCCTCCGAAGGATAAAGCTGGACAACTTGTCAAGGGGAAAGAAAGGGAAGATTGGGACGTGTACAGATGGTTACCTAGATTGAAATTAGTCCAGGGAAATCTGAATCACAGGAAATTCATGCACGTCTTGGAGGGGGGAGAGCTCAGAGGACAGTCGGATGGGTGAGTGTGGTGTATATCCTGGTATTGAGCACTTGCTGACTGGATATACAGACACACTAGCCACATCACTACCGTGGAGATCCGATCCGATTTCGGAGGATCTTGGTCAAAACTTATCCGAGATAGGATAGAGGCTCAAGGTGCGGGTCGGTTTCTTAAAAACACTGAGCGTGTGAGTCATATCGTCAATTCATCAAGGTCAGTCGCTAAATTGTCTCTGATTCAGGCCCGTCAAGGCATGATCCTCATCCTCGATGCTATGCGCAATCGTCAGCCCTTACCAGCAGATACGATGGAGTTTTATCCTCCGCCGGCACCATCTTTCGGTGATCATTGGCCATCTCCAACGGACCAGAATCGGAAAGATTCAGCTACTAGTCCGTCAGAAGAGTCTCAGGGGAGCTATTGGAACAGATGGCGACGGAAAGAGGAACACGATCATGATCATGACGATCAAGATGATGATGATTGAGTTGGTGAGGTATTATTAGCCTCAGGTATCTTCATGAGGGGAACGAAGCCGTATGTTTGACGAGATATCCCATCTGTACTACTATGCACACTTCATTCAGCACTCATTATGACATGCTCTTCCTTGCTGATCGAGGTCGCCCAATGTTACACTTCTCAATTTCCCCACATGAGGCCGGCTGTCCCAGATATTTTGGATCCTGCGTTCCGTGAACCGGGCAAGTCGAAATGCTCTTGTTTTCAATCTTGATGCTGTTACATGTTCTCAAAGACACATGCGACTCCTGACTCCAGCATGGAGCTGTACTCAAATACGATGGACTCCAATTCATCATAGCCCAGGTCGTCCGAGTCGGCGACTGTTTGCCAGCTCATCAACGGACTCGACGCCAGACAGCGACGACTGGGAGACGATCATTGGCTTGGAGATTCATGCACAGATCAAGACGCCACACAAACTCTTCTCCCGTGAGCTCATCCGCATGCCCATACCTTATGAGACAAATCATCGACTGAAATATATGACCCAGGAGCCTCTACATCTTACGCAGACCCTCCTAATGCCAACGTTGAGCTCCTAGACGCTGCCATACCTGGTACCTTGCCAGTACGCTCTTAGCTTGAATCACCTCCAGTATCGGCTGATAGTGGGGCCAGGTACTCAATCGCGATGCGGTCCGTTTGGCCCTCCTGACCTCAATAGCCCTCAAGTGTGATATTGTGAGTGTCCATTTCCAATGTATTCTCAAGCTGAATATTCCCAGAACAAACGATCAACATTTGATCGCAAGCATTATTTCTACCATGATATCCCTGCTTCTTACCAAATCACTCAGCATTATAGTGAGCACCCGAGCTCCAGACCATCATTCCCCTCATTGACCGCTGCTGCTATAGATCCAATCGCACGCAATGGCAGACTAGCCATAAGAGACGGAGATTGGGGTTCTCAGCGAGCCTTCAATGTAGGAATCCAACAACTCCAGATAGAACAGGTGAGAGGATCTGACACAAAATACGTTGACTCAATTTCCGTCAACAGGACACGGCAAAGAGTCAGATCATGGGAAGTGACAGACTCATCGATCTGAACAGAGGGGGAGCGGGCTTGATGGAGATCGTGACTGATCCCGATATGCGGTGAGCCGCCGCATCCCCTCAAACAGTCTTCCCGGACCTGATTTTCTGAATGCTCCGGTAAGGTCACCAGAAGAAGCTGCAGCATTTGTTCGCAAGCTGCAGTCTGTCTTGCGTCGTATAGGATCAGGCGACGGGGATATGGAGAAAGTGAGTGTCAGTATACCGGCAGCCATTGACTGCAGCTCGCAGGGAAACCTCAGGATAGATGCCAATGTATCTGTCAATCGACCTGGAGAGGCTTGGGGTACACGATGCGAGATCAAAAACTTGAACTCGCTGCGATTCCTACAGCAGGCTATCAGTGTGTTCGATCAGATTGCGACAAATCTGCTGAGACTGACATCCGATCATCAAAGAATCTGAGAGGTTGAGGCAAATAGCCCACTATACATCACAACCCGGCATCCCCTTGCAGAGAGAGACACGAGGTGTCAACGAAGTAACTGGAGAGACATACTCCCTGCGAAGCAAGGAAGATGCTATGGACTACCGTTACATGCCTGATGCAAATCTGCCAGCTATGGTGATTGATGAAGTAAGTGGCAAGTGTCAAGAAGACCAAGGGACGACTGATGAATATCAGGCGTATCTTTCAAAACTTCGACATGAGGTCCCTGAGCTCCCTTGGGAAACCGTGGATCGCATGTGTACCGCATACGATGTTCAGAAGCGCGATGTTGAAACCTTGATCGGATTGGACGAAGTTAACGGTCAGGGCCTGAGTTACTTTGAAGGTGTGGTACAGGACGACCCCTCGTTAGGCAAACCAGCCATGATTTGGTATGTCCCACTTTGTTCACGGCAGTTGGGATCTTTGGCTGATCCTCTGGATCTCAGGATCAATCATGTCCTTCTCGGACAATTGACAAAACTCGGCAAGACTTGGTCACCCGAAGTCATTCCATTCTCCCTGATGCGGGACCTGATACAAGCTGTAATCGATGACAAGCTCACCAGTCAGTCTCATTTGGCCCAAGATCTGTACCCAGGGCTGATACCTCATCCTTTCAGACGAAGCGGGCAAACAGGTCGTTCATCACATCATCGACCAGGGACATATTGCAGATATGTCTCTCGGATCAGTCTTGAAAGCCTTGAACATCTCAACAGACGTTTTATCCGAAAGAGCTCTCCGGATGATCTGCATTGACGTAGTTCGTCAGCTCACCCCTAAAGACCTCGCAATGAGGGATAAGAAAGGCCGTTTACCTATCGGGATGGTCATTGGCAAAGTAATGGCTCAGACTAAAGGGCAGGCGAACGCTATACAAGTGAAGAAGATATTAGAGGAACTTTTGAAGGATTTCAAGTGATCACAGAGCGTGATTGAGGATAGCGAAGCCGATGGTCATACATGTATCTCCGTGACTCGATTCAACTTGTATGCATAAATGTGAGGCGCATATGGACTGGGTCATGCGCAGGGACGAGACGGTGATTTACAACTGGATTCGGAACAATGGAGAGTACAAATGGCTGCGATGATGCAGCACCAAGCAGAGCCTAGTGGATAGGGAGCCCGCCGTCATCCTGCACGGTGGTGTTTGATTCGGTTACCAACGCCGATCCGTTCGCCGCATCTGTGCCGGTCATATCCGGCTTTGCATTCTCCAGTCCATTCGTGTGAGTTGACTGATGACTGCCTAGCGGAACGTCTTCATGCTCCGCCAGCTTGAAGCCCTGTTGTGGGAGCCAGATAACTCGTCTCTCTGTGAATTCAACCCGCTGTTCCTCCAGAACAGTACTGCCATCATCTAGATCCCTGACGCGTGACCGATTTTGCGAGTACACATGGACTGTCGCCTCAGCCTTCTCATTCCTGGATGAGCGAGCTATACCGGGCGCGGGTGATGATGCTGAAGGTCGGGGAGCGTATAGTACATTCGTCGACTCCTTCACAGGGTGGTTATTCTGCTCCCATGGCCTGATACGAGGTCAGTGAAGTCTGACCAGGCGCAGATCGAGATACTTACGGTGGCGTGAAGTTCCAAACCCGCGATTTCGGCTTGGATGGCAGCATCACCAGTCCCTTTCCCTTTTTGGTACCATTTGGCATGCCCTTAGCCCCTGCGGACCGCGGGTGAGTGTCCGGAACATCGAGATGCGGCAACTCTCTCTGCACCCTCCATAAAAGTTCTCGCGCAAGGCCAGATGGATCGTGGACAATCTCAGCGGGTATACGATCATGTATGAGCTTGCGCCGCTTGTCTTCTGCCCTCGGGTCTTCGAGTATACTCGCTTGGTCCACAAGGAATTGGGCGAGAGCATACAGGCCGTCCAGTACCACCGTCGATGGAGGGGTTGGCGCATGAGCGGTCGCGCGCGGGCGATAGGCATGAAGCGACCGCAACTCGGCGCAGTACTTCTCGGCGACATACCAGCAGAGTCTGTTCGAGAGTGAGCCTCGGCGAGGAGCATATTTGATCAGCTCACCGATCAAAGAATGGGAAGCGGAACCGTTGAGGAACTTTCGTGTCGATCTCGATCTGCCGTAAACGGAGTTCTGAGGATCTCAGCGAGTGTCCCAATAGAGCAGTTGGAACTCACGAGCCTGAATGTTGAAAGAATGAAGGAAATTTCCACCAAAAACGATAGAATCCGCGGGGGTGTGCTGGTGCATGATCAGCTCGGGTATACGCTTAGGTCACCAAGCGTACAACAGCATGAATATATCCAGAGGGTATAATCCTTTTATGCGTCAGCACGGTGCCGAGTTAAAGCTAGTCACATTGTATCGCCAGCATGCAAGGTCACTTTCCGAACCTCATCGCACATTGATCCAAGCCAGGTGTTTTGCTGCAACTCATACGATCCAGACCCTGGGGGAAGATCAGAACAGTCCGATTCAGATACTCACACTCGGCGTAAGCTGCGAGATTTTTCGGCGTCGGGCGAATGAAGAAGAATGTCTTGAAGGGTATCAGCTGATGAAGACGGGACCAATAGGCTGACCTTGGCACCCGTGTGAACCGTATAGTATACGGAGCTTGCCGCAAAATCTACGTGCCAATCCTGAGACAGTCAGCTGGGGGCCAGTGACCAAGGCTTACTGTCCAAGATCCTTTCGCGCCCATCTGTTGATAGTCAGCCCTGATCTCACAGTCCCTGTCAAGGCACGCACCAGGCAATACAGCTGCACTTTCGGCCATGTAGCCGGAGCTTTTCCTTTCGCTTCGCTTTTCGCGGCAGTCGCGACTCCGTCCTCAGCTTCCTGTCTCGCCTGCTCGGAAGCCTCTTTCGCTGCGTTCTTTCCGGCGGGTCCAAAATTCCAGAAATTGTCGACCCAATCAATCTCCGAGACGAGTCTCGGCGGCTTCACTTTCTTTGCCAGATCGGTTCCAGAAATCTCTAATGAGATAATGTTGTACGTCTTGCTCGAGGGTCCGGGGTCCGAGTGACGATTCTTTCTCGATTGGACGTATTCTACCCATTTTGCTAAAGGCCACTGAGACGATTGCTGTGATGCCACATCTACGTCTCATGAGCTGAATCCTGGTGCAGGGAAGAAGAAGTAGTTCACCGATTACGTCGACCATCCTGTCCATACCCACTAGGCGTCCAACATCTGCCACCGTAAAGTTCTTCCCTGGAATCTTGCCGCCTAGACCTTCAAAGCCTCCGTCTTCAGGTTTGATGATGAGTGGTTCTCGATCCGGGCCAAAGAAGAGCGAAGGGGGAAGGCGGTTTGGGTAGGATTGTGAAGACGATTCACCTTGGGAGGGCAAGGTCGAGGAATCAATCCATGATTTGGTCAAGATTTCAGCCGGAACACGAGGAAAGTTGCCTAGAAATCTCATCAGCCTGGCTAACGACTTGAGCTTACCTTCGGAGATGACAACATCAAAGTGTTGAGGATTTGCAATCAGCTCCAGCCACTTGGCAGTCGGCGTCGCGATGTGATGGTGGAGAGCATGATAGTCCGGTCGATTTAATGCAGCTTGTCGCTTGGGTCTGGCTTTAGCTTTGACATCCCCGGGGGCTGAAGGGTCCTTCTGGTTGATCGCAGATGTATCGCTAATGGTAGAGCTCAAGCGAGGCTTCTTGCTTGTAGTCCCTGGTGATGCAGTTCTTTCAGACGATCTCTTTTCAACTCTATGGGTCGACTTCTTCGGAGGAAAGGTTCTCTTGTTGAGCGTTGCGACGAGGGGATGATGGGGTCGTTTATCGTTTGTCGGATCTACCGACCAAGATATACAGGAGGGACAATACCTGATATCTGGTTGAGACACTGCTCTGATTCTGTCGTTGGCTCCACTCACCATCTATCCACCCATCCTGTCCAATCTGACCACACTCCTTCTGCTCCTTCTGCCTCTGCCTCTGCGATAATTTCCGCCGGGACAGATCGCTTGCCTTGCTCCTTGTTTGTCAACAGGCAGACAGAATGATACCACTCTTTGCATCTTGAGCATTCTATCCAATAAAGATCTGGCGATTCCCTCGTATCGCTCGTCTGATCATGTTGTTGTTGTTGTTGAGCTGTGGAAGATGAGGCCTCATCTTCGTCCTTCACTGTCACTTCGACATTACCATCACCATCATCATGATCATTCTTCTTGAGACCAGTCGGAGGACCGGATTCAGGACAGAGCGGACATTTGAGCTCAGTCGAGTCCTCCTCCATATCCGTCATGGTATGTCATGTATCAGTGTTAAATCGTTCAACAACTGTTGGGAGAGATGCCCGGTCGATCGGGTAAAACGCGTGAATTGGCCGAAATCCGAATCACGTGATGTCATGCGATCGACACCCGGCCGCAAGTCAGAAGTTCTTATTATTTGACATTGGACCATATCTCAGCTGCTTCAAGACTTCTATCGGTGCTTTCATCTTGGCTCTGGAAAGAGCTCAACCACACATCTTTGCTACCTCCTCTCACTCCCCCTTGTATGCTTCATCAGCCTGAACACAACCCGAGAGATTCAGAGCAAAGTATACCGCAGACGTCAGACTCTACAGCCTCCATTCAAGATGATCTCGATGGGCTTCAACTCGCCACACCCTCCTCTGCGCTCAACGAGCGTCCAGGGCGGCGCTCTCCAAGACTCAGCGCCAAGAAGATGAGCAAATGGAAGCCGAAAGGCAAGACGCGATTCTCGCAAGATCCAGCTGGAGAGTGGTGGGTGACGCACGTTTTCCATGCCGTTGAGCAACAGCTGAACTGTGATAATCAGCTTTCTGCTCGATCTTCCTCAGGATGTATTGACACTTCTGCTATGCAAGCTCGCTCCAAAATCGTTGTTGGCTCTCAGTGCGACTTGCAGATTCCTACACCAGGAATTGGAGAACGAGACCATTTGGAGGCACAGTTATGTCAATCATTACCTCTGGGACGGAGCATTCAGATCCGCTCAAGGCAAGGCGGACGTTCAGGTCTTGGTACAAGGTTGCAACGGACCGTCAAGAGGGTGGCGTCAGGAGTCCTTGAGCCGAGAATCAATGCTCAAGTGAGCCTGCCTACCACTCGCGGCCTGCTGACTCCTTTCAGCCGATGGACTGCATCAAAGGCGAATCACACTCTACATCTACCGAATGTTGGGCTCATACGTGGCTTCTCACTCTTCTATCCCCAACCGACAAACTTATCCGTTCCACCTGATGGGAAGTCACAGCCTGCTACGCCTACCAAGTCGGGATCTGCGACTCCCCAGCCTCCGAATCTTACACCTGTGAAAGGGGCATCAAGTGTCGGACCGACGCCTCCGAAATTGACACATCGTCAGAAGTATGAAGCTTTGCTCGCCGCTAGTACTCGTCCAGCTCCCTACGTGCTATCTGCAGGCTTGGACGCTGGTGCAGTAGTTCGAAGTGATCCGCTCAGTGGCAAGGTGTCCAAAGGGTACTGGGGTCCAGATCCGAATGGTGTGTCGTAAACAAGCATATGACATTACTGAGCTCATCCTTCACCTTTAGCCAACTTTCATCTGCGGACGCGACTGAATGGGCGATCGTCCACGTCTGCGGTCTTTGTTCCCACCCGAACGCAGAACTATTCGATCTGGGGTCTATTTAACGGCACGGTAGCGCATACAGTCATGCAATCCAAACACTCGTCCGCTCCTGGGACGCGCGCAAATTCGATCAATACGCCGTGCACCATCGCTGATACTCACGAGGGCCAGGTGTCCTGCGTCTGGGCTCAAGAATCCGCAGATGATGCCACAGTCTTCCGCTTCGTTTCCGGAGGTGCAGACGGCCGCGTCAAGTATTGGCAGTTGAACAATGTCTCCGTGGCAAGAGGTGGCTCGGGTCATGGACATGGCAAGCGATCCACGGCGTCTGAACCCACTTCGATTCTTTCTTGCCTGTTCACTTCTGAGGTCAAACTGGAGCCTTTTGCCAACCGGTCGGAAGAGGTACAACGGAGGCAAGGAGCGGCTGCCGAAGAAATCACGGTTGTCAGGTGTGACTCGGATGCAGATGTGGTCTGTGGCATCACTGGCGATGGTGACCTACGAGTGTGGCTGGATTGTTCATCACCTACTCGTAGGGAGATCAGAATCGACGCCGGCTCGGAGAAGGAAAATGGCCCTGTAATCACGATGGAGCTGAGCGTGCAATCATCGAGTGGTCGACCCCTCGCATCCGTTCTGGTTCATCACCTTGGATCGCCGGTCTTCCATCGATACGATATCGAAATGACTGAAGAGAACCCGAGCATTTCTACAACTACGTTCGTCACCCCAGACGGAACCGGTATCTTGAAGTTGCAGGCATACCTCGAGCCAGCCGTACCAATCTCACTTCTTCCTCAGCCTACCTCAGCGCCCCCCATTATCGCCTCTCCCAATATACCGACGCTGGAACTGCCTAGTGATAGAAAGGCAGAAGCTACACCGCAGGCTTCAGTTGTGTCGCCGCCCGAGTTCGGTCGACTGGTCATTGCTGGTGACTCATCCAGTGGCGTTCACATCTGGTCCTGGGACAGGCCATCCTCTCGCCAAGGTGCAGATATCACTCCGCTTCGATCATGGGACAATTTCTCCAGGAAGATCACCGCGATTGACATGTCGTGTGGCATCGTCGCCATTGGCTCAAGCGATGGTTACATTAAAGTCTACGACCCTCTCCCTCATACACCTGTTCTTCTTCGAAGCTTTCGCGCCTCCCATCTCTCACCGGCAGATGTGGACATCGCGTCGAGTGATGCTCCTCATGCGCCATACTACACGCCTAACAAAATTCTTCTGGACAATGACATGCTGGTTGCCGCCATCGGTCACAAGGTGTTTGCTTGGCGGGCTGGAAATGGAAAAAGTCGTCAAGCTGGAGGTAAGGGAGAGAAGAAACCTGGAAGCAAGGCTGAAGGTCGATCGCATGGTCGGACCATGGGTGAGTAAACGCTTGGCATCGGTTTACTGCAGTGGAAGACTCGTTGACCGTTCGCTGTCCATGTAGATCTCCGCTCTCTGCATGCAGAGGCAGCCGACGACCAAGCTTACATGGAGGAAGAAGAAACTGGACAGCGCATATCATCCGATAGGAACAGACTACATGACAAAGCCGAGAGGCAGCAGATGGCTGTGTTGGACGATCTAGGTCTTGAAGGCGACGAAGCACTTCAATATGCGCTCATGTTGTCAATGGAGGACCAGAATCGGGGTGAGGACGCAGCGCACGAGTACCTGGAGGATGAACTGGCGGAGTTTCACCATCAATCACAATGGCAGTAGAGCATTTTTTTACAGAGATACATACATCAAATCTTGCATATCTTGGTACATGAGACGACATTGATTGAGTAATGTTACTATACGACTGTACGGTAGACGCTTGAACAGACTCGACCGTGATTACCTCGCCCTCGTTTCAAGCCCCTCGTTGTCCTCGTGAACCCCACCCTTGATCCCTCTCCCTCTCCCTCTCCCAATCTGAAGGTCCGCGTCGATCGCCACCTCTGGAATCCCCTGACCTTCCCGCATCATATGGGTTATGTCTTTCATCATACCCCTGATATGCTCCGAGGCCATCTCGTGCATTGTACTCCGAATGATAAGGTGGATATTGACCAGGTTGGCCATACCGAGGTTCGTCCGGTTGTCCGTAGTACGAAGGATGCGGACCAGAGTAAGACGGTTGCGGGGTGCTTGATCCCTGTGATCCTGGAGGGGTGATACCGCCAAGGACGCCCTGCAAGGCTTGAGGATTCAGACTTGCCATCAAAGCTTGTAGCTTTTGAGTCTCGATGGAAGGTAGAGGCGGAGCGGGTACATTCACAGGAGGTGTAGGTCTTTGGACTTGAATCGGAGCGGAGTTCTTGGGAGGAGGAGCAGGCATTGGGGTAGGTGTACGATTGGTTATGAAAACGCCGACGAACAATGATTCTGTTCTCCCTTCTTTCGGTAAAGCGTAGCCATCAATCAAGTCTGTAAAACTTGGCGATGGATCAGAAGGACGGAGTGGAATCAGGTACAATTCTCTAGCGCCACCAGGTGGAACAGCTTTTGCATCTCTCCCCGTACCATACGGGTGGATCAATGCATGTCGGCTAAGTGAGCGTTCGTCAGCTCATACGTTCTCAGTCAGAGCAGCAAAATCTGGGCTCACTCTTTCTGAATGTGAAAGTTTATCATCTCTGCCCATTCTGCCTTTTGGGAATCTGAGGCAGAAGGGTCCAAAGTCATAGCCACGACGATGAGCTCTTTTGTTGGTGTCATTCGGGATGTCTCAAGGTATTGAGTTGATGCTGTAGTGGGTACTCGACCTGTGATCTCAACGGGGCTGGTGGGGAGTAGAGCGGTCCAAATGGGAGCGACGTGTCTAGCTGAGATGTGTCGGACTTGTACTGGTGGTGCATGAGGAGAGGATTTGGCGGGATTGACGATCTAGCAGGTAAACCAGTCAGCAGGATGCTTCGTTCTGGGGATGTAATTGAGTTCTTCACGTACCGCTCCAGACCAGATCACTGGTTTTGCGTTGAAAAGCTCTATCTCGCTCTTCTGCCTTGACCCGCCCTCGCCAATGTTCCCGACAAGACCCAGGTCATCATCATCATCCACCACTTCCACGGCGATATCACTGAGATCGAGTTGAGACTGATCGCCTCCTCCCATTCCCAACCCGATACCACCGTCTTCCTCAGTTCTCACGCCACCTGCGCCGCCCCAGGCAGAAGACAAGGAGAATTGTCTCTGAGGTTGGACTGGGACCTTTGGTGATTCAGACACAGATTTTCGAGGCGAAGGTAAGAGACCAGTAGGTGGTGCGCCAGATACACTGGATGCACTCGGCCTAGGCCCCGACTTTGGAGTAGCTACAGTGGGACTTTGGCTCTCTGCCGCCTTATCAGGTAAAGGCACAGCTCCCAGTTCTCCAATGGTACCTCCAGACTCTTCCATTTCTCGCCGTCTCTGTGCTTCCCTCTCCTTGGCCCGTTGTGCTTCTTCCGCTGCTCTCAAAGCGCTCATCTCCTTCTCTCTCGCATCTTCTGCTCGTTCAAGGCCATCTCTACCCAAACGGATGGTAGCAGCTTGATCCTTACTGGACTTGACAATGGACGCCAGTCGCTCCTGTTTTGCTGCCTCCAGTTCAGCGAGACGAGCGGACGAGGCGAGCTCAACGTTGGTGAGATTTGCGACTTGGGCCGGGGAGATTGTTCGATTCAGAATCGATGCCAAGGTATCTTGTCGCAGATCGACGTTCAGGGATTGGTTGAGAAGGGTGAACTGACCCCTTAGAAGAGAAGTAAGTATACGGCTCCTGCGCAACCTTCTTCTTTGTAACTCACTTGTACTTGCTTCCCGCCGTATCCTTGCCATTGATGACTTCCTTGAATCCATTCCACAGTCCTAGCTCGAGCTCCCTTGCATACTGATCTGCCTGGGATTGAGACTCGTCCTTGAACAGTCCACTGAGAGCCTGGCCAAGCTTCATTAAAACGAAGGCTCTCGCAGGAGCGAGTGCACCCTGTGGGGTTTTGCGAGTCGGGGCGCCACGACCAGCCTTGGTCGAACGTTGTGAGGCAGGCTGACGATCTCCAATGATCAAGCGTCCATCGACCGAATTGACAGGCTTGTGTGTCAGAGTCTTGATCTTCTTCTTGACCGGCTTATGAGTTTCTTCCACGTCGGAATCAGAGTCATCCGAAGAATCAGAGACTGAGTCCACCTCTGAACCTGATCCATCGGAAGATGAGCTTTTGACAGAGTGAACTGATGGGCTACTGGTCACTGAAACTTTGCTCTCCAAATTAGCTGCCTGATATTCCGTCAGTTACTCGGTCGCTCATCAAGGAGCCCCTAAGGATTCACCTTCGCCCTCCTTGTTTTTGAAGTTGAAGGCTTCTCGATGCCCGGCGGCGGGGAAGGTGATGGGAAGTTGTCAAGGTCGTAGGTATCTGCAGAGCCCAAGGTCAGCAAAAGTCACGAGAGACGCGATAGCTGTTTTCAACACTATGGGAACGGGGCTAGAAGGAAAATGGAGATGATAGTGTAGCAGATGGGATGTCACGCTCGTCATGCGTGCAAGGTTCGTGCACCGGCAGGGAGTACATCACCTCGTTAACTGTTGAGCATCTCCCAATGGATTGAATCGCCATGTGGACTGACAGACAATGCGATGGGCGATTCGCAAAGGAGCAGAACGCAATCTCGCATTTTGACATAACAGGTAGATAGTGAAAGAAGCTCTATATACGAGGTACTCGAGATTGCCATGGGTACCACAGGTGCGAGAATTCCGGGCACGGTGGGGCGGCCTGGAAGATGGGAGTAAGGGGAGACACTCACGAGTGGTCTTCTTTCCCGTCTCCGTCTGACAGTCTGGGCAGACAAACTCGTCTACAGGGTACATGTCAGTGACAAGAGTCATAAGGCCGATGGAGGTGCAAGATTGAGGAAGGCGTGTCGCTTCTCTTGGCCAGAAGCACAGTCTTTCGGTATTGAAAGCAATGGAGGTCGGAAAGGATCGTATGGTGGGGCGACGACTCACGTATGCGCTCGGCTTCGTCAACGGAGAGTTCTAGGCAATCAAAGTGAAACCTGTTAAAGGAGGTCAGCGAGGGGTCATCACACAGTGGGAACCAGCGATATGAGATATGCAGCTGGAAATTCCAGTCATGCAAAGACCGACTATCTACTCACCAGTTATCACACGTCCCGCATTCAATCATAGGTCTTCCATCCTCTCCATCACTCTGACAAATACAGTATGTATCGGAGTCTTTGCTCTGCTTCTTCGTTCTCTTCTTGCTCTTTGATTTTGGCGGCTTGCTCTTGACCTTTTTGCTACTGCTTGCCATAATGATCTGTGATGAATCATCATCTTGACCTGCTGAAGCATTGCGAGCTGGCGATGGATTGGCCTCTCTATTTTTGGCTAGGGTAAATAAGCGTTCGACATGTTCCGACTCCAGTGCTCTTTGAGATTTGACACGAGTTCTTCCGCTCGTCCTTGCAGGTGTAGTCGATGGACCGGCGGCAGTGATCTCCTTCGCCGACATGGTCGTAGCCCGGACGAGACCGTTATAAACAAGGGTGTCTGGGAAAGAGTTAGAGATCACTTCAAATGGTGTGGGCTAACAGACGACCAGAAGGTCGGCAGCCGTGCGGAAGCAAAATTGCTTGTTGCAGGCGTGGGAAAGTATACATATTACCGGGGCTCGCCGCTGACGAGCGCGACGGCGAGCGTCTCCTGACTGGTGAGCAATGCATCAGTCAGTAGAGATAGTGCTCCATCAAGTAGCTTGCGGGAAGCAGGATGCTGCTCTGGTCAAGCCTATTGCCCATATTGACACTGGTGAAAGCTACAAGCACATATGACGAGTCATTCCACGAGAGCTTGACCCTACATCCCCTACCAGATGGTCGCCTCAGCGTGCTCTTCGAATTCACCACTCTATTCTCTTCGACCAGCTCTTCACGGCGTAGCTCAACCCCCGTAGGTACGACAGAGATGCGATTGACACGAACTCACGTAATCTCTAGCTCAGTCACATCACTCGCTCACGCCGCCGAGCTTGCTCCTACCGCTTGAGCACAACCGAGTCTCTGAATTGACCATTTCATTCGTGTCAGGAAGATGGGATCAGAGACGCACAGGAGAGGCGGGGCCACTACACCATGAGTCAGGAGGAGGCGGAGGTGAAGTGAGAGGGTGGCTACGAAATAATCAGAATGGCAAACCGTGAGAGATCACTTTCCACTTCCCCTCTTAAGCATGGCTGACGCTAGATCCTACAGCGATTTTGAGGCATGGACCAGGGTAACGCATGCTCTTGGAGGTCTCTTCTGCGCCGGACTAGGCCCCTCGGAGGACGGAGACAGCGTCAATACATTTGGCCATATCTATCCTGCCCATGTCTCGCAGACCAGTGAGCTCTTGTGATCTCGGATCCGGTGTTCAAGCTCACACGCTTAGACACGAGCCACTTCTTCCTGCCTCAACCTACCCTTCACCTTTGTACCGAGAACCTCACACCTTTTCTGACTCTCCTCCCTTCGAAGGGACTCTCAGGGCTTTCTCTCTTACTCGCTCGCCCGGATCTGGTCTTTGCTTGGGGTTTCCAATCCGAAGGTATAGAAGTGATCATGCCATCTGCGGAATCGCCTCAAGGCAGATGGCGCGGATGGTGGGAGGGAATAGTGGATCTCGTCCCGCCGAAAGGAGGTGATCGAAGCTTCTCACTGAATTCGCTGTTTAAGAAGAATGTCCCTCGAGCGTTTCCGATGGCGGACTCGAGTGTGCTCAAGGTGATCCTTCCTGAGCAAGAAGGATTCAGAATGAACAATGTGCCATCAAAGACCGAGACAAAATGGATCGACGGGAGACTGCGCAATGTTGCAAATTGGGATCTCTCTCATGGTGACATGGCGGGTAAGGACATTAGCTTCTGGTGGGATGGAGAAGGCGATTTCAGACATCGTGGGTTCCTCAGGCAGGCTGGCCGCAAAGCTGTACTGAATACTCGTATGTATAGCTCGTTCATTCACACCACCGACGGTCACACTTTTCCGGACCGTCATTGAGCCCTTTGCTTCCGACGGCACCTTCTCCATCCTCATTCACAATACGGGAGACGAGACTCGGCAAGCCGTCTACAGCGAAGCTTGGCCATGGTGGCTCCAAGCTTGGACACATGAGATCTCCATTGCCCAGGACAAGGTTCCTAGTCGTGAGCATTCTGCTGAACCAGCTATTCACTTGACTGACACGTCTTCAGCTCTACTCATCACGAGCATGTTTTACGAACCTTCAACGCCCCCGACAGCATCGATCACGACACTGCATCTCGGTATCACCATACCGGCTCGCTCGACTTTACAGCTCAAAATTCCGTTCACGAAACTCACCCTCAAGTATACAGAACATCGACCCGACGCCGAACGAGGCAGAGAAATTCCTTCGGGGATGTTGACGTTTCTGGACCTAGAAGATTCGGATGACTGCCAGGTGGAGGTCTCTGTGCGGAAAACGAGTAGCGACACACTCAATCGATCTCGGTGCTCTCGTCGAGAGCATCTTTACACTAGCCGAAGATTGGTCGACTTGCCGACACCCGACTTTTCAATGCCCTACAATGTCATCATCATGACTTCGACCGTGATGGCCGTCTTCTTCGGATTGATGCATGGCGCATTGACTAGACGATGGGGTTATGTAGACATCGAGGTCGAGCTGGATGAGACAGACGGAGCAGTGGCCTCGAACGCCACTAAGCACACCTCAAGCAAGGTGGAATGAGGCAAGTTTTTCGACTCGACTCGACTCGATTCCCAGTTTCGAGTCGGTCGAGATTTTCCGTGTCGTGGCGCTGGCTGGGCAGCAGCAGAGCTGTGGCTTGACAAGGGGTCTCACGGTTGACTTTGTCCAGCCCATAGCTCGGAAACCTTTCTGGACAATCCATGCATGGTATCTTTCAACTCATCATCGACTCATTGTCCGTTGTCCATCTTGTCCTCACTGCATTTTATTTTCCAATCCTTTTGATTTCCCTTTAATTTCCAAATTGTCTGAAGATCCGGACGCCGCCAACCAAAGCTGTCAAAGCCACTGAAGAGCCCCCCGAGGCCATCTCTTCTCAACTTAGATGAGCATAGCGATTGGATACAGACTCGGATCATCTTCCTTGTCTCGCTATACTCAAGGAGCACTCTGGCGTAGAGGACAATTCATCCGGAAATCATCTACCTCGCTCGGCCTGGCTGCTGCTCGGATCTCTAATCAGCAGAACATAACTGCCGCAACATTAACCGGATTCAGACACCTCGCTGTTCTCGCCAGACCCAAGATTGAAGAGACTGAATCAGAAATGACAGACGTCAACATGGAAGGAGCCGCCGCCGCCGAGGCAAAGATAATTGACGGGACAGCCATCGCCAAGTAAGTTATGTTCATTGATATCACTGGAAGAGTCTCCCCATCGTCCTAGAGCTAATCAGGCTCAACAGATCCATCCGATCGGACATTGCCCAAGCCATCACTGCCCTTCGGAAATCTAACCCGACATTCTATCCTCCTCGGCTCGTGATTCTCCAACTCGGATCGAATGCTGCTTCGGCAACCTATATCCGAATGAAGCTCAAGGCGGCCGAGGAGAGCGGTATGACTGTCGAGCATATACAGATCCCTTCCGATGCCGAAGCTGGACCTTCGAGTCATTCGGGTGCAGGCGTGGCAAAGATCCTGGACGTCATCCAAAAGGCCAACGCCGATGAAAAAGTCAGCGGAATCCTCGTTCAACTTCCACTCGAAGGTGCGAGCACTGTTGAGGAGAAAAAGGTCGTCGATTCGGTAGCGGTGGAGAAAGATGTTGACGGATTCCATCCTGAGAACATTGGTCTCCTCAACTCTAGAATCGCAGAACCATACTTCACCCCCTGTACACCTGCCGGTGTCATTCGCTTGATCGAATCGACCGGTTTCAATCTCCAAGGATCCAATGTCGTCGTTCTTGGTCGATCTGATATCGTCGGAACACCCACCTGCGCGCTGTTGAGGAAGAAGGACGCAACCGTCACCCAGTGTCATCGTCACACTCAGAATCTCCAGGAAATCATTTCTCGTGCAGACGTTCTCGTTGCTGCCATTGGTTCAGCTGGCTTCGTCAAAGGTGAATGGTTGAAGAAGGGCGCCATCGTCATTGATGTCGGTACGAATTACATTGCCGACCCCAGCAAGAAATCTGGTTCGCGTTTGGTTGGCGATGTCGACTTTGCAAGTGCTTCCCAGGTCGCTAGCCACATTACTCCTGTCCCGGGTGGTGTTGGTCCCATGACCGTCGCAATGCTCATGAGCAATACCTTTGACGCGGCCAAACGAGCTTGGCAAGCTGGAAGAGACCGACGTGTGACTCCATTGCCCTTGACGCTCAAGGAAAAAGTCCCCTCCGACATCGAAATCGCCACCTCTCAGACGCCGAAACCCGTCTGGGACATTGCCAAGGAGATGGGACTGCAAGCGGATGAAGTCGAGAGCTATGGCAAGTACAAAGCCAAGGTCGAGCTCTCAGTCTTGCAACGTTTGAGCAATCGTCAGGATGGAAAGTACATTGTCGTTGCAGGAATCACGCCAACTCCACTTGGAGAAGGCAAATCTACTACGACAATTGGACTGGCTCAAGCTCTCGGTGCTCACCTTCACAAGGTTGCTATCGCCTGTGTTCGACAACCTAGTCAAGGACCCACGTTCGGAGTCAAAGGTGGTGCCGCGGGTGGTGGTTACTCCCAAGTCATCCCCATGACTGAATTCAACCTGCATCTCACTGGTGATATTCACGCCGTGACTGCCGCCAACAACTTGCTGGCCGCTGCCATCGACGCTCGAATGTTTCACGAAGCTACGCAGAAGGACAAGGCGTTGTTCGATCGTCTTTGCCCCGCAAAGAAGGGCGTCAGGGCATTTGCCAAGCCTATGCTGGCTCGTTTGAAGAAATTGGGCATCAATAAGACCAATCCCAACGATTTGACAGAAGAGGAGCAGTCTCGCTTTGCCCGGTTGGACATCGACCCCGCCACGTTGACTTGGAACCGAGTGCTTGACACGAACGATCGATATCTCCGAAGCATTACTGTTGGTCAAGCTCCCACTGAGAAAGGCCTCACCCGACAGACTGCTTTTGACATCGCCGTCGCTTCCGAAGTCATGGCTGTTCTCGCGCTCTCAAAAGACATTGCCGATATGAGAGAGAGACTGGGGCGAATGGTTGTTGCCACATCAAAGGCTGGAGACCCAGTCACCGCAGAGGACATCGGTTGTGCGGGTGCTATGGCTGTCCTGATGAAGGACGCCATTAAGCCAACGCTGATGCAGACTCTCGAGGGAACACCAGTCTTTGTCCACGCCGGTCCATTCGCCAACATTGCCCACGGCAACTCCTCCATCATTGCCGACCGTATTGCGCTCAAACTCGCCGGTATCGAACCGGGCGACGAGGAGTCGAGGAACGGATATGTCATCACCGAAGCTGGTTTCGGTGCCGATATTGGAATGGAAAAGTTCTGCAACATCAAGACTCGTGTCTCTGGTCTCAAGCCAAACGCAGTGGTCCTTGTGGCAACCATCCGTGCTCTCAAAATGCACGGTGGTGGCCCTGCTGTCACACCTGGCAAGCCACTCGATGCTGTCTACACAGAGGAGAGCCTCGATCTGCTGGAGAAGGGCTGTGCCAATTTGGGCAAGCATATTGAAAATGCAAAGAAATTTGGTCTCAAAGTCATTGTCGCTGTGAACCGATTCTCGTGAGTCGTCTCCGTAGAATGATGATCTTCAGCTGATATGGTTCAGGAACGATACTGACGCCGAAATGGCCTTGGTCCAAAAGTACGCCCTGTCCGTTGGAGCCGACTATGCTGTCCCTGCCAATCACTGGGCTGAAGGTGGAGCTGGAGCCCTCGAAGTAGCCAAGGCTGTCGTTGAAGCCTGTGAGACTCCCTCGACTTTCGACTTCCTGTACGATGTCAACCTTCCTCTGGTGGAGAAGATGAACATCATCGCAAAGGAAATGTACGGAGCGGACGGTGTCGAGCTTTCACCAGAAGCTCAGGCCGAAGTGGATCGATATGAAGCTCAAGGCTACGGCTCTCTGCCCATCTGCATGGCTAAGACGGCGCTGTCACTGAGTGACGACCCGTCAAAGAAGGGTGTCCCAACAGGCTTCACTATCAAGATTCGAAATGTAAGATTGTCAGCCGGTGCTAGCTTTGTGTACCCTTTGGCCGGAGATATGAGTACCATGCCTGGATTAACCACTCGCCCTGGATTCTACGACATCGACTTGAATCCCGAGACTGGAGACATTGAGGGGCTCTTCTGAGCGTGGTGGGACGAGTGGACCAGGCTTGGATTGTGGATAGAAATGGACAGACTGCATTAGGGGTTCAACCCTTTCCCAAGACTAGAAAAGATACGACATTTTGTACATGACATACCGAAAAGCGTTAGATCCACATACGGACCTAAGCATGCACCAAGCATCAACTGCGCTGGGAGTTTCGACACAGCGGGCGATTCCCCCAGCAAGGGAAGAAGACGAGATATTTACGCGAGGAGTCTTTCGGAGACGCGCGTCGACCCCAAGCTATCGCTCGTGTACGACTTTCTTTCCTACATTGGCTGCACATACATCGCGGGGTTTTGTCGTCACACCTTGCTGACCATCAGTCCTGATACAGGCCAGGAATGTCTGATGCAATGCAGAAGAAGGTTGGACAGGTCCGCCTAGTGACTGAATATACAGGTGAGAAATGCCGACCTGCCACTTACCGAAGGCATAAGGGTCTCTCCCCTGGGTTCTGAGTTTGACCTCCCATCACAGATAAGATCTTCGACTCTTGCGTGACAGTGCTCGAGGAAGGCTTTGCGAAGCGTGAGCTATCCTGCCTTTATGCCATTCCGCCTCGATCCAGTGACTCGTGCCAATCTTGAACTAATCGAGGGACGCCCTACAGATCCGCTGACGGCAGCCTCGCATGGTGGTGATCCAGAACTGCTGCACCTCGAGACGCTCCATTTGGTGGCTCTGGCCTTTACCAAATGGGCGATCTTCGCATGTGGCGATGATGAAGAGGAGATTTCGTCGGTCATGCTAGTCAATCCCTCGGCGTAAGATCTGGGTATCTCGGGACCCTCAAGCAAAGAGCTGAGATCGACTAGCGTTCATCCCATTCCGGGGTGTGCGGCCTCCAGTTCAGAGCCTGAGATGGCGAAGAATGCCAAATTGTACGAAGAGCAGTACGAAGCGAAACTACCGCAGCATCTCAAAGATTGGCGTGACCATGTTGTAAGTGTGATCGCAAGCAATATCGGGGGTAAAACTTTTCACTGATCCTTGTCTTGTCCTTCTCAGTTCGAAACTGTTCTCACTCAATGTCGAAGTGCATCTGCGGGTGATGCAGAACCACCTCATCGAATCAACCTCATCGCTAGTAAGCCTTCTGCTCGAGGGAAGGGTCATGGATCCGCTCTGAAGCGCCATCTACTGCGGATCGCCAGGGAGCAAGATGCATCCGTCAGTCTGAATTGTCAAGAGGAAGCGACAGTACGTAGGCGAGGATGATCGTTACCTTTTAACGGAATACTCATGGCTCAACTCTCACAGCATAGGTGGTATAGCTCTTTGGGCTTTGTGACGAGATATCATACGACCTTTGAAACGCCGGATCACGAGACGATGTCGCTGTGGAGCATGTTGTGGCAGAAGGCCGAGTAGAGTATCTGGACTTTGTGGGACATTGTACGCTTTGAGCTGGTCGGGTGCGGATCGCTGCGAATGGATGCACCCGGGAACCTGCCGTATTTGATGTGTGATCAGTCCCGAATGATGATGCAATCAAGTTAATCTTCCCTCGGCCGAGAGATCTGAGATTTCGTCCGATCCGTAGATCTAACAAGATCTAACAGAGATGACTGATATTTGGTACATAAATCCTCAGATGCGCGAACTTTCAATCTGGACGTCTTAACTTGAGGTGCTAGATTAGGAGCCTGATGTCAGTCCAGGAGTCAATTGTCAGACAGGTCGAGAACGACAGCGGTAGGTCTTCCAAAGACATCGGCAACGCGTTGAGGAATCGGCTGACCCTGTCTGTAGATGAGCTCTTTGACAGATGTCTGAAGGTCCTCCTCGAGGCATTCTCAACACGTGAGTAACGGTTCGCTCACCTAGAGAGCCTGCTACGTCACTTTGGGAAGGGCTGACATATCTCTCAACAGATCCTTTGCTGCTCATGAGGAATGGCCATGATCAAGAGCTGATCGAGCTAGATATAGCGCAGGGCTTTGCTGGGTCCTTCGCCAAAAAGCTAGTCTATGTGACTGGTCACGATGATCAGGATATCTCAGCAGTAATGGGTATAATGCTTCCTGTGTGAGTCGAAGTACACCGAGAGCTTTGTGGGTCGAGCTGAAATCTGTACTGTCCTCTTAGTCCTCCCAAAAAGGAGCCAGAGGAGCAAGACAAGAAGGAGGAAGCTATCACCAATCCTGTCGTCATACCAGCTGTGGATGATCGAGAAGCGCGACTGAAGAAAGAGTATGAGGCAAAATGGCCAGAACACCTCAAGAAGTTCATCGAGACCGAAGTGAGTTGAGTCGTAGACTCAATCTGGAGTCTGGCTAGTAGAAACGCTGACTGAGTCTCGTCTCCTCCTCCTCCTCCTCCTCCTCCTCCTCCTCCTCCTCCTCCTCCTCCTCCTCCTCCTCCTCCTCCTCCTCCTCCTCCTCCTCCTCCTCCTCCTCCTCCTCCTCCTCCTCCTCCTCCTCCTCCTCCTCCTCCTCCTCCTCCTCCTCCTCCTCCTCCTCCTCCTCCTCCTCCTCCTCCTCCTCCTCCTCCTCCTCCTCCTCCTCCTCCTCCTCCTCCTCCTCCTCCTCCTCCTCCTCCTCCTCCTCCTCCTCCTCCTCCTCCTCCTCTAGTTTACCGACCGTTTCAAGGAGCTCAAGGCCGCCATAGGGGATGAGATATGGACCAACAGCCATAAAGTTGCCATGGTTGGGACTTCGCCGTCCGCTCGAGGGAAGGGATATGGTTCAGCCTTGATGCGCAAAGTGATGGACTTAGCGGCGGAGAAAGGAAGCTGGGTCCTTCTTGTCTGCTGGACGCAAGAGACTGTGAGTTGCTCCCAAGCCTCCCAGATCTCTCAAGCGTCGACGGTGCTTCGCTGATACGTGTATCTTCTAGGCCGACTGGTATCTGTCTCTGGGGATGAAGATCGAATATGAATGCGATTTCCCAACGGTGGATCAGAGCAAACTGCATGCTTGGTATTTCACTTGGAAGGCACAATGATGTATGCATATATGAGGTCGTTCGCGACCAGGATAAAGCATTGACATGATACTACACGGGCCGTAACTCTCGTGCTTCTGTCAAAGACCTTCATGAACTCGGCTCCTTCGCATCCCGCTCGACCCATATTATCATCCGGTGTCGGAGAGGCAGTATGAGAGACCTTGCTTTAACCCCTTACCTCATCGAGATCACTCAGAGGCTTTCTTTGATTTCCGGCGCATGCACGAATCACGAGTTTCCATGAGGTCAGATACGTTCCCATGACGGTAGATACTCACCCCAGATCCATATGCGACGCCGACCCGCTTACCCTAAACAGATCTACAGATCTAATTGACTGGATCTGCCACAGGGTATTGGACTGACTAGATAGATAAGTAGCATGATCGATTTATGGCCTACGCCGGTCCTGGCCTGTCGCCAGCCTGACTCAGTATGAGGACCCCTTATCCAAGAGTTCGACACATTGAAGGGTACAGCGGTGAGTTCCTGTTAGAGGTACCGACCGATATTCAAGATTGACCGTCTCTTCCAGATGAAGCCTTCAACGCGTGCCTCAAGGTTCTTACAGCAGCATTTGCCGATCGTGAGTTGAGGCACATGATCTGACCAAGACAGGCCAGAACGACCCCACACAAGGCGAACTATGCTAGACTGCTGACGCCTGAACCCCACAGATCCATTCATGCTGATGAAAAATGGGCATGACCCGGAGCTTCTGCGGCTAGATCTGTCCATTCCAATAGCCAGCGGGTTGCAAAAGAAGCTAGTCTATGTCACTGGCCACAATGACCACGATATCTCGGCGGTCATCATCATTTCCCCACCAGCGTGAGCTCACACAGAGTGTCTGTGTGTCGATGATTGATATACCTGATGGTAACGAATGCCTGTAGACCGCCCAAGCCTAGTGATACGACGGTGAAAACCTCGCCCCAGCTTAACTCTGATAACGAGCCGGATTATGCGGAAAAAAACAGGGAAGAGTACAAAGCAAAATTGCCAGCTTATATCAAAGAGTACATGGAGACAGTCGTGAGCTGGGAAATGACGATACCGGGCGATCTTCTCACCGCTTTGATACAGAAAGCGGAGGACTATAAAGAATTTGTCAAGACCATCGGCGAAGAACTTTGGTTAGGGGGCTACAGGATCGGCGTCATAGGTACCTATCCATCGGCGCAAGGTCAGGGCTATGGTTCCGCCTTGATGCGTGAGATCATGAACATGGCGGCCGAAAAGAAAAGTTGGATCGCCCTGGCAAGCTGGACTCATGATACTGCAAGTCATCCTTAAGGTACCCTCCCCAAGCATGTGGCTGACCTCGCCGTAGACATTATGATATGAGTCGCTCGACATGAGGATCATTCATGATGGGGAGGTCCCTACGGTGGATAAAAGCCCGTTGCACAGGTGGGCTCTGACATGGAATAAGTGACACGCATAATGAGGATTCTGCCGCTAGTAACGGGCCCAGAGAAATATCGCACCACATAGGTATCAGACGTCCACTGCTACAGGCATTCACTATCCATGCATATCCAACCTCATTCATGCTCAATATCGCATGGTGCTAATCACAGAAGCCTGCCGCTGCTGATGCCGTTCGTAAAGATTGCCACGTGGCTTAGTCATGAGACGCGGTTCGCGTTGAAAAAGCATTCTCTCTTGATTCATGTTTACATGTTGGTATTGTAATTTGAATACCCTTCTAGCGGCACGCTTCATCTTCTGATTCATTTGGGAGCTACATTGGTGGATTGGCGGGAGACTGGAACGTATCAAACGTTCTCCCACGTCTTGACCATCCTCCGAGTGTGAACACCCATCATGGACGGCGCACCACCACCAGAGGAGGACTTTTCTCAAATACCCATTCCAGAAAGGAGTCAACACAAAGTATGTGTGGCCCAGAATGCTCGGAAATGACCCAGCACTGACCTTGTCGATCGCTCAGAATTGGAAGGCGAGGCTATCAGCCTATAACGATGTGATTGCAAAGGCGGCCAAGACAGCCTCAGATACCGATCCGTTCTTTAGACCATTCGTTTCAGATGGATCATTACTGTGAGTGCTCACACGATGAGGACTGCATGACATCGCTCATGGGTATGTCAGGAAGACATGGTGTACAGATGCAAATGCTGTAGCTCAGGAGAAGGGTATAGAAGCGGTTCTTGCGATCGTGCAATACAGTGGGGAGAGCAGTGCGAGGTTAGTGCTCCGCGAATCCCTCAGCACCTTGATCGCTGATCAAATCTCAGGACCCGGTCGGATGTCGTCCCGAGCTTGGTGGAGAAGTCTCTAGGTGCCAGTCGTGCTGGAACCAAGCGGAAAGGAATGGATCTGTGTGGGATGTACGTCGAGGTGGAGAATACAGGGGATGGGGTAATCGTGAGTCGGTGGCGCGCGATTGTTGCTCCGCCGAAGCTCATACGTGCCCAGGGCGACATACTCCCTGGTCTCGATGCCAAACAGCCAAAAGTCGTGGCAGGCTGTGTAGCTTGCCTCAAGGAGCTCGTCGAGTAGGTCGTCGCGACCCTCTGGTGGGAAAGTCAGGTGGCTCATTGACATCCTTTACAGATCATTCGGCGGCCCGTCAGTCGGAAATATCAAGCCCATCCTGAAATCCCTCTCTAAAATCTTCGGTCACACTGACAAGACTGTTCGAGAAGAAGCGACCGCACTGGCAGTGGCGCTCTACTTATTTCTGGGACCAGCATTGCAGCCATCTTTAGCCGATCTCAAGCCCGTCCAATTGACAGAGCTGCAAAAATCGTTTGATTCGTTGGACGCTGCGGGCAAAGGAGCTGGAACAGGCCGTCCAACCAGATTCACTCGGAAAGTCCAGAGAGATCGGGATGCGGCGGATGCATCAGGAGGCGGAGGGGATGCAAACGAGCAGAATGAAGCGGAGGCTGTATCCGTTGATCCCAAGTCATTCCTCGATCCTGTCAACGTCTTGTCATTATTCCCCTCGGATTTGGATGAGCGGCTCTCTTCTAGCAAATGGAAAGATCGTGTGGAAGTCTTGGAAGAGTGCAACAAAGTACTGGCGCAACCTGCCAATGCGAGGATCTCAGAGTCGAATGTCGACTCTTATGGCTCCCTAGTGACGACGCTGGGGTCGAAGTGTAAATCGGACGCCAACATAAATGTGGTCATCGAAGCGGCCAAGCTCATCGAGGGATTGGCGAACGGGATCGGCAAACCTTTTGGCAGATTCCGAGGCTCGGCGATGCCTAACATGTTCGAAAGGTTGAAGGAGCGTAAGCAGAATGTGGTAGATGCCTTGGGCAAAGCACTGGATGCTATGTTTGCCACTGTGCGTGAGATCGCCCTCAGACGCATCATTGCTGCTGACTAATTGTTGACAGGTGCCGATTTCCGACATGATCGATGATGTGCTCGTCGCACTCAAATCGAAGAATCCTCAAGTGCGAGAGAACGCCCTCAAATTCCTCCACCGGTCCCTGTCTACCACGACGACTGCTCCCTCCAAGGACCAGATTCAACCTATCGCTCAGAATCTTGTCACTCTGTTGGGTGACTCTACCGAACCAGTCAGGGCCAGCGCTGCGGATTGCTTAGGCACCATGATGAAGATCGTCGGGGAACGAGCTTTCAATCCTTACATCGAGAACGTCCAAGAACTACAATTGACAAAGGTCAAGGACGCGTTTGCAAAGGCAGAGATTAAGTACAAAGCGGCAGGCGCCGCGAAGGCTCCGGCAGCTAGACCAGCAGCTGGGGGACCAAAGCCATCGGTGGTGAAGAAGGTGAGCAATCATGTTGAGCGTTTGCTTAGACACTTAAGGCTCCTGCTCCTGCACCTGCACCTGCTCCGGCGGCTTCGAGTGAATTGCTCGATGACTTTGCGCCTCCTGCGCGCGCTCCCCCTGCGCGATTCGCCCGGCCAGTGAGTATCTCGCCTAAGTTCTTGGTTTTCTGCTTTACTGACGCGGTCAGGCTCAGCCGAAGTCTGATTCTACTACCGCCGCTGCTGCACCTCCCTCTTCTCCGCCTAAAGCTGCTCCTGCTCGGCCAGTCCCCGCGAAACGGCCTGCACCGGTTACTGCTAATGCCAAAGCCGCGCCGGCCGCTAAGGCGGGACCGTCAAAAACCCTTGCGATCTCTCCGTCCGAGCCTGTCAAATTTAAGATGTCCCCAGAGGATGCAGCTGCAAGAGCTGCTGATGACATCCCTTCCAATTTCCACACTCAGCTTGCCGATCCAGCTTGGAAGGTCAGGCTGGAGGCCGCAGAGGAGATGATCAAATGGGCTGAAGAAGGAGGAGCAGAGAAGGTCGACAGCGAAGTGCTTATGCGCTTCTTGGCCAAGACCCCCGGTTGGGGGGAGAAAAACTTTCAAGTCTCGGCAAAGATCTACCAAATCATGTGTGTCATGGCAGAAAAGAGTCCTTCATTTGGAAGGCCAGCTATCGCCTTGTCGGTCGGACATCTGTCTGAAAAGCTTGGCGACATGAAGTTGAAGAAGCCCGCGGGAGATGCTCTGACGATATACGCGGAAAAGACATCGCTGGCGTTTGTCCTCGCTCAAGGTGGGTTCCCCCGTCATGCTCATTGACTGACGTTGGCCCAGCCTATGAGCCCATGCTCAAGCAAAAGGCACCGAAGGCTCAAGCAGACGCTTTGACCTGGATCAAACAACAGCTCACCGAATTTGGGATTGCTGGTATCCCCCTTCGGGACCTGATCTCCTTTGTCAAAAAGGGTCTTCAAAACCCCAATGCCATGGTACGATCTAGCGCGACTCAAGTACTCGTTACTATCCGAGTGTTTGTTGGTGCAGATATCAGCGGATTCTTGGAAGATCTCAACCCCCAACTCTTGTCGACTATCAACGGCGAGTTCGACAAGGTCGCCGGTCAGACGCCACCAGAGCCTACGAGGACGAGTGCAGATCTACAAGATGCCACTGGCGGAGGCAAGGGCGGTGGAAAATCCGGTGGTGCCGATCCATTGGACGATCTGATCCCTCGTGTGGACCTCGACAAGCTCGTCTCCCAAACGTCCGTGGTTGCCGACTCAAAGAGCGAGGCTTGGAAAGTCAGGAAAGATGCCTTTGAGGCCTTGCATGCCCTTCTGGAGGTCAAATCGAATGGGAGACTGAAGCCGAATATGGGTGAGGGATACAAGATGTCCGGACAGGATCCGGTATTGACGAGCATTTAGGCGAGATCGCTCCCGTACTCAAGCGCGCAATGGTCGACACGAACCTCTCAGTCAAAATGCTGGCGCTCGGAATAATCTCCAAGATTGCCATCGGCATGGGTCCTGCCTTTGAGAAGCATGCCAGATTCCTCGTGGCACCTGTCGCTGGTGTGTGCGCTGATAACAAAGCCACTACACGAGCAGCTGGTGTCGCCACGCTCAATGCGATGGCTGATGGCTGTGACAGCTTAAACCCGATGTATGCGGGTCTCGCGACTGCACTGGAGACGAACAACCCTTCATTACGGGCGTCAGTGCTCAGCTGGATGGGCGAGAGATTAGCAGCTAGTCCTCCTGACAAGGGCGCAGATCTTGCCCCCCTCGCTGCGCCTAGCATTGCGTGTCTGGAGGATCGAACAGCAGATGTTCGGAAAGCCGCTGGGCTTGTTCTACCTCATGTCGTCGCGAATGCAGGGTACGACTTTGTCATGGATCAAACTACGAATCTGAAGCCAGCGTCGAAATCGACCATTGTCCCTCTCATCAACAATGCTCGTTCGGCGGGCGGACCATCTACGTCTGCATCTGCTGCTTCTAGCAAGACACCTGCTCCTGCTTCACCTGTATCCAAGGTCAAGGCACCAGCTCGACCTAATGGCTTTGGCAGTCCGAAGCCTGCCCCTGGCAGGTCCATCGCCGCACCTTCTCGCCCTGCGGGACTCAAACCAACAGGACTTGCTGCTCGACCGGCAACGGCGACGACCGAAGACCGTGCGACCGGCATCGCTCGGCCCAGAACCCTGGCTCGACCCACTCCTTTGGCTCAACCTGCTGAACTTGCACCGCCTGCAATGGGCGATTCAGACCGCGCTTTGCCCTTCGTCTCTGCGTCAATGGATTCCCGTGCTCATCGCTTGAAGAAGGATACTGTCAGGTGGATTCTTGAGGCATCACCCAAGCCCGATTTGGCAGAATACCTGGCTTTACAAATGGAGCAGGTTGTTTCACCAGATCTGTTTACCGCGTTGTTCAGCAAAGATCACCGAGCTGAGGAGGATTTCATGGCGGGACTGGCGGTCTTCGCGGACTTTTACTCGGATGCAGCAGCTTCGACTTTCGGTCTCAGCGACGAGGAGGCAGCCGTGATGCAGTTGGCCAACGTCGATTTGGTATTGAAGTATGCTGCTCTCAAATTGCTGGCAAACAATACCCAGCTCGGTGTTCGGTGTCTCGAAGTCATCTCCAACGTCATCGATACATTGGCGCGGCACAATGAGCGGTTCTCAGATACTGAAGCCAAGCTTTGGGTCCCTGCTCTGATCATCAAGGTATGTTCCCACCAGCCATCGTGCGACTTGACTGACTGTGGTCACAGCTCGGCGACTCCAAATTCGGCGCAAAGCTGGCACCCATCTTTGAACATTTGGACAAGGTCATCGCTTCTTCCCAGGTCGTCCAGTTGCTCGTGGTCTACGGTATCGACGACAAATCGGCCGGCAAGACATGCAAGAACGAGTCTTTGACTTTGATCGAGCGGACATATCGGAAGCGAGGATCGATCCTTCGCACGAGAGATGATCGAGGATTCTACGAGTCGGTCGCAAGGTGCATCTCGGATGGCGGTACACGGAACGCTGCGTTGAGCTTGATGGCGTGAGTCGTTTTGGAGGAGGCCTCGTCATTCCCCCACTGATCGTCTCCAGTCTGTTGCAGCTTCAAGGTGGCTCCGCAAGTCTCCAGGCTGTCATCGATGCCATGCCTCAATCGTCAAAAGATATGCTGGATAATCGGAAGAATACCATGGCTTCGACGAAGCCCGTCTTGGCTGTCTCTGCTTTGCCGAGGTCCATGGCGGCCGCAACGGACTCTCCGGCCCGCAAACGATCGCTCATGCAACCCAGCGCTGGTCTGGCAAAGACTCCTCGCGCCGTGATGCCGCAGGGGGAGAGCTCGCCTATCTCTAGAGGTATTCCCAGAGCGGTTGCCTCCCCAGCTGGTCGCGAATCTCCTTCTGCCATTCGTTCAGATCCTAGAGTATCGCAGGCCCCTCGGACTGGTGCGACTGGTCCGCTGAGGATACATGGTGAGAGTGATATCTTCGGTGCTGGACCCTCCAGGCCGGCGGTACACGCACCGAGTCGAAGTATCGCGACGGCACCATTACCCACCCGCCACTTGGCCGACTCTGGTGACACTGTGATCTCCGCCATCAACGATATCCGGAACGAAGATCCAGATCGGTCTGTGGATGCCCTCAAAGTCATCCAAAGCATGCTGGGCTCTCAACCTGATATATTCATGGACAACATCCAGTCCCTGGTGGATGCGTTGCTCGATGAGCTGGACAGGGCATTCACTCCTTTGCAGAATCTACACGACTCTCATTTCTTCCGATTGGTCAAGCATATCCTGCAGACCTTTAATGCGTTCTCTACGAATCAAGAATTGGTCCGACGATTAAACTATGACGATGTCTATTCCATTCTGTCTACTCTGACCCTTCACATGGTCCAGGCTGATCCGATGGGCGGGAACATTCAAGAACTCACACGATTCATCAACATGCTTCTCATTCAACTGCTCGCTGCCCCAGAACGCAAAGTCGTGTTCAAAGCCATGTTCACCTTGCTCCTTGACCTCACACGAGACTTTGGCGTCAATCGCACACCGCCAGAAGCTGAAGCTGCGGCCCACGCGGACCTCGTCATCAAGTGTCTCTGGAAACGATGCAAGATTCTAGACGATGATTTGAAAAATGGCCGTATGGCCGCTGGGACCCTACTAGGGATATTGGAGGAATTCATGCAGGCTATCCCGCCGGCAGAATATAGACGGAGAGGAATGGAGGGTGTTGCATTGGGCGAGATGCCCCTGAGAACGGTAAAGGCGGTGATTCAAAAGATTGTTTGTGAGTGCAATGACGGCACACGAGCAAGGCAAGGCAAGAGCTGACGGGAGGGGCGCCAGTCTACGCGAAAGAGTCCGGGCAGGAGATTTATGATATCTTATTGATTCAATTTGGAGACAGGGCATCTGATACCATGGTATGTGGGCTTCAGCAAACGAGATGGCTGAATCTGACGATATCGCAGATTTATCCTTATGTCTTCCGCTTGGGTACGTGATTTCATCTTGTATTTTTTGCCCCAGATTGACCACTCTGCAGCTGGCCTAGAAGCGAATCGTCCTACTGCGAATGCTGGCGCGCAAAACGGATCACGGCCGGCAAGTGTCGTTGGACAAGGCCGCGTGGTTTCTGGATCGAGCGGTTCTGAGCCTGGTTCTTCGTCGCCTACAAAATTTGACTCTGAGGCTGAGCGATTGGTCCGGAACATTCACGTCGGACAGCAGGAGAAGGTGAGGAGCGCAACGGGCCCTTTGGTTATCAGAGCTGATCACTTTTCAAGCGCATTGACGAGCTGTACCAATTCATCCAAGCTGCTCCCGGTAATGAGGCCGAAGTCCAAGCGGCTATGACCAGCCTCTTGTCTTTGCCTGTGGCGACCTTTATACGGCGAGCATTGGCATCGCGAGGCGTAGGAGATGAGGCTCAGTGTGGGTATTGGCGATCTTGAGATGCTGCGCTTTGAAAATTGACGCCTTTCCCCACAGCCCCGTCTCACAGCGACAAGTCATCATCGAAATCTCCTCCTACTCGCCCTGACTCTCACCATTCCCGTGCAGCCAAGTCTGGGATGACCAACGGCGCCCGCCCGACATCCTTGAACGTTGACAAGGGTGCATCGACGGAAGATCAATTGGCTCAGTACAAAAACTTTTTTAATCGGGCGCCTGGAGTGGCGGGATCTCTCTCTGGCAGTTTGAACTCGAGACGGCATAATCCATCGGGATTGGAGAATGATGGCGAGAGATTAGAGAGGACCGGCGTGCCATTGAATGAGATTGCACCTCCGCAGCAGAGGATGATCTGAGTAATGCAGTAGAATTGTGGTAATGGCCCGTGAATGGAATGTACGACGACACCTTGATCATTGGGATTTTGTGGCACTTTCTCTTTGTGGAATTGTGTGGCGAACACAGTACCAGAGCAGTGCCCAAAAGACTGGCGAGTTTCAGAGGACAATAAGAATGCGCATGTTAGCAGCGTGTGTTAGCGGCGCATAGAGAGATTGGGGATCGAGCTGATCTGACGTGTCCGTGTTGTGTGTTGTTGTGATCCCGTGGCGAGAATGAAGACTCGCTTCAAATTTCGCAACCTCATTTCGACCGAATCCAACACGGTGAAGGAATCTCACACACATCTTCATCCATGACACTTTGACCGTTCTTAGCAACCCACCCAGCTCGACATGTTTTGATTCAATTCTCTGAGCCTCCTGACTCTCTTGGCGATAGCTCCATCTACCGTTGATTCTTACAATGTCAAGAGCACTCAGGCTCCATAAAGGTCGGATAGTGTCGATCTCCCCGGAACCATGCACCTCAGCATCCGAACCACCTATCATTCTGCAAATTGTATCTCGAGCCACCTCGGATTCGTCGGACAGTGATAGCGACTCTCAACGTATGTCTTTTGCGCCTTCAGCACGACTTCTTTCGCTGACCGTTCCCCTTCAATGTAGCTGGAAGCCCTGTTCTCAAAGTCAAGCGAGCTCGTCTGACAAGTTGGGGTGATGCTGCTCAATGTAAGATAAGACTTGAAAGCACGTTGCTGACTCATCAACTACATAGCATCTGCGAGCTCTTTGACGCCTCTTTCCCCTTTTCAAAGCCCTGCGATGCACCTAAAGATCCAGTCAACAGGGCTTCCTCAGATGCTACCAACGCCACCCGCTACAGCTTCCTCGACTACTCCGCATCATGATCGTCCCACGCCGTCAGATTCTTGCATTTCCCACTTTGCCTCTCCACTTCTAGTCGAGGTCAGCGGAGAACCCTCCATCAAATCTGAATGGGATGAGGACAAAACAGATCAGGACCTCATCAGTGGTCTCCGACTTGAAGTCCAGGAGCTGAGAAAAGATAAAGCGATTGGACAAGAGGAGATCGCTTCACTCCGTCGACAACTGAATCGACCTGAAAACCCTGTCGCCAATGACAAACAAGCTTCGGATGATACATTTGATCTCGATCTCAAATCAAAGGGTATGCTCCATATGCAACAACACTTCGCCCATGCCCTTTTCTTCAGCATGGTCATCGCTTCTCCCATCCCTTCCAGGCCGGATGCGCTCGGCGATAGTCTTCAAGCCTTCATCGACGAGCTCAGTAGTCTCGCTTCTGCCGTACATCCCTCTGGTCTCACTCCATCCTCGTTCTTTGAAAAGGCATGGATGGTATTGGATCAACTCCAAAATGCAGTCTCCACCTTGGGTCCGGAATCGATTAAATTGGCTCTCGAAGACTACAAGGCTGGGAGGTTCGATCCCATGAAACTTTCCTACGCAAAAGTTGAGCAGAGTGGTCCTTCCAGTCAGGCGGCATCTATGGATGTGGACGGACAAGTGAGGGAGACTTCAGGCGCACATTCCACCTCAACGCACGAGGAAACTCAGCTTCTGAGGGCTCAACTCCTAAAAGAGAAAAATGAGATGTGCGTCATGCTTAATCGGGACATCTTACGTGAGAAGATACGAGCAGACTCAGCAAATCGTAGCATCGCGTCTCTCAACGCACAACATGAACAGGATGAAGCACGACGCATCCAATTGGAGGACCAACTAAAAACACTCAACAGGCAGTTGATGTCCTCGCATGGGCAGATACTGACCTTACAGAGCTCTCTCGCAAAGACTCGAACGGGACCCGCTCAGCTACCACAGTCCACAGCCACCTCGACACACAATGTGGCAAGGCTGGAAATCGAATTAGAGTCGAATAAGGCCGCTCTCAAAACCGAGATTCGGGAAAAGGTCAAAATGGAGTACCAATTGACTCGAGAGACGGCTTTGAAAGAGGAGCTGCATTCCAGATGCCAGGCAATGTTTACAGAGATGGGCACGTTGCAGAGCTGGTTGGTCTTCTACGAAGGATGGTACAGAAACGCTGCCGAGCGGGGCGCGGTCCCTCGGTTCCCTGATACGCAATTGAACGGTCAGCCACTTTCACAACTCCAAGCACAGCAGCACCCAGCACAGCATACAAATATCCTTCTCCAGCAGTCGCAGCAGCTGCAGCACGTCGGGCAGCAGAATAGGCCTGACCAGCAGAAAGAGACCGGCCCAGTGTCCCAATCCTCAACTCAGCACCTACGACAACCATTTGTGGCGGGATATTCGGCCCATCCGCCACAACGACAACAGCAGCAGCCGCCATTGCTATCCCATACGACTGGCGATCGGAGCCTTCCTCTTAGTCATCATGGCCCATCAAGGGAGGTTGTTGGAAGTCAGGATCAGCCTCGGCCACTGCCGAGACAGGGCCTTCAAGCAAGCTACCTCCAGCCCATCGCCCCGGAACCAGGAATCACCCAGCATGCGACATTTTCCGGCGCGCCGTCCAACCAGCAGACGGCTTTTAAAGCGGGTGTGCCTTCCTCAGAGCTCGTCAGTCAATCGATCATGGATCATGCACGCCAGAAAGCAGTTCAGAATGCTCACCTCTCTCGGATCATGGCCGTGCAAGAGGCGTCAAGAAGCGCTTCGGAGACACCCTATCAAGCTCTGGGCGGCATCGCAGCTGTGCCCAAACCGCAGGTTGAGCCCAATGGTTCGGCAAAGGAGCGTGTCTCGACATCGCGACATCACCAAAGTACGCAGGTGACTTCGCAATATCCAGAATCATCAAAGCAGACTCCGGACCCAGCGCAAAGTCTGGTGTTGAACGGTGGTAGCGATCAGGGTGAAGGGCCCACCAGTGTCGGGTCTGGATATTCAGCGGCTGGGAGCGGCAGTCTCCCGAATGTCGGACCTATCCGACCTGGAGCTGGGGCTGAATCCCAAAAGCCAGCGACCACACAGCAGGCTTTTGCGAAGCCAAGCGCCAATCAGGTTCACAACATCGCGTCTTCCTCAAACAGAGTTGCGGATTCATTAGCTTGGTTGCAACATAGCCCTTAGAACGCCTGTCGATTGCGTTTCAACAAAAGCAGCAATGCTGGCCGCATTGTGTATACATTCGAATGAGATCTCCATGGTCGAATGGATGAAGTAATGAAGATCTGGGACGAGAGGTCGGAGGGTTGCACTCGGTATCGGGACTTCCATATTGTACAAATAAAAATTGTACGTATCTTGTACATGAGCCACCCTGTGTGTGTATTCGTCCCGGTGGACACATACCTCATGTACATCCCATGACAGACCATGCATGGGTCATCTAAACGTGCGTACTCGTACAAAATGCGGAGAAATGCCCAGCAAGCTGGGGTCTACCTCACATGCGCTCAATGGGTGTCAAACTCAGAAGTCGCATGGCAGAAGCCAAGACTTCCCTGACTTGAATGTACATGAACAACCTTGCTTTCGCCTCTTCCTCGGGTGCACCTGAGACCTTGACGGTTTCCCAAGCCGAGCCGACCAAGTGACCTAATCGGAAGCACCAGTTGACGAGTTGAGAAGGTTCCGATTGGACATAGGCATTACGAACGGCGGTAGGGTACAAGGAGAGATGATATATCATATCGTGGATTTTCGGTTCGTCCAAGACGCTGAGATCAATGTCTTCCACTGAGGAGGCCACTGGAACGTTTGGGTTCTTTCGTTGAACCGAACACAGTCGGACGTGAGAGTATTGGATGAAAGGCCCAAAGTCGCCTTCAAAGGAGGTACATCGTTTCATGTTGAAGTCGTAATCGTTGACCCTGAACAGAAGGTATCAACTGATGCCAACGCAAGAGTTAGTGACGCCGGCTTACCTCTTCCCTGACATGTCCTGAATCTTAACGGCTGTCTCTCCGATGATCCTACTTGTAGTCTCTGGATCCTCAATCTGTGAGTATTTGACATCGTTGCTCCTCATTTGCTCGTGCATCTGTTCCGTAGCCTCGTCTAGGATATCGCTCAGGAAGACAACTGTTCCTTTACGAGTGGACATGCCCTTGACCAATCCTATGTGGGGATGAGCAAGCAGCTCAGGAAGGTACAGCACCCCTTCACTCACCAAAGCTGATGTGTTCGATCTTCCCTGCCATGGGTTCTTCCATCAACTCCAAGGTCTTGAACAGTTGGCGGAAATGCAAAGCCTGAGCAGCTTGCACAACGATGATATGCTTGTCGAATGGCCAAATCTTGAACTTGTCATGTGCTCCACCCAGATCACGGGTCAAGTAGATGGTCGTACCGTCTGAGATGGCGCTCAATACAGATAGACGATCTCGGACGATCTCACGCACCTCCTTTACGGATGATGGCTCGGTCCATCTTCCACTTGGTCAAGTCGACCAAAAGAGCTCCTCGGTCATCACATGTGAGCTTCTTCTCTTCACATATCCTGATGGCGCGCTGCATTGATTCCGGGTCGACCTTACTTTCTCCCCAAAAGACATCGAAATGAATGTTGAGTCGCTCATACGTCTCTTTGAGCTTTTCGATGGACAAGTCACGGAATCGGGCCCATTGAGCGATGGCCTTGGGATCACCTTTGAGACTTGTCAGTGCTTTTTCTGACCGTCAAAGATCTGACACACCATCCTCCATGGCTTTGAATACTCGCTTGGCCTGAGCATGAATTGTGTTGTCTCCATCAGTCACTTCTCCCTTGTTGAAACGCTCAATCTCATCCTTGTTCTCATTGTTGATCTTGACGTAGACGTGGAAAAGGTGCATGATTGGGTCCTTGACCAGCTCTTCTTCACTTCCGTATTTATCGAATCCGACTGACAAGAGACCTGTATTGCGTCAGTACTGAAATCAAGGTTCCAGCTCTGGTCTCCAACCATATTGCGTGCCCCAATCTCCGAGATAGTTCAATCGAGTCACCTTCCATCCCATCGCCTCATGCAGATTCGCAACGACAGCACCGATGATTGTACTTCGCAAATGTCCAGCATGGAAAGGTTTGGCAATGTTTGGTGAGGAGAAGTCGATCAGCATGTGCTTGCCCTTGCTCTCATCGGTTGTGCCAAAGGCGAAAGAATGGGACGTGGGGTTTTCGCGAGCGTCCCGGGCCATGTGACTGATGGTACGCAGCATGTGGTAGGTGAATCCAGTTTTGCTAGAGATGTGTCAGTACGGGCATTGCCTGGACAGACTGAAGAATCCACTTGAGAGTGAAAAGGAGAAAAGGACCCTTCGTGTTGAGGGCGGAGAGAGCATTGGAAGGTTTGAACTGCACTTCATCAATCATAATCTCTTGCTAGGAGCCCTTTGACCCACGAGGTCGACGACCTTCTTCGCCCATTCATCAGGCTTGCCTCCTTTGTGGAATCGAGGAATGGCGACAGTCAAGTCTGCGTCCTTTTTGCCTGATGAAGATGAGCTTGCAATTTGACGGGCTTCAAGAATAGAGGCTCACCGACATCCACGGCGGGAAAGATCTTCGCCGGATCCATATCCCAGGCTTCGCCGACCACTTTCGCCACTGCGAGCCTGAAAGCATCCATGGGTTGACGTTCCAAGTCAACTCCAGCGACTTTAGGCAGCTCCGGGAGCGCATAGCGAGCATTGACGGCCGGGTTAGGTGCGGAGGTAGATGATGTGGCTGTTGAGTCTGCCATGTTGCGATACAAGTGGGAGATTACACGGCCCTGATTGTATATGCGAGGTTGAGATACGGGTATGAACCTCCAGAGTGAGGTTGATATCCGCGTTGTGAAGGGGTGGGCTGGAGCTGAACAGGAGCTCTAGGTGCTTGCTTAGCTGTGCCACTGGGGTTGTATGAGACGCTGAGTACGTGAAGCTGCGTGTGTTGTCGCCTTATGTGACTAGTTGCTCTGGTTCGACCACAGTCTTGAGGTATGAGATGAATCGTTGCTTGCAATGTAGCAGCAGCATTTCAACCAGTGGACTCGAAAAATCCAAAAAAATCCCTTGTTCGTTATCAAAACGGGGGGATCCAATAAATGAAGTGCCCGCCGCAGCCGGGGCATCTTCCATGACGATGCGTGTTCATTCATGGCGCTGTACAACTTGCTCGGTCTACTCTTTGGGATATCATAATCGCAGCGATCAAACTTGCTGCCCGTTCAGAGGGCTTGACGGAAGGGTTGGATGAGTTCAGACAACTAGATCACAAAATTCCAGCCAAAGTCGGCAGAATCACCTACCATGGCGCACCAATCCCCGCTGATAGCCATACCTCGTAAAACCACCAATGATGTAGACTGGGCAACTCCCATTCGTGCCATCATCGCCAATTCATACGGAGAGAGTCCGAGCTCGTATACTGAAGAGTGCAGCGTTCTCCAGCGGTGCAGGCAGGATGCAGTCAAAGGCGCTGGCAGTGACGCTACCGGTGAGTCCGTGACGTGGTACGGTCTAGATCGTGACTCATCGTCTCCAGCTCGAGATTTGCTGTACAAATACTTTGGACAACTTGAGCTCTTGGAGTTAAGGTTCTCAGAGATGAAGGTGCCCTTCGCTTGGTGAGCCTTTCTTGCGGACAGATAGCTCATTGACTTCCAGGACCGATGCCTTTACTCTCAAATCCACTACACAAACCTCTCTCGCATTCGAGAAAGCTTCCATCATCCACGTACTCGCCGCCGTTCTGTCTTCATTGGCGTCTGCTGGGTCTAGAGCAGATGGGGAAGGCATCAAGCGCTCCTATTTCAACTCTCGAGCCTCAGCCGGCATGCTGACATACATCAATGACAACTTTCTGCACGCACCTTCGAATGATCTCAGCCGAGAAGTCGTGCAGCTCTTGATTGGTATAATGATGGCACAAGCGACGGAGATCTTCACAGAGAAGCTGATTTCAGAGAAGAAAGCCCCTGCGTTGGTCTGTCGATCCGCCAATCAAGTCGCTGGAATGTACAGTACCGTCGTGGACGACATGAAGGAGTTCCAAGGCAAAGGGATCTTTGACCGAAATTGGCTCAGCGTCTTACAAACAAAAGCCAAATTGTTCGCCTCCGTGGCTCAATACTATCGGTCGACTGGTGATAGTGCAGCTGGGAAACATGGAATGGCAGTAGTGAGGATGAAATTGGCCGATTCCTTGGCTCAGGAGGCGCAACGATCCGCCGGCCAGTTCCAATACTCTTTTGTTTCTACCGCGACTCCAACTCTGCCGCATGATGCTGCTACCAGCTTGTTCGAAATCTGCAAGGCTCACGCATCGCTGTGTGCGGAAGCGAAAATTCAAGTCAATAAAGACAACGACCTCATCTACCACGACATGTTGCCTTCAGAGGCATCTCTGCAATCCCTCGAAAAGCTTCCACCTGCGGCCCCGATTACCATCCAGGAAGTCTACAGCAACCAGGAAGTCTCCAAGCTGATCGGACCAGACATCTTTGCTCGACTGGTTCCCATGGCAGTACACGAATCCGCATCCATGTATTCAGAGGAGAAGGCAAAGCTTGTGCGTGCGGAAGTTGAGCGAGTCGACTTGAGCGAAGGAGAGATCCGGGCGACTTTGGAGCATCTTGGCCTACCCGCACTTCTGACGTCCTGGAGAAGGCTTGCGAACGATGATGAGGAGGGCGAGGGAGATGTAGAGATCTCGGGCCAGCTTCGCCGATTGGCTCAGGACATTCAGAGTGGTGCGCCGCTGGACAGCCTCCTCCGTCAACTCAACAGTGAACGCGAAAAATGTGAACGAGACCTGCGGGAGCTGAACGGCATGCTGGATAGTGAGAGCCGAGAGTGCGAACGGATGAGGGTGAGTGGGACTTTGTCGGATGTGAATCTGACTCTCGGTGCAGGTCAAATACACCCCCCAGTTCACTCAATCACCATCCGGCTCAAGGACTGCTCATTATCGGAACACCATCACTGCCAATCTGGAATCACTTACTGCTGCTGCATCGACAGACCAGCAAGTCTCGGCACTGTGGAGGGAGATCCAACCTCAGATTGGCGTTTTATCCGGAGGCGAGGCTCAGCTTCGCCAGACGGCTCAACAAGTTGCATCGGGTCAGGCACCACCTTCCACACCGCAGGGCGCGAGTCTGCTCGACTTGCAGGATGAGGAGATACCATCCAAGTCTGGGCTGAGCGAAGCTGAAAAGGATGAGCTCAAAGTCATGGCGTCTCAAGCTCAGGAAAAGCTGGACCGCCTTGGGAAGATCCGCAAAGAGCGAGACGACGTGCTTCGTGACTTGAAGGAAAAAATTCAGAACGACGATGTGTCCTCGCTCTTATTGCTAAATCGCCGATCTCAAGATGTTGAACCTCAACTTTTCGCCAGCGAGCTGGAAAAGTTCCGTCCGTATCAAGGTCGGATCGGCGCCGCCATTTCAGCTTCCCAAGAAGCGCTCAAAGACTTGTCAGAGATCATTGATAATGTCAGTCAGGGCAACGGTGTCCGTCAGAGACAGCGCGGTCAGAAAGAACGACAGAAACGGATTCGAGATTGGGAGCGATCCCTCGAAAGGACAGGAGAACAGTATAGTGAGGTCCGAGCTGGCGCTGGAAAAGGCCTGTCGTACTATGAGAGCTTGACTGTGGTGATCAATGACCTTTCTCGCGAGGTCAGAGAATACATCAGGTCTAGGGATTCAGAGAGGAACAAAATGGTCGCGGAAATTGAGACTCGACAGAGGATCAGTGGAGGATCAACTGGAAGTGATTCCCGTGGTCTCGACTCTTCGATGGCTGGATTGTCAATCTCTCGTTCGCCATACGCGTCACCTCCACCTCCTCCTCCCTCAGCAGGATCGAGTGGATACCCTTCCTTGACACCGACGAGCCTCCCGACTCCGCCTGGTCATAGCTCGACACCTCACTTTCCGCCTCCACCTCCTCCACCTGCACCAGCCAAATCGCCCTCCAATCCATACGATTTCAGTAGCCTGGGTAACCTGCCTTCAGCATTCTCGACATCATCCCACCAGCCTTCTCAACCCCCGCCACTGCACTCGTCATATTCATCTAGCTCCTCCAGCTCTAACCCTTACCCAACGCCGTCTGCTCCTCATTCGGGCTATACTTCTCCACCGCCTCACTCTTCTTATCCTCCTCCACCTCCTGCGAGGAACCCCTCGGCCAATTACTACCCTCCTCCATCGTCAACGCCACAAAGGCAGACTTCCGGTTCTTATCCCTCATATCAGCCCCCTCCTCAACAATCACATTATCAGCCGCCTCCACAGACATCTTATCAACCTCCTCATCAGCCTCAGTCTCAATATGCTCCTCCTCCCCCACAAACAACGTATCAGCCGCCATCTCAACCACAGTATCAGCCGCCGTCCCAACAGTATCAGCCGCCACCCAACCATCCAGGCTCTCGGCCCCAATATCATCCTCCCAGCCAACATCAACCTCCCTATCCTTCTTATGCCCCACCCCCTTCGCGGCAGCAATACGGGCAGCAGCAGCAGCAACAGCAGCAATATGGCCAAGGAGGCTACCAGTACCGTTGAGATACTGGGATTCCGACCCCTTCCTTTGGCAAAGGATGCATACTGTGTATGTGCTGATGCGGGCTGATTCTCATTCAACGTAACCTGTCCATGATACACAGATCCATTTGCTAGCTGACGAGGGTACTGACTGTCGCAGCAATCGTGAAGTTGTGTCTCGAATCGAATCCTACCTAAGTAGCACGTGCCAACATCCTGAACATGCCTTCTGACGGGGCTCTCGGTGTCCCAAATGCGGGCCAAAGGACTCGTACAGAGTGCGTCGACTTTGCACATTTTCAGAGCTCGGAAATGCCCCAGGCTACGCTCGGTGCGGACCTAGGACCACTGACCAGATGTCATGGATGGACCTTCCTTGGCGGATAGCCTGGGTGGCTGCTGTGGTCACTCATGCTCCCAGTGACCTAAGTCGGGGAGAATATCGGCAGAAAAGTTTAAGGATCTCCTTCTTCTTCTACTCCTCACTTTGGCCATCCTCATCCCGCTGACTTCCTTCTCATGCTCACGGTCTCCCGAGCCCCCTTGATCACCGCAAGGAATGAATTGAGTCAAGGTGTCGCACCTTGTATCCTTTCATGGGACCCCCTGACTATCCCGCATTCGGGCTTGATGTGAGTCCGTTGAAACTTGGATCGCTTTCCCGGCTTCACTTGGCTGACTGGTCAGGTATTGGACCTCCTCACCGAGTAGGATATAAGGCTGTGAGACAGAAATGATCATCGTTCTTCCTTTGTCTGCCTCAGCGACATCGGAGACCACCTCCACCCTCCCAAAAATTGGAGCGAGGTCGCTGACTCTGCCATTGTAATCGATTTTCACAGCACGATGAGCACGATGTGGCACACGGCTCAGCATTTAGTCGACAGCCCCGCACCACTGGAAGAGCACCAAGGTGAATTTTGACCCAATCGCTCATGTCATTGGCTGACTGTTCGACTGTCGCTCAGTGTCCAACTTCTTCCAGGTCGTGCCGCCTACACCGCGGCATGCACAGCACCAACAGGCTGTCATGAACAACATGAGGCACGCATCATCCCCCTTGTCGAACGGCACTCATGGCGTCGTCTCGTCGTCTCCCCCAACGGCCGTCTCGACTGAAAATCTGCTTCTCCAGCCGTCCGACTCGTATGGTTTACGAAGTCATCGATCTTCCTTCTCGGTGGGATCCATTGACTCTCACATATCCAACGTGTCTGGCTTCTCGGGCCAATGGTCTACGATCAGTTCTTCCGAGAGCGTGGCGGATTCAGACGATGTCTCGACACGGCATTCCTTTAGCAGACAGCGACACGGCAGGCAAGTGTCTTTATCAATCGATCCAAAGCTTTTCCAACCTAAGGACAAGGGCTCTCAAGCTGGGTCTGAGACGGACGTGCTTGATAGAGCCGTCGATATACCGGATGAGAGCAATGTTCCAACTGCCGTACCAGCCTCGAAGAAAGTGAAGACCAAACCTGCACCAAAGAAAAAGTCTGCCAGCAGTATGACGGCCGAGGAGAGGAAGAAGGTCAGTCATGCGAGGAAGGTGAGTGGGTTCCAAGGACACGAGGACAAAAAAGTAGTTCGTCCCTTGATCGTCATCGTAGCAACAACCTGATCACATCCCTCGGCCTCGAAACGCCTTTATCCTGTTCCGAAAACACGTTGTGGACTCGAAGCTCATCCCTGCGAGCGTCGAGATGAGACATCAGAATGTCAGCATTATTACAGCCAAAATGTGGAGCGAGGTACGTGGGACCACCTTATCAGTGGATACCGCTGAGATAGGTGGCAGGCTCCTCCAGCTCAGAAATCTCACTTCAACGAACTTGCCAAGAAAGAAAAGGAAGATCATATGCGAAAGTGAATAGACTGTCACGCCATAGTATCGTTCCTCTCGGACTGACGCTCCATCGACAGATACCCCGGATATCGATATCAACCTGTCTATCGCCGCACCAATGTCATTCGCCGACGGGTAAGGAAAGACGAAGCAGAGGAAGAGAAATGTCGATCAGTCGCGGAACTCCTGCTGAAGGGCAAAAGTGGAGAAGCGCTAGAGCAGGAGATCAAGGAAAAGATCCAGCGTGGCGAGCATATACCAACTCCAAAGAAAATAAAGTAAGTTACAATCGACGAAAATTCGTATAGACTCTCACAATTGACACGATGAAGAGCTCCAGCGATCAAAGCGGACTCAGCATCGGAGCTGTCGAAAGGTGCTCTTCGAGCACTGCGAGCACAAGCACGACACGATTCTGTAGGTTCAGGGGACTGGTCTGACTTGGCTTCCCGTGCCAATTCGCTTGATCCCGATGGAGAAGGCTTGACGAGAGCAATCACGAGGGAACCGGGAGCAGATGTAGACGGATTCCAAGATTACGACTTTGCCCGTGCTGCCGGACATTTCGGGTTGGCCCAGGATCCAGTGTACGGATACTCGGATGGCATGGGGTATGTACATCCTGCTCTAGGTGGTGAAGGGTGGAATTTTGGGCAGCCAGAGCGGAGTCAGATGGAGGCATTCGGTGATTGGTCAACGGGTGAGCGAGCAATGGCTCTGTGGCCATACACTTGTGTTGGCTAACGGCAATCTCGTACCAGAATACCCTGATCAGATTCCGGGGTATGCGTACCCTCAGCCGCAGACACAGACAGACTATCAAGCGTTCGATGCCACCATGCCGTTCTCAAACTTTGCTCAAGACAATACTCATTCAGGATCTTCCGTCTCATCAACTTCACAGCATCTCGCAGGCCAATTATTGCCCGATATCAACAGCTCTCAAGGGATGATCAACAACAAGGTCTCGACCGACGTCTTCATGCCTCAGGCTTTCCCATCACCTACTTCTGTCTTATATCCCGGAATCGGAACCATGCCAAACAATGCGAATGGACCGACTGGCCGTCTTTCCGCAAGATGGGATAATACCCATTTCACCCTGCCTCCATCCCATGATATCTCATTCGGATCGATAGGTATGACTATGGATTCGATCGACATGAGTTTTCCAATGCACATGGGCATGGGACTACCCATCGGTGTAGTAGACGGCAGCGCAGGAAACGATCAAGATGCCATGCTGAATAATTTCGGGGCTGCTCTAGCTCAGGCCGACGAGATGGCGGAAGGTGAATGGGAGCCATAGAAAAGCACAACGCGGACATTTGTGGCAACAATGCATGTATTTCTATCTAGCCTTCTTGCTTCGATCATCGGCCAATATATACCTCAGAATAAAAGGCGAGACGTGCTCATCTGCCGAATCATACGATGCATCACACGACTCGTTCCTCTACGGATCATGCAGTGCACATCTAGGATCCACCTCCAAGTCATGGGATCTACCATCTACTCTCGGGACCTCTTCTTCTGACCGGCGCCGGCTGATACAACCTTTTCGACGAGGACGATGCCCTCCTCCTTCTCCAAGCGTTCTCTAAACATGGCGCAGGTCTGGAACGGGATCATCAGCCAATGACGGATGTTCGTATACAGAACGTAAGACTCACAGGCTCGTCGTATGGCTGGTGAACACCAGGGCTGTTGAGCTTGCCCTCGAGTAGGAATTGGACAGCCATACCGCAAGGTACACCGACCAACTTGGCCATTGCCGAGTATCCGTTGACCTCTCCGTAAGCCTCCAGGGTCGAAGTCCTAGTCTCGGTCTTGCCGTCTGCCCATTCGATCTCAAATGTATGTTGGAGCAGGACGATGTCGACCTCGCCAGGTTGGAATTGACATTTCTCCTCGAGGAGAGCAGACAGAGTTCGCATGATGGACCCTCGAGGTGAGATTGGCTCGTCAGAGAACAGTCCAAGATCGCGGCACTTGGAGATGACAATGGCGAGTTGCTCAGGTGGCACGGTCTGTAGTGACTCCATCTTGGCAACAACGGCTCTGTGACATTCTCGTCAACATGGGCGATTTTCAAGCAGTTCCATGCTCACTCTTCAATCGGCTCGACACCGAGGAGCTTGGCAGTCACCTCGATCCACTTGATCGGCTTGGACTCCCGAGCAAGGGTCTGATCCGGAGTGTCGTCGAGGAAGCCCATCTCCTTCCACGCCATGACGACCTCGCAGAATCCACCGAATCTATCAAACTATCAGTTCATCCTGATGATGGCGGTCGTCAGCCGCTCACCTCATCGTACCTCGGACAAGATTCTGAACCTCGGGAATGTTGTAGAACTCTCTGAAGGGAGTAGAGTCTCGATTGGGGTAGCAAACGAGGTTGTAAGCAGGGCTGAAGTAGTATGGCTTGGCGGAGGCCCTGTCAACGGTAAGCGCGGCCAAATCATACGCACAGTCCTTGAACTTACATGAGATCCTTTCCGGCAACTTCGGCAATCTGTCCATCCTTGAGGTACTTGCCGTCATTGTTCAAAGCCATGAGCACTCCGACGGGAGACCAGGAGAATTTGTACCCGAGGGCATTGTTAGAAGCCTGGAGAGCATCAGCGAATCTCCTCGACAGGTCGCGTCATACTCACTCTGGGTTCGGGAAGACCACCACAGTAGCTGAGGAAGCTCTTGATCTTTCCTCCAGCTTTGTGAACTTCGTCAATGGTCTTGATGGCGTACAAGTGGTCGACACCGGGGTCTGCGAGCGATCAGAGGTGCCTATACCTAAGGATGCGACACTCACCAACGCCAATTTCGTTGAAGCAGATCAGTCCAGCATCCTTGAACTGCTGATCTAAAGCCTTCATGGCACGGTTGACGTAGGAGGTCGTGACGACGTTGCACTTTTCGGCCAAGGCGGCCTCCATGACCGAAGCGTGGTAAGTGTATGGGACCAAGCTGACGACGACATCGTGGCCTTTGATAGCCTGTCTAAGTGCGTCGGCGGACGACACATCGACAGACATTGGCGTGGCATTTTTGATGTTGGCGCAGAGCTTCTCGGCAGTGGCATAAGTACGGCAGGCAATGGTGAGTTCATGGTTGTGCGCTGAGATGTAGTCCGCGGCGGGTCCAGCAACCATTCCAGATCCGAGAATCAGGACCTTCTTCTTTGAGGTCTGGGGTTCAGGATGAGGAGTGAGTTTAGGAAGGAGGTTCTGTCCGTCTTCGAGCATGGCTCGGCCGAATTCAGGAAGAGCAAGGAAAGATCCTCTGTGCACATCGGCGTTGTAGTATCGAGTGTTTGGAATAGGTCGGAGAGGGGTCTTCACATCGCGACCTTCAGCTTTGGAGCAGACCATGATACCAATCTGTCCAGCGGGGTCTGACAATAGTGAGCTCACGCACATGTGCTCGGAGCGCTGCACTCACAGGTGGGAATGGTGGTGAAGGCGTACTCGGATACGGCAAAGGTCTTCTTGCAAGTTTCCTTGAGGTTCTTGATCAAAGGCAAGTGCATCCAGATACACTCAGCCTGAGTGGAGATGTGTCCGTCCTCCTTGAGAGAGTCCTTGAGCAGCTGGAAGTATTTGGGCTGGAAAAGAGCTTCGGCGGGTCCGACAGGGTCTGAGGAATCGGTGATGATGACGTCGTACTCATTCTTGTGCTCAGGGAGGAACTTGAAGCCATCTCCGATGAAAACCTCGACTTTGGGGTCTTTGTAGCAGGATGACATGTGGGGGAGGTACTCCTTCGACACCCGAATCACAGCCTGGCCGGGACTTCAGCGACGGTGTATGACAATCATAAATCACTCCGCCTACCTCGTCAATGTCGCACAGAGTGACCTTCTCCACACTCTTGTGCTTCAAGACCTCCCGGATGACACCTCCATCACCTCCACCAATGACTAGAACATTCTTCGGATTCGGGTGGCAGTTCATGGGCAGATGGGCGATCATTTCTTGATATCTAGGCGTAGGTTTGAGCTTAGACGCCTAAGTTCGACGGGATGGACGGGCTCACGAGAATTCGTCACGCTCCGTACACTGGATGACGTTATCGAGGACCAAAACATTTCCATATGTCTCAGACTCGAAGACGAGAACATCCTGCAGACGTTATCAGCTTGGTTCTTGAAGACACTAAATCCCGCTCACCTGGAAAAGAGACTGCTCATGGTGCAGAATCTGTTTGACCCTAGGCATAGTCAGCTACCATAGCCTCGTACCAGAACAGTGGATTATCCCTCACTTGAGAGTCATAGCTTGACCTAAAGTGCCATTTGATGAGCATTCCACCACTACAAAGGAGGAGGAACAGAGCAATGTTCAACTCACCTGGCCATTGCGAGTTGATTTCTCTGAACCAGCCGTCTGAATGTCCGAACGTCAGCGCTAGATGCGGTGTTAAGCCGCCTCACTACTCACCGACGATAGCAGGATGAGTCTTTGGAGCAGGCATGGTATCTGTGAATGAACCGGATTGCAAGGATGAGTTGCAAAGTGTATATTGCAGCAGCATCCCAAACGTTTCTGAAATTTCAACATCCGCGAAGAAAGCGCATATCGGCGAGCTCCGACTCGAGTCGAGGCTAAAATCACGTGATTGTTGGGTTAAATTGATGCCGTCACCAGCTGCTGTAGCGGCGGAACTTGAGAGAGTGTGGATCATGCGTCCTTCCATTCCCTTTCATCTTTAGACTATCGACTCAACGAGGTCTCTGTATATCGATACACAGGGTTTCGACAAGCTGGTCGTGGTGCTCTACCGATAGCTGATCGGCGGACCTACAGACGCACTGCACCACACTCTAGAAGTCTCCTAGCCCAACTGACACCACTTGAACCGGAGACGCGCCACTTTGAGACACATCCACTAGAATCTGGGTCTCGCACCGTGAGCAAACTCCACATCCTACTGTGGTGTGCGTTGACTGACTCGATACTGCAGGGGGAGCTCGAGTGTCACTCTCACCAACCCAAATCCAGCTTGTCGCCTGTCCATCTTTTGCCGAACACAGGCACTTCGACTTTACCATCATCCAACGGTGGATATCCGCATCACACGACTATACATTCTAGCAGCACATCATGGGTAAAGCTCAATCCAAGCTGACGTCGGAGGAGCTTTCAGAACTTCAGAAGAACACTTACTGTGAGTGACTATCACGTTTCCTCAGTAGATCCCACGAGCCTGCCAGGATCACACTTGGTCTTGGCACGAGCACAGCTATCTTGGCGTTGCCTGACTTTAATGAGATGGTTTCTCGTGCTGACTCTGCTCCTCGCAGTTGACAAGAAGGTGAGGGAGGATTGGTGTGTAAATCTTTACGTTCTCGCTCATTCGCATTCGTCGTGGTGCAGGAGCTGCAGCAATGGGTGAGCTGGCTTGCTTTTTTTTCCTTGGCTACTTGAAGCTGACATAGTGACAGTACAAAGGTTTCATCAAGGACTGTCCAGGAGGTCAGCTCAACAAGGAGGGTGAGTTGAGAAAGACTTCAAGCATGAGCGTGCGATGTCCGTCCTGACACCCATGACAGAGTTCCAGAAGATCTATCGCCAATTCTTCCCATTCGGTGATCCATCTCAGTTCGCAGATTACGTCTTCAACGTTTTCGATGAGGACAAGTCCGGCACAATCGAATTCAAAGTGAGCTCTCAGAATCAATCATACGACGGGAGGGGAAAGCTCATAGCGCTTCAGGAGTTCATTTGCGCTCTGTCCGTTACATCCAGAGGCCGACTAGATGAAAAACTGAAATGTGTGGCCCTTTTTTTTTTGGCTCCATCCTTCGTGTCCCAAAGCTGACAACATCTTTCAAGGGGCATTCCAACTATACGACATCAATAACGATGGCGAGATCACATATGATGAGATGTTGCAGATTGTTAGATCTATATACAAGATGACCGGGCAAATGGTCAGATTGCCAGAGGATGAAGACACGCCAGAAAAGGTGAGCGGCAAGAGAGACAGTCAAACCAGACCAACGAGTGATTGATCATGTTGCCTTGTTCAGCGTGTCGACAAGATCTTCCGGACCATGGATTTGGACAAGAATGCGAGGTTATCATATGAAGAGTTTAAAGAGGGGTCGAAACAAGATCCGACCATTGTCCAGGTGAGCTCGAATGGTCGGTCTCACCGAACGCACTCGGCTAACGGAGCAAAGGCTCTCTCTCTGTATGATGGACTTGTGTAGAATGTCAGATGCGCTGTCCTGACTTGGGGAATACAAAACATAGACAGTATGAGTGAATCTGACCCAGTTATCGGATCTCGGAATAGTGAGATACAAGAATACCTGTATCAGTAGTATCAAGGAATGCTATCGACCATTTACCTTTCACAGCTGTAGATGATGTCGATCTGACTCCCGTGGGCGTTGAGATTCACATATCATGTGGTCTAATAGTACGGCAAGACCCCGTCGAAATCCTGATTCAAGAAAGCTGAGAAATCCGAACATGGCCTGCTGTGTGACTCTGTTACATCTCTTATTATACCACTCGGCTCGTTTTGACGAGGCTTCGTCGTACGTAGATCAAATTGCATCGTCATCCTTTGTATCATTTCGGGGTTTCTTATGCCCTCGCCATCGCCTACAAAGCGATATTTCGTCAGGAGAGTCCCGTCCCCATGGTTCAGTTCTAATTGTGCTACAGTTTGAATATCGAAAACGAAATCGAGACTTGCTGAATTTTCCAAACCTCTATGCTCTTGCCGAAAGGTGCCGCCTTCCTGCGGTCCGCTCGGCTCATCGCCTCGCGTTCTCATGCTACGTCCAGGATCATCCTCAAAAACCCTTCGTCCTCTTCTACCAGAGCAGCGGTCATATGTCGTGTCGCTGTCGCATCCTGCCCCTGATTGGCGTCCGACACGGTGGCTCGGCTTGAGTCCACCACTGAGCGGGTGCCGTCTATCCTAGCCATCTTTTTGAATGGCTCGTATTCAAACACTCGGTCCAGCGTCCAGCGATGCAGCGGTCGACTGCACATCAGGCCCTTTATAAGATCGATCATAGACGATGACAAAAGCGGTAGATTCGAGCAAGGTCGCGGACTAGAGCAGCCATTCTTGACGTCCGACTCCCTTGGAAGGTAATGCTCGAGTGTGTCTGAAAAGTCGTCGTTTCGGAGTTTGACCCATCCATCGCCGTCTATAATCGCTAGTGAGCAAAGCGATACCTTGAGGTGGAATGACTCACTGGACGGTAGGACGACGTTCAAAGCAGACTCCAAAAGCAGGATGCCAAGACTGATGGCTGCTCAGCAGATCGCACAGTGATGGATCACCGCAAAAACTCACGAGTACATGTCCGCTGCAGCCCCGACTGTCCGCTCGCTCAGAGCTTCCGGACAAAGATATTCTCTATCACCTTCGACTTCTCGATCTAGTATCGGACTCGGAACAGGTACCACACCCTCGGTGCACGCGTCGCTCCATAGGAATTCACCATCGTTTCCGCTCTTTGGCAAAGCCGGGCTGACCCCACCGATCTCACCATTCGAGGCGACCAGCAAGGACATACCAAAGTCGGCAATCTTGAGGGACCCCGATTGAGTGATGAGGATGTTGGAAGGTTTCAAATCGAGGTGAACGAAATGATTCGAATGGATGTGCTTGAGGCCCAATGAAAGCTCGTATAGGGTCTTCCACAGTCTTGCTTCGCCCATCGCACCCGCATCTGCAATTGTTAGGAGGAACGTCGCAAAGTCACCGCACGAGGCCAGCTCTGTGCGAATGAAAAGACGATTGGAATGTTCCCATGAATCGACAAATGTCAAGATATTGGCGTGGGGGTCGAGCGACAGTTGACGAAGAATAGATACTTCCTCTAATTGGCGAAGTCTATGATCAAGTCAGTCAAAGTTCACCAGACGTATGATCACAACACGTACCGGTTTTTGTACCCGGTATACGTTCTCCCGGCCTTGACAGCATACATGACTCCCGTGGACTTTTCGACAACCTTCCAGACTTGGCTGAATTCGCCCTTGCCGAGACTGTGGACGATGGCGAATTCCTTATCGAGTCGACTTCCTCCCACTCTGAGTGCCTCATTGGATCCAACTTTGGAGGCCTTTTTGGCCTGACTCAATGCCGCACCGTCCATCTTGAAGGACTCCGCCAACATTGGATTCGAAGCTCGAGCGATGGGTCGTTTGATGGTCCGTGTGAGCCGGGATGCAAAGGAATGGACTGGAGCAGGGGACGATTCGATAGGCGATGTGGGGTCATGGAAGCCATGTCGAGAAGAATAGGCAGAGGACGGTACGGTAACGGAAGAAGATGCGAATGGGTAGACATTCTGTCCTCCAGCGATAGGTGACGGGGTGGTGATGCCTAGGCCCGGCACGGAGACTGAGGCAAGGCGAGGAGTCAGTCACAGCCCTGAACGGTTGGTTCTCTGATACTCACATAGACCTGGTTTTGTCGGAGTTGCAGGCGAGGCCGCGCCGCCGGCACCTGAAGAATCCGCGATACTGCTGGTAGATGTGCTAGGTCCAAACATGCTACTGGTCTTCCTTCTTAATCCCCGAGTCTGTTGTGCGGCTCGAGCATACGCTGATACGCTAGCATCAGAGCTACTAGTATCATTCGTCTTTGCGGAAGGCGGAGCGCTGACACTGGCCAATGAACCATCGTCGCGGCGTATCGACGAACCTCCCAAAGAGGAGGTCCGCGTCGGAGGCGATTGTGCGATCATGATGCCTAATCTCGATTTGACAGGTTGTGTGATCCGCGGAAGTCCAGCAAATCGATTGACGGGCTCACTATCTCCGAATCTAGGAATCTCAAGTCCTGGCGTTCCTGATTTCTTCTTGACCAATCCGGTCGATGCGAACGCTGCTGGCGAAGGCTTTTCGTCCCCGAACAAGGCGGACACAGGGGTCGAGAAGGTCTTCTCTGGGGAAAAGACATTCGAGTTTCTCTCTTCTCCTCTGGGATCTGTGACACCCCTCCGAAGCACTGGACGGGGCTGGCGAAGAGTCGAATTAGCAGCCTTGAATTTTGCGGAGGGCTGCGACGCAAGAGTTTTTCGACGAGTGAGGAGTGCGCCGCGAGCTGGCTCACAAGGAGAATCCGTTCCAGATGTCGAGGCCGTGTTGGAGGATATTGTCGTAGAGGATGTCGCGGAAGATCGGAGAATCTCTGACCGAGTCACTTTGGAAGGCGATTCATCGGGATCGGATTCCTCACTCAGTCGGACACTAGGGGTCCAATCTGCAATCTGGACACATCTAGGCTCGGTACGAGCGCAGTTCGCGCCAGTAAAGTCTTTCAAAAGGCTCCGGCGCGATTTCGACATGGGTAGTCTACTGATTGGTGCAGGAGGAACGCTGCGCGGTGCCTGGACCTGTGACAGTGACTGGCTATGTTGATTGACAGAAAATTGGGTGATCGCTGGACTTGTGGGACTCGCCCGAGACGACTTCCGAGAGGATATGAGACGAGGCAACAGGCTGCTGGTCTTCGACATCGACCCCGACACCGAGCCTGCCGTCGGTGTCGTGACATCTGCAATCGGATCCGCTAATTCCGTCTCGGGCGTTCGCATGAAGAAGACTTGCAGTGGGGATCGTTGTCTTGAACGAGCTTTTTCTTCCAATGGAGACACGGCGGGCGAGTCCTTCGTCTTGACGGACATCTCCAAGATATCGACAGCAGTGGACGAAGGACCAAACAGCTGTCGGCTGGGTGTCGCTGGGTCTTCCTCTTCCTCTTCATCCATTTGGGCGATCTCAGAGTCGCTCCAAACAGTCACAATCGAAGGTCGACCCTGTTCTCCAGAGCTCCTGCCTAGTGACATGAGAGAGGATGAGCTCGTTCCACTATCGCAGATGTCCTCGATGGACGAGACGGATGATGGGTCTCGCCGTGTCTTGGGAGACTTGTTGCTGATCCGAGACGGTATATGATCTGAGGCATCATCCATGATTTGCTCTTGCTGCTCGTACATCCATTCTGTCCTATCCATCCAGTCGTGATGGAGGTTGTCGAATCCACCGTGGCCGATCCGTTCCGTCATGATGCCCTTTGACGGCGACAATGGGTGAAATCTGTACCCTCCCCTAGCGTTTTTAGAGGAGAACGGGCTGCCAAGGAAAGCAGGTATCTGAGGAAGAGGTGCAGTTGAAGGGTGAACATGATCAGAAGTCAAGTCTCCAAAGAACGAGTGTTTGGCATTATGTCCCGGCGTACGACGAGGAGTCCGGAGGGTCAACTTGTTGGAAGGTGTACGTGTATGGAACGGGAAGGTCGATCTTGGTGCATAGACTGCTGCTGGAGTGGTATTTTCAGACTCGTCATTACCTGCCGGGAATAGCCCAAAGTTATTTGCATCGGGTTGTGACAGAGAAAACGTAGAGAGGGATTGGGAGAGCTGTAGACCGATATCCAAAGCCATGACGAAGGTGACAACGTGATAGGACAGCGATCGATGGTAAAATGGGGAGAAAGCAATGTCAGCAGGTACTAAAACAACAACAACAACAATAATGATAACACATGTATGATCGCAGGAAAGAGCTGAGCTGGGATGGGAGGGATGTAAACACATGGAGAGCCACTGGACGAGCAATCGATGACCATGAGACATTCTCATAACCTTCTCTGCTGCGCTCTGTCGATCTCTCCTCGAGAGCGCTCCAGATATTTTTGGGCCTTTTCCCTGAGACATGAAAAGAAGAAATCGACGACTCACCAGAGGAACCGACATTTCCCGCCTCCTGTTCAAGCCCCAATCTGAGATAGGTTCTCTACTCCTCCATGGACTCGTCTTGACATGTCTATCTGTATCTTCGCCATAGGATATGCCACGTCTCGAGGACAAGGGAGGTCTAGCTTGTCCGAGGTTCAAGCGTGATGACGATGGCCCAGACCCAGTGGATGATGCACATGAGGCGGAGGCCGAGGACGAGGAAGAAGACGAAGAAGCAGAAGAGGATACGCTGTTGAGCAGAGCTGATGCTGGCATTTTGTCCGTATCAGCTGTTGGAGGTGTCGATCTGACTCGTTTGGGAGATCGACTCAATCGTTTAGATGCTGATTCGCATGGTTTTGGATGATGAAGTGAAGCAGGCGTCGGGCTGACGGTGATCATTGTGGCCTGCAGAGTGAAAACAGCAGCAGCTGCTCGGGCCCAACCGTTTTCTTCCAGCAGCTCAGTCCTCTAGCTCTGCTGTTCGCTGCTCCTCCATCGATGAAATGTTTTCGCTAGGTCAAGTGGACAAGTAAGTAGTAGTCACGACACAAACACTGGGATGTCAGGGACCAAAAATCACACAAATAAAAATACATCGCGTCAACCGTGGGAAGAACAGAGTCTTTAATTGGTCATCCCGTTTAGAAAAGTTCAAAAGTGAAACATCTTTAAGCAGATTCAACAACTGTCAGAACTGCAACACTGACTATTGTATAACACGCACAGCGAAGCTACTTGAAACAGCTGCTGAGTCTTCATCGCTCGATCTTGCCAATTATCCTGTCGCGTTCACTCACTTCTCAATCACTCGCTGCTCGATCCACCTGAAGGCTAAAACATTACACTTGCCCAATATGCCTACTCGAGGTGAGCCCGGAAACACCTGGAGCAGCCGCAACAGAATTGTATAGCTGACCGACGATTCTCTTTAGCCTCCGCACCGTCCAGCGCTGCTGCTTCGCCAGCTAAGAAGCCCAGGTCCGCTGTCCTGCCCAAACAACCAAGCAAAGCTCCAGTTTCAAAGAATGCTCCAAAATCATCTGCTCGAGCAGTGATGGAAGATGTCAACATGGATCACGAGGCCGCTTCGCAATCCAATGGCCATGTGAATGGAAACGGGGCTGAGGCTACTGGTCCAGTCAAAGGCCGAGCAGCTGGATTGACTCAAGAAGCCAATGGTGGCAGTCGAGCTGGCAAAGGCCACGTCAGACGAGGTAGTCTTCGTGCGCCACCCGTCAAAATCCCTATCCCTTCTCCGCCTCGTAAGACATGCCCTCCGTACTTTTCATTCATTCCATTGATGTCGTCTCTAGCCATCTCTGAACCCCCGAGAGAGCTCTTCGTCTTTGGATGCGGGGATATGGGTCAATTTGGTCTCGGACCAGATGCTCTGGAAGATATTCCGCGACCACGCATGCAGACTTGGTGTGTGTTCCTCGTTGCCAGCCAACAGTATATGCATTGAGCTCACCTCCGTTCTAGGTTTCAAGAGCACGCCAATGATCTCAGTCGGGCTGGAAGAAGCGGAGCTGGAGGTCTGGAGACAGTCACTGCTGGAGGAATGCATACCCTCGCAGTAGATGAGAATGGACGGGTGAGCATCATCCCGTGTGACCTTGCGACTGAGACTCATTCCCTGTCTAGGTATACACATGGGGTATCAACGATAATGCTTGTCTTGGTCGAGTTACTGTCGGGGTTCCCGACCCCAAAGATCCTGGAAAGACTATCCATAATGAGAACCTGGAAGCATGGCCATTCGTGATCGAGCAATTGGAGAAGGAAGGATTCCGGACCGTCTCTGTCGCTGCTGGAGACAGTGTCAGTGTGGCGGTTTCGGATACAGGCGATTTCAGAGCATGGGGAAGTTTCCGGGTAAGCAAGAGGACGTTGACCCCATGCGAGCACTGTTTACTGATCTTTTGAACAGTCTGACGATGGCATTCTCGGGTTCGATGGGGTCCCTGGACATTCTCGGTTTCAATTTACTCCCATCGCCATTCAGGCATTTCAGCGGAACAAGCTGCAAATCATCCAAGCTGCTTGTGGATCCAATCATGTCTTGGCTCTGACATCCCAGGGTCACGTCTACGTCTGGGGAGAAGGCGGACAGAACCAGCTCGGTCGACGCATCATGGAGAGGAGAAAGTTGAACGGATTGGAACCTGAACGATTAGCCTTACGAAACATTGTTCACGTTGCCGCTGGTCAATATCATTCGTTCGCTCTGGACTCCAACGGAATCGTTTGGGCTTGGGGTCTCAACACCTTTCACCAGACTGGTCTGACGCCCGCCAGAGGAGGGGACGAATCCATGGTTATGATTCCAGCTCAGGTCGATGCGCTATTACCAGAGAATCATGGCGGATCAAGAGTCATTCAAATTTCCGGCGGTGAACACCACTCCTTGTTCCTCTTCGACAATGGGGAAGTTTGGGCTTGCGGACGGAGTGATACTTGTCAGACGGGTCTTGGACCAGATCATCCAGGGACCAAGGCGATTGAAGAGAGGCGAAAGGAGGAAAAGACTGAATTTGTGGAGGCGGTGAAAGTGGCGCGGGAAAAGCTGGAGGAACTCACCACCAAAGGAGATGACGAGGAGGCGAGGAGGGCAGCCGAGACGACACTTCAAATTGCCGAAGCGAGACTGAGGAGTCCATCGAATGATTATGTCCCAGAGCCGGTCAGAGTGAGTCGGCAGGTCTCTTGTCACGCTAGGCGACCTGAGCTGAATTGGCAGGTATGCTTCCCGCCTATTCCCGAGGAATACTCTGTCGTACCTCCTTTCCCATCTTACGCCGACTCGAAACCTAGCGATAATCCCATCGCTCAGATCTCTGCTGGAACACGGCATAACCTAGCCGTATCGAAGTCTGGGCACTTGTACTCATGGGGTCTTGGCGGTGCGTTGCAGGGTGTACATTTGGCTTTATGCTGATGGAGTGAACACTTTAGAGACATGTCAACTTGGTCTAGGAAAGGAAGAGCAGGCCGCTGTGCCGACGTTAGTGCGGAGTGCTGTGAGTGCTGTCTTCATCGAATATGCTCCTCGCTGAATGGGCACTATTAGCAACTGAAGCAGTACCATGCTGTTCAAGCTTCAGCAGGTGGACAACACTGTTGCGTCCTGGCTATCAAAGGCAAGGACGAAGAGGGTCGTCCGCTGAAACGATAAACGAGGACGAATTGAATTGTTGAAACGGCATGTGACGAATCGGATCATCGACCCGACAGATGATGCAGAAGAGTATGGAAGTGTGAAAGAAAAAGAGATTGTCAATCTCTATACCCTTAACGAGACAGTACGATATCGAGCTCCCAATCAGAACCAACCTGGACTTTTAGTAGCTCTGCTCCCTCATGGTGTTGCCACGTTATCAGTGTCCTGGCAAGATGATGCATGCATTGCAATGTGTTTTGATGTGATTCAAAAGTGAGAAGTATCCGCCTTGAATGATGATGATCATGAGGCCTTTGACGGCTCTGCTCCTCCATCGACTGATCGAGCCCGTTGACGAGGCTTGACTAGCCTGATCAAAGCCTTGACCATATCTTTCTCTTCGCGCAGGGCCGTCTCCGCTTCTGCTCGGGAACATCCAACTTGAGCGACCTGCAATGCGATCGAGCGAACGTCAGCTAGCCTGTTCTTTTGTTGTTGTATGACGCTTGCTCATTGGAGTCCTGCGCTCTCCATCCATATATTGATCATCCGTGCGAGACCGAATGCCCCCCCCCCCCCCCCAAACTAATAACTCACCACAAAATCCACATCTGAAGATTTTGGTTCTCCTGCGGTCGATCCCACTGTTCCCTCCCCTGATCCAACTTTCAAAGCTTCCATTGCTTTTTGAGCTTTCCCCTGTTCTTCCCTTTCTAAGCGTCTTCGTTCGAGCGTCAAGACAGCATCGTCAAGTTTGTCTAAAGGGTGAAACGAACGAAGGAACGAGCGAGCGCCAGGGCGTCAGCGAAACGGGCCACAAAGCACCATGACCATAATGATGAAAGCTGATGTGTGTTTTCTCCTCCGGCCGTTCCAGCCGCTTTGAGGTTGATTCGTCGACTTGGAGAGGATGTTTGTGATAGGACACCTTGAACTCACTCTTGATGAATGAACCTCCGTCTGCAAACTGAGCCGAAGGTGAGCTTTGGGCGTGCCCCTGGTGCATGTACCACACACATAGTGCGATAACTCACGTCAATGATCACTTCTCCCTGGGGTACACGGCCAGTACTGCTTGACGCTGCCATGTTAAAGTCGAAAACGGTACGATTAGAAGGATGCAGCGATGATGGACTTTGAACTTTTGAAACGAACCTAAGGACCAATTATTGATCAACCGTGGGAAAAGTAAGCTCGTAACTCCCCCTGTGCATTGAGCGTGTATCCCACTGCATGCATTTGTGATTCATAAACTTTGACATGTGCATCCTCCTCGGAGGCTCCTAGTCCCATCCACATCCACGGGAAATACAGACAGAACCTCCTTGAGAATGTTGATAATTACTTTGATTTGTCATTGCGCTTAACCCTTTCCCGGCTTTCATTTCCGTTCTCACAAACACCCGCCTTTCAACGTTTCTCCTCTTTGATCTCCCCTTCCCTCCGAGACATGATATTACAGATGCCAGCGAGTGCTATGGCGCCTAGCCACGACGCTGCCTTCCACGCTCACAATTCCATCTCCATGGCCATACCCCACTCTTCCCCTTCCCTGTTCTTCCTCCTCTCTTCCACTTCTTCTGAACTGCTCTTCCCTCTTCCTCTCGGTGAAGATCCATCCCCTCGTCCTTCTGAACTGAGCTCTTCCTCATCATCTGCCATGGCTCCAGATCGGACACTGGACGAAGGCATGGCGGTGTTGATAGGTCCAAACATGCCTCCACCAACGCCTCCACGACTCTTGAGGGATAATGGTGCGCCACCACGGTTCGGGATAGGACTAATGGCATTGGATCCAGCGAGTGAGCTTGGCGTGCCTTGAGGATAAAAGTGAAGCCCGGCGAGCTCGTTAGGGAGTGATCCGACACTTTGCGGCGTCCCAGGTCCAGGTATAGAAGAGGACAAGGAGGAAGTGGGTCGGTTGTGATGACCGTTGGCTTTGGCATTGGCGTTGATACCGACTGGTCGACTGTGATCGATACCATTTACCCGTAATTGCGAGTAACCATCGGACGAGGTGGTCGAATCGCTGCCTGGCGATGATTTTCTTGGTTGTTGCATATTGGAAACGTCTCGAAGAGAGGATGGAGTCAGTGGAGGGACGGTGCTCTGAGGTGAGCGGACAGAGGATGGGTCTCTGGACGCGGTCTCGCCAGAAACAGATGGACGACGCAATTGTGCCGTTTCTCCCAGCATGGGTGATAGTATGGCTGGCCAGAGAGATTTGTCGGTCGGTAGTGAGCGGCCTTGGGATGGGTCGAGATGGGCGAGGATGGCGGCGGCCTGCAAGTGATTCAATGAGATTTGGGGGACTGAACGGATGTCTCCGCTACTCACTTCTAAAAGCTGCACCTGCTGATGCTTCGACATGCTAACCTGGGTAGGCTCTTGCCAGTGCGGACTGTGTTCCCACCGATGTTTGATGAGACAACTGGGGTGGCGATATTCCTGCCATATCGCGTGAGCGAGAAAATGGCAACGCCAGGCCCATGGACCTCCCTCACCTTGCCACAGTTTTCACACTTGAAGACCATTCCCTTCCTTCTGCCCTTGACACCGCCGCTGCCTGATCCCAACGCAAGCTTTTTTATCTCCTCTGGTGTCAGATCCTCGCCATCCAGGTCCATATCTAGATCCTCCAAACTGCCCAACTCGTCGTCTTCGTCCTCCCCGTCGAATGTCATGTCCAATTCTCCATCCTCGACAGCGTTTGCTCTCAGTGCCCCGTTCTGTGCCAATGCCTGTGCTCTGAGTGCGGATTTGAAAGACGAGTTGTGGACGTGCGAGCCAAGAGACGATCCATTCGGTAACGACGCTGCAATCAGCGGATTTGAGATCGACCGACGATCGTGCACTACTGGCCTGGGGCCATTGTGTGATGGTCGACGATCAGTTTTTGTAAAGTCGAATAATTGGGGCGTGGTAGAAGAGCTCGATCCAGGACGGCGAGAGGAGGATGAGTGAGTCGCGGCGTGATTGAGAGTTGGTCGACTGTAAGAAGGCATACGCCATGAGCAAAAGGAGGACAAAAGAGCCGGAGAAAAAGAAAATTCCCGTCTGAAGCCTTCCCATCCAACTCACCCATTGGCATTAGGCGGAGGATGTGTAGAATCTCCCGTTAATCCGAGCTTCCCTCTTCCCAATACTCCAGTGGTCGAACTGCTCATTCTCCGTGGTTTCGGTGGCAGAGCAGCAGTGATCCCCGTAGGTCGGGTCGCGGAGAGGACAGACGTGGCGGGGACAGATGACGGGACAGCCGTGTCGCTGGAGGGACTAGGTCCAGAGAGCGAGAGCAGGTCTATGTATAGTCTGTCAGCATCGTCAAGCATAGGAGGTCCGGTGGAATGACTGACCAAACGCATGAGAATGCATCTCCCCGTCTGAATGACTGTGCTCGCACGGAGGTATGAGTGGACCTCTGGACGAGAATTCCACGTCGTGCTTGAACGGTTTTGGGGACAACAGGTTGGATCCTAGGAACGAGTCTGCAGGTAGGGATGCCGCCTGCAGTGGTGGGTGGTGTTGGTGGGTTTGCAAGGGATCGGTGGACAGATGGCAAGACGAGGCGATGATGAGCGAGGAGAAAAAGAAGGAGGAGCAAGTGCAAGTCGAACAAAGAATTTTGAGAGAGTTGTTGGTATTACCACGAAATTTCGAATTGAAAGACGCGAGCAGGAATGTTTTTTTTTTCGAACCGACGGGAACAGTAGGGAGCAGAGAGGAGGGACAAGGCGACAAGGATTGCAGCGACGATGAGATGAGAAAGCATTGATCAGCTCAGTCGAGAACAGAAGCACGGACAGAGCCAACAGATGAGTGAGGAACATAAGAGAGAGAGAGAGAGGGACGAGCGCTTCAAAGCACGGCGGGAAATGAGCCGAAAGAAACGAGAATTATGATGAATGATTATTATTTTCGGGACAACATTGAGATGGATGATGATTCAGACACGCACCTCTACCAGTGGAGTCTCCATGATAGGCGGAGGTGACCTCCATTGAGATAAATTGCTGGCCAACATGGAGTGAGGATGCTGCCAGAGGTGACAAATGGGATGATGACGGCTGGGAATTGACGAGCGGGATAATTATTCGGCGAGGCGGTGAGAATGCGTAGTGGGGGGAAGAGGTGGAAGGCAAATAGCTGAGAGAAGCAGGGGAGGAGGGAGAAGGGAGGGGGGGGGATTGTGGAAAGTGAGGAGGAATGGGAGTGAGAGAATGAGGTCCCCAGTCGTCCAACAGGGGCTAGTCGGTCACTTGCTCGATGCTGTCATGGAGGAGGAGGAGTCAAACAGAAGATGCACGCAGGGAAGGAAGAAGGAGGGGAGAAAAAGGGGGGGGGCGAGGTGTGTGTGTCTGTGGTTTTTCCTGGAAATTTATTGAATTGGAAAATTATTACCAAACGTGTAGCGAGTGGCGGCCAAGTGCGGGGCTCAACACACACATAGCGGAAGAAGCCGAGGGACGGGCCGAGGGCGTGGGGAGGAGACAGGCACATTCTGATCAGTCTCTCCTGTTATGTCGATCACTCAATGACCAAATCATCTAGACTGCCCCTCATTTTCCCTTCATGGCTCACATTCCATGTCTATGTATGTAGATGCCCCTTCGAGTTGGACCCGGGCCAATGGTGTGTTTTCTCCTGACTTTTTTCTCGCGGTCTGTGGGTGGCGGAGACCTCCACACGAGGCAGTACTTTTAGTACGCCGCACACACAGAGAGAGAGCATTCGATTCGTCTGACGACGGACTTGACAGGAACCGCACAGAGAATATCCCACACGCGGTACGTGGTCTATGATCACGAGTCACTCCACTACTCTCGCACCTTTACACTGCTGGTGAGTTGACAAGGCATGCAATTGACATCCAGTCATTTCATCAGGTCCCTCGACACGAGAAGCCGATGCTCGATGAGACGGCATAGACTCTTCACAGGCCCTTCTTCCAAGCCCAATTGTGATAGATGGGATACACCTGATATGTTAGCTGACCTGGGCGGGGACGGCACTCGGAGCGGGAAGAAAGACTGACCAGACGATGTCCCGCTTCGATATCCTCTACGTAGGCTTTGCCTAGCGCTTCAACTTGGTACTGCGGCATCTCCATAGCATCCATGATGAGCACCTTTGTGGTCTGACCATTTGATAACCGGTGAGATGGCGTTTCTGCCTCATCGGCTCCGAACTCACCTCCGGAACGCTGATGGCATTGAACTTCATCATGATCCTGGAGAGACGTCAATGAAGAGGTTTCAGAAGCTCCGAGGTATACCCCACCCAGATTTCTTCCAGTTGGGCTCTGGGTCGTTGGCACTGAGTCAGCACCACCGGCCATCACCCACGATCGCTCCAACTCACCAACGGCCCAGGGAGAACAAGGGAAAGACGCTTCGACCTGTTCGACCCGATCTACAAGATCGTTCGCTTTGAGAACTGAGAGAATGGTTTTGGACGCAGCATTGATATCGTATCCTCTGCGCGTGAACGCTCTTCGAGGGCAGGAAAAGTCGCGTCAGACCACTAAATCATGAGGTCCGAGAGGACCTCTCTCGGACCTCTTGACCTCACCTTGCCATGACATCCGCAAAGGCATAAGCTCCCGGAGTCACGGCCCGCGTTTCCTCGGCGGTGGATTTATACAGGCCCATAGGGAGGTTTGGCTCGATGAATACCACCAAGCCTCCTGGTCGAGTCACACGAATGACTTCTTCGATGAATTTGGGCCAGTTTCGCATCTTGACACGTAGGCGAATAACGTTCAGTTTGACTACGATAGACGGCAGCAACCTTTGCTCACCCCGGCGATAAGGGCTCTGGCATGGACGCAATCAAAGTAGTCATCCGGGAAACCGATACCGATACTTGCGTCTTCTTGCATGAAATGGAGGTTGTCTGGTGTCCCATCTCTTTGAACAGGGATCAAGTCGAGGGCCTAAAGGGGAGAGACATTTCAACTCTGTGTCTCGCGCTCCACCTGATGAGACCGACTGACCGTCCAGTCGACGCTGGGGAATTCTTGCGCCATCTCGATCGCCCTGGATGAGATTGTTCAACTTCGGGTCGAGTTCACCAAGAGGACCTCACCAGATTCCGGTACCTGATCCAGGTATACATTCAGCTCCTCACAACCTCAACAAAGGCCCCGGCCTGACTCACCTGCACCAATATCCAGACCTCTCTTTCGTTGTCCCGTCCCATCATCTTTCAAGGCTTCAGGTATGGGTGCGAGGTAGTTCTTGTCGTGGTACAGCTGTGTGGGCGATGCACGCTATCAACGGGCGGTGAGAGTGGGGATAGGGCACTTGCTCGCTTACCGCCTTGAGACCGAAGTGCTGATAGTCTAGTCTCTGGGATGCTGAAGTCAGAATCTGCTTCCCATACTTTGACTAAGCTACACTCACTGCGAACTCGAGCTCGTCCGCTGGCAGCTACACACCAGCATCAGTACCTATCTCACCCCTTGACTCGACCGCGCGCGGTAGACGCACCGAGTAATCATCTACACACATGCTACGTCAGCCACAGATCGCTTAGTCCCCACCATTGGTAGCTTGAAACCGTCTCCCAGCGTCCTCTAAATCATCTGTCAGCCGCGCTAGCCTCGTGACCCGAGAGAGTCTCAACCAAACTGACCTCGAAATCTGTGGGAAAGGACGGGTCAGTGAGCATAGAAACACAACGTATAGACCAGTCGTTCCCCTGGCCAACCCTCACATGGCGTTCTCCATACTGCTAGTCATGGAGAATGTAGCTGAGTCCGAGTCCATATGGTGAGCCATTGTTCGAACGTCCCGGCATGTAAATGGGATCGACTTGCAAAATGTCATCAAGCTCCTGTTGTCCGTCTCTGTAGCTCCATCATTGAATGTATCCGTATTGTCATCTTTATGACCTGTATCGTGACGCAGCATAATCTCCGAGATGGTCGAGCCGGCCGTAGGGGAGTTAGACCCAGGTGGGACGGTGTGCATCAGGGGAGGCCGGGGGTCCTTGCCAAGAGATCGGGTCGTTGAAGGTGGTCTGACGAGGTGGGCAAATCAGTCAAACCTTCATAGGATGATGAAATGTGGAGATGCTTGAACATGCATCAGACAACGAGGGCGATATGATCACCAAGGTACCTTATCCACCGGGCTTCCGACATCGTCCTGACTTGTTGTCAGCATCCGAACTCGGAGGATACAAAAGACTACACCATGCCTTTAGACCAAAGGATGGCCGAACAGAGGATTTGTGTGCGAAGGATGATACATACACCGCTAGACTCAAGATAGACTGAGGCTAGCGTCTATACGAGAGCATCCGTGACCCCCTGGAGTGATCTTCAATGTTCGCCAGTGGCATTGCCACATACACGATCCACATCCCTCCCTGAAGCGAGTTTTCACACCATCTGAATCCGTTCGGAACTGATTAACGAAAGTGTCGCCGAACGAGACGAGATGCTGTTGCCTTCTCAATACCCCTACTTCACTTGACATGATGGAGGCGGCGGAGATAGTCTCCAACGAGGCAGGACCATCCAATGCCGCTGATCGGTCTACACAGCACGGGTCAAAAGCCAAGCGGAGGAAACTTGCACCTCCCGGTCTACCCCGGACACAACCGTTCTTGGGTCCAGACGGCACCTTCGTTGTTGGGGGCTCGACTGGACCGACTGCCCCGCTGAAACCACTCCAAGGGGTCAAAGTTCGTAGGACAGATAGCACACGCCCAGGGTACGGTCGACAAGTGGTATTTGTGACTCGGAAAGTCTCCCTCGGAGCCCTCATGGGGAGATGTAGAGGTTTGTTAGTGGATGAAGAGTGAGTTTTTGTCGGATTCTCGAATGGTCTTGGCTTGGTTGGGGTGAGCTGACGGCGACCTACCTACCTCCTCTCCTCCCTCTCTCTCCCCGGTTGACAGGTACAAATGCATCACACTTCACGCCATGTCTGCTGCTATACCACATGCTTTGATCCTGCTTCATTCGCTCTTGGACCTGCTTCCGTTTAGCCAACGAGCATTATGGTATGAGATACGGACAGGGAGCACAGAATGTGTCGATGAGGTCGAGGAGGAGATGACTATTGGGGCCATCGAAGCGGCACCGTCGACTTTGGAGAAGAGAGTCAAGGTGAAGTTACCTTTGGGCGGAAAGTGCAATTGCTGATTGTCCCCGCGTTCCCGCCTCAGTCGACGATCCAAATCGACCTACACGTCGGATCTAGACCTACCCCTCCGTCCTCCGATCCCGCAAGTAAGAAGAGGACCGGCCGGAATCGACCCGGGAAACAAGCTCGACAGTCTTTGAGGAAGGGAACACGAAGTGAGCAGGACGAAGAGGCACTGGTGAACAGCCGGGCGATCCACGACCAAGACATGTCGGAGGAAGAGGAAGAAGAAGAAGTGGAGCATAAATGATACAGGGGGCTCACGGGCAATCCACACGGCATACCTCACGTTGTAATGATACTAGACATTTCAAACGACGCTATGACCCCAGCTCTCGCTGTCGCGATAGATCTGGCTCAGAAGGCCATCCTCCAGCCTCTACATTGAACTGTTTCGCTTCGTCCTCAGCACGACCAATCATCTCCCTGTACACCTCTATTTCACTCTCTTCTTCACTCTCTTCCTCTCTCTCATGCTCTGTACTCGCGCCCTTGTTCCGTGATCTCTCTCTCAGATCCAGGAGTGGCCTCGAAAACTTCTCGCTGAACCTCTGGACGAGCTCACTTGCGACATCCTTGACGCCCGGCGTAGGATTCGGCAAGACGCCATCATTGACGGCCGATCTGACCATGAGATCGTGTAAGCTCACGGCCTTCACATCGGCAAGGCCACATGCCAGGACAAGGTCGAACCATGCGAGCGGTTCTGGCGTAATGTTCATGGCGAACCCATGAGAGGTGATCCGATGTTGGAGATGGATACCGATAGATCCTACCTGGAAACACGAAAAAGCAGAATAAGTACGAGCTGTACCATCACAAGCATCTCAGGGGAGCGCCTCGGGGATTCTCACCTTTTCTGTGGGGGAAGCAAAAATACCGACATGCCCCTCTGGATGAGGTGCAACGACCCCTTCGATACCTTTCGATCGGACATAATCTGCAAGGAGAGACTGAAGGTAATCGACGTAACATCGAGTGGGCATCTGCGCCGGCCAGTATCAGTTTCATGTTACTTTCCATTTACATCACTGGGCCACAGGGGCCGCTCCGCGCCCACCTCCATGGCATTGAGGTCGAATAAAGGGTATCCGACCAATTGTCCCGGACCGTGATACGTCACTTGACCGCCTCGCTTCGTAATGTGGAATTCAGCGCCGACATGCTGAACCTTCTTCTCCTCTGGATGTAACGTATCAGGATTGGGAGAATTATCCCGACGTCCAGTAGTATAGGTTGGAACGTGTTCTAGGTATTTCAATATCGTCAATATGCCAGTTCCCCTTTCACCCTTCCCTGCAAATCCTGCGGACGATCAACGTCTGGACTTACCCAAGAACAATACAAGGTCCGACCTTCCTCCCCCTTTCTTCCGTTTCCACTCGATACGCTTCGCAACGAGCTCATTCTGCAGTCTCAGTCCAATCGTGTACGGTAATGGGTTCTGAAAGATATGATAGCGGATGGGCGGTAGAATAGTATTGAATCCTGAAGTCGAGCAGGATGGAGATGATTCAGCCGTAGAATAGGTTCGAGTCGACGGTCGAGCAAATGCAAGATCGTGCGAGGCTGTCTGAAAAGGTCTAGCGCGAGTGTTCGAGCGAGGGTTTCTTGGGCTGATCAGTTTCGAGCATGAGGCTGTTGATGATATGAGAGACCTGAACCCGAATTGCGAAGACGCCGCCATGATGAGTGAGAATGGAGCTGTACAGGCCAGGGGGTGCAATTCGAGGCAGGCTCGAGAACCCTGTGGATGCCAGAAGCGCTTTTGTGTCTGCACCTGATCCTGACCCGCTAGAAGCAGCGCTCACGTCCACAAAGTCAATCAGTCACGATGTAAAGTGCATAACCGACCACAAAGATTCCCTCCCATTTTGTGATGGACAACGGCAAGTGAAGGTTCCGGTTCACCGGAACATGACATATCGTTTCGATAAAAATCCAATTGCTCGATTATATGGTTCATAGCCGATCGACTGGAGACCTGAGGCGATGGTTTTCTACTGGCATGATGCTACGAGTATTGTCTACAATGGTTGGGAAAGAATGAAGAATCAAAGAGAAGTCAAGCTTACAACGAGAAAAGAAAGAAGAGTCTCAAGGGGCATAAGAGAGGGTGAACCTGAGGAGTTCTGGAGAATTGGTCCCTCCTCTTTTCTGACTACACACGTTTTGCAACCTACGCCGGGATCAAAGTCACGTCGTCCCTCCGACGACTCCCTGAGCCTATCCCATGCTCATCCGTATCGAACTGAACCCATCCATCATCCCCTCGTTCACCCTCCATACCTTCACTCTCCGTTCTACTCCCAGACCCGGAATCAGGATTTTCACCTCTAACAATGCCAGAGGACAACTTTGGTCGAGACGCGGTGCCTGAATCTACTACTTCTTCTTCTTCATCCTCCTCGTTCATAGCTTCTTCGCCTTCTCTTTCGGTGATTTCAGGCAAACTTTCATCCCTGCCTAGCATGTCCATTTGTCTGGCCAAGTCTAATCGCTGATGAACACCTGGCGCGAGAGTCGACAAGAACGTCTCGTTTCGAGGGGTCTGAGAGTCAAAGGAACTCGTATTGTCCACTGATGACGAGGCTTGAGGGATCGCCACGCTCAGTGTCTGCCCGTCGGCTCCATTGGGATGCGCAGTCGAGTCATGCGTCAGGTCGATGGCCATTGGCGACAAGGGGCCGGGAGTCTGGGGTGCCATATCGACATCGTCTGAGACTTGCGACGAGAGGACATGAGGCTCGACTGCAGTAGCTTGACGATGGAACATGGCACGAGGTGAAACCTCCACATCAGCATTGTCGTCCTCTTCGTCGTTAGGTCCACCGGACAGAAGCTGTTCCACATTGGTGTCTTGACCATCAATCACAATGCCTGTGCTCGGTTGCCCCTCCATTGGACTCGAAGCGGTCTGATGAGGCGCATCGTCCGCTGGATGCGGCAAGCGGATTGAATGATTCGAAGGCCGACGAGATATGACCGATGCTCGACGAGACGCAATCTCCCAAGCGTCTTCCATTTCGACGTCTTCTTCGAGATTGGCAAAAGTGCGCTGGAGAGAGAGGGGTGAGCGATGTTGGATCAAACATAGACGTGCCACTCACACACAGGGGACACGAGAAACCCGGATAGTGCTGTTGAAGAAGCGGCCGAATACACTTATAATGGAAAACGTGAGAACATGGCCTGACCCAAAGTCAATGACGGACCCGAGCGCATTGCTTACGCTATGAAGAGCGATTGGCACACTGTCACGGAAAAGAGACAGATGCAGCAATCCGTGACGCTCGCTTTCCGTCCTTTGGATGCAGAAACGGGCGAATCCACCGATTTGCCCTTGACGTCCCCGCCTAGCGCTTTGAGCTGCTTCAGAGCATTCGTACTGTGATGATATCGGCCCGGGTCCACTCGTTCACACTCACTTGAACTCGTTCGCTGCCCTCTGCCATTCCCTTCCCAGCTCGACCCTCATTTTGACGCAGCGGAACATGTCTTCCATACCGCCCTGATAATCGACTCCGAGCTGCAATACATCGCCATCCTGAGTGCGGTCAGACATAATGGTTATTGTGTGCTACTCACGTTTAATGCGGTCGGTCGCGATTCGGTATTCGGACTGGATAATCTAATGTGATTCAAAAAGGTACCAGAACTACTGGAGGTATCGCGGATGAAAAACTGCCATCAGCGCTGATATTTCACCAAATCGACCTACCTTTCCGCCCGGCTCACACCATATCTCCGCATGAGATCGACTGACGACTTTACTTTTGAACGCGACTTTGGGTGAACAAATGTCTCCACCACCTCCGGCAATGGTCAGTGACGCAGTGACCGGAGCACTGCCAGTGCCAGCGCCGGAACCACTTGCATGACCATTCGGGCCGATCGTGGCATTGCTTCCGCTCACCCCGCCATTCGAAGCGGCTGTATGCGGTACGGGAAGCTGGGACTTGTCTGTGAAACGGCCGATCTTGAGCAAGAGAGCCGGTGGCTTTCCGTTGAGAGCTGGTCCGACCGATGTGATTGAGGCGGCAGCTGCTGATGGAGTTACACCGGGAGGGACGATGATAGGTAAAACTTCTCGGACGACCGGGTCGAATGCTAATGATCTGGAGGTCTCGAGGTGAGGGACCAAGCGAATTCGATGGGTCTTTGATTCCGCAGGCTCGGTCGGTAAAGGCTGAGGCGCTGGAGTCGGTTGTGAAGCTGCAGCGCTCATGCCTCCAGAGACAGGCGTACTGACACTTCGAGTGACTGTATTTGCCCCTGTCAGTCCTGAGGGGGGGCCATTGGAAGGTTCACGCGATTGAGGTGAGTCCCCTGAAGCAGTAGTGGGACGATTCGTCTGAGTGATGGTACGTGATCGTGTCCTCATGAAACTCGGAAGGAAAGACGATCGGGGCGATGTGGGAGAAGCTGGCGGTCTAGGAGATCCAGCGGGAGAGGTCATGTCGTTCGGAGGGAGAGAGATATGGTTCGGCCGATGAGACGAACCAGGTCGAGATGACATGATGGCAGGGTGAGAAGTCGTCGAATCGAGAGATCGGTAAGCGTGCCGTTGGGGCTGAGAGGCTTGGGCTATACGGTGGCGAGTGGATAGAGGTCGTTGTTGGATTCGAGGGAGAGGTCCAAGATCGTCCAAGGTGTAGAAGTTGATGACTCTAGAAGGAGGCGAAGGGGTAAGCTTGGGCTCGTTGGTAGATGAAGATCTGAATGTCAATCGATGGGAGGAATTAGAAGCGAATGAGAAGGGCATGGTGCAGGAATCATGAGTGAGGAGCAGGATGAAGGTTCAGCCTAGATGATCTCTTCGTCGATTCGGCTTAGTCAAGGCGACGACGGTATACACACAGGGAATGATCATGCGAACCGTGCCTCTCGTGTGTCAAAGGTATGATCTTGTTGAGATTATTGGTCGACTTGACGACCTGATCTGACACAGAGAGGACATCACGACCGAGCAAGATCTTACGCTTTGATTGTATCTCGCTCCGAGCTCCGATAGGACAGACATTAAATGACTTACCAATTCTCCGGTCGAAGCGATACGGGAATCCCTAGTCAGGGGGGAGGCCCCAAGATGATCGAGGTGAGCCTTGAGCTGGCTATTCCATGCTTGAGGGGAAGTGATTCCCGACGACGATGTGCCCCAGCGTGTTTGCGAGTCCGAAAGATTCGTCCACGTTGCAAGACGCAAGCTCGGCTCTAGAGCACGTTGAATAGGTGATTGAGACGTTGGAAAGATGGATGGATAGATGGACTCATGGATTCATTTTACTTCTCTCGCCCCTCTCTCAGTGTCTCGTGAGATGACGATTTGAGAACTTATTATTAATCGGGGATTAGGAACCAGATTACTAATATCCATGATGTACATTTTTCCTAATCCCACCCCCGCACTTTCCCGCCCACGTCTGCCATCGGCTGAGTCCCGATGGACCTGTCACCATAGACTGACCCGCAACCCCCGCTCAGTGATCATGGCATGAGTCACGCTGCCATATAAAGATGATGTTGCTATAACATTCGGCAGTCATGGCTTCTTGCTCTCTCCTCCAGTCGTCAAGGGAGCAGAAAGTTGGAGATCTCTGACAAAGGGGGGAGGAGAGATATGTGGCAGCAGATGGTGAACGCTGGTGGTCCGCAGCGGCAGCATTTAGTTCGGCTTGCATGGCGACCTATGGCTACTGTAAATCTGAGTGGAGACTAAACCGGTCAAGTGGAGGATGATTATGAGTGCAGACTACTGATGTCGTGTGGATCATCACGGGCAATGAAGAAGGAAGAAGAAGAAGACGACCCGTAGTCCTCCTTTATGATGCTGCAACCTGTTCGAGACGAATCATGATCGTTGATACATAGTGATGGGTGCATGCGATTATGTACAAAGCTACAGTGATTTATCTATTAACAATTCTATTAGTTCGCCGTACAGGGATCATGAAAAGTGAGGTCGTTTCGATGCAAGGCGAACTTAAGATGGCCCTTTTCGCTCTAGAAACGTAGGTGCGATGACTCTACTCTAGTGGGCGGCGACGACTTTTCTTTCGCTGCCACCTTGTTCAGCACCATCTTGATCCGAGGACGTGACATTCTTTGATGGTCGATAGAAGACGAGGAACATGACGAGCCATAGGAATCCAAAGCCGATTTGCCAGTAAAAGCTGGCTTGAACGTTTTTGTAATTGGCGATGGAGCCAGGATTGATGGTGAAGAGACCAGATTGGACTGAGAGACTGACGGCGCTTCCGACTTGAAAGGCGACCTGTAGCATAGCCCCGGCGACACCAGACGTTTCAGCCGGTACAGCGGTGATGACGCCGACGTTGACACCGTTGAATACGACCATCATGCCTGCTGATCCCAGGAGACCACCTGGGAAGATGTATCGCCAGTAGTCTGTACCAGTAGCACCCTGGGCGAAGAGGGCATAACCAACGAGTGCCAACACCATTCCGATGGTGATTGGCCATCGTGGACGAGAGACCAATTTAGGGTAAACCGCACCGATGATAGAGACGACACCTGCCATGATACCTTCTGGAAGGAGTCTCACAGCCGCAATGATCGCCTTTTCACCTCCGACTTTGGTGTACGTCTCGACGAGAGCCAAAAAGTTGACAGCCCACCAACCGTACACGTAGAGGGCAAAGACGATGAGAACCGCCACGTTTGGGATCTTCCAGAAGGCCGGGGGTAAGATGGCGTACTCGCTCGGGAGTCTTGCTTCCCAGATGAAGAAGAAGATGAACAGTGGCCAAGCCAACAGGAAAGGTACGAGGAATTTGGCAGTTTTGAACCCGTAAGAGGCACCGAAGGTGAGACCGAGAATCAGGAGAACGATACCAAAGAGCATGCTGAATGATCCGTTGAGATCGAGTCGCTTCCATTTCTCGCCGGCATCGGCTTGAGCACCTGTAGGCTTGGGAATGAAGAAGAGGGATCCGACGGCGAACGGTAGGATCAGGAAAGCGAGAAGCCTGAAGAACCACCTCCAGGGTGCACCTTGTCCGTGAGTAGGGATGTACTCGATGAATCCTGCGACGAGAATGCCAGTGACATTGGCCAGGGCACTATTGGGATGATGATGGTGGTCAGTCATGGCCAAATGCAGCCCCTGGTACGCAAAGTAGCACTCACCCGCTCATACCGAAGAGAGTGAATGCTTTGCCCAACTCATGGGGTTCAAAGACAGCCACGATCAATCGATAAGAGGCAGGAATCAAGCATGATCCCGCCACACCGCTGAGCGCCCGGAGCACGAAGAAGGAGTATCGGTCAGGCAGGACTGAGCAGATACTGTCAGTTCAAGGATTGCACAGGAACTTGCCCCCCCCCCCCCCCCCCCCTCCCCGCCAAGATGCCTATGTAACTCACAAGAGATGATCAGATCCAAGACCCCAAGGGCGATGAAGCCATAAGCGAATACCGGCTTGGCTGAGTAGAGATCTGAGACTCGACCCCAGAAGAGTAAGAAGGCGGCGAATGTGACGGCATAAGCGGTGATCACCCAAGACTGTTCTTCAAACTTGACGTCCAGGTCCACGGATATCGGGTCGGTGAAGATGAAAAACGCGCTGTAAGACCAGATGTCGATGAAGAGCGATAAGGAGAACACGCCGAGAAGAGACCACTTGTGTCGTTGACTCAACTTGACTTCAGAAGCTGGAGGTAGCACAGGCTCAGCACCACCACCTGTACGCGTCTTGACTAGGTTGGCCATGGGTGCAAGAGACCCGCTGACTGTTAATCTCAGCTCGGGAAATGTCGAGGGAGGCATCGTGTCGCTATGTTGGGTTTGTGGTGATTGATTTGGACTGGTGCTGAAAGTACTGGCCGCTTTGGACTTGCCATCGTTCACCGCTTGCAGATCTACCACCGTCGCGGTCTCGGATGCCACACCCGTGGAGTGTTTACGAGGAAGTTGTGGTTGGGACATTAGGCCGATTCGAGAGTCAGACTTGGAGAGATGATACAGAGAGAGAGTGAAGAGGATAGATCAGACGTGGATGAAGAGATCTCAATGCATTGTCCTCGGCCGTTCCTATATATATATATACTGATAAAGACTTCGCCAGATACATACGCCTAAAGTTGCACCTCAATTGCTGAAAAATCTTTACAGTTGCTTTGTCAATCTGAACCCGAGGGAAGTGGAGGTTTCTGACTAAACGTTGAACAGACAATTATACCCTTTCGGGTGATTACGCCACGTGGTGTCAGCCTTGGCGCTTAGATCTCACACGAAGATTATATATCCTCTTGCGATTCGGGCATCGTCGGGGTGGAGGTCTCACGACACCTGCATGCAAGATGATAAACAAAGGACAGGAGTAGTATTTGTATGGTATGGCCGAGTTGACCAGAACGTTCTCCTAGCCATCGAGAGGATGATGACCTTTCGGCAAACAAGCCTTGGCAGCCTTTATGCTCCCGTCCATGGCCAGATCCTTTTTGGCTTACATTCCCTCTTGAGCCACTCCCTTGCATCCTTATCCGCATCTTCCTGTAACATAGGCAGCAGAGCAGCCTCCACGGAAAAATTATGCTCATTGATCCATCGTATCTCATCTTTCGTCAAGAGAGACCAATCGATCAATTTTGTCTGGATAGGCACTTGAGTGATTCGTCGCCATGCCAACCATCGATGGCCTCCGAATTCAAATGCAGTATCAGTGGGCACACTGACCACTAGAGACTCTGTTCGAATACCGTATTTCCCTTCGAGGTACCATCCCGGTTCGACAGTGACAACGTGGCCGGCTTCGATGGGGTCTCGACCAAGGTATGGGTCTAAGGCGCGGATGAGCCCAACATGGACGACCCGGAAATCGGCTTACATTCGTGCACACCGAGAAAGGACCCGACGCCATGACCTAAGCCATGCCCGAAGTCCATGCCTTCCCTGTGTACCCGTCGTCAGCATCTCATTAAGCTCAGACACCTGTGGGTACACACTGATACATCGGGTTCCTTCCCAACATGCTCAATGCTGCCGAGCTTGTTCCACGTGGGAAAACAGCCTGGAGGACGTGCATATGACATTGAAGGACCCGGGTGAAGGCTCGCTTGATCTCGTCAGAGGGAGATTTGCCAAAGTACACCGTTCGTGTGGTATCGATCGTCCCGTCTGACAGACATTAGGAGGGCTTGGGAGCTAAACAGGTGGTAGGCTTACCCTCGTACTGGCATCCAGAGTCGACGAGGAAAGGCGCTTCGCGGTCAATCTTGCTGTCAGAGCCCCGCTCCGGGACGTAGTGCGGCAGAGCTGGTCGACGAGCAGATCAGTAGCGGCCTTAGTAGGCACCGTGTGCACGCACCTGCATTCGGTCCAGATGCCGATATGCCCGAATTGGCATATCTGTGACCTTATCAGCAGCGAGCAGAAGCTGTTGTAGTAGTCATGGACTCACACATACAAGTCCTCCTGCGCTCTGAATCGTATGAGAGCCTGACCAGCAGACCATTCTCCGAGCTCTCGACCCTCCTTCATGAGCTTTGTCTCTAGCCAGGAGAACCATCGGACCTGAATGTGACTATGAGCTGAATGTCTCGTGACGTCGAGTCGACGCACCATCGCTCGTCCGTCTCGCAAGTAGGCCGCAGCGAAACCTTCCTGCTCAGTCGGATTCTTGATGGCCTTGGCGAGCTCGACCGGACACTGGATGAGACGAATATCCTGATCGCGGCCGATCAGCATGATCTTTTGGGAAATTGATGCTGCTTATAATAATTCGACTCACATCCCCACATGCCTTGGACAGGCCCCAGCTCGTCTCTGCACTTCCCCATATCTCGATCTCTGCCTTTTCATCTGCCAACCTGGCTTTTTGCTTAAACTCCTTGACGTATTTTCCAACTTGGTCCACTCCATACGGCTTGACAGCGACGTCGGATTCTTCCAGAGCCGCTCTCATCTCTTCCTTGATCTTGACTTCATCTGCGAACAATACACATGCTTCAGATGTCAATGCGAGGTAAGCGTATGGGACCGGGCAATCGGGTATGTCGCTCAGGCATCGACAGTTGAGTAACCAAGCGATGGAAGGGAGAGCAGGTAAGATATAGATCCAATCATGTCCCCTCGATGAGCTTGCCAGTGTCGCTCGCATTCGTTCAAGCTTTGACGAAGATGTTTCTCCGGCGTATTTGAGCGGATGGGGAGTAATGGGTCCGTCTGGTCTAGGAGACGGATGACGAACTTTGTCCACGAGGTTCTCGTCAAGGGGGACGAGTTGAGTAGAGGATCCTGACAGACTGTCCTGAAGTTGCCGGACAACGGGTAGAGGAACCAGTTTTGGATCCACACCTATTCTCAACCCGTCCGAAGCGTGATCCGAGATCCACCCTGTCCATCCAGAAACCACACCACCACGTCCAGATCCTCCATTGGCGCCGACTCTTTCAACTCGCCAATTGGACTTGGGGATCTGATTCTCCGCAATGACCCAGTATCGTGAATCGACGAATAGAATGGCGAGATCCTCTTCCGAGGAGGAGGACCCCGTGGACGCAGGGACAATGGCTGTACCTGCTGAACCGTTGAAGTTGGTTATCCATTCTCGGCGTTTCTCAGTCACGCCAGTGTATTCAGACTGATGCTCATCTTCACTGGGGACGATACTGAGGGCCAGTCAACTTTTGTGCCATTTCGGTGTAACAGGATACTCACTACCAATCCACCTTGGCTTCGTTGATGGCCGCTTTGAGATCACTCAAACGAGTCTGCATCTCCTCTTCACTCCCTCGATCTCCCTCCAGGATCTTTTCGGTTCGGTCGCCTTGTGTCCGCAGCGTTTCGAGCAGATCATCTCGAATCGCTGATGTTCTCAAGCAACTCATGGTGAGGAGAGCAAATGCACAACGCGACAACGAGAGCTGCTTATTCCATACACTATAACCGAAGTGCAATTATTGACCCCCGCGATTCGGAGCTGGCCGAAATGAGAGCGAAGCTTCTTTGGCCGCCGGCGCGGGCGACAGCTCTGGCACTCCATTGGGGAGCCGTACTCTTCAAGCGGAGCTCGAGATGATCCATGAGAGGGGTATACAGAAATGGAGGTGCATATCGAGCGAGTGAGCTCGTTGGTGGGCTTTGACCTGGACTTGATCGATCACACCTTTGACATCTCTGCTCGAGTCGCCGAACCCTATGACGAATCTCTGAGCTGCACGCTTATCAGGACAGAGCCTGTGTCGCCGCAAAGGATAAAGACGTATCCAAGAGAGGATGAGGACTCTATCAAGGGTTCAGACCTCGCCTCGTCGCTGATTCTCGTGGATCTCGACACGGATGGACACCTCCGAGGGTATCTGAGAGCATCAAAAGCGTGGAATAACATGGTGTTCCTGGACGAAATTATCATCGACAGACCTTGCCGTCAGTTGGGGATAGCCAGACTGCTCATGGCTTCACTTCAAGCATGGACGATCCAAGTGGGCCTCTCCGCCATCAAGGTCGAGACTCAAGATACAAACGTTGGCGCCAATTCTTTCTACCGATCATTAGCATTCAGCTTCGGAGGATATGACAAGTTCATGTACTACGGAATCGAAGCTTGTCGAGATGAGACTGCGCTGTACTGGTACTGGTTCAGTCAGTCTCCAGGATGACAAGGGACGCCAATGGACCGAATCTCAGCATTCCTCGGCGTGAAATCAAGATCTCCAGACCGCCGATCGATGAATTGTGTTCAGCACATGTGAACCTCGCAGGCACAGCTTCTCGCAGGAAGAGACTCTAACCGCATCAATGAGGCACTAGCCACCCTTTTGGTTCATCACAATCCCCGTGCAAAGTCGTTCGCCGATCGACCCAAGCCCAAGCCTATGTATCCGCAGTGGCAACCGGAATCAAAAAAAAAGCTCCAAAAAGTGGGAATCCCACGTGGCGTTGATCTGCGCACAGAGTTGAGGTGAACTGTGCAAAACCCGGTTGAAGACCGAAGATAGATTGATTGATTGATTGGGCATTTTGGAGACTGCGAGCGCGCTGGTGTCCTGTGCCTCTCTCCGTCTTGAGCAGCAGCAGCAGCAAGGTCGACAAGGTTTTCCCACTCCAACGGTCTGGAACGCAGCAAACACAGCTTAGATAATAGAGTGGGATGGAACGTGACGCACGCAGTTAAAAAAAAATGATGAGCGGCTGCGAAAAAGTTCGGGAGAACAAAAATGTTCGGCAAATCGCCATCACTGCATCTCACCTGGCTGGCTGCAGCGTATGTCAGAATCTCACATGAAGATTTGAAAGATATATAAAGAAGGGAAGAATGGGTCACTGTCGATCCATCAACCCACTCGCCACCTTCAACAACTCCATCTCAACACGATGAAATCCTCTCTCACACTCGCTTCGCTCGCTGGAGTCTCGGCCGTCATGGCTCAAATGCCACCTGCTCCGAGTGGCGGACCAGGTATGGTGGGACCTTCGTCTTCTGGTCCTTCGACCGGGTCCATCATTCACAACATCCTCGGAGAGTGAGTCATGACTGCTGTCCTATTCCTTTTGAGGATTTCCCCCTGACTGACCTCTTTTCCAACTTAGCCTCTCGAGTCAATGCAAGTCCACGCTGGAGCAGCTTGCGCTCTCCTCATCTGCCGCCACTTGCTTGCACGTCGATACATTGCTGCCTCGTAAGTAGATACAATCACTCTCGGCTTCACTCAAGAAGCTAATACACGCCCCCCTTTCCAGTCGTCATGTCTAGCAATAGCTCCATCGTGCCAACCGTCGACAGCTACCTCTCGACCATCTGCTCCTCCGACCCATGCACAAACACTACCTTGACCTCGGTCGCCGATTCCATCATTCAAGGCTGTGCTAGCGACTTGACCAAGTTTGGTGTCGACAACCAGACTGTCAGGGACATGATCGACTTGTATCCCCTCGCCAGAGAGGTCGTCTGTCTCAAGACGTGAGTGCAGTCCCCCTTCGCGCGCCTGGTGACGTGACTGGTACTGATCTAAAATGCCCCTATCCAGCGAGGATCCCGAGAGCCTCAATAACGCTACCATTCCTCTCGACTCGACCGCTTACAACACTACCAACGGGACTTTCTGCGTGACCGAGCTCCTCACCGATCTGTCCGGATACATAGGTGCCAACCTCACAACGAAATACATTGAAACCGTCGTTCTCGGTGGCAATGGATCTGCTCTGCAGATCCTGGAACACGTCCCTATCGAGGCCATCTGCACCGACTGCATCTTTGCCGCGATCGATGTGGTTTACACAGAGTACCCCGCCATTGGAAACTACTCAGTTGGCAAGAACATGACCATTGACGGATGGTTGAATATGACTTGCCCAGCTTACAACACCACCACGAGTGAGTCCATCTATCTAAAAGTACAGAACAAAGATACTGACAAACTCCTTCTCAGACGGAACGCTCCCCGCTTCCATTGATGAGGTCGCTGCCAACTCGACCTTCCCCGAGACCATCATCGGCGCCCATGGAACTTACACGCCTGGTTCCGCTGCTGTCCCTGCACCAACCCTCAACTCAACCAACGAGCAACAATGGGGAATCGCCTCCCTCGTCGGAGCCTCAGTCTACAGTACCGCCGCTGCCGCCGCCACCGACGCTGTCCCCACCGTCACCGGAATGCCCATGATGTCTGGAGCACCCAGCGCTCCCGCCATGCCTTCCGCCGCCGCCTCTGGTATGCCCTCTGGCGGAGTCATGAGCGTCATCTCTAGTGCTCTTGCCAGTGGTGGACCTGCCGGTCCCGCCGGACCTGCTCCGACTCTTCAAGCTCCTTCTGGATCCGTGAGCGCTCCTGCTGCTCGACGAACCCTCGGAAACATGCAGGAGAAGAAGCGATGGATCGGAGAGTGGTAAAAGCGATGGTCAACTAGGAGGTTGAACTCGAACGAGGATTGTTTTTCTTGTACGTCTTTCGAAACGCTATAAATGCCGCGGATCGCACTGCGTCCGTACGACTCCTCTATGCACAGTCTACATACATACATAGATACAACATGTCTTGTGTCTCCGATGATCGTGATCTCGTCGTCATATAGCTCTTCCACCTCTATACTCACACTTTCGCGCCCTTTTTCCCCTTCTTATCCCCAAACATCTTGGCTTGAAGCGCAGCAAACTCTTCATCCGTCATCTCCTTGGTCCCACTCGTAGACGCCTTCCCACCCTTCTTTGCCTTCTTCTTCGCCCTTTCCTCTTCTTCGATCCGAGCATATTTTTCAGCGAGTGCGTCCAATCCACCCGCTCGATCCGTTTGTCGTTTACGAATCAGTGCCGCGAGTCCTTCCTCCCCAGCAGTCTGCTTGACGTTACTATCTCCCTTTCGTTTGCCCTTCTCCCCTGAACCGTAAAATTCTTCCCATACGCCTAGCTCTCTCGCAGCTTTCTCAGCTTCCTTTGCTTCCTTCTCCCCCTTTTTCTTCCTCTTATCTCGTGCAGCTTTGTCTTTCGAAGTCGTTTCCCACTTCTTCGTACTTTGCAGCTTGCCAGAGTCGATGAGGTTATTGATCAGATCGATGAGACGCTGTTCGTCGAGGTGAGAGGAATGAGGAATAGACGCGAGAATATTCGGCAGAGAACCACCAGAGTTCTCGTAAGCTTCTTCGACATCGACTTTCTCGTCATCAGATCCTTGACAAGGAAAAGTGTGTGAGCTGGATCGACTCAAGATTAGCGGACACCGAGCTCACCCTGATACTTTGCCTTATCGTCATCTAACATCTTCCGATCAATGCGTTGGAACAGACTCGCAAAGTATGCATCCCAGCCCATCTCCTCCGCATCCGTAAATGCATTTTCGTCCGTACGGCCAGATGTATCATATCTGACATTATCAGCATACGCGAGAGTTGCAGCACCCCCACCGTTTCCTCCTGGTCTCATCGCTCAAAACGGCATACGCAAACCCGACCTGTTGGAATTGCTTTGCCAACTCGTCCTTGTCCTTGTCGCTCTTCGAAGTCTGCTTGTCAGGGTGGAATCTCAGAGCCAGACGTCGGTATGCAGATCTGATATCTTGTGCAGTGGCCGTGGATGGTAGATTCAGCGTCTTGTACAAGATGGAAGAGGCATCTTCGGAAGAGGTCTCAGGGAAGAATTGGTGAAGTGGATCTGGCGTGTCATCCATGTTGGACTTCGATGTATCGAGCTCAGGCGAAAAGTCAAAAGTCACACAGAAAGTCAAAATCCAAATGCAACATTGCACCCATGAGGATCAGCCGACGCGTCGGTTGACTTTTGATAAGGTATCGCCACGTCATACTCAGACACGTGCCTCTGCTCCACGTTGGCTGCCAGTGGTATGGTCAGGGGGAGATCCTTCAACTCGCCCCCCTTGCCTCGATCTACCACGTCGTATACATCTCCATCATGTTGCATAGAATCCTCGTCTTGTTCGCTGCACTGGCCCTGGCGGTCGTGTTCTTCTTCTCTGGACAGGCGGAGGCGTCGAAGGGTCCAGTCATCACGAATAAGGTGAGTCGGGAATGGGCTATCAAGAGCGGCAGTCCAGTGACTGGACCGTAGTCAATCAAGTATGCAAAAGTCCTTCCGGATGGCTCTGTGTCGATGCATTCCGCAAGGAGTTCTCCCCGCTGACCGGTTCTTACCTAGGTGTACTTTGACATCAAGCATGGTGACAAGGAACTCGGTCGAATCGTCATGGGATTGTACGGAAAGTGAGAAAGAGCCTTCCTGCTGACACGTTCACGCACATGACTTCTATTGACGCACCTCATCAGGACCGTACCTAAGACGGTCGAGAACTTCCGGGCGCTCTGTACCCGCAAGACTCAGGAAGGTGAAGAGCTCGATTACGGCTATGAGGGATCGTCTTTCCACCGAATTATCAAGCAGTTCATGTGAGTCGGAGGTCGTTTAGGGCTGTAGTTTGGCCACGTCGTTGACACTTTCTCCACCAGGATCCAAGGTGGAGATTTCACCAAAGGAGACGGAACTGGAGGTAAATCGATCTATGGTAACAAGGTGAGCATGACGGCGACTGTTGACTGGCGGAAAGGCCGATTCTGATGCATCTGATCAGTTCGAAGACGAAAACTTCAAGTTGCGACACACAGGACCTGGTGTATTGTGTAGGTCTAGTGCCCAATATCATCCTCAATGTCTGACCACTCGTATTAGCCATGGCTAACGCTGGGAAGGACACCAACGGGTCTCAAGTGAGTAACATTGAGCAGGCTCGGAGTGCGTCAGGTCTGATCTCATTCCCAGTTCTTCATCTGTACCGTCAAGACCTCATGGCTTGATGGCAAGCATGTGAGTCCTTACACTGATAGACAAGGGTGCGTCTCTGACTCTCCTTCTCTCAGGTCGTGTTCGGTCACGTTATGGAAGGTATGGATGTTGTCTACGCCATGGAGAACGTCAAGACTAGTGGAAGCAACCGACCCAACGAGGCAGTCACGATTGTCAGGTCCGGCGAGGTGAGCTCTATCCACAGCAACCCACACTGTGAATCCCGCACTGACATTCGCTCCCCTCTTCCAGCTCCCTATGGAGGAAGAAGTGGATGACAATGGCAACCAGGTACCTCTTCGCATGGAGCTCTAGCTACGTGCTCCCTTTTCCATACAGAACGAGACATTCTAAAGCATGCATTCTCCCCCCTTCCCCTTACAGCCCGATTACGAAGGTGACGAAGAGGAAGACACTTCCATACCGATAGAAGAAGAAGACGACGACCTGGCGAGTGTCGCAGGAGGCATCAAAGAAGACGATCAACTGCATCGATCAGCTGGAGGGATCTCGATGGTCTCCATCCTCGGAGGTTTCATTGTGCTCGGTGGAATTGGAGCCGCATGGTACTTTTTCGCTGGTGGGAAGCAGATGATCACAAGATATAGGTCGGGTAAGAAGTATGAGCGAGTGGGAATGAGGCAGACGAGTGCTTGAAGAGACTGGAGTGATGTATAGACACGAGGTTTTTAGTTGGTCATCTGCCGAAGCCCGGCCGAGCGCGGCACCGGCATCACGTGACAGAGGGATTTATTAGGGAGGCTCGGTGTGAATTTTCTAATGGCTGATTAGTAAATTGTTCCATATTTCTAATAGCTGATTTAGACTCCGATGTGGCCGGGGATGGCTGTTATTTTCGTCGACGTCACTTGGCCGATGAGGGGATTTTCATTATATAATACTGAAATTTCTCACACACAATCTATACTTTTGTCTCGTCGCGATCCTGTATATACTCTACCTGTGAAAGTGGACAGAGTGACTGAACATCCACCTGCCTCGCCAGCAATGTCCTCGTCTCACGATCCATTGGAGCTGGGACCACCCGTCCATGGAAGCGAAGCATCCTCACAGGCTGGTGCGGCTGCTGCTGCTGCCACCACGACCACTGCCACACAGTCTCAACCATCGCATCCGCCTTTACAACATCTCAGGACAGCACCGACCACCTTGCCAGCTCGAGCGGCTGCTTTCGCGCCAGATGGAGGTGTTGCAGATACCATCCCAGAGCGCGAATCCATCAAGCCGTCCAGGTCTGAGTCTGATGCCTCATCCACTCCCACCGTGTACGAAGGCAATGTCTTACCTCGACAGCAAGTTCCAGCAGCCGTAGGAGGCATGCATGGACAATTCTTACCTGGAAGTCGGCACGCTCAACAGGGTCAACAGGGAGAGATTCACGAAAAAGACCTTCAGGCATCTACGACGGGAGGCAAAAGCGGACCTGAGATAGCAGCTTTGGCTCGAAAAGAATTAGGTTTAGAGGCCGATGGATCCATGACCGATGAAAAAACGGCTCAAAAAGCTCGAGACGCTTTAACGCATGACGCTGATCCGGCTGCAGCCACACGATTGGAGAGGACTCAGACGGGAACCAAAGTGAAGCGACATGTTCAAACGTCTGCTGGACATCCCACGTCGACCACATACGGTATGGTCCCAGTCACCCGGATGACATCTCAACCTCCTGCCGTCAGCCCATTCGGTGGTATTGCCCCGGAGGGCGTTGATGCAGAAGAAGGTCTATCACCAGTCAGAAGTCACGAGGAGGAACAAGAGAGAGAAGAGATGAGGAAACAAAAAGGCCCAGATCCTTGGGCTGTAAAGTTTGCACCGGGTGAAGCTTCAAACCCAAAGGTGGGTTTCAAAAGTTTATATTCAACTAGACCCCTTGGCCAGAACCCAAGCTGATAATGGGAACCTTCACAGAACTGGTCTGTCGGTTATCGTTGGTATTTGACCGGAATCGCCGGATTAACAGTCCTCAACTCTACTTTCGCCTCTTCGGCTCCCTCGGGAATCGTAGAGGATATGGAGAAGACGTTTGGATTCGGAAGAGAAATCGCAACGTTGACCATTGCTTTGTTCGTCGCTGGGTATTGTGTAGGTCCTCTCGTCTGGGGACCTCTCTCAGAGAGGTGAGCATGTTTGAACTGCAAGCACCCGGCAACTAACTTGTCACCTCCCCCAGCTATGGCCGTCGCCCCATCTTCTTGCTGTCTTTTCTCGTCTATACTGGATTCCAGGTCGGATGCGCTTTATCGCCTAATACCGCCAGTATTCTCGTCTTTCGTTTCCTCGGAGGCTGCTTTGCAGCTGCTCCATTGACCAATAGTGGTGCCATGTTGGCGGATATCTGGGACCTCGATCACCGAGGACAGGCTATGAGTGAGTGGCGAGACTGGATGCAGAATCGATTTTTGACGCGCTCTCACGATAGGTATCTATTCACTTGCTCCGTTTGCTGGGTATGTGGTGGTTCCGCTGGCGCGAGCTCCCCAATGCTGATTTGCCATCAGCCCGTCTATTGGTCCGATCGTGGCCGGTTTCATCTCAGTTTCTGGCACTGTGAGTTTTGTTCGCGTCCGGTTTACCTTACATGCATCTGACTTGGTCCCCGTAGGACTGGAGATGGGTTTACTGGATCCTTACCATCTTCGCCGGAGTCTGCTTGCTCATTATCCTGTTCACTGTCCCGGAGACATACGCACCTGCCATTCTCGTCGTCAAGGCGAAACGGCTGCGGAAAGAGACGGGAGAGGAGCGATGGTATGCCCCGCGTGAGTGAACCTGTCTGGACGTCACGCGTCAGGAGCTGAGGCCTATCTAAGTGGAGCACGGATCCAAGCAGACCTGGGGTCAGAGACTCAACAATATCCTCTTCAAGCCATTCGTCATGCTTGGTGGGTCGATCGACGCGGTTCCTCGGTCGTTTTGCTCATCCAGGCTCAGTTCAGGAGCCCATGTTGATGGCCGTCACTTTGTACATGTCCTTTGTCTACGGTATTGTATACCTCTTATTCGAGGCGTACCCGTTCGTTTTTATCATCAACCATGGTTTCAATACTGGAGAAAACGGACTCTGTTTCCTCGGGTTTTTCGGAGGTGGATTCTTGGCAGTCGTCTTGTGAGTCGATTTGAAGGACTGTCAGCATGTAGCATGCTCATGTAATTCAACAGCTTCATGACCGTTATTGAGCCGCGATATCAGCGCCATGCAGCTAGGATGGCGCCTCAACCTCCCAAGCCAGAAAAGCGTCTCGAAATGTCCATCCTTTCCGCTTGGGCTCTCGTTATTGCTCTCTTCTGGTTCGGATGGACATCTTACGCGTCCATCCACTGGATCAGTCCGGTGCTTGCTGGTGGTTTGATCGGAGTAGGAGTCTTGGGCATGTTTGTCTCCATGTCAGTCGCTCGAGCAATATGTTCGTACATCATGATTGTGCTCATGTTTTTTTTTGCCTCAGGTTCAACTACATTATCGACGTCTACTTGTGGGCCGCTGCATCCGCACTGGCAGCTACGACGGTTTGTCGATCTGCATTTGGAGCTGGGTTCCCACTGTTCGCCACGCAAATGTATGCCAAGTTGGGAACTCAATGGGCTTCGTCCTTGCTTGGATTCCTGGCTCTACTTATGGCGCCTATCCCGATCGTCTTGTTCGTCTATGGACCCACGTTGAGGAGAAGATCCAAGTATTCCCCGACGGCGTAGCGTAGAAGGGTGATGTCGTATCAGATATCTGACCTGCATCTTTGTTCGTACGATCTCAGACTAATTCATAGTGCTTTTGGCCTGAACATAGACACTACTGTTTAATAATACCACGCTGTAGCCGCTAGTCAATGTATCCAGATGACAGCATTGCAGATATCAAATGATCGCGGGTTGACCGGTTGAGCGGCCGGCCCGTATGAATCGGCCAAATCCGGCAATCTTAAAAGCTGCTCTCATTATCCTAAGTGACCTCTTTCTACGATCCGTTCGTATAAACTTGCCGCAGCGATGGATCAGAAAGCTTCGTTGCCCATTGTCAGAGATGATGAGCCGTCCACAAATGTCACTCGTCAGAGCTCGTTGAAGAAAATCTGGATCAAGGGTCTGCTTCAAGCATGCTTGATCCTCCTCATCCTATCTCGACTGTTTACCATTTGGAGCTCGTCCTCCCTCAGCCAGTTGGACCCAACGCTACGTGCCCACTGCCAGGATCTACTCCAAGTACCTCACGGATACTATTCATCTCGTCTAGACCGTCTCGTCTCCACACTTGAGGCGAACGACAACGCTACATGGATAGCTGAGCCAGGCGCTTCAGCGACTTATTACCTGGGAGGTTTTTCTAAATCCGATTGGTTTTTATCTGAACGACCTCTCTTACTCGTCATCAGGCCCACTGGCAAGGTTTTCATCCTCACTCCCGCATTCGAACAGCTGAGAGCGCAAAAAGTCAGCAAGACATCCGAGATCGAAAACGAGTGGATCGCTTGGGCTGAAAATGAAAACCCTTACGAGGTTCTGTTCAAAGCTCTGGGCGATGAAAACGAGATTCGACTGGTGATCGATGGACAAGTTAGGAACTTTATCAGTGAAGGCTTGACTGAAATTTCTGGTGTTTCGCTCGCTCCTAGACAAGCTGGAAAGGACGTCAGTCTCCTCCGAGAGAGAAAGGATCCGAGAGAAGTTGGGTTGTTGAAATGTGCGAATCAAATGACCTTACATGCTATCCGCGAAACGAGGAAGAGGATGTATATGGGGATCAGGGAATCAGAGACGAGAAAAATCCTGGACCAGGAGTTGGCCAAGACGGGTCTCAAGGGTGACGGGGGATTGGTCTTGTTTGGAGGTGAGTGGTTCCGCCACCCCTTTATTTAGGGACAGGATCGGATCGGACCATTACTGACTCTCTGGCTGCCACAGGGGATGCTGCGCTGCCGCATGGCTCCGGGACTGATAAGAAACTTGGAAGGGAGGACCTGGTACTTATCGATGTCGGCGGCTCATGGGGAGGATATACGGCGGACATCACGAGAGTGAGTGACAGCGCAGCGTAAAGAGACCCGATCGTGGCTGATGTATTTCCTCTGTAGACATTCGCGTTGTCAATATCACGGATCCCAGATCAACATCTTGAAATCTGGGAGACTGTCCGACAAGCTCAATACGCTCCATTCGACCTTCTCAAACGATCCAATTCATCTTGTCCCCCAACTTTCGGAGATCTCGACGCCGCCGCTCGAAAGACCGTTAATGCGAAATACTCTACATCTGGCTTTGATATCTTCACTCACCGTTTAGGACACGGTATAGGTTTAGAAGGACACGAGAGACCGTATCTTGTGCCTGGGGCCTTGGACCATCCACAAGCTGGTCACGTCTTCTCGCTCGAACCTGGGGTCTATGTCCCGATGGGTAAGCCCGCAGGAGGATTAGAAGACGTGGGCGTGAGGCTTGAAGATTGTTTCGTGGTAATCGAAGCGGAAGATGGGAGTCTCGGCGGAGAATGGTTGAGCGGACCAGTAGCGAAATGGGGTGATATATGAAAAAGAGGGGAACCTGTTGGGACATTTGTGGGACAAGGGATAGGACATTGCAAAGCGCGGCATATGTATGCAGCAGGGTGTCAGAATGAACATGGATATTATCCGGATATACGCATGTGCACCTTTCGGATCGATGTTGGCCAGACCCGATGCGGCTGAAGCTAGGATGGCGACAGTACGACTGACTATGCACTTTTGGTCATGCTCCGCTGTGGAACGACTACAGTTGACGCATATCACTACTCTTGCGGTTCACTTTGCGGACAGCGAAGGTCTAGCGTGTTTTTACAAGGACGCGGCTGATTTTTTGGCAAACCTCCCTCCACCTTTGTTGTTGTCGTGTCTCTAGTTCATCCGCTAGTCGTCAAGAGATGTAGAGTAAACAATGGGACGCTGGACGAGTTATGTGAAAGCGGGGTCATGTATCTATCTTGGGACACTGCTGTGGGTGAGCTTTGGGTGTGGGACCATCAAGCAGTGAAGAAGCCTTCGTGCGTCAGAAAGACTTATAAAAGACCTGGACCATTTAGGTACTGCTTTGTTTACCTGTACGAAGTTTGGTCACTCTGACCACTGGCCTGTTGGAAACGCTGAGAGACACGATGAATCGTCTCATAGGTCACTCTGGAGCCTTGCTACTCACCCAACTCATCGCCTTAGCAGCCGCTTTTGACCTCTCTGGACTCGCTGGGTCCATCGAATCCGAAACGTTCAATTTGACCCATGACATCTCTCAGCTCGTCCCTTCTGGAGAAGCTTCTGTCCTTTATCCACCCTACAACTATGTGCCATCAGTAGATGGCAAATATCTCCCATCACCTCATGGATCAGCCTTTCAAACGCCGTGGTCTTTCCCACCTGGGTTCCCATTCTCCCTTATCCCCGGCGGGAACCTCTTACCTACTTTACCTGGTCTGTTCCCCGCGAATCCCTCCGGATTCTGGTACGAGAACATTCAGCACAATGGCGAGAGCCCCTTCATACCTGATGGAAGCAATTGGACAGTCTATCGGAACGTGAAGGATTTCGGAGCCCAAGGTGATGGTCAAACGGACGATACGGCCGCCATCATCTCCGCTATCAATTTTCAAGATCGTGGTCCTGGAGGGAATGGAAAAGGCACCACGGGCGCTCCTGCCGTGATCTACTTTCCTACTGGCTCATACCTCATTTCAAACTCTCTACCAATGTACGTCGATACCATCTTCATGGGAAACCCTATCGATCGACCTGGAATTGTCGCTGCGTCAAACTTTACAAACACCACCATGATCACTGGATTTGATCCGGCTTTCGATGCCCCAACCAACTTTTACATGTCTGTCAAGAACCTCATTTTGGATTCGACTCAATTCGATGGTTCGACCGAGCTTCTCCTGCTCGATTGGGGGGTCAGTCAAGCCACTCAATTGACAAATGTTCTTTTCCGTATGCCTCAGGGATCAGAGCATACGGGCGTTTCGACGGTTCAAGGAGGCTCAGGGACGTTTATGGGCAATTTGGAGTTCAACGGTGGACTTGTCGGAATCAATATGAACAATCAGCAATACAACGTCAAGGATGTCAAGTTTGTAGGGTGTCAAACTGCCATCCTCATCTCCCATGGGTTTGACCTTGTCTTCCAAGGCATGAACTTTGAGAGCTGTCAGTTGGGTATCAACGCCACAACGGGAGGGATGGGAAACGTCGGATCCGTCGCCTTGATTGACTCGACGGCAACGGATGTACCCACTGTCTTGGTGACCAAATCTCAAGTTGACCCGTCCACCAAAACGACGACTGGGGACGACAGTATCGTCATTGACAATCTTGTCGTGAATAACGTGGATGTCACGGTCATGGCAGGGTCCGACACCATCCTCACCGGCAGTGTGCCGAATGTCTGGGTCTATGGAAACGCGTATGTGGCAAATGGGCCAGTGGGAGGTCAACACGATAATGGAGTCACCTACGTTCCCAATGCAAACCCTAGTTTGAGACCCAACGGTCAATACTTTACCATGGCGCCGCCCACGTATCAAGAATACGCACTGAATCAAGTGATCAACATCAAATCTGTCAGCGGGTATCCAGTCTATGGAGACGGTCAATCAGACGACACCGTCAACATCAACGCTATCCTTAAGCGAAATGCAGGATGTGCTGTGACGTTCTTCCCTGCGGGGACCTACATCGTCACGTCAACCATTCACATCCCACCGGGCTCGCGGATCGTCGGCGAAGCTTGGTCTGCCATCTCAGCTTGGGGGTCATTCTTCAACGATGAGACCGACCCTCAACCCATGGTTCAAGTCGGGGAACCGGGTGACGTTGGCGTCGCCCAGATCAGCGAAGTGCTCTTCACAGTGGCGGACATCTTGCCAGGTTGTATCCTGCTGGAGGTCAATATGGCCGGACATCAACCTGGCGATGTAGGCACCTGGAACACGCATTTCCGAGTCGGTGGAGCGGCTGGATCGATAGTCGAGACGGGCTGCGGGAACGAGAATGCGCCGTGTCAAGCTGCTTTCATGTTGATGCACCTACGACCTACCGCTTCTATCTACATTGAAGACATGTGGGGATGGACAGCAGATCACGATCTGGATGGGACCAATAATCAAGTCATCTCGACAGGTCGAGGCGCTCTGATCGAATCACAGAACCCCACTTGGCTCGTGGGGACCGCGTTCGAACACAACACACTGTACCAATACAACCTTGTCAATGCTCAAAACCTCTATACGGGGATGCAACAGTGTGAGACTCCCTACTGGCAAGGTGTAGGTAGTCCGGAACTCGCACCTGCTCCTTGGACTCCTAATGCCACGTACAATGACCCGACATTCAGCGTCTGCGGTGCAAATGATGCCAACTGTCGAATGGCATGGTATCAGCGAGTCACTGGAGGATCCAACATCAATCTGTATGGATCTGGCTTTTGGACATTCTTCAACCATAATGGTGCTTGCCAAGGGATCGAAGGGACATGTCAAGATAACGCCGTGGAGATTATTGGAAGTCCTCAGGGTTTAGATTGGTGGAATCTCAATACGAGAGGAGTCTTGAATGTCGTCATTGACGATGGAGAGGTGTTGGCGACTCAAAACAATAATCCAGGTTCTTGGGGTGCCGTCGTAGCGGCTATATTGACTCATGCCACTGGTCTAGCCGCCAGGCGGAGGAGGAGATGGGTGCCACCTCATGGTTACAGAGGGAGAGTAAATAGAGCACGGTTCTGAAAGTTTGTTCAACAGTAATAACGACCAATGTATCCATTAGGCTGGCGCTGGCGCCAGCGCAGGCTGCCGTCTTGGGCAGACAACCTGTGCATGTCATTTTGATTATGCTGAGCTTGCACTTGCGCCTAGAATCTCCCAGCTAGCGAGTAAGCATCCTTTTTTCTCATGACCCATCGAGTATCCCAGATCTGTCAATGTCGTGGACCAGAGAGACTATACGGCTCGACAGAAAGAACAAGGCACCGAGATCCCAATCTATCGAAGGAAAAGTACACTAACAATAGTCATGATAATAATGAATTGTACCTGATTCACGACGAAGTCCCTCCCCTGGCGCCGCCAAATACCGCCCCATTACGCACGCTCCACTGTCCCCTCTCGATCACATGCGGCAGCAGTTATCTTCTAGGCCCGAGCACCCACTTTAAATCCGTTCTACTGGATGTTCTTCTCCTTCTTCTTCTGGTGTATCGTCGTCACTGGGTCTGCTGACAGCTGCTCTCAAGAGCGTATGATGATGTATGCAACCCGAACTCGGAAAGAGAAAGAAAGACGCCACACTTCATCTATGAAAGCGCCACGAGAGGCGTCCATTCTGCTGCATCCAGTAAGAGAGTGGAGAGATTACAAACAAGATCCTAATAGAGAGTCAAGATTCCAATGAGAATGTGGCCACTCATTAGTATTTCAATCCTAATCCCCCCTGTCCCCCTTTCGCGCCCCTGGACGTGTTTCAGAAAAATGGGACCTCGCAACAATAAAAAACGCAAAAAAACGCCTCTTGACCAAACTCGTTTCTGAGCGCATCACAACCATCCATCTCTCTCTCTCATCCGTTCCATTCAATTCATCTTCGCATTCGGCTCCAACGAAGAGGTAGGTGGATTCGGGGTGGCTGCACCGAGCATACGTTCGTTATCTGAGGCCTTTGGGAATAGCAGCGCACCGGTTGAATGAACATGACATAAAGAGAGAGAGAGAAAGAACGAGCGGAGGGGGGTTTTTGGAAAGTCATCTCATCCTCTCTCAACCTCTTTCTTCCTCTTCCTCCGATTCACATCTCACGACGCTCTTTCTCTCGCATATTCTCTCACCTGGCACGACCATTCTCACATTCATTTGGGACGGACTCCGGTCACCTACACTCGTTTCAATCCACTACTTGACGAACCCTCGTCTACGCTCTCACAATGCCTCTCATGGTTGATCCATCGACAGGCGCAGTGATCCAAGCTCTGGCAGCTGGTCCCTCGGCTGCCCCATCAGTGATGACGTTCACTGCCTCTAATGTCGACGCTACGCCTACCGAGCTGGTCTCGGCTGTGCTTAGTGGGTCATTGGCTGCTGCCACGACACCGACATCAATCGTCACCCATACATCTGCAGCCTTGGCTGCTGATGCCTCGTCAAAGATCAAGGAAATCATGGAAAAGGAGACCATGGATCAATTAGCCCTGAGTAGTGAGTCCCTACGCCTTTTCGCCCAGAGGCGACATAGAGGGCAACGATCACTGATCCGCGTGGCTTTGCCCCCTCCCAGGCTCCATGCCCAAATACCTTCTCTTGGCAATGCTCGGTCTACTCCTTTTCATCATGCTGTTCCTGCATCCTCGTTTCATCGCTAGGGTGTTCGCAACTCGACGTTATCGAGCACCATCCAAAGGCGATGACCCCTCCAAGCCTCGTCGCGCAGGAGGTGGAGATCTAGAAAGGGGTTGGCTTTTGTGGTCTGGAAAAAGGATCGTCGCAGATGATTCATCTTCTGGTTCAATCGCCAACTCTGATTCGATCAAAGGATGGACGCCCCCTCCTTTCGCCTCTGGTAATTATCCACGGAACAGCTTCGTGGGGCCAACTCCCAGTACCACGCCCGCTGCCACTTTGCTACCTCCACCGCACATGCGACCCATCTCCAACATTGTCCCGTTCACCTCGGCTCTCATGATGGCTCCTTTCGCTCGATTTCCTTACCGATTTGGAACGTCGCTTAGGATACCGCAAATTGCCGTCGTCTTAATCTACTTTGTCCTCGTTGCATTCGCCATGATCTGGAAATCAGACGTCGACGCCTCGAAACCTGGTTCAGGATACGGGAGAGACTTCATGCGCACAGGTTGGATCGCCATGTCTCAGATTCCCATCGTCATGCTCTTCGGCGTTCGAGCCAATTTGGTCGGACTATGCGTCGGAAAAGGCTATGAACGACTCAAGGTCTTTCACAAGATTGTCGGCAGAGTCATTTTCCTCGCCTCTGCCCTTCACGTCGGATTCTTCGCTTGGAAACTGGCTGCATTTCACAAGCCGCTCAATCTATCCACGGAAGCTTTGAGAGGGGGTCTCGCAGCTTGGATAGCCGTGCTGGTCATTGGCATTACCTCTGTACCCTGGTTGAGACAAAGGTTCTACACTGTTTTCAAAGCGTCACACTTTGCTGGTATGATCGCCCTGCTCGTTGGACTGGCTTTCCACGTCAAGGTCGCCAAGCCTTGGTGCCTCGCCTCGGCCATCATCTATACCGTTTCGCACATTTTCTCTCTCTGCAAGACCCGTTTCGCCGTGGCGGAACTGGTTGCTCTACCAAACGACACCACACTCGTCACTATCCCAAGCATCTGTACTGGCTGGCGGGCAGGTCAACATGTCCGAATTCGCATCCCTGGTATCGGTATCGAGGGTCATCCCTTCACCATCGCTTCCGCACCCGATGGAGAAGGCATGATCCTCCTCTGCAAAGCAGTCGGCGGCTGGACCCGCAAACTGCACGGATACGCATCATCAGTGGACGCTGAGCAAGGCACTCGACGGGCGACGATCATCGTTGAAGGACCTTATGGAGGCTTAGGCAACACCCTTGTCCCTTCCTTCAGCTCTGTCTTGCTCGTCGCTGCTGGTAGCGGTATCACCCATTCTCTATCCCTCGCACATGATTTGATCATTCGCGCCCCGACAGGTGTCGTTCGTGCCAGAGCCATCGACCTCGTCTGGATCGTCAAGAACGAAGAGCAGGCTTCTCCTCTATTCCCTACGCTTCTAGAACTCGTCAAGGACGCCAAACGATTTGAAGAGAAATGTCTGGCCTCGCCTGAAAATCCTGTCCCTGTGGCTCTCCGAATCAAAATCTATCTCTCACGCTGTCCCGATTCTTCGCCGCTGCCACTCTTGAGCTTGTCATCGAGTCAATCTACACTCTCTGAGGATCTTGAAAAAGGTGACCTCGTCCGCTCCAACAGCGGTTCCAGGCGATCCTTATCGGACATCTCGGTCGAACGTGGCAGACCTGTATTTGATACGCTTCTCGAGGGTATAGCCGATGAAGTCATTGATCGGTCGACCAAACGCCAAATGAACCCCTGTGGAATCTGTGTCGCTGCGTGTGGACCATCAGCGATGATCAACGACGTACGTGATACCGTCAGGCGTCTCGATAGGGTCAAATTCAAGGGCGTCGGTGGAGTCGAATTGGCAGAAGAACAATTTGGTTTCTAAAGTGTTTCAGGCCATTGGCTTTTCACTATATTTATGTACGGCCATATTTGGGGTCGTCTTGTAACACATATAGCATAGACATGAACACATTGCATAATGCGCTCTGGGCATAGGCCGTCGTGACAAGATCATTTTCATCGTCGGTCATGGCCAGCTGCAGAACCATCTGTAGCGGCGATGACCGCCACGAAAGCAGTTCAATTACAGTCGAGATTCCTGTAGAGTCTCGTTCGAGTCTGTCTGTTGAGCATAGCTTGCTCACTTGAGAGAAAACCAGCTGGATCAGAATGTCGAGCGGGTCGAAGCAGTACAAAGCCATAGGGGTAAGTCTGTCGCCACTGAACACCAGTTGACAATCAGGACGATGTCTGGAAGCGGACTGATAAAGTGGTGAGTTGAAATGTCTCGTATCGTTGCCCCTTTGCCCTTTTAGCCTTTACCTTCTGAGTCGGTGGGAGAGACGTTACGTGCGCTAATAGGATCTTTCAGAACGCCGAGCTGTTCACTCTGACATACGGTGCCCTTGTCGTACAGTTGATCAAGGTGAGTCCAAGATGTCTCTCCGATTAAAGGACCACTGTTGACTCTCAACGCCAGGATTATGAAGATTACGGCGAGGTCAACAAGCAGCTCGAGAAGATGTGGGTTGGACGTTTCTCCCCATTCCATCGCGGTACCACCGTCGATTCAAGGGGTCCCTGAGATCCAGCTGATGTCTTTTGGCTCACAGGGGCTACAACATGGGTACTCGTCTAATCGAGGATTTCCTCGCTCGGACGGGATTACAACGTTGTTCAAGCTTTGCAGAGACCGCAGAGGTCATTTCAAAGGTCAGTCGTCAAGACTCCAAGATGAGAGGGGATTTCCAACAAGCAATCGGGACTGAAGCAGAAGGACATCTCTATAGGTCGCATTCAAGACGTTCCTCAATATCACGCCTACACTCTCGTTCCCTCCTGCTTCTGCTCAACCTTCCAATCCATCTTTACCACAACCCTCAGAATTCATCTTGACACTCGATGATAATCCCCTGGCGGAGTTTGCAGACCTCCCTAGAGATGCGAAGGAGGGAGGCCTGTGGTTTAGTAATGTCTTGTGTGGTGTCATACGGGGTGCTTTGGAGATGGTAAGTTGAGAGGGCTTAGGTCTCCCTGGATGTCCTGTAAACCAATTCCGCCCCTTATTCCTGGCTCTGGGCTGATCCTCATACCCCACAGATCCAGCTCCAGGTCGAAGCTCGCTTCTTGTCGGATACATTACGCGGTGATGAAAGTACCGACTTGCATGTCAGATTATTACGGATCATGGAGGAGGAACAGCCAGAGAACGACGAATAGGCCCGAGCGCCAGCCCATGCACTACTGTACAACCAACCACCTTGACTATCTCCACAACAACGATGAGACCTACGACGCCACAACTGTCGACTGTGTCCCCTGCGTCCCTACCGGTGGCCACTCCGCCGCACCAGCCGCATAACTCTGATTCGGTGTAGGATCGTCATCGTCATCGTCCTCTGCAAAGCCATCCTCTCTAGGCACGAACGATCCTCTGATCCCTTTTCGCCTACGACCGGAGACTGACATGCCTCTTTGAACCCGTGTTGCACCAGGAGCAGGCTGCTCAGAGATGGCCGAATCGCCATGCTGCATCCTCCATCTGACTGTGCGCCCTAGTGTTTCGACGTTTTCTCGTACCTCTTCGTCCCTGTTCTCTCTCGTTTGAAAGATTGACGAATACCTTGCTTGCGTCGACAATACCAGACTCATCTGCAGGATCCTCTGCAATTCAGGTAAGGAAGGCGGAAGATTTGAAGATGAGATGAGTGGAATCAGGCGGGGAAGAAGAGGGAGCAGGATGTGAAGCATAAATCCGGATAAGAGAAGATGCCTGACGGGAATGAGTGGAATGGAGACGATTGAGTTGGTCGAGCCTGATGACTGGGTCGTAGATGGGACGTCTCGGATTTGAGTGAAAGGCAAGTACACGCCTTCGAGATACTGAAGAGGGTGTCAGCGGCTCCTGCTCTCAAAGCTTGGGACGTGCTTGTACACACCGGCAAGACCTGTGACCAGAAGAATGACCAGACCTCCGCTGCTCTTGGGATGATCTTTGCCTCTTCTAGTGTCTCAAATTTTGCTTTGAGAGTGAGCATCCCGCTAGCGATGAAATCTCGGAGATCTTGCGTCAAGACAGGGATGACACGGGACAATGGAACGCGTTGGGAGACTGCGACGATGTGTGAATGGCACAGATGGCTGTAAGGAGGACGGGTCAGCATTTCGATATGCCTGCTGCTCCGCTTTGACCTACTTGAGGTCCTCGATGGGCGTTTTGAGTGGACCACCGGCGAAGAGGGGTAAGACGTGTACTGTCAAGACGCTCCAGGGTGAAGAGGGAGAACTATGAGCGATGGCATCTGCCATGTTCCTCCCTGGTCTCTCGGCATCTCTAGAGAGGGTCGTACCGTCGGGCAAGACGATACCAGAGGAAGATGATAGGATTGGGATCACAGAGTTGACAGGTCGAGGTGAGGTGGGTCGAGGGTTCAACAAGGTCGGGGTGGATTGATATGGGGATGTCGAGCCTGAAGGTGAGGGAAGAGGAGGCAAGTGGGAGAGTGTGGAGGAGACCTGAGCACGCGTCGAGTGATCAGCTTCGAACCTTGCGTAACGACGGATGCTCGTAGATAAAGACTTGCCAGCTTATTGTCGTATGCTCCTGCACCACTAGTATGACTCTTATTCCTATGCGGGCTATGTGGAGCTGCCCAAGTTGCTCCAGGTAGACGTCTATCCCTAAAGCCTCCTGGGTTGCCTGTACTGCCTCCGCCTGGAGGTACGTCCAAGCTATTTCCCCTGAATCGATCATCAGAGGGACCTCCGTAAGCATTGGATGCTCCTGGTCCATTGCGTCAGCTGTATAAAGTTTGTTGCAGTGATTGCTGAGACAGCTGACCATGTTGAGAGCCTTGACCACCCCACAAACCACCCTGACTGGATTGGGACGGCGAGATGGGCGATGTCGCCATGCGACGAGGTGAGGAGGGATTCGATGGTCCGGCTACCGCACCATTTGAGCTCGATATTTGCGCTGTGGGAGTGACGAGCGGCGGAGCGAGCACGGTCTTGGGAGATGGCGGTCGAATGGATAGACCCGATGGGTTCCGGGACGGTGGTTTGTATGCCATTCCAAGGGGAGAGTGCAGTGTTGGATTAAGATGTAACACAAAATGGAGGAAATAGAGAAATACCGTCCCCGCATCTTTTGAGATTCGACGATATGTGACCTCAGATACATACAACGACGGAGGGACCCATATGGAAATACGACAAACGGACGCCTTGTTCTGCAAACAGCTTCTGACTCGATACTGTCTCTTTCACCACTGCAACGTCGGCCTCGCATGCGGCTCAGAAGGGTGTGGAGAAAGGAGCGGCCGAGCCAATCATTCCCATACCGTAGTTGACTGGCATGGGCCTATAGACGGAGGAATATCCTACGTATATTGTATCAGCGATGCGTGCATTGGAGGGATAAAAAAAGGAGACTAACGGGCTGAACCTATGGCGCCAGGGCCCATGACCATAGGTTGACCATTCGGCATGCCTGAAGAGAGGAGAGCGGTTAGTGAAGGAAGCAAGAGCAGCGACGCTAAGGAATGATGAAGCTCACCGTTGTTTCCGACCCTGTCTGACATGTCTTGCTGTTGCTGAGTCCTTGCAATTTGGTTATCCTGCAGACAGTCGTTAGCCACGAGCGACGGGGAGTTCTGAGTTTGAGCAGCAAAGAATGCCCTCACTATATCCGCCTCCTTCTGCTGTTCTTTCATCCGCTGACGTTCGTCCTTGGAAACCGATAGCTTGTCCTTCTTCTTCTGAAGCCAGCTCTTGTGCCCGTGCTGCGGTTGATTGGGTGCTCCAAATCCAGCTGGACCGAAAGACGATGTCGATGAAGCGGGACCAAAGCCACTGCTTCCCATACGGTTTAATGAAGGGGGTGGTGGTGGCGACGGCGCCGGCGCCGGCTGAGATGAATAGACTGGTCCATCCGCTTCTCTCGCTTTGGCCCTAAGACGCTCTTCCGTTCTTCTCTCCTGTTCTGCCTGTTCACGAGCCTGTCGAGCTGCTGATCCGTTTGGATTTGTGGGATCATCATCTGGGAGAGAGGCCAAAAAGGCCGGATCATCGTATGGGTGAACCCAGATGGATCGTCTGGTCGATTCTTCAACATAGAACACATGCTCACTCCTTATTTCGGGGGGAACGTCAGAGAGCAGTCAAATCGATCGCACGAGAGGAGCTTTCCAAGTCAACTTACGACGGATCGTAGCATCTAACCCAACCTGCAGGTAAGGGACGTCTCTCATCATTCCGATTCATCATGCTCGCTGCAGTGACCGCGCGGGAGACCTGATGAGTCTGTTGAGGCTGAAGGTTCTGTTGAGCTGCAGAGTCATCATCGAATGGCCCTGACCAGTCACTCGTAGCTGCTTGGTATGTAGGCGGAGCGGACATGATGCTTGCGTTGGGTAGAGTGCAGAAGAGGACAATGGTCCGGGGGGGAGATCAAAGGTGAGGGATATTAATGCTTTGGTCTATTTTGGGATTCACCGGCGTGGGGAGCCACAATAGAGTTGTGCCTTGGTTACTATCCACCGGCGACAAATCAGCATAGCCCACCTCGTCAAGAGCTTGTAAATAGCTCATTAGAGCCTTTCGATGAGGGCGTGGCTACAGATCGGAGAGGCAACTTGCATAGGAAAACACCGACCGAAAGATGTGATATTCGATTCACTCAAAAACAAAACTATAAGAACAAGAGTCGACCAGTCAAGTCACAGATCCGCTTCTGACACTACATTGCCCCGCCGATGCCCCCGCCCATTGCCCCAGCTGCACTACTATCAAAACCTCCACCTCCGCCGCCGCCGCCCATACCCATACCCATGCCCCCCATACCACCAAAACCACCTAAGCCAAGATATCAGTAGAAGCCCCTTTCTTCCGTCACCGTTGCTCACCTCCCATGGCCTCTCCGAGTAAGAGACCGCCTCCGAACCCTCCGAGACCCGCTGCCATCGGCATACCTAGTCCATATCCCCCATAGCCCCCATAGCCATATCGTCTTCGGCCGTAACCTCCTCCGTAGCCTATGCAAAGTGAGTATGAGGCCCAATGCGGGTGACTTACCGTATCCGAACGGACTGCCATACGCTCGAGAGTATGCCATTGAAGGGGCCGAATAGCTATATGGGTCCGAGGCATAGTAGCGACCTGGAGGAGTTTTTCAGTCTCGGCAAGAGATTCTGCTTTTCGGGCACCTACGAATCGTTGGGTCGTTCATTTGCCTCTTGAGCAGCTCTTGTCGTCGTTTCATGTACTCAACCTGCTCCTCCTGTTTGTGCGTCAGCCAAAAGTAAGAATGTGATACGGGAGGATTGTTCGATTATAAATCACCTTTGCCTTTCGCTTCTGCTCTGCCTTGATCCTCTGCCTCTCCTCTTTGGCCTTTTGCCTCTCCTCCTTAGTACCGATGAGATGATCCTTTTGCCTCTGAAACCAATTCCTGTGCGCGTCCTTATCAGCGCCTTGGGGAGTCCCGCGCTCTGAAGCCTCATTTGCTGCTGTCCTCGAGTGATCACCTTGCTGACCCTCTCGTTCAGCCCGTAAAAATTCTTCAGTCTTTCTCTCTTCTTCCGCACGCTCTCGAAGTCTTTGAGCTTCTGGCGAGTTTGGATTGGCGGGATGATCATCGGGTAATGATTCCAAGTACGTCGGATCATCATATGGATGTACCCAGATACTTCGACGTGTGGCTTCCTCCACATAGAAATGATGTTCTGTCCTGTTACGACGCCGTCATCAGCTGGCTTGGTTCCTTCCGGCTCGTGAAAATCACTCACTTCGGATCGAAACACCTGACCCATCCTGGAGGCAAGTCCCTTCTCTCATCATCCATACTTCTTCTGCCGTCTTCGCCTATCTGATCGACGAATGTCGAACCGACACTCGATACCGTATCATTCGATCGGACCCTCGAGAGATCATGATCATTCCCGGATGTATTGGCTGCAGCGGCAGGAGATGTGGTTTGACCTTGCGGATTTGTCACTGCTAGCTGGGGCTGATGTCGATCGGCAGTCGCTGCTTCATACGTTGGTGGTCCAGACATCGTGCCCAGCTTCTACTACTGTCTATAAGTGTAGGATGTTAGATGCACTTGACCATTGACATAATGAGCAACTGGCTGGCTTGGCGGCATTCCTCCGATTACCGGATTTAGCCGAGATACAGGTTGATAAGCCTGCTTCCGTCTGGCTGAAGGCAACACGTCATCTCCTCGTACCGTGCGTGGTACTCAGCTGTACCAGCTTGAAATGCCTCCTCTTGTTGGATCATCACTGCGCGGCTCAATCGAGACCTCGTCCATTTTCCCGCCCATCATGGTGGAGGCTGATCAGCTTGACGTCGCCAGTCTGAAAGTTGCAGATCTCAAAGAAGAGCTGAAAAAGCGTGGTCTCTCAGTGACGGGGCTCAAGAAGGATGTAAGTGCAAGGCCTGTCAGAGCCCTTCCAAGTCAACGCTGAAAGGCCCTTTGTTCAGCTCGCCGAACGACTTCAAGATGCTCAAGATAGGGACCTGACTGGGATTACGGAAGACTCTGAGCCAACTGGCGAAATCAAAGATGATGCAGAGGCGCTGGGAGGATCATCGTCAGACCCGCATGAGCAGGAGAGGGTCGAGGAGGAAAAGGTTGATGGCGAGCACAAGGAGGAAGGAGGAGCTACCAAACCACCAAGTCCTAGAGTCCAGGATTTGGAGAAGCCCCCACCTGTCTCCAAAGAGGTCACACCGACTCCTCTGGAGCCTGAAAACGCGGCAATCTCTCCGCACGCCACTGCAGTAGTCGAGGATGGAAAGGGTGTGGGTGATGCTATGTTGGAGGGAGATGACGTCAAGATGGATACTGAGGACTCAGAGAAGGGTGCTGAGATATCCGACTCGAACCCCTCTGAAGATGGGGCAACCGCCCTGAAATCATCTGCGAAAACGAACGGACATGGGCCAGAAGTTCCACGAGCCACAAGGCAAGACGATGGTGATACGAGCGACCAACCACAGGCATCAGGATCTAGATCACCTCGTCCAGACGCGCGCACTAGAGCACCTAGTCCGGGCTCCAAGCCCGCCAAACGCGCACGCGAAGAGGACAACTCGGCCCCTGTGAAGCGCTCAAAATCGACTTACACTACCCCTCTTCCTGTCTCCCTCTCTCACCTCATTCACCCTCCAACCTCGAACCTGTACATCACAAATCTTCGTCGACCTCTTCTTATCCCTGCATTACACGACTATCTCTTACCTGCTCGTCATCCCGCCGATCTCCTGCCACCGCCCAAGGCCCCGTTTGCATCTTTAGATCATCCTGGCTTATGGTTATCAGGAGTCAAGGACCACGCTTATGCCACGTATCCCTCCGTCGAGGATGCACTAGAGACTGCTGAGAAGATCGAGGGAGCAACGTGGCCAGAAGATACGGGAGGTACACTAAGAGTACAATTTGTACCCGATGAAGAACTCAAAAGCCTGGTCGAGAGGGAAGAATTCGCTTGGGCCAATGGGAGGCAGAAATTATCTCTGCATATCAAGGATGGAGACGAGGGATATTCATTCGAGCTTGTAGGAGGAGGATCTATAGGAGCTAGAGGGGCTGCAGGATCAGAAGCCAGCTTCAGAGGGCTAGCAGGGCGGCAGCCACCGCGCGGACCAGCCAGTATACCCCTGAGTGGAGCCAATTCTATCAGAGCGCCGACGGGGCCGAGTGCTGGGACTGGTGGATCAAGAGGCGACTTGGCGATTCGTGGACGCGGCGCTGGGTATGGTTACCCATCAGGTTTGGGTCGTAACGATGGCGCGGCCGGTGCGTCTAGGTATGGCGGCAAACTGGGTGCAGGACCTGGCGTAGAGGGACGGATAGCGAATCCCATGAAGAGGACCAGCACCAGACCTTTCCTCTTCTACAGGGAAGGTCCAGGCGGGGAATCATGACAGGTTTGCTCAGGCATGCAGCTGGCGTGTGAAAATGACTGGTAAGGGTAGAAAAAGTAGTATCAGTGTCAATTCAGGGGCTCGCATCGGTATTCAAGTGGCGCAGAAAGCAAGTGTCAAAGTATTTCGGTATAGAGTGTCGATCTCTTGTCGACTATCTCAAGTCCGCATCGAGACAGCGTCGAAAAATTTTCGAACTGACAGGAGCTTCGCATCACTCTACAAATGGGAACGAAAGACACACAAAGAGGCACGATAATTCTTTAGCATCTACCGTCTGGGCAGAAAGAGCGAGTTTGCGATTCCAGTACGATGAGTCCGTCTATTGTTGTGATATGGTCTACCAGATTGAGCTCGAGGTTCTTGACGAAGTCTACGAAGTGCACACACGAAGATCCGGTCGAAGTTGTCGAAGTACACCCACGAAGAAGCCTCGGATTGCTCCAGAAGAGCTCGGGATGAGCTCCGAAACAGCTCCGACCCAGCTCCGGAATGGCTCCATTTCCGTTACGATTTCTCCCTCGATATTTCTCGGTATGTGTGCATCTGCTCCGGAAGCCGTCGGATCGGGGGGCACACTGCGACGGGCATCTGTCGGGATTCATCACAGACACCAGTTGAGACATCGTGAATCCCCACAGTTGGTTCTCCAAGACCCACTGATATATCATGATGGTGTATGGACTATAATACAGTAATGATTGCAGTCTTGGTCGTGCAAGCGTCGCCAAGGCGGTGATCAATCTTCGAGATCCGACTCGCCTTCACATGTCCCCTTTAAGGTGGACAACGACGGGGTCGTCAGCCTTCATCTTGCCGTCTTCGCCACGTTCGAAGTCGCCTTCATCGGGCTGCGCCTGTACCAAGGGGCACTGGTCTAGCTTGCCACTCAAGAATGACGCTGAGAGCTCGTGGACTGTCGATAACAACTGCAGGGCTTTCGACGGTGAAGTTGGGGCGAGGAGAGGAAAATCCGAAAAGCTTTGGTCTGATGGACGGAAACGGGATCAGGGGACAATGCAAGCGGGCGTGGCGTGGCAAGACTCACGATTGCTGTTCATCAGTGTGACGAGGTTTCCTCCCATCCCTTTCACAATGTTCACAAGTCTGGGAAAATGGCCCTTCCAGATGGTAAATCCTGGTGAATTGATCACCAATGTTGGGGGTGTATGGGGAGGAGCGTGACCGGAAGGTGATGGAATCGGTAAAGGTTCTAGCCACGGATCGAGCATGATGGCCTTCTTGACGGGCAGAGACGCATGACCTTCCGGTGGTGGTGTCTGAAGGGTATAGAGCTGAAGGCACGAGTCAGTAACAGGCTTAACTGAGAGACGGCGGAACGAGACCTACAATGGTCCCGCCTCCGAAAGAATGTCCCGTGAGATAAAGTTGGTCTGTTTCTATCCTATCTCTGAATGATTCTATCCACTCTCCTCGCGCACTTTCGTCTAGGCCCAGTATATCCTTCTTGTCGCTGTTGCCATCGACGAGCTGACGGAATGAATGAAGGCATTCATATATCTCTCGAATCCTGAAATCCAGCTGGGAGGTCCTGAATTTCTCTAGCGTCCCGTGATTGCTCTCGTCCCAACTGTCAATCGGTCAGTCCGAGTCCTGTTCGTCGTGTCCGCACTCACACCAGATCGTCTTGTTTGACATAATGCAGGATCTCGTCATCAGGCAACGTCACGGCAGGTCCGGACCCATCTCGATGTTCTACAACCAGCACTATATATCCTTCCGATGCCAAACTTGTCACATATTGGGTATAGGTATGTCTCGTTCCGGCCAACCCGTGTGAGAATACTGCGAGGGGGTATTTCGAAGAGTTGGTCTTGAGCGGGGTATTGTGATAGGCCGGGAATTTTAAGCGACCAACGATGAATCGGAGGGCTTTGACTGGGTATATAATGTCAGCACTAGTCCCTCAAGCTCTGACGATCGTATGAATGGGCAGCCAGAATCGATCATTCTCACTCACACAACCAAGATACACCTTTCTTTCCTAGAAACTTTTCGTACCCAAATACCATCTCGTTCACCGGCTCTGGAAACCAATGGACTCCGTGGGTCTTCTTTGCGGATTCGCCGTAGGGATAGAAAAGAGAGTATCCAATCTGATCCATACTCAGGACAGGGCGCTCAGTCGAAGCGAGCTTTGGCCAGAAAATGGAGTATGCCTTTGTGGGTGGACCCCTAACATAGGCATATCCAATCTTCTTATGTGGTCCAGGGGTAGCCTGTGGCAGATTCCCGGTGAATAATGGAGATCGAAGCATCGACATGGTCGCTATGACAATGACTATGACAGTGATAGACGTCCCGAGCATGCGAGTTGAGCGATTCGGACGTGATCACACTGGCTCGATGGTGATCCCGATTTATTGTCGGATGACGATGAATTTGGCTCCTGAGGTGACGCAGGTGATGACCAACTGGGAGTCAACTTCGCCTACCAAAACATCTTCGGACTAGAGTCAAAGCTCCGAGAGGTGATGGGCGATGGGTCGCTCTTTGCAAAGACCAGGGACCTAGTCGGAAGGCAGCTGGGATTGGTGATGGATCATGAATTCGCATATCCAGTACGTGACTCTTGAAAGTTGCGGCCGCGGGTATTTCATGCGGCTCGCTCCATTGGTCACCGAGAACTTGTATCAACGTGTCTATTTGACGTCGAGCGGCATCTAGTACAGAGCATGCGCTGGTGAGAGGCTTCAGGCTAGAGGCGTCTGGACGGGCAAGATGGAGGGTTACAGAGCTGTGATTCACTCGGAGCTTGAGGACCTGAAGAGGCTCGCGCATGGTAGGGAGGGCTCGAGGTTCGCCCCCTGCGAATTGAATTCTCGATCAGCCAGTGATGGTCCGATGACGATCGTTAATGCCGGATGCATGATACATGCGCTATGCTACAGTATGCCTATCGAGTCGTTGCGGTGCCCTTTCCAGATTATGGGCTGACCAATCCAAGGCTCGATTGTCTCTATACCTCCTCCAAAAATCCCTGTACTATCAACCTCTCCACTTGACCTCTTGCCAATCTGAACCGCTCTCCCTTCCTAAAGTCGATACGTTCTCCTCCTTCAAGTATGACCTCTCCTGCATCCTTGACGACCCTAACATCCACCATGAGCTCACTTGGCGGTCGATCGATGCTCGCCGTGAGATCCAAGACATCCAGGAAATCCGACTTGTAATCCAATATCAAGCTATTGTAGCCACGCAAGAAATCTAGCTCTTGGGGTGATAGTGCTGATCTCAGATCCGGTGCATCCTCCGACGTGACTCCAGATGATGTTCCAGGTGATAATAGATACGCTAATCCTCCGCCTGCATCCCACCATCTCTCTTTGATACCTCCTACCCGATTCTGCAGGTATGCCAGCAGACAACGTTTGTTCCGTCTGGCAGCGAGGTGTTGTACTGTCAGACTACACAATAGACCCCTGTCCTGAGAGAGAGAGGCTTGACCATGCTGCTCTGCTGCAGCAGTGATGCTGTTGCCTAATTGTCGTGTCTCCAGGCAGATGGACAGGATGAGGGACAAGGCGTATTTCGGTAAAGGCAGCTGAGCAGTATTCGCCAAAGTCGATCTATGAGACGCAGTGACTAGTTGGAGAGCCAAGTCACCGTACATGATGGTTTACCCCACCCGAATTGGCAGTATCCTATGCTTGTTGTAGATGCTGTAGATGGAAGGTGAGGAAATGATGCTTCGCGCCGGACGCGTATAGATTTCCCACGGTGGGCGTAACTCCAACACAAGAACCCGGAATTATTCGGCCGCCAATGACCTTATGCAAAGGGGGATCCCATCCCATACCTGCCGCTGAGCATCTTATACAATCTCTCTTCCTTGCTTGTCTAGCAACCATTCATACAGTAAGCAGCAGCAATCACCACTGTCACAGATCGTACTGAAAGACTGCGCCAGACATGATTGGACAATCTCTCGGTGCCGTTCGTGGTGCTGCTCGTGGTAAGAGACGTTTTCGAGATTCGCACACTCGGCAGTAGCACTGACACTGAATGCCGATAGGCTCTCTGCGGACGTTCTCGACCTTTTCCCCTAGGCTAGCGCCAGGTGGATATGAGGACACTATCCGAAACATTCTGATTGGTGAGTGCAATTGGCTTGGAGATCTCCAAGGTTAATCAACATCTTCTTAGGATCCGACACCAAGGTCTTGGTGCAAGGATTCACTGGAAAGACTGTGAGTAGAGCGTGTGCTGAAGTTCTGGGTCATGTCATGGTACTGACGCCATTCTCTCAGGGAACTTTTCACGCTCAACAGGCTATCGATTACGGTACACGTATGGTCGGAGGAACAAATCCAAAAGTGCGTAAATAGATTCGTTCACGATTGACTCGGACTCTCAGAAAGCGGGACAAGAACACCTAGGTCTTCCAGTCTTTGGCTCGGTCCGTGAAGCAGTGGACAAGGTCCAACCAGATGCCTCGGTCATCTACGTTCCTCCGCCGTTCGCTGCCGACGCCATTATTGAGGCCATAGAAAATGAGATCAAGCTCATCGTCACCATCACCGAGGGAATCCCTCAACGCGATCAGATTCGAGTGATGAACGCTCTCAAGTCTCAAAACAAGAGTCGAATGATTGGTGGAAACTGCCCTGGAATCATTAGTGAAAAGTGTAAGATGGGCATCATGCCAGGTAGTATTTTCATGCAGGGAAATATCGGTGAGTTCGGATGTGTGGGCTGCGAGTGGGCATGACTGAACTTTGTTCTCTCAGGAGTTGTCTCTCGTTCAGGAACGTAAGTGCACGTTGATGTCTATGTTCGAATGATGCTGAAAATCCCTTCTCAGGTTGACATACGAGGCCGTCAAGTGAGTCAGGAGCGAGAGTTGCGCCGCTCAGTCCGCTGACCTCTTGTTAGCCAAACCACCGTCGCGGGTCTCGGACAGTCGCTCACTGTCGGTATTGGTGGAGACCCTTTCCCCGGTACTCAACACATTGACGTCGTTAAAGTCTTGCTCGAGGACCCACGTACAGAAGGAATCGTCTTGATTGGAGAGATTGGAGGGTCAATGGAGGAGGACGCTGCTGAATACTTGGAGCAACACAACAAGTCATCGGCCAACCCTAAGCCGGTCGTCGCTTTCATCGCCGGTCGGACTGCCCCACCTGGGCGTCGTATGGGTCACGCAGGCGCCATCATCTCTGGTGGAAAAGGTGCGGCGAGTGACAAGGTCAAGGCTTTGCAGAAGGCCGGGGCGATTATCGCTGAATCCCCGGCGCAAATTGGAGATCTCATGCTCAAGGCCATGAAGGCGGCTGGCAAGGCTTAAGTAGCGAGTATCACGCGAAATACAGAAACGAGATCGACGCATGCCAGTCTCGGACTCATGCATCAACGTGACTGGCCTACTCCCCCTCCTCTCCTCTGACCACGATTTGCAGCTGTCGAATGAATTGACGTAGGCTCAGACATTCACTCCCTTGGCTGTCTTTGTGCTGTTTCTTTCGCTCGATACTCCAAGTCTCTTTTACTACGGGGGCTCTTAATATTCATGAAGTGAATGGCGGCTGATCAAAGGGTGATATGAAGCCACGGTCAGCCATTTCTCTGCCATCTATAGGACCCCAGACATTTGCTTTATCTTTACATAGAGGGACACATCGGAACGGAGCCCGGCCGTCGCATGTACCAGCTGGAGAATGGCATGGAGAAAGGGATGGAGGAATTGGGAATGGCTAGAGATAATGGACAAGGGTGAGTAGACCTTTGACATCTGTCAGATCCATAAGCTCCTTAGCTTCTGCTTCAGATTTGGTCGCAACTTGAAATCAGAGACGAGGTGAAAATACGGCAGCATGTCTGGAAGATTTACTGAACAATTGCTGCGACCGGGAGCGCCTCACGTTTCCTCATCAAGCTTGTCAGAACATAGGCTGGAGGGTGGATAGAGGAGTTATCGAGTGTCGCTGATGTGTAGGAGGGGCATGGGCTACTGGGTAGCCTCCTTTGCCATTCACAGCCAGATTTGCCCGTACAACGGCGATGCATCGAGTCATGAGCCGTGCTTAGCATGTGTCCACAGAGAAGGAACATCAAGGTGGTCGAGAAAATGAGCGATGCTATACTCTAGTCAAAGGATTAAAGGAGCGTTTTGCCTTCCTTAAAAATCAGCAGATCTGCCACGCTCAGCTGCAATTGCCGAGTGCTCGCCCCTCGGTGTCGACACTCAAGATGCTGGGACCGATTGCTCAGACGCTTCTGCTATATGGACAGAGCGGATCTATTCAGTACGAGATACAAGCAGTGCTGCATGCCTGCGCAAGCACGATGCACATTGTTCCAGCATCGGGATGCACCGACATCGTCGCCTAGCCTCTGACGACACGATCACGATTCGAGACGGTGTATGGTGGCTCCTTCGGCTCCCTACGAACGTGGACATCATTGAGCTTGATTGGCTAGCTTGGAGGGGATCTCAGCGATTGGTCTTTCTCCCAGAGCTCGCTCGCCGGATGACTTTGAGTGTCGTTCAACGTGGATAAGATTCGAGCTCGCGGTCGAGGGACCGGGTGAATGTCATAGCGAGAGAGAGATAGAGAGAGACTCAAGGTTATACGCGTGGCGTTTAAGGGCATCATCATGAGGTTCTCGTGATTTGCCAGATGAGTGTGTATAGGTGGACCTCTTTTGTTTCAATGACCATCAGAGGGATTTGTGAGCATGGCCTCAAGAGGTCCCAGCTGTACTGATCTTTCGGTATCCTGCCGAGGAGAGCTATATGCATGCATTGTAATGACAGCTGGCCGTGTCTGTGTCTTCAAAGTCCCAAGTGATAATAAGTGTTAAGCCACCCAATCCCCCCAGCGCGTCACATTTTGTAAAAAAATTCCCTCGAGGGGAAGCGGCGGGCGGCGGGCGGGAAGCAGCAGCAGCAGCAGCAGCCACAGCCGCCACATGTAGCAGCAGCAGCGTCGTGGTGGTGCTTATACTTGTCTGCTTGCTTGTCTGCTTGCTCACTGACTGGCTGGCTAGCTGGCTCAACATTGTCCCTTGCCCCGTAGCGACAATCTGCTCTGGAGACTTCTTCTTTCTTCCGACAGACAGTTTCGTCAACGCAGTGACACGGCCGATGTGATGATAATGATCCATACGGTCTCAACCATCATCAGTCACTGAGACACGGTCCACACCTAGATACATATATTTTTTTTCGTCTGGATCTCCTCTGCCCATCGTCTTCCTCCTACTTGGTACAATAATGATCTAGCAGATCATCTGAAGTGGATATAATCGCTTAGGAAAAGGGGCTGCATAGCACCATCGTCACCCAGCCGGGCCATTCACACTGGGCCACGCACGGATGGGAGCATCAAGCTTTTTGATTCTCCATTGAAACAAACATGGCGACCATGGCCATGCCTCCACACGATCCCATCATGTCGCAAACACACGCTCTATCACCTCCTTCTCCACACTTGGATGACAATGGATCAGGCATGCTGGGTACTTCCTTGACTTTCCCATCACTGCATTTGGGATCGTTTGACTCGAGATCACCCAACGACTTTGCTTCGTCCACTCCCTTACCTAGACCGCCCAATTCTATGGGTCCGCCAGGCAGTCCTGGCATAGGAGAAGAGGGAAGACAGTACAATCACTCGTGGTCACCGTCATCGAACCGTTCTCCACCGCCTGGCTCCCGTTCTATGGCTCTGGGTGGTTCTAGAGATCGTTTGGAATCATCATCATCGTCGTCATCATTATCACCTACTCGCGCATCACAGCCTCAGAGTTACAGTCCCACACCCTCATCATCTCGACTTCCATTACCTCCTCAACTCTCCCCTCTTAATCTCAACACCAATACCAATCCTTACTCCAACCTTCCGAACGGCTCATCAACGCGTCCCCTTTCACCTCTGAGGTCTCGAGCAGACTCTGGACCTTCAAATAGTGCGACTAGGCCATTTACAGCACCGAGCCTGTCCTCTGCCCCGTTACGAGTTCCTGGTCAAAACGGATCGAACACAGCCAAAGAATCATTGACGGTTCATATACCAACCGGAGCATTCCCGTACAATGGACCTGATCGCGAGTACGGGCTCAGACACTCGCCAGGCGTCGGAAGGAGACGGACCATCGTTCAGGGTTCTGCTACACTGTCTCAGCCTTCAGAGGCCTCGTATGAAGAGAGCATGCCGGAGCCACTCCCAATCGGTAGTCTCTCCCTTGGATCGCCCTCCAATGCCCATCGAAAGTCGCCTTCCCCACCGAGGGTCGAGCGCGGTTCCCTGATCATGCCAATCGCGAAGCCGACGCCTGCTTCCCTCATGACCGGGAACAATGCGGCTGCAGATACGATACCGGACACACCGAGTCGGCGGTTGGAGAAGCGTACTTCAGACATGGAACTCCAGCGCGTGACCTCCGGATCCCCAACCCCTAAGCGTTCCCTACCTAGACCGCCAGAACTGTCGATCGGACAGCTGAGGGACGTGGTCCCGCGGGACTCGGATCCGGTGGGTGACTCGACCAATCGGACTCCTCTGCCAGTCGCCATGTCCCCATCGGCCACCGCTGCTGGCGTCAAGCCGCGTGCCCGAATACAATCATCACCGAACATACCCATTGTATCTGGTTTGGCCGATGCAGGCCCATACGCAGCGGCTGCGACCTCGTCAAAACCCGCGCCAAAACCTTCTCCTCAACGCGCATCGAGGCAACCCAAAGAGGAAATCTGTCTGGAGTGTATGATGCGAGATCGAGATTTGGCGGATGTGGATGTCGTCGGTCCAGGTGTCTGGGCCCGCGCGAGTGACGCGGACTTTGAAGAGCTCAAGGCAAGGGAGAACGCTCTGCTACAATCTGTCGGGCCTTCGACATCGTCGTCCGGAGATCACTCTGCCAATGGTCCTCTGGAGTCGGACGATGACGAGAGTCTGCCTTCCACTGGCCATTCGGTCATTGACGAGGCTCGCAGACGGAAACGCAGGGAGGCAAAAAGCGCAAAGCGCAGAGAAGTGGATGCTGTGGTCCGGAAGCTCGGATGGAGAGGTTTCAGATGGGAGGAAAGGGGAGAGGGATTCCCGGAAGGCTTCCGCGGCACTAAGGGTGCACCGTTGTCTGAATCAGGGATCAAGGCTATCATGATAAAAGTGAGCGGGCTTCCTGGCTTCGTGAGTGGCGGGCTGACCGGACCGCCAGTTCCCATCGTCATCTGCACACCGAGCTGAAGCTCTGGACACCTATCTGTATCACCAGGCGATCCTCGTCCGCGAGCTTCGGGCAGAGGCTCAAAAGCGAGGTGGATATCCTGAACCTGGGACCAATCAAACGCCCGTCGTCGCGCCACGATCCAGCTCCGTCGAATGGGAAGCAAAACACGCTCGGGAACTCTCAGCTCATATGCGAGGCGCTTTCGATGCCAAACTCGATACCGTCAAGTCGAAGCTTCGTTCACCTCTTGACACACTGCAGGCTCCCAACAACGAGGTGTCATCCATGCGACCTTCGCCGTCCTCACCTGCTGATCTAGCGGGCATGGCGAGAGTCAACGTGCCAAAGGCGGTTGAGAGACCGGCGACTCATTTCTACCCTGAACGTGAACCTCGTGCGAGAGGCATGACGACGACCAGTACGATCAGCGCCATGACTGCACCACCTAATTTGCGCGGAGCTGCGCAGCCACGAGCGGATGATATGGATGAATTCTGGCCACCAACTTCCGAAGGTGGACTCAGACCATTCTCGTTCGCGGTGCGTGCTGGTGCGGGTGGCGGGGGAAGTGTGAGCGGTAGCGACGGTCACGGCAGGAAGACCATCTTTGGACGATTTGGAGGGTCTGTCACAAGCCTGTTTGGTGGATCCAATCATGGCAGTGGAAGCATGATGGATATGCAGTGAGTGGACGCCGGGGGAAATTGAACTCGGGGAAAAATTGACGATTGGACTTTAGCCTTGGTCTCGATGCCGACAAGCATCAGCCTGGCTATTCGCGTGCTGCTTCGTTAGCCTCGCCGCCGCGCCAATCTTTCTTCACGCGGTCCCGAGCTTCTTCTATCAATGAGCAGCAAGAGAGGAGGATCCGACAATCTGTTTCGACATCCCGCCTATCTCAGGCCATTCATCCGGAGGATACAAAGGCGAAGGGCTTCCGCGGCCTGTTGAAGAAGATGAGACCGAAGAAAGACAAGGAGGCCATCCTCCAAGTTCAGACGCCTCAAATTTACCAGGAAGGCTCTCTCGCACCTCCTCCTCGGATGTCATATTTCGATGCCGGAGATCGTCAGCGCACCGGCTCGAATGCATCGATGCTCACTGGCGACTCTGCGTCTGTGATGGGTCGACAAGGCTTCCGATCGGTGTCCGCACCGCAGGCTGGAAGCTCAAGCGGCGGTAGCCAAAGTGCTAGCCCCACGAGCTCGAGGTATAATCGTCGGGAGTCATCGTATAACCAACCTGGGTCAGCGGTTGAGCTCTTGTCGCCTGTCAATGGGTCTAAAGGGGATGCGACGCTGCGATCCAGTGATCGAAACACGACGTACAGACCGCACAACAAAACCGCTTCATCATTCTCCAACAGCTCTCTTGTCACTCCTCCGTTGACGAATCCCAATGGATATGGGCCCTTTTTCTCCGGTCACTCGACGCGGACTTCACCACAGAGTGTCCATCGCTACCAACAGGGTCCGTCACAAAGTCAGTACCGGGATACTTCACCAGACTTTGGACCGATCGACTACTCGCGAAGTCCTCCTCGAGTCCCTTCTGGAGAAATGTATGCTCAGCCTGTCGGGACGGACTCGGTGGGAAGTTTCGGAATGAGAGGAGGCGGACAACAAGGAGACTCCACGATCAATGGTTATGCGCAGTCTTACCATGTACGCGATGCCTCACAATATGGTATGCGGTATTCTGGAGACAGCTACAATGTTCGTGTCGGTAGTGGCGGCGCTGGAGGATATGCAGGTGGGAATGGGGGAGACAGCGGGAGCATCATGTCGGGTGGAAGTAATAACAAGACGAGAAAGGGGAGAGGGTTCAAATTATTCGGCAAGTCGAATCGATAGTCGGTGTGGAACTAGTTTAGGGGGATAGACAAGGGGCAGGCAGGGGATTTGGCATGGATCAGGACCAGGACTTTTGGTACTCATGAGGTAAAGACGACATATACAAGAGATTTGATGATCATGATACGGTTTGGACGATCGGTGAACATGGGAGGTGGGGGCGATTGGTCTGGAGATTAAGCTGTAGCAGGACTTTTCTTGGTGTATGCACGGGTATGACACAAATGATAGGACAGTGACAATGTGTTGCAGAGATACACTGAGGCCAATTATCCTCACTATTGGTACAGGTAAGCACAACAAGTACAAAGACGAAGCCAAAGCCCCCAAGAACTATTCACAGAGGCCCTCTCACTGCCTTTGGGTCCACACTCATACCTCTGCTGAGAGCCCGTCTACTGCCATCTCGGAGAGGTCTCACGACGCCCATGCTATCATTCCTTGATCTACGAAATACGCTCAATCCTCTGGCCATACTGACATCTCTTGCCTGTCTGGCTGCAGTATCTTCTCGGTCGCCCACATCACCTGTACGTCTACTGCTATTTGCTCGAGCGATAGCCGACCTTTCCCTGTTCTCTTTGATCCATGCTGCTCGACGTTGATCTTTTTCGCGTTGTTTCAAATTACGCTGAGTCGCAGCTTGGGCGATCATCAGGTTGAACGCGCTCAACTCGTTGCTGGGTTGTTGCATTCCCTCTTCTTCGACCTCCTCGAGGATATGGTGTGGTTCGAGGTTTGCTCGAGGTGAACGACTGGATCGCCCAAAGTGATTGTGAGGGAGTGATGAGCGCGCTGAAGTGAGCATAGGAGGCGAGAGTCGATGCTGCATCGCCGATCGCGGAGGCATTATTGAGGCGGGACTGATGAAGTGGACTCTCGGCTGAGGATTGTTTCCTTCAGGAGAGTAACATTGAGGTGAGATCTCATCGGATCGATAGAACCAAGAAGGACTTTGTCCGCCTTCTTCTTCCAGATCCATATCGAACATTGGCTCGTCATATGCCCCCTCGACGTGGTTTAGAATAGAAGCTGGGGGCAACAGCTGAGGCCGAAGTGGGAGATGTCGTAAGCCCACAGCAGGTTGATCCTCCCAAGACGAGGAAGATACTTCGGCTCGCGGTCTCTTTCTGGAGGTTCCTGCTCCCCGAGTGCGTTCATGCGACCTCAGCTCCTCATCTTCGTCCGAATTCGACTGAAGTCGCTTACCCACGGCGAAAGACGTGTGCTCCTGCCGTGGCAAGTATCGACTGGAAGACGCAACCAACACTTTGCCCTCCCGTTGAGCTTGTGCAAAGGTCCGCCTGTTATATTCCGAAAGAAGGTGCCTCCGGTTAGCAGCGTGAACTTTGCGCTGGAGGAGAAAGTTATGGCATGCCTTGGCGGTCGGCAAGGCTCCAGGACGGCTTGGAGGAGCAGACGGCAGTCGTAAACTTTCCGCTGACGAGTATCTGATAGGCGGTCGGAAAGCATCGACGTTGAACGGCAGAGGTCTAAACCCAGGTGGATAGGAACGGGGAAACGTCTGATAGCTTTGTGAATCAGGATAGACGGAGTGCTGCTGGCGATGGCCAAAATCCAGTGGACTCTGAATGCCATGGGACGGCCAAGAGTGATCTTGTCCCCTGAAATCAGCAGATCGGGGGTCAACGGACATGGGTACCGGAGAGGGAAGACTCGGAGGGACGTCTTGACTTGAGACCGTGGGATGAAGCCTCTGGAATCCGCTGGAGATGGCCTCAAATGGTGCTTGAGTCGGTGTGGGCGATCGACCACCAAGGTACGCTTGCTTGGATGATCCTTGAGGAGTAGGCGTCAGCGATCCATCTCGTCGACGCTTGGTGAATGCGCCAAGGACAGTGGCATTGACGGGGGAGCTAGGTCTGAGACGAGCGATGGATACACCTTTAGGGCGAACATGAGGGGTACGATCTTCGAGGTCCGGGCCGTCTTGCTGTCCACATTTATATTTGCCTCGGGGGATGCGAGTAACAGTGCGGACGGAGTCTGCATCGGATTCGAAGCCAGAGGGGTCGTAGGTGAATGGAGCCAGATGCGTTTCGCCAAAGAATCTGAGGGGTCGTCTCTCTCGTGCATCGGCAGGAGTGATCAGTCGGTGAGTCTGAGTTCAGCCTCGAGTGAGTCGATATGTAGTGAAGGGAAATCCAAGCCACACTCACAGCTGGAGATTCGGTAACATCTGACGCGTCCTCTTCATCGGCTTCCAGTTCGGCACTCCATGATCTTATACCGGAGGATACGGAAGTGGGACTCCAAGCTCTATCAAGCTGCGCTGGTCCCGGCTTGACCGTGTTCGCGTCGCATGTCGCCTGATGAGAGACATTGTCGATACCTGAGTCGACAGGCAGACGAAATGCCCCAAGGCCAGTGACTGGAGGGCGCATTGGAGTTTTGCCCTTGTCGATGACCGCAGTAGGCGGTGATGGTGTCTTGGACAGGAAGCTTACGGAGAGATTGGTCTCAAACGCAGAGCTCAGGAGGCCTGTACTTGGTACCTGACACATCGGGGTCAGCTGAGAGGTCTATTATATCCAGCAGGACCCCCACCATTACAGGAGGAGGGACCGACCCAATGGCCTCGCTTAGATTCGTCAACCCATGCAGTACGTTCTTCTCGCCACTCGTACCCTCTTCAATCCCAGACATCATCTCAGCTTCTTCATGCGTACCATTCTTCGACGACTGCTTCTTCAGCTTCAGAGTCGACTTGGTACCATCGGCCGTCGAGTCCGCTTTAGGTGGATAAGGGATAGGTGGGAAGGCCGGAGGGATCGACTTCCACTTTGAATTGTATGGAAATCCATGTTGAGCCGCTAGACCTCCCGTCGTGGGCGTTGGTGGAGGATCAGGGATGATCTCACTGATGGAGCTGGCATTGTCGACTGGTCCTTGGTCTTCGAGCGGCGGACCAGAAGGCGGTGGCGCAGACGCAGCTGCTCGAGATCGAGTAATGATGACTGGAAGAGGGTACGGAGCAGACAATACAGCTCTAGCTGCTCTGTAGTCAACTTTCTCCCTGGGCATAGTGTCAGTCGTACGTGATGAAATGTAGAGTCCGAGAAGGCGGTACGAGTGGTTGAAGATGAGTGACGGTGAGGGGGTAGCGAGTCAGTCGAGACGAGATCCATGATCGATGATTCGACATGGGTCAGGCTGGCCGCCATTGTTCCAAATGTTGACGAGGGGGTGAAGTGTTGTCTCGGGTGTTTATAAGTATAGGTACGGAAGAGGACGTCCTCTGCGTCTTCGAGGAAGCGACGTTCAAATGCTTGTAGGCGGGACCGTCTCGAAGCGAGGTCCTGCGGCCAGCAAGCGGCCTGTGACGGGCAAGGGAGGAGAAGTCAGGCGCCCAGCTTAGTCAACAATCTTGGAACTAGTATAGAACGTTGCGCCGGATACGCTATGTCTTGAAAACCATAGCCTAGTTGGCCGGCTTCTTCCACCTTGGGGTTAGGAGCATAACGTGGGTCGATGCATGTCCTCCATGGCGACAGCTCCGTGTTTCCGCCTGGAGACGAGCACCGAAGCTGACACTATCCACATTACTATAAGCATCTTCTATTACCTTGCTCTAGTCAGCTTTCGTCACTATAGAGTCGAAAACAGAAGCACGAAGGTCAAGACGGAGGGATCAGCGTCTGTGTACGGGAGCAAGTAGGCGTTCTTGATGATCCTAGGGAGCTCCCAGCCTAGACGGCATGGTGAGTCTCATCGGCTAGATACTTCTAGACCAGCGCAAGCGGCTCCTCACAGGACGACTGACGGTCTCTACATGCCGGCAGTTATACATGAATACCACAGAGATCACGGCCGAACATGCTTGATCTCAGGTCACCACCGGGATTTAAGCTTAAAATGACTGGCGGCTGTGACCGCCAAGCGAATGACTTTTTTGATTCCGGGTTCAAAAAGTCGCCACCGACTGTCTCAAGTCGAGTTGAATGATTGTGAATGGGATGGATAGATCTTGGGAGTGTTTGGTGTTCAACCTTTCACCTATCGCCCCCCGATCCCATAACGTACGGACAGATAGCAACGATAGAAACAGAGGGAGGAGGACAAGAGAGCTGGTGTCAGAAGCTTGTTCCTCAGAGAGTGCAGGTCTCACCTAGCTCACATCTCAGCAAAACGATGGATCCCTCGGACGCCGATAGGTTTGGACTGCCTGGCATCGCACAACGACAGCCTGGACACAGAAGGACACTTAGACCTACTGCTCCCTCCTTCCGATCAGTCGCTACGGGAAGCTCTAGCGATCCTCGCGGTCCAATTTCTGCCTCCAATTCGACCCCTTCTATCACAGCTTCCACCTCCAGCTCGACGTCAGGTCCCCTGTCCGTAAACTCAATCCGACCTGGACCAGAGATTGGGCCTGCTCGGACGGCCAATCAACCTGGACCGTCACGCTATGCTGGGACGGCTCGACGTCCACCGCCAGGAGCATCTGGAGACTCTGCGATAGACTTGACAGAAAATGATAGTGACGACGATGTGATCATCACCGGTGTCCGTGGTCCTGCGGCGTCCTTGCCGACCCGCAATGGAGGGGCTTCAACCGTCAGGCCTATTCATTCAGGGCAAGCTGTTCGGCCGGCTGCTCCGACCGCAAGGCATGTCCGAGGCATCGAGCAGAACGACTTCAATCAGGAGATGAACAGTGAGTGAAGGCTTTGGCTACCCACTTGTACCGTTACAGTGCTGACGCTGATTATCAATTTGTCCCATTGATTCCTTGTCAATACAATGCGCTCCTTTCTCCACTCGTCCCCCCTGTCTTGTCTACTATCAGATATCACCGAAGCAATCGAGCGACATCGACGAGACACCGATGCCCTACTTGCCGCTGATCGCGAAGATGAACGTCGACGACTAATCCTGTCTCCTCCTGCACGGTCCGCACCTCCAGCTCACCAACCTAATCAACCTCGAATCCGCCTTGGAGGCGCCGTCCTTCGACGAGGGGATCAACAGATCAACTATGCCGCACAAGCTGGTCAACGCGGGAATCCCACGATCACTGCGGGCCTAAGACACCCTCCTGACGATCCTCGGGATCCGGCACGGCGTGTGATGCCGGCCCCGGCTCGACGATGGGATGATGGCGAGTTTGACCGTTACCAAAGAACTAGAGACCTCGAGGAGTATCTCTTCGATGACGACGAAGAGGGTGATCCCCTTGACGAATACGTGCCCCCTGAAGGCAACCCGAATTATCGCGACCCACTCGTTCCTCGACCAGGTCCGCTCGGAGCGGGACTCGCTCACCGTGCTGGAGCTCAGGGACTTCTCGAACGACTTCTCGGCATATTACCAGGCACTCATAGACGAGATCCAACGTTGGGACTGGCACCCGATATCGCTGCCATCTTGGGGCGGGCGGGTCCCGCCTTTCGCGGAGGAGCCGCTGCTGGAGAGGAAGGTGTGGCGGAGGTTCTGGAGCGAGTTGCGCCATTTCACTATCCTCCGGCCAAAATGGATTTTACCACCAATTTCGAGTTCGACCTGGCCGACAAACAACCCATCAGCGTGGACGATAACGGCAACGTGGTCGATAAGCCCAAAACTAAATCCAAGCCCTTCCTCTCATGCGTGAGATGCCATGATCCACTGCTCAACTCGTCCCACTATCGATCGGATGATGATCGAATCTGGGCCCTACGTTGCGGTCATTTGATCGATCAAAAGTGTCTTGTCAAGATCTCTGTCCCTGAGTCTGATACGGCCAGTGGAACGGACAAGGATGAGCCACCTGTCAAGAGGCCAGCTAGGCGTCGCAAGGCTGCTCCGAAGAAAAATGTTCAACCTCCTCCCGAGTATACCTACGCTTGCCCTGTGGAAGGATGTACTGGCAAGTGTGTCAGTATCTCTGGGGACGATGGATGGGAGCAGAAGCATGGACATGGAGCTCTCGTGGCTTTTGTATGATGACTGTTAATGACACTTTATACGACTTTGTATGATTACATCCCATGTAGATACGAATAGTTGACAGACATTGAATGACATTTCATTGGGAACGACGTCATCAAGCCAAATTGAAATTTGACAGATACATACTCTTTGTTCATTTCATTCCATCTCCTATATACAAGACATACATACCGATTGAGGATTGATTTGGGACGACACTGTTAGCTTGAGCTAGAGAGGTGCTCACAGCTGTGATAGGAGAGCATTGACAATGCCTCCGGCATCTCTGGCACCGTTGAGGTCACTGACGCTCGCAAGGCTAGTCGGTGCACCCACTGGACCCTTGAGATTCCCTTACCACCGCGTCCCCGCTTCCAGCAAAGAGCCATCATCTCTCTTGGTCCAATTCCGTCAAAACGTTCGGTTTAACAGTAGTAGCACCAACAGCACACCCATTCCGGAACCTGTAGTGGTCACGCCCATCTCGCCAAACTCTCGATTCAGCCGACGTCATCCATTCACTGCGTTTTGCCTTCGACTCGGTATCTCTTCGGTCCTCGGTGTCGGCCTTATCGTCGGCTGTATCCTGCTACATGACGCTTTCACCTATTCTGAACGACATGCCGATCGTGTCCCTGCCAACCCACTCTCTTTGCATCCTAGAAGGGGTGGAAAGAAGAACTTGCCAATTATCGAAGCGAATCTCGACGATGAGCAGGATGAGGTCACTCGAAGTTTGAAGGAAAAGCCAAGGCTGGTCATTGTCGGTGGTGGATGGGGAGTGAGTGGGAGCCAGGCTTCATATTACGATGGACTCGCTCAGATACTCATTTCATACTCTCCCTAGGCTGTCGCTCTGCTTCAATCATTACCGACTCAATCCTACAACGTCACCTTGATTTCTCCCCAGACCTACTTTGCTTTCACTCCCCTTCTGCCATCCGCTTGTGTCGGTACCGTCGAAATTCGATCTCTTGTCGAACCTATACGCAAGCTTGTCGCTCGTGTCCGTGGGCATTATCTCATGGGTGCGGCAGTAGACGTCGACATGTCGGAACGTTTGCTTGAGATTGAGGTTTATGATGATGATAAGCAACAACCGACAAGATGCTATGTACCCTGTGAGCGGAGCATACGTTGATCCCAGAAAGCTGACAGTCATGCTCAGACGATAAACTTGTCATTGCTGTCGGGTCAAAGTCGAACGATCATGGTGTCAAGGGATTAGAACATTGCTATCAGCTCAAAACCGTACCGGATGCCCAGGCTATCAGGAGGAAGATTATGAGTTAGTCAGATTTGACACGACATGCTGAACCCTAATTAGGTAACCTTGAGAAGGCTGCTCTGCCCACTACGACACCTGAGGAACGCAAGACCCTGCTGTCATTTGTTGTCTGCGGTGGTGGACCTACGGGTGTGGAATTCGCCGCCGAGCTCAGTGACATGATGGCCGAGGACGTCTTGAAATACGTGAGCTCGGTAGTTGCATTTGGAAGAGATCACCTCAACTGATCTTGCCCCAGTACCCTCGCATCCTGGACAGTGAAATCTCAGTCAAGGTTATTCAGAGTCGGGACCATATCCTCAATACGTACTCTGAAAAGATTTCGGAATACGCAGAGGCGAGATTCAAGCGCAACGATGTCAATGTGATTGTGAATGCTAGGTGCGCTGACAACAAGACTTCTTTTCGAGCTCAGCTGACTCACGTCGTAGGGTACAAGAGATCACCCCTGACAAAGTGGTCATTTCGCTCAAATCTGAAAAGGAGGGAGAGGCTCCAAAGATTGAGGAGATCCCCGCTGGATTCGTTCTCTGGTCAACAGGAATTGGTGAGAATATCAATTGAGACAGACGTATGCTGAATTGAGTCGCAGCTATGCAACCGTTCACTCGTCGTTTGGTCGAGCTGCTGCCGAACCAGTTCCATTCCAAGGCAGTTCAGGTCGACGCCTTCCAACGTGTAGAAGGAGCACCAAAGGGTACGATTTATGCGATCGGGGATAGCGCTACTGTGAGCCTATCAAATGACAGCGGAACGTCTCATTGACTCGCTTGTTAAGCTTCACGTCGACATGTTGCAGGATTTGCTTGAGTTATGGGATAGATACAACAAGAACTCCGATGACTCGATGTACGCAGGATCTCGAAAGATCGTGAACGGCAAGCTGACTTCGACCCAGCGATTTTGAGGAGTGGCAATTGATGGCTGCAGAGATCAAGAAACGTCACCCGTTGACGAAGACATACCTCTCCAAGCTGTGCGTCTATGAAGGCATATGTGACTTCGCTGATCTCGTTCACCAGCCAAGGCATTTTTGAGGAATATGACAAGGACCACGACGAAAAGCTCAGTCTTAACGAGGTCGCCGCCATGTTCCAAGCTCTAGGCAAGAAGGTTACGTCGCTTCCGGCAACTGCTCAGGTTGCCGCTCAACAAGGCAAATACCTCGGTAAAATGTTCAAAAAGCTTGCACAGCAAAACCAGACTCTGAGGGAGAATGGCATGCCTGATTTGGACGACGAAGCGTACTATAAGCCATTTGACTATAGACATCTTGGAAGTCTTGCATACATCGGAAACTCGTGAGCTCAATCTGGTGGACGATCTCCATATCGAACGCTGATGAATCCCAGGGCTGTGTTCGACTACCAAGGCTGGTCTGTCACCGGAGGATTATTAGCCATGTATGCTTGGCGATCGTGAGTCGGCCGTCAGATAGCAAAGCTCCGAGTTAGGCTAAAACTCTCGCTAGGATTTACTGGTCAGAGCAGACTTCTATGAGGACTCGCGTGCTCTTGATGATCGACTGGATCAAACGAGGGATCTTTGGTCGAGATCTATCCAAAGTGAGTGGAGCAAATTGGTGTGCCCGGGTCGTACGCTGACGTGATCTGAAGTTCTAGACCGATCAAGCGAGCAGGGGTATCGCCTTTGTATCATTCTCCTTTGGCAGTGTACCGAGAGGCACATGCAACTTATAGATCCGAGTAGTGCTTGTCAAGATCGCTTACTGATCGAGCGGCATCAAACCACAGGAGCCAGACGAGGTTGACATGATGACGTGAGGATCGCTCGCTGTCTGCTCATCCTCACTTGCTTCCCTGACATCGCTAAATCTGTCAAAGTTGGACCACTGAGAGCGGGCCAGATCATGTAGTGACGCCTCGCCAGGCTCTAACACAGGTTTCCACAAGGGATCTTTTCATCGTACTAGAGTCTTTTCCAAGGATACTCGAGTGGGCGTTGGGCTTGTCATTCTATCCTGGAGCCTGATTGGGGAGTCTGCACTCCCATGTCGAGGCTTGATACCCACCGATTGATCAACGACTATCTGCGAGACACAACATTGAGAATGCCACAGTGCTCTTGTTCATCTTGTGAAGCACTGACTGCTCGTGACAGTCTATGCTGCGATGAGCGTGAGTGAATACCCGCTTCAGTTTCATCCTGATTCCGTCCGGGGCAAGACACATGTCATGAGGAAGATTGCACAGAAGTGGCGTTGGGCGGGGGCAGCTACTGCGCTGATCGTGAGTGTCATAGGGTCATCCTACGAGCCATGTGATGCTCGCCCTTCTGTTGACTGAGATAGATACTTGCGACGTAGATTATTGCTATGAGCCAGCTGAGACGCATGGACTGTGCTCTGACCGTGAGGCCTGCATAGACGCGAACCTAGATTGCTCACAAAGACACACGTCATATTCAAAGACTGTTGACACAGGATGTCTAATATCGCGTGCATATAATGTGGATGGATGATCATCCTTCGTACTGGTGCCTTCTCTCTCTGTCCTTTCAGGTGTTGCCCAAGTGGGTGTGGAGGTATGACTGAGTCCACATGCAGCATGCGTCATTATCTCTGAGTTGAAAGTGCCACGCTGACCGCGACTGCTTTTACTTTTCCGGAGATTCGGTGCCGTGTAAACAAACAGCTCGATTGACTGGTCAAGTGAACCTCTGTGTGTGAAGACGAGCTTCAGATGCATTCTGATCAGGGTGGAACTATGCACAATGATCGTCCATATGCTCAGATCAGGCGTTCGATGCTCCAACAGTGCCTAAAGGTGGTCAGTCCTCCTTACGGTCAACGATCCACCAAAGAAGGTACCGTTCAGCGTTCAACGTGAGGGAAACAAAGGCCTCGACAGATGTCCTTTTCTTGTTCGTCTCGTCGATAATCCTTTGTCGACGACACACAGGCTGCGAGAGGTCTTGAGAAGACAAGACCACACATCAGTCTCATTGAAGCATCCATCTATCATGACGGAGCTGGAAAGGAGGACAGACAGCTTAATGCTGTATATTATAGTAGAGCGTTGAATCCAAGAACTCGCTTTTTTCATCCCCTCTTTCACTCTTTCTCTCGTCCACTCTCGATTCTCATACCCCGACACGTTGTCGAGGGCCGGCCGACTTAGTCTTCAGCGACGAGCTAGAGGCTCATCAACATCATCCTATAGAGGTTTCCCAGAGAGAAAAAAAAAGAAAACAGAGTTCAATTCGGCCAGCCATCTTCGTTCTCCTGCGTAATCCTGTCACCACCGACGCCACCTACAATTTAAAGCCCTACTATCGAGGTAAGCCTCAGTGGTGGTCCTCCACTCGATCACATATATGTATGCGCTGACCTCGCCCGAGTAGACGATATACAGGTGCCAATCCGACGTTGTATACCGGAAAAGTTTATCTTGAGTATCCTTTAGGGAGGGCTGAATAGACTTTACGGAGGAGAGGGGAGGGGAAGGGGTGCTGGCTGCCCTCAGGCTTGCGTGGATCTGTTGCCACCCTCAGCCTCCGTCGCCTCTGCTCGCTTCAAGGGTCTCTGCCGCCTCTGTGTGTGACGTGCGGAAAGGTGGGACAGACACAGACAGGAACGCAGTCTGGTACTGGTGTTCCGGGTGAACAGTCAATTCGTATGTCGATCTCTTCCTCTATCTCTCATCTTCACTTCTTAAAATCCGAGACATTCACATCCTGCTCCTCCCCTCCCATCTCCCCTACCCATCTAAAAACAACGGCTGAGCCGTTGACCACAAGCTGATCTTTGCTGCTCAAGAAAGATCTTACACATACTTCGTTCATCTGAACAATAATACAACGGAAGCAAGCTCTTCCAAAACCCCCTTTCACCCGACGACATCATATCGACGGACTCACCTGACCAGCCCGGTTCGGTTCGAGGATACATACATTCCTTCGTTGAACCTTTCTGGCAACTGTCGAGCTCCTAAAACATTGACTCGCCACGCTCGTCATAGATCGACAATCCTAAAACAACTGTCAATCAGGACCCAAGCTTGTCATCTGCCAGGTCCCTCTGATCATCTACCTTTTCCAGAATTCAGCTCGCAGAGAGCGAAAGGAAAAAAATAGGTCAGCAAGGTCTGACCATTCGAGGGCTGCCTCCTTTTTTCTCATACAACCCCCACCGCTCTCTCTATCTGCCGATCTCTCATCCTGAGAGAGGACCGCCACGCCAGATCTAACACCTCCTCCGACTCGCCCCGTCTCACCATGTCGTCCTTTTTCGAACCTGATACTTCGCTCCTCTTCGACCCTTCCTCTCAAATGGACGAAGTCCCTTCCTCTTTCCTCTCCTTCTCCTCCTTTGCTGCTCTGGCAAACATTGCCTCCTCACCTTGGAGCTCTTCGTCACCTGAAAGTGATACGCACCAAAACACCAGCAGCAAATACAATCGACGATCAAGCGGGTACTTTTTACCGTCAGGGTCAGACGCTTCCACACCTCCGTCCTTGTCAGACGAAGGGGACTTGTTCTACACCCTCGAAGGCGCTTGTGACCCTTTGACGCCTGATTCACCGTCTTACGGATTATTCCACTCACCTTGTCCGCCTCAGAGCTCCAAGCTTCGAACGACGAGTCTTCAGGCATCTGCGACTGATATCTGGAACACTCCTCGGACGTCTACCCCGACACTTTTGTCAAAAGCTTCCATCGAGTCTGTCGCAGAGGCATCCTCTTCATCACCTTCCTCTTCTCACACAGCTTCGAGCTCTCGAAACGTCCACGCTTCCCCTCTTCGAACAGCTTCCAACCCTGTTCTCGGCTCGACTTATCGTCCGAAAAAGATCAAGCAGATCGCTTCGATGCCAGCTTTGAACGAGGAGGACTCGCTTCCAGCCAACATTTTCGACAACTTGGACATTGACAGCGTGCTTGGATTGCCACTTTTTGGAAACAGCCAAAAGCCTGTCGAATTCCAAGAGGCGCTTCAGGACGACGCGCTAGTCGAAGATTTCGGATGGGTATTCAGCGACTATGGACTCGGCGCCAGCAGCAGCGGAAGTGGCAGCACCATCGTGCCCACTGACAGCACCATCTTCGCCGCTTTTCATGAGCAGCCATCGACCTCTTCCTGTTCGGTGCCAATGTCAACGAATTCATTATTTGAATCAACGCAGGACGTTGATCCAGCCATGATGGCGTTTTCAGAGTCGAACCAGATTTTCACCATTGACCCTATGGAGTTTATGGGATCCATAGCTGGAGGCAACGGGTTGAATGTCAGCTCAGAGCTTGGAGGAATACCGGCCTCGCTGGGAGAAGGATCTGGATCTTTGATGAGCATACCAATGGGAGAAGTCATGTCAAGGAGGCGAGTACTTCGGTTCTATTTTCTCTCTTGGCTTGCTAATGCCGATATCAGTTGTTCCTCTGACGATGGCGCCTCTCAACGCAGTGCTCTCAGCCAGGATCCCTTCTCATATGTATCTCAGCAGGTCCAACCTTCCTTCTACTCCACTGTCAACGCCCTTTCGTACAACTTGCCACAACAACAAGTTGTCATGCCGCCGTCACCCACCCAACCCCTGCGCACACTGAAAGCTTCACGACCGGGTCTCTCTGTCCAGATCCAACCGACTGGACATTCGACCTATCGTATCGCCTCAACTCACACTACTCTTCCACCCACTCCCACTTCTGCGACATTTGAAAACATGTCATCCCAGCAGCCATTGCCCATCGCTCGGAATAGTCGAATCCCTAACAATCGATCGTCCGTCTCGAGCGGTTCATCCATGGACTCTGAGATTCCCATGCCACCCGTCGTTGCTCGAGCTGCCGCCATTGTCGCCATGCAAGAAGCCAAGCAACAAGCTCAACGTCAGGAATACCGTCGTCAGGCCGCTTCTCGACGCGTAGGTATGGCCGAGGCTTCTGTTCTTCAACCCTACGCCATGAATGCTCGACAGGAGCAAATCACTGGATGGACGGGAGGAGCCGTTCCGCAGGTTCCAGCCATGCAGTACAGTGTAACTCAACCCATGGTCACTGTTCACCCACCTCCGATGACTTACTCCCTCTTGCCAACGCAATCTCAACCGGGACCCAGTCATCCATCTCATCGTATCCACCCTCCTCCTCACCCTGGTACCGCGTCTCGACCTATCGCCCGTCTTCCCTCCACTCCTACTCGAGCCCGCAAGGTCTCTGCATCCCCCTCAAAGCGAACTCCATCTCGTAAACGAGCGAGTCCAGAGACAGCTGGAGGATTCTCATGGGGTGCTGCGACCTTCATCAACTTTACGTCGGATGATGCTGAAAAGCTCTTGACGGGAGTTGCACCGAGCGGTAGTCAAGCCAAGCGAAAGAGGGAAGAAGAGGCTCGAGCGCAGGAAGAGTTGACGATGGGCGAGAGGAAAAGGAGCAAGAGTGGCGAGCAGTAGTGTGCCGTGTCTTTCAAATCTCGCGAGATCGTCGTCGTCGACATCGGAGAAAAAACTAACGCCGGCCCGCCTTTTTCTTGTCGTCTTACATGCCTCGCTGTGATTGTAGTAGATTAGCCGTACCTTGTCTTGTCCTACTATCACCCAGATGCACGCATGTACGCTATGACAACAATCAATTTGGGGAAGAGCTCCAGGAGCGTGAAGGCCGGGAGGAGCGGCGCGGATATCAACTTGAACAAGAAGGGGCGTGATTGGAAATGGAAGCTGGTCACACATGGTTACAGGAAAAGGCCGCCATCGGCCTCCAAATTGTCCGTGGTCTCAGCTTCAGTCTGCGAAGGCTCTTGATGATAGTTTCCTCGAGCTTCAGCGCTCTCCGCTGGCGCAGTTGGCGGGCTCTTGGTCGGTAGCTCCAATCCGTAATGCTTGATTCCGCCTTCTCCGACCTTGTTCAGCAGTGCAACCTTGATCAACGTTATCCGTTCCGTCTGGCTGGCACTGAGATACACGTCAGTCGACGCAGGAAGCATTCTCTTGAATCCCAAGAACAATTTCACACCCCGAGAGCATCTGCTAGCACCTAGCGATCAATGTGGGGTATGATGCGAGCGAGCAAGCGAGCCAATGAGAGGATCGACTCGACTTCAATCTCAGCTGAAGACTCACATGACATCTTCGTTCTCTCTCAAAGCTTTCGACAATTCTCCATCATCGTCGTTCTCCGGATCCTCCGAGATGAATGTCTGTATCTCTTCCTGTGTCGATTGAAGATGCTTGATACTGTTTTGCAACCTTGCAATTTCTGACCTGGGTTTAGCTTTCGTTCGACGTCAAAGGGCTAGCCCAGACGAGACTGACCAGCTGCCAGAATATCAATCTCCATCAATATGGCTTCTTCAAGTGTGAATGGGTGCTCATGTATGGGCACAAAGTCCATCAAAGCGGTCATATTGTGGAGATCGTAGTGCAAGATGACATCTATCGGGAGTAATGAATGTGTAGAATCGTGTTCACCTAGCCTTATGTCCGCTCGTCCGGAAAAGCTGTGATATGGATCGATCAATTTGTGGCACGTCGACTCCTTGAGGCTCCAAGCAATGACTTCGGACTAGCGGCCGCAACATACAGCATCCACATGCACTTGTACATAGAGGTACATGAGTTATGTATACCCGAAGAATCATAAAAACCTGCATCACCTAGCCCAAAATATCAGGTGAAGGAGGGCTCCTGCTGCTTGAACACCGAGTGTTCAGTGGCGGCCTTGAAAGCTTTTCCATGCCCAGGGAGCCAATACCTATAGGCGAGTGCGGCAAGTCAGCAATGACGGAATTTGCCCGGATTGAGGGAACTTTGGGACTTGCTTGCTCAATAGGTATGGAAGTCCCGCAAACTGCGGACCGTATCGCGACGCGTTGTCGTAGAATTCGTGAATGGGAATAGCACGCATCGACATGTTTTGCGGGATCGCGAAGACCTCTGAGACAGCATGAGCTCTTCGCTGTTCTGCAAACAGCTTGCTCACTCTGAAATGGGAGCTCCACCAGGTAAAGACGTTTGATCTCCTTAGGCTCGACTATATGAGCAGGGAGGTAGGGATACTGAGAGAGGTGAGCATGCATAGACTGCATGGCAGGGAGAAACTCACAAGAAAGGTATCGAAATTAGGTCTCCACCACGAGCTCAAGCACTCCTTGACGATCCAATCTCCACTTGGATTCATGTGGTAGGCCGCATTGGGGTTTTCGGGACCGCAAAGTTGTCCAGCATGATCTTTGGGAATACCAAGCTGTTCGTTGAGCCGAGTGATGAGGCCTTCTGCGTCGGTCTCGGATGAGTCGAGGTAACCACCGGGACTGTGGCATGGAAATCAGCGAGAGTGATCCCTTGTGAGCGTTCAAACTCACAGCTTGTAGAATGCATTCGCGACTTGAAGAGTGAGGACGTGAGGGACGCCATGGTGCTAGCCCTTCAGCCACCTGAAGACGTGCGGAAAGTGATCAGGGCTCACCAACACTACCATGACGGCGTCAACCGATCGCCTGATCCCCGTCTCGGCGTACTGAGTCTCGAGTCGAGAAACTCGAGTAGGCACGGAAGTGTCTTCTTCAGGCTGAGCTTCTCGCTCGCTGGGGATGAGAGGCGAAGGTTGTCAGCCGGACGCAACGCTGGAGCAGTGGGCAGAATGATTGAGACGAGATTGGCTTACACTGTAGCGTAATGCGAGAGAGGATAACTGACGGGCGCGGGGTCAGCGATACGACATCACGGTTTCATGCAAATTGGAGCCGACCATGGCTTGGCGACAACGAAGATCTGCTCAGAAACATGTCCCACTTACATTATCACCTCGTCAAAGGACGCAATCTTCATGTCAACCATGTCGAACCGTTGACTCTATCGAGCGGATCGAGTGACCGCACTGAGAAGCTTCAAGAGGGGATAGGGAAGTGCGTGAGAGAATGAGAAGTTGTCACGGGTCTTCAGGAGGTCTCTGAAGCTTCTGACGCTGATTCGGAAGGAAAGTCCACTGCGTTCATGTAGATGTCGAATGGAGAAGAGGTGAGTCGACCAGGTCACGGCTTTTTATTACGCTGACATTGAACCTCTCGTCATCCGTTTCAGATTCTTATTATTAAATTGGGTGGCAATCCACTGAAGAAATTCCTCAATTCAATTCAGGATATGCTTGCATGGATGGCTCTTGCAGCCCTCGAGAGCCGTGAGTATGAGCGCACGCAGAGACGGGTCAAAGATCCATAGAGGTGCAAATCAATTGCATGTCTCGTGTGAAAGGCACATAAAGGTAAAATGCTGTAGCAGGCAGGCAACTTTGGCTAATGTAGACAACGTTTCAGTTTCGTCTTCCATCCCATATTGAAACCACACGGGAAAACGTCCAGCGTTTGTGTCGTAGGTAGCGGATCATGGCACGCAGCTGACTCAGAGATTGATTGGAACACTCGAGGACATGTGGCATGGCGGCCGTCGATATGCTCTTGATTGATCGAATTGGGTGCGGTATCTCTGTACATAGTCATGGGTATTCGTTATTAAAGAAAGTCGTGTGGTCGGTGAGGGAGGTATGTAGAATTTGAATTCGTGCTGCAACAAAGCGAGTAAGCTTCAAGATTAGGGTAAGGGAAGAAAGTTGCCCACTATTGGTACAGTCTCGAAACATGACGATCTAGCTCTCATCCCCAGAATCGCCCCACCCATCGTCGAAGTCCTCCGACGAGCGTCGATCCGGTTTGTAGCTCTCCAGAGCTTTCATCCTGATCATCGTCTCGATCGACCTCTTCGAGTTCGGCAGAGAGGTCATCTTCATCGCCCTGCTCCATGTCTCCCGCAGCGTCGAACGAATAATCAGGTCGGTCAATGGAACCGGAATAGGCTAGGACGGCTAATTGCGCAAGGACGACTTGCGATCGAGGACGACGGTTCGAGGATGTGCGTCCTTCCACGGCCTGTACTATTGCATTACCTCGGATGGGATTGACGGCTGATATTGAGATATTGCTACTCGCGCGGCCGAGGGTTCGACGCGAGTCCACTCCAGTGCCAGGGAAGGATCCGACGAGTCGACGTTCTTCCATCGCCTCAAGTGCGTCAGTGTCCCTCTGGAAAGGGTCGTCGTGCGAGTCTCCGTTGAAGGGATCGAAATGAGGTGGGATCAGAGTGACCGCATCTGTCTGAGCATTGAAAGGCGGAGGAGGTGATGGCGTTCTCTGGGATGAGTAAGCTGCACCTCGGAGCGGGAGAGCTGCTTGATAGGGAGGCGGAAGAATTTGATGAGGATTCGCTCGCGCCAAGTTGACAATGGTCGCCCTAGAAAGAGGAAGTGAGAGCGGAGGGGTAGGCTCGAGGTCATCATAGTTCGGAGGCTCGCTGATAGTCGAGGTGGTAGTAGTCGATTCTACAGGCGAAACAGAACGAGACTCTCGTTCGAGATCCTCGCTGGCGTCCAGGACAGATTCCACATCTTCCGAAAAGATCGATACGACACTATTTCTTCGCAGCTCTGACGTGACCGATGATCGAACAGCCGTATCTTGAGCGACCAGCTCACGGTCTGGGTGTCCAGACCGAGCGAAAACGATGGGAGCGATGCGTCGAGGCATAGGAGAGATCACTACCGGAGAGATGGCAGTGACGGTGACGGTTGTAGCGGTCGCACCGAAAGGCGCAGTAGGAGCTCCCGCGTCACGACTCGCCGCGTACCGAGCCTCTCTTGCAGCGTGGAAGGCGGCACGTCGGCTCATATCCTGAACGATCGACTCGTTTATCCTTCTGGATCTCTCCAAAGCGGATTCTCTCGGCTCGGTGCTTTCAGAACGGGCACGACGTTTTCGATCCGCTGTCAATCGCGCATCGGCCGCAGAGACATCTTTGGGGTCGTCGCCATCTGAGACATCGCTTTCGAAACCAAATTCACTGACATCGTCCTCGTCGCCATCACGATCCACATCGGAGACTTCATCCAGTATGTCATGCTCTGTGGGCTCGTCGTCGACAGCGGCTTCGCCCTCAACTTGCTCTTCACTCTCGACCGAGACCGAGTGTTCACGCATGGCCGATGGTCGGTGAAAGAACACTTCAGCGGCCTTGAGATCGACATGACCGACGTCCACCGGCGGCAACAGACCGTTCTCAACTGCGACCTCCTCCTCCTCTTCAGAGACTACCTGTCGACGCCACCAGGGGTCGACAAAGAAGGCTCTCATGGGTGGGAGATTATGTAAAGCTTTCGCAGTGATTTCAAGCTTCACATCTCGCCTCCATCGTTGATGTGCAATCATTTGCGTGAGGAGGAGAATGTGGATCTGTCCTATGCAGATCGTATTGGATGAGGATCCTTTCATGGTACCAGGCCGAGGAACCCGCATGGAGTCTGATCGCGAGGGTCCATGCACTGTCTGTCGTAAATGTCTTGCAGTCCGCTGACCCGGCAGCTTAGTATCGTATTCATCGTTCCTAGGTCGTGGTCTAGCACGGCGGGTACTACTCATGTACTTTGCCCAGAAAACTCGCCGAGGGTCTGCGGCTGACATCTGGGTCCAGATAGGAGCTTTGGTATTGCTCTTCCTTGCTTCCTCTCGCTGTCGCCGACTTTCGCTTCTTGCATCACGCTGCTGCTGTTGCTGGTGTTGCTTCGGGACGCAGAGACCGGGCGCGGACAACTGAACCGGTTCCATGGATCGGACGGATACACCTTCGAAAGGAATCTGATCAGATATAGGAGAGTCCGGAAGAATCGGGGATAGGGCTGCGGATACTATCGCCTCGTCTTCTTCTCCTTCTGAATCGGTATGCATGATAATATCCGAAGAGGTCGCGTCCAGCTGCCCGATTCGTCGAGCGAGATCGACGATAGAGGCGGTGGGACCAAGTGCTACTTGTGCGATATTGTTCGACGAGGTGGTTGTAGTCTTAGGTGGGGGGATCTGGTCAGCTCGGATAGCAGAAACGTGTGATAGAAGAGCTCACTGTCGGAGCCGCGTACATCATGGTGACTCGAGGTGATTTGACCTTGTACTGCCTCGTAGAGGATGCCTCTCCATCGCTCGTATCGGTCTCTTCATCCGAAGTCACATCGCCTCGACGGCGTTTCTGACCTCTGAAGGACTCCAAGGCTCGTCGGCGTTTCTCCCCCCTCGTTTTCTTCGTCGACGACGCGACAGAGGCCGAGCGAGGGGCTGCAAGGTGTAAACTGATCTTCTCTGAAATCGAGCGAGCGTCCCTCGTCCACGTGAGTGACGGGTGTCCCGACTTGATGGGCATCGGGCTAGGTGAAGATTCCCATAGATCTAGATCCAGATCGATCTCATCTCCTTCACATTCGTCTGAGCAGATTGGACTGGACTCTCTTTCGCTCCCGAGCTCGCATTCGATGATGGTAAGTGCTCGGTCGGTCGAAGCGGCATCATCGCTCGTACCATACGAAAGGGAGTGAGAGGAGAGGTCGGATTTATCAGAAGGGATCCGAGAAGGTTCTCGATACCCTTTGAAGCTGCTCTTCTCTCCAGATCGAGAAGCATCATCGCTCCGGAAGGGTTCTCTAGGCTGGCGATACTCAAGTCGCCTGACTTTGGCAGGCGGTTCCTTCGAGCTCGCTCGAGAGGTAGATTGAGCCACGGGTCTTTGTTTTACATCCTGTGCTCGGCGTGGCAGGGCGAGGATCTGCCTTTTCGAGCCAAACACGAATTGGGCTCCTTCTGACTCGCTGGATTCGGGAGACCTAGCTCGGCGAGGCATGATCAAAAAGTCGACGGGTTACGCCGAAGTCTATGATATTGGCGGTTTGTAGGTGTAGACTGTGTGGGGAATGACTGTCGTTGAGGGTCCATAAAATCTAAAGAGACTGTGAGCTTGTCATCGATTCAAACTGACACAGTCCGCCCACCGATGATCGTTTCCGAAATCTTGTTGATCGTCTTGCTGGTCTTGAGGGTCTTGAGGAGTGCAGCGGCGGATGGCATCGACGTGACATTCAGATTCGTGGCATAATTCGTAGATTTTTGCCTCACCGGGCAGAGAAAGATAGGTTGACGCCGATCCCAATATACAGTGGGACGGAGGAAGATGATCTGGAGAGGAGTCAAGATACCTCCTGTGAGAAGAAGAAGAAGAAGAAGAAGACGATGAAGATCTTGTGTCTCCCCCTCAATGTGACCCAAAAAAAGAAAGAGAACGGTGAAGGAGACGATCCCAAAAGTAGCAAGTACGTCGAGCGAGGTGAATGATTTTCCTCTTCGGCACTATGATAATTTGACTCGTGACCTGGGCGTGAATTCTGAGCACCACAGCAGCAGCCAACCCCTAAGCAGCAGTCGTGCGTGCGTGCGTGCTGGAGGGTCAGAACAGCAGTAAGCAAGAGGCAAGAAGAGGATCATGTACCTCTTTGAGCAGGTCGGTCGAGAGATGGGGACCAAACCCCTGCAGGGTGGGTGAATAATATCCAAGAAGGGAAGATTTGCTGCTTTGGGTGTCTTCGGTCAATGGCTAGGTCAACTTGGGTCAAGCCATTCAAAGAGTGTACGTCTCGGGTAGATGGCGATGATGGTACTATCACGCGTCGAGGAGAGACGATCTACGGCAGAGGACTTGCTGGCGGTACCGCTTGCAGTGCTTCTGCTGGAGGAGACTTGGCGTGGCCTTCTTTCTCGCGGGAAGTGAACCTAGGTCGCGGGATGTCGAAAAATGATGTGAGAGATGGTTCAGATCTTGTGAGAATGAGAGGAAGGCCCATGGATTGCTTCAGAAACGATGTTATAAAAGACATTTCAAACACCTCGTCCATTGATGCTCGAGAAGCTCGCACGCTCTGCTTGATGGTGATGACGCTCTCCCCTTTGAACACGGGGACGTTGATTCCTCTTGACGAGGTACTGACAGGGGCCAATTGGGGATCTGTCTCCTGGTGCCTCTCGTTCCATGACAGATGAATGATGGGATGATCAGCTCCCGAAGTGGTCTCGGGAATCGCTTAGAAAAGGACAAGGGATGCCACACTGTCCTTAGAGGATGCCGGTTTACATACTTGTACTAGGTGGGTCATCATGATCATCACGCAACACACCGCCTGCATCCTTGGTGCGCTGAGAATTCATTCCCTGCGTGTCTCCAGCGTGTCTGTACTCGCTCTCGCTATCAAAAGGGCGCTCAAAACGGTATAGCTGCGAGACTTCACGCCCACCTTTCCGAGCTGTAAGTAGAGACTCGCTGAGACACAGCCGGCGCAAAGCGGGACGAGAAACATCGAGTGTGGCGGTCCTGCCACGACGGTGATGACAGAATCCTTGCCATCCAATATGCGCATGGCTTGCTGTGGGAGCCTCCGTGAGCGGATCCTATAAAATGATCGAGGACTTTCAAGACCCGGGACATTCGATTCACATGCTTATCTCGCCCATCTGCAAACGCCGAGCTTCAAAGCCCTCCTCGACCGGATGGGAGCTCTGAGATGTGGCGCTCGTTCTATTTGTCATTTCGACATGATGACCTGCGATATGCTGGCATGACGCCTCGGCAGTTCCACTCTACATACCGCACCTCCATAACACATACTGGACAGGCAGCGCAAATCATCCGGCATAAGCCGACGGAGGTAAAGAGAGGCAAAAGCAAGGACAGCCTTTTGTCGCAATCGTCCCAGAAAGACAGGGGCAGACATCGCCGATACAGAGCGCTAAGCAAGCTTCTCCCGAATTGTATTCAGCTTCAATCAGTGAAGGTGACCCTAGCGTGAACTTGTTTCCACATGTATTCATTATCAATCAACCTTCTCGTGCTCCAGCTCTATGGGCTCTATTGTAGCTGTAGGCCGTGATGATTGTGGCCCAGCTTGATTAGCCATGGGAACTGGGGCTGGTCGGGAGAGCGACATCAGTCAATGCCACAAAACTGAACGCGAGCGTCCTCACCCGGTGATGGCGCCATGAGAGCCTTGACGATCTCCTCGACGGTCGCAAAGACTCTTTTGCACACCGCTGCCCATGCACCGGATGACACGGCACCTGAGGAAGAAGCATGAGCTGGAGAGTCTGAAGGAAATAGGGATGGGTAGCTGACCCAATGGAGCGCTTGGGAAGCTCAACAGCCATACTATCGGACCCGGGATCCATCCCCTCGGCAGCCAGAAAACTGGTCGTTTCCTAAACCACCACACGAGAACCAACTGAGCGCCTGTCGTGCATATCCAGATGAGGGAAGAGAACTGGACCGTAAACTTAGTCCGGGCAGAGGCTAGAGTTGAGTCTGACCCAGTACGTCAGCATCGATATTGTATGCGCAGGGCTTTCAATCGGACCCTTCGAGCTCCCAAGATGGCTCGCCTGACTCACTGGACTTTTCTAGATCCGCCAGACTCTTGTCCAATCTCCGTTTGATTTTGGCCCATTTGGCGAATTCATCCTGTGACGAGGTCCTCCCAAGCTCTGCTTTATCATCTAGCACCTGTTTCCGTAATGATCTCTGCTTCTTAGCTGCTGATGTCAAGAACAATCGACTGTAGAGGGAGAAAGCCTGATGAGACGAAGACCCGTCAACAAGCATCCTACAGTAGCTCGCTCACTCACCAACTCCTGAAGAACAGACTTGCCGACCCAAGAGACCACTTGAGTCAATAAGACTACCAGAAATATCAACAGCGCCAGATTGGCCATTGCGGTATCCTGCCTCCCTGCGATGGCTACCAGGAGATCCCTCACGAGGGTTTAGCAGTTGATAACCTGACTTGAAGGAGGGGTCATACGCATGTGGCGGAGTTTGAAATTTTATCCGTGTTCCCCGTTAATGGCGACCCAAGGATTTTAGGTAAACAATCCATTCCCGATACGCGCTGTAATCTCCAACCTACTCTTCTTCAATCGACTCGATTCATCGACCTTTGAAGCCAGAGCAGATACTTCGAGACAAGAGCAGAAGACTTCAGCAAGCGCCCAAGTCATCTGAACGCATTGGATGCCTCTGTATAGCAGCCTTTCGACCTGTCTTCGATCGATGAAATCGGACTACTGAACAAACATGATATTTTCCCCCCCGCAATATCGAGAATTCTAGCAAGCATTCCATATCTAGATGGCCTGCCAGGAAGTTGAAGCACTCTCAAGACTCTGTCCACATGCCAGCAGGAGGTGCTGGAGGTGCAGCGACCCTGGAGTCGCCGAGCCGTCACACGCGGAAGAGGACTGAAGACGTAGTGTTCGCCAAAGGAGACGCGAAGAGAAGAAAGAAAGACGTGAGATATGGTCTGTCTGTGTCGAGGTCTTGCTGACAGCAATTATTCTAAATAAGATGCCATCCAGTCAGTCATCTTGATCACACCTCCATCGATCCATTGCCTCAGCTGACTTTTCGTTACTAGCCATGTTCAAACCCCAACCTATTCTATCCAATTCATCAGATACTCCGCCCGAGGACGAGGAGGAACAGTGGAGCAATATTCCTCCTCCACCTTCGGAACGCAAGATCGCACGACGTCGACCATCCATGAAGCAGCGAGTCGAAGACGTACCGGACGAATCAAAGATAGCGCCCACTCAATCAAAACAATCACGTAGCGGCGAGGATCTGGTGAAGAGCCTTCGAGCCGACGATAATATGGCTTCAACCGGAAAGGGCGCGGGGAGCTGGTCAGGTATCCAGTCTATGTCATTCGCGTCGAGTTCTCGATCCCAATTACCAGGCCATCGACCGAGCTCTCCCCCGCGTGAGAGACTTGGATTCGTACCTCGCTTCTCCACAGCCCTGTCGTCATCCACCTTGCAACCACCCGCAACTAAGAACGCCCAAACGCCGGGCCTAATGGGTCCGCCCAGTGGTCCACTCAGAAAGACTCGAAAATCATTGAAGGGTCTAGCACATGGTCTCCCAGCAGATCAAGAAGAGGCACACGTGTCAATGACGATGGCTCTGCCGGACTCGGAGACACCGATGATACGCAAGAATCAAGAGATGAGAGAAGCCCAGAGGAGGAGTTCGCTGGGTCAGCGAACCCAGAGAGCAAGCTCCAGTCTGGGCAAGGGAGAAATCAGTGAGTTCACGCGCAAGGTATAGCGATAGAGCTTGGGTTAAGCGAACCCATCTCCAGCCATACCACACTCGTCTGTGCCCACTAGCATGTTTTACCGTCACATCACCCCGTTGATCCCTGAGCCTATTCGTGCTCGACACCTCATCGCATGGTGCGGTAAACGCGCAGGAGATGCAGAGATCGCAGCAAGATTGAAGAAGAAAAGGTCTGGTGATTCATCGTCAGAGCAGCGTACAGAGGATGGAGATAGAATTCTCGAAGGAATACTGGAAGACTTTGGATTGGCCTTGGGGAAAGGAGCTATCGATACGAATGTTTTCGCTCAAAAGGTGAGCAGCTCCTAGCAATGATGAGCCGGTGTTGATCGCATCTCGCTCCAGTCAGCTCCGCCAATCTCGTCGCTCGCTCCTCATCCAAGGAACGTCGCAAACAGAGAAATACGCGCAAAGGAGGAAGAGGTGATCCAGCGGTGAGCTGAAATGGAGCCCGGACTTTCAACGCGCGATTGATGTTTTGCCCTCAGATGCAAAACCGAGATACACCTTTGGGATCGGCTGCACAAGTCCGCTCACAACAAAGCTCAACGAGATCACGCAGAACTCCGCGAGAAGCGAATTGCCGATGTCGAGCCGGATGTCTACACCGCTGAGGACGAATGGATGAGGGATGCTATCAAAATGGCAGATCGCATGATTCGAGAAGGTGATGGTGACTTGCGAAACAGAGGCGAATTCGCAGATGTGGAGTTCAAGGTGAGGGGATCGTTCAGATTCATGGCTGACCTCGAAATCAGGTTGATACGCTGCTTCAAGACACTCATTCAGCTCTGCAATACTCTCGACAAGCTCAGCGCTTCCTTGATGGAATATTCGAATCCCTCTCTGCGGATCTCAAAGCCAAAGATGGAGGTTCAGGTGTCAGTGCCAAGTCCAATCTCGGGACCGAGACTGTCTCATCACTACTTGCCTCATCTCGGTCTGATGCTGCTGCTGATTCAAGTCAAAACTCGAACGACGCCATGGCCGTTTTGCGAGCTATCTCCAAATTGGAAGGCTCTAATCCGGATCCGCGTGTACTCGCCAAGGCGGAGCAATTGGAGTCATCGGCACCTGCTCCCAGCTTGCTGGCATCTAGCGTCGGACCTGGAAGTAAAGGATGGACTCCGAGACGCGTCACATCGGGTAGTACGCCTCGTGGAGCCGATTAAGCTCTCGCATTGATTCTGGATATGAGGGATTGCTGCCGGGGATCTGAGGTTAATATGGTACAAACGCTAGCGAGAAGAATAAGAGGGCTGGAACAGATTGTATTGCGGCTTCATTGACGATCTATGAATGAGCTTGAATCTTGATGGACGCAATGATAGAGGGATGCATTGGAACAGGTTGCCCCGGGGGAAAAAGCTACCATGAGTGGAAGGCTTGAAAGAGAGTTATGCACGAGTCGAGAAGATTGAGTACTTGGAGATAATAGGGTTTGAGGAACTACCAAGGAGTTGGTCGACCGTCCAATGGCTTGCCATGATTCTTCCTGACTTGATCGAGGTATTTGGCCTGTAGTTTCCTGTAAGCTAAAGAAGGTCCTTTCCGAGAACATCCACTGACTTTTCGAGCTCCAACTTGAACGGTCTCGATCGTGCCGTACTTGTCGTCTTTGACTTTACTGAGTTTGATGGGTCGATTCCCGATATATTTACCTGAAGAAATCGTGAGCGAGAGCCAAAGTCTCGCGGATTGTATCAAAGCTCACCGTCATTCTCTTTCCAGGCGCGTAAGAAATCTTCCGGATCTTTGAAGGCGATGAACCCGTATTTGGCCTGACATATACGAGTTGAGTGGTATGGACGAGTGTTTGACACCAAGACGCACCTTTAGACTGAGTCTGTCCCTCACGACCTTGGACTTGCAGTAGCTTGGATATTTGTTGAAAGCTTCATCCAGGGTCCTTTCACTGACATCGTTTGAGACGTCACCGACAAACAATCTAAACCATTCTGAAGTCTGTCAGGTCCAAGGCCAATGAGTTGACACTCACTGGGATCCCAATCTATCAATGTCGGATCCTCCCACGTCCTTCCGTTCCCTTTTCGAATCACCGTCTCCCTCTTTTGACCCGGTGCAACGGGTCTCCTGACTGGTTTCGAAGGTCCGCTACTCGGTCCTCCAAGGACATTCAATTGCCCATCCATGCCATAAGCTGAAGACTGTTGACTGAGATCCGAGTCGAAAATCTGTCGAGCTACCGATGCAGGCATGGCAGCATGTTGAGTCGTATCAGGTTGATGATACGGTTGTCCTACGGCACTGGCCCCACCAGCTGCTCCAGAATACCCGTTGGTGTAGCTTGTCGAACCGGACGAACTGGACGCTGTCATTTGCGCGATGGTCTTTTCATCGTATCCTTGCTGACGGTAATACTGAGGAGCAAGTCAGTCCAAATGTCTCGTCAAGATTTTAGCGGGAGTGTACTCACGTCTGCCCACTATATGGATCAAAACGAGTCGACAGGTTAGCAAGAGGATCACTGGGATCTAGCGAGACGTCACTTACAGCAGCCAGCCTCTGCTCCTCGCTATAATCTTGACCTGACATTATGATCCTATATCTTTCACTATCTCGGACACACACACACACACACTCTCTTTCTCTGTAAGCTCACTCCGCCATGAACTGCGACCTCTCGCGAGAGGACTCCTTGTTGAGATGGACAAGCAGACTCCTTGCCACTTGAGAGACGGAATCAAATTTTTAACCCAATTCATGCTGATGAAGAGAGAGAGCTCTTGCAATCAAGCTGTTTTCAATCCCCCACCACGGCTCACTTCTGTCTATCTTCACTTGGACCCATAGCATTGCCCCATCTCTCACAGCCCCAGGTCCTGTATATGGCCAGGAGAAGTCATCCTGAACCATGATCAGAACTCTGAGATAGATTCTTCTGATCGCCTCAAGCCAGTTCCTCTGGGCCTCGCGGGACAGAATTATACAATCACAAGATGGAGTTGGCTCCAGACATTTTCGTCCTCGGGGACCCCTATCTAGCCTATCAACCAGACTTTTCAAAGTCCCTACCCGTTCAACTCTTCGTCAATGGCGTGACGATGACCTTGTTGATCGTGCTCTTACTTCATCTCCTATGTGAGTCAGGGTTGCTTCTCTCTCACTTTCGGACCGACTTGAAAACTCACCCGTGATGATCAGTCACGACTCAATATCATTATCCTCTGGCTCCGCTCAACTACTCCCTCCAACTCATTTCTATCCTCGTGGTATTCTTATCGGTCATCGTCAAGGTCTGGGCGATTCTATGGGAATGCAGGACCCATGCTTCGTCGTGGCCATATGATCTCGATTATATATCTGTCGAATTGCCTCCGTCGCCATGGACGACTGCTCAGAAAGCTGCTTGGTGGTTGCTTCAGGCGCTCAACAATGCCTTTGCTAATGTGAGCCGAGCTATCTACTTCAACAGTGATGTCGGATGACTGATCTTGCCATTCAGATAACCCACATTCAATTCTTGACCCTCTTATACCCATCCAGGGTTGAGGCTCGACTCATCATCTTCATCCTTGGGCCATTGGCGATCGCGTCATCAGGACTGGTTTTCACTGCTCTTTCAGGCTCTCAGAAAGTCATTGATATCTCCGATTCCATCAGGAACATTCTCGACTCGACCCTCTTGCTGATCTTCACCATCGCCCTAGTCATCTGGGGTTTCTTGGTGAACAGGAGACGAGCTTGGCGGACCGACGGTGGTACTGCGGTCTTTGGTGTCGGTTCTTTGCTTTTGGCTGTTGTCAGTACGAGCGGGAATTTTATCGCTGTCGCAGAAGATGGTATAGAGTGGTTACAGCATCTGCTGTTCGCCGCCATTCTTTGGCAGACGTGGCTGGGTTGGTGGTGGTGGGTCGGAAGTGGCATGGGCATAGGCGAGGTTGAGGTGAGTCAACCCCACATCCTCCATGGGCTCTTTAGCTGACGCGATTCGCAGGATCTCATGGAAAGGGCAGAAAAGAAGAAGCGCAAGCTCGCCCGCCGAGCCGCTCGTCAACGAGCCAACGCCGCTGCGAGTGGCCAGACCCGTCAGCCACTTTATCGACATTCCTCTTTCGCGGGTCTCGTCGACGCCGGTCAGGCTTCTGCACAAGCCATGGTGGGATTCACGTCCTCAGTCACATCTATTCTGCGGAATCGAAGCGGTACACTGTCACGCAGGCACAGGACCATGTCAGGTCAAGGTGACATTGAGAATGGCGAAGGGGCTGTGGAACTGGACAACCTAGGCAGCTCGCCTACGGCACAGCATTCCATCTCTCTGGACGACAACCGTGGACCTGGCTCTGTTGATAATGGCCATCTACCTTCCAGTCCATCCCGTGTCGGATTCAGCACATCAAGAGGTCAAGAGCCCCCAACTCGGTTGGAGACATCCAACTCGGAAACTTCATCGACGTCAGCCACGCCAAGTTTGCACCCTCCGAAATCTGTTGGACAATTGCTATCTTTTCCTACCACATGGCTCCAGATTTACATGCGGCGACTCACCAAGGCGCATCAAGAGGCTGCGCGTAAACAAGTGCTCCAAAAGGCCGACCTCCGAAGAGAAGTTTTCGAACCTCATCGAGCAGCTGCAGTTGGACAAGAGACTTTGTCACTTGATGCTGAGATTCCGAGTCGTCCAGTCGTTGGACCCTTGAGCGGTGAAGATGATGGAGTTGGATGGGGCTTGGGTAGATTCGGAATCAAGGAGCATCAAGAAAGTGCTAAGCGATTACAAGAGGCACGAGAAAGATTGCAAGAGGAGAGACTACTCGGATCGACATCAGCTGGGCCATCCGCGACTAGAGACGAGGAGCCGAGTACAGCTGGACCGTCGAAGCGATCCAAAGATCCCGTACAGCGCGTCATGGGCAGTAATGCCAGAAGGGCTGGCAAGGGGAAGAAGCCTCATGCCGAGGATGTAGCAGGATCTGAATCATTGCTTGGTAGTGGCCTCGCGGGCTCACCGTCAGCCCAACGTGCTCCTGCACCGGACGCAGATGATCCTGATGGCGATGGACAGTGGGAGGACGTCGACGCCACTGCCAGTAGTAGCAGCAGTAGCGAACCAAGAGGTCATAAGGGCAAAGGGAAGAAGCCCGTCAGCGGTAACAACAGGGGAGGCGGAGGTACTGGTGCTGGAGGAGGTGGAGGAGGTGGACCATCTCGGGGCGGAGGTGGCTCTCGCGAATCAGGTTGGAGCTGGTGGGGACCATTGAAAGAATGGAGATTGGCAGATCGGTCGTCCTTTTAGTTGGCGTTACCTTTCATGTTGTAGGCTGGACTGTGTTGTACTATGCAAGTCATGCACCTTCTTGGATATCTACGCCGTTCTCTTCTAGTTATCACGACTAGAACATGTTGTATTCGTCGTGTATGCAGCGCCTGGACTCAGCTGGAGTGCATCCGAAGAGATCGAGTAAGTACAATAAGATGGCGAAGAGTAGGATTGATATCCTACGGATCCCACCCACTCTGACATACAAAATATCTCACAATTAAGTAAAAGAATCTCTCCCACACATACCCACACCCACACCCATACGGGGGATCCGCCAAATATCTGACAACATGATCTCTCCCCCCTTTCTTCAAGCCATGAAAGCCAAAAAACCAAACCATCAACATGAAGCATCGCCCATCCCATCTATATCCCTGGAGACTGCAAGCCTCCCATTCTCGCATCGCTCGACATGAACAGATCGTTTGGTCCGGTTTCATTCCTCTTCCTTCTTCTCGCTTCTACCAGACACGCTTCTATCCTGTGTTGCTTGATTGGTTTCGTCAAGATTTGATCTGCACCAGCTTCGATATATTCTTCTTGATCTTGTCGGAGAGCATTCCCAGTACATCCCACGATGAATAACGGAGATCCTAGGTTTCGGACTTGACGTGCCACTTCAACACCCGTCATCATTGGCATTTGGCTATAGAGGCAAGAAGAAATCGTTAGCATTGTATCAGAAAGTCTGACAAGAGAAAGGGCTCGGTTAGCTCACTTGTCTAAGAAGACCACATCCACTGGCGGTGAACCTAGAACCATGTTGAACGCGTTGGTGATTTTGTCCAGGGCAATTTGACCGTTCTCAGCAGTCTCCACTCTGTGGCCCAGACGTTTGAGCATGCGAGCCATCATCATCCGAGTGAGCTTGTCGTCGTCTACCACGAGTACGTCGAGCGCCTCGTCGTCCTCCTCTTTAAATTCGGGAACAGCTTTGGTCTCTGGAATTTGTGGCTCTTGTGATAATGCTGGAGATCCCGAAATACTCCTGATCCCCGTGGCGTAATCGTGAGTCTTGGTCTGGCCATGCGATGCAGGGCTAGGAGTCCGATTCGCCAATGGGCTGGTGGAGATCTCGTTTATGCCAAGGGGTTGCGGAGAAGCCACGACCGTGACTGCCGAAGGCGAGGAGTCACCCAGGACAGAAGGCCGAAGTGGTGATTTTGATCTGGGCGAAGGAGGATTGCTTCTGACCGGAGCACCTGGCAGTCTCACCGCTGGATCCGATGAGATGGATCGAGAAAAGGCGACGCGCTTTAATTCTACAGAATCTGGTCGAATCGCAATGATAGGTCTGTCATCTGGCCCAGGTGTCAGCGGGAGAGAAGTGCCCGAGTTCTTGCGCATCCCAGCAGCAGCACCAGCAGCAGCAGCAGGATGTATGATGGTGTGTCTCGAAGTCGTCCGTGATAGATCATGCCTCGACACGAGAGATCTCAAACTCTGCCTCGATTCGCTATTCCTTCGACCGTCTCGTGCCAATGGATCAGAAACGAGGAACTGTTCCGCCGTCATATGCCGCTCCATAGGGATAGGCGGTCTGGGTGGCGCAGAGGGAAGTTGAGGGACATCATTCTCTTCATCGGTATCAGACACCTGGGTGACGTGACGCTGGTGAAGGTCTCGGTTGTGCTCCTTCTCACTTTTCATAGCCTTTTCGAAGCCGTCATCCAAATCGACAGCTGTCGCTTCGCTCGAGTTCGTCGAAGTCGATTGATCTCGATTATGAGGTCGAGGAAGAATCGGGTATGGTAATTCGAGCCAGAATTCACTCCCTTTACCATACTGAGAGTTGACACCCAGTCGACCTTTCGACAAGGTCACAATTTGACGGATCAAGGCTAGACCAAGTCCCGTGCCTTTACCACCTTGACGGCGACCCATTTCCGTCTGGACATATGGGGAGAACAGACGGTTGCTGAAACGGTTAGCCCATCAAGACCATTTTTTTCACTCTCACTCTTCGACATCTCGTTTCCTCAACCCTGCACCGGTGTCGTGAACCTCGATCCTCACGACAACTGCCCGTGTGTTCCGCCTCATCTCAACGACTTCACTTCCCTTTTCAGGGTCCGTGCTCGTTGATCCATTTCCAGCGCTAGAGGTTGACTCCAAGGGATCCATCTTGGGATACAACAGCTTCGTGACGATCTTGACGCCTCCTTCCTGAGTGAATTTGATAGAGTTCGAGACGAGATTGCTATTACCACCATGCCTAGTTCAGCCGTGCATTCTCGATATGTGCAACCCAGATCCTGCTCTCACCTCGTAATCTGCCTTAGACGCATCTCGTCACCGATAAATAGACATTCAAGCCTATCAATCCTCGGATCAAGATCCATTACCAGGCTGATGCCTTTGACATTCGCCGGTGCTGTGTGGGACATGGCGGTGAGTTGGATGGACTTGTGCAGGTCGAAGGGAACTTTTGCTTGAGTAAAAGTTCCAGTCTCCATCCGATTGAAGGAGAGTACGTCGTTGAGCACCTAGACAGGACTTTCAGCAACGCTTAAGGCGGAGACGAGACACGCACCTTTTCCATCATTGATAGACTGCCCGTAAGTCCCTCAACCATCTCCTTCTGGTCGAGGGAAAAGTCGTCGAAGAGATTCTCGCCTTCCAGATTTTGGACCGACAGCAAAGCCGTGTTGAGAGGCACTCGGACTTCGTGGAAGACTACCGAGAGTGTGAGTGGCGAAGAGGATGTGCACAATTTCTTTTTACTCACTGTATGAAACGAATCGCTTTGTCAAGTCTGAAGCTTTCTTCTCCATTACCTGAGCCCGTTGAGTGGCTTTGTACTGCAGCTTGAGCTGTTCTCTGAGCTCGAACGTTTGCCTCGAACTCTTCTCGGAGATGAAATGGAGCATGATAAGGAAGACATGGTAGATAAAGTCTGAGGGTACCGTGTGTCAATCATGGGGGCGAACGTGCCTCCCCTCAGCAGGGAGGATAACTCACAATAGATAGAATCTCTGTAGAATGCCACACTTCCCACATGTCCAAAGTAAAAGATGCCCATGACCACGAACCAAGTGACGAATCCTACGGAGGCGATGAATCGGCTTTGACCCAGAGCCAGTAATGCCAGTGTAGATTGACCGATAGCGCTTGCAAAGACGATGAAGTCTGTCTGAGTGCTACAGGCGACAGGCGCATCGATGTTGTCGACGTTAGAGCATCGTTTGAGTCCGATTAGCCCTAGAATAGGAAGACTCCATGTCGCGAGGGCTAGCCAGATTTGCCAAAATATTGGGGTTCGATATGGCAGATTGATCAGGATGAAGACGAGTAAGGGAACTGTGAAGAACTGGAGGGAGAAAGATGATCAGCTGTAACAGCTTCAGGAACCAAGCAGGGGCTACTCACTCCCCAGACTCCAACAAATCCAATGTAGTGGTACGTTTGCCACGGATGTGGGGTCAAAGCTAAACACCATACCCACATGAGGAGGAAAAAGGCGCCCGCGGCGAGGGACATTTGACGTTGACCATAGTAGTGCTGAGCTAGATGAGCACATGTTGCGAATGGACCCCAGTCGTTAACCCACCTCTCTCTTATAAGTCCTCTCCTTTGACTCTTCGGCAAATCTCATGTCGAAGAAATAGTGAACCAACACCCACAAGGCTTTGACCTTGCTGAACATTCTGCCAGCATAAAGATCCGTCGCTGAAGTCTTTGACCTCAGTGATCTGACTCTGCCGCCGCCGCCGCCGCCACCTGCACCACGCCCACCATCGCTTGCCGTTCCATCTGAAGCTGCGTATCCACCATTCGTCGTATCTCTCGAATGATGTCTGGCAAGTATTCCACTGTGGACGACCTCCGACATGTCATTGTCGATGACAACGACCTCGACTGGATCTCCATCATCCTTCTCGTCCAAGTCATCCACCAGAGCTCCTATCGACGTCTCTGTCCTTCTCGTGCCTGATCGATGACTCTTTCGAGTCCGGAGTCGACCAAGGACACGTAGTGCATCCTGAGTGGCGGGACTCGCAGACTCCAAATAAGAGTCATGTCGAGTGGCTGCTGACTCTGAAGAATTCGACAAGACAGATGGTCGTCGAATCTCACTCCTTAAGAATCTCCATATTCGATTCGGTTTGGATCCTTTGGTGGTACGAAATCGCGCTCCTGTACCGTTCGTCGGAGCTCTTCCTCCTACAGTCAATGAAGGTCTCGGCAGTGCACCATGGGTCGTAGTTGTCGTTAATATGGAATCAATGGTATCGGTTTGGTGCACCGCTCGACTAGATTCGCCTATCCTAGTGTCGTCTGTCGACATTCGGTGTTGTGATGATGGAGCCCACACCACTCTCCAGTTCCCCCCACCTTTTGGGTGTGGAAATCTTCAGTGTTTTTACCACCGTTACCTCGTTGATCTGACAGAGGATTGACCCTCCCATGTGATACGAGGAATCAGAAGATCATGGTGTCCGGCGAAGGAACTTCTTCTTTCGACGCTTCTCTTTCGCAACGACTACAGTAGCGGCAATCTCCCCAAAGATGTTCGACGGGGGAACGAACTGCGATCGGAATGTCCTAGACCTGGAACTTGGTACGTGGGTCCACTCGTGCTTTTCCCAGTTGTGAATATCCCAAATGCAAGCAGCAGCAAAAGGGATCCGAACTTGCTGAGAGCACTTGAGAAGTAATATTAATAGACTCTCTGTGCTATACTTTGGGTGGATCTCGACCCCCCTTACGTTCTGGGAACCTTCAGGGATGGAGCCGTGGCTATAACAGAGCAGAAGTACGGCAGATAGTAGTGCTGCTGCTGCTGCTGCTGCTGCTGCTGCACCCGGCGTGCTGCACCCGCACCCAGCACTGTGACTGACCCACCGAGGGGGAAAAAAGCCACAGTATGTCACCCTTGGTAGCAGCTGCTCTTTCTGGCGGCCACAGAGGGGGGACAAAAATAATAAAGTATTTCCTGCTTTTGACTTGCCTCAATTGGCAATGGAAAAAAGATTGCCCCCCTCTCCCATGCAATGGCTCCTCCGCCACCACCACCACCACCACCCGTATCAGTCACTCTGACCAGGACCTCTGATGGACAACCTCCTAATCTCCTCTTTGCTGGAGCATTTTTGCATATCGTCATAGATCGACAAAAGGTACCGAGACAGGCTGAGCAGCCAGCAGGCACGTGAAAAAGTGATGATCACACACCTACGATCGAAGGGGGTGGGTGGATCACAAGCCTCTTAGTCTGAACACCCGGTAATGGCGTCACTCTGCTAACATCGCACAAAACGAAACACGTCTGTCCTTCCATGACCTTGTATTTTTCGGGCTCTTTGGTGGGACCTGGCCATGCACCGGTAGATCTTGGAACATGAGGGACAGTGGCAGACGTTGTCACCGTTCAGCCACATCTTCGGAATCGACGACTGAGTGCGGCACTGATCAAGCCTCCGTATCTTTTGCTGGGCCTCCTCCCATGGCGTCATCAAGCATGTCTTCTAAAAAAACTCGGTTGTATAATGCAGACCAAGTCCCATTCGCTACGCGGATGTATCGGATGTGCGTTGTCTCTATCGATACTCCGGAGATATATCCATGCATCGATTGCACGAGGCATGGAGAAGCGTTGCAGTCTATGTTGCTTGCCTGAAAGGGACTCCCTGAGTCGCTAGTCTTAGACACTCAGAGGCAAATCTTGGATCATCTCCTCGAGCGTTCGTCTTTCTTGGCCTTCTGTAGAGCATCGAAGACTGCAGAACAAAGGCTCTCCATAGGTAGCAGGATGGCCTCCGGTCGGACATGAACAATGTAGGACAGATCTAAATAGACGACATCAGCTTTCTGCTGAAGAGTCATATGACATCCACGCGAAATGACTCACGATCCGATACCAGGTCCCATCCATTGACATTCGGAGGACACATGACACCGCGATTGACCACATAGTCAAATGCGTCTCTGAATCGTCTCGTGGCTCGCCTCCTCTCTATGGCCAATTTTGACACTCTGACCTTGGTCGCGATCACACATAGTCCAACAGAGCGATGAGACTTTTGACCGACAGGGACCAGACCAGGGGGGAAGGGACGAGAGGGTGGAGGAGTGTCTCGTCTATTGAGGACGCGAAGAATGAAAGCAGGATGATGCACAGTGGATTTGGTGAGCTTTGGAGAGATTGGAAGGATTTTTTCGGTGTCCACTGGAAAGAACTTGGTCTAAGACGAGGGAGTCAGCTCAAAGATCAATTTTGACTCCTCTCACAAACTCACCACGTTCTTCTGACCGTCTTTGAATTTAGGCTGCCGAGGCATGTTGGAGAAGTCCACCTTGCGACCTAAATGTCGATGCGTGTAATGTTCCTCGCTGGTATTCAGGGCTTCAGCTAAAGTATCACTCGCCATGCCCCGTAGCATCAGCTCCCCAGCTAGGCCGTCAAGTCGGACTGCGGGCGGAGATCTCTCTTTAACCGTTCGACGGATTGACTCTTTGTTGTTTAAGCTCTTTGTGAGGCCTGATTCGGATGCCCTCGTGAAGGGCAATCGAGGAGATGATTTTTCGACACGTTTCATCAATCCTGGATCAGAGCCAGAAGATCTGCCAGTTCTTGTATCGTTGGCGTAAGACGGATCACCGGAACGGTTTGCAGGGTCTCGCTGGCCCACCTGAGCAGAGTTTGGCTGTGAGCGATCGTGCCCTGGTCGATGAGCCGGAAGACCAGAGCCAGGCTGAATTCCTCGTAAAGCGGAATCTGGGCCATCTAAAGAAGCGCGAGGTCCATCTCCCAATGGAGAGGGCCGTCGAGGTCCCTGAGAGTCGAGCGGGTCTTTTGAAGTACGACCTGGCGGTTTCCTAGAGCTCGACGGGACGGCTGACTTTCCCTCTTGAGAAAACCTCTCATTCCGACCACGGGCATAGCGTGCCTGCGGTTGCGGCCTTTGAGGACTGCCTTGTGCACGAGGACTTAAGCCCAAGCCGAAGCGTTCGGCCTCAGACTCAGGAAAGAATGCGACGTCACTCGTCGCAAAGCTCCTCCGACTATAGCCATAACTTTGACTGGGACTGGAAAGGGGGACGGACCGCCATTGCGAGGCGTGAGATGACGAAGAAGCGTTGAACTGGTGGATCCTAGGACATCGAATACAGATCCTCACAAGGCCTGAAAGAGAACACGCAAGCGAGCTTCAGTCCGACTAGTCGACTAGTCAGTCACTCACCAGAGCTCTCTACCACTCCACGGATCATCATCCCTTAAGGCGTCGAGCTCATCATGTCATGCTGAAGATATCAAACGTTGAAAGTGGAGGATCGATCGCTCGACTGAAAAGCCCACTACAGGCTAAGAGCTGCTGACAGGCGAGAATCGGTCTGAACCACAGGATGCACTGTCAGAGCTATTCAAAAGATCTGGGTCGAGTCATAAATTGCTTCACAGCGGACGCTCAAGCAACCAAAACAGGTCATGCACCAATTCTCAATAAAAGGTCTGTCTGTCTGTCTGTCTGCCCTAAGCGAAACCCTGTCTCGGTAGAAAAGATGACAATCTCGACAGAGTATTATAAACGGGCAGTAAAAAAAGCTTGGTACTCTCCTCTGATTCCATTAAGTCCATACAGCGTGGATGTCATGATGAAGAGGCCGAGGTCTATGGTTTAGTCAGAGTGGAAAATGTGTTGAGGAGATCTTCAGCACGCCCAAAGCTCGTATATATGCTCTCTGTGGCGATTACCACGTGGAATTGACTGGGCCTAATCCGCCACATCTACAAATTCCCTTTCGGCGTTTCGTCTGATTGGCTCTCTCTTTTTTTGGGCGAAATCTATCGAATGGCGCATACGAGCAACTTTCAGCGCCCATACACCATTCAACTCTATACCTCGATCCCACCATGGCTGACGTCGAAATGAAGTCTGCTCCCAAGGAGCGATCCAGTGAGTAAGAGGACGTGAAGTGAAGAAAGGGATATTGGGGAGCTCGAAGCTGGGATCGTTGGCCATTTTGCTGACAGTCCGCCTAGACCTCCGATACGGCCTCAACAAGGGTCACCCTACCACTGTCATCCCTAAAACCGTCAAACCTTCCCACAAGAAGGGAAAGAAGACGTGAGCTTCCGTGATCAAACAGTGACCCCGTGTTAAGCTGACGATTGAATTCCTAGCGAGAAGAAGACCTTTGTCAAGTCTGTCATTCGGGAGGTTGCTGGATTTGCTCCTTACGAGAAGAGAATTATGGAGTTGCTGAGAAACTCAAAGGACAAGAGGGCGAGAAAGTTCACTAAGAAGAAGGTGAGTCGATACTGGCTAGGATCAGGGGGAGTGCGCGGCGAGAGTCATGCGTGGGATAGGGCGTGCGGTACATGGGAATTGACTGCCTTTGACCTTCTCTCGCTTGCCTGCCTGCCTATTCTCCTGACCCAATGCCGAATCTTGTCTTGAAACATCGCTGACCCTCTCCCAGCTTGGAACCCTCCTCCGATCAAAGCGCAAGGTTGAGGAGCTTTCTGCGGTCATCCAGGAGCAACGTCGTCAAACCGGACACTAGGGTGTGACGGGGAGACATTTGTACGAGATCGAGCGTCTGCAGGTCGACATGCATACTCGGATGCATGGCGTGCAAGCTGAACGTGGGCAGAGTCATGGTCCACCCACGGATAGGATAGCGCTACCTCTGAGAACCGATGAGGTATGGGGATTTGTGTGGCATTGACGTCTACGCCCTCATCCACACATCCTCTCTTCTCCTCTGCCATGCCCTCTCACTCTGCCTCTGATTCTCCACCGCATCTGATTCTTCATCCTTTGCTCCATCCTGTCCTTCTGCCGCTCGAGCCTTCATACCCTCCCAACCGCCTCCTCTAAAATGATTACCACGATGTCTCCATCCGAACTGAGGAAGCACTAGTCAGTGGGTGATCACGGCTCTACTGTCTGCCCCCCCCCCCTTGTTCTCCTCACCTTGACCATGGCTGTGATCACCCCTATGCCCATACCGACTGGTATACTTGGAGCAGCGAAGAATGCTATCCCGCTCCCTAATGTACCGAGTAATGTTCCTCCCAAAGCAGCGACGATGGCTCCTACGGCTGCGTATTTGGCGTATCTGATTAATCTGCGGATGGCATATCGGATAACATATCTGATACGATGCTTCTGAGCCTTCTGAGAAATACCATTGCTTGGATACCACGGTCACTTACCTCGTCGTTGTCAATGCCGATCGCGTTGTCAGAGAAGCAGGTACAGCTCCTCCTTTATTGCCCAGTGCCAGATACTGGAGATTCGTCTTAGCGGCATCTAGCCTGGAATGCTTTGATGACTGTGCATGGATGTTATCAGTAGCTGATGCAGTAGCTGACGAGCTCATCGTAGCCCAACGTTGCTGTTGTTGGTGATGGATGATGATGGAGATGAAAGATGCCGCTGACGATTTGAGAAATGACCTGATCAACACGTGGTTGATAAACTCTGATACCAAAAAGAAAATCGAACATCTTTGGGAATCAATCATCCTGGCTCTTCCCATTGTACTGTGACATTGAGAGGCTTGACTAGTGGTCAGTCCAGAGCTCTGTCCGCTTCGTTCTGGTGTTGGAGGTTATCCGAACTGGAGACTGGCCCCGTGACCGTGTCCCTCCGCATCCACAGATACCATGAGCGCCGCGAGCAAGATGCCCGTGCCGACGCCGAGGCAGTTTAGAATCCTGGCTTTACCTTTGGCCAGATTACCTCGGACAGCCTCAACAACGCAAATTAAGCCCGCGCCGACAGACGCCTCATCACCAACTCCTCCTCTCTCTCCACACTCTGTAGATGGTGCCTCAGAATCATCAGGAACCTCGAGCCATGGAGAAGGTTCGACGGCTTCTGCCTCCTCGTCCTCACCTCCAGCAAACACCAGCCATCCCTCATCATCCTCGACACCTCTCCTTTTTTTTCATGTGATTCAGCCTTCACCATCACCATCTCAATCTCCTCCTCCTCTCACCACTCGTATATTGTCCAAAGCCTCTGATACATGGATCAAATTGGGCGAAAAAGATCCAAAATCCTGGATGCATTGGTTTTATCGAAAGGGTGAAAGTTTGATGGATCGCATAGAATATGAAGAATGGGCTTTGAAAGCCGTGCATGAGGGCAGAGGCGTCAAAGTATTGAAAGAGGGCGAAGAGAAAACGAAGACTCAAGAGATCATCGAGGTGAGCGTTTGTTCCGCGTCCGTCCCTTACTTCTGGACCCTGGTTCGCCGTACTCTCTTACCATGGTCGCCTTCCTTTGCAGCATCCGATCGTGCTGACCCTTTTGTCCAGATTCCCTTGCTCAAACCTACACTTACGGAAAAAGGCGTTCAACTACCCACCATGCTGCCGAAACTGCATCGAATGCTCATCCATCGTATACCATATCACCGGAAGATGATGATCCGATCACTGCTTTTGTGAGTGGATAATCTTGTTCATTGACTATGCTTCTGTGGACCTCGTTGCTGATATTCCGGGTCTTCAGCACTCCCGTCACGTTTCCATTCGCCATCATTCCCGTCATTCCCAACTTCCCACTTTTCTACGTCCTCTGGCGAGCATGGTCACATTACAAGGCATGGCGTGGCGCTTTCTACTTGGAGCGATTGCTCAAACTCGGCATGATCAAGGAGCAGACTTCGGAGGAATTGACAAAAGTCTATGCGAGTAAAGGACAGGTGGTTCCTGAGCCAGGGAGCGAGAATCGAGCGCCGGATCAGACATTCTCTGAAACCAGTGTGTCAATCAAGTCGAGTTCTACCACCACAACGAGCCCCGATGGAACACATGAAGCTCAGTCTACGGAGAAGATACCGAGCCAGGCAAAGGGAGCTGGTCCTGCGCCTGATGGAACCTCGACTCCAGAATCAATGGTCTTTTCTCCTCCCCAGAACTCGACAGATAAACCAACCACTGGATCCACACCGAGACCTACGCCTGCTCCTCGTCATCCTAGCTTGCTGCTCAGTCCGAGCCAAGTTCCGCTCTTGGCCAAGACCTTTGACATAAAAGGACAAGAATTGATGGATGTCGTGCGGGCGGTGGAACAAGCGGACGGTCGAGCATGGGCGGCTGATAAGAAACGAGGAGGAGAGTCTCAGCAGGGCGATGCTGCCCAGCCGAGTGGGTCAGATGACAAAAAGCCAGGGACAAATTGGCGTGGTAACTTGCATCGGTAACAATGCTGTAGGCGTACGGGCCAAACAAGATGAATGTTGGGGGGGATCAATACACATGGACAACGACGATGCATGTTATCACTCTGGAATCTGGGATATCTCTGATGCGTACTGCATCTCTTAAATCCTGCAGCTGATCTTCATCTCAATACGGTGTGAATCGCTTCGTCTTCTTGAGTTCGTCTACCTTTGCCTTGTCCTGCTCAAACTTGGCTCGCAGGCCAGCCAATTCTAAGGAGACAGACACAAGGGTCAGAACAAATCTTGTTACTGGCGAGATAGCCTTGATACACTCACCCTGTCGCTTCCGCTCAGTCTTTTGAAACCTGTAAAAGTCTTCTTTCGGTCTCGCCCCACTTCCTTTTCTCTTCCCATCATCTTGTTCTGACGCCAGATTTTTGCCGAAACCCTTTGAAGCCACAGCTACACCAGTACTTCCTGGACCTCTTCCACCCGTTCGGCCGTATCGTCCTCCTCTAACGACCACTGTGAAGCCATCCTCGTCGACCAATGCTCCGGCTCCCTGCTGTTTGGCTCGAGATTTCAAGAGGAGCGATTGAAGATGATCGAATCGAGCCATAGAAGAATCAGCGAATGCTTTGATGGCACCCAAAGGAGGTCGGAGCGACGTATACTGGGAAATATAGTAGGATAGTCCAGTAGGATTGGAAGGATCAGATTGAGGAGACGCCATGGACTTCAAGCTGGATTTTGCAGGTTTAGAGTAGGCAGATTGAGGAAGGAGACCATAAGAAGGCAGGTGGATCGGTCCAGTATGGGCCATAAGCCTTTGAAGGGGTAACGCATCCAGATAGACTATATGAGCGCATCTTGACCCTGATCGTCCGTAAGGTGTCGATCTTGGATCAAGCGGTGGTAGAGCTTCGACTTCAGGGACTGAGACCGGCAAAGCTGGTTTCCGCCTTGTTCGAAGTCGACGTGGTAATTTAGGTCCGTTACCGATGAAAGTAGGTTCAGGACGGCTCGTTACATTATCCTCCTCGGTGTCTCTGAGATCATTGATGGGATCCTGAGCCTCATCGTCCGACTCCTCCTCCCCTTCCTCCTCCTCCTGTTCAACTTCATCGTCCTCGCCCAGACCTTGAACAGCTTGTTCCAGAGCATTTGCACCTGAGCCTCCTGTAAACTCCACGAACTCTACTACCCCCCACCGTCCGAACAGAACGCGCAGATCTCTTTCAGATGCATCGACAGGAATGTTCGCCACGAATACAGTGCTCTCTGGAGATGCAGTGACCGAGGAGGTTGAGCCAGATTTCGCCGTATGAGGTCGAACGTATATATAGTGGGACGTTACTCTGCTCTGGGAAGAAGATGAAGTTGATGGAGCCGGTAGAAGTAGCTCAATCGGGAGAAAGTTTGTATAGAGCTTTGAATGTTGAACTGTCGACTTGCCCTTCCCTTTATTCACTGGCACCACAGCCTTGGGCATGGTGTATCTGCGTGCTCGTCGAGTATAGTAGTATGTATCAACACTTCAGAAATTTTGAAATCGCCGCACCTCCACCCCGGGCGAAGAAATAGGCGCAAGTGATCTTTGACTGTTTGTCTTCTTTCCCACGCTCGTACGCGTTCTTAGCGGAAGCCGCTAAGGAAGCCGAGCGAGAGTGAACCCACAGGCTGGTAACAACGTTTTACCAACTCGTTATTGACTTGCCATTGACGATCAAACTAAACCATAGATATACACGACCTTGGACGACACGGATCAGATCGGATGAAATCAATAGAGAATACAGCATAGACGAAGAACTGAGGACGAACATACCCTGCAGAGATCGGGTCGACCGGCTCATGCAGCATATATCCCTTGGCCACTGAGAATTGTTTTGAATGGGACGGGACATCTAGTTGGGGGACTATAGAGGTGATCTTTGGAATTGACCATTTTTCTTTGGTTTGATCAAACATGGAGGACCCAAAAGAATTAGGGACATTGATCGTTGTCGTGGGCAAAGCGGTGAGCCTTGTTGATGACTTGCTTTACTTTCTGGCAACTCATCTGATACCTCTGGATATCATAGCGCAACTTGCCAAACAAATCTCGGTTCGGCAAGCAGGACCCATTTTGTACAGTTCAATTCTTGGAGGACAAGAAGAGAACTCGGACCATCAAGCGGTGAGTATATTGTCCCTGATCGCGATGGTCGTGGTCGTTTCCTGATTTCATGCCCTCATCCATAGTGGCGGCCAACATCCCGAATGGGATGACGAACTCCGATTTACGATCATGGAGGAACTAGAGGACATACTCAAAGTATCGCGTTCCGAGTCTCTGGCAGACAGTACAGTCTCTTCGTCCGCTTCTCTCGCCTCCGTCGCTGGTCGAGATTCTCCAGCTGGAGTAACAACGGCTCAGGCTCTCGCCGCCAAGAGTCGAAGACCGTTCACCAAAAAGGGCGGAGGCAAGAATATGAGAGTCGCGTGCTATGCCGATGATCCAAAGGAGCCGGAATTGATTGGAGATTGTTATGTCCAGATTGATGAGGTGTTGAAGAAGGGAGAGGTGGATGGTGAGTGAGATGCTTTGGGAGGTCGCAGCACAGCGATTGATGGGTCTCCCGCAGAATGGTACGAATTCACATACAAGGAGAAATATGTTGGGGAGATCTATCTCGAGCTCACTTTCTACTCTAATGTGAGTTCTGGCTATGAAGACACCCTGAAAGTGCTTATATATCCTCTTGCTAAAGGACGCACCTCCCGTCAAGCGTAATGTCCCAAAACCCGCCGTCCACAATTATGGAGGCGCAGGCGTCTTCCATGATGGAACGCTGTCGACAAGTTCGTCCCTCAGTGGACGGCTAAGCGCGTCAGGTAGCGCATCCGGCATGAACCTCTACATACCGCCGTACGCGGCTCAACACGCCGTCAGTCCGCCAGCTGCTCACCCTCAATCTTATGGTTCCTTTGGTAATTTGGGTATACAGCCCGAAGGAATGAATGATCCTAATCAAGATTTCGCACCTGGCATGCCGGGATCTATCATGTCATCGCCTACGCCTGGTCCTTCAGCGACTATGTCTTCCTTAGACTCTCTGACCCGCCCCTTCTCTGCCATGTCATTTGGTGAATCGGCGCCTCCTACCCCTCCCAAAACGATAAATCCTTCTGCCAGTACGGTCGGCCTGAACCGACACTCACTAGGAGTCAGTGATGCTCCTTGGGTTGCTCTCCTCCCTCAGACGTCGAATAGCTCGCCTGCCCCTGTGTCCAGGCCCATGTCAACGAATGATGCTCTTCCATGGGAGCAAGCCAAACGCTTTGAAGACGAAAGACGCCGAGGTGGAATGACACCTGTTCCTCGACCTTTGACAGCGCAGATCAGACCTGGAGACACTATACCTGCTGCTCTTCAAGCTGGAGTCCCTCCCATCAGACATGAACACGCTCACAGCTTTTCATACTCTGATCGACCAATCGTCACTTCTCTGCTACATGCTTCCTCTCCGTCCCCGGCTCCTTTGGCAGCTTCCGCTCCTCCCATCGTGCCCAATGGTGTGCAATACCAGCACTCACCGTTATCCTCATTTGAGCGTGTGGCCTTGGCTCTGAACACATCAGCCCAATCATCACCTCACGGACAGGCTAGTCTCGCATCCCGACCCCAATCCCTACACGATCCTCTTCAGACGCCAATCGCGCCTTATCAACCTACGCCACCTCGTCTCGCCCAGGACTATCCTGCGCCGCCGGGCCCACAGAATCATTTCGGGGTCGGTGACTCTCGGACGGATGCCTATCAACAGCTATATGACCACCTTGATCCAACTGGAGCCACTACGCCAGCAGCGACATACTCTCATCAAATTCCCTCCATGCCTCAGACACCGCAACATCAGATCAATCGATCCTACACTCCCAGTTCTTCTCTACCGGGTTCTGCAACGCAACACACTACCCAGTATACTCCTCCGCCCAATCTTACTCCTCCACCTCAGCCTGTTCAACATGCCACTTCGTCAGGGAGCTATGTGCCCTGGTATCAGCAAACTCAATCCGCCCAGCAGAACGTGCAAGGCGGACCAGTCGCTCCGCCTTATCCGGAGACAGCTACACCCGGGGGTTTCAGCCATGTCAACGTCGTACCCCATCCCGCCTTTGGTCCCCCTCCTGTCCCTGATTATCGCCCTGCACCTACGCCTTCAGGCAGCACAGTCGGTCACGGGCAAGGTTATTATCCGTCGGATGAGCTATACGTCCGGTCAGCAAATGGAGGCTCTGAGGTGTATTCTGCAGCACCACCTGTTCGCCCCGGTCCGACACCATCGCCAGGTCCCTCTCGACATGTCTCTAGACATTCGTACCATGGCTCGCCGTCCACAATGGGGTATCAGGTCTCCTCTTATGCGAGTCAAAGTCCAACACCGCCACCGCCTCAAGGTCCGAGTGCATTTGATTCTCTCCATTCTTTCTCCCCTCCACCCATCCCTCAGAATAGACCGAGTGATTTCGGCCCATCGGCTAGAGCCCGAACGCCCCTCAACTCAGGACCTGCACATCCTTCATCACCTTTTCCGGACTATCGACCTCCTCAATCACCAGCTCCTCCTCCGCAATTACCGTACACACCCTCACCTCATCAGCCTTATGCTCAATCTCATTCGGCCCCTCCCCTCCCTCCACCCAGAACCCCTTCTCCTCTGCCCCCTCCAAGACCTCATGAATTGTATGCCACTTCGAGCGAGCCTCAGGTACCCATTAGCACCTTGAACCATCTTGGGCCTCTTCCACCCGCCAAATCTCCCCTTATCAACCATCATCATTCGCTGTCTGCTCCGCCTCAAGATGTCTTGCCGTCATCCAATAGACACAGCTGGAAATCCTACATGCAGGCTCTACCAACTACATCTCCTGCATCGCTGGCGGCGCACATCAGTGGACTCTCCGGTGCTCAGGTATCTACACCGATTCACGCGTATCCACCCACGGTGACGTCTAGGTCGGATGCAAAAGACATTGCTCAAGTAGCTGGACAATATGATCAATATGGTCAAGTGGGTATGCCAGGAGGCTTCGCGGCTATTGGAACCCCTCAAGGAAGTATGGGAAACTCTGCCAAGCCGCCAAAGCCGGATGGTTGGAGAAGTACGTTACCTGCTCAAGTCAATGGCCATCAGTGGAGTGGATGAGCGACGAATCGAACATGGGGGAATAAAGAGTCAGAAACGTCCGCATCGTGAAAGGAGCCATTATACTAGATGAGCCCTGCGAGTAATGCATTACGCCTGAGCTAAACCTTTGTCGGCGTCGGCGTCCGGGACATTCAGAACGCTGTTCTCCCCGTTTTTGTGCTCTGAATCAGTCCGACCTGAAGTGAGATAATAAATCAGCATGATCATCCGCTTGGATATCCACAGTTGAGAAGACTGACCTCGCTCATTTTTTGGACAAGGTTCGCAAGCATGAAGCTTGGCAAGATCAGCTACCCCGCTTGTATTCCTCGTCTCATCGATCGGCTTACTCGCAACCTCTCCTGGCAACCATATTGATTGTCACTGGGACCAGTTCTTCCCGCTCCGAGATGACGCTCATACTTGGAATTTGACCAATGGGTATCGTGATATCTACACAGCCTGCGAGAGGACAAAATGTGTCCAGAACTTTCTTTCCTCTGAGACATGGGACATCAGGTCGGTCCAGAAGCCACAGGAAGCGCTAGATGGCACCGACTCACTCGAGCGACGGGTTCGTATTTCCCAAGTCGCCAGTTCTGTATCTTGGTCGGCCGCCATACCCGATATCATAGATCAGCCTGCGGTGTCAATTCATCAGCTCTCGATGCGTCTCCGGTCATGACTGGATGTCATGTGGTCTGGTGGAGCTTACAGATTCTTGGAACAACGCTTCTCATGGTATCCCAGCAAGTCCTCATTGATGAATGAGGCAAATCGAGCAATGTCATCTTTCGCAGCTAGGTATTGTCCTTCGGTCACGTTCTGATCACGCGCCATGTGCCAAATATGCCGAATGTTAGGGTCCACTGGCGGTGTCCTGCCATCGTGTAATGCGCTATAGTCTTCGTAAAACCCCTTTCCATTATGATTCCAGGTATACCTGAGACCCCGGCTCAGGAGGAACGCTTGGGAGTGGCAGATGCTATCTCATAACTCACCATCCCCATGTCTTGGCATCAGCGAAGCCTGTATCAACCTGTTCCCAGGTATAGTTGGCAGCTGCCAAAGCTTTTGTCGCATTCCATTTCGAGACCTTCATATCGAGCAGAGACCCGAATTGTGTGATGAATTTCTCCACAACGGCGAGAGCTTTCGGTTCGTAGAACGACGCAAATTGGTCATCGACCAGGATCCGAGAAGGCCATTGATTGAACTCTGTGAAGTTCAACGGGGATTCGCCGTACCTATAGAACCGCTAGGCCATCAGAGAGTGGACATGCCGGCTTTTCGTCAGTTGTCACTCACCATGATTTCATTCCTTTGGAGAACAAGACTGGATCCCTAGCCAGCAGACCCGCTGTATCTTGCCTGTCGATCAATGGTACAACCGCGTCCAAGCTCAACGCGCCGTGGCTCGGCTCATCAAGTCATCAGCTGTGCATCCAGTATCTGAACGCGAACTGCTCACCCGATTACCGTACAGACCCACGATCGAGGCTGGTGCTCTGACAGAGCCTGCGTGAGTGATTCTCGTCAGCGCGTTCGAGTGATCGGCAAGTCCTTGATACCTACCACCAGTATCCGTCCCGATCGCAAGGTCCAGCCAGTCATACGCTCCCATGGCACATGCCGATCCCGAAGACGATCCCAAGCAGGTCTGCCACAGATCACCTCGTGCAGAGAATGGGCTGCAGAAGGGTCAGGGCGAGCGAGACAGAATCAAGGATGGGCTCACTATTGTTCGTCCACAGTGTCGTTGACCTACGAATGGTCAACACCTGGCTTCGTTATCACTCGGAGCCCACTTACTCCATGAGCGGAGCCAACAGCAAAACTAAAGTATAGTCAATTCAGGATCAACGAGGATTCGGATCAAACATACCTCGCAGTCTTGGTTTTACCTACGATCACGCCCCCAAGGTCAATCAGTCGCTGGATGGCAGGCGCGGTCACATTGGCAGCCCCATAGATTTTCCCCCAGGATCGACTACCTGCAGACGTCTTGACGCCCTTGATATCGTAGAGATCTTTGCCATGCTCAGCTTGTCCTCTGTCCGGCGAGCGAAACTCACCTTTGACACCGATGCGCTGCCCACAGACACCATCGTCCTCCAAGCACTGCTTGTAGAGTCTGGAAGGTAACGGGATCAGATTATACCCATCTTCGTCGACCTTGCGGAGGAGCTTGTAGTATCCTCCTTGCGTAGGGTACATGCCGAAGAGGAATGTGCGGAATGTGTCCGAGTAGAGTCTAAAGACGGGCAAGAGATCGGACAAACCAGAGACAGCATCGTATCGGGCGAGGTAAGGGCCTTTCAGACCCCTTATGGATGAGGGAATCTTTTCGTCAAGCTGGTGCCATCTACGGCCGCCCATGGTAGAGACTGAAGTCGGCTGGATTTCCGGATGGTGGAAGACGGTTCCAGAATTCAACTTGGCTTCGGCGAGCTTATGATGTTTCAGAGAGAGCTCCTCAGGGTCTACTCTCCGCTGACTATCTAAGGATGGCGTCAAGATGATTGTATCGAGCCACCAGGCTGTGAGGACATCGTCGCTTGAAAGGTACGAATTGACAATCTTGAGCAATTCAGCCGGCGAGATCATCGTATTGGACGGTCTGTCGATGATCGTAATGGCACTGTATTCCTGAAGGGGTGTGGGTAGAGCAGCCCTGGCCACAGGCAGATTGGGCGAGAAGTACTGATTACCGCCTAATTCGTACTGTTTTCAATTGAGCCAGAGGTCTGCAAGTATCCAGCAGCTTGAGGACTTACAAAAAGCTCTCGCTCATGTTGAAATCGAAAGATGGCAGAGTTGGAGACAGTGCTGTGCCCATATGCATGCTGCTTTGAATCCCATACTTTCTGGGTTGTGCCTGGACCGTGCAGTGAGGTGTCTTCAGCCAGTCCGTGACATAGGACATTAGGGACAAGCAAGACGACGAGGAGCAGCCGCAGCGAGATCATCGTCGACTGCAATCGGAGGCAGGTGGACTGACGGAGAACCAATGAATCTTGTGAGGCCTGTACCTAGATAAAATGTTGACCGGTATGGACTGGCTGGATCCCGGAGGACCTGGCGATCAGATCGGGATGATTCAAGAAGAAACCAATGATCAAATGATCAAATCTGCAGGTTCGCTGTGATCGTTATTTGAGGCTCGGTGCCATGCTGCTGGGTCAGGCGAAGCGGTGCTATCTCGTGCTATCATATGGGCTCTCCTCGCATGATGATGATGATTATAATGATCATCGTTAACGCCTTCCCCAGGAACCTTTCCTCCGCGCCCCGTCCCCACTTATTAACCGTTACAACAGAGATGGGATGGGATGCTCTTGATCCGGAATCTAAGGAAATCTCCGGCAGACCGGGAGGTGACGTAGTCTTTTGTTTTTATTCTTATTCCGTGAATCACGTGGACACCCTCCGTTGGAATAATTATCCACAAAGGTAAATCGTCTTCAAGTCTCTATTGACGCCGTGAACCCCGATCAGAACGCCGTGCGTCCCGTCTTGGTGCTCTTGAGCACGCCGCACTAAGACGAGTCCATTACATGGTGAAAATCCCTGGGAACAGTACGACTTACCTCGGCCAGCTGGGTTATGAGGTCGGCGACGACGAAACTGACAATGGTGTCGCTTTTCAGCATCCTTCTCTCTGTCCACGAGTATAGTATAGGGTGCAACTCACTCGCAGCCCTTGCGGGCAACGATGTCTACAGCGACTGGCAACATCTCCTCATGTTCCGAAATCAAGCTTTGGTATCGTGTCTGACCTATGGGCAGAGCTGTGTCTGCGCAGCCTGAAATCGTGGAGAACGGGGTGTATGTCTTTCGTCTCTCACTTCATGGTATCAATGCTCTGTAAGATGATGTTTGCGGATAGAGTCTACTCACACTGAAGGATCACCGAGTCCACTCTCCCTATAGAGAGGCACACCGTTGAAGAACGAGGGGTAGATAAAGCTGGGAGATTGGAATTCAGCCCGTGATTGGTTGACCTGACACTGGCATGGTCTCGCTACTTACAGACTCTGTGAGCAGCTGTCGTCATCCTCGACTAGTAGTTTGTCGTTGATAAAGGAGGTAAACCTCTCAACTTCTGAGACTGGCGCGAGATAACCTTCTTCAGTTATATTTCCGTGGAAACCTCTCTTGAAATGAGTACGAATGAGTGGATCACTAGCGGGCAGTCGTCCGTCGTTGATGGCAGCGTAGTCTGCGTAAAATTGTTTCCCGTTCCGATCCCAGGTATACCTGTCGAGGTGTGGTCAAGTTTCAGGTCAGTTTCAGCCAATAGACTGGCGACCTGCGACCTGCTGTACTGACCATCCAAAATGCTTGCTCTCCCCAAAGAATTCCGTCTGTATTCCGCCCCAGGAAAAGTTTTCAGCCTGAAGAGCCTCTGTCATATTGATAGGGACCACTGGGATGCCTAGCGCGAGGCTCGTCTCGTTGAGAAATTTCCTGACGATGACGTTGTGTTCGTCATTGAGTCGCTCCCCTTCATCTATATCTACGAGGATCTGCTTAGGTAGCTTGGGGTAGGATCTCAACTCCAACGGTGAATCCTCATACCTGTACCGTTACTCATCATTGTCTTCCAGAGACCTCGGAGAATGAGACTTACCATGATTTGATAGCCTTACTGAACGTGTCAGTGTCCCGAGCGAGGATTCCTGCTGTGTCCTGACGATCAATGAATGGCCGGACATTCTCAAGCGATATGGCACCAAAGCTCGGCTGAAGCAGAAAGTCAATCGGTGTAGTATTTGGATGATGAGACCTACTCGATTCCCATAAAGTCCAACAGCCGCGGCAGGACCACGTACTGAGCCTGAGATAGAACGTAAACGGGACGTACGTTGGCGACTCTGAGGAGCTCACCACTTGTGTCAGATCCGACGGCAAAGTCCAGCCAGGGGTAGGCTGCCATGGCGCACGCCGAGCCCGATGAGGATCCGAGGCAGGTAAGCCAGCCATCGCCACGCGGGCTGAAGGGACTGCGAGCTGTCAACCACGATCGCGTGAAAGAATCACTATTGCTCATCTACAGTCTCATTGTGCTGTTTGAACCGTCAGAAAAGCTTTGGCACCGCTATGGTGATACGTACACCCATCGATCCCACTGCGAAGCTACACGAATCAGCCGGGCACAGATCTGAGTGACCCACCTGGCTGTCTTCGTCTTGCCGACAGCAAGTCCACCGAGCTCGATGAGCTTTTGCACCGCAGGAGCGGTGCTATTGGTTTTACCGTATAGCTCGCCCGATAGCCTACTTCCTGCTGAAGTAACGAGACCTTTGATATCGTAGATATCTGTTTTGATTTTCAGCTGGATTCAAGCGTCCCAGCCTCACCCTTGACACCTATTCGGCGGCCGCAGACTCCGTTGTCCTCCTCCTCGCACTTTGCATAGAGTCTCGATGGAACAGGAATGAGGCTGTAGCCCTTGTCATCGACTAGTCTCACAGCGCGGTGCGAGCCCTCGAGGGAAGGCACTGAACCATAGACGAAAGAGCGGTAGTTGTCTGAGTATAGTCGGTAAACCGGCAGGATCTTGGAGGAGCCTCCTGGATACCCGCCCCTCACTAGGTATGGGCCTTGAAGCCCCTCCAGTCTCGACATATCCGAAGCAGAGAGCCTTTGCACCGAAGCCAGTCCATTTTCGTTTGCGAGAAGGTTGGTATCATCCCCAATGAAGATATTCTTGATCCCAAACTCGGATTTGAGAGCAGACATGTCGGCGTTATTGAGCTCTATAGACAGCGTAGCAGCGCCACCTTCGCTTGCTCGAGTGAGAATGACATTCTCGAGCCAGGACTTGCTGAGGACGTCGTCTTGATTCAGATGGTTGTTTATGACCCTCGATACGTCATCCCGTGTGAGGGTCCCAATGCTGCTTCGAACCGGAACAATATGGACTGGAGCGTAGGATGAGTTCAGTTTGAGAGAAAGATCCGTCACCACCGGGATATTCGGCGAATAGTAAGGGATCCCACCGATATCGTACTACGTAGATGAGCCAGATTGCTGCTGAAGTCGGCTCACCTGGACCTCATCATCATGACGAAGCTGGATAGAGCTCGATGTCTCACTTAGTGGCCCCTGAAAGGTCTCGCTAGACTGTAATACTCTCTGAGACCCCACATTCGAGTTCACAGCGAGACCTTGGACCAAGTTGGAGGTGATCAAACCAGCCGTGATTGCGCTTCTGGCACTTGACAGCTTCATGTCGCTGGACTCCTGCGGCTGTCGTGACTTTCAAGGCTGACAGGATTTGACCTGAAGGCTGGTAGCGTCTCATCCTGTCGTGCCCCCCCTCTTAATAAGCTCCTCGCTCCCTACACAAATCCTTTCTCCTAGATCAATTACCATAAATCTATCGAGAACGCCGATGGGCCGGAAATGACGTGGTGTTTATGTTTCATGCTCACTGATAAAGCCCGGTGGTCATTGACCCGCGTAGTAGTTATGGTACAAGGCCAAAGCGGGCATTCGTCAATTGACTCGTCTAGGCTTGCTTCCTCCTCCAAGAAGCTGAGAGTCACTCCATCATGGCGTCGTCAATGCGAGGACTGACACAGGTGAGCATGGCTAGCCCGAGCTACAACGATAAACAGTTGCCATTGCTTGCTGATGCCCCACCGCCCTTGCTCAGTACATCTCGGACCTTCGAGCATGTCGTGTCAGAGAGTTGGAAGAGAAGCGCGTGAACAGGGAGATGGCGCACATCAGGCAAAAGTTCAAAGATGGCAGTCTCGACGGATATCAGAAGAAGAAATACCTTGCGAAGGTAGTCTTCACCTATATCCTCGGGTACAAGGTGGACGTTGGGCACATGGAAGCCGTCAACTTGATCAGCTCGTCAAGGTACAGCGAGAAGCAAATAGTGAGGGTAGTGACGTTAAGCTCCGTGATCGAATGCTCATGCGGATCGCAGGGTTACCTCGCCCTCACCCTCTTGATGCACGAGCATTCTGACCTGGTGCGGCTGGTGATCAATTCTTTACGGAAGGATCTGGACGACCCGAACGAGATCTACAACTGCTTAGCTCTGCATGCCATCGCTAATTTGGGAGGCAAAGAGATGGCCGAGGCATTGAGCGATAATGTGTATCGAGCCATGATCAGCCAGTGAGTAGTCTATCGGTCAGGTAAAGGTCGCGATGTCTGAGCAGTATCACCAGAACTTCGACCATCTTCGTCAAAAAGAAGGCGGCTTTGACTCTGCTCCGACTCTATCGGAAGCACCCTTCGGTACTTGATGCCAGAGATTGGGCAGATCGTATAATAGGGATGATGAACGATCCTGAACCCGCAGTCGCATTGACCATTGCGAGCTTGGTGACTGCCATGGCTCAGGACAATCTTGATGCCTTCAGAGGATGTTATCAAAAAGCGGTCAAATGGCTCGACAGAGTAAGTCTGTGTCGGCTTCGACTAATGCTCAAGATGCTGAAGCAATCGCAGATTGTCTTCGATGGCGATTGCCCGTCCGAATACATCTACTACAAAGTCCCGAATCCCTGGCTACAGATCAAGCTTTTACGCTTATTGCAATATTACCCACCGCCCGACAATATCAAGACCATCGACATGCTCAACGGCATCCTGCAGGCGATCATTGATGCCTCCCAAGAGACTCCACGGGTGAGTCCACACAGTCTACACAGTGCTCTATCCGGCTGATCATCTAGAATGTGCAACACAACAACGCTCAAAATGCTGTTTTGTTTGAAGCTATTAATCTAGCTATACACCTGGACCCAGAATCCGCAGTCGTCTCGAGTGCCTCTATCTTGCTCGGTCGCTTCATCCTGGCGAAAGAGACAAATGTCCGGTATCTCGGCCTCGAGGCCATGGCGCATCTCGCAGCCTGCTCGAGCTCCCTCGAGCCGGTCAAGAAGCATCAGGATACCATCATTTTGTCACTGAAGGACCGAGATATCTCAGTCAGGAGGAGAGCACTGGACTTGCTATATTCAATGTGTGACACCACGAACTCCAAAGTTATCGTAGGCGAACTGGTCCGGTACCTCCAAGTCGCAGATTACAATCTGAGGGAAGAGATGGTGTTGAAAATTGCCATCTTGACGGAGAGATTCGCCACAGAGGTACGCTCCAATACACCCGGTAAACGATTGAGCTGATTCGCGAGCAGTATGAATGGTACGTCGACACCATCCTGCAACTCATTTCGGCTGCTGGAGATCATGTCGGCGACGAGGTCTGGTACCGTGTTGTCCAACTCGTCACGAACAATGAGGACCTACAGCCATACGCAGCTGGAGCAGTCTTCCAGCATCTACAAGCTGCGACCTGCCACGAGACGATGATCAGAGTCGGCGGTGAGTATTGAATATCGAGAGTATCGTTTGGAAGAGGCTCAATCTGGGTCAGGGTATATCCTCGGCGAATTTGGTCATCTAATCGCCAATGAGCAAGGTTGCAGTCCGATCGAGCAGTTCCAGGCCCTTCATTCGAAGATCAATCTGTGCACTGCACCAACTCGAGCTCTCCTACTGACGACATATATTAAAGTGAGTTGTTACCACTGCAAGGGGCCAATCTAACTCTCGTCAGTGGGTCAACCTTTTCCCCGAGATCAAGGACCATCTCATGAATATTTTTGAACGGTACACACATGTACTGGATGCCGAGCTTCAACAACGAGCCTGCGAGTATCTCGCGCTGGCTGGACGTGGAGAAACGGACGATCTCTTGTCCACGATTTGTGACGAGATGCCCGTCTTCCCGGAACGCGCGTCCGCTCTCGTCAACCGCCTACATAAGAAGGGAGAAGAGGCACAGGATAAGAGGACATGGGTCATTGGCCACTCGACAGAGAACAAGGAGCGGGAGTCGGAGCGCTTCAAAGCTTTCCGCAAAGGCCAGGAGGATGCCAAGCACGCTATGGAATCTTCTGCTGCCGCTCCTGCAGTGGCTGAGAGTTCTCAGAACGGATCAGCAAACGGCCAGAGTCGTACGCAGAAAGGAAGAGCGGCCAGTGTCGGCCCAGAAGATATGATGGGCGTTGGGCCGGGAGCCAATGGCGGCGAATCGGACGTTATGACTTCGTTGGCTGATCTCGATCTGTCCGGTGGCAACGATACCCATGGCGTGCAGAACGAGCCGTTAGTTCCGCACAGACAGGGCACCACCTCCTCACTGCCTGAAGGCAGCAATGGCACCCCGGAGACCAACGGGCCGCCCGATCCAACGATGAAGCATATTGCAACGCTGGGAGGTGTTGCTCCATCGCTCTTGGCACCATTGACAGTGGCTCCAAAGATTGACAAAGTGAGTGGTATCGGCTCGAGACTCTGGACGGCATATTGACCTTTCTTTATAGTGGCTCGAAAGACTCACATATGCACCTGAAGGGGTTTTGTACGAAGATGATCATATACAGATCGGTTGCAAGACTGAATTCCACGGGGCTCTGGGTCGAATCGCACTGTTCTTCGGCAACAAAGTCGCTACAGCCATCACCGATATCACTATGACGGTCGAATATCCCGAGGGGACCCTCCCAACCGCTATCTATGCTGCTTTCCACGACCAACCAGTGAAGGAAATTGCCGGTCGAGCTCAGGTGCAAGAGCTCATACATGCCGAGTGCAAAGATTTCTTCTCAGAACCCCCCGTCTTACGGATGACATACCTCGCCAACTCATTCACAACCTTGGTTTTGAGACTGCCCATGTTCTTGAGTAGATTCATAGAAGGAGTCAGCCTGGAGCAGGCAGCATTCTTTGAGCGCTGGAAAATTATTGGAGGTGAGCTGCAGAGTCAGAGCACTGTGGGAAGCTCACGAGACCAGGACCACCGAGAGAGGCGCAGAAGATCTTCCCTATCAAGTTGACTCCAGCTGGCGAGGTGGACTTGGCGAGAAATGCCAAAGTCATGTCCGGGAACAGATTCAAGATCTTGACTGGGATAGATCCAAATCCACTCAACGTGAGTTGGAATATGAAGCTCTCTAGGATGAATTTGCTCATGCTTGTCCAGATTGTCGTTGCAGGCGTGCTGCACATGTCTGCAGCTGGAAAGGTCGGTGTCCTCGCTCGACTTGAACCCAACAGGGATGCCAAGATGTGTCGATTAACGGTGCGGAGTACCAACGACCAGGTGTCTGCGGAGCTGTTGAACCTGGCTTCTAAGCCTCTCAATACAGACACCGCGACGTCTATTTGAATGGAGAAGGCTATAGCGGTGGATCACCTGGCTAGGCCATCATGATCTTGATGTCTTTTTATACGTGATCCAATGACATGGTGTTGTATCGATGGGACATGGGCCGCTGGAATGCATATCATTTCACTGGAACCCCCCGCCAGCGAATTTCGGATCCGAAATTAGCCAAATCGTCACTCGGCAGGATCATTGAGCAGCTCTTCCTGATGAATGACACTTGACGGACTGACTGACAGATTGTTGCTCACTGGGGCAGACACAGCGATTGTCGTAGAGACTGACACATCATACTCAAGATGTCTAGGCGCCAACAATTCGATACGTCCCTTAGTGGATCCACGGCAAAGGACGCCCAATCAACGACTAGCAAACAATCGATGAGCCAGAAACCAGTCTCGACCAAAAAGCAGCCTGTCAAAGGAGGTCCTGCTATCACCGTTTCATCTCAGAATCGAGCAGAGTCAAGCAACATGAAGCCTTCCGGAGATCCTGAGGAGCCTAAACCTTCTGTCGATAATTCTGATGCTGAGGACATTGTGGATCAAGATACTTGCTTTATCTGCGCTGAACCGATTACATTTTGGTCTTCTGGAATCTGTGGCCATAGGACATGCCAGTGCGTGACACCATAGCTACTCTACTGCGGCTCAAGATGCTTATGCAAGCTTTCAGTGTTTGTGCCATCCGTCTGAGGTCATTCTACAAGTGAGACTTCAATCGAGAGGTCCTAAAGGAAGGGCATTTCGCTGACACCATATCTCAGGAAATATGAATGTACATATTGCAAGACAGTCACTCCTTCCCTACTCTTCTCTCGAACATCCACGGCTCCATTCCCAGCTGAACATCATGTACAACCTTCTCCAGCTGCAAGAATACAGGCGGCAATGGATGGCGCGGACAAACTGCCAAAAGGGCAACAATGGTTCAAAGGCTTGACTTTACCTGGAACTTTGGACGTCGAAGCTTTTGAGCATCACGATGTCAAGCTTGGCGTAGTCTTCGAAGATGAGGACATGGTAGGGTTCTAAAATCTCGCATCGCTAGCAGCGCTGATCACCGCGCTGTCCCTCTTATAGATGGAAGCCACGCTACTTCTCCTCCGGTTCAATTGCCCAGCACCCGATTGCGCGCACATGGCAACCGATTGGCAGGCTTTAGAGAAACATACCCTGGCAACTCATGGCACAGTCATCTGTCGCTTGTGCCGATCACAGTTGCATAGATTCGCCCATGAGCAGGTCCTCTATCCACCGCACTTACTACCGTACCATGATCCTAGTCGATTGAAACGTGGCCAGGCATTACCGAAGCTCAGGAACAAGAAGGAAGTAGAAATGGTCAAGTCTTGGGAAGCTCCTCATCCACTGTGCGAGGTCAGTAAGGACGGTGTGAGTAGATTCACTGGCTGACCCTGTGCCTAGTTCTGCCACGAGGCGTTCTTCGGTACCGATGAGCTGTTCAAGCATATGAGAGATCGTCATGAAGAATGCTTCGTGTGCAAGGAGCAAGGTCAAAGAGATGTCTAGTGAGGGTCTCCAGCGAGGATAGTGCTAGGTCGCTGCTGATGGATAAATAGCTTTCAAAATTACAACAAACTCGAACAGCATTTCAAGTGAGTGACCAGCAACGCCGGTGCTTTTCCTCTTGCTGACGATTTTCAAGACACGATCATTTCCCGTGCAATGAGCCTCAGTGTGTTGAGCAGAAGTTTGTCGTTTTTGGCAGTGAGATGGACCTACGGGCGCATACCATCGCACAGGTGAGACCCCGCCTGACCCCTCTCAAGTTCCCGCATGGCTCACCCAGAGGTCAGCACGGCGGGAACATGACGTCTCGAGATCGGGCTCAGGCTCGGACTCTGCATGTTGATTTTCCGTCCTATGGCGATGATCGTCGGCCAGGTCCATCCAGCAATCGGCCTGATCGGCACGGCAGAGGTTTTACAATCCAAACTACGCAACAGGTTGGAAACCTCGTTGGAGGGGACGGTCGACGCGATGGCGGCGTACACGGACAGCATTTATCCTCCAATGTGCCAATGGCTCCGGAAGCAGCTGCTCAGCAGGCCAGACAGCAGCAGACCGATAGGGCAGAAGACAGTCGCCGTCGAAAGGCGTTCGTCACCTCCTTAACTGATGGAACCGAGCGAGATGGAGACGGCTTCGGTACCGCTAGGAACGTTGAAGGTGGCTCGCGAAGTGGATTTGCAACACCCAGAGAGGATGTAGATGACGCCAGTGCTCAGTGAGATCGACTTTCCACCGTCACGGAGAGGAATGAGCTGACCCGCGCCTTGCCTAGACGCCACGCAGCGCTCCTATCACGAGTGACGATGCTTGTCAACGAGTCCACAGTCAAGTTGTCTTCGTTCAGAAGCGCGGTTCGTCAGTTCCGAAATAATGAGTCTACGGCAAACGATATGGTGGATACCATATTCCATGTGCTCGATCGCGACGTTGACGCTACGTCCAGTGTGGTCAGGGAGGTAGCGGGGCTTTTTGATGGACCGGAGGAGCAAGAGAAGCAGTCAGCAATCTTGGAATCTCTCAATGCTTTCAGGGTCAAAGTAGGTTTAGCGGGGTGTCAACGTCCCGATACTACACTAATACCCTTCAGCAACAAGAACAATTTCCTACCTTGCAGGCTCCGGGCGGTCTAGGATCAAACTGGGCAGGCATCACCTCTGGCAAGATTCTCAATGCGAAGCGCACGACACATACCGCTGGACGAGGCTCCTCGTCTCAGCATGTCTGGGATCGAGTGGCTGCAGCGGCTTCATCCTCCAATCGTGGACCCACGGCAAGGGCCACGACAGGCATCAACGGTCGATACATCCCCGGCTCGGCTTTGCCCCTGGCATCCGCGTCAGCCTTCCCAGGACTCTCGTCGGCACCTTCAGCAGTTCAAGCTCGCAATCCCGGTTCATCGACGTACTCTACTCCTTGGTCTTCTGGTGGTGCAGGCTCTTCATCGCGTGCTCCGACAGCCCTTGCCGGGCCTCAAATCACCTCCGTCAATTACCCCGTCCCTTCCGCATCTAAAGCCAAACCTCCGAGTCAGAGTGCGTTCCCCAGTTTACCTACAAGCAAGCCTAGCATGACGAAAGCGGAAAGAGAGGCATTATTTAAGAAGCCCGCAGCGAGAGAAGTTGGAGCCTTTGATTCGAGCAAGCAAAATTGGGGACCTGGTGGATCAAGTTTGGACGTGACCGAAGGGGTGGACGCGATGCAGATCGAAGACGGAAATTCCGGTGGAAGTGGAGGAAAGAAGAAGAAGGGCAAACAGTTGCTTTTCCAAGTCAGTGCGAGGCCATAAGTCATTTCGCGGGCCGCATCCAAAGTCTCAGATATTCTATGGACTTAGTTCAGGGAGTTGAAATGGGCATGACTGGTCAAACAGATGGGCATGACCTTGAGACGGATGACAGGGGTCCAAATCTATCATTATTATATCTATACTATTTGCCATGCTGAGGTGTCAAATAGTGACTGAGTCTATAAGAATGCTCATGATCGCTCCTCATGGAGGATTTGGGGGAAAGTCTTACCGTCTACGAGCTCCTTGACCTTGTCCTCGACCTTGTGGCTACGGGCGGATGCACTCATCAGTACACGGCACCCTGTCCTTTCACCCAAGTCCGCTTACAAGTCGAGGAACTGGACGAAGGGGATCTCATTCCGTGTACAGTAGACCATGAGATCTGATTCTCCATCCGCGCGCTCTTTCGCGAACAAAAGGTCCGCATGTTTCGCAGCAGAAAGGTCTGTGGGTGATCAGCAACCCTATGGTTCCTGGCATCCTTGAATCTCGGGACCCACCAGAAACGCCATCACCGCAGAACACTAAAACGGGAGGTTTGTCTAGATCCCGATACGGTAAGATAGCCAATGACTTGTCGTGTCCGTAGTGAGACTCTGGATGTCTGAAGACAAGCTCCCAATGTCCTTTGGTGCCTTTGCCCTCGGGGTCTGTGAATTTCACATCGTTTGCTATGATGTCGATCTCTTTAGCAGCTTCTGGCATGTGTTTCGATAAAACGGCCCGGATGATGGGTGCCATTCCGCTGAAGGGGGAGCGAGGCAAGATGTCAGTCGGGAAGCAATGGTCAGGACAGCTGTGTGGTGACTCACCTCGAAACGATGACGACTGGAACGCCGTTCGAGCTGCACCAGTTGTAGAATTTTTCAAACCCCGGGTCGAGGTTGATATCTGCACCAGGGTGGGCAGGTCAGCTTGAAGCATGTAGACTCAGTATGAAAGCTCTCACGTTCGGCCAAAAACTCGACGCATTCGTCAAATGAGTGCTTTGCGGCTACGGAGCTGATCTGCTCAATGAAGGAATCTCTGAACCCAATCTTTTCATTCAATACGTCCAGATTGTACCCTCGGCTGCACGAGTCAAGAGTCAGCACGCTTATCTGCCTTGCTCAGCAGAGCTGGCATACCGCTTGTCTGGGCCCTGAGTAAAACGTTAAATTTAGCTCATCGTACCTTGCGCCGACGGTGATGGACCCACAAATCCCAGGTTGTCAGTGAGATAGTCGTTGCTATCTCTGTCGGTGATGGTTCCATCCTGCAAGTTGATCAACGTAGTTTGATTTTTCGAGTATCGCACTCACCCAATCAGACAAGACAACCACTTTGGCTCCAGTTTTGAGAGGAGGGTATTCGAACGGTGACATGCTGATGTAAAGCCCGTTGTATATGTTACAGGTTCTATTGAGCTGAGCGGATGGAGTGAAGGTAGCCGTAGCAGCTCCGACATTTTTGACCCGCCGATCTATCGGACCGAAGAAAAGTCAGACGCCTCAGCGATCCACCGTGGGAAAATAATGTCCGACCGTCGCGTCGCGAATATACAGTTAGTCCAAAGATCTGGGTCCTCAAAGCTGAGCTTTCAAGACATTGCTCGAATATACGTCAGGCAAGTTAGACAATATGCGAATCCATCTCTCTGTCAATTCTCACCAGCTTGATCCTTCTTCCGGAGCTGGCCCATCTTCTGGACCGCTAGCCAAGATAGGTGGTGAATTGGTCTTGATCGAACTGCAAGGTGAACTATCGTGGGAGGGTGAGCAATCTGGAAAAGTTGTCGGGGTCCTTGGTCTTGACCGACCGGTGAGCATGGCGTGAGATCCCTTTACGATATACTGATCGAAATACGACAGGACAAGCCCACTCTGCACCTTGGAGAACACCACTTGCTACATGGCAAAATCACAACTCTGCAAAAGCCATACGCTGTCATTAGGAGACAGCTCGAGACCGTTCCCATGGACGATGAAGAAGGAGACAGAGCTAATCAGAGCGATGATGGCGAGGCGGCGGATGATGACCACGACGATGAAGATGATACGACACCTGATAAGAAATTGCGATCGAAACATGGACAAGGGAACGATGATGAGGAAGATGAAGAAGACGAAGAACCTCTGTTCCCCCTTTCTGATCCAATTCGTACACCCCATCATACCGGCGCACCTCCATCCAGTAGTCCGATCTACCCTCCAAGCGTGGCTCGCGATTATTCGTCCGAGTTGGGCTTTTCAAGTCCAGCTCGATGGGATGCAGAGGATGAGCAGGAGGACGAGGATGAAGAAGCACAGACGACAAGAGCTGCGCTAGAAATCCAACGTTTAACTGCCCAGAAGCGGAGGGGTAAGCGGAAGAGGGGAGAAAAGCAAGTCCGGACGAAACATTACGAAGTCGTCGGGGTAGTCTGGAAAAAGGTTGTCTTTGCGTTGAGGTGAGTAAGGCCAGACCGACATAACTGAGAGCGAATAACAGGCCTGAGCCGATAGTGACTGCAACTGTCTTGCCCGAGTGACGACGCTCTTTTGCATTTGTATTATGTTTCTGTATCCGAGAGCAACTCTGTATGTGCGGGATAACCCTTCGCCCTACACATGATTGTTCATGGCTTGACCTTGAGATGCTCAAACACAATTGGGAGGGTGCTTCCATGCCACTGTCCTTTCATTCTGAACGCTGCGTATAATAGACAGTACTGACTACGAACAAATCGACTGCACTGTTTCAAATGCCTCAGACTTCCCTGCTCTCATCAACGTTGACAATCAAGGCCGCGAACCATCGCACTTCTTCTACGAAGCTTTTAGCAGACTGATAAGAAGAGTCAGATGGATACAACACCCTCGAGCCATTTCATTCGACTCACCACTGATTCGTCGACGGTGTGAGCATTGGTGGGGAACGATGGATCATCAGGAGGGCTGTAAGCAAACCTGTAAATGTTTCGAGTGAGATTCCAGTATCGCTTGGTATCAGTGTTCTATTGTTTGGCATCAGTGACATTCCTGTGTAGCAAGACTCTGATGCTGCGCTCACTCCTGTAGACATGGAAGGGGAGAAGTAGAGCTCCTTGGCAGCTTCGACTTCGTTCAAATTTGCCCCAGGTCGACTGGAGTAGATCCCTCGACTAGTGCCGGCCAGCAAACGCCAAGCAGCATCCTCAGTCGTGAAAGGACTAATAGGAGCGGGGTTGAGCCTGGGGAAAGTCAGATCAGCTCATGCGGATGAGGACGACATACGAAGAGTTGAAAGCTTCTGCCAGGATGACCTTTCCGCTTGGGTTCGCCATCATGTATGGGCATCCTTTCAGCTCAATATCCTTGCCGAAAGCTTCGAGAGCCAGATTATATTCCTCAGCGACGGGTGACAAGGTCTTGATGAGGTGTTGCTGCAATTCTTCAACACTGGAGGCGATGTTGATTCGGTGGTTGACAACTGTAGTGACGACCTCGGGCTGGGAATGCACATGAGCCCAGTCCGCCAACATATCCACAACCACTCACCAGAGCATTGATCTTGAGTCCACCGTTGATGATATCGATAGCCTGGGTAGTACTGACCATCGCCTTGCCAAGGCCTCTGGGAAGCGAGTGGTCTTCAAGGCTTCCACTAACGAACCATTCCTCGACATCCTTAAGAGCCTTGGTGTCCGCCTTGGCACCCTTTTTGCTCATCGACTTCTCGAGCTTGCGCACTGACTTTTTAAGCTTTGTAGGCATCTCAGGCGCAGTGTTGGCGTAGCAGACCATTCCAGAGACAAGGGGACTAGACTCGAGGAGTTTTGGTTTGTGAGGGTTCCGCTCGAGAGCACGGACCAGCTCGGCGGTGTAGCCAATACCAGAGTGCTCGGCTGGAAGTTACGTGAGTCAGATGCACGCTACCCTGGTGGCACTAGCAACTCACGAGGGACTGAGCTGTGTCCTCCCTTTGTTTGGACGGTAATTTCCACATCGAGATAGCCCTTCTCAGCGACCGCAGGAGCGGCATAAAGCTGAAGTCAGTCATCGTAGCATGACAGCTTCCTCACCTGTCCCCACATCTCGTGAAGTCCGTTGCCTTCGTCGACCAGCATAGCCATGGAGTCTTTGCCGTATTTGGCTTCGATCCAAAGCCCAAGGTTGTAAGCTCCCTGACATGAATGGTCAGCGTCGGGTGAGTGCTTCGCTAATTTCGAGCAGTGAAGGACGAACCACCTTTCCACCAGTCTCCTCATCGATGCCCAGCGCCAGAACGACAGTTCGCGAAGGGGTAAATTTGCCAGATTCAAGGAGCAATTCGATGGCGGACCTGGCGAGCAACTTGCATCAGGTGGAATTGCCGAGGTGCGAGCATGCTCGACTCACATCATTCCGATGACTCCTGACTTGTCATCGGCACTACCACGTCCCCAGATCCTTCCATTCTTGGCATCGTACTCGCCGCCGAAGGGATCGTGACTCCACAGACCTCGAGTTGCATTCAGGACAGGGACGACATCTTTTAACATAAGCGATGGCCTAACTCTGAGCCTCTGACCCCCTTACCTTGATGTCCGGTCAAAAGCAATGGCTTTAGGTCTGGATCTGAGCCAATCCATTCGTAGATCAGGGCATGGGTCATGACTCGAGTTCTCTTGAGGTGCTGGTGGCTTCAGACCTGGTCAGCATCTGTTCGGTTATCCTAGGCATTCCAACTGACATTAAGGGGTATGCCTTCTCAAGATCTGTGGTTTTGTCATGAACATCATAGCATGGAAGAAGACGTTGTAGATATGACTCACATTCTGCATGTTTGTAGAAGATATCCCATCGGGGGTCCTCACCGACCTCTCCCATGACATCGAAGATCTCAGTCGGGATACGTACCGAGCCTCCGAGCCATTCAATGATTCGGTCATCCTGCCCTTCGACAAGAGAGGAGACGTCAAGGCTCTTGGGCAAGATAGGCTCTGCCTGTTGACATCCAGAGGAACCTGCATCCTTGTGATGTTTGTGCCCATGTCCAAAGATTTCGGTCGACTCGGAGATGATTTGGGGGATCGAACCGAATCGGGCAAGTAGGAAGATGGCAGTGATGGCCAGCAGTGGTCGATACCATTGCTTGTCCTTCTTCTGAGGCTGAGTAGACGCCGTGGGCAGCGAAGAGTACTCTGCAGAGGATCCCATTTTCGATGTGAGACTCAGCGATGTACTGCGATTGATTGATGATAAGGACCTTATGCCCCTTAGAGGGGAACATGCGACAAGCGGGCGGAGGGTCCGAATGTATCGGATTTGGGCGAAAAAGCCGGAACGGACATCGCCGAATGCTGCGCGGCTGGTTGGCGGGTATCGCCGCCTGGTTGAAATCGTCGGACGTGTGGCAGAATCCTTTGTGAGGATGAGGATCTTTTGAGGTGATGGGCGAGATAACGGAAAGGTATAAGCGATGTGACTTGAGTCAAGGGGGTTAGTGGTCTCTATCATGCGTCTAGTGTAGTCAATACACAATGCTAGACCGCCTACCGTTTGAGATACTCGCCGCCATTCTGGACGGGCTGAGCTCTCAGGACTTGACTCATCTGAGCCTGACCGACAGGTGCCTCTCCGAACATGCAGAAGTCAAGTTGTTCTCCTCAGTCAGGCTTTGCAGCTCAGGTCTCGAAAGGGATGTGGATCTTTCTGTTGGATACAGGAGACCTTGCGGTCTCATCAAAAAACTTGTGCAGTATCCCATCAAGGCCAGTCACATCCGAAAGCTCGAGCTGGTGATCTCACCCCAGGACTTGGATTCGCGCGTGGCCATGCTTCTTCGTGGCTGTGGTCGTCACCTCCGGGAGCTCGAATTAAGCGTGACGCTTGGTCCCGTGGAGGTGAAAGTCCTTAATACGATATTGGACGAGAATACCTCGGATCTTCCACAGCTCACTCATCTCTCGCTTCCGCTGTCGCTCCTAGGCACTTCACTGTGCAGAGATCTGTTGAAGAAGACACCTAGACTCCGCCATCTGATTCTCAAGCGGATTAAGTCTAGTTATCTGACCAACTCGGATGTAGGGCAGTCTCCCTCTCAGAACATGGCTTCGACAAGATTGAAGATTGTCTGTATCACCGAATTGACATTTCTAGACTATGAGAGCGTGTCAAACCTTTTCACCACTTCTAAAAGCATTGAGCGACTTGAGATTACCTCGGGCCTCGCTGTCAATGACACACCACCCTGGAGAGAACTCACTGAAAAGATCCGTCAACTGCCGAGTCTGAGCCATCTGACTGTGGAACTGGGCAGGCCTTGGAGATGGGAGACGGGAGGATTCAATCAATTACGGGACCTGACCCTTCAAAGACGATACGATGGTTGCTATGTTCCTTCGCTGCAGGTAAGTGCAACGTACGGAGCGAAGAAGCTCGCCTGATGCTCCGCCAGGACTTGGCCATTCCACCTCTCCCAAACCTGGAGATTTTGCGTTTTGTCAACACAAGACAGACCTCGTCCAATCCCTATTTCTGCTGTCAGCATTCGCGTCAGTCGACGCCGCCCGCGATTCAGACTGTAGAGATTCCCTCAAGCATCCTTGGGAATATTCGAATGGCTCCCAGACTTCACAGGATCGAACTTCACACGGTCCTACCGAGGCTCAATCTCGGATGCTGGACTGAATCCCCTGAGATGATGGAAGAAGCGGTCGTTGAGTGCATCAGAATTCGGTCAGTGTCCACGCCGGGACGCTTTGAGCCCATATTTTGGTGTCGGAACGATTCGCACGTTCTTCTGCGGACCGATGGAACAGTCAGACATCTCAAAGACCGTGTGGCGCAAGACTGGATCAGCATCGCAGGTCAATCCGCAAAGCAACGAGTCGAGATTCTGCCAGATAGAATCAGCGTGTCAGCTTGGATCAAAGATGAAAGGCAGGTGATCGTGCCCATGGATGTGTGGGAGCTTCCGTCCGGCTAGCAGTCGATGGAAAGCTAGACCAAGATTAAAATGCATGTATGGTACCGTAGCCTGCGGTAGATAGTTGTAGATGGGGCTGGGGGATTGACTGATCGGTATGATTATGCGTATACAGCTTATGAGTCTTCAATCCTCTGAGCCCTGGGGCAGAGGGGAACCGAGCCTGTCAAAAGACTTCCTGGTGGTTCGTGCTCCGTTCGACCTTGCTGTCGGAAGCTGTCTCATGAATCCGTCTCCCCACGATGCCCCGTCGATTGACCCAGAATTGCCGCCGGCTCAAAGAATGAAGGAGCTGAAGCATCCTTCACGGATACCTGTGGTGCGTTTGGTAGCTGTTGAAATGGGATTGACCGGTCTGCCTCGATAGGATCCGAGGGAATGGTCGGACTTTCATCTAGTGCCGCAGGTTCTGGCTGGTGCATCAGGGGTACAGGTTCGTCTGGTATCTCCGCCAGGTCTCTAGCTGCCAATGAAGGCGTCCCCAAATCAGGTGGAGAGATCTTGGGAGCAGTAGGAAGTGGGATAGAAGGGGGTGGAATGGGAACTTGATGATTGAGCAGAAACGTCGCTTCGAGATATTGGGGCTTGGCTGAATCGGCTTCCGAAGGTAGATGGGTATCCGAGGTGAGAATCAAGGAAGAGCCTGAATGCTCCGATTCCTGTCGCTTGGGAGGTTCTGGGACGTCGGTACTTCTTGAAGACTCGCCAGCGGACGGACCCAAAGATTGCATCTGACTTGAAAAGTCAAAGTAGCTAGGTCCAGCAACAGTGCTCTTGAATCCTGAATCATGTGAGCTTGGCACTTTCGAGCCATGGATGATAGGTGACTCTGTCGCCTTCGGCTCGCCGCCATCGGGCTCTTCGGCATCCTCTACCGGTACCGGTAGGGGCTTCGAATCCGTCTTGGACTGATCATGCCTCTCCTCTGCAGGAGAGCTATTCGGTAATGTCCTCGGGCTGGTCGCTAGCGGCTCGACAGCGACTTCCAGTGGGGGCGGAGGCAATGGCTTCTCCGTATCCCATTTGAAGTCCTGCAATCCTCGTCCAGGAGGAGAGACGATTCGCCCAGGTGGTGCTGGAAAAGCAGCTAGAGAACCATCCAAGCTCTGTCTCTTGTGGCTGCTACTGCCTTTGAACCCTCGAGCAATCTTCTCGCCAAATGATCCGAATCGCCTGTGGCGAGTAGGGTTGTGAATGGCGCTGACTTCCATGCCATATGATGCCTTGAGCGTGACCGAGCGACAGCGAACAACCGAGGTCAAGTGTCCAATATGAATAGGTGACTGACTCTCCTCAGCTGTTCGCGCTATCAGCTGGTGTCCACGGGGGTGAGAATTTGATTTACGATATGATGTAATAGATTTCAATTAGCGGAAGCAAAAAAAAGGAGGAACAATTGCCATTGTGTAATGGCCATGATCCCCGGCGAGCATGAGACCACGTGACCATGTAGCCTATATAGCTGCCAGCTAGGAACTAGATACGGGCCGGCTGATCATGGTGTAGATCGAGTGGACGATGTTGTTGGTCTCATGCACTGCATTGAGCGGATTAATATGTGGTTATCGACGCTGCAGATCTCCTCTCTCTCGAATGAACCTCTATATGAACTTCCCCGTAACCGTGGAAAGTGGCCATTGAGGGAATTTACAGACACAACGTGTCAAATCCCCGCATCTGTTCCATAAATAGACATCACCGGCATATCCTGATATTAAGCTCTCGGTGCTGCTCTCCGCATCGCATCTACCTTGAGAGATTATCCCTCATCGTCTGTTAACCGGTCCATTACTTTCCTCATACCTTGTAGCATACCACTCACGATGTCAGAGGAACAACGTACATTAGAGGACGAAGCTATGGCGAGGAGGTTGCAAGAGGAGGAAGACGAAAGAATGGCTCAATCGCTCGCATCGACCCAGATCTCCGACAACCATAACTACAGTCAACCCACTCAACAACACTACGAGCCGGATCATAAGCGATCTCCGCCGCCAAGCAGCTCACCCTTCGGTGCTCCTCCTCCTAGTGCTGCCTTTGCTTCACCCATGAACAATAGCTATGCTCCCCCTCCGCCACCTACATCTGGATTCGTACCCGTCAGTTCTCGACAGACCGGCGACAATGGTCCGGTACAGATGTATGCTCCGCCTTCAAGTCTTCCGCCTCCTCCGACAAGTCAGGAGAGCAATCCTCCGCCTCCCGTTACTACCCCTCATCACACGAATCGATTGATCCAGGTGTCTGCTTTGCGAGCTAAGGACGAGGTGAGCAAGGGTCTGACCAAGGATGATGTCAGATGCTAACGGCGGGTATCAAGCAAAAAATGCAAAACTGGCTACAGACGCTGCAGTACCAATACGGAATCTACAACCCAGAACTGGAGCCAGAGCATGAAGCGGACTATGTCTGCTTCTGTCCTATCCATCAGTACCAGCAGGCCAAATGGAGTCGATCGCAGGTTCAGGATCTCTGGAACGAAGCTGTCTTGTATCCAGGTGAGGGGCGGTCCAACGACCAACGTTGGAGATATGCTGACCTTTCTCACCAGGCGAGAAAGCGTACAACAGTAACAAGCCTTACAACACCAGCTTGTTCTCTGGAAATCCATATCAATACAAAACCATCTCACCCTATTTTGGGACTTTCAACATGGGCACGTACGGGCCTAAAAGGGCCAACGCCAGCTCTCATGCCAAATGGACAGCCCAAGTCATTGCCCTGAACGATCAGCTCAATCGCCAGGCTCAGACTGCTATCGACGCGAAGGAACCCAAGGCCAACATCTGGGGTGAGAAGGAAAAGATGTCTGGTGCGTTCAATCAGGGGCCCGGGGACAAGAAGGGAGCTCAGGGTCTGTCCAATGGAACGTCGGAGAAGAAGGGAGGAAGCAATGGGTTCCCCGCAGAGAAGTCATCGGCGAACGGTCATTCGAACGGTCACGCAAATGGGTCGTCCGAGAAGGCTGGACTCTCCTCCGAAAAATCTTCATCAAACGGCGTCAAAGGTGCTCCTCCGCCACCTGCATCTAGTGGTCCGCCCCAGACGACAGTTGCCAAACCAGAGAAGCATTCCAAGTTCGCCAGCTTCCGCAAATCGGTCGGATTGAAGACAAGCTCTGAGCGAGAAGCTGCAAGGGTTGACAAGGACATCAATCACGGCTCAAAGTTGCGACAAGAAATTCTTGAAGAGGAGAACGGTCGATGGCCCACACCTGAATGGCGTGAAATTGTTCGAGTTTATCAGGAGAAGACTGGCATGGCTGGAAAAATCGCTTTTGTGCGAACTTGCCAACCAATCCAATACCTGCATCTGTTGAGAGCTGGATATTTTGAGCCCATTCCCGTTGCTTGGGCAAACCAAGCTTCGAACCCCCTGAAATTCAGTATCGAGTCGACGTCCGGATGGCGAGGTATCACACCGTCCTGGAGAGGCTACGAGGATACCGCAGAAGAAAGATTGTATTGGGTCTTGAACCATCGAGAAGGAAGTACTGGTACAAGACTCAAGCCAGATTTCATCTCTGCTCTCAACTTGGCTAGAGAACGTATGGAGCGGGCTGTGCCTCCTCCGCCAGAGTACTACGACCCTTCTGATACGTGTCACACTCAGCACAAGACGGACGGATACTCCAAACAGGTCATGCCTCCGCCATTCAAGGCTTTCGATCGACCGGAAACGTCGGCTGACGACACGATGATCTTGCTGGATGTTTCTGGCTCTATGGACTTTGTACCTCAACGTCCTCGTTACGACAGATATTTGGTAACGGGATACGACAACACAAATCAGCCAAAGAACAAGGGTGAGTCGGCCCTTCCAGGGCGCAAGTTCATCCAGTACCACCAGTCCCGTACTGACACGCATGCCTTTGCAGACCTCGCGAAAGCCATTATCCGGCGGTTCGTGGATGCCATGAGCAATCACGATCACAACTTTACGGGTTACGATCTTACCACGTTCTCCAGTAGTGCCAGATACATCGGTACCATCAATGGGCAGAATCTCGATGCTCTCTGGTCGACCATCAAAATTCAAGGTGGAACCCGAGTCATGACTGGATGGCAGAAAGTGAAAGAACTGCACTTTCAAAAGCATTCAGAATCTGCGATCCATCATCCTATCTATGGATGGCAAGCTGGCCCCGATACACCCATTCTCAGATTACTGCTCTTGCTAGATGGAGAAGCGACGGATATGGACGAGTTCGAACTGGATCTGCTGGGTTTGTCCTGGGCTCACGTCACCATCTTCCTCATTGGAGTCGACGGTTGTCCTCATCATCATCGACACGCCAATGAACTGCAACGCATCAGTGATGTCAATCACCATGTTTCGTTTGTCGATGCGCAAGGTAACACGCCAGAGCGTTATGTCACACACGAATTGCTCAAGAGGCACCTCGGATACGAAGTCACCATGGCGGAGTTCCAAGATATGGAAGTACCTCCGACTTATCAAGAGGCGACATTCTAGAGTAAGCGAGAGACACACGACACGACCATTTAGATTTAGCTCTGGTGATAGATACCCTGAGTCGGAGGAGAAGCCGGAAACGAGTACAAATGTCATTATAAATAGTGAATGTTACGTCTTGTAGGAATTGATAACCTTTTCTTGGCTCCCAAATGTCCAGTTATGCAACGATGATCTTGTTCAACCCGGTGGTGCAGGTAAAACTCTGCCACCCTGACCGGCCATCGCTGGCATGCCTGCCATACCCATACCTCCGTTGTAAGGATTGGCAGCGGCGGCCATAGCCTGGATAATATTGACTTGACCTGCCGCAGAAGGTTCGACAGATCCCCTTCGGCTCTAGGACGCAAGATCAGTGAGGTACAGGAGTGATGTTGGCGAGCTGCAACTCACGTTCCCGCCAAATTTAGCTTTGAGGGCGAACAGGTCCGCGATCTGACTTTCCAACGCCCTCTTTTCTTCTTTGACCCTTGTGAGCTCCTTGATTGATTTCTGGACCTCGGCGGATAACGTCTTTTTGAATTCCTCGACGTGGCCTAAAGGTAATAATCCATCAGTATCGCTCGACGTCAGCGTGAGCTAGACTCACGTGTCACATTCATCGTCGTAGCTTGCTGCATCGCTTCGACGAACCGTATCCTTTCCCCACGAATCTCGCTCGTGAGGTCTGAGCATAATATTAGCGATCTCATTTGCCAACAGGTTGAGTCACACTCACCATTCGCCAAAGCCCTCAACAACATTTCGTTATCGTTCCGTTGTCTCGCCAAAATCGTCAAAACTTCCTCCACCATGCCTTGTTGACCGGCTTGTCTTTCCCGTTCTTGACCCATCATAGTCAAGAGACCATCCAGACGTTGGCCGACCGGTCCCTCCTCTTCGTTCCGCTTTCGTTGATCCGCCAGCATGTTGTGTATCTCAGACACGAGATCGGGTAAAGAGGTCTTTGAGGGAGCATTGGGATCGTTGGCATCGTCCTTGGAGCCGACGAGCGTATCGAGGCGATTTGACATGGAAGAGAGCTCCACAGCGGAGTTTTGCACAAACTTCTCAAGCCACGTATTCAGCTCGTTGAGATCTGTGGATTGGGCATGTCAGCACATGATCAGGATAAGTCAGCGTCATCAACTCACATCTCGCTATATCAGTCGTTTGTTGAGTTTGCAAAGTTCGAGCTTCTTTCAGCTCCTTAACGAGCGCCAATACCTCAACGATTTGTTTCTTGACATCCTCAGATAGCGGTTCTTGACCGAGTACCGAGCCTGCATCGGTACCTACGTGTGGGCTAGCAGGGGCGGAAATGTTGTGTAAAACCTGCAGACCGACCCGGCGAGGCGAGACACCATTGGTCGAGCCCCCAGTCTGTATTATCAGCTTTCAGATTCTCATTCATGATCGGGACAAGCGTCTCACCAAATCCGCCATGATCTGCGCCACTTCGTCCCCGGCAGTCTTTTCATCATCGTTCAATGATAACCCAAGTCCGAGCTGCTTGCCATTTCTTCCGTTGTTCGCGGGCTGGCTCTTGACCGAGTTGTTCGATTCAGAGCTCTTGACGAGATCATCATGACGAGCAAGAACATCTTCGCACATACGCTGAATGGCATCTAGCTTCGCATGGACCTCGGGCATGGTATCTGGCGGTTGAGTGTCGTCTTTCTTCGCTTGCATCAGGACGGAGGGGAGCTGCAGGACAGACAAGTTGAGGGCATTCTCAATCGCCTTGACATCGAGTTGAATCGTATTGAGTCGCTCATCCAGTCCCCTTGGTAACGTGGTCGGATCCTCCATAGCTTTGGATGCTCCGACCAAGGTTGTCAAAGCCCCGATAACCTTTTGTAGATCTCTCGAGGCAATACTGACTGCCCGTGTGGTGGGGTCGAGCGAGGACTTTTGCTTCTCGTCCAGCTTGCCATTGGCTCCGACCTCAGAGTGTGAGAGATCAGAGTAAGCTGGCAGAAGCTTGGATAAGGCTCCACCTGATCCCCGCCCTTCCTCCTCGGGGGAATGATCAGGCATGGACATGTCTGCGTGTAGATCTCGGCTCCTCGTGGCTATCATTGGATCCATATGGTGTTCCGTGTGAGGTGTCCGAACTGTCGTATTCTCCGCCGTCTCTGAAGAATGTGATTCCGCACTGAACATCTCGACACTCTTCGGGAGACCAGAATGTCGATTGTCGCGGTTTCGTCGAGGACCGTAGTCCATCTCTCTGCTTGATCTGGGCGACGTCGGTCCATCATCAATGGATTTCCCGGCCAGCTGGCGATACGCCCTCTCTGCCAGAGGTGACAGAGCCTGTTCATTCGCTCGAGGCGATTTGAGCTCTCTCGGTGTTCTTGTCGGTGTTCTTGGCCCTTGATTCTCATCTGTTAAAGAACCTCGGCTCATCCGTCTGAAAGCCTTTTCAGCCATTGGTGAGAACCCGCTGTCGACCTGAATATGCCGAGCTGGCGGAGTATTCTCATCCACCGGTGGCAAGCCTGTAGCGACCTTGGATCCCCTACGTCTCGGGGTTTCTCGATGTCGACCTGTCTGACTCGCCGAACGAGAAGGATTTAGATCGCTGGGATCGAACGAGACATCTGTCGCTCCAGATTCAGCAGTCTGAAAGCTGTTCTCCCGATCCGTCTCTCCAAGGACACGCCGACGAGAGTTGGATCTTGCGCTGGCTCTTGAGGGACTTCGAGCGAAAATGGACAACTCCCTCTCCGTCGCCGGCTGCCAAGCTAGGATTCTCTCCGTCGCATCACGACTTTGCTTGTTCCCTACGCCAATCGTAGCCGCTGAGTCAAATCGTATTGGAGCTCCATTGATCGAAGGTGATCTTATGCGCGGTGGAATGATCGTCTGATCTCCACCATCAGATTCGTCATCATACTCTTGTATGCCGGTGGCTGTGGCCATGTAAAGCTGTTTGCGCTCGTTCCCGGTCCCAGATCCGACCTCGTTGGGAGGCGGACTTTCAAACATTTGTTTGACAGCTGTCTTCAGCGGGTCCGGCAAATGTCGCGATGGAGGTGGGTCTTCTGACAGATCACTTGCACCGACCCCTACGCCGCTTGATGCAACCCATCGATCCCCAATCTTCTGCACGGGCGGCAGGGCGCCATGGCCTACCGGGCCCTCGTCCGATTCTCGACGCTCGAAAGGTCTTAAAGGAGATGACTGCTTCGGAACGTGGTCCGAATATGGCCGGAAAGGAGAGGGTTCATCAATGGGTCGCTGATTGGATCCGGGGGAGCCGCCAAAGACGTCTCTTTGCTGCTGGACCTGGTGGTGACTGGATTTTGTCGGCGATGGTGGGGGTATCAGTGGCTGCCCTTCGGGCTTGCAAGCAAGAAGCACATCCCTACGGACCGTCAGTTCCATACCCCTTGCCATGAAAAAGCCTGAGCGGGCTCACCAGATCGCACTGATCCAGCTGATTCTGCCGCCAACGCCCTCCACTCCGATATACTGCTTCTTGCCATCTGAGCATACCATCTCCAATACTTCCGTCCCGACGCCATCTGGGGGCACCGGCACGTTCCGCCCTCCTATCTCTTCCCTTCGCAGACTTCTGACTTCCACGCAATCTGCCATGTCGAGTTCAAAGTCCCATTTCTGAGATGGATCGGGGGCCGGGATCATTTGGAAAGGGATCGAGGTGTGCGGATCTAGCATTCGCCGAGGTGAGCCCTGACTGTAAGGATCTTGAAATATTGGGCAGAATGTAATTCGAAGGGATGTGGCTGTTAAGAGGGCCCAAGAAGTGAGCCAGGATCCTGACGCATGGTCTGTGGATCCCGGCATGTTGACGAGGAAGAGACATGGGGAGAATCGCACAATTGAGTCCTGGAACTCGTCAGACGATGCGATGCGCAACTCCGCTCATACTCACGTCTCCTTCGTCCGTAGTCATCGGATCCATCTCTTGGTCACCCATTCTATCCCTGAACACTATCCCACCAGGGAGGCCATTGCTTCCGACACGTTCCAAACCTCCGGCCATGGTGATATCATATCCTCCCGACCCATAAGATGATTCGCGCTTCTCCTTGCCTTTGCCCTTCGCTCTTTTGCCTAAAGCACTCAGCATCTCCTTCAATGGTGATTTGCCATTTCCTTTCCGCTTCTTCTCGCTCGGCGACGTCGACCAGCTGTTGGCGGGTCCATCAACGGAGCCTGATCGGCCTCTGCCAGGCGTTTGAAGGTGTTTATTCGGGCTAGGGGCGAAGGAGACCCGAGAAGGCGAAGGTTGCATTTGAGCTCCTCTGGCAGGCGAAATAGGTGGTGGACCACGAATCGGAGAGACTGGATACTGAGGTGTTGGGGAAGTGGGACCCCATACATTGCGTAGCGGCGAGTTGCCATGTTTTGGCTGAGGAGGAGTGTATTGTGGTGTGGTGGTACCGGATCCAGAAGCATAAGGTGGCGTGAAGGTATTCGGTGTCGGCAGGGGTTTATGATTCAGGTAATCCCTATTCATCTGTTGAGTGCTGAGAGGGGAATTACCTCTTGAAGGTTGCTGAGGTGTGTTTCCTCTTGGAGGCTGTAATGTCCCGTTCGGAGCGAGAAATGCCTCAGGGCCACCAAGCGAAGATGATCCTCCTTCCCATTTCGCAATCATCTTCTTCGCTGATGATGGTCCATGGCCTTGTCCGGGTGCTCCAGGTAGGCGCTGAGGTGGTGTGCGTCCATATGACGGACTGTCATAGTCTGATCCGTACATGGCTGCTGTCATGGGAAACGAAGGTCCAGCATGGGCGGACGCCACATATGGCTCATCTCGCCTGCCGTGATTCGGTGTCGGGGATGTGGAACGATAAACTTGACGAGTAGGTGTTTGAAGACGATTCGATGGAGAGGCGGCTTGGTGCCAACTCTGCTCGTACTGATTTGCACGGTCACGAACGCTTGTCCCGCGCATCATGTTGTCCTGGTACGGCTAGGATAGGCAAACATCCAATGGTCTAGCGGAACCAAGGCCGTGAAGCGGGTGCTCGAACTGGATCTCCTACGGAGATTTTCTTATCGGATGTCCAATGATGTTGATGATGTGGAATCGATATCAAAGACGTAGGCTGTCAGACTTTCGATTTTCCGCAATGTCGAAAGGTCCAGGCGTGTCGGAGAGGCGTGGCGGGAGAGAGTCGATCTCGACGTATGTGTCGGATGAGAGGAAGCCAGAATACGCTGGTGTGTGAGAAAGAGTGACGAGTCCAAGATGCTCCCAAATTGACGCTAGTTGCTAAGAATCATTGACCGGGTGGCAATGACCTCAACTTGTCGTGACATGATGTGTATGCCTTTTTCCATCTACCTCTCACTCTCTCGAGACTACACCGCTATCAATAGACCAGGTCCACTACTGCGGCTGTCCTTTCCCTCCCGCCCACGATGACATATGTCCGGCGAGCAGGTGTGAGATGAAGATGGAGGGAGGGGGGGGGGGTTGTGGTGGGGGCGAGACAATAATGCCATCGCATGACATGGTCTCAATGGATGGATTTCAAAGTGGCAAGCCACGCCACACCAAACATGAAAAATGTTATAAAAAAGTCAGTCGCGAAGCATCCAGAGGGATTGATAAGTTTGATTCCGGCGGCGGGATGCTGCTATCAAAATGCTGACGTCATGATTTATCGAACATAGCCGGGAATAATAAAATGACTCGGAAGTCCGAAGGGAGACGACAATTGGGGGGGATAGCAACGAACGTCGAGTAGTTTTCTTCTTTGCTGTTATTCTAGCCAACTGCGATTCACAGCGGAGTCTTTCTCATGGCGCAAGGTGAATCTCAGTCTATCTATGCCGCCATGCAACACTGACGAACACCTTATAGCCCCTGAGGGAGTGACCGTTGTGTGAGCGACACTCGGTTGAAAACTGGTTTGATTTACTGACACTGTCCCTTTTCAGCCTCGGTGCCCAGTGGGGTGACGAGGGCAAGGGTAAACTCGTGGACATTTTAGCTCAAGAGGCCGATGTCTGCGCTCGATGTGCAGGTGGAAACAATGCTGGACATACTATCGTTGTCAAGAATGCCAAGGGTGAAAAGACGACCTATGCGTTCAATCTTTTGCCAAGTGGATTGGTGAATGAGAAATGTACGGCTTTCATTGGATCAGGCGTGGTTGTTCACATCCCATCCTTGTTCAATGAGCTCGACACGCTCGAGCGAAAGGGTGAGGTCGTTCTTATATCTGTGTGGATCTGTAATGACGTCCCTTCTCAGGCCTCAAATGCGCCGATAGACTGTTCATTTCGGACAGAGCGCACCTCGTTCTTGGTTTTCATCAGATTGTCGATGGCCTCAAAGAGATTGAGCTCGGAGGATCATCCATTGGAACGACTAAGAAGGGTATCGGTCCGGCTTACTCTTCCAAGGCTTCTCGATCTGGTCTTCGAGTGCATCACTTGTACGACCCGAGCTTCCCAGCCAAGTTCCGCAAATTGGTGGAAGGCAGGTTCAAGCGATACGGGCATTTCGAATTCGACACTGAAGGAGAGATTGAGATGTACTTGGTAAGCTGACAATGTCCCCTCGTCCGGGCTCACACTCTATAGGCTTTCGCAGACAGATTGAGGCCGCACATAGTTGATGGCGTTCAATTCATGCACAAAGCCTTGACCTCTGGCAAACGGGTCTTGGTAGAAGGAGCAAACGCCCTCATGCTCGATATTGACTATGGAACCTACCCCTATGTCACCTCATCCGCCACATCCATCGGTGGTGTCTGCACAGGTCTGGGTATTCCGCCGCAAGCCATCAAAAAGGTCGTGGGAGTCATCAAAGCCTACACCACTCGTGTGGGTGGTGGACCGTTCCCTACCGAAGACCTTGGCTCCATTGGTGAGACGTTGCAAGAGGTCGGCGCGGAATTCGGAGTCGTCACTGGGAGAAGGAGGCGATGTGGATGGTTGGACCTTGTCGTCATGAAGTACTCGACCATCGTCAATGGTTATACCAGCCTGAATTTGACAAAACTGGACGTCCTGGATGGATTCGAGCAGATCAAAGTTGCCGTAGGCTACAAGATTGATGGAGCGGAAATTGAGGGCTTCCCAGGTGAGCAGAGTCAAACTAAGAGTCGAGATGGAGGATTTGAGCTAAAGGACGTCTCAGCCGATCTCGAACGCCTGGCCCAAGTCGAAGTCGTGTACGAGACTCTTCCAGGATGGAAGTCGGATATCTCAAAGTGCACGACATTTGATTCGCTGCCTTCTCAAGCCCAAAGCTATGTCAGATTCATCGAAAATTATCTTGGTGTCAAAATCCAATACATTGGAGTCGGACCTAGTAGAGATAGCTCGATCCAGCTGTTTTGAGCATACACAGCGTAGCCAAGCTTTGGTGTTGTGGATTATAGAAGGAGACGAGAACATGCATCGCATCGCTAGAGCTCCACCATCGAGCTCGTTACGAAACGCGCTTATACTTGAAACGAAACCCAACCATAATAAAAAATGTTTCGGAAATGAGACGCGTCGGTTGCCATTGTCTCTTGCTTGCACCAGTCGTTCATCGATGTCTGGGCCATGTCGATGGAGAAGAAGCGCCAGGAGCAGTGATCATGGGAGCTACCTTTGATGGCATGAGCGAGCGGTCACTTGCTCGTATGCATGTCTCCTCGTACCAAGAAGTGAATCGTGCGAAGGACAGGTCTGAGAGCATATGATGCTGCTTCTTACCTTTCTGTGAACTTCCGCCACCATTGCCAAGACATCCTCCAGGAACCTTTGCCATCGATGAGCTATTCCGTTCCTTCATTCATTGTCTCCCCTTCTCTATCATCTCCAAAGGTTCGAACCCTTCCTCATCCCCCGTCCACTCTGTTCTCCCTCACTAAAGAGCTCTCGCTGGCGTAAAGCTCAATACGTTCATTCAACCCAGTCTACACACAGACCCTCCGGAGCGATCGCAACGCAGCTCAGGCAGCTTTTGCTGTTGCATCTTCGACTCGTCGACCCCTTTGAATCATTTCCGGAATGTCCTGTCCGACTTTGGTCGCCCTGCTCGCCCTGTCTGCACCTGCGCTGGCGCATATGCAGATGTCATGGCCCTACCCTCTGAGGAGTAGCTTCAACCCGAAGAACAATTGGGAGAATATTGGTGGGTTTTGGCAGTGTCTGAGGATCCGTAGGCATGACTGAATCTCGGCAAGATTATTCCATGACCAATCCCCTTGGAGTGGGCCAGTATCCTTGTAAAGTGAGCTTCTGCTGCAGTGTCGACTACAAAGGCCACTATGTAACACCCGCAGGGCTACATCAACAACCCGCGCGAGGAGATGTATCCCGTCACTTCTTGGACTGCAGGCTCGACCGTGACCATCACATTGGATGACGGCGTCACCCACAAGGGCGGTTCATGTCAGCTTTCCCTTTCATACGATGATGGCAAGACTTGGAGCGTCATTCAGAGCTACATGGGTGGCTGTCCGATCGATTCGCTCTCATACGATGTGGAGATCCCATCAGACGCCCCAAGCGGTGATGCCATCTTCAGTTGGTCCTGGTTCAATTGGGAGGGCAACAGAGAGATGTGTGAGTCGTATCCTCAGTAGCCTCGCGAGCCACTGATACTCGTGGGCTAGATCAAAACTGCGCAGTGGTCACCATTCAAAATGGTGGTTCAGGGCTCGATCCCATTCGATACCCTCCTCCTTTCGTTGCCAATGTCGATGCGGCACCAGGTTGCGCCACCATCGAAGGAGTGTCTGTCGTCTTCCCGAATCCAGGAGCCAACGTTCGGTATGGTGGAGAGTACCGCGATTCAAAACCTACCAAGCCTACAGGGTTCACCGGTGATTGTGGCGCTCAATCTCCAATCCCCTCGAGTTCTCCTTCCCCTCCACCGTCTCAATCGAAACCTGCTCATTCGTCTACTGCTGCCGCACATAGCTCGGCTATAGCGTCTCGACCGGCTCCGACACGCGAAACCCTCCCATCCAGCCCCGTCAGTGCGGCCGCTCAGCATGAGCCGTCAAAGAGTCCTGGATCGACAAAGTGTAAGCGAAAGGTCAAAGGGTCCGTCGTTCGCAGGACGAACGTGGCGAAGCGACATGAGAGATTGGTCCGGCACTACCAACATGAGCGACTTGCTCCTCAAGTCGTAGGCCGGGCCGAGTCAGATGGCAGCTGGGGTGGCTCCAGTCAAAGATCCTCGTTCTAAGTGGATCTGGAAATCTCACTGAACGGCGCTGGTTTCGCCCGCTTAATGATTTATGACGTTTGTACAATTCCGTACTTCCCATACTTCCCAGTCACGATGCAAGCATGTGACTGAGACGTTGCCTCATGGGATGTTGGGAGTCCACCCTAGCTCTGCCAGTCGTGGGCATGCCCTGGTGTCTGAGAGTCCTTGAGTTCAATATGTCCCATATCTGTCGGATGCTGCCGCCACATTCGTCGATCGGATGACGTCCGCTGATCGCAACACGGTGCGAGTATGATATCTGCTTCTTCGTACGTTCTATGCTTCATCGAGCTACCACACGTAGCTTCATCGCATCGATCCGAGTGTTCAGTCCAGTATCACGAAGTGTTGGTCCGGTCATTGTCCGCTTCGGCAGTTCCCAAAGAACGGTCACCAAGAAGAATATTTACATGGGTGATAATCTAGTCAAGTGAGCCTGCTAGTAGAGCTCATCAACTACGGAGAAGCTCATTTTGGCTCTCCTCAGCTTCTACGCCGGTCAGCCGCCGCTCAACAGGCTATCTTTCATACGGCCGTCTGTGGATAAGATCAATGCGCTTCTCAATGCCGAGAGCACGCGGTTCATAGCTTTCAAGTGAGGCATCGCCGCGGGTGCAATTGGACTTGAGGCACTCAGGCTGATAGTCGGGTTAGAGATCTGAAGCCATTGGTTCAAGAGAATGAGCTTGGAAAGCTGGTGTTTCTGGATCGTAAAGCAGTCGAAAGCCGGATAGGGGATGGGTATATGGGCTCGTGAGTAGCTCTGCCTTTCCAGACAACATCGCCTGACATGAACGCCCGGTCCAGGGGCGGAGACAGTAAAGAGGCTGTTCGAACTATGGAAACTTATCGGAAACCCTCTGACAACGCGCTGGTCTTCCTCGGCATCGATGATCGAACCTCTGCAAGGGAGAATATCGAGACGGAAATTCAGTCCTCAGAGAAGCAAGTGGATCTGGCGAACCCGCCAGGGACAGCGTTTTTTGCTGTCGACGCTGGACGAGGGGCGGAAGGGGAATGGGAAATCTCAGGGACACAGTGGGGAGATCCCAGATCGAGTGCATCTAGTATGAGCGGATGGGAGGCTGGACTATTCGCTCAGGCCAGAGCTTTGATCGATTGGAATACGAGAAACAGGGCGAGTCGGATAATACAACGTTGTTCCTATTCGGGCTGACAACTCGCTCCCTCATAGTTCTGTCCCATGTGTGGATCTCAAACGTACTCGCTTTGGGCTGGTTGGAAACGAGGCTGCATCACTGGTCTAGAACCCATACCTGGCAAAGAGCCATGCCCATCTTTAGAGGGACTACACAACTTTGCGTACCCTAGAACAGATCCAGTGAGCTACACGATCCGCAAGCGAACATCAGCTCATGTGAATCGTCATCAGGTCATTATCATGGGCATTCTTAACTCGGCAGGCGACAAGATTCTCCTTGGCCGGCAAGCGAAATGGCCGAAAGGTATGCGAGTCCAGAAGCCGCTTGAGCGTCTTTGACAGTCTGCACAGGGATGTACTCCTGTCTAGCTGGCTTTGTTGAACCAGGTGAATCGTTCGAGGATGCCGTAAGGAGGGAGGTCATGGAAGAGGCTGGTATCGAAGTTGGACCGGTCAGATAGTAAGCTTTCAGCGTCCGATTGTCAGCGGAAGCCGCTCATTTGTAATATTCAGCTCTTCCAGTCAACCTTGGCCATATCCAGCCAACCTCATGGTTGGATGCTTCGGGCGAGCTAAAGATGGCCAGCGCATACGATTCGATCTCGACAATGAGCTGGAGGGTGAGTCAAGTTTGCTGAAGATACTCGTCTGATGACTCGCAGATGCACAATGGTTCGATCGACCGACTATCCGCTCACTTGTATCGTCGCCGACAGGTAGCAAGTACTCTGAAGCCGAGATCAAGCGACTGGGCAAGCTGGCCAATTCAGGGAGCAACCATAAAGACGATCAAGAGACGGCCAATGCGCTCGCACCGTCTGAAAGGAAGACTGGAGAAGGTGATGCGGAGGGCGATAAGCGAGGCCTGACGAGGGTTCCTCCGGATACCGCTATCGCTGGCAAACTCATAAGGCTTTGGGCAGACGGCGGTGTCGACCTGGTCAGCCGGCTATGAGCGCATGAAGAAAGTTTTCCAATGCTGCGTGATAGTTGCGCAGTGCTGAACACTTGAGCGTCGAGTCTCTAATATGAAGAAGCGCTGATACACTCATCAAGCTCTGGCCGTAAACGCCTCTGGGCCCTGTAGGATCCCTTGATAATCACCCGAAATGGCAATCTCAAATACCTTGGCCCCCTCGTTCTCTTACGCCTCGCCCTACGACGCCTTCGATGCACACAAAGGATGTTCGAGTGGAATTATGACAAGTCCAGGTGAACACCGCCTCTTGGGCAGTGTCCTTCAACATCATCATGACTGAAAGTCGGGAAAAGTTTGTCGTCCAACGTAACGGGAACTTATCACCACCGCAGCTATTCAGCTGTACCAAAAGCATTCCTGTCTCGCGGTGAACCCGAGATCGGTGTTTTCATCAGTTTGCACATAGACATTGCTCACACACATGGCGGAGACGGCGTCCAAACATACTGTCCGCTACTCGTACGGCATCGGCAACTCCTACACGAGAGGCACTGCTGCCTCTGTCTCGACAACCGCGGACTCTGATGATCTCCCGGGTACTGACTCTGTGACGTATCATCTCGAATCAGACACCGACTTAGAAGCAACGAGCACGGAGGCTCAAACAGAATTCGAAGACATCTTCGCCGAGATCAGTGTGAGAGCCGTGAACGTGACGGGTGAGGTTCAAAATGAGATAGACAAAGGCACTGCAACGCCGAGCGCATTGACTCGCATCATCTGTAAAGCCCTCAGCGACTATGCAGAGCTGCACAACGGCAAATCACATACATCATGGCGTCTGGAACCAGTCAGCGATTTCGAACACGTCATGACGGGCAAGGAATTTGATGAGTTGCTCCTGGAAGGGGGAGCTGAAGCTGCGTCGTCATAGCTCGATATCTATCCATTGTATACCCCTTTGCCTTGGCGTCTCTGATACCAGTAAATCGTTCCGCTGTGCGCTGATGACGACTCAGACCCGATGCAAGACAGACACCAGATCGAATCTTTAGGTCATACTCGTCGATTACTTGTCACATTCACCTTCTCTCTTTTTGGGATCAGCAAGACGCGATGGTTCCCTTCAAAATCTGCTTCACTCCCAGAGATTCTGAACGAGTCGATCCGGGCTCCCGCTTCATTTACCATCGATGATGTGGTCACTGAATTCGCGGAGCTTCAACATCTTGTGCTCCCTTCACTCACGACCGTGGGAAGAAATTTCGCCCTCTCGCCAAAGGAAGGATCTTCCTTTGAATCTGTGGTTGAAATTGTTGGTACACTCCGCAAGAGCTCTGCGTCATATTGTCATTCTCTGAGTATATATGTAAATACTGTTCAAGTTTCCACTGACACTTTACAATCGTCAACCTCAACGCAGAAGTCAACTCAAACCACATTCAAAGACCCAGTGCTGCAAAAACACAATGACCAGTCAGCATTCTACTAAGCAGACAGCTACATATTCATACTCTATCGGCACCCTACACACAGGTACTGCAGGAGCTCCCACAGTTCATCGAGTATCTGAAGAGGGCAATCCATTGGTGTTCATCGTGAAACCATCTGAAGGCTTCGAAGAAATCGAAATCACAGACGAGCACAGAACCGAGCTGGCTGACATCGATGCCGAGCTTGGGGAAGTTGCTGAGAGATTCCTCAAAGAGGAGATCGAGAGATGTCGATCCCAGAGGGGTGCTCCCGACCTGGAGGCATCGACACAAGCCATATGCCGAGCCCTCACAAATTATGCGGACTCGCACAATAAGCTATCATCAGCTCTTTGGGAACTTGGACCAGCAGACACCTTCGACGAACTCATGACTGTCGGCGAGTATTCCACTTGGAAAGAGTATTTGGAAAACGGGGCCCAGGAATCCCTCGATTAAGCTTGTTGCATTAGGAAAGGAGGTGGGGATGTGTCTCTCCAGCCGGTTGCCCAAACACATGATCCTGAGCTTTAGACCAGTATGAATACCGAATATGTCAGAGATCTGATCTGAAGATCGTTGCGCCTTGGCGTGCACTACCGCCTCTTCATGTCGATCACCTGCTTAATTGACACACCTCGCTTGAGGAGCAAAAGCGGGGTGCAATCTCCTTCGAGCGGATTAGATTGCTGTGGGCCGAGAAACTCGCGCTGACATCGGACAGACGGGGAGCTTTGTCGTCCTTTATCTGACACTGCGATTCATGGGCTGATTTGGCATCAAGCTTCAATTAACCCGTGGGACCCGTCTTCGCAGTTGCAATCAAATTCAAACATCCTTTCTTGTGGTGGCGCCACATCCCCATCTCATCACGAGGAGCTACTGATATATGGTCATTGTCTGCAGTGGAAGAGAGTCTTCTGTCTATGACTGAAGCGCAGACACAAAACCACGTACTGCACACATATTCTTCTCATTCAATGGAAGACGACCACTCTGAAGGCTATTCCGACTCAATGCAGCAAGATGAAAGCGGGTTGTCGCAAGCCATAACTGCCACATACTCCTACCGAATGCAGACCGAAGGGCAAGACTGCAGAATCCTTCCTGTAGTGGTCAGCACCGTCGACATCTCGACACTGTCTCCACTGCACCGGGAGTACTTTGACAACATCAAGGAAGATTTCTCGAAGGCATGCGACGAGATCAAATCGGGTCGCGATGAGATGATAACCAATGGCGAGGACTTTGACTCCCGTCAGCTTGAGAGCGAAATCATCGTTACTGGGCTGGATGCTGTGGCGAGACAACTCAACGAGCAGACAGATCTGAGGCTGAACTGGTCCCTGATATCTGCGCAAGATATCTCGAGGCCTATGACGGAGGAAGTGTACCAAGTCTGGATCGGTGCAGGTCGAGCGTGATGCACTACGACGGCCAATCTTCACGGCGTAGACTGAAACTCATTGCGAGGAGAAGCATGCAATTGCAACGATAGTGAGACGGTTTAGTACGATTCTAATTTCCATCGATCCAAAACCGCCCAACCCGCTGACCCCAATCGTATACTCCTTCTGCGATCTTCAAGGATATTCTCCTTCCCATCAGCTGCGAGCATGGCTCTCAACACCGAGAGTGGTATCTCTTCTCCCTGAAAGAAGACGCATTCTGACAGCTGGCCTTCCTCGTTCCCAGTCCTCGAAGTGAGAGAATCCCCAAGCGTTGAACAAATGTGAAATAACCCTTGATCTCGAGCATCAACGAACGACCTGATGCGCCATCCGTTGAAATCGACGTCTCCCCAGACAGGTCCATCGGCGACAGACCACGGATCTTTTGTGGTGAAGGATGGTCCTTGAGGGAATTCAATGAGATATAGGAGACTGTCTAGTCGAGCTGTCGCTTTTATCTCGTTAGACAAGCATTTCAGGACCTCGTGTAATGGCTTGCACCAGAGTGTAGATGGCCACATTTGTAGCGAAGAAGTATAGAGGGTGAAATCGTCCTGTGGGCGACCAGTCTCCAGAACTCGGATACGGTAAGTTTGAAGAGAGGGAAGCGACGTGATACCAAGCTTGTCGTTGGACTACATACATAGATTAGATGAGCCACAATGTGGCGAAGAATGACGTTTCTGACTCACCGCGGCTCCATCAGCATTCCCAGTCGCAAAGTCCCAATTCACTTGCAAGTCTCTCAAGAGAGGAAATAGCTGGCCTGTCACCATCTCTACTGCCTTGGACGTAACTTCTAGCTTCTCGATGCGGCAGGCACCGAGTGCAGTCCAAAAGTCTGGATGTTCATGCGGATTCCATGAGACTCCGTCATCTTTGAGTGCCACATTCGCCAAGCTTGGTGAACGCTTCACTATCTCAGTCACAAAGGGCATGTCGGTGGTCCGAGGATTGAAGATGAGCGTGAGGAGTTGCGTCGCTACTGGCAAAGTAACTGGTCGTGATCTTTCTCGCTTAGGCGTGAAAGGCAATTCGGACAGGTGTAGAGGGAACAATGTTAGACTCAAGTGCTTGAGCTCAGGTGCATTGCTGAGGAAACTGGCTAAAGTCCGATGGCGTAGATGCTGGATGTGAATTTCGGCTCGCTCCAAGTTGCTCATGGCCCCGATTGATTCAAAGAGCTGCGTCGTACTGAGCAATCCCTTGGCAGGTAGGACAACCATGTCGGTTGGTTTGACTCGAAGGATCAGATCAGTCAATCCCGGAGCGTGCCGAAAAAGTGGCACCAATTCTTCGGGCACCTCTGGATACAATTGAAGTTCAATTCGTCTTAGCGCCAGGCTCCGCCAAGAACATGAGGAGAGCACTCGAGTGAGCCCGGCGATTCGAGGACCAGGACTCCTGACACGGTGATATATCTCGTCAGGTAGCAGACCCCATCTATCCTCGCCCATGTGGATCCAGTGTGGCGGCTGGCTTCGACATTCGCATCGGTGATCGCCAGATACTGACACTCTGCGCCACAGACGACTTTCAGCTGGTCGACGTAGTATCTTGTGGGTCACGGCGAGGGATCTTGCGGATTCGGTGTCTAGTCGAGATGCTATGCTGGCCAGAACCTCCGGAGGCAGGTCGAGCAGCTTCGGCTTCGCTTGCATGCTGGTGATGAGAAGCGGAGCGCAGATTCGCCATATGGTGCAGAAAGACAATCATGTATGAGATCCGTCTGCATATTTATATGTAGGATGTACCTCTCACCCTTTTCCATTAACGGCTCAGCTACAAAGGAGGAACAGAATGGATCGAGACTGATTTGCGAACAAAGGGTGATGATCCAAGTTGCATTATGATGGGGGGGCGAAATTGAGGAAACGGGGCTTTTAGCCTTGAAATATATGGAGTAATCTGGTCCAAGCAGAGCGATCTCCGCCCATAGCAGTGCTTTTTGTCTTTCCGTGACGGCAAAGAAGTTGAAGCTAGTCGACGCTTCGCTTCCAATCTTTGAGAAGGTCCCATGCCTCCTCGGGCAGCTCGAGCCCTCTTCCGGGTCGCGTCCATCCTGCATTCTCTCCCAATAAGTCATACACTCGAGCTAAAATGTCTCCGGGGACCGCAGATCCACAGTAGTCTAGGTGCTCCTCCCACATGCACTGAGCGCGGAGCAGCTGATCATTCTCGATGAGGCAATGCTCAGCGTAGTAGCTTCGACAGTGCGTGAAGACCTCTTCTGGTTGCTCGGCGTTCATTTCCGCCTCCGCAGTTTGATCCGAGTTTCTGGTGTAGGTCCTGATGAAAACTGCTCGCTGAAGAGGATGTGCTTTGGAGGTCGGAAGACTATCTTCCCATTCTGTTTCGGAAGTCGGAAAGGCCCATTCATCGTCTGAGGTCCCCGAAAGTTCGATCATCAAGAGGTCACTGGCATTTCCGATTGCTTGAAGTAGCTCCGGGCTAATAGGTCGTAGAGGAGCGGGGAGGGCACAAGTACCTTCGTGCCAGGTCCAAACGAGGCATTGGTCCTGGTCCGAGACTCTGGCATGAGAATGGAACAGCTGCATGGATGGAATGGGCGGGATTGTGGTTGCCTGCAGGGACTGGTCAATCTTACACGAAAGATTTGAGGAAGAACGGCACATACCTCGAGCTGAGGGATACCCCAAGGTCTGGTACTCTCCATGGTAGAGATCTCTACCACACTGCGAGGGAGCTTTTTGCATTGCTCATCGGTCAAGCCCCTTCTGGGTATAGCGAGGTACTTGAGCTTGAGCGATGTGGCAATGTAGTCGAGCACAATCCCAGCCACCACATCGGTCATTCTTCGACAAGCATCTTGAAGGGAGAGCCACTCGAGATCGGGAGCGGCGCGAATCAACGCCTCGAGAAGGGGTAGAAGAGGTAATGCAAATTCGGTGATCTCCAGCCGCCTCAAACACGGAAGCGTGGTCCAAGGCTCGTTGAGGTTTGAATCTTCGAAGATGGTACTCTCTCCCCAGCCTCCGCTGTACGGGTTTTCAGGAGTTAAGACCAAGCTCTCGAGGTTTGGCGTCCGACGAAGCACAGTCTGGATGGTTGTGTCCCAGCATGGCGCTAGGGGCAAGGAGAGATGCGTCAAGCGATCAAGGTGAATCTGAAGATTCGATTCAAACAATTGTCGAACGGTCGGAAAGGCCGATTGAGGCGATACAGCTGTAAGATGCGGAACGTCGACGCAAATGAATTCCAGTCGTTTGAGCGTAGGAGCGACCAGCTTGAGGACGTCGGCGAATCGGACATGGAGGAGACGGTCGCTGTCAATGGAGATAGATCGCACTGCTTTGGCTCGCCTTGGATCCTCCCGAAGATGAGCGGCAAGGTGAACAAAGTACGATTCCAGGGCATCGATATACTTGCTAGGGTGGTTCCACGTTTGATGCTGGCGAATTTTGTATAGCTTATTACCGCCTAGGGGTCGGGTCCATTCATAGGGTAACTGTCGAGGCAGGAACGATCGCTGAAGAGAGATGTTGAGTTCTGACCAAATGGCGGATTGAGCGGCGGGTCCAAGAGACGCGTGGGTCAAAGCTAGTGAAAGGGCACAGGATGGGGCTAGTTCTCGGGCTATCTGATCATGAACACTAGATGGCAGATCGATCAGATTGCGAGCCATTCCATTGGATGACCTTGACATGATCATTAGATCTCTGCAGACAGTTAGAGGTTCAACGAGGTGAAGAGTGACGAGTGACAATTCAAGTCATTCAACGTCAGTATTTAAGCACGAGTAGCCCCAAAATCTCCTTTGTGCTCTTTGTGCAAGCACTTTGGTGGACGACGCGGAGGTCAGAAAGGGTGCGAGTGTACAAAGGATGGGCATCATCTTTCTGTGCCAACGGATCCGAGAGGCGATCGACTCGGGACCTCAAGGAGGATCGAAACTGGTTTTCGAATCACAGTGCACTGATCACATGTCAAGCAAATGTGCCAAAAAATCAGATCTGTCCTCTACCTGAGTGGGATATATGTATTTCGTCAGTCTCAAAGTGACTGCTGAATGCCGGGCGGGCTTGAGGGGAAAACCGAAAGGATTGCCAGCTACTCACGAAATGCACGTTCTCTACTTCTGGCTAGCAGCCCTGGCTTTGGCTTTCTCTTCCGCGACCCAAGCAGGAGCATTCATGATGAATTCTTTCTTGACGTGTTGCCTCTCTTTGGCGGCTGAAATGACCTTGCGCATTTCTTGATCCAATAGTTCCGAGTGTTCTTTGAGGAAATCTTCGTCACCTGAAAGGATGTGATCATGATTGAAGTATTTTGGATCAAGTTTGATTGTGATCTTGCGAGTGGAGACGGGATTGCCGTGAACTCCTCGAATGACTTGATCAAGTGCAGAAGCGCACTTGTCTCCGCCGCCCATGCCTCCAAAATTGACGGTCGCAAAGGGTAGATTGGCCCATTCGTAATATAAATGATCAACGGCTTCTTTGATGGTAGAGGGAAACGACCAATTATACTGAGGAGTGATGATGCTGGGACGTAGAAACTGGTCAGCTGCTTACTCTGTACACCATTTAGACTCACATGAGCGCGTCAAGATCCTGTACTATCTGACTCCATTCTTGCACTCTGGGATCGGGATACCCAAAATTGGCAAAGCCATCTTCCCTTCTCTCTGGCTTCAGAGTAGACGCCATCGCAGACATCACATAAGGTCCGAGGGGCAGCGGCGCCGTGAAAGGGTCATATGCTGAGATCTTGGATCCTGGAGCCAACCTCTCCAAGTGTTGCCGAACGAGCTTGTAGAAGCCAGACGTGTTATTTGGACTTCGAGCAGACCCAAGGAGGATACCGATGTGCAGCGGGAGTCTTGAAGCCATGTTTAGTAGGGCGTCTTGCTGAATTGAATTCTACGTAGTCAGTGGGTGGCACATCTGCTCAGCTCGATGCTATTTGAATGGACCTGGTCTCCGAGATCGATCCAGCTCATTAGGCTATTGATTATCAAGACTTCCCAGACCTTGGTAAACTGTCACAACTTTCGGCATCTCGGCAGTCATTTTCATCAGCCTCATACCAGTCATCGTCATCAGTCTCATACTTGACAGCCGCGGCTGCTTAGCCTTGCTGGGATCTCGATCACAAGGAACCGTACGAGAGCCTTCTAAGGCTACGGTGATGACTATATGATCTCATGACAGAGCTCAATCTCAAGCCCTCGGCGGCGTCTCTCCCTCAGAGCAAGCCGATACCAACGGAATCTGTGCTGAAACCTTGGATCTTCAATTATGCGCCCAGCCCCGACGGGAATGACCTGAATCTCCTCATATTCTTCCATGGCTTAGGTGATTGATCATGCATGGTGGGACAAGCCGAGAGGTGTGCTGACATCGTCGGCACCAACCTTGCAGGAGACACGAAGAAGTCCTTTAGCGACCTGGGCAAAAAATTAAATTTACCCGGTACTGCTGTGCTCGCGCTGCAAGCGCCTGATCCGTGAGTGAGCTCTATCCTCACTGCATCCTATTTACTCACATATGTCTCTATGGCGGCGTTGCCAGCATACCCCTTCTGGAGCATCCCGCGTTCTCATGGTACAATACCTTCACCCAATTCTTCGAACCCTTACCGAATCCAAATCCCACCACCGTCATTCCTCCGCTTCGGAAGCTCATAGAAAATCTCATATCGCCAGAGATAGGATGGAGTCTCACTTCCATCCACCTCTTTGGGTTCGCACAGGGCGGAACAACTGCTTTGGAGCTAGCTTTGGACCTAGGTAAGCGTTGCCGGCTCTTAGGCCCTTGCGCAGTACTAACCACCCTGCAAGGCAAGACAGGCATCGGTTCTAGTTCAGCCAAGAGGTTTGGCTCAGTCACGTCCATATGCGCCCCTCTCCTCGCATCCATATCGTCAAACCTTCACCTCCACACGCCTATATGCTATTTCACGAGGCAAGATCAACGCTCAGCCGTCGCTCAGAAGCAAATAAAAAATGTACAGAGGACATTCGATCACGTCGATATCATTCAAGGGCATGTAGGGCGTGAGTTTTGATCGCTCTTGTGTGCGCGCTGCACCATCCTCAATCGCCTTTCGTCCTCTGTCTGATCGAGAATCGCTCTGAAACCGATCCCTCTTTTCAGGTGCCGAGGATATGCCTCGAGGTCAGGACGAATGGACAGGCATCATGAAGTTCTGGGGAGGGGTGTTGGTCAAGAGCGAAGGTTGGAAAGGCGGCGGAGAGGTGTTCGAGGTCATGCGATAGAGCTGTGGTGCTTGCAGTATCACTGTACATCATACTATAGTCGGACGACTGCCGCAGCCTACGCTTTCGCTTGCATCGCACATCAGTTCATATGATGCCCCACTTCGGAACCGGGGTGCCGCTTCAACCGGAATGTCAGCTGAGATACTCGCTCCCCCCACTTTTGGAAAATGGGTTCTCTCAGCTGAGGCGTCTAATTCAATCGCTACTCAGCACAAGAAGGACATCATGCCAAGTCTGAACATCTTGTCGGGCTCCTCAGAGCTCCTTCAACGAGCCTTGGATCAAGTAGATAATGTGATGGCCTCTCCTAACAGGCTACTCCTGAACACCCTCCATTGGCTCTCCCTCAGTAGAGGTCCCGCTTCGACCGGGCATTCAACGGAACTCATCACGGAGGATGCGTACTTCTACGGTCAGTCTCCTCCTGTCTACCCATCTCCAAAGATGGATGGAAGAGGATACTGGAGTGATGCGCATCGTCAAGCCGTCAAATTTGTTTCTCAATTGACCCTCGAAGAAAAAGTCAGCTTGACTGCGGGATATCCATCCGGAACGGGTTGTAGTGGATTCTTGAACCCCATTGATCGTCTGAATTTCCCCGGAATCTGCGTATCAGATGCTGGCAATGGCCTGCGAGGTACCGAGCTCGTCTCCTCGTGGCCTGGAGGCATCCACGTCGGCGCTTCGTGGAATCGGGAACTGGCATACGATAGAGGAGAAGGGATGGGCGGAGAATACCAGAAGAAGGGCGTCAACATGATGCTTGGGCCGGTCGTGGGACCCATTGGACGAGTTGTCCAGGGTGGAAGAGTCTGGGAGGGCTTTGGGACGGACCCGTACCTTTCTGGTCAGCTCACCTACGAGACTGTACTAGGTGTTCAGAGTACTGGTGTGGGGACCAGCACAAAGGCGAGTCTGCTATCACGGACCTAGAGGTTGTAGCTGAACGACTGGACAGCACTTTATCGGTAATGAGCAAGAGGACAACAGGAACCCTGAAGGCGATATTGCTTCAGTTTCTTCCAACATTGACGACAAGACGATGCACGAGCTGTATCTATGGTGAGCCCGCTAGCACCGATTGTGACTTTGGTTTTTCGATTTGACGCATTCGCAGGCCTTTCGTTGACGCTGTTCGGGCTGGAACAACCAATATCATGTGCTCTTATCAGAGACTGAACAACTCGTACGGATGTCAGAACAGCAAAACTCTCAACGGGCTTCTGAAAACGGAGTTGGCGTTCCAGGTAAGCTGATATTGTGACTGAGATATCATCTTTACCCGCTCAATTCTTCCAAGGGCTATGTGATGTCTGATTGGGGAGCGATCCATGGTGGCGTAGCTGCTGCCGAGGCGGGTCTCGATACTGCCTTCCCCGATGATGGGGGATATTGGGGCGAGAATCTCGTACAGGCTGTTCAGAATGGATCATTGCCACAGGCGCGAGTTGACGACATGGTCACAAGGTGGGTAGTAGTGTTCCTCTGTCACTGGCTGTACAGAACTGATATCTCCCCATTCCATAGGATGATGGCCGCGTATTACTACCTCGACCAGCAAAAGCACTTTGAGAAGCCGGGAATCGGTATGCCAGGGGATCTCACAGCTCCTCACGTTGCGATCGATGCCCGTGATAAGCGATTCAAGAAGACTCTGTACGAAGGAGCGGTCGAAGGTCACGTCTTGCTCAAAAATGAAGGTCACGCTCTACCGCTGAAGAAGCCCAAAATACTGTCCATCTTCGGATTCTCCGCTCGAGCCACGGACCAGAACTCTTTATCGGACGGCTGGCTCGGGGGCTGGGCACCTTACGAATCGCAAGGCCCTCATCCTGGGCGATCAGTAGCAATCAATGGGACATTGATCACCGCTGGTGGGTCCGGAGCGTCTTCCCTCGGTATCATGTCTTCTCCCATGGACGCCATCACTGCTCAGGCATGGGAAGATGATACGGATCTCTTCTGGGATTTTACGACAGACTCTCCTCGACTCAGTGGCGCTTCCGACGCTTGCCTGGTCATGATCAACCAATTCAGTACGGAAGGCTTTGACCGACCTGGACTCGCGAGTGACTATGCTGATCGACTCGTCAACAACGTCGCAGACAAGTGTAACAACACAATCGTGGTGATGCACAATGTCGCTGTGGCGTTAGTGGAGGAATGGATCAATCACCCGAATGTCAGAGCCGTCGTATTTGCTCATCTGCCGGGACAATACTCTGGTAAAGCCCTGGTCGACCTGTTATACGGCCGAGAGAACTTTTCCGGTCGTTTACCGTTCACCGTCGCCAAGAAGGCGGAGGACTATGGCGAAACTTTGAGACCCAGTCGCGGGGAAGGTGTATATGAACGATTCCCTCAATCAGATTTCACGGAGGGCGTTCTGATCGACTACAAGCGATTCGACAGTCTCGACATCGAACCAAGGTATCATTTCGGATACGGATTATCCTACACCTCTTTCGAATACTCTCACCTGAAGGTTGCATTGGCCCATCACCACGAGGGACATCACGGACACCATGCACAGCGATCGCAAGTTGATGATGCTTCAGCAATTCTTGCTTGGTCAGAATATCCTTCCGGTCCGGTACTTCCAGGAGGGCATGAGACTCTCTTCGAAGTGCTTGTTGAGGCGAGCGCGCGAGTCAAGAATGTAGGCCACAAGGATGGCAAAGAAGTGGCTCAACTGTACTTGTCCATACCTGGCTCGGGCCAAGATGGAAATCCAGTCAAACAACTTCGAGGTTTCCACAAGCAGCATATCTCTGCCGGTGACGAGGAGACATTCAAGTTCCTCCTCACTCGTCGAGATCTGAGCACTTGGGATGTCGTGGCGCAAAAGTGGAAGTTGCAGAAGGGGACGTACAAAATCATGGTCGGGCGAAACAGTGGAGACCTTCCTCTCGAACACGAGTTTGACATTTAGGGTGTTGTGGAGTGGAGGAGGAGCGACGGATGGGGTTGAAAATATACCGGCAGGATCATCATACATCTGATTATAACATTGTACACGTTGTCCCTTGCTAGTCTCGAGGCAGTCGAAACCCAATGAACAACCTGGTCCCGTTGACGTTCGACTTGCCCGAGGGCGTCGCTGTGTCATTAACGATCGTCCCATTGCTGTAGACGGACTCGTTCTTCCCGTCGCCGACCGTTTCGATAATTGGAATGAGAGGGCAAGCAGGCTGAGCAATATACTCTCCGTATTCACTTCCGATCCATAATGCCACACCGTTCGTCCATCCGAACCCAGTGACGGTGGTGTATTCACCTCCTCCGCCCGCGGCGTCCAGGTCCGTTACGTTGAATTTCTCAAACATGACTCCAGCTTGTGTCCCTGTATACGTCCCCGTGGCGTTGAGCTCACTTAGAGGTAGCTGGACTAGCGTCCCCGGTATCTCGCCACCTGTAGAGTACCAGGAGCAAAAGGCAGCTTGGGTGTATCGGTTTGCGATCTCGATAGCTATGGCTTTAGGCCAAGGGATGTTGACCGCTTCGTTCATTGATCTCGTGGCATTTCCGATGGTTGAGTTGGGCTGAGGTTGAAGATCCGTTTCGTTAAGGTAGAACTGGCCAGAAGTAACGTTTGGAAACTCAATGGTCAAATTTGACAAGACACTGGCATTGGTCACGAGACGTCCGACCGTTTCGAGCGATCGAATAGCTGTGTAAGCGTGGGGAGGCCAAGTGTTTGGGAAGTCCCATTGAAGACCTGTATACAGCAAGGTCGTCACCGTCGGCATGCCACTGTATTTCCCAAGGAGGTATCGGATGCCAGAAAAGTGGGCCAATGCGGCGGTCTCATTACCTTCGAGACCTGGTGGAGTGATGTTCTGCCACAAGGGAAACGTACCGGCCATGGACCAGACATTTGAGTGGGTACTATCAGTTGTATTGTAGTCGTAGAACCAGCTTGAGGGGAGAAACCAGGTCAGGCAGGTGAACTCGCCCAGACGTAGACGCACATCCCAAGACTCACGCTCGCTCAGCATCCCAATGAAGGTCTAGTACTGCAGCACTGTAATTGGCAGCCATCTCTCGATGGTACTGTATGATTTCGGTGAAGTTGGACATGGTGTCGTTCATCGTCGACGTAGACTCGTTTGACGGATCTGAGCTGCTTGAATCCGAAGAGGAAGTCGAATTGGACATTGAGGAGTTGCCCCGGGACACATTTGCAAACAGCTCAAAGAGATTTGCGAGCTTAAGGGTAAGCTTTCAATCCAAGAGGCACATTCACCAGAGCGTGATCCCCAGCCAGCAGGGCATTCAGATCGACAGGAATGATAGCTCGAGTGTTCAGGGTCCTCAGAGCTGGGTAGTTGTCGGTCACATTGATTACGGGAACCTTGCACCATCTCGAGCTGTAGTCGTAGCCCGACTCTGCACCTGTTGCAATCTCGGCGTAGAGGGCAGCTCGTTGACTTTCATTCAGTGAGGGAGAGGGACCAAAGGCTGTCTCATAATCTTCAACGAAACCCTTAGGTGGAGATGAGCTTCGGTCAGGAATCAGCCACAACTGCTCACCTCTGGTCGAGGAGCGCTATTTGTCACATTATAGTGGGCCACAAGGTACGTCTTGTTGGTAAAGGACGAAGTGACGTTGATGGTGCGGTTTGTCTGCCACCATTGCATCTCGGTCTGAGATGGTCAAGCGTCAGTGTTAGCTGTACATCAATTGCCGTACTACCCACGCTGAGGATCGGTAGAGCACGTTCGAGCACAGAGATGTTACCACTGGCTTGGATGTAGGCGTTCACCATCTGCCACACTCGAGATCAGCACAGAAGAGGGTGCTATTAACTGTCACTTACCTGAACGAAGACCGGAGGCTGTGAGCGATTCAGGTAATATTTCCTGTCAAACTCATATGAGCGATGTCACTACTGCCACTCATGGACCACGGTCCCACCTTCCGCCATTAGGCAAGAACCCGTACAGCTGGTCTCGAGGTCAGGAGTGGTTCCACAGACAGGGAGCTAGTCTCACTTCAATGAGGTCCATAAAGTTCGATAGGAGATCATAAGCGTAGGTATACAGCTCAGACTTGAGCAATCCTTCGAGGATCCAAAAAGAATCCCAATAATAGATCTCTCGGTATCTGCCACCAGGGACCACAATGGTATGGTTGAGTGGAATCAGACTGGATTCGCACACGTCTGGCTGACAGACCGCCGATTCGTTTGTCTCCCTGTGAGGTCCCATCAGTGTCCAGGCCGTCAGAGAGAAGGAATTCGGACGAGCCTGATCAGAAGAGACCAGTAAGAATTGACAATCTCCAACCATCCTTTGACGATTGGATCAGAGACATTGTCCAAGCTCTTAGGATACGCCGTGAAGTTCTGAATGGTGACTTGAGACAGCTCAAGTCCTTCGCCTTTCTGGAATGAAATGTGAGCCACCGATGAACTGACTGTCACGAGATTTGTCGCTCACGAATTGATTGTTGACGAACGTCTCGATCTCTCCGACGGTCTTGTTTTGAGGCAGACCAGCGAACACTGTGAGCGTCTCGTTCAGTGTGAAGACAGTGGGCTAAAATCAGGTCAGGAGCAGTAGGCCCAGCTCGCTGTATAGTTAGGTACCTTGTCCACAAAGGTCTGAACCCAGAGATCAGCATTTTTGATCCTTCAGCGTGAGGCGCTTACCTTGCTATCAGGAAAGATCCCGGCGAGCTGGACGTCCTGAAGCAGCTACGCACCATCATGAGCCTCGATCTCTCGGAAGCACAGTTCCTACTTACCTCTCCCGGACAGAAAGTATCTGGTTGACCCCCATTACACAACGCTGTGGGAAGAATCTATTTAGCGGATCGGATTTACTACTCCTCGCCAAGATCAAAACGTCATACAGTGCACTCACGTTGTAGAGGAGGATAGACACCTTGACCAGCCACAGGAGTATCCAAAACGACAGTGGCAGACGCTACAGCAGTACTGACTGGCGTCGGCGAGAAAGAAGTCTGTACGCCTGGAGGTAGACTGTTCGTATTCGCGATGCTCGCAGTGGCGAAGGAGGCTGAAGCTGCAGAGGCTGTGAGGGGTTCATCGCCGGTCGGGGAGCCGACACTGGCTGCACTGCTCTGAGCCGCGATGCCTTTGATCAGTAAGGCCACAGCTAGAGTATGCCCCAGCATGTTCAGCGTCTGATGAGCAATGGCTGATGACCTGATATGGGGAAGGAAGTGCACTTATATCAGACCTAGGTCCATGTTCAAGTATGCAAGTGTGTGGTACGTGTGTGTGTGTTGAGCACGCTACTCTTGAGGGATATCTTATTCTCCTCATCTGCGTAAGATGTGTCAATTCAAGACTGAATGCCCAAACCCAATAGTTCAATGTGATGCATTTGAGCAGAGCAAGACAGCGAGGAGAACATCTATAGCAGCTAATAAATCTCAATAAATGACGTATCGCCAAGCTCGCCTGGCCCACCCACCTTCGGAACCCGTCTGCGGCGGCGCTGCGGGGGCGTCTACTGGATTGTGGCCATCGAGGTGCTTGGATGCTGTACTATGTATGCTGGTAGACGAGACACGCTGGATATAACGCCTGCCTCGCTCTCATCAGGTTGATTGGTCGAATCAATGCATTGGTAGCTTCGCTTCTACTTTTTGCCAAAAGACTCTGTCTCTCTCTCCCTCTGCGTCTCGATGACACTCCAACCCCCTCGCGTCTACGTCTCTCGATCTCTAAGCAATCATCGACGACATGTCTGCACGGATTCGGTTGTAGTCCAACAAACCTTCGGTCTGACCGAGCTGAGAAGAAAAAACGAATCAATACACAAGAGAGCTGAAAACTGTAACGCTCCGCTCACCGCTGCAATGGCGATATCTTTGTCCCACAGATATCTTTGGGCGACCCGCTTAATGTCCTCCTCAGTGACGTTTTCAATGTTTCGTTCAATCTCCCTTGGTGCAAGTCGTCGTCCAAGTGTCAGCATTTGTCGTCCAATCTATTGTGGGGTCGAGGTCAATGATGATGATCACTCTTCTGAAGCCCTAAAATACACTCACGTCCTCTGAGATGGCCAATGTTCCGTCCAATGACAACAGCTGAGCAGCCTTGGTCTGAGACTTGGCACGCTCAACTTCCGAGGTCGTTGGTGATAATGACATCCGTGTCCATTCCTTCAGGGTGAAGTGAACCATATCATCGACACGGTCAAATCTGAATCAAATTTCAGCTCGAATTTTACGCTTCGCACCTCGCGCTGGTCACTCACGACTCGGTGATCATGTTGATGCCCCAGAGACCAGTGTCGGCGTAAGCAGTGAAAAAGTGTTGGTACGAGTTGGCAAGACCGTTGGTCTGGATGAGGTGACTGAGTTTGGAAGACAACAGTGGGGAAGCTCCGAGACCTCGATCCCAGTTTCCGAGGATAGCAGCCATCACTTGCAATGGCCAGTAGTCGGGATGCCTCCATCCGACAGCCTCGACGGCAATAGCGAGGTGAAGCTGATTCATGGTGTCATCTCGGACGCGGACTTCAGCACCAGTGAAAGAGCTTGGGGTCCGGCGCATGTCACCGAGAGCGATAGGATTCGGAGAAGTCTTGACGTTGGCAAAGTGCTTCTCAGCCAATTCAATCAAGGTCTCGTGCTCGATTCCACCGGCTCCGACCAGACACATTCGGTCCGCAGTGTAATTGTCGGCGACGTAAGACTCGAGATCGCGCTTGGTCATCTTTCGAATGTGGCTTTCAGGGCCGAGAATGGTGTTTCCCAGGGGTTGGTCTGAGTCGGGAATTCAGCGCGGATTTCACACCCAGGCGCTCGGCGTACTCACTCTGGTAAGCGACAGCGTGGAGGTGGTCGAACAAAGTCTCAGTGTGGTTCTGAGCGACGTCCTCTGCCTCCCTGAGGATGACATCCTTTTCTCTCTCGATAGCTCCCTCATCGAGCTTTTGGTTCTGGGTAATGTCGGCTAGGATTTCGACCATTTTCGGTGCACATTCGTCAAAGCAGTGAGACTGGAAGCAAGTCTGTTCTCTTGATGTGTAGGCGTTGAGCTCGGCTCCCATATCCTCAATCTCGTATTCCATTGTGTACTGGTCCCGGCTCTTTGTGCCTTTGAACATGAGGTGCTTGAGAGATTTTGTTAGCTAGGTACGCTTCTCCAGCGAGTTTCCGACGCCAGGCTCACCTCTAAAAAGTGCGCCGCACCGCTCGAAGACATTTTGTCCGCTCTAGATCCAGCGTCGACCCACAATGAGATGGTGGAAGTCATCAATCCCGGCATCGTTTGAGAAGCGACGCTCAATCCATTGGACAGGACGGACATTTTCGTCACGGGGTCATTGTTGTCGTGCTTGACCCCCAAAGACGCAGGAGCGACGAATTTAGAGGCATAGTTCCGAGATGGAGGGATGAGGACCTGCGCATTCAGCGTCAGAAACCATCTCGCACCAAGTCGATGCAGATCATCTTCTCGAATCTCCAATCCGAGAAGATCCGATGCTGAATCTGCGTTCACTCACTGGTTGCTTCAGATTCCGAGTGGAAGCACTGGCGACTCGGCTGCCGAGTCCCCGAGTCAGCACCCTGGAGGAAGACATGGTGCGGGATGAAATGGATGAGAGGGGGGAGGGGAGGTTTCTAGGATGATGGGGAGGGGGTCCGAAAATGGACTCGTCCTTAGCGATTGAGTGCAAAGCTGGGAGGGATAAAGAAAGGTGGGTGGTTCTATAATCCCGATCGCCATACAAAATGGTAACTCCGAACATGTGGCACATTGTCAAGCAGCGTAGCCAGTGACGCGCGAGGCAGCGTCCACGTCGAAGTGCATTGTGTGTATGGCAAGAGCGATTGGAAGAGCGACTGCAAGCATAGAGCAGCAGCGATCACTGGACGTCTTTCGACTGTGACTCAGCAGTCACCTATATCTACCCCATCATGTTCGCCAATCAGCATAATGCCTATTCCTCATCCCAGCCCTACGCAGCCTCAGCTGAACCACTTGCATTCTTTAACGGAGCCAACGCAGCTGGATCTTCGTCCTCTTCGCCATACTATTCCGGATCGAGATCATCTCTGGAGGGAAATATGGGAGTTGGGGGAGGAGGAGCAGGTGCAGGCGGATATGCGACCGGAACCATGTCTAGCAGTGCGAGGCTCGGGAATATGGTCAGTTCAGGTGAAGGTCGATGGTGGGAAGCTTTTGGCACTGGAGGTTTGGATGGAGAGCCGAGTCTGATGGAGGGTGAGTGGAGTTGGCGCAAAGGCGACAGAGATGCTGGACGGCTCATGTTGACGCCCTTATCTTTCTTCTGGCATGGCTTCGCAGAGCTTGGCATCAATCCTTCGCATATCCTTCAAAAGAGCTTGACAGTGCTCAACCCTTTATCGAGGGTAGATGAACACATCATGGACGATGCAGATCTAGCGGGACCGTTTGTGTTCTGCTTCGCCTTTGCATTTGTGCTCTTGCTAGTAAGTTGAGATGAGATTCCAGCGGACAGAGAAGAGCTTGCAAGCTGACGCTGGACTACAAAAGTCCGGCAAACCTCAATTCTCCTACATCTACGGTGTCGGTCTCCTCGGCACTACCGCCATCTATCTCCTCCTCAACCTCATGTCCGACAATGGTATAGATGCCTATCGAACCGCTTCTGTCCTTGGATACTGTCTCATACCGATGATCTTCCTAGGATCTCTGGGCATAGGAATCGGTATCGACTCAGCCATCGGATATATCCTCTCTGTCATTTCCATCATCTGGTGTACACACTCGGCATCTCAAATCTTCGTCTCGGTTCTGAGGATGGACCATCAGAGGCTGCTTGTGGCGTATCCTGTCGGTCTCCTGTATGGATGTTTCGCGTTGTTGAGTATATTCAACGTGAATCAGAAGAAGTAGGCGTTCATTGCTTCCATGAGATCCTAGCTGCGGCAACACGAGGGTCCTGGAGACAATGACCATGCATTGCATTGCATTCTATCGCGGAGTCTCCGCTGCATTGCACATCTATATCGAAGCCTAACAACCTCCTACATCAATCCTGCCCATTCGTCGCGCTTCGAACTCTGCCCTATACTCTGTACGTCTACCAATTGTTCTCGGCTTGGGATTGGGATCTGAGGTTGAGGCGGAGGTAAGAGCGAGTGATACGGGGCAAGAAGGGCGTCAAATTCGGCGTCAAGGGATAGAGGAAGATTCGTAGACACTGACGAGACAATCAGACTTGGATTGCTGCGAGACTTCAGGGGAAGACTCACCATGTTGGTCGATAGCTTTTGCTGGAAGGGTCGCCTTCGACATGCCGGCGACAATCAAACGGCGTAAGGATGGACCATCCAGAGGTTCCTCCTTTTTGGCAGCAGTCGTACTGCTTGAACCGGCCTGAGGCAGAGACATGAGCTTGGGGTTCCATCGACATAAGAATCGGTCACCATACCTCTGATTTGCGCTTTCCACTCGGTCCCATGATATCCGTCGACAGCTTCTCCGCTGATCCGAAGGCGCTCTTGATTTTCCCAAGAGCCAGCAAGACGTCTCCTTTCGTCAACATGCCATTCTTTCCCGTTCCTTTCAGCTTGGAGATCTCGCTAGGGGAGAGGGAAGATTCTTGCAGTCTGCCCCGGGAACGTCAGCTCCTGCTTATACTGCCTGGGCGCAGGACCTCACAATCTCATGACAGATGGGAAGAGTGGCTTGGAATGTTGAATCGTTTTATGTCCATCTGAATGTTTATTTGTCGAATCTTGTGTCTTCTGAGGGGCAGCTTCCTTCTTTCCTCCTTCTGCTTTATTCTGCTCAGGTTTCGAAGCTTTTGAATCCTGCTTGGGTCCGGAACTAGAGCCCTCGGCTTTGCTCGAACCTGAGTCGGGTCCAAGCTCTGAGGGGACTTTTATACTCGACAGGTCATCGCCTTCCTCTGCAAGCATAGCGATAATCTGTCCGACGGGAATCTTGTTAGAGCCAGCTTGGACCTGAGAGGAATCGAATGAGTGCTGTGTGTCAATACACAAGGTCGAACAGAGCAAAAGCTATTCGCCAACGCCTCAGACTTACCAGAATCTTTCCCATGACACCATCATCCTGGGCTTCGACGTCAATTGTAGCTTTGTCCGTTTCCTGCGGGTTAAATGTAATGTCAATTCAACGTTCACAATATCTCGGACATTCAAAGTCATTGCCAACTCACCACCTCCAACAAGACGTCACCTGCTGCGAACGTCTCTCCTTCTTCCTTCTTCCAGCTGGTGATACCTCCTTCGGTCATTGTAGGTGACATGGCTGGCATCCTCATGGCGGTCGTTGCATACCGAACTTGTCTCGAGCCTGTGAATGGATAATAAGTTTTGCTGCTGAGCCAGACTGTATATTATCAGCTTACATTTTGATGACGAGGCTCTGACAGAGCGCATGATAGACATGCCTAGCATGCTAGATGCCATGGTGCCCGGGGCCTTTCTATACGAGCTCGACGACGACAATAGTTAACAAAGATGGTTTTAGGAATGAAATATATCGTTGGGGACGCTCGGCAATAACGGAGGAACGGAATCAAATTTCCTCGGGCAGACTCGCTACGTAAAGTAGAAGCAGCCATGCATTTGTTAAGTATACACCATCTACTACAACCCTTGATCTCTTACAAATAACAATATGCTCTCGTACACTGTCCATGCTATGGCTCCAGAAGCAGCTTTTCGGAATATGCGTAGACTTGATCCTGAGAAAAAGCCAGGAATCCCACGATCCTAAGGGTGGGGGTTGCCAACAATGTCAGCATGAATGACGACTGTCAGAGCGGGCCAGGCTCTGTGAATAGAGATAGAGACACACCTGATACAGTTTGATGATTGCTCTGCGAAGTGTCGGGTGATCTGTCGGGTTGACCTGCATCCTCGTCTTAACGCAGTCTGCTGGGGAGGTGGCCAATGTGGCGAGGACAGCTGCCGCTGCGGCTACAGGCAATTACGTTGTCAATCTCATCGTAGTCAAAAGGTGGATGATCCCGATGAAGATTCTCACCAGAACCAGAATGTAAGACTGCATTCGGGACACCCCATTCAGGTTTGATCATGCGTCCTTTGGACCTCTGATCAGCCACCAGCTTGACGATCAGCCGGACTCACCAGCAACTTCTTTGCCCTTCTCATAGAACGTGAGAGAAAGCCCGGCGTAGGGAGCATCCCGGACAGCCGTGGCTGTGACTCCTTGAAACAGACCACGGATGCCTTCAGTCTGCACCAGTGATCGGAAGGCTCCCCACAACGAGCGGTATTCGTGAAACTGAGTCGACTGTAATGACAATCAGTTAGATACACCAGGGAGGAGACGAACAGACAGAGAGAAAGATCATAGGACTGACCTCGTATCGAGCTTTCAGAATGGTTATCGGATTCAAGATGAAGCCGACAGATGTCCGAGCGATGGCACCAGCGAGAAGATTACCTTGATTGGATAATTTCACCAAGGCCGTACGGGATGAGAGCGATGAAGATGACGATACTGGAGTCTTTGATGATGTAGAACCTTCTAGGACAGTGATTGCAAGTGGTGTGGTCTGAAAATAAGGTGTGATCGATAATCGACCACGGATGGCAGACAACATGTAAAAGTAGAGAGCTACACCGGGGACGTTCCTTTTCAACCGAAAAGTATGAGCTTGTTGTAGGTTAGCGGTCGAGCTCTCACCTAACGAGCGTAGGTACTGTCCCTCTCCAAAGACCTGTCACTCCATCATCCCGCACGACTTCTCTCACAACCGTCCCCACCCGGCGTCTGAGATGCAGAGTGATCAGCCTAAGGATGACCCGTAACGCTAGCTTGTCAGACACACCTCTGAGTGCCTTCGTATCTCTGCTGCAACCTCGTTTTGAGAAGATCCAAAGGCTGCAGACATACAGCTGAACACAGTCCTGACAATGCGCCTGATGCTAGATGATGTTGTGCTTTGAGATTGGTCTTTGATATCGGGACATTGGGAGGAGGTATCACGGGAATTGGGAGAGGTATCGTTGGGCCTCGAGAAGAGGAGGCAATGGAGTTGCTCATCCGCAGAAGAGTGTCATGAGCTGTATCCCGTCTAGACCACTGATCGAGACTATCTACAGCTGAAAGGTCGTACAGTGAATGTACAGCAAGAGTCCGGGAGTTGCACTGAAATTTCAACGCCCGTCTTCGGCTACTTGGAACATCGACCATGTCCGAAGTCTGTGTGTCTTCTGACATTGGACCTTCTTCGTACGGATCAAGCAGACATCAAAAAAGCATGACATCAAGATGACATCGAATGTGAGTGCGAAGGCGGTGAGTGAGGGTCTCAATCCAGCTTGTTTCCCTTTCAAGAGGCAAGCATGGACAAAGATCCATACTGCCATTTGGCTCCTTTCTGGCTGACTCAGTCTCAGCGGATCAAAGAGGATGTACAGGACCTGTTAGCCCTCCTTCAGTCATCTAAGACGCCAGCCGGACCAATTTCATCAGGTCAGGCATCCCAGTCCGGTGATCAAGCTTCGATGAGGCCAAATGTTGGCGTCAGCAGCTCCACCTATTCGCCTTCCCGACCTGGCTTCGCTCAACCTCCATATAGCCAGAATGGACTTCGTTCGGCTCGTCCTGATCCTCCTTCCGTCATACCCTCAAAGCGACAACTAGATGATCTTTTGGCTTCTCTATCAGGTCCTCAAGGATCTTTTCCCTGTTCGCAGGCTTCATCTCATCGTCAATTCCAACCACACCCATCATATAACTCGAGCGGGCCAATGTCCACGGCTGCTCCGAGTAGATCCCGGACTTCACTCATAGACCCGTTCGGGCCCCTTGGCTCGGTACCAGTGTCTCAAGGCACCTTCGATCCCCAAGCTTCATTCAAATCGCTAGCTCATGTCTCTCCAGAGAAGTCGGAGCGTCCTGGTCCAAGCGATGCTGGAAGCGCTTCTAACAGCAGAATCGTTACCGACAGAGAGAAGCGACAGGATCCAAGATATGCAGAAATGAGCTTCGCCAAGGCTCTACCAGTCATCTCGGAGCTTTTGGAGGGCGAGCACTTCAAAAGGGAGCTCAAAAAGGTAAATGAGGATCACATCTTTCTCCGTCGATTTCTTTTACGGTACTGATTCTCTGGATCTAGATGAAAGCCGATCAGGATGCTCTGGAAAGGCGACTTTGGGCCAAACAAGAGCGAGTCAAAGCGGAACATGAAAAGGTCGTCCAGGCCGAGAAGGATATGTGAGTGGCAGCGGCTCCTCCTTGATGCTCCGTCTAAGTTTTATACCAGTGCGCGAATCTCTCAAAAGCCTATTCCCAAGGCGAAGCTAAAGGTGAGCGGGCCCCATACCTTCTGGCCGTGGCAGGTCCCTGATACCGACTAGCAATTCGCCGATATGCTCGCTTCGGATCTCGCAGAGTTCTACCTCCAATCTTGTCTACCACAGATCGACGGACTCGCACTGAGACAACGGGAAAAACTCCAAGAGCTCGGCGTACCTGGCCTCGGAGGAGATATGAAGGATGACAAGGTCTGCGAGAGGATAAAGCGTATCATGGACCTTTTAGAGGATGCCATGGAATAGCATGATCGGCGATCCTTTTGGAGATCGTATGTTGTTACAGTAGTGTATGTACAACATTGTAGCTCTAGTGGTTGGTTGAGATGTACGGTGAGAGAACGAGTGCGGAAATGGTCTTATGCTGTGACACTGCGAGGTAGTTCAATTCTGAGCGATCTAGTCAGCGAGTATGGCGAAGGCGGAAAAGATGGCAACTCGCCTCTCGCCATTGGTGTGCGCACTCGACGCATTTGCTAAAGCGGTCTATCAGCCGAGTGATTCGATCTGGTAGATGGACCAGCTTACTAGAACGTGGTCATAGGCTCATCTGCTGAACGGATCTGCAACTGACGGAAATACGCTTGTCGAGAATCGCATTTGGGACAAGCGGCTGACAAGCCACTATCAGCCATAGGTCCAGGCTATGCCCATTGGGATAGCCGAGAACGGAGCAGCTAAGAGTGCTTGTTCCACTCACCCTCGACTTTGTCAACATTCGCCCAGCTTTCCTTTCCTCCCAGAACATCGTCCACTTTTTTGATCTTCATGTGCGTCCGCATGGAGATCTGCTGAGTGATGATAGATTGATAAGGGCATGTCGGGCATATCCTAAGGGATGCGATGGTGAGCGACTGGAGACATCGCCAGTCCCCATTGCAGACAACATTCTTTCGCCTCATCACTCACCAGGCCTTTCGATTTTCTTCTGCATTCGAATCACCGATTGTCAAGTTGTTTGCGCAGTACGGACAGAACAGCATCTCTTGAGCGCATCAAAAGCCGTCTCAGCAGAGACGCTCTAGACCCTTCTGGCTTGTCCTCGCTCCTCCTCCTCCAATGTCCAGCAGCCGGTTTCCCAGCACCAGCGAGTCAAGATTGGATCAAGATGCAAAGTCAAAATTGTCATTAGGCGCGGGGGACTCTCTTTCCCCCCCTATGAGCAAAAGTGCCACATAACCCCCAATAACCAGGGCTGGCTCTCTCATCCTTCCTTACCTTGAACACTTCTTCCATTGGTTCAGCGCATCGTCGTCATCAATATGGACAGTCTGGCTCTAATTGAAGATGGCGATGTTGCACTGTCCATGCAAAGGAGCAAGTTTGCATGTCTAACGTGTCGGGTGAGAAAGGTGAGCTTGGGATGTCCCAATATATCTTTCGGGTGTCGGATGAACCGGCATTCTCTGCTGCCAGAACTCTTTAGTCGATTCGGACGGGATGTCGGATCCCCCTGTTCGTATGATACTCGACAGAGTGCCCTCGTAGCCGGATCGATCGATTGATCGACAGGTCTGAGGATTTCACATGCTGCCGTCCATCGACTTGTAATGATATGGAGGGAATATCCCTGACTGTCTGCTGACACGCCATCTTCCCCTTTCACCAGGTCCGATGCGATGAGCTTCGTCCAGAGTGCGGGAGCTGTGTCAGTGGGAAGAGAGAATGTATCTGGCAGGATGACGATTCAACTCGACCTCTCATGGCCAAGAGCAGGGGTTCGAAAGCGTGTGAGAGTTGTCGAGTGAAAAAGGTGTGTCTGTGTGATTCAGGTTCTCGTTTTTTTTTTTTTTTGCTGACCTTGTCACCGAAGCTACGATGCTCTGGACCGCAAGCGGATGGAACATGCGAGCGATGCAAAACCACACGGACGGAATGTACGTGGCTCGAAAGGAAGAGACCGCGTCGGCGATCAGGTCGAAGTGGATCACCTCCACGTCGAATATCATACCAACCGCAATCTGATGCCTATACTTCTGGCCACCAAACGGGGGAAATGGGCGCTAGACAAGCAGCGGGCTCAGGCGTGATGATGTCGTCTGAGACTCAGGATGGCACGGATTACGTCTCAATGGCGTTTGATACCCTTGCCAACACCTGGCCTGGAGTGAATGGGTTCGACCCTTCTCAAGGTGTCACTGGCGATCCGTCGACATTGGGAGCTTTGGATATCGGAGAGGATGAAAAATTGGACTTGATCAATCTTTACTTTGCTGCTGTCCATAGTGAGTCGGAGAACGTCGGCCATGGTGTGATGGCTGCGCTGACCTTTGGGTTCACAGCCTTGGAATACCTCTGTTTTATCCCCTCACACCAATTCATGGATATGTATAATGCCGGCACTGTCCCTCAAGAGCTCTTAATGCTCATGCTCGCGAACGCCCTCAGGTAAATCATCGCTAAAGTTGCCCAACGTTCATTGGCTAAACCAAAGGTCCTTCGTATCAGATTCGGATCAGTTCCTTCACCAGATGATCTAGCTCGCGCAGACGCTTGGGCGGACGAAGCGAGTCGGTACTTATTACTAAAGGTCCACCGGCTTTTCAGTCCAATCGACTTGATGGTGAGTAGAACAAATGTTTATACGTAGCTCCGCTGAGCGAATCACGCACTAGGCACTTCTATTGGCCTGTCACTACGACTACGCTCGCGGAAACTTTGCTTCTGCCCTTTTGCTGTCCGCAAGTGCCACAAAGTGGGACACCCTCCCTACATGACGATCATGCTAGACCACACTGACGTTTCCACAGAATCATGTACTCTATGTCCCTGAATAATTTCGAGGCAGTCTATCCCTCTGGCGTCATCTCCAAAACCTACTCAATCCTCACTGACGAATCTCTGCGGCGTGCAGCCTGGGCGACCTTCTTCCTCGATACATGCCTCACAACTCAACATGGCGCAAATTCATCCATCATGAACGACATAGGGGGCCTGCAACTTCCGACCGATGAGCAGAGCTTCTTGACCGGCGTGCATTCCTCTACTGGCTATCTCGTGTCGGACGGAGAGTCCGACACTCAACACCTGGACCTCGGTGCCTTTGTCTTGCGCGCTACCGCGGCCAGGAGAACACTTTCTAGTGCTATTTTCGCGGCGCTAAGTGCAGACTCCAATCTCAGTCCTGCCAGTGCAGATGCTGTCGTATCTGAGGCAATTAAAATGCTGGAGCAATTGCCGGAACGATATCAGTGGAATGAAGCTGTGGCTGAGGAGAATCGAGATCGCCTCGCGCTCATCATTCACCTTCACGCTCTTCACTCCTACATTAGAATACTATCGGCTCGCTTGAAACTCTCCAAATCTCCAGTTGATGCTCTTGACGCTCGACAGTCTAGAGTCAAAGAAGCTTGTCTAATTGGCATCTTCGTTTCTCAAGCTTCAACATACGATGCCAGGCTAGGCATACAGACTGTGATCATTGCGTACGTGGCACTAGAGAGTGAGTTTCCGTGAAAGCCTGAGAGGAGATGTTCGCTGACGCGCTCGTTTCAGTTCTCATCATAGAGCCGTCAAAGGCTGAGATGGACGCCGCCAGTGCGGATCAGGGCAGTGCCATCACGTCATTACTGGTTTGTCTGCGTGATCTGGCGAGGCGGACAAGGATAGGGCATGTGCTGGTATGTCGAGTCCTCGGTGTCATCTCCGTGGCTTCGATGCTGATGGTCACAGTACATCGAAGCTTGTCAAAAGCTCGTCAGGCATAGCCAAGATGGCCTGATGGGTCAAGAGGATTGGGATGCGTTCCAGAAGTGAGCGGCTTTTTTCATGCGGGTGGTGGCCCGAGGATTGACGGTACTTGGCAGGGAATATCAATACACCGGCAACGCCAATGTGACGCCTTCGGCAGGCGAATTCCAATGGATCAAGGTCGAAGCGCCTACAAATTCTCAGCACGCGGCTGCGGATGCTCTTCTCGACCTCAACTCAACAGTCACCGTAGATCCAGCTCTATCCAACGTTATTGATCCTGCGCTCAGTGGACAGGGGTCTACTCTCGCAGATGCAGAGATGAAGCTTTCAAATGCAGAAGGTCTGGCGTTTGATCTAGACGGCTCAATGTGGGGCGGAAACGAGCTCAGACCAGGAGGTCTGGAAGACTTGTTTGTGGGTGTCTTTAAAGAGGGCCAGGGAAAGGGTCCCGCGGGAGCTTCGTTGGGTCTGTGCGATTAGCTCTTGGTGGAGGACTTTTTGTCGCTAGATTCATCTGTAAGGAGTGGTCAGTACATTTAGACATTTAGAGAGCCAGATGTGGGCATAGGTCTCAAATTTGTCCATATGAATGCATGAGCATGAGTGAATGATAATAAGAACGACCGGTCGCCACTCGCCACTTTGATCATCCGCGCTCGTTTCAAGTTATTAAACGCGCTGAAACTCGATTCGAAATGCCCAAATCAATACAGGTTGGTTGGTATCTCTTGACCCTTGGCGTATCAGATGCGTCCACAAGAGAGATGGGAATGAGATGACGTGTACGCGTTATTCGGACCTCTTCGTCATGGTGAAGGCCTGAGAAGACCTCTCCTTCCTGCTTTCATCGACGCACGCACCACCCATCATGTTCACCCCTCTGTCCAAAGGCTCCGAGCGTGCCCAAGATTCATTATGGGGTGAGTGGACCTGGCCTGTCGCCTGCAATCTCAGTCCTGCACGGATGATAATGTTAAATTGCTTTCTTCAGACCGTACGAACTCCCCCCGGAAATCCAAGACGAGGACATCGCTGTCCAACTCTCCTCTAGCTCCGAGGACAGGGCTTGGACTTCCGTCTCAGCTCGTTCAACCGAGGGTCGAGGCGCACCGCGGTTCCATCAGGCAGGCTCGTCTGGCGAGAAGGCAGAGCATAGTGGAGGCTGAGACGGGGGAGGAGACGTGGAACAAGTGGTTCTTCAGGGTGAGTCCGAGCCCTCCTTTCCACTACCGATTTGGACATAGAACTGACTGATTGGTCTAAACGGTAGCCTAAACGTGCAACGGTGGATATTTGGATGGCATCGTTCTGGAAAAGACATTTCGTCTTGACAGTTCTGCCCTGTTTGGCGGTGGGTCACTCTCCATCAGCATCGCCGACATGCATTGTGTGAATTAAATCACTCCTTCAGGTCTGGATCTGGGTCGCGATTCCCTTTCCTGTCAGTGATCCGTACAAGGATAACCCATTCCCCGATATCCCAACTTGGCCCAAGAAGCCATCTGAAGGGGGAGGTAAGGACGATGGGGAGGGGCAAGGAAGTCTACCTCTGGATGTCAACTTCTACTTCTTTCTCATCTGGTGAGCCCTTGTGTCGCACAATTGAAAACGCACCAAACGCTGATCCTTATGCTTAGGTATTTTGGGTGTGTAGAGTTTTCAGATACAGCGCAGCGGGAGCAATGAGCCTACTGACGAGATTCCTCGCCAGGATGTATCTCGCCGTTGCCTTGTTCTTCATTACGAACCTGTTCTCACTGTACCGCTTGAGTGAGCGCTCTGTTGCGTATGCCGGGGCTCGGGTAGCTCACCTTGCTCAGATTGGTGGCCATCGGCATTGGGAGGTAAGACCTCCTACGCTTTGTCGTGGACCTCTACGCTACTCATCGGGCTCACCGCGCACCACTTGGACCTATTTCGACTGCGACGACGTTGGGAATCGCGTGATCCGACAAACACATTCGATTGGGAACGAAAGAGTGAGCTGGACCTGGTGGATCAGGGGCGGAAAAAGCTCACGCTTAAGACAGCTTTTTGGGTCGTCTTGAGCTTTGTGGCCATGCTCATGCCTGCCCTTGCTTGCTTTTCAAAGCTCAAGCGAGATAAGAGGCACACCTTACGAAGCACCGTACCGACTGTATCCCTTACGTGAGAAAAGTGCTCCCAGATCCCGGTCACCGCGCGCTCACCAGGGCCGATACGTTAGATTCTTCGGCGAGACGTTTTCAAGAAAGATTCCAGCGTCTTGGAAACGATTTTTGTGGTTCATGACGTGCTTGGGAATTGCATGTTTCTCTTTGATAGCGGGACAAGGTGGGGGTTTTGTACGGCGTGCAAATCCTGAAAGGGCTGATTCTGTTCCTTCAGCATATGCCAGTCTTTACCTCTCCACCTTGCCGCACACTTCATTGGATGCCGGGACATGGGTGTATTCTTGGGTGATCAGTGAGTGGGATCGGCTCGTTGAAAAAGGCAGAATGCGGCGGATCCTGATGGCCACATAGCGGTCCAGCTCCTCGCCATGACTTCAATGTTCATTCTCTCCAGCAAGGTCCGAAGTCGAGCCCTTTTGTTCCTGTACAAGCTCTTCTTCCAACTTGTCTATCACATCTTTTACCGCAACCTGGTAAGTCGTACAAAGCTTCATATCTAGCAAGTCACATCGGTATTGACTTTCGATCACCCCCTTTACTTCCTTTCCTATCAGTTTGCCCGTCTTCGATCTCCATCCCAATTCGCAACAGTCCAACTTTTATCCTCCATCTCTGTCGTCATCATCTTCCCTCTCCAGATGACTAGACTCTATCATCGAGCACTTCAGATCATGATTGGGTATCCCGCCACATGGGAAGATCATGCGGAAAACGTAGCATCAAGCTTTTACTGTCGAGGACTAGCTCAAAACGTCACCATGCTGGGGTTCCTAGGTGAGTCGTTGGTCACCCCCAAGCATCGATACGGATGCTCGATTCATATCTGATTCTATCCTACAGGTTGGCTCACGATCCTTCATTTCGGTCCCAATGCTCGTATGTCAGAAATTGCCTCCCACTGGCGTGCCAAACTGACGTTTACTTGGGGAAAAAACTTCCAGAGGTCTACCCTTTCTTCCGTTTCTCACCGACGCCAGAAGATCCATATACGTTCCCATTGACTTTTACGGCCTCCTGTGCGATCTGGGTGAGGCATTGCCTACACTTCATATTCAATGTGCCATGGCTGATTTGGATCGTCCTCTGGGCCATTTCTCTCTAAGGGCTCCGAACTCGTCAGCTCATTCATTGCGCGACAAGTCATGTTATACGCGTTCAAAATTGATGTTTCCCAGGTAGGGATGGACGAAATGAGAGAGTATCCCGAATTAGGCAAGTCTCATGGTGGTGGAGCTTCTCATCAGGTGCTGATAAAGCCCTGGTCCCTTCAGTGCCCGCATGTGGGTGGGCTTCTGTCCATGTATCAATGAACATTCTCATGTTCCTCATCAGACTAAACTTTAGATAGTAGATTGTCATTTAAAACGTGTGTATTGTATCGCATGCAAGTAGCATCTCTTGAAGTAAGGATAAGATGACTATGAGGGGAATAGATGTATACTAGAAGATATGTGGGTAGCAATAAAGAAAAATCTGTTGGACGTCGAGCGGGCATCTTCTGCCCCCGCTAGAAGCTCAGTCTGAGCCAAGCTCGTTCATGCTCAATCATAAAAATCCGTGAGATCGTCAAGTATCCAAATGGTATCGTTTCGTTCCAAAGCGTTACAGTCATATCCGTGTTATATCGTATTATACAGCGTTGGGCTCAAATCGTGTCACACTCGTAATGCCACAGGCTGGCTCTGAGTGCGCTTCGCAGCCTTTCGGCTCGAGATCCTCAAAGGAGGCCTGAGCAGGGTATCAGCGCAATGTACCACTCTTGGACGTTTCACTGACTTATTGGCAGGTAAATCATTCTCTCGACCAGAATGGACGATTGGGCGTCCCTCTGCAGAGCCATGAGCTTTCATGTGAGAGGACTTGATCGGCGATCTCTCTCCAGAATTGAGGATCGATGGCGTCAAGATGGATGGTCCTTCCTTCTTAGGCACCAAAAGATGGCTCACTGGCATACTCGGCAGATGTTGTGCTTCTGCGCCTCTGGCCAAGCTTTCCACTTGTGTCGGACCATCCGAGTTCCTCCTCCTGCCCCATCCCAAAGCCTTGCGTCGAGCAGAGGATGTGACTCTCGATCGCTTTGTATCTTGCATCACCTCTTGGACTTCCGTCGTGGTCGTCTGCGGACTTGCTGGTGATGAAAGTCGCATTTTCATAGGCGGCAGACGGAAGGGCGTGAATGCATGGGAGGGTAAGATGGGAGGAGGAGAAGGTGGAAGCTCTCGTGTGAACTGAGCAAAGATGGCTGAAGGAGGTGGAACGAGCTCGGGAAAGAGTGCTGCGAAGGGGGATGTCGAGCTTGACGACCTGGGAGTTAGACCACTTCCAGGTCCGCATGCCTCGCTGATGCCGTCCGGCCCAAACGAAAGTCGACTATTCGTAGAGGCCGAGGAATTCGTCCTCTCGAATTTGGTCTGCAGACTTCCCTTTGGTCTTTGAGGGACCTGTGATGCAGACTTGGGCAAGGGAAGACCGTATGGCGACATGAGCGGCCTGACCTCTTTGAACGAAGACTTGCGCCGATCAGCAACAACACCATTACCAGAAGATTGCTTCTCCTCGAGCGGTCGGTACGTAGCTTGAGACTTGGCGAGGAAATCCATGATACCGCGCACAGTCTTGGGCGGTGAGAATTCTGTCGATCCTGCAAGTGTCAGAGGATCTTCACGTGATCCTGGACATCAAGACTCACCCTCATACGAGCTGCTTCTTGGATCCTGCCAGAGCATTTTGCCCCTTCGGCACTCATATTCTGCCTCATGGCGCAATTCGCTCCACTTCTTCATTTGCTGCAGCATCTCTTGATCTTCTACCTCTTCCTCTTCCTCCTCGCCATCAGCGTACCAGCTTTTGACTTGAATGGGCTGGCGGGGTCCAGGACCAGCGACTCGGATCGTACTGTTGTCATTCTGGACGTTTCGGGGTGAGATCTTCGCCCGAAGCGTGGTGAGAGAGGGCTCTTCCTTGATAGTGGGGTGAACCGTGACTCCCTGAGATGACTTTTGCCGAGCGTGACCGGCACCCAGAGGTCGAAGACGAGATGCTGAAAACGATGAAGCGCCATCAGAGAAGCGAGTCTCCAAGCTGAGACGAGAAGAAGACTCAGACGCGGATGGTGACGATAGCACAGGCGTATCCGGCTGATGAGCGTCCTTGAATATGAGGTGAGCAGGTTTGCGTCGAGGTCTGACAGGTCGACAAAATGTTGATCCAAGTCGTTGGGTCGATCCATTGGAGCCGGTAGAGATGGATAAGTCGGCTTGAGCTATAAAGGTCAGCAGTTGCTCTTGAGAACGTCACTCACTCATCGACTCATCCTCGCCTTCTCCCTCAAAACATTGCTGCGCTTGAGCAGTCACAGTCTGTATATTCTCTCGCGAGACACTTTCCAGACGTTTCGCATACTTGGCCACATTGATACACATGTCGTCGATTCCCTCGTCTCCAACACTGGTAGCGGAGCTCACCATAGAGATCGGTCTAAGAGGTTGGAGGAAGAATCCACTGGTGGCAGGCTTTAGCGTGGCATCCTCCCTAGACTCTGGCTCTGGCGATACCGCTTGAGCAAAGAACGAATCGTCGTCATCCATGACTGCCATGCGAGGTAGCTTTGGCATTCGAGCACCAGGCGGAACAGCGCGGAACGACGAATCAAGTATGCTGTCCCAACTTGTTCGTTTAGGCATCGGATCGCCAGGATGGACCACCCGGAACGACGTATCGAGGACACTGTCCCAGCTCGATCGACTAGCTCGATTGGTCGCTGGGCTGCCGCAGCAAGAGTCACGCTGATCATTCCTGGAGCCAGCGCAGGCCTTGTCTGAGTCCTCCCGATCAATCCAGTCTTCGTCTGCATCGTCGCAATTGTCTTCATCGTCTCGATTGACCGATGGAGAAGCCGCGATGGAAGTCAACTGTACTCCACCGTCCAGCTCAAACATCTTCTCCCCAAGTCCTGGTCGGCCCAATTGACCGATAGACGTAGTCGACATTGCTGATCGAGACGAGTCTACTGAAGAGGTACTGCGTCGATGGGCAGCCCAATCTGGTCGACCGAATGATCCTCCACCCGAAAATCCTCTGCGATGTCTAGACACATATGAAACGTGGGAATTTCGACGAGAGTTGTACATGCTGATGGGTGGACCGTTCGGCATAAGAAGATTCTCCAAGCCAGGAATAGAGTCGATCGAGCCAATCGACGACTGCCGGCGATGATGCCGCTTCATGGGACCAATGATCGAATCCTTTGACACATTGCAAGACGCCGCCGGGATAGAGCTCAAGGGAGCCGTATGGGCCTGCACTTCTTCACTCTGTTCCCTGAGATGCTTTGTAAAGTTGACTTCGAAGTAGTTGGTATACTCGCCAGCGATGCCGGTCTCGATGACTGCACCAAGTGAAGACATCGTGGCAATACTGACGCCAGATTCCGCTCGATCGTGAGATTGCGAGAACGCCGGTCGAGGTGCCTCAAGGGAGTCTTGTTGGGAATGTTGGCTACTCGCATCGTGAGCGGGGAGAGAAGCCTCCGGCTCATCAACCATGGATATCAATGCAGTCAGAGACGGATTGTGTTTCAAGGAGTGAGGTCCAGACTCGTGGATCGAGGCAGGTGGAGTCATGCTCTCTTTGAGCTGAGAGACTCGCATCTGGAAGGCTGGATTGCCCTGAAATGGAGGAGGTCGAGGACTTCGGCGTTGAACCGTTGATGTTGAGGACGTTGAAGACTTGGCTACTCGGGGCGACGCCGATACACGAGATGCGCGATAAGCAATTTGTGGTACCACAATGCAGTCTTCATCTTCGAGCTCGCTGTCACTGTCGTCATCCATCTCTGGGGCCGAAGCCACACGAAAGCTCTGGTCCTCGAGCAATGGTTCCAGGGTCCTGATCAGGTTAGGAGGAGGTACAGGAGGAAGAGCCGGGAGCGCGAGATTCTCTCTGGATCGGACTTTCGCTAGCGCCTCTACGAACGAGAAACGCTTGTCGCCTTGATTGAGAGAAGCATATTCGCCAGTAAAGTCAAACGAGTGACGATTATCTGATTCGATATCTGGTGACAATAGGTCGCTTGCGATGCGGCCTCTCAAGTCATCCCTATTCAGCTGGTTGATGCCGAGATGGTCGGGCCCAATACTTGACTTTCGCGGTTCACCAGCTGAAGCTGGAACAGGAGGCAAGGATGGCGGGGGAGGTTCAGTATGCTGGCGTCGAGGCGAGATGCGGTTCTGGGGAGGTGGCAAAGGTAGACCAAGCTGGTTCGTTCCGGAGAATCGTCGATCAGCCTTCTTTGACCCAGCGCTGACAGTAGTAAGAAGCGGTGCGTTGAGAAATCTCGGTTGCTGTGTTTGAGTGTACCCAGGCAGAGAGAAAGCAGGAGCGGGCGGAGGTGAGGGCGGAGCGAAGATATTCCTCATACCCTTCTTCACCATACTCGTTCGTGGCGGTGAATCAGCAGGGCTGGAGACCGGTCTCGCCTTCTTGGCTTTGTTGCCTTGGTTTCCGGTCGTGTGAGCCATCTGCGAGCGGTGTAGAGCCAATTTGAGCGGAGATATATTCGTACCGGATCGCATGGGGCTATCCTTGGATTTCTTTGAAGTGAGCACAGCGGATCGAACGCGTCGCATCGGAGTAGGACTACCATCGACTTCAATGGAAGTAAGAGATGGCTGATCAGAGGTCGATGCGGGAGAGACACCGACAGTAGGAGCAGGTGAGAAGTTGCAGTGCTCGACCAGGTCATAAAGTTTGTCCGTTGCACTCGCGACATGGCTGATGTCACCTATACGAGTCAGCAGTTCCCGTAGCAAAGTACTCACGATCAGTGCAGAATGACGAAGCATCTCTCATAGCACTGTGTTCATGCCTGGAAAAGGGAGGTGACGAATGCCGGTTGCTTGAGAGTCCGCTGTCGGCATCTTGTATCTCCTCAGCCAGCGATCGAAGCTGTGTGGCCTTCGAGTGCCCTTTGGAGCCTTTGGGAGACGAAGTGAGACTGAGGGACTCATTGCCCATCTCGAACGCCTTGTGAGCTGCCGCTTTGCCCAAAGTAAAGGAAGAAGGAGGTGCTCCAGACTTGGCAGATTGCAAATCAGGCTTTAGCCTGTCGAACGACTTTCGCATGGCGAGACCGAAGAGACCAGAGAGGGACTTGCGTTTGGGCATAGGCTTTCGGGACTGCATGCTAGCACCTTTGTCACTGCCTACGCTGGTGGCTGATGCGTCATTCCTGCCGTTGTCTTTGTGAAAGGAGCTGGGTAGAGAAGGGGCTATGCCATGAGTGGCTGATGTCGGGGTGATGACACAATCATTTGAGGATGCTGATTTGGGTAGAAGATCCGCGAAAGGCGGGGGACTGTTAGACGCAGAGAGGGAGGCATGGAGACTTGGACCATCGATGGATGGTTTGATCAGGTGTAGAGCGGGCGGACGCGGGCGGGATGCGAGCGTTGGAGCAGACCGTGCTTGACTGTGGTCGGCGAGATCTGAGGGATCGAGAAGTGGGACAGGTTTGCGGACGGATACCTTTCGCTGAGTCAATCGTGGCGGCTCCAGTGTCATGACTGGGCGGTCATGTAGTACTGCAGGAGAACGTGACGTGAGCTTCGTCCAAGAAGGACGAGAAAGCTGGCTCACGTTTTGGTGCCTCGATTGATGCTGTTCCTTTCTTACCTCGAAATAAGGTCCACACTTTTGATTTGGTCTTCTCCCTCTTGAGCGTCTTAGCCTCTGACGTCTCTTCTACGAAGGGAGTCAATTCGCATCCCAACGAGATTGGTGATGGCACCGCTCTGGCTTTGATCTCAGCCTCGCGTTGACGTTGATTGACATCGTCTACTTGGAGCGAATGGATCGCTGGTCGGGATGGCAAACTTGACTGGTCCTGTTTAGCCGATGCAGCTGCGATATCGCCGAGGACTCTTCCAAGGGACGCTGTACGGGGAGGTAAGTTGACCAGAGGCGATCGAGGAGCCACAGGAACCGACGTATGCTTGGGTCGGACGGTGCTCGGTTCGACAAGAGTTTGTAATGATTTCGTGAAGGGTGGTCTAGCATGGAGTCAGCCGGTAATATGGGGAGACAAAGCTCACACTTCGGGCAGAATTTTTGTGCTCCCCGTAGCGGACGAAACAGTCTTGGTGGACAATGCTTTGCGCGAAGAGATACTTCCTCTCCTATCCAAGGATGTACTGACGCTTGAGATGGACCCGACACGACATGGAATGGTCTCGACAACCTCCACGTCCCCATCAGTTCTCTCGAAAGGATCAGGTGCCATACTAGGCCGAGCGCGAGGCGTAACATCTTGGACGGGGGATTTGCCTCGAAGAGAAGAGGTCAAGGCAGAAAGACCAGATCGTGAGGGTTGATGAGGGAGACTCGGTCGAGAAGGCTTTTTCTTCAACAGTCGAGAGGATTGTTTGCGACTGACAGGTGGGGGGCCGATGGACATGTTGGACGATGAGTCTGATGATTTTTGAGATATGGTACCTGATGGGCAAGAACCGGCGATACTGGTGTCTTTCGGAGGCACGAGTGGAACGGCGTGTTGAGCATATATAGGTCCAGATACTAGACCGAGCCGAGCACCACTTGCAGAGACCTTTTCGAGCACTTGTTGACGTGACTTGCCGGGAGATTGACTGTTTCCCCAGTGAAGAATATCGGCCAAGGCCTTGCGAGTCTTACCAGTCGTCTTGACCTTTTCTTTGTCTGCTGTACGCTTTGGCGATGTGAAGAGAGGTCGTCGAGAGTCGAAGAGTGATGATTTTCTGGGCGGAGGTGCGTCGTCGTCTTTGTAGATGGTCAGCTTGTCTGCTTTGGGTCGACGAGTCTTGTCGTCTGCTTTCGTAAAGAGAGAAGAAGGGATTCTGCGGAGCGAGTCTTTCACCGTAGACTGGCCGTGGGAACGAGAGAAAGAAGACGGTGGTGGGGGAGGTCGATGGTGGTGGGTAGGAGCATGGTGCAGAAGGCCTGGCGTTATTTGGCTATTCATGACGAATGGTGTTTGTTGTGAGCCACGGGCCAGGTCTCGATCAGCGAATGTGTGGATCAGGGTTGAAACTGTGTGCAGTCACAGTCCAGAGAATGTTGACTGACTGCCGCTGAAGTGGATGAAGATTGTCGTTGATAGGTCGTTTGAATTCATGAATTATCGTCAAGTCGTTAGGTGGGAATGGACGGGGAGGTATGGTCAACCAGTCATGATAATGGATAGCGATGTGGATGGTAAGCAGTGATGCGATGGATGGGGTCAAGCGAAAGGTTGTTCGAACGATGAGCGTTGAATGATCCTATGATTCGGACAAGCCGTATCTGAGGACGAAGTCAGAGTGGTCGTCGTATGTGTATGTGGATATTCCGCTGTCGCCTAGGCGTGATGTCGAACCAGCCCGAGCGACTCCTGATAGCAGGAACACACAGGCCTGTGTTATGTTTGAGTATGGGATTCGGGTAGACTGTCCAGCCCAGTCCGTTGTTGATCTGTAGTGGATAGGGAGTGGTAAGGGGGGAGGCAGTTGAGAGTGGTCGTCAATCGGGTCTTTGGTTATCGATAGATGAATCTGGTCGTTACTGTCATTAGTCTCGTCAAGAACACCACCTGCCCGTTGTGTTTCTCTGGTGTCAAGGTCAGTGGGTCATGGAACGAACGAACGAGAAGAGAGCGAGCGATAGATGTGGTTGAATGCATGCCCACATACACCCACACACAGAGTCATCCAAAGGACAGTGGATGCCATCATTCAACGCGAAATTTCACTCAACGCTGGTCTGTTGTGCAGCGAGCAATGGTGTGTGTGTGTCGCTGAGAGACGGAGAGCCAGTGGCGAACCCGGTCCCATTCAACTCGGAGAGGAGGCATCGAAACTGCTGAGGACGCAGCTCTGACCATAGTAGGCAGAGACGTGGAGATGGAGACTGGGGTTGGGTCCTGCTTCATGATTGTCCCGGCGCACAGGACTGCTGAGGCTTGACACTGACCCGGATCGGTGGATGGGTGCAGCGTTGAGTACGCAAGGGACATCATCGGGTCTTCTCTGAAGATTGGTTTTGTTGTCCACCCCTTGGACCTGGATCTACCATGCCCAATCCTCGTCACGACGTGTGAGGTATCGAGCATGTCGAGACCAAAGATCCGCCCCCGACCGACGTTTCCAGGCACGCCCCGTTACAGCCTAATACAAAAAGCATCCCCCGCCCAAATACTTATTAATCTGATTAGAAATATCGATTAGAAAACGCGCGTCGGGCGCCCCTCGCCGCCGAATTCCGTCTACGGAATAAGAAAGATACGAGCGATGACCGCGCGTGTGTTAGAATAGCAGGACGATGCTGGATCAATTCTGCTGGTGAGTCAGTGAGGTTGGTTACAGGATATATCAGCATGCAGAGCTGGAGGACTGTTGACACAGTGAAACACCCTCACTCACTCACTCTCTCCCCCCACGAGCCATTCGATGAACACCAGTCGCGTGTCTTTCATCTTCGGCGAATGTTCCGGGCGGTGTAGACCGTTTAGATTCGGCGATATCCGATGAGCGGGGAGAGAGAAAGGAGGAGGCCGGGACTCTGGGGGAATTCGCAGCGTCACCTTTTCTCGTAGCATCTTTTTTCGAAAGACTCTCTTTTCTCTTTCATCATCATCATTCCATCTCCCAACATCCATCGACATCGTGTCTGTACCTCTTGGGACTTACATATATCTATACAGCGTAGATAGGATAAGTGGATCACACTGTAGCTGTAGAGCAAAGACTCACCAAAAAGAGGGTCTCATTTCTGATCCGCATTCGGTCATCGGGCATTAGGAAAATCCGGTACTTTCGTTCAGCATTCCATCAGACTTCCAATCGTCTTTGTAACGTGCAACACTGGGCGATCGCGAGAGACACCTCCATCATCCCTTCTAGACAGCTTGGCTTGATCGTTTTCGCGTTTAGCTCCTGCCTTCTAGACGAAAGCACGATTCGACAATGAGTCATTCGGGAGCTCGACAGGACTCGACGGATTTGGCCGATAACCCCGCGGGGACACCGTCTGGAACTCAACTCTCTCCTACGCCTACCGTCTATCCACCCGCCTCAAACTCATACATGACCTCCATACCACCTGCTACGTCTGACAGCGCGTCGACCGAGGTTGACGACCCCGTCGGCGAAAAGCGAGATTACCTAGATGAGAAGATTGATTTCAAGGGCAAAGGCCTTCGTTACAAGGATGATCGGTTCGAAGATCGAGGTATTCTCGAAGTGGAGGACGAGAAGAATCAAAAGAAAAAGGTTCGAGTCGTCATGGAGCAGAAGAGTGGAAGGGAATTGATCGCCGAAGTCGAAGAGAATGGAAATTACACCGTACCAAGATGGCAAGTCATCGCGTCATTGCACTCCCCTAACTGACATTCTCTCTCTTCAGGCGTCATTCGCTACCTTTTGTGAACCCCAAATTCCCTCCACCTCCCGCTCCTTTATCTCTGGATGACCCCGCAGTCACACCTGAAGCCTCTGCATCCTTCTTCTCCCTCTGGTTCTTCAATTGGATCTCTCCGATGATGGCATTGGGATCAGCGAGGACATTGCAAGCGACAGACCTCTGGAAGATGGACGACGCGCGTTCAGCTGCAGTTCTCTCGGAGAAGTTTGTCGGACATCTCCAGGATCGACAGGTACGCGCCGCAGAATACAACCGTCTTCTAGCAGATCCGAAGACACCTCTTCCACTTCGACAGAGAATTTATTTCTCCCTCTTGCCCAACCGAAAGGAGAGAGAACACGAGTACAGGACAAAAACTGGCAAACGAACCGCCAGTATCGGATGGGCTCTGAGTGACACGTTTGGCGCGTACTTTTGGGCTGGAGGTCTGCTCAAGATGATGGCAGATTTATCCCAATCTACCACGCCGCTAACCCTTCGAGCGATCATCAATTGGTCAACAAAGTACGATCATAAGAGGAAACACGGAGGTCCGGGACCAGGTATCGGGCTCGGTATCGGATTGGCCTTTGTCATTCTCGCTCAATTGCTCATATCCTCGTGGGGTATTCACCACTTCTTCGTCCGTGAGTCGCACAGGACTCTTCAGGAGGCGGCGATTTTACTATGCTGACTCACCCATCCAGGCGGCATGTCCACTGGAGTCCAGCTTCGATCCGCCATCATCTCCGCGGTGTATCGCAGATCTCTCAGACTCACTCAAAAGTCTCGGGGCGAGATCCCCAACGGAAAGATCATCAACCACATCTCGACCGACACATCTCGTATCGATTTCGCAGCTGGGTTTTTCCACATGGCTTGGACAGCTCCGGTCCAGTTCGTCGTCATCTCGGTCATTCTTCTCATCGAAATCGGATACGCCGCCTTGCCCGGTATTGGATTCTTGCTCATCGGTTTGCCACTGCAAACCTACGCCATGAAGTCGCTCTTCAGTCTCAGGAAAGCCTCCATGATGTGGACTGATAAGCGAGCCAAGTTACTCCAGGAGATTCTCGGTGGTATGCGAATCGTCAAGTTTATGGCTTGGGAAGTTCCCTTCCTGGACCGTTTGGGCAAGATCCGAGGCATGGAATTGCGATATGTCAGACGACTGCTTCGATTCCGATCCGGTCTCATGGCTTTCGCCATGTCTCTCCCTGTCCTTGCAGCTATCCTCTCCTTTATCACCTACTCGTTGACTGCACACAACCTTCAAGCCGCCACTGTTTTTTCTGTCATTACCTTGTTCCAGCTCATGCGAATGCCCTTGATGATTTGGCCCATGTCCCTATCAGCTTGTGCCGACGCCTTGACGGCGCTCAAGCGACTCGAGGTGGTCTTTGACGCCGAAGTTTTGACCGAAGAGCGAGTTATCAATCCCAACCAAGCCGACGCAGTCAAGATCACGCACGCTTCGTTCCAGTGGGATGCCGCTCCATTTGTCGATGATGGATTGCTTAAGAAGCTTGAGGGTAAAGTCGGAAAGGACGGCAAGAGTCGAAAAGCCTCCATCGCAGACATGAAGGCTGGTGGGAAGAAATCCAAGTCCAAGAAACTCTTCCGTTTCAACAAGAAGACCAAGAAAGTCACTTTGGCCGAAGAGGCTCATACCGAGATGGTCGGTGATCAGCCAAATCTTGCCGAAGCCGGAGCAGGTGGACTTGTGCCGACGGCCACGGATGCGCTCGACGAGGCGTCCGGTAGCACACCTTCCGACTCTATCTTTGAGGTCCGCGATATAGATCTCTCTATTCCGCGCGGTTCGCTCACCGCGATCGTCGGACCGATTGGAAGTGGTAAATCCAGTTTGCTTCAAGGACTCATGGGCGAGATGCGACGAACGGAAGGAAAAGTCTCGTTTTCCGGTCGTACATCTCTCTGCTCTCAGACGCCCTGGATTCAGAATGCCACTGTGAGGGAAAACATTTTGTTTGGCCAAGAATGGGACGAAGAGCGTTATTGGGCGGCTGTCCGAGACTCATGTCTCGAGCCTGACCTCGAATTGCTCGAGGACGGTGATGGTACCGAGATTGGCGAGAAAGGTATCAATTTGTCAGGAGGTCAGAAGCAGCGTGTCAACATCGCTCGAGCGATCTACTTCAACGCCGATATCATCGCCTTGGATGACCCTCTTTCCGCTCTGGATGCTGGAGTCGGCAAAGCTCTCTTCTTTAATGCGATTGTCGGAGCTTTGTCTGGCAAGACTCGAATCTTGGTCACCCACGCTCTCCACTTCTTGCCCTACGTCGACAACATTGTCGTGATGAACGACGGTCGAATCTCGGAGCAGGGAACATATAACGAGCTCAAAGCAGCTGGAGGTGCCTTTTCTCGATTGATCCGAGACTTTGGTGCCGATGATGAGCACGAGGCCCAGGACGAAAAGGAGGAAGACGCCATTGAAAGGAGTATGCCTGCGATCAAGCACGACCGATCCAAGATGATCGCACAGGGTACCGTCAAGTCTCTGATGCAGGACGAAGAGCGAAATTCGGGAGCACTGAAACGTGGAACGTACGGCAACTACTTTAAAGCCGGTCGAGGTCACTACATGGTTCCCTTGTTGATCGGAGCCGTCGTGCTTTATCAATGCTTCTTCGTCATCACATCGTACTGGTTGGTCTGGTGGCAGGAACACAAATGGCACCAACCAAATGCTTTCTACATGGCTATCTATGCTGGTCTAGGTATCGGTTCAGCCTTTGCCATGTTCCTTCAAGGATACACCAACGCCGCCATCAATTATTTCGCCTCGGTCACTCTCTACAGAAACGCCATTCAGAGGGTCATGTTCGCGCCTCAGTCATTCTTTGATACGACGCCATTGGGTCGAATCATGAACCGATTCTCGAAAGACGTCGACACGATCGATAACACCCTGTCCGACGCCATGCGAATGACAGTCAGCACACTTGGATCTATCATTGGAGCGACCATCCTGGTAGCTATCATCAACCCGTACTTTTTGCTCGCTGTGGCCTTTGTCCTCACCCTTTACGCTCACAATGCTCAATTTTACCGACGAAGCGCGAGAGAGTTTAAGCGTATCGACTCGATTCTTCGATCATCTCTCTATTCCCACTTTTCTGAATCTCTCAGTGGTATCGCCACCATTCGATCCTACGGTGAATCTGAACGGTTCTGTGAGGACAATATCAAGCGAATGGACATTGAAAACCGGGCGTACTACCTGACCATCATCAATCAGCGATGGCTTGGTATCCGATTGGACATGCTTGGATCCCTACTCACGTTCACCGTCGCCATTATCATCTGTACAGCTGATATCTCACCGGCCAAAGGTGGTCTGGCCTTGTCGACTATGATCACCGTTCAACAGTCCTTCTCATGGTTGGTGCGACAGATCGCCGAGGTTGAAAATGACATGGTCGGTGCCGAACGTATCATGCACTATGCCAACGAATTGGAGCAAGAAGCACCTCACGAGATCAAAGAGACCAAGGTTGCCACTTCTTGGCCCAGTCAAGGTGCTATCGAGTTTGACAATGTCAAGATGAGATACCGTGAAGAATTGCCCGAGGTTCTGAAGGGTCTCACCATCTCCGTCAAGGCCAATGAAAAAATTGGCGTGGTCGGACGAACGGGAGCTGGAAAATCCTCCATTATGGTTTCGTTATTCCGAATGTGCGAGCTTTCTAGCGGTCGGATCACCATTGACGGCGTGGATATCTCCGAGATTGGATTGAACGATCTCCGATCAGGCATGAGTATCATTCCACAGGACCCCTTGTTGTTCAGTGGAACTCTGCGATCGAATATCGACCCTTTCAACACCAAGAGCGATATCGAGCTGTACGATGCGCTTCGACGAGCTCATCTGGTCCACTCTGAGACTGCTCGGCCTAGTATTCAGCTGCCTTCTGGCGCAGTCACGCCCACGGCCCAAGGTTCTCAGACACCCGGTCAAAGACGATTCACACTAGACATGGCGATCGAAGAGGAAGGTGGCAACTTGTCCGTCGGAGAGAGATCTCTTGTATCTCTGGCCCGTGCCCTCGTCAGAGGAACTAAAATTCTGGTCCTGGATGAAGCTACTGCTTCAGTCGACGTCGAGACAGATGCCAAAATTCAATCGACTATCAGAGAACAATTCGGAGACAGGACTCTCTTGTGTATCGCGCATCGATTGAGGACTATTCTAAGTTACGATAGGATCTTGGTCATGTCGGATGGTCAGGTCGAGGTGAGCATCTACCGTCTAGATAGAGGAACAATAGACATGAGCTGACCTCCATATGTTCTATAGGAATTCGATACGCCGTTCAACTTGTTCTTGGCCAATGGCTTCTTCACTGAAATGTGTCACAAGTCTGCCATCACCATTGAGGATATCAAAGCTGCAGCGCAGCTACGGTTCTAGGCGCAAAGAGGATTTAAGGGTATAATCTGCATACGACAAGGGTGAAGAAGGTAGATATGCTGTAGCTTTCGCCGGATTTGGCATGCATTGGTATAGGTGTTCATGGATCTTGGTTTCCACTTCCAGGTCCTTAAGGGCCGGTTGTGCGATGCCAGATGGATGTTGTGCTGCAAGTACTGGTAGCATGACCGAAATCTACGTTTAAAGTTTCCACGATCCATCCCCCTATACCTGACCTGGGAGATCCAAGCCTGTTGAATGCCACCGCCGCTGAGGAATGCGTGGACGCCACCATTCCGCCTAGATCCCATGCATCTATATGATGACATGGAGCCTCTACCATATCAGGATCTGATATGATGCGGTGGCATATTGCGGACTGCGACCAGCGGCGGCAAGTTTGATACCACTATTGGGGCCGTACTTTGCGTCCGACGAAGCACACACATGGGTATCTGACTGTGCCCGCCAGCCCGGTTCAACCGGCCAAAGACACTCAGGGCATCTTAGAACCCCCCAAAGCAGAGAGCAAGGCTGACTTTCGTTTGCGTTCGGTCGAGTCGGCTTTGAATCGTGTTCCTTACGTGCCTCTAACAGTTCCTGTTTCAACTCCACCTCTCAACTTCACACTCCGTCCGAATCCATCCCAATCAACGTCCTATTTCATGCATGCACCCCCGAGTCGCCACGTTGCTCTATTCGGACTTTGTCATTAGACGCTAGCGAGATTTCGATCGGAACCTGTTTCACGTTCTTGCGGTCAATGGCGTCGGTGCGGATAAGAGAGAGATCCCGACTTGATGCGCGGGCTCTGTAGATAGAAGAGGAGGCTACAGAAGAACTCGACCCAGATCCCAACACGCCACTTGAGCTCATTGCGGGTTACTACCTCTCTCATTCTTCTCTCTCTCGCCTTGACAATGTGGCGCCTGCTTTTTGTCCTTTTTTTGTTTTTTCTCATGAGCCAATTTCATTGTGGCGTTCTCTTCGAGGACCTGGCCGAAGTGGACCTGTACCCAACAACAAGTTCTACAAGCTCATCTCCAAACCATATAACAACAAGGTGGATGACTGAGAGTGGCTCATGGATGTCTCCTAGCTCTCTGTAATCACAATCGAATTGGCAGTGCTGGTTCGCTGCTGTACTCACACACATATATTCACAAACTTGTCACACTCGTTTTCAAATATGACTTCCATGTCGGCCCTCCTCTTGGTCTTGAAATTCTTGTTGGACGCGTCTGCCGTCCAGGCTTACTTTGTACTCTCTCAGCCTATCTTAGAGACGACTCGGCTTGATCCGTGAGTCGGAAGCGAAGAGGACGGAGGAGAAGCGCAATCTGCTAAACTGACTGACATCAGGATCGTGTCTCCCGGTCAGATCTCTGGTCATGTTCATGTCATTGCTGGAGGAAGCAATTTTAACCGCTCCATGACATATGAGAGTGCTCGTCAATCGCAATGTACGACTGCACCCATGTCTCTGGACTTGTCCAATTATTGGGTACCTCAACTCTACTATTATTCTCCTTCCAACCAGACATACCAGGCCATTCCGGTGTACGGAATGAACGCCTATTATCTCCCTCGAGCAGGAAGCGATGGTAAAGTCTCTGCGTTCCCGAATGGACTTCAGATGGTCCAGGGAAATCCCAATCGAAGAACGTATGACGGTACGGCTGATAGTGCTTCGATCACATACGTCTGTCTAGACTACAATAACAATCACCAAGGCGATCCTGCATGGTACGAGCGGAACAACTTTTTCGAACACAATTGTCCTGATGGGCTTCGAGCCCAAGTGTTTTTCCGATCTTGCTGGGATGGGGTTCACGTCACTTCGCCAGACCACGTCTCTCACATGGCATGGCCATCAGGAGGAGTCAACGGTGGTGATTGTCCCGCTAGTCATCCAGTTCGACTCGTCTCGCTCTTCTACGAATTCATCTTTGCCGTTCAGAATTTCCCATTCAACAATGGTTCTGATCCCACTTGGGTCTGGGCCAATGGCGATACGACCGGATACGGTTTCCACGGAGACTTCTTGAGTGGATGGCCCGAACTTATCAATGGGACAAACATCCTCCAACAAGCTATCGACGGATGTAATGCGAACAACGGAGTAGGTGGAGAACTCAACAATTGTCCTCCATTTGTCCCATACCTCAATTCGTCCCTCTGTTTGCCTGAGAACCCACTCGTCAATGAAGACATCGGTATGGGTCATTATATCTCGCGACTCCCAGGTGACAATCCCATCTGGATTGGAAACGGTACAAAACCAACTTACGCCAACTACACCGATGCCAACACCACCGTTGGAAACCCTCAATCTGTCATCCCAGCCGGATACAGCTTTGTAGGTTGTGTCGCTGAGGGGACGTCTGGTCGTGCCTTGACAGGTGCCTCCTACACTGGCAGCAATGTCACACGCGGAGCATGTGTGGCCTTCTGTGAATCCTATGGCTACCCTCTTGCCGGTATGGAATATGGGTCACAATGTTATTGCGACTATCAAATGCGAAATGGAGCCAGCAACACTACTTTGTTGGACAACGACGAAAAATGCGATATGAAGTGCGCCAACAACGCGTATGAATCCTGTGGAGGCCCCAATGCCTTGACACTGTTCAACAATCCAAGTTTGTACCCCGCTGCGGAAGTCCTCCCGGCCGGATGGGTCAACAGCGGATGCGTCACTGAAGCTATCAACGGACGAGCTCTCGCCTCCTATTCTATATCTTCCTCCAGTATGAACCACTCGATGTGTATTGCGGCATGCTCGAGCCAAGGGTACAAATATGCCGGAGTGGAATACGCGAGTCAATGCTTCTGCGGAAATATCCTCTCGACCGGCTCTGTCAACGCTTCAAGTACAGATTGTAACATGGCTTGTAGTGGGAACTCTCGACAGCTATGTGGTGGTCCAGATCGACTCACCCTGTTCACCAATACCAAGGCTCCTAGCAGTACACCAGTCTTACCGACAGGCTGGACAGCCAATGGATGTTGGACCGAAGCGAACAACATGAGGGCTCTCGCCAATTACTCTTACGCCTCAAACAATATGACGGCTCAGAACTGTATTGCTGCCTGTTCATCCAGGGGATACAAGTACGCCGGTGCCGAATACGCCAGTCAATGCTACTGTGGCAACGTCTTTCAGAGCGGTAGTGTACAAGCCGCCACTTCAGACTGTAATATGGCGTGTACCGGCGCTTCAGCCCAGTTCTGTGGTGGTCCGAACAGGTTGACAACTTGGGTCAATCAGACTTGGACGGGAGACCAGTGACAGGGAGGGGTGTGGTGATCAGGAATAGTACATACATATAATTTGGTATACTTGAAAGACAATAGCACAGAGTGCCAGCGTCATGGACAATGGAATGTGAAGCCTTTCGAACTGCAAGATCATTCTTGTGTCGTGTCTTGATTTGCAGCTTATGTGACACAGGGACGCAGCGAGCCAGAATGCTGGGTGGATGAGTGAAAAACTGATAGTACCGTATTCAGGAGGCAGTGAGCCTCAGTATCAGACAACATGAGATTGTATCTGGCGGCGGTCCAGCGTAACGGAGAGGACATGATCTGCAGTCGAAGATTTGGGTCGAGTGCAACATCAGCAGGTGGGTTCTCTATCATTCACCAATGGATGTCTGGGATTCCTGCCAATTGACCAGAAGGTCGAGCGTCTCTCTGGATGTAGCCTCAATAGACGCCAGGTGCCTCAGACCCATCGCGGAGACATAAGCGAAGGCAGCGATGGTACTCAGCTTCTCCACGTGACTGAAATGAGAAGGCTCAAAAGCCCGAGCAAACTTCCCGAGCGTCTAAAGGGGCAAAAGTCAATGGACATCTGTCATGAATGAAGAGGGAAATGAGACTCACTCTATGCAGCAAAGTTGTGTCGTCACTCGTTGAGTGTTGCCTGCCCTCGTTGTCGGCACGATTTGTATCTGCCTCCTCATTGGCTTCAATGTCCGAATCTCGCCGTGAGCGGCTCGACCCAAAGCATGAACGCCAAGTGCTCGAACTGAGCTCGGATGTAGCCATGGTATCGGTTGGTTGGTGCTTTGAAATGCTCGAGTGGGTATACAGATGTAGACCACGGGAGCTCAGGGTGTAGTGCACGAAGCTAACACGAGGATGGTATATGTTAGTAGTAGGGGGAGACTGGTTCCTCGAGATTACACTGGGTGTTCGTCAGCAGGTGACAGTATGAGTATGGCCTCTCCGTAGACGCCAGCATATACACACGGGGTGATCAAGAGAAAGGTATGAGCCGGAACCCTACGGCTTCCCACAGCCTCGACGGGTTTCAAACAGGTTCACCACCCCTATGAAAGGACCTCTGATCTCTGCCCGTCTTCAACCGCCACTCGCCACGGGTCGCCACATTCCAGCAAAAACGAAGCAGAATGCCATCATCATGACATAATCTTTGGCCGATCGCGTCGACCTCCGGGGCATGTCATCCAAAACTGTGAGTGGTCGATCGAACAGGACAAGCAAACCTCTTCTAACAACTTCTACATGTCTCAACCTCGCCCATCTGTTGAACCACTGCTACCAAGACCAGCGACGGCAACACAGGACAGTGACAACGCAGACGAAGACGAATTCCAACCGCAAGGTCTTCTGAGCAACATGGGCATCTCCATTTCGACTGCCAGATGGCTCGCACCTGCCTCCTTTATGTGAGCCTATGCGAGCCCACACGAATCAGACTGGCCGAGCAGACTGAAGCAGCTGACACATCGATTCTCTCCAGCTTTGACTTTGCATGCCAGATGTACGGTATGAATTCTTCACCCAACATGAAGCAAATTCATGATCGACATCCTGCTGCGTTTTCCCCTCAGCCATTCGCCATTGCAGGTTTCTTTGGACCACAACAGATTGCTCAATTGTTGTGGCTCCGAGAACTGTATCGATCCGATGCAGAAGTAGAACGAGGAACCGTTAGATACGTCCCCTGGTACGCGCTCGGAAATGCCATGATTGGTATTTGGATGTTCCTATGGGTGAGTAACCAAAGAGGCCGTTTTAAGCAGCCAGGGGGGTGGTGTCCGATTACCGAGTTGACCGATCGATATCTCGTAGAACGGTGACAACATGAAAGGCGCCGATATCCCCGTCATCATCAACACCTTGACTCAAGTTTACTACATGCTGTACTTGCGAGATCCTGCGCCGAACACTTACCAGGCAAAGCTCACCAATATCATCAACATCACTTTTGCTGGAATGTAAGTCCCTGAACTGTTACTACAAGGTAGACTGCGGCATCCTGACATTGAGACACCAGCGGTATCCTCGATATCTTCCACAACACTTCTGTGGCCTGGTTTGAAGGCGTCACTCCGAACGCCCTCACTACCATTGGAACCATGGCTGCCGCGCCTCTCACCGCGCTCTTCTCGCCCCTCCTGTTCGGAGCATGTATCGCTTACGACTTGTTCGGTGTGGCTATTGGACAGCATCAGCTCGCTCAAAAGGCTTTGGATGGTCTCGGAGGTGGAGGTGGAGAAGGCTGGGCCAAGTTAATGGGCGGTCTTGGACTAGGCGTCGCAGCGATCGTCGGTGCAAGAGGATGGGGCGGTGCACGATGGCTCTAGTCAGAGAAGACTTTTCGTATATATGTAACACAGACACCAGACAGATACATGTAGCTCATACACTGATGCGAACAAGATTCAGGATGAGGAGAACTACTACCCGGAAATTACACGACGGCGCTTTGCCACTGCGTGGCGACCTTGCCGGAAGCAGCCATCAAACCCAAAGTATAAGTGATCAGAGGGTTGCTCCAGAGTCCACCATCAACCGACCAGTGTAAAGTCAAGGGGGCAAAGCTCCTAAAGCGTCGTTCAATGAGCATGCCGCCCTTGTCTGTCACGACGCCAACTTACCAATTGGTCAACGTGGAAAGTCTCCAAGTGTCCCAATCCTTCCTCAATTGTTCCTTGTCCAACTGCTTGTTATCGTTCTTGACACCAGGCTTCTTCTCTTCCGTCACGGTAGTCGATTCCACCGAGGGTATCTCGTAGCCTTCCGCTTCTTTCGCCGAGACCTTTGGTTTAGCGGATCGAATGGCTCGCGTGCGAGTTCGGAGAGCAGAGTATGTCTGATTAAGCTTGAACAGCTCAAGGAAGACATAGACGCTGAGGTGGGCGGGGCCAGTCAACTTCGGTTTTAGAAGCACAGACCCTCCGAAAATGTGTGAAATGGACTCACGCCCAGCATCTCACGCTCCACAATGACATTTGCTTGATCTTCAATGGGGCAATGTCCAATACTCCTTTACCGCCTAGCCAGGCAAGCTGTTCCATGGAATAGTACCCCGCGAGGGAGAGTGCTTGGACTGTAGGTATAGCCTTAGGGCTTGAAAGAGCACCCGTGATCCCTTGGAGCGACTGAATTGGCTTGGGATGGAGTTTGGCCAGTCCAAGAATGACAGGCAAGAGGCCTACGGGGAGGGTGTCATCATGGGATCAGCTCTCCAGATCTTCCAACCCAAATAGTATTGAAATTTACCGAAAGCCCTCATGATGACTCGCGCCTCGGAGATTCCTCCAGCAGCTTTAGTGATCCCCTCTACACGTTTATAGAGCTGTGCTTCACTGCCGACCTTGTCTACACCAACATGTCGGGCCAATGAGGCACGAAGTCGGGCTAACCGGAGCAAGAGGGCAATGATGAACGGGGATGAGAATTGCGCGAGCATGAGACACGAGTCGAGTCCTCCGAGACTACTCATTACTTTGGCGAGGCGGGCCAGGGTCATCTTGATATCTACCGAGTACATCTTGGGAAGAGTAGTCAGATGGAGCACGCCAATGATCCTCAGATGCAAGAGGTAAAATACTGGAGAGGGTCATGCGGCTAACAACAATGATCCCATTTACCGGGTCCTGTCGGGCATCACCGCATTGGCATGGGTGACACAGTTTACGCTGAGATGGCCAAGAAACAGGTCGAGCTCATCACGCTCAGCGCAGTCTCGCATCTTGCTTTGCCTGTGTTGCTCGATGAGAGCATGACACAGGCTGTAGCGTTCCAAAGAAACGGTCCGAGTCGTCCTGGTCTCGCGGGATTCTCGCGTCTGACAGAAGCATGTTTGCCCCCGGATTATGACTCATCATTGAGTGTCAAGCTCTGGAAGACGATGATGCATACAATGCGAATGAAACATCCCAACGATCATCGCTTGACCCAGGTTCTCTGTGCGGTATATCGTCAGCATTACGTCCTTGGCTATTCGCATGTGCACTTACCCGTGTTCTCGCTCCGAGCAGATTTGTCTTCTTTCTCTCTACCATTCTCGGGTCCCGTATCAACAGTCCAGCAGCAAACAACGTTGGCTCCACCTCTGGCCTGATAGCTGTCAGTGCTCGGGCAATGGCCAGCGAGACGGCTCCTGCTTGACCGGTGATTCCACCTCCTTTGACTAATCCAAAGATGTTGTAAGCACCGATCAACCCCGTGAGACGTAATGGTCTCAGGATAGTTTCTCGATCTTGATGTTTCTCAAAGGTGAGAGGGAGAGGAAGTTGATTGATGATGATCTGTCCCACTGGCAAGTCTTTTGCCGTTTTAGGATCAAAAGTCGATTGACCAGATGACGAAGCCGAGAAGCTGATGACGGATCCATCGGGGCCAATGAAAGGTTTGATATCGGAAAAGTCGGATGCGGGTGCTGCTGCTGCTGCTGCTGCTGCTGCTGCTGCTTTTTTCGACACTGGGACCGTACCCTCGAAATATGGGATCGCTTCCTTCACAGGAACGATCCACACACTCGCCATGGCCGTCTTTCGCTTGCCATGTCCTACAGCTCTTCCAAGCGTATCGATTGAGCCTCTCATTCTGCTCCCGGCCTCGGTATTGGTCTCCTTGACTATGCGGCTAGCGATCCATTTCGACATGGCGTTCTCGGCGATCTTTGAGAGATCTGCTCGACCCGCCAATCTGGCAACGTATGACATCTTGTTCAGGTCGGATAAGATGTCTATCATTTCTCTGTATTGTTTCCGCTTGATCATTTGTGTTCCACCGATGATTCCATTCATCTTTTCCACCGAGACCCAAGCGATGGGAGGTACATAGTTTGGAACTTCCAGCGAGTTGGGTAAAGGCCATACTTTATCTTCGCGTAATTTCATCTCAACTTGCTTGAGAGCATTACGGACAACAGTCACTTCGTTGTAGAAGAGTGGTGTACCGGTGAAAAAGGTAGGCTCGGTCGGACGAGGTGGACGTTGGTCAGAAGGTACAACTCGACGTGAATAAGATTGTGGTTGGTAGGCTGGGGTAGAAGACGTAGATTGAGCGGTCGAAGCTGCTCGAACGGATAGCTTTGATGGTCCTGCTCGCAACGAGCGGAGAGATTGACGTGAGAAGGTCGTTAGGGAGGAAGACATGGTGATGGGTCACTTCCTGATCCGAGAAATGCCTCGTATAGCAGGCGAGGACGAAATTGAACGCAGAGGATGCATGCGATATTCCAGAGCTACGCTGAGATTTTTTGTTCGTAAATACCACGTCACTGATTTTGCCATGTGGCAAGATCACTGACTCGGCCGATCTCATAGAGAGATTGTCTTCCAGTCATTCCTTCTCCGTCTGAAACACCGAGCGATGGCAGCAGCGGACGAAACGGCTGAGCTTGGTGGTACGGGGAGCACGATGAGTATAGACAAGAGGCTAGAAGAAAAGCTGAGGTCAAATCTGAAGATTGACCATTTCGTAAGCAATCAAAATGCACTTCAACAGAGGCTGATTCATTTAATCCAGGATATCGTGGACACTTCTGGGAATTGCGGATCATCTTTTGCGATCACAGTCGTGTCGCCAGACTTTGCGAAGAGGATGACTTTGGCGAGGCATAAGATGGGTGCGTAGCGAGCAAAAGATGCGGAAGGAACGCTAGAACCTGACGTTTCGTGGATGATCAGTCAATCAGATATTGGCGGATGAGATTAAAGCGCTTCATGCATTCTCGCAGGTGAGTTCCGGGGCATAGCCGTATCTTGGGGTGGGGCCGGTCGGACGAGTGGTGACCGTGCGATGGGCCGAGAGCTGACTTTGAGGCTTCATAGAAAACCTTGACACCGGAGCAATGGGCAGCGGAGAAGGGAAAAAAATGAGCGATGCCAGCATTTTGGTGACCTCGTCTTAACACGACTGTACTAGCACACTTCTGTCTAGGCGATTAGAATAGATGACTCGTCTCCAGGTCAGAGGGCCCTGTTGTATCGCTAGACCATATAGATATTGAGCATGAACTAGTATTCCATTCAACCTGGAGTCCGTTCATCGGCGTTCAGTTTCGGCTGAAATGCATCCATCCGTCTCGTCAACAAAGTCTACCATCACCCTCCGTCTCGTTGCACTCTAACCACCTGATGTCGTCTTTCGGCATCTCACAAGAAGCCATACAGGCCTTCTCACTCCTCGACCGCTCGAATGTACCGGACACGCATCTCCCCACTTCTCTCCCTCTCGCCTTTTCCTCCCCTTTACAGCACATCAATGTCCTGTCCACGCTTCACCTCCTGACGCACGTTCTGTCTGATCCAGCTCACATCCCATACTTTGCGACTACGGGAACTACCCCCGTCGACAGCGCTACGCGAGGTATATTGAGCCTATATCTCTCTTCCTCGGAAAGCTGGGACAAGGACAATTACCTCTCTGCCAAAGCTTGGCGAGAAGGCGTATTGGACGAATCGACACTATGCACATTCTTCGGATTCGAAGTGATGCAGGAGGAAGAGCACGAATCGATGAAGGGAGTCAAGGTCGGCAAACGATGGGATCAAGGGACAAAGCTGGTCGGACACGTGGTCGATGTTCTACGAGATGCTGGACAGAGAATACGAGGGAATTGTCTAGGTGCAGTCGTCGGTGATGCGTTGGAACAGAGTCGGAAAGAGACTAGCTCAGTGGAGGATTTTTCAGCGTGCTTTATGGATAGGGTGAGTCCGTGTGAGCTTTATCGCATGCGTTCCCCATTGATCCTGTTCCAGGCGATCGAATTCTTACCCTGTTTGAAAGATCCATATCCTTCGCCTTTGGGAATTCACAGTGAGTCGACACGGAGCGATGGAAGAAGTGTCTCTGATGGGTGTCTTTGACCCGTGTAGCTTGGCCGGCAGCGTTGGTCCGCTTGTTACAGGATCTCTCGACGCTCAGACCTACCACGTCGACTCTAGGTGTAGATCTTCCAGATCCAGAAGAATTGGCAAACCTTTCGCCTCTCCCATTACCTATCTCGACACTCCTTCACCATGACCTCTTACCATTGGACGATATCGACGACAACGTCGCCAAAGCTATTCGCGAATCACTGGCGCAGACGCGCGCCTCCGCGTCATATTCCCCATCTGCTCCCATTCCCATCCCGATGTCCCTATATCTGGATCTAATGACCAGGTCTGTGCAAGTCTGCCAGGAGATACATAATCAGTCCGCATCGTCTAACGCTGCTGCTGCCGCCAATGGTCAGCTGAGTACAAAGCAGGTCGCGCTAGTGTGTCAAAGCATAGAAGATGGAGAGCAGCATCTCATGGTGGTGCCACACTTCTAAAGATAAAATGCCATTATTATAGTTTCACATTGACATTAGAAGCCCACGTGATCGGTATTTTCTTTTTTACTCGATCGGGTAATTTATTTAGTCGCCGCAAGAAAGAAAAAATCTCACAGAGACCTGGATCCGTCAGATGAGGAACTGAACTTGACTTGACTGACTGTATCCTAGACACATCGCTCACATCACTCATCCCTTCAAGGCTAGGCGACAATCCCTTCGGGGTAGCTTATGGAGTATCGCAGGGGGGGAGATGGTAGACACACGCAGGAGAAGAGATTAACCCTGGACTTCCCACCCCGTTTGCAAGAAACCCACCCCTCCGGCCCTCCGCCCCTCCCTTTTGCCTCTCGCCCCCCCTCCCTTCCCCCACCTCGCCCTTTGCGACCGGGAGCATCAACAAAAATATTGTCAGTCGTTCAGGCAACGATACTGGAGCGAGATTCACCTAAACTGGACCCAAATCAACTCGTATTACCTGACCATCTCAGATTCTATACCCTTCCTCCATCATGGTCCTCGTCAATGATAAGAAATTCGCTTGTGCGACTTGTATCAAAGGTCACCGTGTCTCTGGTTGTACACACACCGATAGACCCCTATTCGAGGTGAAGAAAAAGGGCAGACCATCGACACAATGTAATCACTGTAAAGATAAACGCAAAGGTGCTGGTGGTCCTGCAGGAGGTTCAGTCCATGTCAAGGTGAGTGAGCGTGGATCTCAATTCGTAGTGCGAGGACTGAACCTTTGTCCTCCCTTTCGCAGTGTCAATGTGGAGATCCTATACCTCCCGAGATGATTATGCCTGGTTCCAGTCGACCTATCCAACCGTCTCAGGACCCCAATGACCATATGGAAACTCGTAAAGGTCAACCTGGATCTAAAGCGACTCTCCCGAATGGACTCAAGGACATTCACGATATGGCGGCGGCGGCAGAGGCACTATCCGCTTTCCAGAGAGAAAATGAGATGCAGATGGCTCATCGTAAAGTGGCCAATCTGCTCAACCCATGCCATTGCAAGACGGGAGGGTTGTGTAAATGTTGTGAACCCAAGCGTGAAAAGACGGAATCGGTCCCCTCCCCTGTACCTTCTACCTCGAGCGGATCTCGAACACCGAATGGAGATCGACCTGTCATTACGGACAAATTCATCGAAATGTTTCAATCGAAAGCCACGACAGGGACGCAAACTTCGACCTCGTCTCGTGTCGGTCCTACTTGGGCACAGCTCATGGCGACGGATGGGATCTCCCCCGAGAACAAGCATCATCCAGCACACACCTCGAGCCACGTGCACAAGACCAAGCTGTATTCCCCGTACACTCCTCCATCAGGTCACACGACGCCTCGACATGCGGCAGGACACCAAGTCGGCAGCAATTCGCATCATGTCGGATGGGCTAGTTCCAGTTCCTCGTCCGTTCAACCTAAAATCAAGCCTATCGCCGATATGAACCAATTCCTTGGCGCCGTTTTTCAGGACGACGGAAGCATCGCCACTGAAATTCCTCGTTCCGCTCTTGGCCTACCTGGTATTCAGACATTCGATACTGCTGCTGAGCAGGGCGGTGTCAAGGTCGAGCCAGCGGAGATGGAGGTGGATGCACCAGTCACATTCCCCACCCAGGACGATGTTGTCATCGGAGCGTGTACTTGTGGAGACGAGTGCGATTGTCCAGGTTGCGTCATTCACGGCAACGCAACTACTGCTACCGATTCGACGGCGCACTGCTGTGGCGAGCACTGTTCGAGTACATTTGATTGTGCAGATCACTTGTCTTTTCCCCGTGGTATCAGCTCGATCGGTCATATGTTGTCCATCGCCGCTGCGAATGTGCCCCACCCTCCTCGCCATCGCTCGACAGATCTTACCGCTCACGATACATTTGTCATGCCATCTTCGGCCCGTCATTCGGACGATGCAGCTCGCCAACATGGCGTGGTCCCTCTGAAACGGCTTGAATGCTGCAACGGCCGATGTCAGTGTCCCTCGGGTAACTGCTCGTGCAAAGAAGATTGCTGTGGCTGTTGTACGAGGTGCGCATGTGACGAAGAAGGCGATACGGCCATGCAGCAATGCCCACCCGGCGGTCAACCCTCGCAGAGTGCATGTTGCAAGGTCCCCGCAATCACTCCGCCTATAGCAGCACAGCGAGAACCAATCCTCGCTCCAACACCTCCAAACGGCTCATTATTGTCACCTCAGAGCGCTGTTTCATCCAATAATCCTACTGAACATGTCGATCCTCTCAATGCGCCTGAATTACTCCGCCGCAGCTCTTCCTCAGCCTCTAAATCTTCCAAGGGATCTGCACTTGGCCGTCGGGCTACCGTCGGGTCCCAATCAACTGGCACTAATACGCCCTCTCATCGGACCATATCGACTGGCAAGGCCGCTTGCAAATCTTTAGCTCTCCATCAACCACCTCAACATCCTCATTCTCATTCTCGCCCGCATGTACCGAAACAACCCAATCCACCTGTCCATCCGAATGGTCCACCCGTATCAGTCAACCATATTCATCGACCAGGCTCTAGTGGGCTGAGGACGCCCACAGATCGCAGAGCCAGCGCAGCGAGTTCGGTCTCTGTACCCATTGCCACGCCGGAAAGAACCAATACGAATGGCTTTTCCTTGGGCAACTTTCAGAACGACGGTGAACTCATGGATTATATAAATTCATTGACCTCTGGACCTGCGACCAACTTTGACACCAGTCCGTTCTCGCTCACTGGGTCAACAGACCCCTCCCGAAATCCATTATCGGCCGCTGCTGCTCCCCAGCTAGATCCTTTCGACGTACCTATGGAAAGTCCAGCACCTAACATGACTGATCAAGAGATCTTGGATATGCTGGTACAAGCTATGAATCCATCTCCGCCGACGCAGCCGCAGGAACAGCAGCAGCAACCGCCACAACAACAACAACCGCAGCAACAACCGCAACAACCGCAACAACATCAGCAGCAACCTGAACCTTCTGACTACCAATATTTTGACCCTAACAACTTTGAACCGAACCTCCCTGTATCTACCTTTTCTGGTCAAACGGTGTTGGACAACATCGGCTTCCCTACTTCACTCGCAGATCTCTACGTTCGCGAACGTTACGAGCAAGATACAACTGGACCACCTCCACCTGAAGTGCCAACAATTCGGACCCTACCACCCTCTTCAGCTGCCTTCTTACAGGGTTTATTGTCGAACCAGCAGGATAATCCGAATCTCATTGATTTGAGCAAACCATTGACGGCTAGCGATGTGGAAAAGATCCTCCGGGCATTACAGAACCAGGGCGGAGGCGGAGGAGGTGGTGGTGGTGGAGGCGCAGGTACTGCGCCACAGGATCAACGTGTGCAGTCTGGTGAAGCTGCACAGGCAACCATGACGAATCAACCTCTCTTCTCTGGCAATGGGATCTCACCGGAGCAAGCATCTGAAACTGGGTCAAATGTCAGTGCAAGGCCAGGCTCCGAACAAGGCAGTAGTAACAATGATGTCGACGACTTGTTTGCCAAATTCGTTTTCGATCCCAACCTGTTACGAGATGCCAACGGAGAGATGGACTTGACTTTGATGCCCGCCGATGCGCCAACGGCCAACTACGACTTGTTATCCATGGCACATGGGTTCGGGATGCCCCACGCCAAGTCGACGAATTTGGATTGACCTATCCTTTTCTTTGGGCCTTCAGAACAGTAACATGTGTAGAGTCTCTTGTTGTATCGTACACGCAAAATGTATAGACGTTGACTCCTGTATTAGACTCGTTCATGACTTCGTCCCGAGCCAACAAGACGACGAGAGAAGTATATACATGGTAGAAGACAACATGACATTAAGGTGATAACAAGGACTGAAAGACGAACTCTGTGTGGCCCGACTCGTGGATCAATCTCTGAAGCCGCCCTTTTTAGTCTTGCCATCGTCTGCGGCCGGGCCCTCAATCCCGAGACTAATCAATCGTTCCTTGATCCAATCTTTGGCAGGTTTGCCGTAGGCAGCTTCGTATTCTTCTACGGAGAGTGGTTTCTCGGCATGGGGCGTGACGCGAAGACCGTGACGGAGGGACGGCTGGACCTTTAGCAGAGCGACTGGATCAGATGGGACTCACGTAGGCATCAAAAGTCGCGGAATGGTTGACGATACGATTATCCCAGCATGCCACGTCTCCTGCCTCCCATCTGAAAGGTGGGTCAGACAAAGGTCCAGCTCGGACCACATCGCTCGGGGCAACTCACCTCCAACGAACCGTCGCATCTGTCTGTTGAGCAAACGAGTCTTTCAAAAATGCCAATGTCGCATCGCTTTCTGCTTTGGGTACGCCAACAATACGAGTGACGAAACCCGGGTTGACAAATACGCTCTTTAGCCCTGTGACGGGATGAACCCGAACGACTGGATGAACAGTCTCGATGGGTGCACGTAGAGGGATACGATGACCTTCAGCAGATCTGGAAGCCGCTTGATTGTACCCGGTGTGAATGGCAGACAGGGACTCGAGGTATCGCTGGTATGGCCTCGAAAGGGATGAGTAGACGTTGTAGCTGTTGATCAGCGATGGGAGCGATAGATACGACTCACCCAGAGGACCAGAGCGTGTCATTGCCCACTTCTGGCGTTACCAGCAATCTCAAGATGGTCGCGCCGGGTGGCTGGAGCTCATATGTTACATCGCTGTGGAACAGCTCTGCACGAGAGAAAGCGTAGAGGTCAGGACGGGAATTCTCATCCGAGTAAACGACTGGTTTATCAACTAATGGGCTCGATGAGGATTGACTCACCGACCACGTCATCCAGGTCGCCACGACGGGGCGTCGCGTACGTGGGATGCTTGTGCAGGGGACCAAAGTATGCGCCGAGCGCTCTCTGTTGATCGATAGTGAGATCATGCTGCTTTCGAAAGACTGTCATCGTCAGCCCAAAAGGGTCCAGTGAAAATGAAATGTTGGTTTTGGCTCACAAACGACGCCGCGTTGAGCGATGAGAAGGGCACTACTGTCAGATCTGACTGTGCTCGAGCGAGACTCACAGATCGTCACGTTCCTCTGGACCCATCTCCTCCATCTTGACACCATGAATGACTGTCCCTACACATATCCCCAAATCCTTGATCGTTCCTCCGCTCGATTTAACCCAAGCCCGAAGGCGAGAATGCCCGGGGTCGGCAAAATGACCTCTATCCGTGATGTTTTGGAGCTCGAGCGGGGGTTCAGAGTGCGTTCGGACTGGGTTATGCGCTACGACCAACCCGGCAAAGGTCAGTCTGGCTCAAAGGTTCTTCGTGATAAGAATCTTACGAAGGAAATCTGCCCATGGGTAATCCTCCCCTGGGCCATCCCCAAACGTCTCGCCTACATAGTTGAAAGGGTCGACGAGTTTCGCTGATTCGTATGAAGGGATCTTCTTGATCTTTGGCTCTTCACCTCGAAGAGTGAGATACTGGTCAGAGGTGCCATTGAGGGTGGTGGTTGTGACGGTCATATTGTGTTGAGCAGAGTGAAGAGACAAGAGATGAGACGAAAGCGAATAGCTAGTGAAAGGTCTAAATAGGTTATTATAGTCGACTACAAGCGAGCTTCGTTCCCAAAAGTCAAGGGGGATCGTCACTGTTGCCCTCAAACCCCGAAACAATTGCAGATATCAGGAAAGTCTAGGTCCAATCTGATGGCGATGGATGATAGCGTCTTCCAAAGGGTATGGGATGTTGCTGGAGAAACTGCGAGACTAGACGGTGAGCTCTATGTGATGTCTATAGTATCTATAAATGATCGGAGAGTGAGAGCGATTGAGAGCGATTGAGAGCGATTGAGAGCGATTGAGAGCGATTGAGAGCGATTGAGAGCGATTGAGAGCGATTGAGAGCGATTGAGAGCGATTGAGAGCGATTGAGAGCGATTGAGAGAATGTGGTCGTGTGCGCCAGGTAGGGGGAAAGAGCACTTGATGGTGTGCTCGGCCTCTCGGTTTTGAAATCTCCTCCTGCCTGCCCCCCGCCCAATAGAAATCAAGCGAGAAAATACCGGCAAAACAGATTACGTGAGGTGGGGGGGGGGCGGCAAATCGGTGGGATCCGCCGAGCTATCCGATGAAATGTGGCGGCACAGCGAACAAAACTCTGCTGCAGCCACGAGAGGAGTCCAGACAAGAATACTCATCGAGCCAGAGCATCGTTACGGAGCGCGGGAAACTGGACAAGTAAGCCGAACAGGTTTCATGAAGATGATGGCCGAAGGACAAAGACCGGATTTTGCCAAAATCAGGCTATGATTGTCAATACCGTCGAGCTTTGATGCCCGTCGTGGACATAGCTCAGTGGTAGAGGTGTGTACTGCTAGTTTTGTTCTCCGGGTACAAATTCTGATAGATTGATAGCATACGATTGCAAATCGTGAGGTCTGTGGTTCGACCCCGCATGTTCACTTTTTTTTTTTGACCCCAGCTCTTTTGCCATAGCTCTCTGCTCCTCTGCTCGCCATAGCCATGTGTTGTTCCTTCATCCACGGATACCATTGGAGGAGGCCGATGCTGGCGACTCTGGACCATTGTGTCCCCTTTGTGAAGCGGTAACCACCAGGCTCACAGCTTCACGTTTCTTGCTTCGTCTCGATATATCCGATGGCATTCAGGCACCCGGACTTCTCTTTGATTTTTCCATAAATTTCAGACTCGCAATTGTTTTCGTTAGATACCACCGTGCATACCAACGATGTCGGAGCTGTTGTCACCTCCGCCTACGAAGCCTGGGCTGAGGCTGACGCAGACTCAAAAGGATCTCATTGGAGGTAGTGTAGGCGGAATAGCCCAGGTCTTGGTTGGACAGGTGAGTGAGGACACGTTTGGGGGGCCCAAGAAGCTTGCTGATAAGCTCGTTTTCAACATTCGTTGTGTCCCCATCTGCTCTCTTCCTTCCTTGATTCACGGCTCCATTCGTCCTTGCGTACGCCTGACTTCGCTTCCCTAGCCCTTCGATATCGTCAAAGTCCGGGTCCAGACCGCACCAACAGGCACTTACACCTCCCCTTTGGACTGCGCGACAAAGCTGTTGAAAGCGGATGGACCGCTTGGATTCTACAAGGGGACATTGACGCCGCTGCTAGGCATAGGTGCGTGGATAGGTGCCTTCTCCGAATAGCTCTCACGTCGGAATTGCAGGCGCATGCGTCTCCATTCAGTTCGGAGCTCTGGAATGGGCCAAGCGATTCTTCGCGTCTCGGAAACGTCCAGGTTCTCAATTATCTCTTGGCGAGCTTTGGGCGAGCGGTGTCATCGCTGGAACTGCCAACACCATCGTTGCAAATCCCGTGGAACACATTCGTATACGTGGGTGGAGGGAATTTCAATGCGCTCGCTGATGGAATCAGGACTTCAGACCCAACCGAATGTCACTCCGAAACTTTACAATGGACCGCTGGACTGCGCCGTCAAGCTGTATAGAGCTGGAGGTATCGGGATGATTATGAAAGCGCAAGTGTCTACGATCTGGCGTGATGGGTTGGGTTATGGGTGAGTTCGTCCTGGATGAGCTGGATGCTGAAATGGACACAGATCTTACTTTCTCGCTTACGAGTGGCTGGTTCAACGACACATGAACCAACACAACGTCAAGAGGGAGGACATCTCACCAATATGGGCCGTGACTTACGGTGCAGCTGCAGGATATGCTTTATGGGGGACGTGAGTTGCGGTGGGAGGTGTCGGCGCTCAAATTCTCAGAATCTACCCCATCGACGTGATCAAGTCCAAACTTCAAACCGACTCGTTGGAGCCTTTGAAAAGGCAGTACAAAGGCATGATCGACTGCTTCGCACAGACGTACCGGACACAAGGCCTCAAAGGCTTCACTGGCGGACTCGCTCCGACTTTGATCAGGAGTCCCTTTGCGAATGGAGCGACGTTTGTGGCGTTTGAATTGGCCATGAGAGCTATGACCTAGGTAGGGTGCGGGGGGAAAGGGTGTATGTCAGCGTCATTGGGGATATCAACAAGGAAGCAAGTCGGCCGAGGAAGATGAGGAGCACGTCCGTATAATCTCATGCGCATCGTATATCATTTGGCATGCAATCAAACGTAACGACCATAGGCTCCTCGCGTCAATCTATCAATTTCCGAATCGCCGATGAAAGGGAGGGTTAGAATTGGACCAAGTTGCCAGATCATTTGCTCAATCCTCTCATATTCAGCGGTCATTGGAAAAACGTCAACCTCATTGTCTGCTTGCTAATGGGGAGGAAGACTGAATACCTTTTGTTCTTGGAACCTCTTTGAGCGGCTCGCAAGAGCTGCTTGGAGGACGAGAAAGAGGGCTGAGGCTTGGTCTGCAACTGTTAATCTGGCAGCAGCTCACTTAAAGCGTTCGCTGTAATTCAGGTCTATGAGGCAGCTCGAGCAGATAGATGTGGCCCTGCTCTTAGTCACCCGGATGTATCTTATGCATCAATGGACAGCATCAAGTCCCCACTACCTAGCTTGCTCCGAGTAGGCGAGAAGGCGGTGTTGAAGGAAGGCCGCCAGAGTCCCGTTCAATCGTCATCGTCCGTCTTCGTTGCCTTTCTAATCTCTGTGGTGTTGATCCTCTTGCCTTGTCCATAGAGTTCCTCTGAACTATTCAGCAGATCTCTTAGACCCAAAGGCTCTGCCCCAGTCTCTCCATCTGTGCCCGCTCGTCTGGCTCACACACCCCATCTATGTATAAAAACTGCCAATCTGGTGTGTCATTGTACGGCGTTTGTGGATAAACGTCCTGGGTTGGCGCCTGCGAATGTGGCACCTTTTCCACCTTTCTGACTCTTGTCACTTCTCCACGCCCCCCTCGAATTGGCTACATCGCCGGGGGCAGATCATTCATCGCATACATTATCGTCGTTCCAGTGAGGCCCCGGAAGAGCGCACATACATCGATTGAAACCTCGTGAGTCACCATGAGCGTCTGATGCATGCTAACGAGTATCAGACTTCTGAGCTACGACACCTTGTCACTTCAATGTCTTTTGACGCTGAATACTTCAATCATAAGCCTATACAACCGCCAAGTTTATCATCCTTAGAGCACCATAACACCATGGATCAGCACGTTTCCTCCCAATCCTTCTCTTATCCCTCTCACTCTGCATCTCACCATTCTGGTCATACGCCAGATACTGGGTCTAGCGAATCATCCTATCTCAATCAACGCTATGAACAACCGCCACCTCCTTCATTTCCTCACGCTGTGACCCATTCACCACATCTCAAAGGGGTCCAAGCTACCGACATTCGTCCAAGTCGACCTCACTCAAAGATGGCCGACGTATCCCAGCACGATTCCCCGAGTCTCAGTGGAGCAAGGGATGATCTCGGTCCTCAAACACCACAGAGGAGTGGTGCCACGTCTGGATTGAGTATCAAGCTGAATCTCCATTCAGCTGGCTCTGGGACTCCAAAGACGGATGATGATGCCATGACGGATAGTGGGAGTGCATCTGGAAAGAGGAAGAGAAGGTCAGAGTGAGTCTCGAAGTCTTGACTGCGCAGATGTGGCACCCGCACCCATTGGCGGGGCTCTCGAGTGTCTTCTTTACCCTATTGGACCCAAGCGCTTCGACCCCTGATGATTCGCTGACATCTCTCAGACCTGCTGTCAGTCTGAACCGACCCTCTAGAGCTAGAGTATCTTCACCCCGCCGACATCATTTCACCACCTCGACCCATTCTCATGAGCCTTCCCCTATACCTCCCCATGGAGCTCTGTCCATATTCGAGACTGCACCTCCCTCCGCTCTCCCCGAAGCACTCCAAGAAGTGATCGGATCATCTTCCTCCTCTCGACACGGTGACAGTGTCGGGACGCCTGGGATGGACAGTGCGATGACTACCGATAAAGACAAGGAGGGCGATACCCTCATGAGGGAGGCTGATCAAGGTTTCAATTCGAGATTGAGATCCAAGCGTTCCAAGGAGGAAGTCGTTGTCAAGACCGGGATCAACGCGAGTGGGAAAGGCGTCAAGGTATCGGGACATGTCAAGGAAGCTGGGAAACCGCTACGAAAGAAGGGCAAGGGAAGAGGCGATCAGGATATAGTGAGTGGATCTTTGTCTCGCCTGCAGATCCATCAAACAGTGCTCATCTGAAATCACCGTGCCCCCCCTTCCCTTTCATCTCCACAACGCTATGACATTCTGATGTGTACGACTCTGTGCTGACGATGTGTTCCCCTATTAGCCGAATCAGGACTTTTGTTCAGCGTGCCGAGGCACCGGTAAATTCCTTTGCTGCGATGGATGTCCTCGAAGCTTCCACTTCATGTGTCTTGAGCCCCCATTCAAGATCGATGAGCTGCCCCAAGAGGAGACATGGTACTGCAAAAAGTGTCGGGCAGAAAGAGTGAGTGGGGAAGCCCAAACTCCAGCTGAACTTTGGCAGTCCCGCGACGTTGCATCGCCAGCTCGCAATCGTGATCCGCGGCCTATTCCCATGGTCTTCCGTCAGCTTGTCAAGCGGGTCGAGGAGGAGAATCCGACGCAATTCCGTCTACCAAATGACATACGTCAATTCTTCTCGGGCGGTGAGTTGAGCGGAAGATGGGCAGAATCTAGTACTCATGGGTACAGTGGGAACCGATGGCAAAGGAAACTACTTTGATGCTGAGGAAACGAGGACGAAGTATGAGTGGGTACATAACTTCAAGTGTCGGATCCTCGATCTGATACGTTCGTCTCAGTCGCAAAGGCTTCCAGGAGGAGCGTGACGGCACTAAGCTTCGAGATGGCCGTTCGAAGCACGTCGCGTGCTATGCCTGTGGGGGCACATCGATTCCTCTCAAGTGAGGTTTCCATCCCTGGTCTCTGATGCTAACTTTCTAGATCCGTCACGACCGATCCAGGAGTCGCCTGGCGTCAGATTGTCTCTTGTGACTATTGTGCTCTTCACTGGCACCTCGATTGTTTGAACCCCCCTCTAGCCACTATGCCCAATTCCGGACGGAAATGGATGTGTCCGAATCACGTCGATCAAGTCATCGCTCGTCGACGAACCTTACGGAACAACCTCGAGACGATCGATGTGGAGTACCAAGGCCAGCCCAACAATGGCAATATCACTATCCTTCCTGATGATCAGCGTAAAGAAACATTCGATTATGAAGATATGATCATCAATAAGAGGAAGTATCGAGTTCCAGAGAAAATTATCAAGCTCGACTTTTGGAACAAAATCCGTCAGCGAGGAGGGTGAGTTTGATCCGCTTGAGATCTCTGAGCTGATGATCCAGACCTGTCGCTGCACCTGGTCTACGAGACTCGGATCTGTCAGACTTCTCAGATGGAGAATCCATGCAAGTCTTCGAGGTGAGTGGTCGCGGTCCTCAGAATGTGGGCTTACCGTTCCTAGCCCTCGCAAGACGACTTGACTGCCGCCAATCTCATTTTGTCGTTCTCCAACCCTTCATTGGACCCCTCCTTGACTCAGCGATCACATCTTGACGATAAAACCACTGCTACTCAGCAGGGAAGCTCTACGGGTTCTCATGGCGATTCTGACGGTAATGGCACTCCGAAGATTTTCCTGAGATTGAGAAAGTAGAGGAAGTAGAGCCACTTGAGATGCTCTAGCGTGCGGAGACCCGTGCAAGTAGGCATAGTGTGCGTCGCCCTTGTCTGGTGCAGAGATATGTGACGCTTGAGATGTTGGTGCGACTTTGGAAGCCTGTATCTGGCGTTGACATGGTCCTCTGCGGGCTGGATCTGCGTCCGGGCCTCCCAATAGTCCTGAGTCGACCCTCGAAAGTCTCTCGAGAGTGCTGCGTTATCAGATCATGTATTAGACGGCTACGCTTACGGAACTCATACGTCCTGATACTCTCTACAAAGCTCTCCTCCCATGGTCTGAACCCATTCCAGCGCCGCGTTGCCGCTGCCTCCTATCCCTGATGGTGTAATTGTGCCGTGAATGCGTGCATGTCCTTCCAGCCAGGATACTTGAGGCGGTGTTCGGAAGCTCCATAATTGCTCAGGGACAGCCTCTCTCTTGTCGCGTCATGGGTGCCGATGGCCTCGATGAGTGAATCCCACTCGACCCCGCCACAACCAAGAGCATTCGCCACATTGTTCACAGTGATAATTTTCTCGGCTATCACAAACCGAGTGATTATTGATCCATTCTGATCTTTGTTCCATACATCTTCGCAGCACCATGCGCTCAGTCATCGCATCCTCCAGTCGAGCCATCGTTCGCACCCTTGTAACCCCCGTTATAAGTCCAAGAGCCTTCAGCACCGGGCTCCCGACTCGCCATTTCATGCCCAGACATGTCCACCGCTCACTTCTCCGACCGCAACCGCAGGCCCTCTCTCAACGTGTGTCTTCCATTCCTTGGACTCAGCTGACGTCCAGGCCGATCCATGTTCATTCAGACTGAGACGACTCCAAATGAAGCGTCTCTCAAGTTCATACCTGGTGTGCCTGTGACGTCCTCAGGGACTCACGAGTTTCTCGATCTTCGTTCTGCCCTTCCTTCCCCCTTGGCCACTCGCCTATTGTCCATCGATGGACTGACGGGCGTATTCTATGGACCAGACTTTGTAACTTGTACAAAGGACGATTCATTCCAGTGGTCATTATTGAAACCGGAGATCTTCGCAACGCTCATGGAACATTTCTCATCGGGTGCGCCACTGTTCCGGGATGGGGAAGATATAAGCGGAGCGGAAGATACGAGAATCCTCGATACGGATTCAGAAGTCGTAGGAATGATCAAAGAGTTACTGGAGACTAGAGTCCGCCCAGCGATTCAAGAAGATGGAGGTGATATCGAATACAAGGGTTTCGACGAAGAGACTGGAATAGTCAAACTCCGACTTAAAGGCAGTTGTCGAGGGTGCAGCTCCAGCAGCGTCACGCTCAAAAATGGAATCGAGCGAATGTTACAGCACTATGTCCCCGAAGTCCAATCGGTCGAGCAAGTCTTAGACCAGGAGGAACAGATTGCGCTGGACGAATTCGCCAAGTTCGAGGCGAGGTTAGAAAAGAAGAGCAAGCCAGAGTGAGACGACCATTTCAATGGCACGGAAAATATTTTGCTGACTCGCGTCTATCACCCAAGTATGAGCCAATACATGTCACACTAGTCTATATAGCGAATGATATTCGTCCACCATTACCTCCTCGTCGATCGATCTTTGTGCACTTCTTGGCCATGCTTTGGTAAATGACCTTTGTGCTGAGGTCTGGTCCGTCGGTCCAACCTCGAGATTGAGCAATGGACGTCAGTGCCTCCTTGACCTCATTCATGACAGCTGTACCGTCAGGTGATTGCAGAAGGATAAGGTAAAATTGGGCCAGCATGATAGTCTGAGGAGTCAGGCGAGTTGTCTGGCTAGGAGCAGAGGCAGATGAAGTCGGTGATGGTGGGGCATCGGGATTGGATTCGGAAAGAAGGCCGAGTTGTTGGCTGCTCATAAGCGAGGCTGAGAGAACAAACACTCACATTGCTGCATCTGGATCGTCTACGTCTTTGAGCAGTTCCGGCATCGTGCTTTGAATCTTGTTCTATAAAGTCAGCAAGACACCTTGCTGTCAGGCTCACGATGCCTTCTCGCACGAATTGCGATTCATAATCCACCTTGCTAGACTTGGCTGGGGTCTTGAATGGCGATGGCTTTGGACTAGGCGGCTCTTCTCGGCTGGCTAATCTGATGGTCTCATTGCCTTCCTCTTCTTCCTCTACTGCCGGGGCGATTTGGGGAATGGTATAAGCGGATCCAGAAGGTGCACGAATGCCCGCTCGGCCAAAGATACTCTTTCGACCCTTTTGCACCTTTGGCGTTGTCAAGAGCTTGAGAGGACTGAATCGACTGGGCTGGGCACCCCTTCGAGGAGTCGCACTGACCAGAGAGTTGGAGATTTGGTGTGACGAGGTTGGTGTTTTGCCTGGCGTGTGAACCGCAACGCTGATCCGTGGAGCCTTCGCGATCGGTGATACCTTTTCAGGGGAGACACTTCGTCGAGATTGGATACGAAGACTAGCCACAGAGTTCTCCAAGGCTTTGAGAGCTTCTTCTTCCGCTCGGATGATTTCATCGATATCCACCTTAGCTTTGCCCTTGGGTGAAGAGGTGGGTGGCGGGGCAACCTTTCGAGGTTGTCTGGCCAATTCGATCAATTCTTCCAACTCCATCATTCTGTCGACATGTTGATCATGTGTGCGGATCAGGTCTTTGATGTGCGATCTGGCTCGGGGCATCGGACCGCTAGGCATATGATCAACACAACAACGCCCCCCAATAAAACCTCACTAGTCTTCAACGAGCTTCAGTGCAGCACGCAGCATCGCTTCAAGATTTTCTACACCCTCTGCCTTGTTGGCCTTCTTCAAAGGCGTCACAAGTGGACCATCACGTCTCTCAATTCTCCTTCCTCCGTTACCTTCCTCCCCTACAAACTTGAACAGTCTGACTTCCTTGTGACTTGCATCGCGGATGAGACTGAACAATGAAGTGTACAATTGGACCTGAACGAATGGCCCGTGAGGTTCAGTGTTGTGCGAGCAAGCTTCTGAGATCTGCTTGGAATGTTCCGATAGCGCTGCCAGTGAGTCTGCGAGTGAGGGCATGGTTTGTGCAAAGTGGTAGAGGAAGTCAATCGATCAATGGATGGATCCACTATCCACTGTCCGAAGCGCTAAATAAAATCTCTTGAGACGCGTCGCGGAATCAAATAATCAGAAAGTTGATTTCGTAATGTGTGACATGTCGTGAATGCATGAATGGGACTCGCCCTCTGGACATTTTGTGCTACAGATTCTATTCTACTACCAACGACTCGGTCGTCACCAATCGATACAAGATGAAGAACACATGTTGCTAACCCTGACTCGTCCTGACCCCATCAGATTCCCAAAATACCCAAAGACAATACAATTACACGGCTGCCCAAGACAAGGCGGCGACGGCTTCCTCTTCCTCATCCAACTTGGACGCCGGTCGACGGCGACGTTCAGACCTCAAGAATCGACCGAGGAACCCGTCCTTGGTGACCGGGGCGATAGCGGCCTTTGGTATGACCGTGGCGCTGACACTCCTTGGTAGCGCGTACGAACCCGCTGAAGGGGCTTCGTAAACGGCCGGCGGTTTCTGAATGTGGACGTGCGATACACTGCGCCCCTTGCGAGGAGACAAGGGTGAACCTTGACTCGGTGTAAGGGGCAGATCGTCTGCCTCGAGAGAGGAAGATGATCCGGATCGATCCAGAGGGGGTGCGACGTAGGTGTGCGATCCTCTGGAAGCGGTCCGACGGTGTCGTCGAGGCGTGGTCCGAATGGGTCCAATGGTGTCGATGGGTGTGGAAGGGGTAGGGGGCATGACGGGAGAAGAGGTCGACGCGACCGGCGAGTCGAAGGTGTATTGAGAAAGGAATGGCTCAAAGTTGAAGACAATCTCCTCCTCGGTGATCGCAAGATCGTAGTCCAAGAGGTACAGCAACTGTTTCTCCATCAAGTTGATCTCAGCCTGGGAGAACATTTGGGCGTATCGGCACCAATGCTTGTTCTTTGGTGACGAGTCGTTCAAATATTTGGCAGCGACGATCAAAGTGGCGAGGAAAACTCGGTGTCGAGTGCAAGGCATCCCTTTGGCGACTTTGGGTAATCTGTGGCGGAGCCTCTCCAGGTAAACGAGGGTCGCGAGAAGGGTAGAGACCTGGACGTTGGACTGTTCGCACACAACGGCGATGAACGTCTCCAACGTGGGGAGCCCTGGTGACTTGTCCTTTGCCGGTGTAGGTGGCGGAGAGGGTGGAAGGGGGATAGTGGTGCTGCAGGCAATGACAGAGGTGGCTCTGTCGGCGAGGTAAAAAACCATTTCTCGCGAGACATCGGTTCGAATCAGCTCCAGAAGGGCGGGATTGTGGACACCGCATACGCTCAAAGATGCAGGATGGATCCTGTCTTCGAAGCATGGTGACATAGGCTGGAAAGAAGGTGTACCAGCGGGCCAAAAGGATTTTGCATTGGCCGAGAGCATCTTGAAATTGTCTAGCTCCGTGTGCTTTATGTAGGAGGGTTGAAGCGGTGAAAGATGAGGAAGGGGGGAGGGGGTCTCAGATCCCGTGATTGGTTATTCCGCTTTTCGAGTCTCGGGTCAACTGACTTGGATGATATTGGACGACGACGGGGGATGATTGAGCTCGACTCGGAAAGAGAAGCAAGACAATATATACCAAGACTCACGCGATAGATCAACGTTTCGCGTCCCACCAGGGGATTTAGGACGAAGCGGAAAGACCTTGGGTTCAAGCGGTGGGTGCAAAAGCAAAGGACTCGAACTAAGGAGGTTAATTCCCGCCGAGCCCAGAGAAAAGGAAACGACGTACGTGCGACAGGTGCCCGACCTGATGCTCGAAATGTAACGCCGGAAGGCTTCTACGCTGCCAGAGCGAAAATTGTCACGCCCGCTATCCACTGGGTGAAAGAAAACACGGGAAGGATAGCTAGCCCCTACGCAAGAGCGAGGTTTGCGAGAAAAAAAAATCTGCCGCTGGTTTTCCACTGAATTTCGAAAACTGTCGCGCACGTACTTACAATCTCTGTGACGCCAGCGCACAGGGAGGAAAATGGGCTTCTGTTGTCAGTGAGAAGAGAAGGGCAGAGAAAGGGGGGATTTGGAGTCAAGGTCGGAGGCTGATTTTCCGGCAGGCTATATCACTTTTTCATCGCGATCCGCCAGTGTCGAGGCCTATAGGCGGGTGGTACCTGGATAGCCTTCTCTGGCTTCAGACTGTGAAACGGTGTGCGGTGGGAACAGGGCAATTGATCGGCCAGCCTCAGGACAAGAACACAAACTCAGACAAAGTCGCGTGCAGGCTTCTGTGTACGTGATTGGATCCGTGGCATGACGCAGGTGGCCGGCTCGGTCTCCCTACAAACCTAGCAAGTCCGACCCAACCCAAGCCAACCCAACCCAACCCGGCAGCAGCGGGAGCGACACGAGACAGCACCAAGCTGCCACACTTGTCGCGGTCTGAACAGCGGGTGAGACGTCTTAGTATCAGTCTTAATGAAGTCTTGGATTTGAGACCCGCTGTTGTCAGACCTTGACTTTGGATATCAAAGATGCCACCCGCAGCTTGTTTGAGCCCTGCTCCACCGCGTCATCCCATCCGATGGGATGTTTCCCGTTACGTTCTATTCCTAGTCTCAAGAACACAACAACAGGTTCAAAATCGCTGACCTGATCAACAAGGGTTGAATACATTTTTACGCGTCTTTGTGAAAATCAGGCAGTGAAAAAAGGTTTAGGAAAAAGCCTCCATGAACCCCAACGCTTGATCGGGACCGACAGGCTCCACTATGCTTTCAATTGGATCCTGGTGTTGCTTATGAATACCATGCCACCCGATCGCAATGAGAGACGACGCGGCTTGGTTCGACGTTGGCTTTGAGCCAATCTCTCAAATGCCGCTGCGAATCAGACTTTCGGTTGCCTCAATCACATTAAACGTGGCGGACCAGTATCTATGAACAGATCCAAGGTTTAACTATAGATTAAGAGGTTGACATGACGGGACCGAGATAGAAGGGGAGATGTTGATTGAGATCTTCAATTTAGACGTACATACATGCATGATTGATCGCCAGATCGTACGCGGCTGGCCCCCGTTGTAGAGAAATGCAATCGGTCGGAGCTGCCACGAAATCGAAAAATTTAACGGGGGAAATTTGCCTGCGGATACCAGAAGGTCGCCACAATCTGGATCCCACTGCGGGGACCTGGTCACCCGGTCGGGATGTCAGACGCTATGATGTCAAGAGTCTTCCACAGCATGCGGGATCCCGAGTCTAAAGATGCAGATCGTCTGTCACAGCGACGTCACTACCATCCAGAAGTCATCTGATGAATCCCGCCAACATGAGAAACTATCCATGTCCGCAATGCCGTTGTAGACTTGGTAGGTCAACTGACTTGCACGCTGGGTTCACTCCAGGCTGGGATGGCGATTCGGAGTTACGCTCGGCGAGACTGACTCCTTGAGAGAAATCAAGCGAAAATCTCGGACGTACGTCGTAAACGAGAATGTGGAGCTCCCCCCCAATTTCCACGTGCGTCACGCGTCTGGTCTGTGTAGCTGATATCATCATCCTCCATACGCCACTATGAGAGTCGGCATTACTGACATGATCGAGTGCCATGGCGTTTCTTGCTGCCTCCCTGTCGCAAGTAGGAACAAGAGTGAGATTCCTTCAAGGTGTGGTGGTGGTGGCACTTTTTTCGTAAAGGTCCCTTTTTGTATTCCTTTTTTTCGCGTTTTTGAATCTCGACCGCCACACTCAACTACTCCCCCTTCTCTTTGTCACTTCACACCTAATGATGATTAGGACTCTCTCTCGGCCGTCGGAGACTGCTGCTTGCTATTCACCAAATCGCCGCCCCCGCCCGCCGCCGCTCACCGCCGCCGCCTCCCGACCTATATTCTGACGTCGGAGGTGTCGTTTGGGGAACAAAGATGCCGTGGATAGCAGCACATGTAACCCGAAAGGGCCAAGAATACAAATGTGCCTTCACATTGAATAATCGAGGGCTGGTACCACAGGTAGTCACATCGGTCACACGGTCATCTCCCTGGCACATATTGTACGCCTGCACACCTTTATCAAGTCACAAGTCAGTGAGTGGGAAGTAATTGCATACTATCGACCTCTCAAGGTCCGACTATTCCATAATGTCAAAGCAGATAGGGATGCATGGTGGTCCAGGAGTTATCAAATGGCCAAACGGAGGGGCGGCGTCCTCCGCCAAAATGTCCAGCTTTTGAGTGACATGACCCTGAGGGAGGACTGTCACTGGCCAGGCATCGGGCCAATATGCTGGTGGACGAGTCGCCGCATCTTGTGCAGCTTGGGACACTCAATTTGGCTGTCGAAGCAGGGCCATCGAAGAAAGCCACTCAACGATGGCTCGTTTTGGATCTTGAAACCCTCCACTCGTTCCAATTGTCAGAATCTTGCAGAGAGCAGGTCGAAGCTTTGAATAATCTTATTGCGAATCCTGGAATCAACCTACATCTGGTCTATAGTCATGGAGGTGACGAAGTTATCATACGAGTCTCGGTCCTGCCTTCCGATGCACCAGGAAGCACTTGGAAGCGACCGGGAGATCGCAACGGCAAACGGAGGAGCCAGCTTCCGAAGCTATTCCACAATCTCAAAGATGGATGGAATGGAGGTGGCGAATGGCTTCATGCGAGGACTGTGAGGAAATCGGAGAGGCCGGTTCGACTGACGTTAGGCCGAAGACAAGCAGAGAATCAATGAGCTCTACGCCGAAATCCCATCTCCGCCGGATCCCTTCTTTGACGACTCGTCAATCACTTGCGCTTCGGATCGAGAGGCATATTACCGATTGATGGAACTCGACGAGCCGCGAGGCATCAAGACAATCATGTACAAGTATCAATTTGTAAGCGGCAGGACTTACGACGTAGTCTGACAGCTCAGCGATCGGTGTCACGAATGATACAGATGGAGACCGCACCAAAAGCGTTAGTAGACCCTATCTTCACACCTCTCAATGAATCTGGTCGTGAAGGCAAATATTTTATCAACTTCATCAACTGGGACATTCAAAGACATCCCTCACAGTACGAGCTTCCTCGTGGCGGCATCTTGTGAGTGTATATTCGAGGCAAATCGTTGAGGGCAGGTGCGAACAGATGGGAGTGGGCAAGACCCTCATGTGCTTGGCACTTATCACTGCGACTCTCCATCAACCTGTTCGACCGCCTCGTGTGACGCTTGACGACGTCTCTCCCTTGACCTCTCACACGCTCAACACATACCCTTTCAAGCGTTACGTGGAAGCCCGCGAAGCACTGGGAGTGGACTTGGCCATGCCACGCTTACCAACACTGGTTGATTTGTGTTCCAATATTCTTATTGCCAATGATCACTCCGCTCTGCGAGCTGAGTATGCTCCGACAACTCTAGTATCTCGGCTGAAAGAACCGACATTCTTCTACGAGACGCCGTTAGAGGAAGACTGTGTGAGAGGAGCCAAACGAAAATACCTCAGCAGCTTTACTCGAACCACCGAGTTAGTGCACACCACTCTGGTCGTCGTTCCTCGGATCCTGATGGGACAATGGAAAGACGAGATCAAGAAACACATCACAGAGGGAACTTTGTCAGTGCTGATTGTCACTTCCAAGATATTGCCCACCATTGACGAGATGAGGAAACATGACGTAGGTGACAGAGACGAGGCAGATGCTGACGGGCAGGTGGTCCTCATCGACGTTAATCGTGCGTGCCCTGTATCCTGCTCTTATTGAATGATAACCCAGGATTCGGTCAGGAAGAGAGCATTCGCCGCGCAAGGCTGGAAATGGAACCCTCGGAATTCCTGAAAGCTCGATGGAAACGGATCATCCTAGGTGAGGGCTGACGACAGCCGGTGAATCTGACCGGTACAGATGAAGGCCACGTTGCGGGAGATTCTAGTCCGACAAACGCCATGCGTCTCGCCATGGCGATGAGTGTGGAAAGAAGATGGGTTGTCTCAGGGAGTGAGTTGGGTCCTGAAATTTTGGCCTGATTCCACATAGCCCCTTCTAAAATCCTGCAGCAAGGGGGAGAAGCAGAACTTGCATCGACTTTACCCCATGTGCCACCAGAGGCGTCTGACGACCTCGAATGGTCACCCCGGGAGTTAAATGATGTGGCACGCCTCGGATCGATGATGGGAGGGTTTTTGGCCGTGGAGCCATTCGCATCTGAAAAAGTCTTCTCCGAACGTGTTACATCAGCCATTCGAGGTCGTAATGGACCCAAATTAGGAGCCATCTGGCGCCTCAAGTATCTCATGTCGGAGCTTATGGTAAAACATGAGTGAGCATTTACGGGGCCGGCCGGTGCTGACTCTCAGGCCACGAATCATCGATGCCGAGGCGAGGCTGCCCGACTCAAAATTGACCATTGAACTTCTTCGATTCGATCCCATGCAGAAGATCACTTACAACGTGCTGGCGGCACTCGTTGCGTCCAACGTGTATCTTAGTGAGCTATGCACAAGCTTTGACGCTGATGAATAGCCAATTTCGAGGATCAAGATTATTTCCTTCATCCCAAGAATGTAAAGTCTCTCAACACGGTCGTCCGGAATCTTCACCTTGCAACGTTCTGGTATTCAGCTCGCCATATGGGGGTCGCCAAGTCCTTGGAGCGGACGCAGTTCCAGCTCGAGAACAATCAAAACTTGAGCGAGCAGGCGCGAAATGCACTCAAGGAAGTGGTGGCGCATTTTGAGATCGCACTGAGTCACCCTGGTTGGACGGAATGGATGGAGCACGCTGTGTCTGCAGCTTACAACGTCTACGCAGATGTCCCCCTAGCCGTCCGAGAGGATTGGTCCGACAGTACGAGCTTCAATCCGAATCTCATCGCTGCGGATTCGCTCAAAGCGCTGCGTAATTTGAATCGACCCGGTGTTTCCATGACTCGACTTCAGATTGCCGGTGAGAGCCACCGGGCCCACAAGGCTGTAGCTGCACAAGCAGAGGACGAGCAGGATGATAAGCCGGCAAAGTCCAAAAAGCCAACGAGCTCCTCCAAGAAAGGGGCAGCCCATGCTCCTCGAGACGAGGCGACGCAAAGCGCGGCGCACGGTCCAACTGCTGTCCCAAAAGAAATCATGAGCAAGCGAAAAAGTCCAAAAAAGTCCAATGTCGATGATAACCTTCTCCTACTCCAACTAGAGGAGGCGGAGATGAACGCTGATCGAGACGCAAATTTGGACGATCTTCCGATGCCAATGCCACCCGTCATACGGACTCAGAGCCGGTCGACAAAGCTCAATTTCGTTATCAACGAGGTTCTGAAATCCCCCACTGACAAATTCGTCATTTTTGGGGACGTGTACGAGCTTGCCCATTTGACAGAGGCACTCGATCTAGTCGACGTGGAATCGTAAGTTTGATTCGGCCCCCGGGGCGACTCGAAAGCTCATTCTACAGGTGCTTCGTGGGAACTGCTGTCTCGGTTGTAGGACGTGAGGAGGCTCTTCGCAAGTTCCAAGAGCCTGCCGTTAGGGTCTGCTTATTGGACTTGAAGGTCGGAGCTCGTGGACTGTGGGTTCTCAAAATGGGGCACACGAGTTGACGACATCCAGTAATCTGGTTGCAGCCAATCGATTGATACTGCTCGCCCCAGTGTGGAGTCTCGACATCCAGGCTCAAGCTATCAAGGTGAGATCGTGAGGTGACCCGCTGACAATATCAGCGCATCCATCGAATTGGGCAAACAAGGGGGACTTGGGTACAGATCCTTGTCATGCAGGGAACGTTTGAAGAGGAGATCGCCAAGCGATCGTCAAGCATTCGCACAGAGAAGGATGAGAAAATTTATTCCCGAGCCATGATCGAGGTATGACCTGCCATCATTGGACCCTTGCTGACAACTAGAATCCTCGATTTGTCTACCTAGATCATGAGGGGGACATCTCCTTCCCTGTTCGTTTCACGCCGGATGTGCAGACACAGGCAGGAGGGCAAGGACGAGCAAGAGCCACCAGCCCAGATGTCATCACACCAGATAGCGCTCTGCCCATTACTCCAGTCGGTCGACGCCTCGATACAGTTCGGCTGTCTACTTCTCCCTCTCCTCGTAATGCGTCCGGAAAGCATGCCCCGCCTATTCTCAAGCGCAAAGCTGGAGGGAGTGAGGGGGACAATGGAGGGAAGAAGAAGTCCAGAGTCGCTTTCGTGTGAAGAAAGGCATGGTATGTCCATGAAAGACATATCTTAGATCTCGTCTAAGTCTCGGGGGAGCGTAGGCGTAGATTTACTACGTCTTACCTTCTTCCTCGATGAGCTGGAAGAGCGGGAACTCTGAGCTTGGCTATTCTGGTTCTGTCCTGATTTGGCACACCTCAGATGCATAGCCATTCACGGAGTATAAGCCTTGATGTCCGGTCTTGGTCCCAGGCGCACCTCAGGTTCTCGCTGGACCTCAGGCTCCCGCTGAGATTTCTCGATTAGGCCCAGATGGACCTCTTTGCCTTTCCTGGTCTCGACCGTCGCTACTACTCTACTGGTACCCTGGAATACGGGAGGACTCCTGTCCAGCAATACTGGATTCTTCCTGTTAGTGGTTCTTCTTCCTTTGACACCTTTTGGCTTGGAGGCAAGCTTTGCGATTTTGTCTACCATGTCGCTGATACGACCATGCTCTAAGACGCCAGATGCGGTACTTGTGCCGAATCGGGGATTCACCATATAGTCCTTCAAGCGCTTATACCGAGTCGATTGAAGCTCGGGAATCAACCTGTCGCTGACTTTCGTGCCATGTTTGAGCGCATCATGGATTCGCTGAAGGATCAGAGTGCCAAGTTCTCGTCGCCATTCTTTCCCGACAGAACTCCAAAGTAGAAGAGCGATCTGCCATTCTCCCCTATCCAGTGCACGATGCAGGAATAGTCTCTTAATGTCTAAAAGGTGTGACTCAGGGCTCCTTTGGATGATCGACCACGCCGCTTTGAGATCGGATCGCTTCAAGAGTCGGAGCAGATGAGAAATATCCTGAGAATAACCAGGAACCTTTTCCATATCATCTACTCCGCTCCAGTCGCCATGGAGACAAGCGTGACAGATGGCTCTGAGTGGATCACCCGTTCCCAGTCCCAGGAGTTTAGCTTGAATGAGGAGTCTAGAAGTCCTCAGGTCTCGCTGTGAGATGAGCTCGTCGATTGCAGGCTGGACTTTTGGATCTTCTGGAGACAGGGTCTTGAGCATGCTAAGAGCTTGATCGTCCTGGCCAAGCGCGCCGTATGCCCAAGCGATAGCGATGGAGTTGGATGTCGATGGTGAATGATGCTCGATGAAGGCTTCGAGGACACCTCGAGCGAAGTGTTTCAACTCTGAATCGCTGGACGAACCGAAGCGCGAGACCAGCTTGATCATCAAAGGAGCAGTGAGGGTACCCGGGTTGATCCAATGATCGTACAACAGCTTGACTATAGGGTCATCTCCCTCAGCAGCGATGTGGGTCAGAAAGGTGGTCTGTTGATTCGAGAATTCTCCGGGTGAGAGTCTATCGACATCCATCAGAAGCGAGACGACGGTCTCTATGCGTGGCTTGGCAGCGACAAGTCGAAGAATGTTCCGAGGTGAGGGTGGCTCATGGTCTTGAGGGAGAGACTCGTAGAAAGAGAGAGCTTGCTGGGGATCCATACAGTCAAGAAAGACATCCAAGGTAGATGAAGCAAGTGGTGGAATTTCGGCTCGTCGAACCAAAGAAGCTAGCATTGATCTCGCCCACTCTACTTGAGCTCCCTGTTGTCCAATCAAAGCTACTCGACAGGCTTGGAACAAGTAGGACACCGCGACTCTGGGTAATTCGACGTGATCCGCCATATCCGACAATTTGGTTGCCACCGTTTGAGAGGGATCATAAAATTGAAGACTGAGAGCCATCCGCAAGCTAGCTACCAACAAGATGACATATTTGGTATCGTTCGAGATCTGTGACTCGATCGCTTCGATGGAAAAAGGGATGAAATCGTCCTGTCTAAGTTCGCGGAGCTGTTCCAAGGCGATGTCGAGATGATCCTTGCCTAGATGCACCGGGACGGAGAACAGCTCCCAAGGTGGATCTTTCCAGTTGGATGATCGTAACAAGTCGGCCCATGCGACTCTGACAAGCTCTGTGTCATCTGCACCGTGTGCCAGCAACGCTCGGATGACAGATTTGCCAGTCTGTGATCCGACTGGAAGTAGGCTTCCGGCATCGATCAACGGCCTGATCGCAGCGTACATTGAGACGACAACGCTAGGCCGAAGAGCGTGCTCCAGGGGGGACTTGGCTTGGACTTTCAAGAACGTTCTCAAGACTTTCGGATCCTTGTGATGGAGAAAGACATCACTCGCCAGAAGTTGATGTAGGCCTGAAGGCTGGAGCTCGGTGTATATTCTTGCAAGCTGAGGTTCGATATAAGCCATAAACTGCTGAAACATGGGTCTTTCCCTCAGAGCGAGGTATGCTGAGCTTGGTTCGATCGCTTTGGTCCATATAGAATTTTGTGGATCCACTCGTCTGGCATAACGATGAAGGGATTGTCGAAGGTCTGGATAATTCCATTTTGGAGGATAGAGAAGAGCTTTGTAGAGCTCCGTGTCGCTTGCCCACTGAAGACTCTGAATCCGGGGATCGTTCGGTGAGATGGAAGCAAAGTCTTCGAGCTTGACTCTGGACGATGTAGCGACGGCAGAGGGGAACGAATGGGGTAAAAGGGAAGTGTGGTGGGTCGTAGGGGTCGATTGCAGGCTTGGTTGACGAGCCGAGGTAGCAGAGTGGCTCGACAATTCAGAGGATAGTTCGGAGGGCGGACGACTTTTGCTCTTGAGTCGAAGGCTTGTCACCTCTGTAGCGTCTGGAGGCTGCAGGAGAGGACCAGCATGGAGGTTAAGGGAATACCCCGGCCTCTTCGGAATGCTCGAAGCCCCTCGCATGGGGTTTGGTTAGTGCGAGGCTGCCCTTGCTTTATGAGCGAAACTTAGTCCATATTTCTACAGTCGATGGCTCTCTGTCGTGGCAGATGTCCTGTCCATTGGCTCCTGAGTCCACGGCAAATGCGAACCACTGGGTCAAAGTCTTAGAAGGATGTCAAAATGAATGGGTTCAGAAATCTCAAAATCTCTGAAATTTTTGTTGATCATCGATCGGTGAGATTTGGTCACACTACAGTTCTCTTTACAATACTATAACATGGTGAGTCCCACCGTCTGCATCAGCGGACCTATGCTGAAGTGCATTTAAGCCTCGAATATCTCGGCAGAAAGCAGTCAAGCGACATGCGTCGGCAGTCCAGCTCCCCGTCAAGCGATCTTTCGCAGTGGATGAAACGCAAGTTGTGGAATCCGTCGTACCGGGTAACGAACCCGGTCCGAGCAGGCTAAAGCCAACGAGACCGCCGATGGAAAGCTCAAGTAGGTGGAGAGGAGCGTCGAAGAAGAATGTATCTGATGCGCCTCGTCCAGCTGAACCTCCCGTCCCTGCCCACCCATACTCTCGGTCTCATGTTCGGAGAGAAAAACGAAAGGCGAAACAACAATTAGCAGGAGGCCAGCTACACGATATGGCTGTCGCTCTATCGCAGTCGCTGGGTGAGACTGAGCCAGAGTCCAAAGCTAGAGTGAGGACGAAGGAAGAGAAAGAAAAAGAGCGGCAGAGGCGCGAACAAGAACAGAAAGTTGGAGCTGTAGGCAAGAGCAGGACGTTGAAAGAGAGGAAGAGACGGAAGGAAATGTGCGGAATCCCGTATTGATGAGACACTGATGGGATAGCACGACTGAGGCGAGAAGACTTCCTGCAGTGGTCAACCTCCCTGTGTTCAAGCAGAATCCGTGGGAAACAATCCGAATACACGCTACCAATACGATAGCGTTGAAGGACAAGATCTAGGAATGGCATCATCACATATCCTGATGCTCTAACTGTCAAGGCTCGCATGATATCACTGCTGTATCGCATCTTCCACTTGCTCTCCAAAAACCTCGTTCCATACTTGGTCCCATCTGTTCTTGCAGCTCTTCGTCATGTCAGCTCCGGGATCAGGCCACGACCGAACCCACATTCATCGTTTGTTCAGGCTGTCCGGCTGCCCTCCCAGCTTCATTCACGGCTTTCAGGACTTCATCCCATTTCCTCCCTTCACCATACCTGAGCTGCCTATAAGCGGGAAATACATGGCATAACTCACTTGAGCTAGCCAGAGGGCTCTATCTTGGGCAGGGATCCAAACCGCAGGTGTGCTTTGAGCCGATTCCTGAGGAGCCGTGGCTGCAGCTCGGGGAGCCGTCTCCTCAGGTTCAGGATCGCTATCTACGATGACCCATACCTCAGGCTTCGACCTCAGATCCGCGACATCGTCTAGTTTAGCACCGATGATGCGCTCTCGTGCGGGCACTCTAGCCTCGTTCATCGTATTCGTCCTCTCACTTGTGAGCGTTGATTTACTGTTCGTCGATTTCGGAGCGACATCGGAGCGCCTCTGCACCTGCTTGAGCTTCTTTCGATCTGGAGGCTTGACACCTGGACCGTAGTACTCCTCATTGGCTGCATTCTTCGCCTGAATGTACTCATCTCGCCTGCTCCGACCAGCTGAAGGTTTGTAGTCGATGGATGACGAGGACCAGGAAGTGTCGGGTGAGAGCGGATCACGGAAGGGAGGCATGGCTTCTGTCGTAAACCCCCCCGGGGATCCTAGACCCGACGAGCTTGGGGTCAACGTACAGCAGCAGGAAGCTGCCTGTCTGCAGTTGGCCAGTCCTAGACGATGGGCTAGGCTCGCAAGAGTGACATGGTCGCAATAGACGACAGCCATCGCGATGAACAATAACACCTTGACGACATGATCTTTGATGGAAGCCAAAGGACCCGCCCTCTCACCTCCCCTTCATTGCTCTATGGATACATCTACTACATCTGCCCTTGCGCGCCGACTATTATAGGACCTCTGCCCATCCCAGATTGATCCAGCTCTCCACCAGATTGTATTTGACCAGATGAGTTGTCCCTTTGGCCAATGCAGCGGCTTCTCCACTATGGCGAAAAGGACAATCAGCGCGCACTGACATTGGGAGCTTCACGCGCAGACTCACCCTTCCAATGTGATCTCTCCGCAGTCTTTCCGACAATATATCAACACTGGGACATTCTTGTTCGGCTTGGCGACCATCGACATGCCATCTCCGTACGTATCTTCCATACCCCTCAGCCATTCTGGTAAAGAGTCCAAGACGGAATGTTGAAAATGGGTGTGCAAGAGCTCAGCGTATCGTTTGGCGTGAGACATTTCTGCACCTGATAAGAGGGGATGTACGGTTGGAGTGGATAAGATATATTGACAGTACTTCTCGATCTGTAGAATTCAGCCGAGTACAGGAAGGAAATGTGGTCAAGTGTCTAGACTCACCTTGCTGAGCCTGGTCCGAACATATGACCGAATCAAAAATTTGACTCGTTCCATCTCAGTCTGCACTAGAACGAGCTTGAAATGTTCTTCCTCTGATGTCTGAGGGTCAGACCGAAGCGTGTTAACCATTTTGGCCTGGTGACAGGACGTCAGCGTTGAGTCGACATTGGTGAAGTCCCTGGAGAAGCAAGCGACGCTTCACCGCCAAAGATCATGGCACGTACCTGCTGCTCCAGCTTGTCAAACAACGTATCCATCAAATCTCCCTCCCACTGCATGATATCCACCGTTCCTCGTTCTTTCACCCACACTCTACACATACGCTGAACGTCGTCCAAATCCGGATCATCGTCTAAATCTAAATCCAACTCGTCGTTGTCTTCATGTCCAATACCGATATCGTGGGCGGCGTCTTCTCCATCTAATACCGAGTCAAGTCCGATGGACTCGCTATATCTCCCTCGCCTGGGTGATATGGTACTTTCAAGCCGAGTGAGGAATGACCTTGAGCCTGTACCTCCTCCGCCGACTTCCAAGGATGATTCCGACACGAGACTCTGTTCTCTTGATAGGCTCCTCGACGAGGAGGCTTTGGCGCCATTGCCCCACTGTTGCGGTGGTCCTGCTTGTCTCCTTGCAACTGGCAAAGACTCATCCTCATCATCGTCGTCGAAAAAGGAGGACATGACAGCGATCAATTAGTCAGATATCGAAGAGACACAGAGAGATGATTTACGAGCGTTTACTTGCGCGCGACGCGACAACTTTTTTTTTTCAGATTGCATTGGCTCTCGAGGGGCCTGGTGAGATGCTCGACCGATCAACTCTATGCATGTCTCTCGAATCCTGCTTGGATGTCTTGCCCGATGCTGTGATCCTTGTTTCGCAGAATCCTTCCTCTAGTGCAGACATGACCCACTACTTTCTCTCACTGAGGGCAGCAACTCCTGGCAAGGTCTGAAGAAGGAGATGAGCCGAATTCCTGGATGCCCAAACCTACCTTGCCCTCCAGCAATTCGAGACTCGCTCCTCCGCCGGTACTGACGTGGCTCAATTCGTCTTCCTTGCCGGCATTGGCGACCAAAGTAGCAGTATCTCCACCTCCTACAATGACCTGAGCGCCACCCTTGGCAGCTTTGATACACGCATCGAGGAGAGCGTTGGATCCACCCGCAAAGGCAGGGAACTCGAAGACTCCAGCTGGTCCATTCCAGAGGATGGTCTTGGCCTCCGATACGGCCTGAGAAAACAATTCTCGGGACTTGGGACCGGCATCAAGACCCATCCAGTCGGAAGGAATGCCAGACTCGTCGGTGGCACTGCCAGTCTAGAGGGATGGGTTAGTCGACTATCACGCCGAGAGACCCACCTTGGCATCCTTGTCGAATTTGTCGGCAGTGACGTAGTCGACTGGGAAGACGAGCTTGACATTGTTCTTCTTTGCCTTCTCGACGAGCTCTTTGCACTTCTTGGATCCCTCTTCGTCAAAGAGAGATTGACCGATCTGTGACTTAGCTAATGTGCCTCTGCACCAGCTCACTTCGACATTGTCCAGAGTCTTCTTGAAGGTGAAAGACATGCCACCACAAATGATCAATGTATTAACCTGGGAAGTGAGCTGAGATCTGATTGAGCCCACTCACTTTGTCGAGCATGTTATCGATGAGTTGGATTTTGTCTGCGACCTTTGCTCCTCCAAGGATAGCGAGGAAAGGTCGTTCAGGGTTCTCAAGGACTTTGGCAAAGTATTCGAGCTCCTTCTTCATGAGGAAACCGGCGGCCCGTTGAGGAAGCTCGACTCCGACCATGGAAGAGTGAGCACGGTGGGCTGTGCCGAACCTAGGGAGGCGACGTGAGCTAGAGCCATGACTCGCCTCTTGCAAAGCTCACGCATCATTGATGTACACGGTTCCAAGGGCGGTCAGGTCATCCCTGAACTTCTTGACATTTTCAGGGTCGGCTGCAGCCATCAGCGACAATCCGCATTAGGTCACGCCCACCCTTGATCTTCTCGTCGCCTTTCTTGCCTTTGCCCTCTTCCTCGACGTGGAATCGCAAGTTCTCAAGCAGGAAGACTTGTCCATCTTTTCCAGCCAAGACCTCCTCCTTGACCTTTTCTCCAACACAATCGTCCAGGAACTTGACGTCTTTGCCAAGCAACTCCGAGAGCTTGGAAGCGACAGGCTTGAGGGAATATTTGGAGTTGGGAGAACCATCGGGTCGACCGAGGTGTGACATGAGAATGACGGATTTAGCGCCTAAATGGGAGTGAGCTGTGAACAAGAAGGCTTGGATTCTAGCTGACCATTGTCAATGGCGTATTTGATCGTGGGCAAGGCGGCAACGATACGCTTTAGGAGGATTAGACCCTTACTCCATAGGGATTTGCAGTACTCACAGCTGGGTTGGTGATATTGAGCTCCTTGTCTTGACTGAGTGCCGGACGTCAGTCCACATCTTCATGTACAATCATATTTTCTCACGGGACGTTGAAATCCACACGGATCAGCACACGTTGATCTTTGAGGTCAAGGTCCTTGATAGAGAGCTTGGAGGACAGAGACATGGTGAGACTGTTAATCTGAGCTATCGGAGGAGTATAAAGTTGAGAATAGAGGATCACCGAGAAGGCAACGAGTAAAGATATCGAGATGAACGGTCGAATGGCCATGCGGTGGAGGAGAGCAGAGCTGATAGTCAGCTTGAACGAAGTCTCCAAGTTGGCATTATTCGAGGCCTACACACTACTCACCTTGTATTTGCTTGTGTACTGTGGTTCTGGATGGTCTCAATAGTTGCAATAGCATACACAGAATAGCTCAGCTGAACATTATTGGCCCCCCATGGGATGATGCAATAGACACCTCCCCCACGTGGACTTGCCTCGGATTAATTGACTGATAAATAATATTTGTTTCAGCCTCGGTGAAGATGTGGCAGTAGTGATTTCATGTCGATCAGTGGCTGCTGACCTTCATTCACTTTCGTCCTTCCCAACGTATCACTCTTCCCTTCATCATCAATCTTCAAACTCACGCTCATCTCTCCATTGAGAATATTCAGACACCCTGGTCTCACATTCAGAGCATCTTGTTGCTACAGACTGGGTCAATACACGCATCCCTTCTCCCTTCCCCAGCTTCAGCGCCAAGCTCGCTTAGCTCGCATTGACTTGCTTGCTCCACGGGGACAAACTGGAGAGACGTTACAGTGAGTCTATCTCTCCTCCTCGCCACATCTTATACCCATGGCAGTGACTCAAACCTCACCCCCTTTACTCAACAACGGCAGCTGCCCATTTTACTAATGGTGGCACTCTAAGCGAGCTTGATCCGTGCACCCAATGACAGACTCCACTCATCTCTAAGCCCCTCAATCTAATTGCATGTTGACCTATATTGTCCGCAGAAATGTCCATCTCCATCCCTGTGGAAATCTGGCAGGCTCTCCTGTGCAAAATTGAATCCATGGAAACCCAAATCCGAGCGGCTGTGAGTGTCTGTCTGAGGACTACTGCAAGCCACTGACGCTCCTTAACCTAGCAGAAGGATCCAGAATCATCTCAGACCGTCTCTCCCTCTCTAGGCGCTCCACGACGAATCGACCAAGATCTCATCGCCATGAGGAACCCGAGAAACCCTCGTGGTGCCTTTTCCCCGGGTTATGGAGTCAGGGGGACCCAAGTCCACGAGGATCCCTCTGAAGACTTGATCAGTCTGGAGGGTACCACCCATCGTATCTATCCGGCTCCAAAAGAGCCATCGCCTCCGTCCAACTTGGAGGAGGGATGGTCAGAGCCGTCTGTTACGATTCGACATTCGGACAGGCCGGTAATACAGGCGATCGACAATGCTCAACAACGTCAGGCGCCACTGCAAGAAGCTATCCATTCCCCTGGATCTCCTAGTCTCGGGCCCGGAGGTGGCTCCTTCATTCCCTGGCAGGGAGGAGTTGTGTGAGTTCTCACCGGTCAGAACGATCTCACGATCACCTGATAATGTCCATACCAGATACAAGGACGAAAGTCTCAACGCTCCGGTCGAGCTTTCTGTCGAGGATCTCCTCTCAGGCTTATCAGGAAAGCGAGAGTCGTGGGGCCGCTCAAAGAACAAAGGGGTTACCATGACCGAGTCTCTAGGATGGCAACCGCAAGGTAGTCACCTCTCGGGACCGCCCGGGAGTTCTGGTGCCTGCAGAAAGTGCGGCAAGGAGGGTCACTGGGTAAGTCTGTTTACATCCTCAGCTCTGACATGTTCAGTCGAAGGAGTGCCCAAACCCTGGCTTCGGTCCCGGAGCCTCGTGCCATAATTGTGGTGTGACTGGGCATATGGTGAGGAATTCCTTCATTCATGGCTGATGACAGTCTCGAGACTGCCCGGAGTCGAGGAAGGGTAATTATGGCCAGGGAACTGAAGTACCATACTGGCCTTCCAAGAGTTCCCAAGCTGCAGACTCGACTTCGGGAGACGATGACGGTTGGGGGGAAGCCGTCTAAGCCATCAGCTCGTCATGTCGCGGCGGGACCGCATGAGCCACCCACGAGCGCCTATGATATTGACAATTCTGGAACTGGTGTGCAGACCCCTTCTCGAGCTCGCGCAGAGCCACACATCAATCCGGATCGACTACGAATGATGGGTCGTGGTGGAAAATCTACAGGACGACAGTATCAGCCTGGCCCTGGTCCAATCCGACAGGGGCCAACCGGATCAATGGCTCCACAGAGAGATAACGGATGGGGCTCGCAATCCAAACAGGTTATACCTGAACGAGATGTGAGCGTTGTTCAGCGCTCATTCATCCTCGACTAATCAACACCTGCAGGCCAATTTGGTCCGAACAGACGACACGGTGAGACACATAATACGGTGCAGACACTGAGCTGATGATGACAGGCGAGTAACGGATTTGGCGGCTGGTGATGAGTGCCGCTGACTCTATCATCAACTTGGAGCATGGAGACTGGCCGAGCATGTGTATGATATCATCAGGGAGAGCTTGTTGTACAGTAAGCGTTAGCTGTTAACCAGCAGCGGAGTGACCGTCAGATTCGTGCCTAGGGAAAAGTTGCGAAGTCAAGTAAAGCTTAAGTAAGGTCCTCACAGACACTACTCTAGCATCACTAGTATGAGCATGAACCACATCAGATCGGACAACTGGCCAGTTTGGACGTCCCTGCTGCGCGTGATCAAACGCCATAAAGCGAGACCTCAATACGCTTGATCAATCGCGACTCTCCTCCAGGAGAGTCAGGCTGGCAAGATGAATGGGGTGGAATGATTCGCATCATATCAACCCTGTATCATGCGATCGACGGTCTCGATCACGACGGCATTCGCTGCAGCGGCTTTCCGTTCCGCGACCATTCGCCTAATAATACTTGAAGGCATCGTCTCAGGCGTAGGAACAATACCCAGAGGATATGCCGTACCGAGGTTGATCTCCTCCATCTGGGGCAAGTATCAGCATCAGTCCCGCAGTCGGTCGGTGGGAAGCCGACTCACGGCATGAAGACGATACGCGTCTCGCGGTTCTTGCAGATTGATAGCGTTGGCCTGATCCTCCATCAGTACACGCGAAGATACCCCGCCCTCGCTCACCTTCCACAGCCTTCTTCTCTCTCGCTCGGCATCGCGTTGAGCTTTCGAAGCGTCCAGTTGCGCTTGTTGATCGGCACTGAATACATTAGGGAGACTGATCGCGGCTTTTCGGACCCAAGGCAGACTCACTTTGGCTTCCAGTCGATTCCCCATCGATAATTCTTCGCTTTGGGCGTATCTGCAGGAGTCGAAGCCTGGTTGTGGACCAGCAGACTCAGCATCAGAGACTGTGATAGTTGCAGATGCCGCTGAAGGCCACTCTCACCTTGTTGATCTTTTCGCCGGGCTCCCTCTTGGGCGTATTTGAACCTTGAAGAGAAGCCAAGGTCTGCTGTAAGAAGCTCATCGACGAAGACTGCGGGATGGCCTTCTTAGTAGATTGCGCAGCAGCTGCCCTCTTGGTCGAATCTGATTTGCTATGGGTCCCTTCTGCCTCCTGGCGAGGTGTCCCTGTGGATGAATCCTTCGCTTGGCCTGGCGTATCGTCTCCTTTGTCCTTTTTGGTTCTGGAGACGAGGTCCTTGACTGTCGTGGGTCGAGCAGACTTGTCAGCCCTTTCTTTATCGATGACTTTGGCTGTACTTGATTTGGAGGGTAGTGTTTCCGGTTGTGGAGTTCCAGTCTTTGACTTCGCCTTGAGCTTGGCCGATTTAGCGTGACTGCCTTCAGGACGTCCCGTGTTCTTCTGAGGTACAGTCGTCGCCTGCGAAAGACCAGCTTCGCCAGACTCACTAAGAGCGTCGTTCGACTCTGCGACCTCGACGGCAGGTGCCGTAGCATCGATCGGTCCATGCAATGGATGCCCAGCACCACCGTCGACCTCTGCCTTGCCACCTTTGCCTTTGCCCTTCTTCCCTGCTGCCTTTTTATCAGGCTTCCTACTGTATTTGGCAGCGACATCGGGCGTAAGATCGCTGGGCTTTGGCTCAAAGGTAGCCTGATCTGACCTTGTCTCAATCTCATCGACAACTCCAGGTGTGGGGGCTTTCTCCATCGGCATATCTATATCGACGTCCATCGCATCTGTACTGGCTTTCGCCTCTGCAGGTTGTTGATCTTCCTCATCGCTTTCAACGATCCGCTTTTTTCTCTTCCCTGTCAGTCCTGGAGTCGATCTTTTAGGTGGTGACGCCTGCGTCTTGGGCGCAGCGACTGGTTCCGGCAATACCGATGGGCCATCCGAGATAGAATCCCTCTTCTCCTTCTTCTTCTTCTTTTTCTTGTCCACTGACCCTAACGGACCTCCGCCAAGATCATCTTGATCATCTGGTAATCTGCTTGGCCCAGCTTGAGCCTCCTTAAAGTCTGTCTTTACTTCTTTGCCCTTTGTTCCCGGAGTCTGCTTCTCTCCTTGCTCAGGTCCCCTCTGAAGAGTCGGCCTCTCGGATCCATCCATGGCTGCATCCGCCAGAGGCCGGTCCGACCCGTCCTTCGAGCCGAGCTTGAACTTGATAGCCAATTTTGGTGCCATCGTCCCAGAGGCAGGTGCCGGTGATTCCGCTTCGACCGGTTGGCTCGGGATCTCTGGTAGGTTGACAGTCTTCTTCCGAGGTGATGTCCTACGGGCAGGTACAGGTCCCGCGTCTCCGGGTTCACCTGAACCAGCAGGGAACGCATTAGATGTTTTTCTCTTCTTCACCGTCTTCTTCCCTGTGAAACCTTCGGTCTGCGCCGTCCTTCCGCCCACATCTGTGCCGAAGGCTGCGGAAGCCCCGGGCTGTTCACCTGGCTCTCCTTGCTCCTTTTTGCTCTTGCCAGACGAAAGAGGTGCCGAGGATGGCCCTGCGTGAGAGGACGAAGACGAAGAGGCGTGTGCAGAGATCTTCACTTGAGAGTCCGGACTGTTCTGACGGGTTTCGTCTCGGGGTGAATCTGGGGGGCTAGAGAGTCCGGAGGAATCGGACATCATGCTGGGGTCCGGAAGAGCGGAGAGCTGACGACGATTCAAATACTTCAGCCGGTTTAGGGTCTGAGGGAGGGCCTCGATGCTATCTGATGCGTGTGTCACAGCTGGTCCTCGTATCTTCGAGCGAGATGTAACGATACGCGTGGACCTGTTTCGATGAATGCTCGGTTCTGATGGAAATAATGTCAAAGACAAGGTCAAGAATTGACAAATGAATGGGCACACAGTCTGGGACCGCGAACCGGAGGAAGGCACACTCGATGGAAAAATTGGTTCCGTCTCATGTGATCACGGTCGAGCATAGAATGCATGAGAGGGACATGGCGCCAGCACCAGAAACCCCCAAGGATGCACAGGTTTGCCCAATGCTCGAACCTCCGTCGTCACCAAAAAGCGTCTAGTCACAACACAAGGCTTATCTATACTTGTCCTTTTTCCATCCATGTCCCTTAGACTCTCGGCGCCATCATCCTCAGAACCCGAATATCCTGAAGACGAGGTACAGGACACAGCCTGTGAATCTCATGGTTGACAGACCAAGGACAGCGTAGAAGATGCAAGTCTGGGAGGCGGGTCAGTCACAGTGGATTCTGAGATCGTGATTACTCACAAGATATGGATTGAACGCTGAGGCCGAGGCCGTCGGGATATGTTGCTTGATCCAGTTGACAAACACTGAGGAAGTGAAGAGCATGATGACGAGCATGTTGATACCGAGGAAGAGAAGCACGACATTCGTTCGGAACGTTCGGTCCTCTGCGAAGTGTGTCAGCTCAATTCAATCACCTGATCAACGCTAAACCCACCGTCTGATCGCTTGGTCTCTGCACTTCGCTTCTCATGGACCTCTTTGGCAGGGACACGCAATTCCGAACGAGCCTGTTGCCAGAGAGCCTCGACATCCTCTTCTTTAGTCGGCAGAGCGACCTCAGCCTAAGACGACACGTCAGAATCCTCTCAAGCCAGACTATCCCACTTACCATCTCCTTGCCGTCCTTTTCGACCTTCTTTGCGCCTCCCAGATCCTTGGACGACCCATTGTCTCCCTTTGTACCCCAAGACACATCGTGAAGGTTGCAAAAGGCATAGATGAGAAGAATGTTGACATAGGAAGGCAGCAGGAGCAGGTACTGCACGAACGATGTGATCATGTGCCAGGGCTCGAAGTAGAGGATCGACGAGATGAGGTACATTCCATACGTTGCAAGCAGGGATAGGGCGAGGTCGACAAAGGTCTGGTTCTCGAACAGAGCACTGACATTGGTCCAGCCTTCCGTAGTGTGGGGCACAGTCTCGTACACCGTCCACGCGGCAACGTAGAGCAGGATACCTTGACAGCAAGCAAAGAGCAGAATGCTGCACGTCAGCGCGGGTCTGACAAGACGACGACTCACCAAAGTGTGTACAACCAATTCGATCCCTGCGGCCTGTTGCCAAGAGAACAGATGATGACGATGAAGCTGAAGCAGTCAGACGATTGATTGATTCTGACATCGCGTATGACACTCACATCAACGCGATATAGACCTTGTTGAAGACCTCGAAGATGTCCTGACCATAGCCGCCAAATGGATCTTTACTGCCAGACACAGACGAGTCGATCAAGAAGAAGAACGCGAGGTAGAATGAAGACACGGAGAGCACATTGAAGATCAAATTGACAAGATCTGATGAGCGTGAGCTTAGCCAAGTGCACCCAGAAATGCCAGCTCACTGTATACAGTCAAGATGGTAAGGAAGAACTTTCGAATGATGTTGTGCCCAGAAGTCCAGATGCGCCAGAAGCACACCATAGCGTATGTGGCGGCGAAGATCGATCTGGAATGGTCAGTCTCGCAAGAGAATGTGTGGCTCACCCGTTGAGCCATCGTCGACGTTGGGAGATGAATTCCGGCACACGAGACGGCACATCTGTTCCAGCCTTGGCAGACTTGACGTATTGCAGCCTCCATTTGGCGTTCTTCTTGCAGACGATTTCTGAGCATTCGTCAGCACTGCGACTGGCGACTGTAGTTTGACTCACCGAAGGCAAGGATACGATCTTCTGCCAAAAACTTGTTTCTGTCAAAGATGGACGCAGTGGCACCAGGTAGATTCATCATTTCACCATGGAAATACGCAGCAAGGGGACCCGTGCCGTCTGCGTGGTTCGACACGGCGGCATATCGGTAGCTGTGGGCAGTCAGTCATGACTAAAATCCAGGTTACGGGGGACTGACGCTGAGAAGGCTCCAGGCAAGACTGAAATCAAACCAAAGACCGATTCGAAAGGCTTGTCGAGAATATTGGACATCTGCATCGGTCAGCAAACCTTTGCCGCCAAGGCTGATCTATTCACCTTGTATTCAAAATTCTGTCCAGCAACGAGCGGGTTGAACAGAAGCTTGCCCCAAGGGCCAGTATCGGCGAAGATCTCTCCGCATGCCCCGCCCACGTTCTGAGCAGTAAGTCAGGTCAAAATCTTCCGTCATTGACAGCGGGGTATCTACCTCGTGCTTCTCGAAGACCTTGTAGAGCTGTTCCTGGTCAGCTGAGGGTCACGATCTGATGAAACAAGATCTCGAAGCTTACCTCATAAATACTTCGACCCGAGGGCTTGGTGCCGACGTCGAGGAGGACACAGACGTTGGGCTGGATTAGAGGTCCGAACGCATTGAAGAACCACCGATGCGAGTTGAGTTTTTTCTTATTTTGTCTTGAGGCCGTGTCAGCTTTCCGTGGACGGTGCTGGCTCACTCTTTCAGACAGAAGATCAACTGAACGGGGCAGGATCCGAAACCGACATCTCCAGTTTCCGAGACGGTTATCTGGGAGGTGTACTCGAAGATGTGCGCTTGGGTCTCCTTGTCCAATACGGTGTCCTTCATGACTCCCTGGTGTTCGGTATCAGCTTTGGCATACAGCTTAAAGGAAGTGTCGGCTGACCTCGGCGTACACTCCCATGAGCTGTAGAACTTTGAGTACTCTGGCATCAACGACCTTTCGGCCATCGGCGACGATGCAGACGACTACCTTTTGCCAGGCTTGAGCCCCCCATGTCTTTGATCGGTTCCGTGTGCAGAGATGGGCAATATTCTTGATGACGGCGTTGAGGGTACGGAGAAGAAGGACGGAATCCTCGTTGTACATCGTCATGACGATCTGTGGTCGTGGGTCAGTGTTGATCCTTACGGTGACACCTTGTACCCCTCACGAATAGCTCAGTCTTTCTTCCCCACAGGTACTGCCTCAAGGAGAATTTGCGCCTCATAAAGTCGTCGGGGTCGCAAGTCGCGGCGGTATATCTCATTTTGGTCACTTCATCCTTTTCGAAACCCATTCCGCCACCCGTAGGGACTACTCCCTTTGGCACGGGCACGTCCATGATCAAGTTTCCATTGACCAGAGGAATCTGCTTGACGACCCGTCGTTCAAGCAGTTGATTTCGGACCTGGTGCCAATGATGAGAACCTCCAGCGGGAGTCATTGGGGTCTGAGGAGGCGCTTGACCGTATGGCTGATTACTGTAGGGTTGACCGTAAGGTGACTGAGGGGGGTATGCAGAGTATTGATTCGGGAGGGGTGGTACGATTCCGCCAACATCCCATTCCTTGTTCGGCGTAGCGAGGTGAGTCGTCGACGAGTACGACTTGCTCTCATCCGGAAAGTCTGAACGATAGCTTGAAAAGGACGGTCTCGACGCCATTCCAGGGTGAGAGGGAGGCAGAGGGAATCCTCCATTCGAGTGACTATCATAATGCTGCATCTCGTGGATCTCTGGTTGAGCGATGGGTGAAGGACCTCGTTGGAAGTCGGTTGATACGCCTGGAAAGTACGAGTTGGCAGGTTGATGGTACGAGTCGTGAGGAACCTGCTGTCGAGCCCCGCCAGTGTGAGGCGGTGATGAGAAATCTCTCTGTGAGTAAGCGTTGTTGTTATTGTAAGTCTGTTGAGTTGGTGTAGGAGCAGGCCTAGTTGGCGAGTATCCCGAATCTGATCCTGGTCCAAGTCCTCCAGAGGTGGATCGAGAAGGGGAGTAGTAATCCGGCCGGCGGGGAGAAGGGATATGGTCGTCCTGATACCCGTAGTTGTTCATGATGGTAAAGCGAATGTGTAGTGGAATGTATCACAGATACGATCGGAGCCAAGGGGATGGATAAGTTGATGAGAGACGATGATGGGTCTGATGTTGAAAGGGGGTGGGGGCTCTGGTGGTGAGGGACCCGCGGGAAGGAAAGTAAGGGTGATCCGTGCAACGAGTTGGCCCAGGAGCCACGCTGCCAAGGTGATGAGGACTGGGTGTGAGCGACGCGTGAGTCCGACTCCAGCGAAGCAGAGAGAGAAAGAGGTGATCGAAGACCAGCTTCTAAGGTTGTTAGTGAGAGATGAAAGGAGTGGTGGGATAGAAGGATGAGAGGATGAGGGGGTTAAGAGTTCACGCGTGACAGACAAAAGGGCCTGAGTGTAGATTCTGATTTTCTTTAATTAACCGCGTTATCACCCTTCCGCCCAAAAGTTACACGCGTCAAGTGAATGTGGCAGTGTGGCAGTGACTTGGTACTGAGATCTAGGGAGGGAAGAGCAGCTGCAGCAGCGTGGGGACATGACAACGGTGTGAGGAAGGGTAAGGGGAGGGGGTAAAAGGGGACAGAGCCAATAGACGAGTCCGATGACCGATGGTCTGTCTGATGGTGCTGCTGCACCTGGTTCGCATGGTAACGATGCTCACCGCCGCCTGACGCTTATTGTCCAGATAATTACCGTACACTGCACACAATCTGTGTGCGTCTCCAGTGTGAGCATCGGCTCACCACATGACGAGATACTGATAGATTTCGCGGTTTGCGGTTATATAGGAGGTCCAGTCGAGATGCCTGGAGTTCCATACGTCCACCTCGATCCCGTCTTCTTCGAGCCCATCCCGCTCAGAGAGCTGTACGAAGAGGTATCTGTCGATCCGTCACGTCCCATCGCTGGAGGCTCCATTCCGCTTTCATCAAAATCGTCCAAGAGCAGTGGTCTAGTACCGAAGATGGCTGTCCCTATCACTTGGGGTCCAATCGAAACGCCCCCGCCTGCGTCTTTGCCCACGCCTCAGTCGACGCCTGCGAAACTGAAGAAGAAGAAATCTGTTCATTTCTCCAATCCACCAGATGCCATCATCAATGTCCCTCCTCCCACGATCGACCTGGCATCAACAGGTCTACTGACGCCGGAGCCTACGCCCGAGAAGAAGAACAGTGTGTTTGGCAAACTGTTCACCAAATCGAACAAGAATCCTCCTCAGACTCACCTGGACCCCGCGCCGCCTTCACCTCCTGCTGAAGATGATGTCCCCACATGGCAACATCACGCCTCCTATTTCCCAACCTACGAGCCTATTCATTCGGACCCATTGACCATCCCCGGTGTACCCGGTGTCAAAGCGCATGAACGGTACTTCCCATCGTATACCCCCTTGCTTTCAAAAAGCGGAACGGAACTCATGAACTCGTCAGCTTTCGCATACGCCCTCGATCCGGCAGTGTCTCAAGCTCAAGCTTATTCAGCTGCGATGGGACATAATGTCATCGTGCATTATCCTGATTTACCTAAATTTGGAGAGTATCAAGGTGGGAAAGGGAGTTGGTCAAGTGCGAGACGGGGAACGGATGGTTGGACTGGATATGGCTGGGAAGGTGAAGGGACAAAACTGCCTGACAAGGATGGATTGACATTCGGAGCGCCAATGCCAAAGGGTCAGGAGTTGTCCAAGGCCGGTAGTGTTAGCGGTGGCGGAGCAGGAGCCTTGCCGTCCGGTGGGGGCGATGGTGGAGGGAAGAGCAGAAGCAAGAGCAAGAGTAAGAGCAAGAAGAAAGACACTGATGAGGGAGCTGACGGGGAAGGCGGTGGCGGTGGTAATGATGCAGAGTGATTCACATGCGCTAGAGGTCAAGAGAGGACACATCGAGAATGCATTCCCAGATACATTCATTCGCAGCCCACGCACATTAAGTGCAGCTGACTGGCGGCTCGTACGGTTTTGCACTAAATGCAAATCAAATTTGAGAGGGGACGAAGCGCGTAGCTTTGACCGCATCTGGCAAGGCCAATCCGGCGACTTCAACTGGGATTTTGATGGGGATCCTCAGGGACGTCCCTGACTGCTGATCATGTGTTGCAGGCTTGCGACTTCGAAAGGGGCCTTCAGCTCAGACGTTGCGATATCGCTACAGCTTGGTAGCGAGGACGAATCCACTGGCAGGCTCAAGCGTCAGCACTCATCACCGAAGACTGGTTGGCGCAATGGCTGGCTATAGGTGGCCGGATCACTCACTCCCAATGTTTCGCTCCGACTGTCTGCGTCCCACTCAACAATACAGTCTTGCCATTATCCTTTTCGGCCCAATCATAAAACTTTCTCAGTCCAGCAATGTTGGCATCTTCGTGGGTGTTACTTCGGTACTCTGAGGTGATTCTGAGCGGCGTCGATTCAGCAAAGCGTGGAGGAACAAGCGGGTTAGGAAGCCCACCTTCCGCCTCGAATGGCATTGTCGATGAAAATCAGAGCACCCTTTCGAGAGAGTCTGAGAGCTTGTTGAAAGTATTCAGGGATGTTTCCCTTGTCCGCGTCAATGAAGACAAAGTCATACCCTGGAGACAGGATCGTCAGGGACGACAGCAAGTAAGGAGGATCTGAGGCAGGACAGAGGAGCCAACCTCGATGCCACTGCGACTCACCGGCATCCTTGAGACCCTCTGCCTCTCCAGGTGGGCTCAACCCTTTCAACGTGTCCACAGCTTTACCAATGTGAATCTTGGGGAAGGGGTAAAGATCGGCATCGATGAAGGTCTGGTTGGAGATCTTGGCGTGAAGAGGGTCAATCTCAAGGGTGTCAATCTGACCGTGCTTGGGCAGAGATCGAGCGAGGAAGACGGTCGAATAGCTAGGTGACAAGGACACGTCAGCAAGTGGATACGCATCGACGCAGAGTGGGTTTTGGAGATGTGGAGGGTGACTCTGTGCCCAGAAGATAGATGGCCAATGGCAGTGAATGGTCTCGATTTTCATAGCTACCCTGGGACAGGGAGTCAAAACTCACCCCCACAGAGTTCCAATTTCCAGAATCTTGCTGGCTCCGACACTCTTCGCGAGGATACTCAACAATTGTCCCTGTTGAGGGGACACTGCGATCTCAGGAATCCCCGCTTCATGAGCCCTCTTTCGACATTTCTCGAGGACCTGGTCGGCGCCGTATCCCGGCGCGAGGAGCTTGGTGTCAAGGTACGCGTCGGTCTTTTGGGCCGTATGTTCTGCAGAGAGAGAATGGGTGGAGAGGGATGAGATCGTGAGCGCAAGATTCCTGGCAGGGCGATCAAAGACAGAGTGGTAAGAGGGAGTGAGGGACTGATACGACGGCGTCGAGAAACTCGAGTACCCGGATCGAGTCATGGAGGTGAAGCACGAACGAGTCTGTACAAGTCGTGTCGTCGTCGTTGTCGTCAAACGCTGATCGAACTCACCTCCAGTCGCCACATCTGACGGCATAGGTGGTCGATCAGAATTCGTCGAGTAGACCACTTCCTGAGGCGCTAGAACGTCGGCAGACATGGTGAAGGGACGATGATGGTGTGGGACAGTGAACACAGGCGAGGGTCTAGCTGCGTGAAGAATTGTAGACTTTGAGGAAGACTCTGAAGTCAGTCGAAGAAGGCGAGGTCCCGGTCGAGTAGGAAGAGATCTGCAGAAGTGCTTCATGTTTTATACCCTGATTCCTTTCAGACGGAATCGTCGGCCGATGAAGGAATGTGCAAACTTGAAAGCTGAGTCATGCGACCCTCTAAGCTGGTAAAAGAACGGCGAGAGGCGTCACCCCAATGTGCGAATTGACTCGCGCGATCACTGTAGTGTCTCCCGACTCGCAACAGAGTCGAGTCGACCCAAAAAGACTTTATCAGATAATAATGGATCAAAGATGAAATTCGCGCATTCCGAGTCGGATATTTATTCGAGGCGTCGTGACGAACACTTTACGGCTACAAGCCCATGATTCTCTTACCCGAGGCAACGCGGAAGAAAACCCCTTTCCGCGAAGGTCCCCCCCCCCTATGTTCTCTGTGGCTTTGGGCTTCGGTCGACTCGGGCCCGATACCGCCAAGAGTGCAATAATCCATCCTACGCGACGCATAGAAAGGTGAGAACACCATCCGTGATCGGATCGATCCACCAAGGCGATGGATGTGATACATACCAAAAAAAAAGGGCGCGCGATGGCGGGACTGATACCGTAGAAAGACTATATTGAATACCGCAAGCGACGAAGCATGGACTATCGGACGAAACACTTGTACTGCGAAATCTCAGCGACGCGTGTGTGGGGCCTGCGTGGTGACTTACAGTGGCGAACGCTCCAAGGACAGCAAACAAAGCTAAACTTCCTAAAATCCCTCCAAACCAAGCATACTGAGCATCTGGGCGTCAATGTTCGTCCACGTGCAGAGCAAGACGAGAGACTCACTCCGGTCGTGATATCCTGTCCAGGAACATGAACGTTCATCCCCCAGAGACCAGTGACCAAGTTCATAGGGCTAGACCGGGGCATCAGCGCGAAAATCAGGAGACAGCGGAAGAAGAGCTCACATAAGCACCGTACCCAAGGCTGTCAGTTTTCTGGCATGCTCATCAGATTATAGACTGGGAAAAAAAAAGAGAACGGCCCGGTCGACTCACGAGAGCACATCGTTGATCTGATTGTTCGCATCGGTCATTTCGATGGATATCTGGGCGAGGTAGTTGGAATGAGATCGGGACAAGATCTTCTCATAGTGATTCAAGTTCTGCGTCATGGTGATCAAATGGTCTTGAATATCGGAGAGATAGAGACCCTAGGTACATACGTTCAACACAATCTCTAAAGGGAGTCTCGTCTCACTCACAATGTCTGATTTTGGAGCCACCAGCCATTGCTCGTTGCCTATTGCATCGGATCATCAGCAAGTGGCTCTTCAGCAGCATCCGCACTCACATCGCTTGGCCAGACCCTTGACCACATCCGCCTTGTTGCCCATCAATCGAAGTAGTCCCATAACCTTTTTACGACACGTTCCGATCCTGGAGAGGCGTCGTCAGCAAACGCGCTTAGACTTTCGTCAAGGATGAGATCGCGAGCGTATATCCTCGCTTGACTCGGCTCGTCTCGACTCGGACTCACCGCCTCAACATGTCACTCTGCTCCGCCTCCTTTAAAATCAACACCAGCTCATCGATACTGTCGACTTCGTACTCTATGCTCTGGATCAAAGGCCCAAAAGCATCGGTAATGTCATCGATAAGAGCATACGAGATCCAATCGGAGGTGACGGAAATGTAATCTTTGAGATGCTTGATTCGACGACGGACGTTCTGAGGGTGGGGTGTACCTCGGAAATGGAACTGCGGACCAAAAGCGTCAGCGATGAGATCCAACTCCGATGGTTCGAGGCAGAGCTTTAAGCGAAAGCCTCCTCCCACTTACCGACAGTGTGCCTTCTCTAAAAACGATAATGTACATGTTGAGTGGTTCGAGGTACGTCTGCGAGTATGGATCTTGATCGAAAGATCTGAAACAGACCAAATAATAGTTTCTGAACAGTTCGATTTTTTCTCGTGTTTCTTCGAGGAGAATGTCTTCAGTCGTCAACGGATGAATGCCAAAGACCTGACCATGAGATATCAGCAAGGGCATTTACAACGGTCTCTGCCATAACGATCCTCACCTTTGACAACATTCTCATTTCGTCATCTGTCGGTGACAAGACGTCCAGCCACCACGTCGCAGCTTCCGGATCATCCTCCTCGTCGACCTGCAGACCACCGGGCGGAGGTGGAGGAGGCGTCATGGTCCCTGCCACACCAGCTGCCGCAGCTGCTTTGGCCAATAGTCCAGTCTTGGTCCCGATCTGAGCGTTTGCATTCCCATTCGGGACGCCAGAACCGGTCTTGACACTTCCATCGCCGTAATCTGTCGATTCGACTTGAGGCGATCTATCCACTTGCTTGCCTCTGAATAGATCTTCAAACGATTGTCCATCGGCCGGTAATTCCGCCAATGTCCTCGCATGGATCGTCACCGGCAGGGCATTGGAATAGAAGGAGAATCTGTAGGGTCGATCATGCCCAGGCGCTTGATCTTTGAATGGGACAAAGCCATTGCCACCTAGATTCTTGGGCTGCCTGGGTGCCTTGAAAGCAGTAGCGGAAGCTGAAGATTCAGGCGCATCGTCCGATTGACCGAATCCTTCGAAAAGGGCAAGTTTGCCCTGACGGCGTTGAACAGGGTTTGACTGAGAGAGTTTGCGTTGTCGTCTTCGATGGAAAGGCGTCTCCTCCTTTGGAAGAGATGATCCGCCATTCTCATCTCCGTACGCGCTGATGGTGGCTGTCCTCTCCATCGTTCCGAAACTCTCGCCTGTCACTTCGTTCGCTGGAGGCGTATGATCCGAGCTACTTCTTCTACCTGATTTTTTCGAGTCTTCGATCCAGTTGGGGACAGTCCGATCATCACGCTTCAACTCGTCCCTTGCAAATTCCTCCATGGGCCCAAAGTCGAACTGATTTTTAGCGGTGAGGTGCCTATCATCCATATGTCCCATATGATGATGTTGACTCGAATGTCCAAGACTGTGAGGATGACCCATACCTTGTCGTCCATGTCCTCCAGATACACTCCCGTTCCCAGGCAGCAATCGCGAGTGACTGTCGTAACCTGACGCATCGCTTCCTGATCCATTCCCATTCAATCCTCGTCCATCTCGATGTCGACTGTGATCCATCATACCTTCTCCTCGCTCTTCATCTTGATCATGATGTGCTTGGTGATCTCCATCCTCGGATCCAGTATCGTCATGGATCCTGAACGCTCCTGAACGAGCTCGGTCCATATCGTGTTCTTCTCTATCACTCAAATGAGGAAAACTTCGCTCGTCAATGGGTGATGTCGACGGATGATGTAATAGGGAAGGTCGTACCACAGGCGACGTATCGGCATTGACCATGCTTCCTGATCGAGCCCGGGCTATAGCAATGAGAACCATCAGCGACCTGTGCTTCCATGACAGGACATCGACACGCACACATGCTCATGGCACTCTCTATATCCTGTTGTCTCTGTCTCTCCCTAGCCATATCAGGATCTTCTCTATCCCTATATCCTCCATTTCCTCCTCCTCCTCCTCCACCACCTCCACTCACTCCGGCACTACCGCTACCTCCAGGTCCAACACCTCCTCGGTTACTCACACTCGTTCCATGCCGATGAGACATATTCGGAACGGAGAGTCCAGCGGGTGTAGACCTAGCTGGTGAGAGAGCACTCGGTGAAATGGTGATGGCGTGAGTCCGAGGTAGATCTGGATCATATGATGTGATCCGAGGTGAAGATGGCGACATGGTAGAATGGGGACGAGATGTTTATGCTGACCTGCTCGGGTAGCAAGGGATCGATTCGTTCGTGCTCGAAGTGAGTGGTCTACCGACGAGAAGATCCAATTTTTTCCACCTCAAGGAGGCAAAAAATAGATTATAATCAAACGTGGGAGGGTCCAAGATCCGTTCGTTTTTGGGAATGCTGAAGCAGTAAAACAGATGCCGATGCAGCTGCTTCTTCCGACGATCCCAGTCCCGCCGTTGCAACAACAACCCAGACGATATACAATACTATATATGGAGAGGTCAGCTTTCCAAGGATGATCGCAGGAAGTTTGGGCTGAAAACAAGACGTCAGCGATTTCAACGGGCTTAGGTGATCAGCAAATTGATTCCGCCACTTCCTGTACTCCTGGCGACCATGTATACATATCATACATACAACAGACGGCAATGATCATAAATGTGCTACAATACAACTCAGTATCCTCCACCTGCGTATTTCTGACTCGCAGCTTGAGCTCTACGATTGGCGTCTTCGAGTTTGGGACAATCTTGGATACCGTGACCGAGACCTGAAGAGAGAGTGATTAAGCTTTGGGAGAGAGGGCAACGACCTCAGACGCAAACTCACCGCCACAGATCGGACAACCCTTGAGTGAGGTTCCGTGTGCTGCTCGTGGGTCGTCTATGGATAGCAAAAATTCGGGGATCCTATAACGAGGCGTGAGCGAGAGTACGTGACATCCCTTGCTTGAGCCAGCATTCCTCGCTCGCTTCGTTCGCTCGCTCGTTTGACTCACTTCTGCTTCGCTTCCATCAACAGATACTTTAGATCCAACAAGGTCTGTTCACTCGTATTCATATTCACAAACGTCGTCGCAATCCCCGTTTTCCCGGATCGTCCCGTTCGTCCAATTTCATGCACATAATCTTCAATCTCCTTCGGCATGGAGTACACGATGACATGCTGGATTTCGTTAAAGTCGAGTCCTTTAGATGCGACGCCAGAGGCTACCATCACGTCTTTTGCGCCGGTTTTGAATGATCGAATGGCGTATTCTCGTTCTTCCTGAGCTGAGGAGAGGGGAATGAGCACGATCAAGGGGGAAAGACGCATAAATGCTCACTCTTGCTGCCGTGGATGGCAACCGCTTCCACACCTTTAAGCAAGAGGTACTCCTGTATATCTGTCCAAGTGAGTTGACCGCGTCCTTGTCAATATGCAGCTCACCATCCACTTCGTTCTTGCTGTCACTGAAGATGATGACTGGCGGAGGGGTCTTTTGCAAACATTCCAACAAGTAGACCATCTTGGCTTCTTGCTTGACGTATTCGACCTCCTGAATGACATCCATGTTCGCAGCACCCGCTCGACCGACATTGACCAGGATCGGATTGATTAATGACTGTTGAGCAAAGTCTTGAATCTTCCGTGGCATGGTAGCGGAAAATAACAGTGTCTGACGTTGATACTGGCCGGGACATCAGCTCCAGGCCGATTCGCGGAGGAAGAAGCTCACCTTGAAATGAGACATAATGCTCCTGACATCCTCTTCGAAGCCCATATCTGGACAGAGTGAGTTCAAGAACCCATCGTGGAAGTGAGACTCACCTATCATCCTGTCGGCTTCATCCATACATAGATATCTGTTTGCATTAGCCAGGACCCACACTTTCCCTACTCACTTGCAATTGTTCGCATTCAACCTGCCCTTGTCCAGCATATCCATCAGCCTGCCTGGCGTAGCCACGGCAATATGGACCCCTCGACCCAATACGTCCCCTTGATCCGCCATGTTGATACCTCCAATGCAGAGCAAATTCCTCAACTCGGGATACCCTCCCTCCTTCAGGGCTTTACACATTGCCTGTAATCCTTCATACGTTTGTCGAGCGAGCTCCCGGGATGGACACACAATGAGCCCGACAGGTCCTTCACCTCGGACAAACGGGATCTTGGATTCCATTTCGAGCGCTTGCATGATAGCTGGTAGGGTGAAAGTAAGAGTCTTGCCTGATCCTGTGAATGCGATCCCAATCATATCTCGGCCGGTAAACCTGGGAGCGATCCCATCAGCATGCAGTCAACGCCGGAACACTGTGCACACCACTCACGCCGTGGGTATACCCTGAATCTGAATAGGTGTAGGACGCTTGATTCCATTCCTCTTCAGATGCTCCAATATCGGCTTGGGGATCTTCATATCTTGGAAATTTGTGATCGGAGGGGGTATCTCCTCTCCCTCTACTATGATATGATGCTTTTCCCTGACCGCTTGCCATTCCTCTTCTGACATATCCCGGATAAATCCTGGTGGTCGCCAACTGAGGGACGGGTGAGTAACAAGTCAAGCTTTGACCCCACTCACGTCGTTTTCAGACTTTCTGTCCAAACAGTCCCCTCAGCAATCTCTTTCGCACCCGCCAACTTCTTCTGCGCCCTCTCCATCTCTTTCAACAAAGCCATTTCTTTTTCCTCTGCAAGTTGACCCGCCGTCTTAGAGGCATCTACATACCTCGATCAGTCGTTTCTCCACACGATGAATCCCCAGTTCAGGCTCACCTTCGATGGCCCTCTTCTCCTTGACTTCCTGAGCAGCTTGCAAGAGTGTCCTTTCTCTCCTTGCCTTTTCTCTCGCCTTTTCCTCTTCATCCTCTTCCTGTTTCTTCTCTTCCATCTCCTTGACCACCTCATCTGACATTTTCACTCTCTTTGACCTTGAGCCGAGTTGAGATGCAAGCTGAGCCCGACGCTTAGCGACCGGAACGTAGGCCTTGTAATCGCTGGGTAGAGCATACTCATCATCCTCCTCTCCACCAGATTCTCGCCGAGGAGAGCTTTCCCCCGGCCTACTGGATGAAGCTACTGCCATGGTGACGATTGGCGACGACAACAACAACAAAAATAATTGATCCATCATCAGTGGCAACTTCGATATCTAATCTCTCGCGCGCGCCAGTGACTGCCACTAGAAAGATATCGCCGTAAAATGCCGAAAGCGGCGGAGACCTCCCCCCCTCTTGTCCGGCCGTCATCCATCGCTACACGCGCCCAGCTACACCAACCAATTATAACGGGGAGCCCATACAGCGACGGTTTAGACGACTTGCTTGGTGCAACCCTTTTGAGCGACAATTATTCGTATAGGTCTTGCAGAAGCTGTGGAAACTATCCCGCAAGCTTGGCAAATTACCTGGCCAAGCTTGCAAGAGCTCCTTCTGCTGTAAGCTGCCATTTTGACTTTGCCACCTTTCCAATGCCACTCGGTTGGGTAAGACGCATTTGCTGACATCTCCACAGGTCAGGTAGCGTCAAACTGACTGCCGGACTATAGGCTTGAGGATAACCGTTGGATGCGCCATGGACGTGAGTAATTCCGGCCCACATGCAGACCTGCCGCACCTTTGCAAGTTAGCTTTGGCTGACTCAACTTAGGCTATCCTGGACTTCTCCAAGGACCTCGATGTGGGGTGAGTGTGGTTGCATAGCGAACAGGTGAAAGACCTTGACACGCTTCTAGTCTCCTGGATCAGGTCGTACAGGCATTTTACACTGGATCCGGTGAACAAGTGAGCTCTACACTCTCAAACCCTCCATGTCGCATTTAGGCAGCCGCTCAATCCAATGTTTGTAGCAACAACAAGCTCAACGTGTCCTCACTCAATTCCAAGAGAATCCGGACTCTTGGCAGCGTGTCCCAGCTGTCTTAGAGACCTCCAACAACCTCAACACCAAGGTAAAATGATCGACACTGCAGCACCGGATTGGTCCGCTCACGCTCCTGCAGTACATCGCCCTACAGATTCTAGAAAAGCTCATCCAGACACGATGGAAGACCCTTCCCGCAGAGCAACAGAATGGGATACGTAATTTCATCGTCCAGCTCACCGTGGATACGTCCTCAGATGAGCAGAAAATGAGGCGAGAAAAGGGATATCTGAACAAGCTCAACTTGGTACTGGTCCAGGTAAGCCGGACCGTTTCAGAACATCCATGCTGAAGCCCATTGCTAGATCCTCAAACAGGCATGGCCGAAGGATTGGCCGTCGTTCATTCCCGAAATCGTCACTTCCTCCCGTACCAACCTATCCCTCTGTGAAAACAACATGATCATTCTCAAACTCCTCTCTGAAGAGATCTTCGACTTCTCAGCCGAACAGATGACACAGGCCAAGACGAAGGCTCTGAAGCAAAGCATGTGCAACGAATTCTCAGACATCTTTACACTGTGTAATGAAGTTTTGGAAAAGGCCAACAAGCCGAGTTTGATCAACGCCACCCTGGAAACGCTATTGCGGTTCTTGAATTGGATTCCACTGGGATACATATTTGAAACTCAAATCATCGACTTCCTGGTCTCAAGAGTGGGTATCTTCGTCCCGGCACCTGCTGACCCGTCAGTTCCTCGAGGTTCCAGACTATCGCAATGTGACACTCAAATGTCTGTCCGAGATTGGCGGTCTGATTGTCGGACCCGAATTTAATAGCAAATTCGTCACCTTGTTCCAGGTCGTCATGACCAGCGTCAACCGAATGGTCCCACCAGGCACAGGTGAGCTGCCCCATCCAAGAGAGTTATCTGACCACCTCAAAGACATGGCGGCTGCATACGCTTCATCTGACGATGAAGATCAACAACTCATAAAAAACCTCGCACTCTTCCTTGCAAACTTCCTTCATAATCACCTTCGCCTCATCGAAACTCCTGAGAACACTGAATTGCTCATCAACGCCCACCTGTATCTTATCAAAATCTCCACAGTCGACGACCGTGAAGTCTTCAAAATCTGTCTCGAGTACTGGGGCAAGGTAGGCCAGGGGAAGGAGGTCAAATGCTGATCGCAAACAGCTTGTATCTGAACTGTATGAAGAATTACAATCACTCCCCTTGAACGACATTAACCCTCTCATCAACCTCAATCTCGGACGCGACATGAATGGCTCAGGGCTGGCACTGAACGGTGTGCCGCTGAGAAAGAATATTTACGCCGACATCCTCTCAAATCTGCGGTTGGTCATGATTGAGAAAATGGTCAAACCAGAAGAGGTCAGCTGAATTCATCACTTGCCCGATTGCCGGTCACGCTGACATGACCAGGTCTTGATTGTCGAGAACGACGAGGGAGAGATTGTCCGAGAATTCATGAAGGAGAGTGATACGATTGTCCTGTACAAGAGTATGAGAGAAGTGCTGGTCTACTTGACACATTTGGATGTCTCGGATACGGAGATGATCATGACCGACAAACTGTCCAAGCAGGTGAGTGATCTGAATGGTCATTTCAGCGCTTTTCTAACGCCGTCCAGATTGACGGCTCCGAGTGGTCATGGAATAATCTGAATACGCTCTGTTGGGCTATTGGATCAATATCGGGTGCAATGAGTAGGTGCTGACCGTTAGAGTTGGCTGACGGGTTCCCAGATGAGGAGACTGAAAAGCGATTCCTCGTCACTGTCATCAAGGACCTGCTTGGCCTGACGGAAATGAAGCGGGGCAAGGACAACAAAGCCGTCTGCGCATCGGATATCATGTACATTGTCGGACAGTATCCACGGTTCCTGAAAGCCCATTGGAAATTCCTCAAAACCGTTGTCAATAAACTGTTCGAGTTCATGCACGAGACGCATGAGGGTGAGCGCCATGACGAATACAGCAGTGCTGAATTGGCCAGGTGTTCAGGACATGGCTTGCGATACGTTTATCAAGATTGCTCAGAAATGTCGGCGACATTTCGTCATGCAGCAAGCCGGGGAACACGAGCCCTTTATCGACGAGATCCTGCGGACATTACACAGAATCACGGTGGACCTCGCCCCGCAACAGGTGAGCTCAGGGTTGAGTGATGAGTTTGACGTTGTCAGGTCCACACGTTCTACGAAGCTGTAGGATACATGATCTCGGCGCAACCCAACAAGCCAACTCAAGAGAGGCTAATCGAGAAGTTGATGGAGTTGCCGAACAATGCTGTAAGCTGTTACCCATCCAATGTCTCGAAAGCTTACGCCTTACGCTTTCAGTGGGATCACCTGATGAAGCAGGCTGCGCAGAGCGTCGATGTGCTTAGCAATCCTGAAAACGTCAAGATCATGTCGAATATCCTCAAAACCAACGTTTCTGCTTGTACTTCCATTGGACCTTTTTTCCTCCCTCAACTTGGACGAATCTGGCTTGACATGCTCGGTCTGTACAAAGCCGTCAGCGGGATCATCTCCGAGCAAGTTGCTCAACAGGGTGAGTCGACCCGGCACACAATATTTGCCGCTGACGCTGACGTCTTTAGGCCTGGTCGCAACCAAAACTCCCAAGGTCAGGTCTCTGCGTACGATCAAGAAGGAGATCCTAAAGCTCGTCGAGACGTACGTCCGAAAAGCCGAAGATCTGGATGGAGTCAACAAAAACCTCATCCCTGGTCTCTTGGAAGCCATCTTGACCGACTATCAACAGAATGTCCCTGCCGCTAGGGATGCCGAGGTCCTAAACGTGATGGCGACTATCGTGTCTAAACTTGGACCTCTGCTGTCTGCTCAGATTGCCCCGACTCTCGATGCAGTCTTCGAGCCGACACTGGGAATGATCAATCAGGACTTTGCGGAATACCCCGAGCACCGGGTAGGATTCTTCAAGCTGTTGAGGGCGATCAACCTTACGTGTTTCTCTTGTGAGTGATCTCAGTATATTCTATGGCTGACTTTGCAGCACTATTGGAACTTCCACCACAGCAATTCAAACTCGTCATGGATTCAGTTGTGTGGGCCTTCAAACACACTATGAGGGATATCGCCGATACCGGTCTGAACAGTGAGTGGCCAGGTGAGCATCTCTGCTGATATGTCCCAGTCGCGTTTGAGATTGTCAACAACTTTGCGTCATCATCACAGGAAATTGCCAACCAATTCTACCAGCAATACCTCCTCAGCATGCTCGGCGATGTGTTCTACGTCTTGACCGATGCGGATCACAAATCTGGCTTCAAGATGCAAGCCATTCTACTGGCACGATTGATCTCTTTGGTGGAGACTGGCGCTGTGCAGGCGCCACTATTCGACCCAGCTCAAGTCAACGACTCGAGCATGACCAATGTGACGTTCCTCAAGGGATATATTGAAGACTTGCTAAGAAACGCCTTTGGACATGTGCATAGGTGAGTTGCTCGAGACGAACCGAGGGGATAGCAGACAATTGACGGTTCCGGGCCAGTGCATCGATCCATTCATTCGTCGGTTTAATGTTTGATCACTCGTCGGATCCCGTCAAATTCAAATTCACCCTGCGCGACTTCCTCATTTCTCTCAAAGAATTCTCAGGGGACAATGCGGAGCTGTTCATCGACGAGAAAGAAGCGGATGCGATGAAGAAGGCCAAGGAGGAGAGGGAATCGGCTATGCGCGTACCGGGCATGTTGAAGCCTGCTCAGTTGGATGACGATCAGGATCTATGAAGGAGTTCTGACAGCTAGGACCGATCAAGGAGGGAATAGATGGAGGCTTTGAGACCGTGAAGACGCTAGGGACTTGCGACGTCCGGATCTCGCCCCGATCCCCCGCCAAGATCTCCAGGTACGGTCTGGATATTTTGGCTTTGTCAAGGATGTAGATTATACAAGGGGTCAGCCAGAGAGAACGAGTAGAGAGCCAAAAGTCAGCTGTTCACGATTCCTTTTCATTTTTGTTGCATACATCCCCCCCAAGGCGGTTGCTGTCAGGTGTGTTCGCTTGCATAGATAATAAACATGGGGGCAGAATGACCGGCATGGGTCGGCGATCCTGTGACCGTTTATTAGCTGTGCCGCCATTTTCTAGTGGTAGACGCCCCGCCTCCGCCACTTTTAAAATTGTCCGTGAATGATCAACAAACCTCCCCATTGTACTGGCTGTGGCTGTGGATGTGTCTCTGACATTGACTCTTGTGAGAGACATCGCTGTGAACCCTTGTTAGACTTTTGAACAATCTTCGCTTCAGTGGTCACCAATCCTATTATTGCTGTTCAGCAGCAGATTTTCCCTTTTTGAACGGCGACAGACAGGCCCACGCAAGCTACGGTACGCCATACCCCCCATACCCTACCCAAAAAATCAATCCATTCTATTTTGAGATTAGCGGTGCAGGGAATTGAGCAAACGGAGTAGTAGTACATGGACGATCATCATCACTCACTGGATTCAATCACCCAAAAAAGAAGAAGAAGAAGAAGGAGAAGCAAGACCTCAACCTCCTCTTATCAACGTCTGTTGCAATTCTTCTTCTCCCGGACATTTTGAAGCAGAACAAGGTCCACTGGTCCACGTCTTGAGCTCCACCTGCGCCCTCATCGACAGAAGCTCAGGCGGCTTGAAGGCACTAGTCTCGATTAAATCTCAACTCTAGTCCGAATTCGATATTCTCGCAGATCCTTTCACCATTCATCACTTGAGAACACACAATGCGACGGTCTACATCTCTCTACACCCTCGGTCTGTTGATCGCCTCGACTTCCTCTTCCTTCGCCACGACCATTGAACAGCTCGTCGAACAATGGTCAGTCACCGAAGGCAATTTTACATTCCCGATGCCTTCGCAGAGCTTGATGAAGAGAGAAGACGCGGCTTCGTATCTATATTCAGCATGGGATCTCAGCGGTAGGATATCTTGGGGAACGTCTGATATGTGAGTTGTGATCCCTATCAGGATGATCCAGATAGGACGCTAACTCGTTTACGTGCAGATCCTTTGTGTCTGATCCTGCTGGCTCGTCAAATTCTACAAACGCAAGACGTCAAGTCGCGTCCACGACAACGACGAGCTACACTCATCATCATCATTCTTCTTCTTCTGTCCTTTCGCCATCGTCTACTGCGGCGGCGGCTTCAGAGACGTCGTCTTCAGCCTCTTCGAGTACTTCATCGTCCTCGACTTCTTCTTCCTCCTCCTCCTCCTCTGGAGATACGGTCCTGCGTATAGAATACCCTCAAGGATCATATTCTAACAATACGGGCGGAACTCAATTCAATGCCAACCCGCTGAATGGCACTTTTGAGAGGATGATCCTGGCATACGATATCTACTTCTCGAGCGACTATCAGTGAGTCCGTAGTTCTCGACAACAGGGCGCTGATCGCTGATCACCGTCACCAGATGGGTCCAAGGCGGTAAACTGCCAGGTCTCAAAGGTGGCCCGGAGACATTCGGATGCTCTGGAGGAAGCGAGACAGATGGTACAGGTTGTTTCTCGACGCGTCTCATGTGGCGTACGAATGGAATGGGCGAAGGTGAGTCTTTTTCTTTGTTTCGTGGCTTGATACCTGTGCCCCGGCACAGCATTGCAAGGCGGCGGTCCGACCTGTTGGCTGACGACGATGCTGTTCCCTCCCACCTTTAGTGTACGCATACATTCCCACTATGTCCATCAAGAACTTTTGCTCAGATACCGGCATTATCTGTAATTCCGACTACGGTACATCGCTCGACAGAGGCAGCTTTAGCTTTGTCAGCGGACAGTGGCAGACAATCTACCTCGTCGTAGTGTTGAATGAAGTCGGTGTCGCGAATGGAGTCGTTCAGTGAGTCAACGCCTTTCAGGCCCACGTCGTTCATGCTTACACAAAATCTTGCCAGACTCTACTACAATGGAGTCCAAGCGATGAACTTTCAAAATCTCGAGTTGCGATCTGCCTCCTCTCTCGCAGGTATCAACGGCATGTTCTTCTCGACCTTTTTCGGAGGAAGCGATTCGACTTGGGCTACACCAACAGAGCAATTCACCTACTTTAAGAACATTCAACTGTATGCTGGATCAGGCGAATCGACAGCATCAGGTCAGAAGATAGGATCGGCCTCGTCTATCTCTTCGCGATTCTCAATGTTGCCAGTGGTGACTGCTGTTGTCGCTGGTTGCTTCTTGACTCTCTTCCTGTGATCTACCTCTCTGTGTCTACATGTTTCACCCTTAATCCCAGGTCGTCATTTATCTTCCACATCATTCTGTCTTGGCTATTCTCACTTCATCATTCGCATGCATTGCCCACTATGTTGTTGCAGAAGCTGAGACCGGTTTGAATTACCCTGGTGGCAGTCCGTGATCTCTCAACGCGGTAATCGGAATCGTTTCGAGGTGGTGACTACGCCAATGTCTGATGAGTCGATCGACTTCGTCCTCGGCTGCATCCACCACGAATAAGCCAGCGCTCCTGCGGTACTGACCTGCATCACCGCATCTTGTTCAGAGTGACAGGGTGGCAGGACGTTGTCCAGTTGAGGATGCGCTTTGATCGCCGCGCCGCCCCATCTCGCTGAAGGCCGTCCCTATTGAGATTCCCCTCTCAAGGCAGCCTCCATTTATTACTTCCACTGACATTGACGAGTATTGAACTCCTTATCTCCTCATCAGACTATTCATGCTACTGAAAAGAATATGGACTCGAGACGCAAGAGGACACGGGATCAAGTCGAGGTGAGCAGGCTGTTGAATGCCCTTGCCTATTTCTGCTTGTCCATCCGTTGATACGAGATCAAGGATTTGCATGGCCTCAGACAATGCGGACCATCCACGCGCTCAGCTTCATGCATTCGACACCCCTCTGGGCCCTTCATGCCTGTAGAGACGACGAATGACCTTCACAATCTCCCTACTGAATCAGCACGTGCTGGACCCCGCTCGATTTCCACGGACGCGCCGCCCAACTTCAAGGCAGTCCACGCCAAGATCGATGCCTGGAGTACCGACCTGAAGACTTTCATCTCAAAGTATCAAGACGTCTCGGACGAGAAGCTGCTACTCGCGTCGAAAGACCAGAAGAAGCACGTCTCGGATGAGAAGAGCAAGACGGCGGAAGTGCTGAAGAAGCTCGAGCGATCGAAAACGGATCATGAAGCTTACAAGAAGACCACTGCCAGAGAAATCCGAGAGATCAAGCAACAGCTCACCGTCAAGACTGACGAAGTCTCCAAGGCTATCAAGGAGCGAGATCAAGCCGTGAAGGACTTGTGCACCCTTCGTTTCCAATTCGAGGCCGTATCGAGAAAGGGTCAAGGTCATCAAGGTCATGCGACCAAATTGAAAGCGGAGAAAGAGAGAACAGAGCGAAAACTGGCGGAGGTCAAGCGACAGAGGGACGCTTGGAGATCGAGATGTGGAGGCCTCGGTGGGAGTACGGAGAACGACCCGTTGGTTGTCAGAGACACGAGGAGGACATCTGCGACAGGAGGGAGTGATGACGAGGGGACTTCTTCCTGCTTTGACTCTGACGACTCTGAGGTCGATGCCTTGTACGTCGAAAGGTCAGATGTAGACGAGTCAGACGACAGTGGGTCGGAGGATGAATCAGGCGAAGAACAGTCTGACTAAGAAGAAACCGATCGAGACGGATTGATTGAGGAGCTGGAGCCAAAGTCAGAATCGGCAGACCGAGCTAGAGCTAGACAAGATACGGACGGGAAACTGGTCCTCAGGTCGAAATCGAGTTATGCTCGCGTCCCTGTCGCGCCTCACATCAGCTGCGTCTTCGAGAGACTCGCGGAGATGGGTGAAAAGAGGAGAAAGAAGAAGTGAGGAGATTGACTGACGATAGAAGACCTCAAGGGGAAGTCTCCCCCGTCAGCTGTGGCGGGGACCCATGAGCCATCTCACTGTCGATTTGCACTCGGGAACTGAGCCAGTGGGCTTAGACTGCAGCGCGGAGAACCTGTCTCCCAGCTCGTGTTGTGAGAGAGTGGGATACGCCAGGGAAGCAATCATCTGGATAGATCATATTATCATGTCTGTGTATGTATGTCCATCTATGTCCTGGCAGCGGAGACACCGACCCCGTGATTAGACATCTTATGATCTGTCGTCGGCTATAGCCACAAAGATCCTTCGATTCAGGATGTGATGCAGCCTGAAGATACTTTGTTGAGGCTCCCAGCTATCCCATCATGTGAGAATACCCATTCGTCAGCCTGTCAATGATCAATTTGTCTGAGGTGATTCTGGGTTGCAAGAGTGACGCACTGATCGCCCCCCCCCCCCCCCCCCCCCCTTTGGTTGGTCCGGTCAACTTCAGCCATCCATCTCTCCTCCGTCATCTTTCTACCCAACGTCTTAACAAGACTGACATGTCACCAGCTCACTCTCATAAAAGGGCTTTCTGCGACTCTGACGAGGTGAGTGGATGCGAATCAACAGTCTGCAGCGGAGCATCACTGAGACTATTTGCCCCGCCCTTGCTAGTCTGATTCTGGTTGCGGCGACGATCCCCAGGAACTCGCCGCAAAGCAACGATGTGTGCGAGACGATTCGACCAAGGACCACTCCAGCGGCGAAGCTCAGCATACGAGTGACTCTCGGCAACCGACAGACATCATGAGGCGAATGTCATCCTCCTCAGCAGTCAACCAGCCAGAAGCCTCGAAGGATGAGAGATCGGATATGAAGAGTACTCAAAAAGGCAACGGCCAAAGCGTTGGTTCGGTCGAGCCTGTGGCAAACATGACTGGCCACTCAGAGACTCCTGGCTCTCACACAAATGGCCCGTCATCGGACATTGCCCTCGACGGTGAAGCGACTGTACCTGACAAGAACATGCAATCTTTGATCGACACAATGGTGCACTGTCAAGCCTTGCTGAAGACGACGATGGCACAATACAAAGGCTTCGCTGAGGACATGCTTGCAACTGTCAAGAAAGAGAACGAACACGAGGTCACTCAAGAAAGGACCAGGGCTGAGGTAGCGCTGGCGGATCTCGCAATGTCGAAATTGCAGCGAGAAAAGGATATCAAGGGCCACATGGAAAGGATCAACGAACTTCAGGAGGCCCTGGACACGAAGACCAGAGAAGCGAGTCAGGCGGCGAAGGCTCTCGAATCCGCGAACAACAAGGTCGAGGGACTACAGTTCAGTTTGGAAGCCGCGGCCAAGAAGGGCTTGGGCCACCAAAGTCACGCCAAGAGAGTAGCGAGAGAGAAGGAGGAGTTGAGAGACAAGGCGGAGTCGGATAAGCGATCCTTTGAGAGGGATCTGGCCAGCCGTATGGTACGAATAAAGTCGCTCGAAGCGACTATCGAAACCATGAAGCGGCAGAAGGAGAGGGAGATCAAGGGCTTCCGGAGAAGAAAAAAAGGCTGGAAGAGCTTCTGGCAGAGATAGACAAAGAGTTCAAGACGCTCAAGAAGGCACCCAGCAAGGAGGCAGACGACGCACCTAGTGAGAGCAATGAGATCGAAATCTCCGGACTACAGCGTAGACCTTAATGGCTGGAGATTCACATGGTTCGGTAGGATCACCGTGAGAGTAGCCTACTCGAAGTGAGGCTCGCCGGAATTGACCTCGCTTCATCGGCGACGGAAGCCGAATGGATGACACCGAGCAAGGCCAATGTCGAGCAAGATACTGGGGACAAGGGGAGTCTTACGAGTCTCATGCCCGGCTGGGAGGTGACGATTCGAGCATGACGAGATGACGGATGATCCATATATGCAGGCTCATGTCATTCACGTCCGAAACATGCGGTGCCCCACACTCCATTCAATGTGTCATGAAGGGGCTGCACCTCGCTCTGTCCTTTTTGATATACCGTCTTCATCTTTCTTATGAGTACTGAAGCGGACGATACAGAGCAGCATCAGGCTCCAGCTCCAGCATATTCAGCCTTACCGAGTCAGAAGACCAGAAAGTCACTATCCGCCAAACTCTGCTGGATCATCATCTTCCTGCTTGGCGCTTTTGCTGTGCTGCTTCTTTCGAGCACTCGACGCGACAGCCTTTCTCCTTTCGAGCAGCTTCGGACATTGTTCTCTTCTCAGAATCGCCATACAGTGCTTGTACCAGAGATGAGTGCTAAAAAGCACGTTGGGTACTTTGTGAGTCAGCTTTTGGCTCCGGGATAGGCCCGAGTCGCAAGCTGACCCTTACGCAGGTCAATTGGTGTGCCTCCCTGCAGTCTCTGAGATCCTGGCTTCATCGTTGACAGCTGTGCAGGGGAATCTATGGTCGGAAATATCCCCCTCAGCAAATCCCATACCAGCATCTGACCCACATCAACTATGCCTTCGGCAATGTGAACAAGGAGAGCGGGGAGGTCGTGCTCAGCGACTCATGGGCTGACGTGGAGGTGAGTCAGACGCCACGAAATGAGAAGCTTGGTGTACAATCAGTTGAAGTCGTACAGATACACTACGAAGGAGATAGCTGGAATGATTCGGGAACCAACCTGTACGGTTGTCTCAAAGCAACTTACCTGCTCAAGAAGAAGAACAGGTACACTGCTTCGATTATCCCGGGAGGACCACGCTGATGAACGCCGCAGAAATCTAAAGGTTCTTTTGTCCATCGGCGGTTGGACCTACTCGCCAAATTTCGCCGGTATTGTCAATCCACAATGGAGGCAAAACTTCGTCAGGTCTGCAGTCAAGCTAGTCGAGGATGTTGGATTGGACGGGTGAGTCCCGGATTTGTACAGATTCCATATGAGGCTTATATACCCTACAACAGACTCGACGTAAGTCTCGGCAATGGCAAGCTCTCGAAACAGCTGATTTGGCCCCTCCAGCTCGACTATGAGTATCCCAAGACCTCTGCTGATGCCGATGGTTACGTTCGATTGTTGCACGAGCTCAGACAAGGTCTCGAAGAGCTCGCCGCCTCGAAAGGCAGACCCAGAGGGCAATACCAGCTCAGTATTGCCGCGCCATGCGGTATGGACAATATGCAGGTACTCAACGTGAAAGCCATGGGTCAAGTGAGTTCGGTGGGCTGATCAATCTCGGACCCAACATCTGATCATTACAGGTTTTGGACTTTTGGAACTTGATGGTAAGTTTGGAACAATCAAGTTACGCGATGCTGATGGAGCACCACTTTGATAGGCTTACGATGTGAGATCGGTTTAATCAGCCGAATCTCCTCTGCTGACCTGAGGATACAGTTTGCGGGTTCCTGGGACAGCGTAGCAGGACACCAAGCTGCCTTGTTCAGCGCTTATCCCGGAGCACCCTCCATCGATGCTGCCGTGAGATTCTACACCAGTCAAGGTGTTCATCCTAGCCGGCTCGTCATAGGCAAGTCACCGCGCGCTCCAGAGGGCTGACTACCACAGGCATGCCCTTGTACGGTCGAGCCTTCGCGAACACCGATGGAATTGGGGCATCATACTCGGGTCAGTATTCAGAACAGACGCGGGACATGGCTGACGCTCTTCAGGCACCGGCGAAGGCTCCTGGGAAGCTGGCATGTGGGACTACAAAGCCTTGCCCCTTCCTGGATCCGAGGAGGTCAACGATCATCGGCTTGGTGCTTCCTACTCGTATGACCGGTGAGTAGCAGAGGGGAGAAGTGGGGCCTCAGAGTTGACATCTGCCACGTAGGGGCAAGCGGCTTCTGATCAGCTACGATACACCGGCTATTGCCATCCAGAAAGCCCATTTCATAAATCAGAATGGTCTCGGAGGAGCGATGTGGTGGGAATTAGACGCTGACAAGGCGGAAGACACCGGTCTGAATCTCGTTCGCACCGTCAAAGAGCAGTTTGGACAACTAGAATACCGGGAGAACGACTTGCACTATCCAGGAAGCAGTGAGTCGATTCAGTGCGTTTTACCTTGCTGATCAACCCTTTAGAATACGAAAACCTGAGAAACGGCATGTCAGGGTGAAAGTCTGCCAGGGAAGCTCCTGCCTGTCCATTCTAGATGCATTTCATTGCAACTTTTCACAGCTTTATGCTCCGCCAACAGAATTGGCCGCCAAATGCCCAGGCAGCGGTCCTGGACGGCTACCGTACGACCTAGTGACTGTGATTTGCATATTACGACAAGCCAATGGTGCAGACAAGGCTGTCGTCCAGAAGCCTCGTGTGTTCGGCAAAGAAAGAGCACACTGGCAGCGACTTGCAGCACAGCCGGCCTGACTGTAAGAGTTCCATGCTCAGGACCTGTCTGCCAAGTCTCAAATGAATCTGAATTTTCCGACGCGTCAAAAATCAACGACTGCAGACGATCATCGTCCGGACATCAATGTCTTCTTATAGCTGAGCTGTATGAGTCTCTCGGGGCCAATGACCGTCCATTACGATGTCTTCTTACCTCCTATGTCGCTGACACCTTTCAGTGAGACGCATGATTGGCCCTCAATCCGCTTGCAAGCCCTACGATCGTCTCCGGAGTCTGCTTCTCAAGCCTCGTCGTTGAGACTTCGTTTGCCCGTCATCTTACAAGAGCGATCGAATTATGAGCAGGTTGTCGCCTCGACCTGCGCCAGAAAACGTACTGCTAGCGATGTGCTCAGTGAAGGCTCTCACGACCGGGATCGACCCTCGAGGCTCAAGCTGTCCTCTCGTCTGTCTGTCGACGGTGAGTACACCCCCAAGACTATCTCAGATCGGCTGAGTCCTGTCAGATCCGACCGCTCCTGCACCAACGATGCCATTTGGTGGCGTCGAGATATCCGACTCGTTCATTTCTCTCAACACGACCACCTCGAATCCATCACAATTTCCCCCGACGGCCGACGATCGAGCCAATACATCCGTTTCGAATCTGCCCCGATGGCATATCCCTCTCTCAAAGCTATCTACTCTTCAGTCGCTCCTCCGTACACGACCTCCACGGCGCAGGGGCCGACCATCCGAGGGATTACAGGACCAACTCGTCAACGTCTTGTTATGCGTGACCTCTGTTGAGGCCCCGGTGCTCCGGCAGAGGAAAGAGGAGAAAGCAGCTGGAAAACAGGGTACACTTTGGATCGCTAAATGGTCAGTCATTGCCCAGCCGGAGAATGAAAGAGACGTGGGACATTCAACCTCATTAGGAGACGAGGTAGCTTGCGATATCAAGCTTTGGGATGATTGCGCGCGAGAATTGGGAGAAGGCAAAGTCAGACGAGGTGATGTGATCCTCATCCAAGGTCAGCTGTCCCTTGATCTCTTACACTCGAGCTTACATATCTCTCAAAGGGGTCCAATTCAAGCCTTCAACAGCGAAGGAGAAAGCTCATCTGGTCCTCTCATCCACACGAGCTCATTCGCCGAGCGTGACCGTGGTGTATCGAACTCTACCGCGATATCGAGACGCACTCGGAGCGTACAAAGCTCAGCCAGTGCGCCGGCAACCAGCTGCAGTTTTGACTCGGGCGGCGACTATGGATCCACACGACAGATTGCTCAGACCAGATCTGCGCCTCGGACGAAGCGACGCCGGCATACGTAAAGTAGCAGAGATTGCACGATGGTTCGCAGAATGGGTCGGCGGAGACGCGCCACCCGGATGAACAAACATGTCTAATAAAGCTGGTCAAACGCTATCTACCACAAAGTCAGAGCGGATACGCATCATTCTAGTAGTCAGGTGGAGGATCGTCGACCTAATGTCATGAGCGCAAGCCTTCTCCGGAATCTCACTTCGGCCTAGTATTTCTGCACCTGGTGACCGGCATTGCCGTGTTGGACTCCATCGCTATACCCAGCCGCAAATCCATGGTGGAAGTCTTGCTCCTCCACAGGCGAGCCGTGAGGGTCCGCCACCGGGTTCCCATCGGGTCCAAGAGGAATTGACACGGCGGTTCTCTCTTTATCATTCTTGTGCTCTTCGGCCGCTTTCGTAGCGGCCTTCTTGGCCTTGGTCTCCTTGTGCTTCTTGTACGCGTAATAAGCAAGCATGATGAATGATGATCTGAGAGGAGTTCAGATCATCGTTGGAATCAGACACTCACTGTGCAGAGCTCGAAGCCTGGAGAAGCTGGGTTAACCAGATTTGATCAGGTTGACGATGCAGCGGGATAACGGACGATAGCGATCTAGTGCTGCACTCGTCCTTATATGGACTGAAATCCACTTCTGCGACCGAGATTGCCGCTGACTCCGGACGATAGGCTCTGCTATCAGCCTCGGCCTCATTCGCCACACAGTCTTCGGATCCCGTCGCTAGCGATCGGTACCGAGAGTTCCCCGGTGACTTTGTATCTAGACTGAGAATTGCATTATTCTTATCGGCTTCGTCGCAGCACACTAGACCATTGGAGATTATGCAAGGCGGTTGTATGCGGTCAATGATGCGCCAGCCCTCCTCTCACTGCACAGTTACTAAATTGCATCGTGCTTGGCCAATTGTATATCCCTCGTGGGTTGTGGCGCGTGAGCGGCGCCACATTAGGCACCACCTCCCCTCTAAACGCTGACAGCCTTCAATCGATCATCTGTCCAGTCTAGGTATTCCCCCGTGAGGCCCATCGGCCCACCGGTGACGGCTACTTGGGCGATGACTGCGCCGGGCCTGTTGATAGTCAAGCTTGGCATGGACGTGCCCGTAGAGAATCCTAAGACTTACTTTTCCGTAGGTAATAATTCTCCCCTTTCAAAGGCGCCGATGAACTTTGTCAGGTCTTCGGGATTCATTGCTCCAGAGCCAGACTCCCTGAGGTACTCTTGCATCTGTGAAAGGTCAGTTTGTAGTTCGAATCGAGGTCGAAAAAGTATCGAAGCTCACGCCAGTCTGGTTTAACATCAGCTTCGGTTATTGTCGCATTGTCGGAGGCAACGGCGCTCACATCTACCATGCCGGGTCTGATGGACCAGACTCCAACCCCGTTCTCCTTTTCCTCCGCCCCTAAAGTTCTAGCCAAGCTGTTCATGCCCGCCTTGACCATAGAGTACATACCCCAGGCTGCATAGCCTTTCGTAGATGCACCTGATGAGACAAGGACGATGTTGCCCTTGGCTTTCCGAAGATATGGAAGTGCCGGTTTCACGAGATATGGAATGGACAACAGATTGATAGCTGTATAATTTGATAGATCCTCCAAGGTGAGGTCTGCGATACGCTCTGCGGGAAGTCGTAAGCATTTTTCCTGTTCTCTTAGGGAATACAATACTTGCCTAAGGACATAATTCCTGCACAGATGATCACTCCATCCAACTGACCCCACTTATCTACAGCAGTCTTGACCAAAGCTGCGTTATCATCCATCTTTCCCACGTCCCCTTTGACATGTATACATCTGTCCCGATTGGCATTTAACAGAGCTTGGAATTCTGGAGGTGTGGACCGAGAGATGGTAGCGACACGAGCATTGTGCCTGTCAAGTAAGATCTTGAGAACTGCTAGTCCCAGACCTCTAGAGGCTCCAGTGAGAAGGACGACGGGTGAAGCGGTCATGCTTGCAAGGGCGTCGGTAGCAGCAATCGTCACTGTATATGTGCCAGTGCCGGATCTGCTGGCCCGAACACGGCTTGCCCTGCGGAAGCAAATTTGTCTACCAGCTGAAATGCCTCAAAGGATTGAGCTGCTATGGTTTGGTACTACGTCGCACCTGCCTGTAGTCCGGCAGACCATGTCTATCATACGGCCATTCGAGCTCCAAGATGTTCTCAAATTCAATAGTATCAACGTAGACGCTTGGACGGCAACGGTGAGCTAGGTCTTAATGGCCTCATAGCAGCAGTTCAGCTCACTCATCTCGCAGTATCACACTGGATATTATGCCTCATATCTGGCGCAATGGCCAGACTTTTGCGTTGCCGTCCAAGGATCGTTTGACGACACTTTAGCTGCTTACTGTGCGCTAGTCTTTCCTCCGCTTTTCGAGTTCTTCGTTTGCTGATCCAACTTGATCCGTCAGTGATATCAAAGCATGAACCCCCTCCGCCCGACAACCTACATCACGGACATGTCACTGCATTGACGATAAAGCCAGAATACCGAGGACTTGGCCTGGCTCATATCCTGATAGACATGCTGGAGCGCTTGTCTTCCTCAGGGACAGATTGCGTCGACGCGTGGTTTGTCGATCTGTTCGTGAGGTAGGTTTCTGGTGGGCTCCTCCGCGAACGTGTGGCTTACACTTCCCTTACTAGATGCAACAACACGAGAGCGATAGAGATGTACGAGAAAATGGGATACTCTGTCTTTAGGAGAGTCGTCGAGTGGGTCAAATGAGGATATGACAATGGCTAGCTGATCGCTTCGCAGCTATTATACAGGTATGGAAGGTGTAGGGTCTACAAAAGACGAGTTGGATGGCTTCGGTGCGTCTGTTTAAAAAGCGCCCTGATTGCTGCTGACATGCCGTGGTAGATATGCGCAAGTCGATGCCGAAAGATACCACAAAGCGGCACGTTCGATCGAACGGAAGGGATATACTCGTTTCAGCGGATCAAGTCTGGGCTTGAGATCTGGCCGTAAAACACAAATATAATCAAAGTCGTTGTATCTGTATTGTCATGTAATCCGTATCCCATGCGTTCACACATTGCATGCCTCGCCATGCGGGTAGATGATGTCTTTATTATTTCAAACGATTAGATATGTGCGAAATGAATGTCCCTTCTCTCCTCCTGTTTCAAAATTGTCCTCTATCGAGTCTCTTGCATGTCCACTTTGAGTGTTAAAGGAAGATCCCTCGAGCTGTGTCCGGCGTAGAGCTTGAATTTACCCTTCGGGACGACCCACATCTGGTGCTTGACATCCCAGACAGAGAGATCCTTCTTTCGCTGCGGGTCGGAACATGAGCACTAGTTTCAGATCGGTATCAAGGACTCACGAGGTGGAAGTGGACAACCTCTGATTGACCTGGCTTAAGGTAAGGCTTGCTGAAGCCCTTCAAGTGTCTCGGGGGCTGCTCTCGCTCAGATTCGGGGAATGAGACGTACTGTGGCCTCATGAGCGAAAGCTTAGCGGCTTATTGCTGTACGTACGAGTTGGGCTACTTCGGCTCCAGCGACTTCACCTGTATTGGTGACGTTGACGGAAGCGGTCCACTGATGGTACGGTGAGCAACCTATCAAGATTGATGGTAGATATTCGCTCACCAGAACATTGTAGAGATCCGCCTTGCCAGCGAACTTTTCGTTGGTCTGTTGAACAGTGTCATTCAATTGGATATGGGTCTCCTTGAAGGACAAATGAGACAGCTCGAACGATGTGTAGCTGCGGTATCCTCAGCTCATGCCGCGACGATTTGACGCACCTGAGACCGAAGCCAAACTCGAAGCGGGGAGGAATGTTGTATTTGTCAAACCATTTGTAGTCGATAGCGAGACCTTCTGTGAAGAAGGATCGAGGGTAGGTCTCGTCTTCCTGGATGAGTTGTCAGATACCTACAAGGGCGACGCTGAAAGATCTCTTACCTCCTCGCGGATGATGCTTGGGGGCCATTCAGATTCCGTTCGTCCCATGGTGAAGGGCAACTACCTTGAGTCAATACGAATACCATTTCAACGGACGCTTCCGCGGACTGACCTTGCCGGAGGGGTTAACATCTCCCCAGAGGATGTCGACAAGAGCATTTCCACTCTCTTGACCGGGGTAACCGGCCCAAATGACTCCCGCAATCTTGGGTAGGTCAATCTAGATTTGGTCAGCACCAGCCTTGGAAAACATCACAGGGCTTTCTCTCACCCAGTCTTCCATGATGGTCTGACCTCCGGTGTGCATAACGACCACGACCTTGCCAGCACAGCTCTTCTCAACTGCCTTGATCAACTTTTCTCCCTCGTGGTCCAATCGCAAGTTATCTCTGTCCCATCCTTCAACAAGGTAGACCTTGACGAAGACCATGCAGACTTCTGAAGCGGCTGCGACGGTCTGGATGGATTCAAAGTGCGTGGCGTCGTCTTGCAAGTACTGATCGATTCGGATCTTTTCGCTTCTTGCTCGAAGAGAGATGGCCTCGAGAGGGGTCGACTGTGGATCAGGTGATGAGCTCAAGCTGAGATCGGTGATGGCATTCTTCTCTCACGATGTAGTCGGGGTAGGCAGCACCCGATCCACCACCGATGGTGACAGTACCGTTCCAGTATCTTCGTTCAGAGTTGACAATGCAGAACAGATCTGGTCCACATCCACTGACAGTGGGAGGCGCTCCCGCATCTGATCCGAAGATCCCGATTCGACGAATGCCCTTCAAGGGGAGGACTCCGTCGTTCTTGAGCAATCTATACGACTCGTCAGGTCATGTCCTCAGTATTTTGAAGCTACTCACACCGTTGAGTCAGCGGCAACCTTTCGAGCAAGGATATGCCCATCGCCTCGGTTGTCAACGTGCTCGTTCTTGAAGACCATGCCGTCTTGCTCAAATTCGTCGGAAAGATCGTATTTTTGGAAATTGGGAGCGGGATAGTCCTCGTGTTGCCTAGAAGCATACCAAGGGAGGAGGATTCTGCGAAAGCTCAATCAGCGCCACACAAGTATCAAGCTGGAGCGCCTTACCTGCGGGCCATGTCGTCCAGCCTAGACTCGGGTACGTCACCTGCTTTGACTGCCTTGATAAGGTTGTCACCGACTGGTACATTGTCAGTTTGAACAAGACTTCCACGTGAGAGCACTGACAGTACTGAGCCTCGGGCAGCTCCATGTCCATACCGTTCCTAGCGGAAGGTACAGTCGAATGAGTCGCACCATAGTCACTCTGAATTTCGATCAGTTACAGCATTTCAGCCAGTTTCGTCTTAACACACCAAGATGCTGGCCGTGAGTCAGCTGCGTTCAAGAATGGTAACGGTCTAGTCTGAGCTCACAAGCCTTGAAAGTTTAGCTCATCCTTCATTATCTTGTTCATGGCGACACTGTTCTCGCAGGTTTGAGTACCGTTGATTTTGTTGTAGGAGCTTGAGGGGCAGTGAGTTGCGGCCATGTAGAGAAAGTGAGCTAGCTTACCACATGATGGATCCAGTTCCTGCTCGGACACTTTCCGCAAAGCTGGGAAGGTAGAGCTCCTTGAATGTCTTGTCTGTGACGGGTGTCAGGTACCCGGCTCTGCAGGCTCAATCCTCACCATCAATCTCGACGGATGGGAATTGGCAGTCGGTCCGCTGTCCGTTGACAACCGGACCTTTGCAGACTTCGACCTGCTCGAATAAGATGTAGTGCTTGGAGCAGGTAATCAAGCCAGAATCTTGCATGGCGCGGACGGTGAGACCAGATAGTTGGGTGGTGAGATAGGGGTCGGGCGAGAATCCTGAAAGGGGGTCAGCGAGCTATAATGAGCGGATGATGTTGCATACCTTCCCAGTTTCGGCCGGCGTATGGTCTTTATCCCTGTTAGCCATAGAACATCGACACGATCATATTACTTACGACCTGCCCAACGGTCCACCAGTGATCTAAGACTTGTCAGTGAAATACCAGGTTACGAGGATGCATCAGCTTACGGGCGACAAAGCGACATTGATACCCTTGCCTCTAAACTCCTTTCCGATGTGGAGACCCTTCTTGTACAGAAGATCCCTGTCGAAAGAAGCAGCCGCGAAAAATGGGGAAGGGAATTGGGTGACAAAATCGGTGTAACGAGGGCCGGATGCTGAAGTCAAGTCAGCTAAGGGTTCCCTTGGACAGACATTTGACCCACGTCCGTCATCGAAGCACAGTCCTGGGATCCCGAGCCGAGGTACACCTCCAGAGTTTGAAGAGCAAGGTCCGAAGACAGCGGAGGTGAGGTTGACCTGGGGGAAATTAGCGACTTTCGGACCGAAGGATTGCTCTAATTACCTTCTCTTCAACGGTCATCTTGCTGACCGCATCAGCAGCCATGTCAAAGGCTGTCGCCCAAGCTCCCCCATGTGAGACCGGAGCTTCATGTTCGACGACGAATGGAGCCGATTCCTTGATCTGGTGAAGGGGTGATTGGTGAACAGCTACGGGAAGGAGCGGTGACAACAAGGTCAGTGAGTCTCGAAGAACGGACCACATGGTGAGAGTCAATTGTCGTTGGTGTCGATCCTATATCACTGACTGAGGGAACCGCCGAATCACCTATGCGTCAGTTCGGTCCACAGTGGGTATCGATAGGCGGACGCAGGAGCAGCAACAACAACAACAACATTTGGGATATTTTCCTTCCACTCGTTGGGACTGTTGGATCCGGTGGATTCGCCGTGTTTGCCGCAAAAGGCAACATCGAAATCTAATCTCCCGCCTTTTCACCGATCCATCGGATCTACGCCCCCCACTCTGATCTGGGCTTCGCACTGAGAGTCCATCCCAATAGCGCTCAGCAGTGAACACTGCTATCCTTTCAAGATGCAGATTTTCACGGAAAATCAAGACAAAGGACAATGCCAATCCAATCCTTACCTAAGGGAGCAGCGTAATCTCTGAATAACTGACGATGGGTGGCTGCCTGCTTACTGACTGGCGACACTGATCTTCTCTCTACGGCTCCACTTCATGAGCGCATGATATATCGCTTGTGCTACACTGATAGTCGTATGTCATGTCGCTGCAAGCAAGAGCGATCTTGCCCGTAGTTCCACAATATCATCCGCAAGCTTCTGCCGACTTTGAAACCGATCAAGTGGGTCACACGCACATTCAGAGCTCTCTTCAGTCCAAGCACTGGTGAGTATGCCCGAGTCCTCACAGGGTCTTGACGAGAGCCCAGGCTCTACGAGCATCAAATACCTGCACACGCCTACCCTTCCTTGCCTAAAGTGGGCCCCTTTCGCCTGGACGAGATCCCGCATCTATCGACAGAGGTGGAGTGAGTTGACTAGCGAGAAGTGGAAGGCTGACAACATTTATCAAGTGACCAGCAGAATGATAGCCTGAAGAACGAACGGTTTGTAGATGAAGTATCCTCACCCTCTGCACCGCTCCTTCCGCTTCATCATGACCCTGCTGGCAGTTCATCGCCGTCGCGTCTCGCCGCGTTTGTAGTGGACAAGTCATGTCCCCACGCCGAAGAGTTGGACTATGTGCCTATACCGACAGGCACCTCTTTCCTGAGGTGAGCTCTCCTCAGCAACTGAATGTTTCATCTCTCACAATGGCAGCTCCCGTGGTCTCCAAGCGCCTAGAAGCCGACCAGATGGTCTCAAAGCACGGAAAGAATCGAGTACGCTGGGAGTTACGGTCGAATCGGCTGCATCACCGACTGATGCAGACGAGCCAGTGGAGCAGGACCTCGGGGATGTCATACAGACTGCAAAGCACGGCTCGCCATCCAAAGCTCGAATGGTCAGACTTTCTCCTCTGACACCAACCACTCGAGTCAATGCAGATCTGTTAGGCAGTCCAACAACTCCAACCGGCAAATCGAAACTAGTCACTCCACTCTTGCCCCAGATCAAGGTCAGTTGACGAGCGTTGAGCTGGGCATGATACTGAAATCCAAATAAAGGTCCATCTAGAGGAACAGACGGGACACCGGGAATCTGCGTCTCCTTTCGAAGTGTATTCACCTCTAATAGCAAATCTACCCCGAGATGCCGAGCTCCACGATCGACATGACGAGCAGACATCCCATCGCAGGACAAGCGCGACCGCCGAATCGCAGCATAGTAGAGTTGGACCAGGAATGACACCGAGTCTAGCGGAAGTCATGGATCGAGTTGGAGTCAGTGCCAAACGAAATCGCTTGGATATTGATGACTGAGGATTCGAGATCCAGGTACCGACCAATGTAGCCTATGCATCAGGTAGCGTCTGTCTCAGGTTCCTCTTTTCGCATCTTGACTACCCGTCCACCTTCGATGATCTCCTGCCACTCGTCTCCCCGCGACTGTCCTACTGTACCGCCACTGGCACCCTCTCCTGCCATTGTGTCAAGAAACGCTTCATGTTCTACTCCGTCTCCCGGCCTCTGCATGTCCTCGAGTTTACGCTTATTTGAAGGAGTCGACGAGGCCGCCGCCATCTTGGCGGCCCTGATGTCCCTATGAGCATGTTTCTGCTGGCTCCTTGACGGGCCCGATTTCGTTGCCTCTGCATTTATTGGCGCCGCCTCGGAGGAGGCAAGCTCAGCTTGAGCTCGAGATCCCGCGAGGGCATATGCGTTGTACTGTGGGTGGTCAGCAAGGCAAATTAAAACAGGGCATACCTTCTTGAACCTTTCGTAATCCTTCACGACTGATAAACCTAATCGATTCTACGTTTCTTTCAGCACAATACGAGGGAGATCTCTGTAGATCAACAAGCTCACCTTGTTCGTCTCCACTAGAATCGTCCTGTCAGGGTTCTTGAGATCGACCGTGTGGGATGGATCAAGTGTCGATACGTGCTCCGCGATGGACTTGATGACATCCATGCGATCCAATCGCTGAGAGTTACGGCTGTTGTAGAGGATACCAAACTACAGGCAGAATGTCAACGAACGGCGAATGCTGTACGGTGTTATGCTCACCGTGACCGGACCCGCCGTATCGGACTGAAATCCCTCTTTTAAGACCTCTGGACACATCGCTGACAGCTGTGGAAGGGTGGCACCACAGGTACCAAGAACAGGGACAACTCGCTGGACATATCTAGAGAGCTATTCAGCCCCAGTCATAAGCCATGAAGTCAACTCGCACCTGAAAGGACATCTGGCGTTCTTCTCGATTTGTTCCATCATATGCACAACCAGGCGTGCTGGATCCAGAGGAGGCAGAACCTCAACATATATGACTGAGAAAGGTATAAGCTCAAAGCTAGGTCTCTCGAACGCAGCTTACCACATGGTGTTTCGTGCTTGCACAGACCTGTTTCGATGTTAGCTTAGAGCGAATGGACACCCTGCTGGATGGATTCACGGAATCTGGACGACTTCTTCTCCACCGACATATCTGCTAGCTCCTGCTTGAGCATCTCTTCGAAATCTTCTTCCTCGCCGATTCTCGATTCAGCCTTCACTATGACCTCGTGCGCATCGGGATACAGCTCGTCCGCGATCTAGCATGAGGATTAGCATACCTCAACTGAACCACAGCTCACCCTCTCGAGATATTCAACCAACTCCCTCTCGGCTGACCTCTCCTTGTCACGTACAGTAGTCACGCAGATCCCAGGAGCCATCATGATCTCGCTCTAAGGCATGTCAGCGAGATGATCTCTCGGATGGCTCTACCATCACTCGGACATACCACGGGATCATCACGATAACGACCAAGATGATTAGGCCGATCACTGCTCTCCCATTTTGGTCCGGGGGCTGCATCCGACCTTGATCCACCCCCGGCATCTCCATGGGCTCCATGAGATCCTCCCCTACCTCCACCACCTCCGCGTCCTCTTCCACCTCTTCCGCCCCTGCCTTGTCCTCGACCTCCTCGACCTTGCCCCTCAGCCTGTGCGGCAACTTTGTATTTCCAGCTCTTGTTCTTCTGACCGGAAGAGCTACCACCTCTTCCTTGATGTCCGCCTCCACTTTGCTGTTGAGATGGTCCAGCGTCCGACATCGTGTACTCGATAGATGTCGACCAAGTCTGGAGATCGATGAGATCGTTCAAAATTCGATGAAACACCATCGTTGAAACACGTGGCATGGCTGGGGCTCCGCTTGTCTCTGCCTTGGCTTTCGGGTTCATGAACTCTCCCAACGCGACCTATGTCTGATATGACTGACTTGTCGGGTGCTACGAAGCCCGTCGACTGCTCAAAAAGGATGCTCTGAGAACTTCCAGAATGGCCCAGCAACGATCGTCTCTAGGTGTTCGGGCCTCTGATGGCCTCGATAGCTCCTCCGGTCGAGCTGGACTTGCTCAGTCGCTCCCTGCTCAAAGTCATATGCCTGCCCGACCTGGAGATAGTTGGTCAACGCCTAGAGCAGGATCCTCCAGGCATGTACAGACTCGGTCAGTCACAACAAAAGCCTTACGTGCGTTGGGATCTGGCGACCGGGACTCCTTCGACAATTGGCACGCCTTGAGGGACATGGACGACGACGATAACGACAAGGAAGAGGCATCGGACCCATTGCGGAGCAGTGGATTTACTCGGAGACTCAGTGTAGCTACCGCCATCTTCATACCGAACCAGAGCACTGGATTTGGCGAACAGAGAGCCAATGTGTGGTCTTCGAGCCCTTCAATAGCTAAAAACTTCTCATCGTCACCGCCAAGGATATCGAACGGATTTGATGAGCTTATTAGTGGGCGAATGGAGGAGGGTTCAGACTCGGTCCCACGCAGCGAAAGAAGAAGCGGACATGGTGATCGTCTTGATGGGACTTCTGTGCCTATCAAAGCCCCGGGCGCGCGACAAACAGTCCGTGAGTGGGGGGTTGAGACGACAACTTCTGACAGAGCACGAAGCCTGGCAGGAGAAGGTCAAATCGTTGTCACCAGTCTTTGTAGCCATCTTCAAGTGCTCGTTAGCTTACACCCTCGCCTCTTTATTCACCTTTGTACCTCGCCTGTCAAGGGTGCTATCTACGACTAGCGAGACCGATGCCCACGGCCGCATCACACCTGTGCCAAACTATTCGGCCCACATGGTTGCCACGGTTGTGGTTTATGTGGGTACCTCCTACAGCGGAGACTGATCCCGAGCAGTACAATCCAGCCAAAAGTATTGGTGGAATGCTCTTGGCAACACGATTCTGCATCATCCTCGCCTCCTTTGCTACATTAGTATCCTTGGGAGCCATGGGTACGTTATGGCTGTTTGATCAGTTCAGCCCTTCACACGGAGACAAGTGGGACTGGGTCAGCGAGATAGGCGATTGGATCGTCTGTGTAGTGTGGGTAGGAGGAAGTATGGGAACTTTGGCCTTTGCTAGAGTATGGGTAGGCAACCCAAATTTCAACACCGGTAGGCTGCTATCCAAACGACGGCCAAGATATTGAATAGCGAAAGGTTGCTCAATGGCTGCCATCACAATTTACACTGTCGTCATCAAGGAAGGTCTGATACCGAAGCTCTTAGAGGTGTTGCTCATTGTTCTGATGGCAGGTAAGATCAGTCAGGATGGACAGACGAACTCATGAGCTTCACAGCCTGTGTCACGAACCTCGTCTGCTTTGTCGTCTTCCCCGTTTCAGCCACTACGAGACTTCAATTATCTATCTCCAAATCTCTGACATCTTTTTCGACTCTTCTGGACAGGCTATGCGCAACGTTTCTTCTGGAAAAGACAGTCGTCAAAGGCTCTCACACGACACTCCGTGATGCTGTGACTTCGCACGCAGCAGCATTCAAAAACCTCAAGGCCGATCTCGCGGAAGCCAAACATGAGCGAGTCGTCGATACGAGGATTCGCGGGAGGCATATGGAGCTCTACGATGCGGCGATTGAAAGTCTTGCTCGATTGGCTCAGCATCTTGCGGGATTGAGAGGCAGTACGAAATTGCAAGAAGGGCTCTTAAGAGCTGCGCGGGAGGGAAGAATCCGCTTAGACCATACACAACTACCGAGCATATCCCCCACGATGCTCAAGAGCATAAGCTCAGACTTTCACTGGGGAGGAATCGAGGACGGGGACCTGCAAACCAGCATAAAGCTTTTAATGCAATTCCAGGAGATTGCGGGGTCGCAGATGAGGCAGCTCGTGGTACGTACTCATTGTGGAATCGCACTGGCATCCAGAGCTAATGCTGGAATCAGTCACGATGCGATGATGCATTGGAGGCTGTCCAAGCAGTCACTCACAGGTCCACAAAGACTGTTCCATCGTTGTCTGAGGTCAGGTCAGATCTCGCCTCTTCCCTCACAGACTTCAATCGATACTCCAGCCGGGCCATCAAACGACTCTACGCGGGCCCAAGGCGGCAGAAAGAGTACATGACGCAAGACCTTGATGACAACGACGATGACTCTCTCTTCGATCCCGACGATATGCTTCAAGGACCCAACGAGACGGTATTTCTCATATACTTGTACGTTGTGAACCTCGGTCCTCGCTGACTTTGCAGTTTCCTCTTCACCCTCGAGGAGTTCGCCCGCGAGCTCATCTTCCTCATCGACACAGTTTCCGAGGTAGGAAGTGTCGCTTTGTCTTGTTCAGCAGTGCCTGATACGTTCCTCAGATCTTAGAGGAGCAGCCCATGTCCGCTTTGGACTACTTGTGGTCCGTCCTGCCCTCACGTCGTGGCAGAACGGAGAAGCGAGGGGCGTACCTCTATAAGCAACTCCGCAAAATTGTTCCAGTAGATCCTTCCAAGCTCCAGCCGCCCCTGTTCCCGCGATCCCAGGCGGATGGTGAGGAAAATTACTCCATCACCTTCACATTATGGGAACGGTTTCGCAAGCGACTTTGGACCATGGGCGAGTTTCTCCGTCGGCCGAATATCCGCTATGCTCTCAAAGCTGGCATAGGCGGGGCCATACTGGCAGCTCCAGCATATACCGAAGCCGGTCGCCCCATATTTTTGCGTTACAGAGGCGAATGGGCTCTGATCGCGTATATCTCCGCTATCAACCCCACGGTCGGAGCGACCAATTTAATCTCGGTGTTTCGAGTCATCGGCACAATTATCGGCGCCTCTGTAGCTGTAGGCGTCTACACTCTGTTCCCTGAGAATGCGGTCGTCCTGCCCATTCTCGGCTGTATCTTGTCGATTCCAGCGTTCTACGTCATCACGCAGATGCCTGGATACGCTCAAGCGGGGCGGTTCACCCTGCTGGCTTACAACCTGACTTGCCTTTACGCATTTAACTCGAGAGAAAGAGAAATCAGTCCGCTGTCTATTGCCATTCGTCGATCTACGAGCGTCGTGGCTGGGGTCGTCTGGGCGGCAATCGTCTCTAGATACTGGTGGCCTTATACGGCCAGGCGAGAGCTGCGGATAGGTCTATCAGAGTGAGTTGGTCGTTATGCCCGCCGGATCATCGCTGATTTTTCTCAGCTTCTTCCTCGATCTCAGCTATCTATATTCCAAGCTCGTCACAACTTACTCTCACGGCAACCAAACCGAGGACAACACTGTGAAGAGACAAAGCTCTGAGACCGAACCTTTGCTACCAACGGTCGCCTTTGAACACTCTCACCTTGGACCCGGTATCAGGCAATTTATGTCGATGTGAGGTCGTACATGTCACACGGAGCTCATTTTCCAGGGAGCTGCATCTGCAAGGCCAGCTGCAAAGTCTCAGAGCCCGGCTCGCCGAGACGAAGAACGAGCCGCGCCTCAAGGGGCCCTTCGCCTACGACTTTTACAAAGAAGCGCTGTTGAGTTGTGAAAGGATGCTGGACAGGCTTCATTCAATGCGCTGTGTCACGACAAGAGAAGAATGGTGAGCGGATTGTAGAGCGCAACTAGAAAATAGCTGATGCCGGATGGCAGGGACAACGTACGCGGCAGAGAATCTGCTAGCCACTGATCATTCAGGGCATACGAGAAGCCTTTGTGCTTCCTGTCAATCCACAACGACGAGAGATGGTAGGAAATGTCATATTATATGTTCGTGTGCGGTCGAGTGCGTCAATTGATACCATTCAGTTTTACACCCTTTCCGCTGGTTTTCAACTTCGAACTCCGATGCCACCGTATCTTCCTCCGGCGGAAGACGCTCGGAGACGCCTCGTAGAAGCTATACGAGGGCTCGACGTGGTACGAAAGCGGTCCGTCAGGGGAGGCGGTAGGCACCTGTTGTACTTTGCGTACGCCTCAGCCATGCAGGTGAGTTGGCCTGAAACTCGTGGCAGCTGGCCCCAGAAATGACGTTCATCAGGAGGTCATTGTTGAGCTGGAATATTTGGGCAAGATGATGCAGGACTCCTTTGGTGTCATATCGCAGAGCACGGTCGAGGACTTTGAGGCGTTGTTCAATAGTGGTCCAGGATCTGATCGGACTGACCCGCAGTGTCTCTAAGGGATTTGAAGACTTGTATGTATCTCATTTCATGGATCATCGGCAACTTATGATAGCCGAGGGATCATTTTTTCCTTGTTTTCAGCGTGAAAATGAGCGTGGTCTTTCGAGATCCAATCTGACTTTTTTGTTATCCTCTTTGAGACCAAGCAGAATGGCAGATTCGATGCCTTACAGCAGCACCAGTGCCTATGATTTCGTAGCCGTTGGACCTGTCACTGCGAGTGAAGGTGCAAGGGCTTCACAGCCCTCAGCTGACTCGTACCAAAGTCAATCCATATGGTGTCCCAAAGGTGCTCGAGGGGCTTACGGCGGTCAAGTCATTGGCCAAGGTCTTCACTCCGCTATCCAGACAATCTCCGATAACAAAGGTCTTCACTCGATGCACATACACTTTTTGCTTCCTGCCAATCCCTCCATCCCGATAATCTACAATGTGGACCGGATACGAGATGGGAAGAGTTATGCGACACGGTCCATTCGAGCGATGCAAGGTGATAAAGTCGTAGCTGTCATCATGGCTAGCTATTCGACCACTTCGACGAGCACAAGAACGGTTGATGGCGTTAGACAGCCATCTTTGAAATCCCAAACGACGGGTTTGATCGTCCCCAGTGAAGAGCCCTCGGTCTCTCATTCACTTAGATTCGTCATTGAGAGTTCTAGCAAATCCTCAGATAGAAACGAACGGACGACAAAAGCCAGTGGCACGCATCGGTACGGACAAGGTGGTGATATTCCTCCATTTCAACCTCGTTACGCGCAGCCTTATCCTGATGGGATACTGCCAATGAAGCAATGCGAATTGGAACCGGATAGATGGACCAAGTTTTTGAGCAGAGCCGAATCCAGTATCTCGCCTCGAAGACGAAGAGCCGTCGAGGAGTATATCCAAGTGAGCGAGAACGCCATGTTTTTTTCTTGGACGATAGCAACCTGACAGATGTTCACAGGAGAGAAGGGATTCACCATGGGAAGTGGCAATAGCTAAGAGCTCGACCCATTTTACACCTCTCGAAAACGGTACGAGGCGGATGGTCTGGCTGAAACCCAAGATTCCCAGTGGGACAAAAGTCTCGTTGGAAGAACACAAAGTGGGTGTCTATACATTGAATTGACACATGGGGTGGACACTTACGGTGTCCTGCTCCAGTGCATCATCGCCTGCATTTCCGACTTCCAATTCATAGGCGCAGCAGCTCGCCGAATAGGTCTCACGGCAATCAGCAAACCTCCTCTTGGAATGCTCACGTCCTTAGACCATACCATCTACTTCTACCCCTTCCCCAAAAATCTCGACCCCTCTGCCCCGTTGTTGCACGTCATTGAGGCGATTATCGTGGATGTGCAACCTGGACGAGGGGTTGTCCAAGGAAGAATATACACAGAGACCGGGGAATTGATCGCAGTGACGATACAAGAGGGCGTGGTCAGAGCCGGTCAAATCAGTGCAGGAGAAGGGAATAGAGCGCAGCAGGCGCGGGAGAAAGCAAAGCTGTGATAGACATTTATAGAATACATGGACAAATGCTATGTCACCAAGCTTTGAGGCGAAACAATTCAAGGTGGCGTAAAGCGCCAATCAGTCCGATGGCAGCTTGTACATGGTGTATTGTACAGTATTGCATAAAGGGCCATCGCTCTCGTGATTATTGTGCTGGCCAAAGCCATATCTGACGACTGTCAGAGTATCTTTATCTATGTTTATGTATGTACAATCCCTTCCATTCAGTATCAAATCCTGTACGATATCGGAATCTTCGCTTGGCATTACCAACCACTTTCGATCTGTCATTTTCTATCCTTTTCTTTCATGGCGTATCCGTCTCCTTTCAAAGCGTTCACGTGAGCATCATTTGATGTCATCACCCTTCGAATCCGTCCTTCCTGGCAGCTCAGGCTTTGTTCGAGGCATCCGGATCCTCCTCAACTCCATTGCCGGCACTCCTGTCGCACACCTGAGAGCTTTTTTTGAAGCTGTCGAGAGACCAGCCAACCGGCACCTCAGGGTCAGATGACGCTATCCAAAGTGCGTGACTCATTCTAACACTCACACCTCTGCATGAGCCGCTTGGCGAGATTGACGGTGCTCTTCGGTCCCATTGAACATTCAGGATGAGGTCGATGTACATTCATGGGTCGACCTTGACCAAGAGGCGGGATCCATGTCACGATTGAGCCAGTTCGCAGCTCAACTCTGATGAGCGCGATCAGATACAGTTGTAGGAGATACGATAGCCCTCAGATACGTACCGAAAGCCAAGACGCTTCATAAGCTACAGAAGCGCTCAAGTCAATGCTGGTAGAGGCATGCTAAGACTCACCTTGTCAAGATCGAACCATCGCACCGAACCGACTCGTCCATCGTCGCCGTCAAAGATTCTGTGAATGAGCTTCATCTGCTTGCCATTGACGATATAGGTGGGTGCATTGCCTTTCGCCTCATCCCTAGGCACCCTCGCATCCGTTCCTCGCAGCCCAGACGTTCGTTGTATCTCCTCGCTGGATGTGGCACTTGCTTTGGTCTTGGAAATGGGTATTGATGATCCAGATGTCTGCCGATATCGATGACCGGAGATCGTGTGGGGCTCAGAGCTGAGTGATTGAGCGGCGACTCCACTGAGTTCCTCTTGTCGTTGGGCCGAATGAACCTTCGTGCTGTTTGGCAAATTCAAACTGGTCTCGGATGACGGCTTTGACCGCTCGTCGCCGAACTCGAATGTGGCCATCATCTGATCCCATGGCATATCAAAGGTGATCTGCATGATGGCCTCAAACCCTTCGAAGAAATCCTTGGAAGTCTCTACACGGACCTGGAGAGGATCGCGAAACAATCTCCGAATGGGAAACACTCGCTTGAGTCCCCCACCTGGTAATGCACGTAATACGTCGTGTTGCTTGCCACATTGGACTGCCAAAGTGAGACAAGCCCTGGTGATGTTCTTCATTGCATTTTTTAGCTCGTCACTGATCTGTAGATTGTCCACATTAAGCATGCTCTGAAGCTCTCTGTGCTCGTCTTGAGGAGCATATACGGATGCAACGGAGCTATAGAGATCGTTTGAGGCGTTCTGCTCGCCTGAGGAAAGGTATGAGAATGAGAGTCCATCATGGTGCGGATGGCACAGTACTCACTGAGGAGGCGCTGGAAAAATGGGTCCAGCATTGCGAATTGGTCCATGTCGGCCAATTTCGCTTGCTCAACTTCGAGTTCTGGCCATGGTTAGCGGACAAACTCCACCGAGGGGCATCGAATACCTCCGTAAAGCTTGTTAAGCTCAATTTGCTTCGTGTCAGGCACGTAACGGAAATCAGAGGGGTATAGACTGTATCTTGCGAGGGCAGGATGGAACCAATCCTCGCCGTCCTCTTCTGCGAGGCAAGAATCGTAACGTAGATCGATATTGGAGTTCGAAAATCCAGACAAAAAAGGTTGAACCCACTTGTAGAAAGACCGTAAGTTAAGTAATTATGTCATGACACGGCAGCAAGAAGACTTACTCCTCCAGTGGCCCCCATCATCAGGTCAAACGACGCTCTCATATCGGGTGGCAATTTGTCAAATACGCCGGGGTCAAGCAAGGTGATAGGATACTCGAGGGAACGTCACCATTGAAGGGACAATCGACATGAACTCTCTGACTCACAAGATTCTTCTTTACTTTACCGCGACCTGGACCACCAGCAAAAGCGGTACGCAATTGCGAGGCGGTACATTGCTTGATCATGAAGGCAGCTGTTCGGAGCTGGTGCCAAGTGTTTCGGATTTTACCGGGTTGCGAAATTTGTTGTCTGGCCTTGATGCCCGTATCTGGCTTGCCTAGCTCTCGGAGCTTCAGCACGCATCGACGGATCTCTGCGTATCGAGCAAGCTGCATAAACGCGGTAAAGACCAATTGCTCCACGGCCAGGTCCAGATAGATATCGGTCGGCGTCTCGTGTGGCATAGGACTGCCAATTCGGTGTTCTGGGGGAAGCTCCAAAATGCCACATTGGCGCCAGCTGGTGGAACCATCAGCTAGACTTCGTTGAAAGATGGTTGTGGGGCTCACTCATGTTTCTCTATGGCAGTGATGTGCTCAATGAAGTCTTCTGGACACGATCGCCAATTGGAAATCTTGTTTGACCAGTAGTCTAGACCTGTTTCTGCCAGAGCCTCAATTTCTGAAAGGGAAAAGGCCGGAGGTTGAACGCCGGCCAGGAAAGCAGCTTGATAGCAGATCAGCTGAAGCCTCAATCTACTTAATCAAGCTTTACCTTGACAATGAGCCACCCACGAAAAGCCAAAGGTCTCTTGGCCTCGGACGGGTCGAGGCAGATTTTCCGCTCCATGGGTGATTTCGGCATTGGCATGCTAACACGAAACGGTAGCAACAGATCACGTTTTGTCACGGAGAAGACTCACGATAGTGTTTCTCAGACCCACCAGCTGCTCGTAAGGTGTCGGATCCTTTTTCGGAATCTTCATGCGCTCCTTCAAGCCTTTGGGAAGAGAATTGATGGTCTCTTGCCACTTGGGATCTGACTGAGACATCCTAACCTCGTTGAGAAGCTGGTCCTGTAAACAAAGAAGCTGGTCCTGTAAACATGTCAGTATGAATAGGGTAGCTTCCAAGAGCAATGTTGCAGCTCACTTCGAAGTCTCTGACGAATCGAAGTGATTCTAGGGGCATGATGTACTTGGTGTAATTGACAGACTCATCTCGCTTAGACTGGGATGGGGAGGGAGATCCGCCACCCATCTTCGCGTCTGGCATGTCGAGTTATTTCACTTTGACCGCGAGAACGCAGCATTGGGAATACTGCACCTAGTCAGATGTACCAATCTTCATACAGGCAGTTCCAGAAGGTCTAAGTCAGAGAATGGTCGAGCGTATAGTTCCAAAAAAGTCCACATACCGCAACGACTTGGTTACGTTACGTAATTGGTTACAGCTCCCGACGTCGCAATCCTCCCAGCTAGCTAGTCACTGCCGAGCTTTCTGCTTGCTGTCAATACAAGCATTGCACTCGGTCCTAAGGTCTTCAGTGACCTATATCGCAGGCTAGGGATGGGCAAGGAGCCAACAGCACGTACAGACCCAGAAGGATACCTCGCGAACCGGAATTTCTCACGACGTTTGGCCAAATGTCCGCGGACAGGCTTACCAGTCTCGTACGCCGACTTCGGTGATCCGGATGGTGTACATGTCCTGTATCTACTACCCAGTGGATGCTCCAGATGGCTGGCAACTATCCAAGGTCAGTGTATGGAATAGTACCGCGCGTCTGTCCTTGGCCTGAGATAGCCGCAGATCCACTCGCTAAGCGATATGGGATCCGATTGATTGCTATAGACCGGCCGGGGGTAGGCGCCATACCCATGGTCCCGCTCAAGGATCGGATACGGTCGAGTTGCGGTAAGACACTATCATCCTCATATATGGTCGCAATCGGGCTCATCTGTGCCTTCAGAGATGATGGTCTCGGTAATAGAGGATCTCGGGATCAAGCTCGCCCATATGATAGCGACATCGGGCGGAGTGTAGTGAGCCACAAAGTCACGACGCCTGGGGCTAGCTTAACGCTGACTGTCAGCACTGTAGCTATGCTCTCTATCTGCTTCTCCATCATCCCGAGGCATTTATCTCCTCCCTCAACCCTCCACCATTCTTGTACCTCGTTGCACCGTGGTCACCCCTGCTCCCTGCTTCTCATCCCGATTACTACTCCTCGGCATTCACTTGGCTTCCTGACAAGCTGATCGAGACCTCGCACTTGACTGTGCGTATTCTCCTTCATATGATCTTGGTCTCATATCCTTGACAGGTGCCTCACGTCATGAAAGTTGCCAATACCGCCTACTCTGCTTGGGTATCATCGAGCGAAGCTGTGGGTTCGACCTGGAGCTATGCCAAATCACTGTGGTCAGGTCAAGTGCCGACACCGCAGAGGGAGCGACAAGCCAACAGTATACCGGCACCCTTACCAGATACTCCATCACTGTCGGCTGGTCAGGCCGGGAATGAAAATGTAGAACAAGAAAGCGACGTCGAGTCATACGGCGAGGCGTCTTTTCAATACTTTTCTCGGTTGTGGAAATCGTATCCTGCAGTGTTCACAGATGTGAGTGGAATACTACAGCGCATCACTGACAGTCACAGGTCATACAAGCATACTTCATGGCTGAGAACAATGGTGGTGTAGGTCAAGGTAAATTACATCTCACTTCAGGGGATCGCTCACCGCATCACAGAGCATCTGCTTTGCCTGAATCGAGGACCTGAGAATACGGGGCACGAATGGTTAGAGAACAGCGTAGCAGATCTGGCGAGAGTATTGGCGGATGCTCAGTCAACAGGGCGGCGCAGGAACGAAGACGACGGTCTACCGATACCGCGACCTCTGAACGTTCATATTTGGTGGGGATGGGAAGACGGCATGGTACCGCGCCAGGGCCAACGTGAGTTGCCTAGGCCCCAGAATCGAATATCCACGTCTGACGCGCGCTCAGTATGGTTCAACAAAGTCATCCAATCACACCCCAAAAAGCTCAGAGTTGAGGTACATAATGTGCCTGACGGTGATCACGGTGATCTGTGAGTGAACAGTATGGATTGGAGAATCAGGGAGCTGACGGGAGATGTCAGGATGATGCGACCCGAGGGTGTACACGTTTTATATTCTCTCATAAGGCATCAAGGACAGAGCACAATTAAGAAGGAGAAAGAGGCAGACTTGTAAATATGGCGATATGTAGCACGTCTGGGGATTCATAATAAGCTTCATGAGAGGAATTGCTTGAGTCCAGACTTTACGCTGTCATTCCCTAGCCAGTCGTTGGAGCTGGAGGATCCCATTAGTGACACACAATATCTACATGGGCAGCTCACGAATCATTGAGGTGGTCGTCAAAATCGACAAGGTTCCTGTGAATCTTTTCATCCCTGATCGCCTGGAGTGTCCTCGCCGGGAGGTTTGGTGTGGAGTCCAAGGTGAATGGTGAAGGAAAGGAGGAGGAAGACTTTGAAGGGAGCGCTTGAGGAGAAGTAGAGGATTGGGAGATGGTGTAAATGGTATACGGGACTGATCCTTCTCCAAGCTTTTCGTTGTCGACCTGGAAAGAGAAGATGAATGCCGTGTGATCAGCTCGGTCTCCAATCCATTCAAAAATGGTGCGCTTGGCTCGACTCACAAGCCACGCAAATGAGGCATCAAATTTCCCCTTCATCTCGCCTAGTATTCTCTCGCCTACACGTCCGAGTCCAGAGTTCTTGTCATCCTTCGGGACGACGTATAATCCGACGACTTCCATTCCGCGTTCGGATGCCGCAGCTGCCCCGAGTTCTAGGGCAACTTCCATCATGGGACTCAGGGATGTATAGTGATGTATCAGTGGGAGAGCATCTTCCACAGAGACTCTTTTGGAGCCTGTTGAGGGGCATATGCAGTCAGCGAGCACGGAGAAGCATTGGACCCCCGGTCTGGCAATACCGACACACCTCTGTCAATCTTTCCAAGGAGAATACCGATGACTGTGTGGGACAAATACCTCGCAGCGTGGAGCAAGGGCAAGGCGTAAGCTGCCGATGAGACTGTATAGGTGTATGTCGGCTGAGACGACATGATGATCGAAATGATGAGTGCTGACTGCAAGGTCGAGGTGCGGCGAATGGCTAGATGCAACCCAAAGAGCGAAGGGTCGGAGTTGGGCGACCACGTGGCCCATCGGCTACTTCATCTGACACCAATAGTAAGCCCAAGACTGCCGCATAATTGAGCAGAAAAGGATGAGCTGTGCGACTGAGATCCTCTCGGACTAAGCATATTGCATGACAGTAAAATGGTACAAGAGTTTCTGGTATTGCTGATCTCTACGGCTGTGTCTCGGTTCCCTTCCCCTATCATCTCCCGTTTGAATAAGGCACTTCGTGGAACAGATAGGACTGGACCTTGTGGTGAGCCATTCATCCATCGCAATAGGGCATTTCTTGACTCACCACTGACTCTCCAAAATGACTTCTCCGGATAGTCTCTGCCAACACATGACTGACGTCAATCTGTTCAATCTTGCTACATTCGGCTGCGCGATCCGCGAGAGGGATAGTATTCGTCACGACCAATTTCTCCATCCCACTTTCATTGATGACTTTTATAGCTGGTCCAGAGAGAATACCATGGGTGGCGAATGAGTAGACCTTCTTGGCTCCCGATTCGATTAGATTCCTAGCTGCTAATCCCATTGTCCCGCACGTGTCGGCCATGTCATCGACAAGGATCGCAACCTTATCTTTGACGGACCCGACGAGGACCATCCGAGATACTTCATTGGCTCTTTTACGCTCCTTATGAAACAGGGCAAAATCGACGTTGAGCTTGTCGGCAATGTTCGTGGCGCTGAGGATTCTCGTCAGTGAATGGTTACACCAATGCCTGAGCTACTATGCGCGCTCACCGCTTGGCACCGCCCGCATCCGGTGATACAATGACCACATCCCGAACATCGTCAAAGTGATTCCGAATGTAGTCGACCATCAGGGGTTCAGCGTAAAGCTTAGCAAAAAGTCAGTATGCTCTAACCGCTTGCGCGCTCGCTCACGTTGTCTACCGGGACGTCGAAGAATCCCTGAATCTGAGAAGCGTGCAGGTCCATGGTCTATTGTGGCGACTATCAGCATGATGATGCTCCATGCACGATCAGATCTGCCTCACGATGACATGATCACAGCCTGCTTCTCTCAGCATGTTTGCAACTAATTTCGCAGTGATTGGTGCTCTTGATTTGTCTTTCTTGTCCTGTCGAGCGTAGAAGAAATGAGGTATAATGGCGGTTATTCGTCGAGCAGACGCAATCTGGCATGAAGAAATGTCAGCATAATCATGTCATCCTCCTAGGTCTCAGAGCTCACCTTGCACGCATGAATCATGATGCACAGTTCCATCAATGATGTGTTGACTTCACCGGCACACTGGCATTCGTCAGCATATCTATGCAGAGGAAGAGCAAGCACTCTTTTTCGCACTCACCGTATTCAGAATGTAGACATCAAAGTCTCTTACACTCTCCGTAATGGTGACTTTGGTCTCTCCTGATCCAGGTTGCACGACGGTCGCACGAGCAAGTGGGATGTGCAGTCTATCCTTGATGTCAGCTGCAGATTCATACAGCCACAGTATCTACGACTCGCCTCTTGGCAATGAGTGCTGCGAGCTCAGGATGAGAGTTGCCTAAAGAGCGGCTGTCAGTCAATTGACTCAGATGTCTGAGTGGGGATCCTTGACAACTCACCAGAGAAGAGTTTGATGTTGGCATAAGCGGCGGAAGCCATGTCGGGCGAAACGTTAAGAGGGGGGGCCGAGGAGGGAGAATATGATGCTCAGTCACTGGTTGCAAGCTATGCCCAGACTGATGCCCCAGACTGTTGACAGCTGGAAGCTCAGAATGTGCGTCGGTCCCTCGTCTTCAAAGGTATCACAGAATCTTCCGACGTCGGTCTCGGGAAGACGTCTGCAACCTCTCTCAATTGATGCGTGATTGGTCGACGAGGCTTGTCCCGGGGTGAACCTTGTGATTGGACGACGCCCCAAGTCTTCAGAGTCCACTTTGGATGCCTCTGGAGACGCCTTGTGAGGCTTACTTTGGGTGTGTACAGCGTTGTGAGCCTGTTGACCAAGGGGGGTTGCTTGCCTCTCACTCTGAATTTTTCAATGGGCAAACCTCCAGACAAATTGGCCCAAACCCGATAAGCGAGCGGGATTAGCAGCAAAGGGGGGGGGCGATTAGCCTGTGTCAATCTAATGATCCTAATATCTGATTAGAAATTTGGTGATTAAGCCCCACCCTCTCACCCATTTTTTTGATTCCGTCCACCATCGCCGCTGCTCCGCTCGGACCCTTTGGTGGTGGGTGGTCAAGCAGTGCTTTCCAAAGAGACTTGAGAGATTCAAAAAGCTTCTGAAGCATCCATCCCATTCATCCCATCCAGCGACAGAGGGGACCATCCATCCATTTGATCAGTGTCGATTGGTAGTCTGTCTACTCACGGCTTCCTATCATCGATAAACTCCTTGTTTCGAAGGCTCTGTGGCGATAATCTCAGGAGTCTTTCAATCGGGCCCTTCTTCATACACACTTTCTCCGCGCCGCTCTTTGTAAATCGTTCCGCTCCGTCGCTGAATGCCAACGTCGTCAGTAGACTCGATCCAACCCATACCACCATGTCACGCGTCCCTACATATCCTCATTCAACGGGGCCCATGTACTACCATCATCCACACGCTCCACCTCCCATGATCCAGCAGCCACCTCCCGGGCAAGCATCAGGACCCGCCTATGCTTCAGCACCACCACCACCACCACCATCAGCAGCAGCAGCGGCATCAGAAGCAATGTATTCTTACGCTAGAGAAGTACCGATGCCTCCCTCGAGTGCTCCTGGAAGTACAGCTGTCTCGTGGAACGGTCATCCCGGACCTCCTGGGTCAAGAGAAGACGTCGGATACGCAAATGCGATTGCCGGTCCATCGCGTGGAGCGGATCCCGCCTATGGGTACAGACAATCTCCGACTGGACCTCCCACTTCTGCTTCTCGTCAAACGGCTGGTATGCCACCTCAGCCAGCATATCAGAACGGTGCGGTGCCAGGTTGGTCATCGGTTCATCCGGGATCTGGCGCCCTGGGTCACGGCGTTCCACCGGGGATGGAGACTGGACGGAGGGGATCTGTCAAGCTGGAAGACCTAGTCTCACATGATAGGTCTCGGAATGTGTCTGGTGCATCTTCAAATCACAGTCGACCATCTTCGAATCATGGAGGGGCTCTTGGAGGTCTACAGGGACTCACATCCATACCTCTGACCAAGACCGAAAGTACGGATGGGCCAAAAACATCTACAAACAGCGGTCGAAGAGCATCGGCGACGGATGCAGGCGGAGCTGGTGGAGGAGGCGGGCAGTCTGGCCCCAGTGAATTCATCAAAAAGCTGTACAGGATGCTGGAGGATGAAAACACCATTTATGGCAAGGGACGAGCGGCTGGAAAGCAAAAGCACGGATCGGTGGGATGGGGAAAAGGCGGAACAAGTTTTGTCGTGTGGGACATGAACGACTTTACGACAAAGGTTCTGTGAGTGTTGAGTTTCGTCACTCTCTGGAGCGGCATTGACTTGCATCAGGCCCCAGACATTTCGTCATTCCAACTTCTCTAGTTTTGTTCGACAGCTGAACAAGTATGGATTTTCAAAGGTGAGCTTGATGCTACTGTGGCTTCTGAGCTCACTCCAATATATAGATCAAACACGTCGACGAAGAATCCGGGCAGATCAAGGAAAACGTGAGTGAAGCACTAAGGCTTCGTCGCTCATGCGCCAGGTCTGGGAATTTCAACATCCCAACTTCCAGACAGGAGGTAAAGCCGATTTGGACAGTATCAAGGTGATTTACGCCACGAAACAACATTTGCCTCAGCTGACGCCGCCCACTTTACCAGCGCAAAGCCGTGGCTCCGAAGAAGAATGCAGGCGAACCTGAGACCGAAACCTCCCCGTCCAAAGCCGCAGGTATTAGTGCGGAAGACGCTGGGCGTCTTTCAGAGATGGAACAGAGGGTACACGTACTGGAGGATCAGCTGTCGAAAGCGCTAGATGATATCCACGAGTCGAGATCGAGGGAGATGGGCACCATGAACTTGATCCGAGAAATGATTGCTCACATGGCGAGCATGGAAAAGGGTGAGCTATTGTTCTGACGAAGAGCGCTCATATCCCTCCAGCCACCTCTCGATCCCCTGCCCTCGATTCTGCCAATCCTTCATCTCAAATTGTCCATCTCTTCCGAATGTTCGACCAGATTACCTCTGGATCTCAAGGCTATCCCGTTGCCCCAGGATTGCCGAGATACCCCTCCGGTCACTTTTCACATATGCCAATGTCCGCCCATAATCACGCTTCACCCATGACGGACGGAGGTAGTCGAGCAAGCGATGGACCCAGTCCGGCGCCTTCTCGAGCCAGCTTTTCCGGTATACGTCCTGGTTCCAGGGGCAGAGGAGGAGCAGCTGATCAATCGATGGAAGATGTGATGCAGGAGGGTCAAGCCGTGACGCAAGCTCAAGCGACCTCTTTGGCTCAACAGGCTGCTGTGAATCAGGCACATGCGCAGGCTCAAGCAGCTCAAGCCCAAGCTGTACAAGCGCCAGCTCATGCTCAAGCTGCAGTCGCCCAGGCCCAGGTGGCTGCTCAGGTTCAGGCCCAAGTTCAAGCTCAGGTCCAGGCCCGAGTCGACGCCGAGGCCCATGCACAGGCTCAAGCACAAGCACAAGCACAGACTGCTCCCCCGGCTCAGGCTCTCAATGCCGATGCCACGCTGTACAACGGCGAGCCTATGGGCATGACTCCTGTATTTGCAGAGACTCCCGCTTGGTTGACCGAGAATACTCCACTCCCGCCGTATCGCAAATCCTCCGATGCAACAACGCTTCGACTAATGGTCGAGGCTCTCTCGTCCCAAAATACTGGCGAAGGACGATTCGACGAACTCCCGTCGGAGCCTTTGACCCAACAAGTCACGAATATCGACCCTTCACTCTCTGCACCAGATACCAATACAGTACTGAATGGGATAATCCCGGTTGCACCTGCCGTGATGCCTCCTGCAGACGTAGAACCTCCCACAAATCAAGGTACAGTCGATCCCGCTGCTTTCGGAGGCATTTTCCCAATGCCTTCAAAGCAGGAAAAGACATCTGGATCGCCAGAAAATACCAAAGAGTCCAAAGTCGTCAGTCGGAAATCGAAAATTCAGCCGCATTGGACGACGAGCCCAAGGATCTTGGTTGTGGAGGACGATGTGGTGTATCGGCAACTGTCATCGAAATTCTTGGAAAAGTTTGGGTGTGTCACGGAGACTGTGGAGGATGCTCAGGGTGCCGTGTCCAAGATGAATCACCAAAAGTACGATTTGGTACTGATGGACATTTTTTTCGGGCCAAGCATGGACGGGTGAGTGTGAAGCGAGTATCTCTTGCTCATTTCCTCGCAGTCGCAAAGCTACGAGTCTGATTCGTCAATTTGACATGTACACACCGATCATTTCCATGACCTCCAACGTGCAGACCCGTGAGTAGCTAGCTAGCTTCTCAAGCGAGGTACTTGCAAGATCTGACGATTGCTCACAGAGGACGTCAACTCGTACCTGCAATCGGGTATGAACGATGTGCTAGCCAAACCATTCACGAAACATGGTCTTTTTGGTATCCTCGACAAGCACTTGATTCATCTGAAAGCCATTCAACTCTCTGCTGAGGTACCACGGTCGCTTGGTCTACCTCCGCTCTCGGATGAAGGCGTACAAGATGCCTTGCAGACGGGAGCGTCACAATGGGTGGCAACGGCGAATGACGCTTCGGCTCTGAGAAATCCTTTGGCAGCCATGGGATGGAGCGATGATACGTATCAGCTGGTCCTCCAGGTGAGCGGGGAGCAGCTGTTCAGGATCGCAGAACCTTTTGACTGACTATCACACAGCAATTCATGGCTACCGGCTCGATGCCCGAAGTGAGTACGATCACCAATGGCACGATCGGGACCAGCGTCGTTTTTGGAAATGCCGCCAATTTCCGTAAACGCTCCATCGAGACCCTGGAAGACGATTGGACACCTACAGGCGGGTCTGCTGCTGCTGCCGCTGCAGGAAGCGGATCGAATATCGTTGATTCGACGGTTCGAGGCACTGTCTCTGGACTCGTTGCTGTCCCGTCGAGTCTCAACGGGACGACCGCACAGCAAATTATTCCCATCGGGGAGTTACCGCCGGCATCGATGACCATGGCTCCGACAACTATCAATCCTGGTATGGTAGCGCCTGGTAGTGTTCCGGTAGTCAACGGAGGATCCTCGACCGGTCGAGCGGGCAAGAAGGTGAAGAAGGCATAGTGTATTTGGGTTTTCTCTGGGATCTGTCGTCTTCCTTCGCTGCTACTGTCTGGAACGGTATGCTTCAACGTGTAGCTCATATATCTTGTCTCTTTTTATGACTTAAGGGGGCAGGTTTGAATTCAAAAAGACCTTGCACGATGAATCCTGGTGATACGTTATATCGATACATCTCTGACACTGCTCGTCATCTCGACCTAATCCTTCACTGCACGGCTCTAAACCAAGTACCGGTCTTTCACTCAGATCTTATCACACTGTCCACCCGCATTTTTCACTTCTTGTTGGCCTCCGTCTTGTCCTTTCCATCCGCAAGCTCATTCTCCCCCGTCCTATTTTTGGCCTCACTCTTCATACTTCCAGGTGCTTTCTCCTGTTGATGTTGATCTCTTTCGTCTTGAAACTTTTGATTCTCCTCCTTCTTCGTCTTCTTTTCTTCCTCCTTCTTTTGTCTTTCCTCTTCTTCTTCTCTCTCTCGCTCCTCTTCTTCCTCCTTTTCCTTCTTGAAGTTTCTCAACTTTAAGAAATGATCCCCGTCCTCCTCTTCTTCAAGTGCAATAGGTCCCTTGACTGTCCCCGTCGCTCGACCAGTCAACGTCTCACCATGCTTTGGGTGTTTAGCCTCTTCTATCCTCGACATCTTCTTCAAGGGTGATACTCTCTCCGTAGTGTGCAAAGTTCGCTTGTCTTTCGAGGTCACGGTCGCTCCGGCTCCGGCACCATAGTATCCAGTCCCTGCAAATGTGGCAATGATGGAGAACCCGACAATCAAAGAAAGGTAGAATCGGTAAGTAGCGTACCAAGGAGGTGCTGGGTTGTTCTTGTGTCAGCGCAGCCTTAAAAAAGCAGAATGTGTCGTTCGACTCACTCCAGCCATTGGAACTTGCTCGTTGATCAAGGAACCACGTTCCGGTGAAACCCAACCATTGCGCTACCAAAGCTAAACCATGAGGCAAGAACGTCGTGGGCCAAGCAATCAAGACCGGTGCTACACCAAGTGCAAGCCGATTGTACCCTTGATACCCTCCATACTTTGAGAACTCCATTCCCCAGTGAATGGCTCCGAGGAAAGAGAGGATGATGGCTCCATAAGTGATTTGAATATGTTCGAGCGTATGAAGGTTGCCGAGAATAGAGTCGAGACTGCCTCCAGTGATAGTGCTCAAACCTGGGACGACAAGTCAGTCATGCCTTCCTCTGGTTCTTCCCTTCCCCCCACCTTGACTCTCGCGCGCCGCCTCTCGTGCCAGGAAAATGGTTCCAAAGGCTGTCCCGAGGTAAGGCAATGTACCAGCCAGACCGACGACCAGAGCTGGCTGAGGGACCCATTGGAAAATGTTCTTCGTGATACCGATCTGCCCCAGCAAGTCAGGCGAGGTGATTTTCATCAACAGCGAGTCGAGACACTCACGAAGTCATCCCTCACACTTCCCGAATGAGAGTGCGAGCTGATCTCCTGAGCTCCATGGGGTCCAGCTCCACTGTCAGTCTTCTCCTGCCGAGATGAATGATGACCACCTCCAGAAATGATCTCCGCAACGCCCGAAGCGACGCTTTTGAGCTATGATTCCACTGATCAGCCAGACTTGCCCCTGACTGACTTGGGGTCATCTCGCTCACCTCTCGAGTGGCTCCTTGGACAATACCCTCGTTACTCGCCGTCGAACCAGACTCATCGGTAGGTCTGCTAGTGTTTGCCAATTGCTTCGCTGCGGCCTCTTTCTCTGAAGAATAATCAACCGTACGTCAGCTAGGCCAAATGAAAATGACAGTACAATGTACCGGAACTAGAGCTGGCCCATCGGCGTTGAGCCAATTGAACGTGAGTGGGACTGGCAGTCCCGTTCAACTGAATAGGAAGTATCACAATAGCTCGAATCGGGCTCTTGCTTGCCAGTTGGATGGCCGTTTGAGAGGTCGGACGAGCTAATGTCGAAGCTGCGCGAAGACTCGGAACAACTGGAGTTTTGAGCTGTGAAGCAGGGAAGCGAGGCATGACTCGCAGAGAGCGGATCATACTGGGCAGTGCTCTAGAGCTGATCGACCTCTAGAGCAAGACAAGAGAGATCGAGAATGAGTAAAGGGGGACAGAATGTGAAGGAATGAGAGGGACCACTGTGGTAGTTACGACATACGTTTACGGTACTTTTGACTCGATGACGTCAAATTATCGAATGAATTTTCCCTGAACCGAAATTTGCGCTGGTCGTCTTCCATCCAAGAACACATTCCATACCTACAACAAGATCAGGCGTGTGATGGGTCATCAAGAGTACGTATAGATATCCTCAAGCCAGTGATCTATGCCACCTTGCCCAGCTTGACTCTCCCGAGCTTGAGGTTGAAATCGTCGCTGAATGGATGTCAATGACAGAGCCCATTTAAGCACTGAGGCGCGACTCACGCCGCTTTCTGTGACGCCTTTAGTTGAGCGTCCAAATCCAATCGCGACCGATGCTGCGTTTCGAGATCCTCTTTACGTCTCGTTAATTGAGCCATCTCCAAATCTAGCGAAGCAGTAAAGACTTTCGGCCAACTGTGAACCGACGTCAGCTGGTCCCCTCCCCGAGCATGGCATCGCCCGACTCACCCCTGATGACGATCGCACCTCCGTTTAGGTAACATGCAGACCCTTGTGTTATCTTCACGATTCTGGCTAAGCTCATCCATAATCAAAGATGCCATTTCATCATCAGACAGGGTCAGACGCCTATCCCATCCACAGGGTTTGTCTTCGCCACCTCCAGGGCGCTTTTTCGACTTTTTATCGGCCATCTCCACGTCGTTTCCTGCAGAAGGCGATACTAACGTGTCGCACTGCGCGATGACTTGTCGTAGGACCTCTTGTCGTTTGGACAAAGTCGCAATAGCCTGGTCGACTACGGCCATCTGACGGGTAAGTGCTGCCATCTCGTTGTCTTGATGCGCCGGCTTCGAAGGCATGGCTCCAAGATGGTGGATCACGGAGACATTAGGTTTTGGCGCGGGAAGACCGACAAAGAATGCCGACATTTGCTTCAGCAACTTGGTGTTAGACGTCGGAGGGACTTGTGCAGCCATATGCCGGAATGCACAGGCGGACGAGCAGTACCTGAGGCAATAGATCAGAAAGAAGTAGGGTTGCACAAGACTGCAGACTGACTTTTGCTTTGCGTCGGTCAATGACTTGTCACAATGCTCTCTTCTACAGACCCGTTTGTATGACGTTCTCAGAGGCGTTTCTGTTGAGAACTCAGCATTCGGTGTCTAATTTGAACAGGCGTTAACTCACTCGGCTCGCACTGCGCGCAGATGTAAATATCCAGCAAGTCCAACTTTTTCTCGTCGATCCCAACGCATGCAGGATGGAACCAATCATCACAGCTGCGATCAGCAGCATGAGCATGTTACGCCTTGCGAAGCCAATACAGCAACTCACTTGTCGCATGCGACCATGATCACATCCTCATCCTCGTCCCGATAAGGTTTCCGACAGATACAATAAACGGCATCATCATCTGAAGCTACGGATTCAGTCTGATGAATCGGCGTTGCGGCTTCAGAAGTGTCGACAGGATCGGACGGCGCGATACCACTCTATGGACGACCGAGTCAGGATGAATCTGTGACGCCTTTACCAGACTTACCGAGACGCTTCCTGCGCGACCTCTTGCAGACTCTTTGATGCTGTCAACCTGTACAATCCTTCTCAGCCTGGTCCACGTGAGGAAACAGACTGCGAATGCTGACCTTGAATTTCTCCTTCTTTGAGCTTGGTCCGGTCTTCTTCGGCGCTGACTTGGATGCGGGTTTTACCTTTTTCGACACTTTAGGAACCTTCATGGTGGTATTTTTCGATTCTTTCGATTTGCCCTGAAGTTTGGTGTTGCCTTTCTGAGGTGATTCTGGACGACTGGGAATGACCGATAATCCAAACTCGGAGGGCGGTACCAGATCGACCACCATATCCCCTCCATCAATCTCCTCTTCTCCTTCCATAGTTCCTGGCTCTCCAGACAGATTCGAATGAACAGCGATTGGTTCTGCGTATACATCTACAGGAGGTGACTTTGCGCTTTGATCATCCTGTCGGAAGACCTCTGCAGTCGACGGCGGTGTCATAAGCTGCTGGATCACTTCATTCGCTTTCCCCTCCTGCTTTCGATCACGTTCTCTCCTGTACTCGTCCGCAATTTGGGCTTGAACAGGGTCAATGATATCGGAATCGTCGAGTGTGGAAGCCGCCAGAGCGTCATTATCCATGGAAGCGTCGTATGTGATCTCCCGTGTCTGATCGATCGCATGTCTCGCGGCCTTCTTGACCGGACTTGTGGAACGGCTCTTTGACGAGCTCACCCTTGGCTTCTTCTTGACAGGCGATTCGGACCGTTTGCTCGGCGACAGACTGGATCGCTTCGAGGTCCCCAGAAAGTGTCCAGGAGCTTCATTTTGAGTATCGGTACCACTTCTCTGCTCCGATGAGTCTCCATGATTCACTCCTCCACGCTCCTCCATACTCTCCATCGTATTGCCCCAACCAAGATCTGAATGATGATATACGGTGATTCCAGCTGTTCTTGACGCGAACTGGGTGTGTGGAATCTACTGCGGAGTTTAGTTCTAATCTCCGCAGCTTTTCTTTTTGGTGATTTCGAGGGGAGCATTTGGCTCTAGGCCATTGTCAGCCAGCAGCGACCACAGGCTCTGGCTCGTGTGCCGCGTTCATTCCAGCTATCTGGGAGGGAAGGAACAGACCTTGGGATAGTGCAGAGTGGGAAGAAGGGGTTTCCAAACACCACAGGCGGTCAAAGCAGCGATACGAACATATCCGCCCCGTACCCCAACCTCCCCCTTCCTTCCTACTGGTTTCGGGACGATATTTGTGACTTTGACCGACCCTTTTCCGAGCCTCTGCTCTAAATCTCTTGCATATCAAACTTGGGCATACAGCTCGATCGACCTGAGAAAGCTCTGTCTCACCTCACGACAAGGTCCAAAGAGGGAGGGATCTTATCGCATTGCACCTCAGCCAAAATGTTGTGGAGATTCGGCTATGCGTCGACGTCGTCGATAGACTCTCTGCTCAATCGAGAGCCTCCGCCGTCCATGGAGGAATTGATGAACGATCAGGATATCTTGTCCGAGTGCAAGGCCATGAATCAAAAGTGGGTCGTGACCCTGCCTCTCGTCAAGGTCTCACTGACTCTGAGCTGTAGACTCATGCACTACCTCGGATCCAAAGACGCCGTCAAGAGCCTCTTACATTGGGTCATTGTAGGATTGGACGACCTCGATTCAGAAGCTGCTCTGGCAGATTCTCAGCTCCTTGACCACGCCATGAACAGTTCGGACGTATTTCCGGCTTATCGACCTGCGAGCGGGACAGATATACTCGGTACGAGTCCAGATTCACCACCGCTGGAGCCTGCCAAGATGGCAGATGAATCTATTGATGCCATCTCATCCATGTCTACGCCCGAAAACGATTCTGAGTCGAGTCAGCTTGGGACAGCATCGATTATAGGTCTTGGACGCGGCTTGGAACGTCAGCAAAGCAGCGATGAGTTATATAGAGCTAGGTGAGTCTCTAATGACCGACCAACCAAAGACTGATACTGTGTTCCAGATTCCCCTTGATAGCGACGGAGATCCTGACATCGGAGATGTGGACGATCGGAGACTGCATCATGTCGAATGCAGAGGAGATCCTGAAACCTTTCTGGGATGCTGTCTTGCCCAATGCGGAGCCCTCGACTCCCAGTACAGAGTCCTCTGTATCTCGGCAGGAGATAACGGAAAGAGAGCGGATATCCTATCAATTCAGAACGGATGTCGACGAGGAAAGGGATAGAAAGAGGGAAATGTTGAGGTGTCGATGGGCTAGAGTCAATGGACATCTACTGGCGAAGAGACCGTCAAAGGTGAGCACTGATGGAAAACCTCGTCATTGACACCTTTAGATGATCCAATTCATTCAATCTTTGCCCAACATTGTCGAGCGTTTGGTGCTACGTCTCTCAAGTACAGCGACCCAGGACCTCCTCATACGGATCATCGCGAGCGAAGAAGACGGAGTGGAAGGCACCCCTGGGGTCATAGACTGGCTAGCAGACGAAGGTTTGATGCCGAAATTGGTTTCGCTTCTTGGGCCCGAGCATCCACCATCACTACACATTGTCGCTGCGGACATTCTTACCTCCATCATTACTCTCTGCACCCCACCAGCGTTCAACCCAGCCGGGGGGAACGCTCCGGAACAGCCTCCCACTGCGGATGGTCAACAAGCCCAAACGCCCAAGGCAAGAGATAACCGCTTGATCCGCGAGCTGGTCTCTGAGCCAAATGTCTCGACCATGGTTGGCTTCATGCTTGACTCTGTACAACTTTCAGACGCAGATTGGAAAGGCTTAGAGGATAGCAAATCACCGCCTCATCCCGCAGACCCCTTCATCGTCCATCCGTTACCTTCTCTTGCTTCGTCCACCTCCTCCGTCTCGGCCATATGCGCCATTGTCGTTGAGTTGATTCGACGCAACAATTCCGACTTTTCCGAATCCCACCTGTTCCATACGCTGCGCAACCGACTCATGTGGATACGTATGAAGACACCTGAAATTGCGGAAGCCGAGGAGGATTTGGCAAGGGCGGAGATGGAGAAGGAGTTGGCTCAATGTGTTGCCAAGCACGGTATAGTCCATCTTGGGCACATTCTGTCGACATTTTCCAAGCGATTTGGCGAGTTGCACCGGCTGCTCATGTCTCCTCGGACCCAGGCCAGACTGGCATCCTCTGAGAACAGTGCACCGCTCACCCTCGAAAGGTTCCGAGTTGTCGAATTATACGCCGAGCTCTTGCACAGTTCCAACATGTCTATCCTGAATCGACCTATCGAATCAGGACCAGTGTACTCATCGTCTGGCATACTCTCCGGGGGGCTTGAAGGTCTCGAAGCGCTTGGAGAAGCCATCGAAGCGGATCGCATGGGCGACGCGGACGATGCGAATCCTGAAGAATTGGTCAAGCCGGCTCGCGAACTGCCTGTCAGCAGTAGCTCAGCAGGATCAGTCAGCGGCTCGGACGTGGCTTCCGATGAGGAGGATCTAGGTGCCTCAGACGACGACGATACGCCGTCGCCTTCTCCAGCGGCATCTATGACGTTGCCGATGCCAGGCCCATCCTCTACTCCGCGAGCGAGACATGTAGAGCCTCCGATAGCATCACCCACAGACGTTATTTCACCCCTTGCTTCGCCGGCCACAGAGGAGCCAATCCCGCCGCCGCCATCCAAAGCGGACGCAGCGGTGTTGCGGAATGTTATGGAGGAGGAGGATTTCAGCGCGGTCGCAGAAGACGACACGCCGACACCTCGTAATTCCATGGAGACAGCGTCGAACTTAGACACTGCATCAAACGTCGCTGTAGCAGCCACCACAGTGGCTCCGTCCGTCGTCAGCGAAGCCCGCACCATGGGCGAGGAGTCGCGCCATTCAAATGGAGACTCCCAGTTGGCCCCAGGTGATCGATTAAAACAGATTTACATAACACATCGAGTTCTGCCTACCGTTATCGATCTCTTCTTCGAATATCCGAATAACAATTTCCTACACCATGTCGTTTACGACATGCTACAACAGATTTTAAATGGTCGTCTGGGTCCTGGTTGGAACAGAGAGTTGGTCATTGACCTGATCAAAGAGGCCAAATTGATCGAGAGAATTATGGCCGCTCAAAAGTATAATGATAACATTGTGTAAGTTGGCATCAAAACGAGACATCCTAATCCTTTGTCCAGGCGGCAGCGAGGCGTCGCTCGGATGGCTTGCATGGGTCACGTCGTGCTGATCGCTGAGGAACTCGTCAAGTTCTTCGCCAGGTGCCCGCAGGACCTGATGGATATTGTACAAGCCTACTTTGATCCAGAAACGTGGGAAAACTTTGTTGAGGGCTCATTGAGGGAGACGAAGGACAAGGATACGAGGTGGGTTTGAGCTATGACTCCGGGTTTTGACAGCTGTAGACCGCTGGCTGGAGGAAAGCCGTCCGTCGCCACGGGCACGCCTTATGGTCACGTCGAGGAAGACTCGAGCGACGAGGAGGAAGAGCCCGCGAGCAATGCCAAGTTTGGAGAACCTTTGACCCGGACGAAAGCGCAAGATGGGTTTGCAGAGAGACACGAGGACTCGTTCGCGCATGGGGAGGCAGAGGACGACGAAAAGGTGGGTGAGGGGCGTAAAAAGAACGCTTATACGTCCAGTATTGGGGATCTACCGGACGTCGTGTTGCAGACTCTTCCGACGAGGACGAGGATGACGCTGGATGGTTACGTCCAAGTGTGAGAAACTTTGAGTCCACCAACAGTGACGAGGAGGATTTTGGAGTGAGTTCAATGCCAATATACAGATGCTTACTAGCGCAGGCATTCCAAACCAACGCTCCGCAAGCTAAACATGATGACTTTGATGATGTAGGTGGAGCGTCACAGCAGATTGAGACCCGCATTGACGTCTCCAAGGACGACGCGTGGGGCAATTTCGCCTCTTCATCTTCCCCGAGCGACGCGGACAACCCATTTGCAGATGACAACTTTGCCACGTTCACACCTTCGGTACCACCTGCTCCACCAGCTTCCAAGCGTGATCACTTGAGCTTGCAGCACGACCCGCTCACCCCGCACGACTGGGCGTCCCAGTTTGATCGAGAATTTACAGACGATCTGGACCCTGTCCCGCTGGATGAGGCCAAACAGTCTCCCGAAGTCGTGCCTGAAGACGCCGGGACAAACAAACATGTCGTGGTGCCCGATATGGACGATTCTCCAATGAACGAGAAGAACTCTCCGTGGACAGCTATCAACGACCAAGGATCTCCGAGCCACAAAGCTGCTGGTCCCAGTGAGTGGACATTGGCAGGTGGAGCAGAAGACGAGGGCGAAGACCTTCCGCCAACCAACAAGCTTTCTGGGTTGAGCCTTACCGCTCCGCCCGATGTCAAAGAGGCCAAGCGGGGAGCACAGCTCAACGCGGGTCAAAGTATCGCCAGAGCGCCGTCGCCTTTGCCCATCTCGGTGCCTCCATTAACGTCTTCATCCCCAACGCTCTCTGCTGGGATACTCTCGCCGAGACGCGGATCCAGAGCGCCCACATCGCCCATTACCATTCCCCAGCGATCGCCTCTGACTCCCGCCGATGTATCCAGTCTAGGGCCTATGAGTCCGTTACCAATCTCCTCTTCGCCCGTCACGGGTGGCGGATTGTCTTCCTCTCCCATCCGACCTGGCACATCCCCTAGTGCCATTCGTCCGAGTCTCGGCGCCTCACCATCTGGTTCATCACATCAGCGATCTTCCTCGTTCAACTCTGCTACGTCTTCGCCCAGTCGCAGGGTCAGACGATTGAGTATGGGCTCACCGGCGGATAAATCCCTCGCGGCAGTAGCTACGAAGGAGATGCCTCTAGGACCAGGCGTAAGCCCCGATACGCAAATGACACCCGAAGGTTTGCTTCAGAAGACCATTGATGGGAGGAGTGTGGTAGTCCCAGCCGATGAGATTGTCAGAGGGGTGGAAGAGGCCCAAGCGGAGAGATTTGACGACGAAGCGGTGGAGTGAATATACAGTAGTTTCCATACATTTTTAGCATGAGCACGAGCGCATTTGACACATGAGGCTTCTAGTAAGTATGTAATATTGCATCGGTCTTGGGTGGAGGTCAGGGGGGAGCAGAACACTACCCAACAGATCAAATTCATGGGCAGATTTCTTCCCTCTTTAAAGGATCTCGGTGTGACCCGTCATTCGTGGGCTTGCACATCAGACTGAATTACATCCATCCGCACCAGATTCGCCCTTGCACCCTTGACTGCTCAAGCATACATGTATCAAGACGACGTCGCTACAAATCGCTATGGACACATACCCGATTGAACATCTGTGGGCCACTTTGGCGCCACCTTAGGTGAACGAGTTGGTTCCCGGTGCAGGTCCGAAGTAACCCTGTTCCGGGAGTTCCAGGTAAGGACATCCGCCGCCTTCGCAGCCAGATCCAACGACGGCATTGCCCCACCAATCGATGGCCAAGCCGCCGTTAGGAATCTCAAGGGCGAAGAAGATGACGACGGCGGAGATGGCGATTCCGGCAGGGAAAGCAGCCGCAAGGACGAAGTTGTATTTTCGCCAGAATCCATTATAGTGCTTTCGGAGGAATTGCCAAGAGAACCAGACGACAGGGACGTTTGGCCAGAAGTACGAAAGGTTGTAGGGTGGTCCCCCTTTGAGCACCGTCAGCAAATGAAGAATATATATCCCTGGTGGAGAAGAAGTTCCGCTCACAGATAGCAGGTCCCGCCATGAGCATGACTGGGTGGACTTGTCTAAGGAACTCGGATTTGGGGTACTTCTTTCTGAGGTAGAAATGGATCACAGGCAGTACAGCACCGATAGGGAATCCAAGGAGCATCAAATTATACCTTTTGCCAGCACCAAATAACCTCTTTGGCGAGAGCGTTCCCCAAAAGACTGCGCTGGTGAAGAAGGTATTCTGTCCAGGGCAAGTGAAGCTGAATTGCGCATCGGCTGTGCAAATGCCCTTGAATGACATTTGAAAGTTGAGCAAGGCGGTAGAGATGAAGCAATTGATCAGTGTCGCTACCATCTGGCACGCAAAGGTATGTCTGGGTGGAATCTTGAGGTAATGAGCCAGTTTCAAGTCGTTACTGAACAACAACGCTTGGTACGTGCTGATATACCCATATGTCTTGAAGTACATGAGTCCCACAGCGTTTCCTTGGACGAAGGAGCCTCCAATGAACTCGGCCAATACGTTCAGACCGACCTGAATGCCCGTCACTGCTTGTACAAGACCAATAGGAACCATTGCGATCCTGCGAGAAAGATCTCATAAGCTGAAAGGTCTCCTTCACACAATTGCCGAAGACCCCCTCCAGAAGCATCATACGATACAAGTGTAGGCTGCTTCTGAGATTATAGCAGGGGATCAAACTCACAGAGGCATCAAGATTCCAAATACGACGACCACTGGGGATGTGTTGGTGGGATAAACACCAACCCCAATCATTCCGATTGCGGCCGCCACACAGAGGACGATGAAGTAGTGCCATTCTGGAACTTCCTTGTATCGCTTCATCAATCGTTGATGGATATCTTGCGAGAGATCATCCTCGTCCTCTTCGACTCGTTCACGTTTGATCGCTCGTCTCGCACTGTGCCACATATTCTTGGCTCCAATCATAATGTCGTGACGATGGTACAGAGCCACATACGAGACAGTGGCGGAATACATGGCAAAGTAGAACAGGAAGGAAATGACATATCCGGCCGACATCCAAGGTTGAGAGTATTCCTGGTACTTGGAATCGACAAATCGTCCCTCTTCATCGAGAATCTTGGCGACGGCATATCGGCCTGCTTTGTTGTTAAACGTGTGGTTACTGTTGATGGGCAGGTATCCAGTGTTCCACTTATTGGTCATCCAAACACCGAGAACGACAAAGAAGGAGACGATCATGCCCGCGAACTGGTTCATAACGGAGAATGTGGGGATAGTAAGAGGTGTGAACCAGATGTTGAATAGATTCCAATCAAACGTGGGCACCTGATCAAATGTCAGCGTACATTTTGGTGACCTAAACCCTTTGCCATCAACTCACGGGGTTCAATCCTAGTCCCGCAATGGATCCCGTCACCGCGGTCAACATGACGTTCTCAGGTGCTATCCACGTGAGCCAGTCGAAGTATGACAGCCCCTGCCAAATGAACGCCGGGAAGAAGAAGTAGAAGAACATGGCAGTGAAAGCGATCAGGAAGAACTTCTCCCGAGACATGCGCCAAGTCCTGCCCAAAGGTCCCGGGACAGGCTCATTGACTTCGGTGTGGAAAGCCTTGTTCAAAGCGATGGTGACGAGGGATGATGGCCAAACGGCAGCAGCGGGGTAGACTAAGAATCGTCGAGTCAACCCGGCGAGACCATACCCCACAAAGTTGGTACCGATCGTATTGAGGATCTGGTAACCAAAACTGTAGGCGTAGTGCTGGCCGAAGAAGATGTCGAGGGCTTGGACCGGTACGATATAGTTGGTGTACGGGGCGGAGAAGGAGACGGACTACATAGCATAATGAGTCAGTTTCATCCGCCACATCGCCACACTCGTCTCAACTCACCGCCATGATGGTGATGAGCATATGCTCCTTCTTGCTGAATTTGCCAGGGTTCAAGCTGCATTCACGGCCGAAGAAGTTAAACTTCTTGGTGGGTAAGGATTGTGCCATGAATTTACCGATGGGGTCTGGTGAACCGTCAGCGACTGGCACGCCCGGTCTGAGAGCGGCTCACATGCCAATAATTGGGCGATGTTTGCTCCGACGATGACAGGAGGCTGTCGTACGTTGAAGAACGTATCGATGAATGATCCGGCACCGGCAAAGATGATACCCATGACCCAAACTCGGAAAGTCAAAGATGGCATATCAGGATCATCGGTAGGGTCAACATTGGCTCGAACCTCAGTATAAGGCGAGTTTTCGGTCGACAAGATGGCTTCGATTTTCATTTCTCGAATGAGATCGCTGTGTTTACCTCCGTCCAGAGCTGTAGGATCGTCGAGGAACTGATTGATCTTCTCAAGAGCGGCTCCAGGAAAGTTCTGATCATACTTGTGGATCTCTCGAACCTGTCGAATGATCTGAAATTGGGTCGTCAGCCACACGAGTGCCACAAAAGGAGGATCTTCGGTGACTTACTTTGATGGTCCTTTCCAAGGTCATCGAGTTGAGCTTCTCTTCGAGATCCTCAATCTCTTCGGAGGACAGCTGGAGATCACTGTGACCGTCATTACAAATCTTGGCAGGCAAGCCATATCACTCACTCCATGACAGCGACCTCTTCGGTCCCGTCCAGATGAGAGTAATCATTGTCAGCGGCCTTGATCTCGACCTCATTGTCGATTCCCAAGGCGCCTAGAGTCTTTTCATCCTTTTCGTCGCCGCTGTAGGCTAGATTCTGCCCAGCAGCAGAAGAGATTTCGTTGCTCATGATGTCCGACAACAAGACCTGGTGGCAACGGAAGAGTGCTACGTGGGGCAAATGGCAAGACCTGGTCCTACTATATACTCATAACGGCTCTTCTCCTCTTGTACTTTGCCCGCCGATAGGTTCAGCCGATCTCTAAACCCAGCCCTCCCTTCCTTTGCTTATCGCCCTTCCAACCGCCCTTGGATCCCCCCTCACTCCACTTTAGCTGACCTCCACCCATTGGGTCTCCGGTTAATACCCAGAGGGCCCGTTATTGGAAAAACCAACGAGCGTCTACATGTGGTACTTCAAAAGTCCCATTGTCTTGGCAAGAGCGCGCGACGTGGTGGTGACTTGCAAAATATGACACCATGTGGAGCGGTACATTTGGCCGTTCTCTGTGATTCTACCTGGCGGCTACAATGACATGGTCCATAGGGTCTTGATCCAGAGCATGGGAAAGTAAGTCGTGTGAGGGTGTTTGCCCGGTATTCACGGGTCAGCCCCTCTGAGGTGGCCCCCCCAGCGGTCGTCGGCCTTTTTTTTTCGCCGTGGCGAAATCTCGAATGGTTGTCAGTGGCTACATGTGGTGACCCGAAGTCGCTTGTCAGCGGACCTTGGTGTATAGGGTTGTACAGAAGGGAGGAAGAAGGAAAGAAGGCAGCAGCGACAGCCAAAATTCTTTTCGCCCGAAAAACAGACGGGTACATACCAAGCCGCTCGCTGCCCGAAGTGACGAATGTGCTATTTCTGAACTCACTTACATTCTCTTGGCATATTTGAGGTCCGGCATATTGGCTGGGATGGGATGGGATAGGTTCGTCTGTGAACTGGTGCCAGATCATTCATCACTTGTTTTAATGCTCCCAACGGGATGTATAGCGTAGATAACGCTGGGACAAGGTCCGGTTGTCATCGGCGCGGGGCACATCAAAAGGTATCTATCCACAGATCGATACTGTTCTCGCCACCACAGCCACGTGGATTCCAAGATCTCTTTCAAAATCTTGACCTCCACCTCGCGGACGAATTTCAGGGCCGTACATGGACATGTCCTCGCTCTCCGTGTCGCGCATCAGATCTCCTTAGATCTCCTCCACCGCGATGTCCAGGGCATAGGTGGCTGTTTTCTGTTTGTGTGAGCATGGCCATTCGCCGCGCCCAATAGTCTCACAGAATGAGGAGAAGATATGATGTATGCCATGGATCGAAGCAGCCAAAGAACGCTCGAGAGCCCAGATTATAAAAAGATGACAGACCGCGAGCATTCCTCATCCACCATCTGCTCACCTCGACTCAACAGTTCGTCTTACTCTCATCCCGTTATACCCAACATGGTCGTCACAATCGGACTGTACAATCACAATGGGATGATTGGGTCTCAGATCTTGAAGCATCTCCTAACTCGAGCTCAGCAAGGGTCCATTAGGCTCGTTGTCCTGCATCGTCGGACATCAAACACCAACTCGATCCCGGAGCACGCCAATATCGAAAAGCGGGTGGTCGATCTGGAAACACCGGACAAGAAGCTGAATGAAAAGAGTGTAAAGGGCATTCATGTTCTGATGTGGGTCATTTCGCTCATCCAAACTCGTCTGACCTTGTCTAGTTCCGCTGCCAGTAACAAGGACAGGATTGGTAGAGCGGAGCTGGTAGAGACGCTCGCTTCGAGTGATGATCTGATCACCTTCGTTCCTACCGATTATGGTCTCGTATGGACAAACTACCTGCCCAAATGGCTGAACTTAGGCTTTGTCAAGGGCAAGGCGATGTTGGATGAACGCGCCAAGAGCCTAGGAATCAACCTCACGAATTTCCGGTCCGGCTGTCAGACGCCTTGGATGTTCACAAGGGATCACGGGTGGGCAGGCATAGTTTTTGCCCTTGTTGCAGACGAGATTGACTTTTCCTGACCGTAGCGACTTTGGCATCAACGTGAAAGGGAACTATCTGATCAGATACGGTGACACCATGCAGAAACGATTACCGATAACGTGAGTCAAGTCTCAGCACGATTGTCCTAAAACGCCAGTTCGCCCGCCTGGCTCGGAGAGAAAGTCGCAGAGATCGTCAGCTCCCATGATCCACACCAGCTTGCCGACAGGTCGTTCTCCCTAGTTGAGACATGGGCGACAGGGAACGAAATCAAGGAGGCATTCACGAGGATACATGGCAAAGAACCAGCCGTGCAAGAGATCGACGAACAGCACTTTCAGGAAAAGATGGACAAGGGGATCTCGGAATCCATGGGAGCCGGGATATGGCTAAAGTGGCGTGACAACAACTGGGAGTTTGATGGAGAGATGATCAATGGTACCAGGAGTGTAGAGGAGCTTGCTAGGGAGCAGCTGTGACGTGAAGGCGCACGATGTCTTTCGCACTATGCATGGACAGCAGCAGGGTTAAGCTGCAGCTGCTTTTCATGGCCGGACAGCGCTGGCGGTGGTCGCCGCTTTCGTGCGTCAGCCAACTGAATTATTCGAACCAATTTTTTGAAACCTCGGTCTCTGTGATCACACAGCGCCAATAATCACCATGTCGTCCAAGACAGAGGTCAAACTGTTGACCCTGCTGAACGTTTCAGCGATCAAGAAGCCTAGAGCTCTGGACAAGCCTGGAGGCTACCGTGGAAGTCCGCTCCGATCTACCCTGCCGCTGAGCTCGATCGAGGGTACGAATGGAGACGTCCAATCGCCAGCCAGCGTCAAGCGTGCTCGGAAGTCAGTGTCTGCAGCTTCACAGGCAGATGTCAGTGCGAGTGAGGACGCACAGCCGGTGAAGCGACGGAAGAGTGTCGTATTTGCTGGAGAGATTGGTCCGTCCGGAAGCACATATGCGAGTCCAATCAAATCCTCGGGCAATGTCAAAGGCAAGGGCAAGGCGAAGGAAGTCACATCCATCAGCGGGTCATCAATCAGTAGCAAGGCGGCCGATGGTGTCTCAAAACGTGTTGTTGATCTAGTAGACGATGAAGACGACGAAGAGGTCAGCCCGATGGGTAAGCTTTGTATGCGGTCCGTAGAACCAGCTCATCAAAAAGCAGCGGATGCGGAGGACATGTTCAATGTTCACTTCGGTAGTGAAACTGTTTATCTTACCGCAGAATCGATTGCCAAGGTAAACGAAGATGACTGGACTTCTGGACCAGTTGCGCTCGCTGGTTTTGGCAAAGCTGTATCGTATCTGCCCGGAGCGGGTTCACCCCCTTCACCGGACGTTCAAAATCGAGTGAGCCTCGCACTTGGTCTCTACTCTGCGCAGAATTGACAAACCATCAGATCATTCCCTCCCTACTCTCCTCTGTTCGAGAATCGGATGATTCTATGCTCGTCTCGCAGGCGACCTCTCACCTTGGCACGTACAAGGATATTTACTTGCACTCTCTGGATGACGAGGCAGATGGCTCGGAAAAGATCTTGTATGGTCCCCAGAAAGGAGCCATAAGGCAGGCTATCATGGTGCATGCTTTGAATCACGTACTAAAGTGAGGCATCGAAAAAGCTTCATAGTCGACCCAATACTGATAAACTTCCCGCCAGGACTCGTCGCCGGATCATCAGAAACAATGAAAAGCTCGCACATGCCGCGGAAGGACAGGAACCACTCGAACCGCCTCGCGATCAATCCTTCACACGACCAAAAGTCTTGCTTCTCCTACCTCTACGTTCGTTGGCTTTGCACTACCTCAAAAACCATCTGTTTCCTCTCGCACCTGCCGGTACTCAGATTGAGAATCAACGCCCTTTCATCTCTTCCTTTTCTCTATCTTCCGATCTCACAGACCCCCTAGCTGCTCCGTCTGCGCTTAGCTCTTATCCCGCCGATCACATTGTCAATTTCCAAGGCAACAGTGACGATAATTTCAGGTTTGGGATCAAGATCACTCGTAAAGCGTGGCGAATAGTCATGATGCCTGCGGACGAGAAGAAACTCCTCGATTGCGATTTCATAATTGCCAGTCCCTTGGGCATGAAGATGGCTGCTGAGAGGGAAAAGAGCACGGATATGCTCAGCAGTATAGAAGTGTGCGTGGTGGATGGGATGGATATCATGCAGATGCAGAATTGGGATCATGTGCAGGTGAGTGGGCTGAGGAGTCATCGAGAATTTCTGGCTTATAAACCTTTCCAGTTTATTTTCGACAACCTGAATAAGATTCCTGAAGACCCGCATGGGTGTGATTTCTCTAGACTGAAGCCTTGGTATCTTGATCAGCAGTGAGCCACCGTGTGCAAGAAGGAAGGATTTCAAGCTGATCCGACTCAAGGGCGAAATATCTCCGTCAAACTATTCTTCTATCTCGATACGACAGTCCCGAGGGCAGAGCTCTTTTCCACCGTAAATGCTCAAACTTGGCTGGCAAAATTCGCACGGACGATGTCAATTGTACTGGTGTCTTGGACAGAGTCAAGTTTGGCGTACGGCAGACGTTCGAGCGGATAGATCTGGAAGGCGCGCAAGCGATGGACGGCGAAGAGGCTGTCTCTGAGATCGAATTGAGGTTGGATTGGTTCACTAAAAAGGTCAACTTTCCCTAGTCTGCCTCATCTGCCTTGGAGCTGACAGATTGTTGCAGACCGTCCCGTCTCTTGTCAAGTCAGCAATGACGAGGCAAAACACATTGATCGTGGTTCCTTCATACTTTGACTTTGTCCGACTTACGAATTATTTGCGCAAGAATGAAACAATCTCCTTCGCGGCAATCTCAGAGTGAGAGCATTCACACCTGTCGCCGGCTTGCACGCTGACCCGCTATAGATACTCGTCCAATACTGAGATTAGCCGAGCTCGAACCGAATTCTTCAAAGGCAAGAAACCATTTTTGATCTTGACGGAACGGTTCCACTTTTACCGCCGGTACAAGATCCGAGGGGCAAAGACACTGGTGTTTTACTCTCTACCGGATCACGCCCAGTTCTACTCAGAATTCCTCCAAACCCCATTCTTGCCTTCTCAGAAGAAACAAAAGGCTTTGAAAGCCAAAGAGAAGCGAAAGCGAAAGCGGAAAAGCGAGGGTGGTGAGGAGTCCGAAGACGAGCAACAAGATGAGGCCGACGACGACGACGAAGACGACGAAGTGGATCCTGATGCAGTTTCATGTCGGGTCTTGTTCTCTCGATTCGATTATCTCAAATTGGAGAGGGTTGTCGGGACGGTGAACGCCAGATTGATGTTGACAAAGGGGGAGGCAAAGTTCCAGTTCATTTAGCCGTTGCTGTGCGGTCAGGTGTGTGATGTATGCATGCATGCATGCGCGGGTATCCACAGACGTACGGAGGCTTTAAGCAAACAGGTCTAAAACGAATCTACAGTTTGACAACGTAATCACTGTATAAGCATATCCCGTGGGTTCGTCTCGAGGCTACAGCTCCTCCCAACCTGTCATAGACTCTCGTTTCCGCCGAAAGGCATTCATCATATCTCCCAATCGATCCACCTCGTCCCGCTTCATCTCCCCTACCTTGTAATCATTCTGTACGCCTCGCCACATATCCCCGAGCATCCCATCGAGCAAATCGAATCGATTCTTGCCCGATGGATTCCTCGCGACCCCAGTCCGATGTGTGACCACAGCCGGTGCATCATCGTACCTTGCAGCTAGACGTCGACGGGAGATATTGGGATCAGTGAAGTCTAGACCTTCACCAAAGAAGTTTGTCAACTTCTCGGAGCGTTTCCTGTTGATGCGCACGGCATCCTCTTCTGACGATTCCGGAGGCGGGAGGGTTGGCGAATGGATGATTGGCGAAGGGGGAGATGGAGAACCGCGATCCGGTCGAGGGGGTCTTTTTGGCGCCCAGGGGTCTCTCGGGGATGGAACAGATGGCAAGTCATGGTCCAGGGAGTCTACCATTCTCGCGAGGCGAGATGGGTTGTTCTCCGCAAGAAACAGTAAACCTTGAAGGGACTGCTTGTATTGATTGAACGTCCCAGCAACGATGGAAGGGCTCAATGACGAAGGTTCCGGAGTCTGGAGCATCGGTGCACTGATTTTGGGTCGAATGGAAGTTTCTTCCGCCCGAGACCGCTGTGGAACCGGTGAGTTGACGTTCAGGGGGTTGAGCTTGCCCCAAGTGACACCAGCCTTGTGACCGAAATTGACAAATGATTCGTCGTCACCATGGACAGCCTTGCCCTTCGGCTTGCTAGAGCTCATACTGATTGATTGCTTGAACCTGGTAGCCCAAGGACCCTTGAGCAGAGTGCCACTACCTGGTCCGTCTTTGAGAGGTGTGGTACCGTCCTGGATTATAGGATGAGACAGATCGTCCGCTGACATGTCGATGAACGAGGTCTTATCGGACATGGGCGAGTCGACCCGCCGGATCGTCTGTCGGGATAGGCTCTGCCTCACTGGCGTTTCGGGGGGAGTTTCGGTGGAGGATTGACCGGGAGGGAGGTAGGCGGGAGTCACGATTTCCCCTAGAAGCTTTTGCAGCTTGATACAAGGTCAGCAAGAATCTGAATATATGGCTGTGGCTTACCTTGACGAGTTGTCGGCGCCTGTTCCTGGCAATGATGTCGTCCTCCTGGGCGCAATCGTGATCTGTCACGAGCTCGACCCGAGATGTATTCGTGACTTCAGATTGCTTTGATCGCCGAGGTGTCAAAGGGAGAGCCCCATGATTAAATGGACTACCGTTGTGTCGACGATCTACATCGTTCGACCCAGCACCTGGCGGCAGACTTGATGAGCTCCTCTTGGGATCGCCGGGCCGTGGCTGGATCATGAGACCACCGCGTCCATCATCCAACAACGTTTCGCCGAGCCGTTTCTCCAGCGCTCTGATACGTCGTTGAAGCTGCACTTCTCTGTCATCTAGCGAAAGCTCCCCGAGGAAGCTTGGCGATGCACCGTCTTTAGAGTGTGCAATAGGTAAGACCAGCAGAGCTCCCATATTCGCTCGTTGGACCGTCGGAGAAAGGGGATGGTTGGACGGGATTAGCTGTGTCACTGAATCTGCTAGGGAAGGATGAAGTGATGGGATAGACTCGTGAGATCCAGATCGTTCTCGGAAGTGGTAGTCTAGTGGCTCAGACGTGTGATATCCATGACGGGGTGTGTGACCGCCGGCGAAGGCACCTCTAGGGGATACTGGAGCATTTGGACTGGAGTGACTTTGTCGATGCTGATTTCGGTACGGTGGAACAGGACCAGCAGGTCTGTGAACAAGTCAGCATGTTAGGATGTGTGCCCCACTCACGACTTGGGCATCATTTGTATCGCATCCTTCCATGCCTGTCTCTCGAACGCCATCTGATTCTCGGCAGCCAAAGCACCGTCCCCCAGCATTTGTTCAATCTTGCTTCGGGTCCTGGCTGGATCTCGCTTCGATACGCGATATTCAATGCTCTCATCCTCACTCGTTGCCACACCGGTGACATCCTCATCGACCAGTCCGCTCTTCAATGGCGTTCCTGAGCTCGGACGCCGTTCTGAGGAGGTGAGCCGTGATAGCTGCGTCTGATTCGGGTTTCCGGTGAGTCTTCTTTGGTTGCGTAGGTGATGGGAACAAGCCCTTGCTGTTATGGATGGCAATGGCGTCCGCAGACATCGGTCCAGACGGGCCGCCAGAAGCAGAGGAAGAAGATGCAGACTGGTGACGTCTCCGACGTCTACGTTGACTGGAAGTCATCGACTCGTCATCGTGATCCCCCGGACCCAGCTCGTCATCGCTGAGAAACGTCTCGCTTGCTTCTTTGGCACCTCGAAACGTGCCAGAGACTTCCCTATCGACAAGAGATCCAGTTGAAACGCTCCATCGTCGGGCTCGACCGAATGTCCCGGCGCTGGATCGTCTAGATGAGAGTTCCATCTCTTCCTCGACGGTTGACCCCGTCGATGTGATGTGGCTGGATGGTGTAAATTCGGACATGGATGCTGTCGTCATGGACAGTCGAAGGAATGACTTGTCGTTTAGGGGTGTAGTGCGACGGGTAGAGGATCGGCCTCGGCTCGAACCCCTAGATGGGGCGGAACCAATAGAAGAACGATGCGAAGGGTGAGCATGAATGATAGACGCTGAAGTGGTCGTCTCTGTGGGTCTGATGTGCTTTGCCGATCCATGCTGATCTCTCACCTCGTGACCAGGGAAAGCTGAATCGACAGGGGTAGAAGATGGTGCCCGAGACGAAAGGGGATGATCTGTACCTTGTCTCGGTTGAAGGTTTGACCGATTTTCTATGCCGTTTGTCACAGAATGATGATCTCCCATCGTATCGTCACTTTCCGTTCCAAACGACGGTGGCGACGACCCTTCGATATCTAGGATCTGGATCAAATTCGCTCCGGATCTCGAAGCCACATAGGCAGTCTTGATGAAATCTCGATCGACCTTGGAGGGACTTCCCAAGTCTGTGGGTGACGATGACAGGAGACTCCAAGTCGATGAACGTTTAAGCGAGCAAGGCCTAGGACTGGGACTTGGGGAAAGCCTAGGAGAGCTATACGTGTTATTGCTGAAGGGGTCGAGGAAAGGTGACGATTGTGGAAGAGGGAGAGACGGCGTTCGAGGAGTATGAGGGGTTTGAAGATCGTGAAGAGTTTTGAACGTGGGAGTCGGTGGGAAGAATGGAGCTGAGAGAGACATCATTGAGAAGAGGGCTGGGGAGGTCAAGTTCGGTTCTATAAAGTAGGCTTCGCTTGACGAAGCGGACTTCTCAGGTCAAGAACGGACAAACTGATCCGCAGAGGTGACGAAAGTCGAGTCTGGGGTCAGTGGTGATGGAAGTATGGATGATAGTGACTTGAATGGTGAGTCGAGCGTGGTCAAGACAGCAGTGGGATGGCCGGCGTGGTTCTGAATGACAGGTCCCAAGCCTTAGTCGTCAGATTTGACCCCAGAATGTATTTGCATGTCATGACCTCGTCGAGTTGTCGTAAAGGTAGGTCCTCGATGTGTCGGCGAGGAAGGGGATTGTGTGGGTATGATGACGGAGGATGTGTGTAGCTAGATCATTGCAGCACTTGACGTGTACGATAGTGACCTATACAACCTGGTATAGCTTACACGCTAGCTTCTTCATGCCAATACCCAAATTGAAGCGACGGGAAAGGCAGGCCAAATGATGTGAACCTTTGAAACACCGTTCTTCATCCCTTGATGACCTGAAGAAATGTAGCATCAATCGCTTTCGGTGAAGTTCACTCACTGGAATGCCATGGAAAAGTCTACATCCAATCTTTGTAGCAAGCTTTGAGCTCAGTGGGGCTGGGCTTGATGTGGGATATACCTCATGATGTGATTCCTGCTGGAATGCTGTCTCTGGTTAGCAGGCTTCCGGACAGCCCCGGAGATTCCGCCAGCGACGTCGTGGAGACTGGCGTGGGGCTAGAAGCTTATCAATACAGGAAAGCCACTGGCATAGGAGAGCGCTTTGCGTCGTATGGAGTCTTTCGAGCCCTCATCGATTGTGAGGGTATGAGAGAACATTAGGTAGAGAGCTCTACTGCCGGTGAAGCCACAAGAGCAGCTTCTCTTGCCAATACTGGCATGCAGAATCATTCAGCGTCCTACTTTGGGATCAGAATGGCCAGTATCGAGTCCGATGTTGGTCGCAAAGCCTCCCACGGCCTGCTGTTCAGACAAGAACATGAGGCGTGATTATCTACTAACCGCATCGGAAAGGTCCAGAGTTGATGAAACATCCCGAAATTCCAGGTCCAGTGCTTGCTTGCATTTTGACCTATCACTGGATCAATCTCGAGGAATAGCACTACGCCGAGTCGCCTCCATGACGATGACTCTCCGATCCCACCTGATGATCTGGCAATGTATTCAGCCAGTAGCAGGACCCTCCCGCACCAATCTTTACGCATCTAGGACCTTGCTTCCCATTCGAACTTTTGTATCAACTCCTGTACCCAACTCGGGGCACAACAAATGGTCTAAGATCAAGCACAAGAAGGGAGCTGCGGACGCTGCGAAGTCTGTGTTATACGGACGTATCATCAGAGTGAGTCACGCAATTCAGAAGAGATCAATACGGGACCTAGACTGACACCCTGCCGCCTCAGGATCTCCAAAACTCGCTACGACCGCCTAATTCACTGGATCCGACCATCAACTCCAGACTGGCAGATATAATGGGGAAGGCTAAAGAAGTCGGCATGCCGAAGTCCGTTGTAGAGAGGGCGATCAGTAGGGTACGTCAAGATTGCCATAGCGCGACCGCTCCTCTCACTGACTTTTTCTCTCTCTCTCTCCCTCTCTCTAACAGGCCCAGTCAGTGCTCGATGGGACTGGTCAAAGTCAAACGTTTGAAATGATGGGACCTACCAGCCGAGACGCCTACATCGTGTCAGTTTCCTTATATCGTCGAGACTCGTACGCTGACGCTCTTTCGCAGAGAGTGCTTAACGGACAATCCCAATCGAACGATCCAGAGTCTCCGAGGAATAGCGAAAGCTAGGCAGTTAGTGGCCCACCATGGCGAAAGTCTAGGTCCGCTAAAGGCTTTTGCAGGGCACGTATAACTCCAGTGGGCTTCATGTTTGAGCGTAAAGGATCGATCATCGTTCAGCCTGCTACACCGCAATCCGACTTTGACGCTTTATTTGAGCTTGTCTTGGAGGAAGGCGCGGACGACGTGAAAGAGGTCGAAGGAGAGGAAAGTTTGGAGTGGGAGGCGAGTCCATAGTCGGCCAATAAGATCAAAAGCTGATAGTCTCCAGGTCGTCACTCCGCTCGAATTGTTGTCGAAGATTACCACGTCTATAACTTCGGATCCCGAGAAGCGCTTCTCTGTCCGATCCTCGGATCCAGCTTATATCCCTCTGGAGTACATTGAGGCCCCTGATGAAGATGCGGAGCCCAGTGATTCGGACTTCGATATAGAGAAGGCTTCACTATTCTGTAGCATGCTGGAGGAGGATCAAGATGTTGTCAGGGTGTGGACGAACATCAGAGGTCTGTGAGCCGCGAGCTATCACATCCAGGGAGCGTAGATCTAGACATATTTGCATGGCATAGGCTTGGTATCTCTACAACATAGCCATCAGACCCATGATCCATTGATCTGAGGGATCGTCACTGTCCGCGAACGGAGCCATCGAGCTTTCAGACGGTATTACACCGTTTAGTATAGCTGAAGTCAATGTCGTGGTTGACTCGCTGACGAGATCCAAATTTTGCACACCCGCCATCATGCTGTCTACTTGCTGACCTTCAGATGATAGGTCAGGCACGAGATGCAACGCCTCGAGCGTATCCTCCATTTGTTCCTTTCGACCCTTCCTCCAGCCTGAAATCTTGTTGACCGGGGTCGGCCAAGATTGAAAGCTCGCGCTTGCTCCTCGTGGTGACGTGTCGACTGTATCTTCAGGCGATGATTGCCCACCTGCCACTGCTGCCTTGACTTGCGTTGTGTCTTTGTCCCTTTTCTCAGACATCAGAGCCGATGTAGTCAACGCGGATGTGATGATTTTCGGAGCTGGTCGTTCTGGTGGAGTCAGATGACCGGGTTGAAGGTCCGGAGGAGACAAGTGGTTCAGCATCGGAGGCCTATCAGGAGGTGTGAGATGGATGACAGATACTGGCATATTGGGTTGTCTGAGTGATGGGCTAGGTTGTATAAACCGAGGCATGGCAGGAGAGGCGTTGATTTTGTCTAGCTCATTACCTTCGGCTGCTATGATGTTGGTGATGGGCCGTTGAGTAGGTTTGGCAGGTTGCAAGACTTTTGACGGCGTATGCGGTCGGTCGGGAGCTTCAACAGGAGGAGCCAGCTGTCGAGGTAATTGTGGCATGTCCATCGAAGCCATTTTGATACCTGCCGCTGAAGCTGCAATAACACTTGCGCCAGACGCTGAGGGCTTTGCGGAAGGTAGAATAGGCATCTCAGGGCATTGAAAGCGAGTCGGGAGAGAAGATGGCGTGACTCGAGACGTCTCATCTGCCGTTTCGACCAGGTTGATGGCTGAAAAGTCTCCTAGCTTGACCCCTATAGATGCGGATGTCGATCCGCGCAGGACGCCGACACCTGGAGCCAATGTCCAAAGAGGGATCCGGTCGACAGGAGCAGGTACCGACGCAATGTTGGAGAGAACATTGGATGGAGACCCGGACATGGATACCGTGGGTTGGTCATCGTCTTGACCTGAAATGACGGTCAAAGTCGCCACGGGATCATGTCGATTCTTTTGGGTGATAGACGACCCCGACGATGTTCGACCAAGAAGAGGACTAGTGGGTGCTCGAGTGAGCTCTGAGGATGCCCTTCGGGACGGTTCTGGAGACAACTCCTCTTGATTGTCAAAGAATGACTCGCGTCTCCCGCTAGCCGCCCCATCATTGAATGAAAGGCCGAAACCTGAAAAACTAGTCTGTTGGGGCGAGGTCAGAGGCGAAGTAGACTTCTCACGTTGAGTACCGACAGATTGAACTCCGGAATATGGGGATGGGAGGCTCGCCAATGAGGTGGAAAAGGACAGCGGCAGACAGGCGGAAGAAACGTCATCAGTTGGCCAGGCGTACATTGACATTGGAATGGCATGGTGCAATGCGCGATGAAGAGGTTGTCGTTCGCGAAGTCGCGTTTCGAGCGGCGAGAAGACATAACATGGTGGAGAGGACGTGAGGGCCCATTGGGAGATGGCCGCGATATGGTTTCTGCGCGAGTGATGCTCAGCCGGGGAGCACCAAGCAAATCAGGTCTAGCTCACTCTGTGACTCTCGAAGAGACGTAGGAAATGACGATGATTCTTGGAGGAGGCTGGCAGTATGTGGCAATGTGGCTAAAGACAGCTTGGGCAGGAAGGGGACTGAAAACACCGTCGGAGCCTGAAGTCCAAATGACGGATCAGAACAGGAAATGCTAAGACGTTCTTTTCTTTTTACTCACGATAATCAACTTTGATGACTGGATCATGAAGCGTCGAGAATGGTTGAGGTACTGGATTTCGCAATCGACCGTTGGAGTCGCGGTAATTGAGTGGCAGGACATAGTCTCCTGTAGCGTAGGGTGATCGAAAGTCACGCTGTTCACCTTGGAATCGATACTTCAGATGCAAGAGGTGAACGTTTGAGTATGGCATCGTCCGAAGTGACTAGATGGAACGACACGCCATTGTCAAGCCTGGATTAGACGGAGGCTAGAGACACTCACCCTAGCATAGTCTAACAGCCTGATGGTATCTTTGAAATCTTCATTACTCTCTATCCCTTCGCCTCCTTGACAAGGGCTCTGCATATAACTTGCAAAGTTGACAAAGAGATAAAGGGCATCCTTGGTCGGTAGATCTGGAGACAAGGCCCTTTCCAGTGGGTGTCGGACGGATGGCGAGACAGAGCCACCATTGGCCTGGCTGGGGGATGCGCGGGGGGACTTGATGGGGCTGACGTCTGTGGGAGAAGCAGAAGATGGCGGGAGGGGGCCAGGGGTGGGACTGGAAGGTGCTGGACTGGTCGCTGCTCTGGTAATGTAGGGACCTTGCTTCGTGAGGCCATCATCTTGCGGTCCGAGGCGAGCCCGGAGCGTGAAATCATCGAGCGCCATAATCAACGAAGAAGACCAACGATCCAGGGTACGACAGAACGGAGGATTCTCGATATCGGGACAAACAGGATGAGTGCGAAAGATGTCACGCAGCGTTTTCACCCTCTAGACCCAGAATGTTTGCCGCCGCGCTGATCGACCTGCTCCGTGCCGACTGATTTCTGTGTCTGGGTGACCTCACCTGAGAACTGAGGCGTGTCTCCGCTCTGATAATTACCAGAGGGGAGATGCTGGGCTTCTTGTGGAGCTCGACGATCAATGTCGGGGAACAAAGAGAGGGATTGAAGACCACGCTGATCGGCCGCCTTGCTGAGAATATGCTGGAATGACAGCGCAAAGACCGCGCCAACCCGAGGTAGCTCAGTATTCACGGCCGTTTCGAGGAGACAGTCACCCGTCAGAAGGTCACCAAACAAGCTGATATCAGCAATGATAGGACATGGATGCCTTTCGATGATTGCTCTCTTTCTCTCTCCAGTCTTGCATCCGAGGCCATTCTTTGTCCGAGGGAAAATGACCTTTGGAGAAAGGAAGGGTGGGGGAAGAATTATCAGTGTCGTCAGCACAGTGTCTCTAGCGCTCTCGGAGACAGTGTAAAGGATCAATGGGCTCCATGTCAATGAATCGTTGGCAGCACATCGAACGCAGCTCCCACTTGTCAAGGTGTCTAAACATGTGAATGATAGTGAGCGGGGCTCAGCAGAACTTTTCGATTCGTATGAACGCATACGAGAAACTACTGCCCTTGCACGAAGCCTCAAGTCAAGCATGCGGTGATTTCTGACCGTATCCCTGCAGCGACAAAGACCCGTCTGAGCCATGACGATCTCGCTGCTGTAGATTTTATACCGGTTACTGATGACCTTCTCATCGTTACGTAGAGTCAACTTCCGATTTGATGAGGTAAGCTGTCTGACACACCCTCAATGTATATCACGTGATCAGAGACCTCGCTTAAGTTCGCTTTCGCGATCGCTTCGCTTCGGGTAAGTCGGTTGCGGGAATTTATTATCAGCGAGTGCTGGCCTCAATGGATTAGATCCAGCATTTGGAACCCACTGTCCTTGACACGGCCCAGCTTTGGGCGGAGCTGATCATCTTTTGTCACTCGGTCAAGATGATCCCCATCACGCGCAAAATTGGCTCTTTGCTGGACCCGACCTCTCCATCCTCGCCTTCGTCATCCTCCAATCCGTCACCTCCCAAGACATCCAAAATGCACCAACCTTCACCGCTCGGTCATCCGGTGGCTACTTCAGATCACGACGAGGGCTCATCTGCAACATCCGATGAAGAGTCCCCAAAGCTGTCCAAGGTCAAATCGAACAGCTCAAAGACGCCCGCATTCCTTAGCAAAATGCTGGGTCCGCTGAGTCATTTACAATTCAGCAAATCGACACATTCCAAAACCGCTTCCTCCGGAGATGTCTTTGGATTACTCAAAGCCTTGGCAGCTGATCAAGCTGACTCGGACACTTCTGCTGATCTGGCCGGTCTCTCTTCTCCGAGCAGTCTGACTGCTTCCGATGCTCTGGAAACACCAAGCGATATCGCCGCCGACCACCAAATCGGAGGTGCAGATAAAGGAGGTAGGAAGGATGTACCGGGTGGAGACCGAGACTCGGTACAAACTCAGCAACAGCATGACTTGTTAGCAGCAGAGCTTGCAGGTATGTTTGAACGTCTGCACTACAAGCTTTTGCCCAATACTGACGATGACTCTAAGCGCTCTCTGTCAGCAACATGTCACCGCTCGCATTCAGCGACCACCATGAGAAGGATCTCCGGGATACCGAAGGGGAGACGTCTCAAGCGGCCAGTAATCGTCTGGAACGAACCAAACTGCGTGATCCGTTCCTTGAAGATATTCAACAACCTTCCGATGAGGAGAAGCTCAAGGCCATCAACGAGGAGTTTGGAGATATAGCCGGCCTGATGACAGGTCCAGAAGGGGCCGAGGAACAAGAGAAGATCCTGGCTGACGCGAAAGGGAGTCTCTTCAGGTGAGTCCATGATCTGTGTCTAGGTCATCGAGGATGAAGGTTGACATCGCTGCGTAGAGAAGTTATGCTGATTGTAGGTTCACCCCTTACCTCACCCATACTGATCCTTGGCAGGGCCACATTCACCTCACAACCCATCGACTGTTCTTCCATGCCCTCCTGCCACCTGTTCCGCCAGATAGTATTGATGACACCGGTGCTGCAAATTCTGCACCGGGCACAACCCGTTCAGTTCTCCTGATGAGCGGACCAGTGACATATCATCACTCTAGCCCATTGAAGCCAGCCCGCAGAGTCTGGATGGAGATCGGCCCGGAGATGATCTCGACATATCCCGCAGGTGACGAATCGGGCCGAGTCAGGCCGTTACGAGTCATTCTTCGTGAGATCAGCTGAGATATATCCCCGTACTGAGCACCCTCGCAGTCAACTCTGTCCGCAAATTTGAGCCGTTGCATCCCGGAGAGCCTTGCGATCTCTATCTCACCTACACTAGTCCTCATGGAGAAAGTGTCGCGCACTTCACCGTCGATACAGAGGTGAGCCATGGCTTAAGGGCCCATGCTGATGGTGTCTCAGCAATCCGCTTTGCAGTGGCGGCGAGCTCTAGAAGGGGCTTTGTTCCACAATGCCAAGAGGGCATTCTTTGACTCTTCCAAAGATCAACGAGATAAGGATACTTGGATGATGATGCGCTGCTGTGTCCCATTGGACCGAATCAACATCCAAAATATCTCCGATTACCACTCCTTTGCCACCTTGATCGAAATGTTCATCGACTGGGATGATCATTATCGAAGCCGATTCATATCAGAACAATTGACGATGGGCGATCCGTTCAGGCAGGACAGTGTTACACCCGTCAGCAAGAATAACTCACCTCGAAGGTCATTTTCTGATACAGGAGCACCACCGAATCGGTCTCAAACTGTACCGCTCTCAGCTACAAAGTCCGCCGATCACGAAAAGCCCGTCCGTTCCTCGACCACACTATTGTCCTCCGTCCTTGGACGATCAGCGAGCAACTCCCGGAGTCAATCGCCTCAGCGCTCTCCAACGCCTACGTCCAATATCTCACGCTCCGACGACGGTCCACAGTGGATGAACACCACGATCCCGACTGTCATCTCGCGGTTCAATCAGAGGACCCAGGGAGAATCGAGTGCTGGCCCTGTGGAAATTGGACCTCAATCTCACGAATTCAGATTGGCGCTCCTCAATGAGAACGCTTGGTTCGCGGACCTGTTCATCCAAGCCGTCCGTGCTGCTCATAAGAGACAATACAAACCCGATGTTTCTCCTGCGAAGATGAGGATTGAGGTAGGCGGACACGATTGTCTAGCTACAGATGAGGATATCGAAGCTGCCATGGGTCATCACGAAAAGGTTTCGGAAGACTCGTGGGACATTGACGATCTGCAACCGGGCTCAGTCAACAAGGTTCGAAAGGCAGAGGTCATCGCCATGGCAGCGAAGGTGTTCGGCTTTCATTCGGACACGCCAGTGTGGAGTGAGCAGGTTCTTGTACGAGACGCCACAATTGGCTGATTGATGTCTCAGTCAAGCGATGCTATCTTGCTGGTGTCATGCCAGCTCGAGGTCATCTGCTTATCACTAAAGACTTTGTGTGCTTCTGGCGTCGCGCTACCCTTGGGGAAGACATCAAGGTGGGCTGGTATGCCTCTTGCAAGTAGCTGACTGTCGCAGTTCCGATTCGCCGTGGCTGATGTCAAAGGAGCCAAGATTCACGAAGACAAGGGCTCGGCTTTCCACATCCTGTCGCTAGAAGTCGAAGGTCGTCCAGATGTCCACTTTGAGTTTTGGCGCAAAAAGTCCCGCGACGAGGTGAGATAACAGTCGTGTGGCGGGCCGGCCTGACTGACATATATCTAGGCCATTGACCATATTCAAAAGGTCACAGCAAAGGCAGCATCCAATGATCTCGGAATAGAAAAGACAATCTCTCCCGCGGACGAGACCCCTTCATCCCCTGAGGATCTGTTCCCGATGGGAGACAAGCCGACGAAAGAGTTCCCTAGCAAGCAGGATATCAAGCATCCAGCGGATATCCTTGCGCTGCCGAAAGCATCCACTACAGTCTCCAGAGAGTTTCCCGACAACGCCCTGCCATATCTGCCCTTCATTGCCAACTTTCCGCGGAATCATCGTTATAAATTGGCGGCGAGACACTTTGTGTTGCTCACTATCGGGTCTCGAGGGGACGTGCAGCCGTATATCGCCCTTGGTCTGCGTCTAAAGCAAGACGGTCACAGAGTGACTATCGTGACCCATGGTGAGTGTCGAAAGGCAAATTCTTTGACTGACTCGTCCAGATGAGTTCAAGAAGTGGATCGAGGGATATGGGATTGACCACCGACAAGCCGGAGGCGATCCTACGGCCCTGATGAAGCTCAGTGCGGAGCACAAGGTGGGGGCAACTTGGTTCATTTTGTGGCTGAAACTCTAGATGTTTTCACCTGGATTCTTCAAGGAGTCCCTTGGTTCTTTCCGACAGTGGCTGGATGATTGCGAGTCTGCTCCTTGATGACCAGACAACATTCATGCTGACGCCACGCACGCAGTGCTTATCGACTCTTGGGGTGCATGTCACGATGCCGATGTGCTCATTGAGAGTCCGTCAACCATGTCAGGCATCCACATCGCCGAAGCATTGGGAATCCCATACTTTAGAGCATTCACGATGCCTTGGACCAGGACCAATGCGTATCCGCAAGCATTCATGGTTCCAGCATTCGAGATGGGTCCAAGCTTCAACTACTCAACCTATGTTCTCTTTGATAATATCATGTGGCGCGCGTCGGCCGGTCAAATCAACCGATGGCGAAAGAATCACCTGCGACTGAAAGCGACGGACATGAGCATGCTGTCAACGTCTCAAGTACCTTTCCTGTACAACTTTAGCCCGGCTGTAGTTCCGAAGCCTTTGGACTGGCACGATAATATCAGCATCACGGGATACTGGTTCCTCGAGGACAGTGATACCGATTGGTCACCTCCGGCTGCTTTAGAAGCGTTTATCGCCAAAGCCAAGGAGGACAAAAAGGCATTGGTGTATATTGTGAGTGGCTCCGGGCGAGAGAGGTGCTGAGTATATATATAGGGCTTTGGGTCCATCGTCGTACCTGATCCTGATCGCATCACCAAGAGCATTATCAAGGCTGTCGAGAAGGGTGTGTGAACGCTTCGAGTCGCTTTCAGTACTGACAGGGGGCGCTTCGCAGCGGATGTTCGGGCCATCATCGCTAAGGGGTGGTCCTCTCGTGGTGCATCACCTTCAGAGGAGGGCAAAGATATTCAATTCCCAGCTAGCTGTTATGGCCTCGACAAGGTTCCTCACGGATGGCTCTTTCCTAAAGGTGAGTAGGCTGTATCCACGTTCTTTTGAGATTGGTTCTGATCTTGATCCAGTCAACGCTGCACTGCATCACGGAGGAGCAGGAACCGTCGGTGCGAGTCTCAGAGCTGGTTTACCAACAATCATCAAGCCATGGTTTGGAGATCAATTCTTCTGGCAAGTCGTGACATGTAACTTGATAAGGGGTTTAAGACGCGCTGACAATCACTTACAGGGCTCTCCGGGTGACAAAACTTGGAGCAGGTCTCAAACTTGGATCACTCCGCTCTGATGATATCGCCGCCGCATTGACCGAGGCGACGACAAACCAAGTGATGATTGAAAAAGCTGCTCGCGTCGGACAACGTATTCGATCAGAAGATGGAGTTGAAAATGCCCTCGAGGCAATCTCGTTCAACATTAGTCGAGCGGCAGAGGATAGACGCCAAATGCACTGGCAGAAGTGAACGGCAATTTTGTGCGTGCCTATAAATTGGGTTGAAATGATAGATCCAGAGAGTAGATCAGACGGTCGCGTGTTTGTTGTGAATAATAATTTGGTCCGTCTTGGCTGCCATCTCGATGCTTTACCCCTCTCTTGTTACGTCTCAATGTGTGTGCCATCGTATCATGTACATATCCCGGAGACTCCCATCTACGTACGGCATGTATCGTATGGTGACGTGACCGAAGAAGCCAAGGCACAAATGCTGTCAGGGGCGACCCCGCGCCATACATACGTCGCCTTGTCCTGCTCGCGAACCTCTTGACCTGCATCTCTTCGCCTTCTTCCCCTTCTGCTAAGCGAGGCACATCAATCATATAGGCGCAATGATGGAAGAAGATTTCGCGTCGGATATCTATAAGCAAAACATCATCAGCGTCGAATTCGAACTTTGGAAAGTAAACCTCACTGTCCGCAAGACGTAGTCGTCTCCGTTCTATTCGTGTTTCATGAGCATCGAATGATCCGTCGTAAGAGCATCTCGTGAAACCCCTCACCTGAGTGATATACCTGACCCAGGGAAGAGCCTGATACCCTGATTTCTCGACAATCTTCAAGTACCTCACTTGAATACCCGATACTGTAAAGTATGGAATCTCAAATTTGACAGATATCGGGGCTCGTTTGTCCAATTCCTCTGCGAGACAATCAGGGCCTGCGGACCGACACCACACCTCATGAGTCACAAGTCTTACCATTGCGCACGCTTGGGAGACCGAAATGAGCTCTCATAAGGTAATCCCTTCCTCCGCCCAATTGCTTGATCTTCCATACGAATGCTGATTTCTCAGGCGCGTACACGACTGATCCCGCGGCGGCCTAGGTGAGAAGGAACTCCGTTAGCGTAAAATCCTCCCAAGGCTATGGCCGTGGGGAATAAATGTGCAAGCTTCGAGAGAGAGAGAGAGAGGACGGCCGACTTACCCTGAACTTTGGACTATCCGCATCATCCGGTACCGGAACGTAAATCTCCACATTGTTCGCCGTACTTCTCCTTTTGAATTGTCCCCTGACCTTGACCATGTATTCAACTCTTGATCCTCTATGACTTTCCACACTCGCTTCGACCCATACCAAAGGCTTTACAGGCGTCGATAAGCGATACGACATGAGTTCGAATTCGCCATCTGGAGGGATGAACGAGATCGTACGGTCGTTTTCGAATCGAGCCAATCGAACACATTGATGGAATTTGACATCTTCCATCTCGATGGATTTCCCTCGAGCCGCTGGATTCTCCCGCGTCAGACATCGAAAAGGCTTTGACGGGATACTCACCCCTCCCTGTAGATTCGAACATGACCTTGTCGTTTAGGCCTAATCTCAATTCTGGCATGCCAGAAAGATAACACTTCATCTTGACCGCGCCTAAAATCTCGGACCGAATGACATTGCCAGATGCGTTGACCTGGAGACAGCAAGGATAAGACCTTGCGATCGGGGAGTATATCATCGAATATCCCTCACCAAGAGGTTGACGCTCTCCACGACGTCCAAGAAAACTTCATTCTTCCTATATCTGATTCCTTCTGATCTCCATGAAACAGCGTTTGTGACTGCCATCGGTGGTCGAGCTTGAAGTTCGAGCTTGTGACTTTCTTGCGTGATATATCTGAATTTGATGTCAGACGAATGAGTCACATTGGCGCACATGGCTCACTCTTGCAATATCTTGCTCTCTGTCGTTTGAGGGTATCCGAAATCCATCATCTCATCCAAGAGCTCGTAGATGATGACAAAGTTGTCCCTGATAGACTCCTCCTCCAACTCTTTGAAATACTCTGTGAGCACCTGGCGAGGTACGTTAATCACCATGCAGAAGGCTATGACACTCACCGAGCACAGACGATGTAAGAAGAATATGATCTCTGCGGCATTGCTATTCCTCTTTGACAACGCCAATAGGTATAGGTTGTTATGTCGTATGTGCATGTAATTGATTCCATCATCTGAAAAGCATGGAGTCACTTGGACATTTTCTTCCTCCATATCCAGTACGAGGGGTAAGAATCGTTCGATACATGATGGCGGGACGTCGTCTTTGTACGAACGTTGTATCAGGGACTACCGAAAGGGGGGTTGGGCAAAGCATCAGCTTGAGAGAACGATGCAATTTATTCGTGGAATCCAGCTCACTTTCCCCTTGACGTCTAATATTGCGACTATGGACGGAGCATGATCAGCAAGTGACACCCTTTTCATATGCCTCGCACTCACCCAGACTGGCCATATTGCCCACCCTACACTCTGCTTGGACGTGCAACGTTGAACTACCAGATCACATAGAGAAATGTGAGCCTCAAGTCGCGAGCTGGTGATTCTATCTCACGTGGTGATACTGCATGACGTGGTGTTCTTGAAACTCGGTATCAATCATGCCGTAAAGTCAACGCCCCCCTTGAGACCTGTGACCCGCGTTTGAGCACGGTTGAAAGGCCACGACAAGATCCACTGCGCGACAGATTGAAGCAGGCAGCAGTCCATAGCAGATTCACTGTATACCTTGTCCGACGTACACAAATCCCTTCCATTGACTGATAATGTCCCAAGCGCAAGATGTGAGTTACAGGTCCATATCACACCGAGATATGACTCCCAATGCACTGACGCTCGAGTGTCTGCGCAGAACGTGGACGACGAGTTTGCTCCGACTCAGACTCAGGGCTACAAGGTACGTTCCGGCGACTGTTGGTTGCTCCAGGACTCACAAGACCTCATAGGTTGGAGAGAGCAAGACCGTAGCGGAGCTCGCAGCTTTGGATCAAGTGGGTGACGTCCGTTTCACTGTAGTGGGACTCGTCTCTGACATTTCGGCCGGGCAACCAGGAAGATGAATCTCTCCAACGATGGAAACAGTCTCTGGGAATCGCAACTGGTCCAGGAGGCTCTAATGGACCCAAGCAGGTAGGTCCGAGCCCGGAGCCGTCACTCTCGTCATTCTCAAGCTTAGAGCATGGTCCCTGTTCAGATCATCCCGAAGACACTGTTCCTCAGCTCTCCGACGCTTTCTAAACCTGTCTCGATTGAATTCGACAAATCCAAGGACGCAAAATCGCATCCGGGTGAGTGAAGCGCACAGCATATTGCAGTGGACTGACGATACTGCCAGTGACTATTAAGGAAGGCGTGGAGTACTCTGTCGGAATCACGTTTCTGTACGTTGGAGTGGTCTCGGCCGTTTTACCTAGCGAACATTGACATCCACCCAGTGTTCAGAATGAAATCGTCTCTGGCCTAAAATACATTCAAGTCGTCAAGCGAGCCGGTATCACAGGTGGGTGGTTTGATCACGCTCCTCTTTCTTGTCTCGCTGGTCTGGGTTGACATCGGTATGCCCAGTCGACAAGACAGAAGCGATGCTTGGCAGTTACGGTCCACAGACCGAGGCATACTCCAAGACGGTAAGCGGGCTGGCTAAACTTGGCAATTTCCCTACTGGACAGATCGCTTACCCTTCGCCAGTTCGCATCGGATGAATCACCTTCCGGCATGTTAGCCAGATCAGGAACGTACAATGTCAGATCACGAGTGGTTGATGATGACAACACCATCTGGCTAGACTTCGAGTGGGGTAGGTCGTCACGCATGTCCATCGCAGAAAAGGGACCGTGAGCTGACAGGGTTGGATGACCAGCGTTCAAACTCGCCAAGGAATGGTGAAGGCGATGTGTCCGTCAGGACTTGCTTGACATGACCTTTTTTTTTCTCTTTTTACGATACGATATGAGATTGATGTCGGTCAGAGGATCAGCGTGATGATGCATGGGGAGCAGCTCCTTTCATAACGTGTCAGATAGAATCTTAACATACCTAAGAGATTGATATACCGCGCGCCACGCCGCCCTTCGGACATTTGAAAGATTGCCTCCGTTACCGGCCCGGAGTATATCATCATCATCAAGATGACTATAATCGATCCTACCTCTAAGCGAGACAACGGTCCGAGGGAGCCTGAGGTCATCGTCGCCGTTTCTCCCCACCGCAAAACCCACAATCTTTCATTGGTCATCGATCACTGGGATATCCACTGTTGACGAGTACCGACCTGAGGCTCAGCTCACTTGCATAGTCTTACCACCTTCTCCTTTCAATCACCATCGGTCAACTGGGTCAGAGACTCATTCGTACAAACTCACCCCTCCACCTTTCCTCGACTAACCCCCTTCGCTCCCCTCCACCATGTCGAAAGACCGCAAGAGTGGATCCATCCCTTCGATGGAGGCGTCCGGAGACAGTTTGACTGAGGAGACTGTCGTTGTTGTCCTAGGTGCAAGTGGAGATTTGGCTCAGAAAAAGACGTTCCCAGCTTTGTTTGCGCTATACGCTCAAGGTCACCTGCCAAAAGATGTCCACATTGTAGGATACGCCAGAACCAGTGAGTTGTCCAGCGGAGTGACACGAGTCATGTCATTATCCATCTAATACTCGCTTGCTTCAACAGAAATGGACGAGGCAGAGTTTCACAAACGTCAAACTGGACACCTCAAACCACCCAAGGATGACGAAAAGCTCGCTAAATCCTTTGACGAGGATGTCAAAGGCTTCACCAGTATCTCTTCCTACATTGCCGGACCTTATGACGAGGATAAAGGGTTTCAAGAGCTGAACAAGCGACTCGAGGAAATTGAGGATCAACGGAAGAGTTCAGGCAAGACAGCGAGGAACAGAGTGTTTTACATGGCTCTTCCACCTTCCGTTTTCACCGTGGTGGCTAAAGGGTTGAAGAAGAACTGTTACACGAACGATGGAGATAACAGGATCATCATTGAGAAACCATTCGGTAAAGACTTTGAATCCTGTCGAGAAATGATGTCAGCTCTCAAAGCTGAATGGACGGAGAATGAGACGTATCGAATTGATCATTATCTAGGAAAGGAAATGATCAAAAACCTCTTGGTCCTCAGATTCGGCAATGTCTTCCTTGATGCCGCTCTTAACAAGAACTACGTTAGCAATGTCCAAATCACCTTCAAGGAGCCTTTCGGAACAGAGGGACGAGGTGGATACTTTGACGAATTTGGAATCATCAGAGACGTCTGCCAGAACCGTGAGTTCAGTGGGCTGAGGCACATTGCTGAACGAGTTCAGACCTCATGCAGACCTTGTCTGTGCTTGCCATGGAGCGACCCGTCTCCTTTTCTGCAGAAGACGTCCGAGATGAGAAGGTGTGTTCCATGGCGCCATGTGTGTGTACTCACCTTCCCCAGGTCAAAGTCCTACGCTGCATTCCTCCCATCGAGCGCAAGGACTTGTTGCTCGGCCAATACGCCGCTTCAGGCGACAAACCAGGATACCATGATGACGACACTGTCCCCAAGGACTCTGTCAGCCCGACATTTGCTGCCATGGTTCTATGGATTAACAATCCACGTTGGGAGGGTGTCCCCTTCATCATGAAGGCAGGAAAGGGTGAGGCCCCAGTCTCAGGTAGCGAGCAATGTCCAGTCTGACGCTATACCTTAGCACTGAACGAGTCCAAAGTGGAGATCCGTATTCAGTACAAAGACGTAACTCAGGGAATCTTTACCGACATTTCTCGAAACGAATTGGTTCTTCGAATCCAACCCTCTGAAGCCGTCTACCTGAAAATGAATTCTAAACTTCCTGGATTCTCCACCCGCGCTGTCCCTGTCGAACTCGATCTCTCCTACACGAAACGGTTTACCGAGGCCAAGATTCCTCAAGCTTATGAAGCGCTCATTCTCGACGCTTTCAAAGGAGATCACTCCAACTTCGTCAGAGATGACGAATTGGATGTCTCCTGGAAAATCTTCACTCCCATTTTGCATTGGATCGATGGGAAAGATGGCGAAAAACCAAAGGTTGAATCTTACCCGTACGGATCTAGAGGACCAGAAGGGATCGATGAGTTTACTGCAAAGTACGGATACAAGAGGATCGGCAATGAGGATTAGTGAGTCGATGTGTGGTTCCCCCCGTATCTCGCGCTGATCATCCCGCCTCATCGCGCCTCTCCAGTCAATGGCCTCAGACCAATGTCGCTGCCAGTCTCTAAAGGGGACAGTGTCTTGGTGTGCCCGAGAGAATGAACACCAAAAAAAAAGAGGAAATGATCGCTCGCTTCTCCAGCCCCTCTTAGACACTTCCACATGACGAGCAGCCTCCCAGATGTATATATGTATACATGCATATAAAGAGGAATGTGCATCCGATATCTCTGACTTGAGCCATCACGTGCGACGCGGGATCAAAAAGCCCTATAGTACCCATCCCGGACTGGGTGAAACCGCGCCACGTGCCTGAGAGCGGGAACGCCACAAAGAAAAAAAAAAGTTGTGAACCACACGGGTAGATTTTCTGCAACTTTCCCCCCCAAATCTCTTCCATTCATACATATATATATATCTATCTGTCTGTCTCTGTCTCTTCATCTTTCATCTTTCATACCTCTTCCCTCACATTCCAACCCTTCTGACATCAGATCATCTGACTATCACCATGGCCAGCCAAAAGGTAAGTCTCTTCCCCTCCCTACACAACACACACTCTCTGCAGTGTCCCGCGCGCGCTCTCTCTCTCCCCCTGTCATCCCTGTCTCGCCCTTGCCTACCTGCTCGGCGTCCACATGCTGATTACTCCCTCCCTCCTCACTCAGGATGAGAACATTCAGGTCGTCGGACACGAGAGATTCGGATTCGACTCTCGAGCAGAGACTAAGACTCTCCGAAGCTTGTACTTGGTGAGTTATCTCGTGTCTATTCGCGGCTCCGGACTATTTCGCTGACCTGTTGACTCGTTTGCCAGAGCCCCAGCGCCAACAAGGACCTTGATGCCAACTCCCAGAACCAGGAGTACGGATCTCAATCGACCTACGACAAGGCCAGCAACACTGTCAAGTACACCACCTTGGCAAACTTCCCCCCTGTCAGGCTCTTGCCCAACTCTGAGCGAAAGCGAATCCTTGGTGAGTCGAAAGGAAGGGGCGGAAACGGGGAAATTTAGCAAAACTGACAATGACGTTCCTTTCTTCAGTCACTGGAGGTGCCGGTTTCGTCGGATCTCACTTGGTCGACCGACTCATGCTCCTCGGACATGAAGTCACCGTCCTCGACAACTTCTTCACCGGTTCACGAACCACTGTTTCTCACTGGGTCGGTCACCCCAACTTTGAACTCGTCCGACACGATGTCGTGGAGCCCTTCCTGATCGAAGTTGATCGTGAGTGTCAAAGCTATCTCCCTTTTGGGTACCACGCCTTCCTTTCACTGACGCGTGTCTCACCCTGTCAGAAATCTACCACCTTGCCTGCCCTGCTTCTCCCCCTCACTACCAATACAACGCCGTCAAGACCTTGAAGACTTCCTTCCAAGGAACTTTGAACATGCTCGGTCTCGCCAAGCGAACCAAGGCTCGATTCCTCATCTCCTCCACCTCTGAGGTCTACGGTGACCCCGAGGAACACCCCCAGCGAGAAGACTACTGGGGTCACGTCAACTGTATCGGACCTCGTGCATGCTACGATGAAGGCAAGCGAGTCGCCGAGTCCTTGACCTACGGCTACAGCAGACAGGACGGTGTCGAAGTCCGTGTCGCGCGAATCTTCAACACCTTTGGACCTCGAATGAACCCCTACGATGGACGAGTCGTCTCCAACTTCATCATCCAAGCTCTCAAGGGAGAAGACATGACTGTCTACGGAGATGGAAGTCAGACCCGATCTTTCCAATACGTTCACGACCTTGTCGACGGTCTCATCCTCCTCATGAACAGTGACGAGGAGCGACCCGTCAACTTGGGTAACCAGGATGAATTCACCATCCTCGAATTCGCCGAGGCCGTCAGGGTGAGTCTGACAAAGCTTGATTCTCGTTCCATGTGCGAATCCGCTGACCTTTCCCCTCGTAGGACATTGTCGAGAAAGTCCAGAAGGAGAAGGGCAACCCTCTCGCCAAGCGAGTCAACATCATCCACAAGGAGATTCCTCAGGATGACCCCCAGAGACGACGACCCGACACCACCCGAGCCAAGGAGACACTCCAATGGCAACCCCAGTGGTCCGTCAGACAAGGTGTGGAGGAGATGGTCCGATACTACTACACCCAGATCGAGGAGAAGAAGCTCTAAGCGGATAAACAGAGTTGGATGACCTCCGTGCTTGCTTGCTCTCTTTCTCTTTCATTTTTCAACACAGTTTACGACATCATACCTGATTCATTCCTGATTACCTTGCATCTCAGCCTGGTAAGACATTCCTTTCCGGACACATAGAGGGGCTGCCCACATGCATTTTTCAACAAGACTTTTGCTCGAGCGAGCATGCCGCAGTGAACGAAACGCGTGGGATGGGCCTTGTTCAGCTGGTCGCGTGCTGCGAATCATGCTGAGAGTCCAATTTAACGTGGTTTTTGTATTCCAGCCGAGCCGAGACGCTCACGATTTCGGAACTGCCTCTCGTTGTTAACCCTACATCCACCCAACTAACATGAGCGCTCCAGATACAGACTCTGAAGAGGTGCAAGCTGGTCCGTCCACGCCTTCTCGCCGCACACCATCACCTACCTCATCGCTCTCTAAGATTGACGCAACAACACCTCACGATGCTGGAAAGACCTCCACACCCGCGGGCGTGACGCAATATCAAGATGCTCGAGCTCAACACCAGCACCTCGTGACGCCCGCCGTCCAAGAATACCCAGATACACCTCTAGCTCCAGCTCCTAATCCAGCCGCCAAGGATCTTCCATTAGAGACGCCAATATCGTCCAAAACCCCTACCTCTGGTCCAAAGGCCAACAACAACAACATCCATACAGACGTCGACGTTTCTCAATTCGACCCGTTCGCGACCCAATCCCAATCTACAACACCTCGACAACCGTCAGCTAGTACATCCTCACGTATTCCCGCTCCGGCTACCCCCAGTACTCCGCCTCCTAGAGGCTCTGCTACACTCTTCGGAGGCTCTGGGTCGGTGCCCGTGACACCCGCTACACCTGGCTCTACCCAATCTACTTCAGAACCGAGTTTCAACTTTTCTGGATTCCTAAAGGATCTACGAACCAAACCCGCGGAGCCAGTCGCTCGATACCTCAAGAGGTGAGCCTGAGGATTGGCAACTCAGACTACCGAGCGCTAACACAGACGACCCCCCCAAAGCTTCTTGTCCAATTTTGCCAAGAAGACGTTTACTGTCAATGAACAGGTTAAATTGATACATGACTTCTTGAGCGTGAGTCGGGAAGACCTGTTTTCCCTGTGACCACAGGTCGCTCACTTCCGCCGTGTCCCAGTTCATCTCTGACAAGATGGGCCGATGTGAGCCTTGGCAATCGCAATCCACCGCCCATTTCGAAAATGCCATCGAGGCAATGGAGAAACTCGTCATGAACAGGCTGTATACCTAGTGAGTGGTCATTCGATCTCGCGAGCACATCAAAAGTGAAGTATTCGCTTATATGCTATCGCTCCCCGCAGCACATTTACGCCTCAACTGTCTACGGCTGGACCCATCACGACCGACGATCTGGAACGGGACGAGGTGTTTGCTCAGCGTGTCAGACTATTCAGTTGGGTCAGGGAGAAACATCTCGATGTACCGGATGGCGAGGCCAGTGTAGGATTTCTAGGCTTCGCAGAGCAGGGTGAGTGGATTTTGATTCAATACGCAAAGAGAGTGATGTCATGTTGATGACTGGTTCAGAGCTACTCAAAATCAATCACTACAAAGCCCCAAGAGATAAGATGATCTGTATCTTGAATTGCTGTAAAGTCATCTTCGGTACGTGAAAAAGGAAGTCGGCACGTCGCTGACGGCCCTGCTCAGGACTCATACGACATACCAACGGAGCCGAATCCACCTCTGCGGACGCTTTCATTCCCATCTTGATCTTTGTGGTTCTTCGGGCAAACCCGGAGCATGTGTGGTCCAACATAGAGTATGCGATCACGTTGATCAGAACGCTGACAGCTCCCAAGGTACATCAATCGATTCCGGAGACCCGAAAAACTACAGGGGGAAGGAGGCTATTATCTGTCGAGTCTTGTGCGTAGACAGAGTGCAGCCGCGCGTCCAGGACTTTGGGACTGAGATCAATGCGTAGACCGGCGCCATTCAATTCATCGAGTCAATGGATGCTTCGAGTCTAAGCAATATCACTCAAGAAGAATTCGAGGCCAACGTCGAGAACGCTATCCAAGATTTCGTACCCTCTCCCACATCCGAACGAGCAAGACGTCCAACACCAAGTGAAATGTCCCCCTTTGCACCCTCAACGCCTGGCGAAGAAGCAGCTCGACCATTGGCTCTACCGTCCGTCGACAACGCCAGACGATTCTTCCAACGAACAGGATCACAAGTCCAGGAGGCCGTCAGCAGACCGCTGAATGCCATTGGGAAGATCTTCGACCCCACGCAACAGGAAGACGATGGAGAAGGACCGTACGCTTCGTCCTCCAACAACACACTTCAGACCCCTCGAAGGGATGCAAGGGAAAGGAGACCAGGTACTCCGGATTCTCCCTGGGCTAGATTCGCAGCTATGGGTTTGACAGATTCTCAGCCTGCGTCAGGCGCGTAAGTGGTCGAGGGTTACCACTTTATCGACGCCAAGCGAACTGATGTTTGTCGTAGAGATACACCCACTCGAGACGTACCCATTCCAGACTTCTCATCCGATCAACTTCAATCCACCCTGGACATGTCACAAGAAGTGTACGAACAGACTCGACATGCTAATATTCAGACCCTGCGTCAAATGTTTCCCGCTCTCGACGAAGACGTCGTCGAGGCTATCCTCGATGCCTGTAGTGATGATCTTGGAGCGGCCATTGACCGTATGTTGGAGATGTAAAACTGAATCATAGAGAGACATGATAGCCTAACGACGTAATGTGGGAAGTGATGCATCGTGATGTTATGGTGTCCCTCGCTAGGCCATACCTGAAGACGCAGACAGAAAGAAAGGAGGTCTATGTGCATGAGGGGAGAAGATCGATGAGCTTATAGCAAGACTTGGTTGGCAGAGCTTCGTGAGAGGGATTTCTGAGGCGATTGATCAGATGATTGCCTTAGATTGAAGCTACACCCACGTTCGGCAGGACGATGCAGCTTCGGACATGGGTCTCGGGAGCAAGAGTCACTTCGGAGGCTATTGGGCGAGGTTTCAGCATGGAAAGATATAGCTCGACCCGAAACGGTTTTTTGTTTTCTCACCTAACACAGTGACGCTGATTTGCCCCTTTGTATCCTTTTCGGGCTCTGGTTCACCATCCACTCTAGCCCAAGGTCCAATCTGGCAATTTGCACCGACGATAGAATGGACCACACAAGCATGTTGCTCGAGGGTTGATCCTTCGAAAATGATGGCGTCTTTGACTCTGACGCCCGCGCCGATGGTCACGTTTGGCCCAATAGCAACGTTGGGTCCGATCTTCGCGCTTGGATCTATTGTAGCTGTTGGGTCGACGTAGCTAGGGGCGATAATGGATGAAGATGGTTTAGCGAGAAGATCTGGACGATTCTTGAGGAATCGAGAGAGGTACAGGGACGAAGCGGTCACGGCGGAACTGAGGAATCCGGGTCAGCATATGTCCGAGTTCCACTGCATGTGAAAAAGGGAGATTACACTCACGCTGCAGTCTTCATTTGTCTCCAGAAATCGTTGGTCTGATAGACGTACATCTTTCGACTGGCCGCTAGGGGAACGATGACATCTTGTTCCAAACGGAGGATCTCATCCGATTGGATGAGAGGATCTTCAGCCGCTCGAGCGGTCTTATCGTCCATAGCGACTTTGATCTCGTCAAACAGGCTCTTGTCGAACACTGGATTGGGTGAAAAAATGAGTAAAGTGATGAGGAGCCCAGCGGTTGTCTACTCTACTCACAGTAGACACCTCCGTTGACCATGTTTGAGATCCAGCTTTCGGGCTTTTCGACATAATGCAATACTTGAGATGTTTCCGGATCATGGACAATACAACCATATTGAGTCGCCGTCTCCCGCTTGACGTTGACTCCTAGGATGGTGCCCACGCCTCGGTGTTTGGAATGAACGTCCATCATTTCGGCGAGCGGGAAAGAACAGCAAACATCAATGTTGCAAATGAAGATGTTTTGAGGAACCGGTGCTCGAAGAATAGAGTCTCGGACTGGAGGAAGCGAGAAGAGAAGCGCGTGAGAACAATTCCACCACGACCGTGGGGGGTGTATGTAGGGCACATGATGACTCACAATGATACAGTCCTCCTGCGGTACCCAGCGGTCTGTATTCTCTCAAATAGCTGATGGCGAGATTTGGATACTCCCTCTTTGCATCCTTGATGAATCCACTCATGACTGCATCTTCATAGAATCCAATGATGATGACTTCCGTCAATTCAGGGACTTTGGCAAGTGCTGACAGAGGATGCCAGACCATAGGCTTGCCAGCCACTGGAAGAAGAGGTTTAGGGCCTGGGGTGAGTGGGGAAGGGGGACGAGTGTCAGTCGAATTCAATCAGGCATTCTACCATGCTCAGGGGGGGAGAGAGAAAGGCCCACGAGGAATGGAGCCGAGCGTTCACTTCACTCACAGTCCAAAGATAATGGCCTCATCCTTGTCCCCTTGGAGGGACCTCCCACGAGAATCACACCCTTCGTCACTGCCATGGTCGATACGAGGGATCCTGTCGCTGAGGCTCGAAAGGGAAGCTTGCAGACCAATGAGTTCAAATACGATAATAATAATTCCACGGTATCTTGTCGCCCAAAAAAAAGAGAAGTATCGTTCCCGAGACGCGGCAAGGCACGGGATGGGGGTGGAACGCACGTGGAGAACTTTTGGCGGGTGAGTTCTATTCAAGAAAGTTGTCGAGACCACACTCATAGGAGGCAAGTACCAAGCCTGGCTTGGGGGCGTTAAACTCTTCTGCACAGAGCCTGGCAATCCTTTCATGTAAGCCGTTTCGCTAGAGTTGAATTTTGGCCGTGCAACAGTTGCGTCCTGATCCAGGGACGATCTTTCAAAGATACATCAAGGCCAAAATCGCCGCGAAGACTGACATACCCTCCAGTACAGGGTGCTGCACTTGGTCCCTCCGAGTCCACAGTCATTCGCACACCCTCGATGGAGCTCTGTGGATATGTGTCTCGCTGGAAGTGTATCCACTCGTCGCAGCATGGCTCGCCTGCCACATTCAGATCTGTACTCTCTCCGAGGCTCATACAAACCTTGATAGCTTTCGAACACTCGGCCATCAAGGCAAGACCGAAAAATATGCGTCTCGTCTGCTAATCGATCAGTTTTGCATCTCCTTCCTCATGCATCATGCATCCCTTCCCCTCCGACACTGATCGTAGTGTGCCATTTTCCTCCTTGCAACATCATCTTGCCCCTCTGCCACAGATTACACCGCCACACTCGCCGTTCTATCTCCGTAACGCCGTAATGCCGTGGAGGGAAGGAGGGGGCTCAGCGCGTTGTGGAGAGGGAGAGTATCAGTCACATTAGAAAGAGGTTATTAGAAAAATTCCATTAGGAATGAGGTCACTGCCTCATTAGACTTTCTCCCTCCCTTCGCCCCCCCCCTTGTTTCCGCCACCGCTGGCCCCCCCCCTTTCTGCCTTTGCCTCTGTCCCAGCGTTTGACTCCTCCTCAATCCTTCCTTCATCACCTTTCCAATTAGATTTCAATAACCCTCAAACCAACCAACCTCTCGTCCGTGACTTGAGAGGTCTGTTCATCACAACAACAAGAAGGCCCATCGAGGACATCTCGTACTAGATCATCCCCATCATGTCTGGAGAAATCAGGCGGAAGTTGGTCATTGTCGGTGAGTGAGAAGCCTCGCTGCTACGATGTCGGTCGACACAAAACCTCTCTCTTTGCTTCCCAAAAAAATGGATAATCCTGCGCCAATTCAGAACTTGCTCCAACGAGTCCGAACCCATGTAGTGAACATTTGAGCTGACTTTTTTGGCAGGTGACGGTGCTTGTGGAAAGACATGTCTGTAAGTCACCAACAAGGAAGTAAACGCTGGATCCGATCGCTCATTCACGTCGGATTTTCCTCGCCACAGCCTCATCGTGTTTAGCAAGGGCATGTTCCCCGAGGTGCGTTCTGTCATGCCATTTTTATGGAGCTTCTGGTCTTTCAAACATGTTCTGATCACCCCTTTTCATCAGGTCTACGTGCCCACAGTCTTTGAAAACTATGTTGCCGATGTCGAAGTGGATGGCAAAAAAGTAGAATTGGCCCTTTGGGATACTGCCGGTCAGGAGGACTACGAGTGAGTCTCTCAGCTTTTGCTCCATAGAATATGCTCATTCATTCATCCTTCCATCCCTTCACAGTCGTCTTCGTCCATTGTCATATCCCGACTCTCACGTCATTCTCATCTGCTTCGCCATCGATTCGCCTGATTCCCTCGACAACGTACAAGAAAAGGTCAGTGCGGGAATCATCATAATAAAAATCCAGAATCCCATGACCCACAAGGGGCTCGCCACAATCTCTTCCTTTCCTCAAGACAATCGCATCACACTCTCCCTAGCGATACGTGCTGACACGTTCCGCTCGCAGTGGATCTCGGAAGTGCTTCACTTCTGCCAGGGTCTCCCTATCATTCTTGTCGCTTGCAAGAAGGACCTGAGAGATGACCCTAAAACCATGCAAGATTTGGCTAGAATGAACCAACGACCCGTTTCTCGACCTGAAGGTCTTGCCGTCGCTCAAAAGATTGGTGCTCAGGGCTACGTTGAATGCTCCGCCAAGACTGGGGAAGGTGTCCGGGAAGTCTTCCAAACCGCTACCAGGCATGCTTTGATGGTGAGTCCAATATCCACTGCCCAGAAGCAATCTTCATCTGAATGTTACTGATGCTTGCCCCGCCCCTCCTTCCAGAGCAAGAAATCTGGCCGATCCAAAGGAAAGAAGGGATGTGTCGTGCTCTAGGTTGATACGGTTGTACTATCTTGTCTCTTATACCCTCTACCCAAACCCGGCTCTCGATCTCAACCCGATTCAAGTCTTCATCCGACGAACCGGGTTCCATACTAGTTCTTTTCGCCTTTGCACGACGCTCTCTTTTCGATATCGATTACGCTTCTCAAGCCCTCCAACTCTTTTTTTTCTCCTACCCTAAACCCTCTATCGGTCACCATTTCACGCCCTTCCACATACTTCCCCGCCGCTGCCATTAATGCGTGATGAATGACGAAGTGAAGAGTTGTTCAACATGCTCTCAAGATCAATGACGGGGTCGTGGCGTATCCCTTTGCTTTGGAAATCCCACTCGTTCCCATGACATGCATTAGATGACCCGCGTCGATGACATACAAGGACAAGTTGCTGCTCCTCTTTAACTCAACTCAAAAATTGTAACCCTCGACTTGCATCTCCGTAGCGTAGTCGACATATCCTTTCATGATCTCGAAGATACCCGGCGGGAGGTTCTGCATGGGTCAGAGGTCGTTGAGCAAGTCACTCACCATGCTCAACAAGGTGTATTGAACCTTTGCCAGACCGTGAATCTGACCCAGTTGATAGAGGTAATGAGCCACAGCAGATGGATATGCCGCCTCATTGTACCACCTATTTATTTCTAAAGGTGAGCCATGCACAGCTTGAGCCGTTAGATCGTACTCGCCGATGGTGATATGTTGTCAGACGGATAGCGACGTTCAATGTCCTCTGCAAGTCGCCCTCTCTGGCGTACATCTCCAAGAGCTTGATCAAAGCCTTTGCACTGAATTTCGTCTCCAGGCATCGTTGGAAAGCCTCTTTCGCCTCTTCTTTATGATGCAGCCGAAGAGCTAACTCGCCGAGGATCTCCCACTAGGTCGATGAGCGAGCTTTTCGACATTTGTTGCTGGTGCCGACACTCACCTCCGTGCCAGTCTTTCTGTACGATCTATGTTGGGTTTTGAAATGAGATATCTCTGCTCGCCAGATGGTGTAAACCCTCAGGTCTTCATACAGTACTCTGAGACGTCAATTTCCGGCGTGAGACCCCCAAACCTCACAAGAACAAATTATCTGAGCGTTGGACATCAGTTATGCTCCATCTCGCGAGATCCTGAAACTCACCCAGCCACCGTTCACATAATCGCTTGTTGGAGAATGCCGATACCGGTGACTCAGCCGCCTCATCTTTGGTTTGAGTGAGAGCTGTCGCAGGTGTCCGAGCCGATTCCGTCGATATACGAATCGTTGGGATTTCAGAATCAGAATTAGATGATGTCCGAATACCCGTGATCGAAGCGTCGTCCTCTGCTGCGCCATTAAGATCCACCGACGTTCCAGACTTGTGCATTCTGTACTCTTCCTCCATCACGAAGACTGTCGAGCGGATCTTCAATAGCTCGTCCCAGCCAATCTTGGATACGAGTTCAGTCAACAGAGCGTAGGCTCGAGCAAAGGTACCGCGTAGACCTGGCGCCGGTAAACGCAGTAAGGTGACATCGGCCTAGCATGATCGATCAGCACTCAGTGACTGGCTCAGCGTCAGCCCGACACACCTCGTTATCCCTCGCTGACTCTTCATCCAGTATATTGGAGTCCGCTAAGAATTTTTTGATCGGTAAATGCGTTTTTGCAGGCGCAGGCATGCGATGCAGATCTCGCTCGTTGAATGTGAACATTGGACAAGAGTTGAGTGTCAAGAGGGCCGAGTCGTATTTGCCAAGTTGGATAAATGTTTCAGTGAGCTTTGCCCAAGTGACGAATTCGCTTGGGGCAGCAGTGACGGCTTGTTGGGCGACTGCTTGAGCCCACTGAGGCTTGTTCTTGGAGAGCAGAAAATCGCATTGGGCGTGAAGAATGGGATAGGACTGAGGGCATGTCTCCAAGGCTGAATTGAGGATTTTGACGGCTTTGATTTCTTCATCTGCGGGTGAACGAGTCAGCAGTCATCTCAGAGTCTCGAACGATGAACCTCACTCATGCCGACATAACATTGTGCCAGTAGCGCAGCAATCTCTGGCTCCTTCACTGCCATCTTTTCAAACAGGTTGACAGCCTGATGTAACCTATACGAATCGGAGAAATACTTGATGATGGCGGCGGTGAGGTGATTCGTTATGATTGTAGCGACTTGAATTTCTGGATCAGATCCAAGTTGCCAACCTGAGCGGTGTGAGCTTGTCCCTCCACCGGATGAAAGTTTACAGCTCACCCTTCAAGAACAGAGCCTCGGCAGTTTGCAAAAATCTCATCTCAGCTTCGGGTGTGCTGATGGGGTCCAGCTTTCTGTACCCCGCCAAGCGATAAGACGCGTCGTCCGAATACCGTATGGCACGTAACATGGCGGACAAGTAAGTCTCCTGCCACAAGTCTGCGGTCGCCTCGTGCCTGCAAGGAGTTGAGCATCTTGACTAGAATATCACCCCTACCTGTCCCCCCTCAGGTCCACGACATAAGCATTGACACCTCCTGGTATGGTCGCCTCGACTCGCATGTCGACTCGTGAGAAAGCATTGAAGCAACAGTATGTTCCACTCCTGACCTTCCATCCTGAGCCTTTGCCAAACCATGCTGGAGATTCCTCGATTGAGAATTGGAGAGAGTTGATGTAGGCTGCAAGGGAGGCAGAAGAAGAAGCCTCGACACCAGAGCTGCAGTCGTCAGCTGAAATGCTCTGACCGCCTAGGGGATTAGGTTATACGAACCAGTAATGATAAGAACCGATCTAGAAGACCGTCAGTCACGTATGGCCATCTGATGAGACCCCGACACGACACACACCTCTTTCAGAGCTGATTTCGAGCCTGAAGACTTGACGACATGGCACAGATCCGGCGGACCAAGCTCTCGGAATGCACCTGAGTGAGAGCGCATATCAGCTCCTCACGTCATTCTCCTAACCCAGAAGAAGGCTAGACCCACCCAGAGTTTCTGTCCTTGCAGCTAGAGATTCACCGATATTGACCTGAGAATGACTCATTTCAGCTCTAGCGCGACCAATTGCGATGTAGCCGCCTACCTCGACAAACTCCGGGACATCCTTGAAGAGCTCCGACATGGCTCACAGCCGGTCCAAGATCAGCCAGACTGCGCTAGCGTCCAACCCCCCGCGCGCGGTCAGGTGAGCAAGGGACCCGGTAAGGAATGACAAGAGTTGAGGATAACTGTCGACACGTTGAAGACAATGAAAAATCGCAAATTCGAGCCGGAAAAATCACGTCTCGCGGTCAAGTCCATCGATGTTGTTATCTGGCTTCGCTCCACCTTTTACATACTTTGCCTGCCATTCATTGGAAGACGCTTGACAGGACATGGCATTAGAGCAGGCCAAGAGCATACCTAATGGTGTTCATGATTTGGACGGTCCCGAAGCGGGCCCCTCCAGACCAAAGGCTCTCTCGCCCTCGGTGCTCGCGGGGAATGACGCTGGAGATGACCTCGAGGAGTCTGAAAACTTGGAAAGGCTACAACGTGAGCTGCTCAGTCTCTGCTCTTTTGCCGGAAGCTGACTTACCATCAAGTTCTCAAATGTCAGGACGAGTACTTAGAGCTACGGCGCTCCGTGCAGGTCAGTCTGTACTCTGATCTGCTCAAGTCAAAGCTCATGCCGCCCACCTTTTCCAGGCCAGTACCGAACTCTTATCTGGATTGTCGTCCTATCTGTCGACATTTCAGAACGATTTGTCAGCAGTCTCTGGACAAGTCTCAGAGCTGCAAGATCGGAGTTCGGCCATTGACGCAAAGCTGCAGGGCCGTAAGGTGTGTCTGGTCGCTGTTCCAAAGTCTCGACTGACCACTTCCAGGCTGTCTTACCTTCGTTGTCCGCCTTGGTCGATGAGATCCTGTTACCACCTTCATTGACGGAAACGATCCGCGATACGAAGCCTAGTTCAGATCCGGAAACGTGGCTCGTGGCTATTGCGGAATTGGAAAGACGTCTCTCAGCTGTCAAAGCACGTCGGAAAGTCAAAGCGACTCAACAGGTCATTGCAATCTTGGAAGGACTTCGAGCCAAAGCTTTGGAACAGCTTCCCCCTTTCTTGCTGAGTCTCATTCGTCCGTTGAAATCGGCGTCAACAGGTCTTTCTACCAATCTGGCGGTCCTCCAAACGTCTGTCCTGCTCAAATACCAACCCTTCTTCTCCTTTCTCCGGAGGGAATCTCCACCACTCGCCAAGCAGGTCGAGAGGGGATACGTCAACGCTGCTAGAGCGTACTTTGAGACTGGCATGCGTAGATACACGCGTGCACTGGGTCAAATCAAGGTTAGAACAGTGGAGAAACCGGAGACCTTCGGTTCGAGTGATGTAGGAGCAGCAAATGGCAAAAGTTCATCAAGATATGATAGGCTACGATATGCCAATCTCGATGTAGAGGGAGAGGAAGGATCAGTCGTCCTAGCCTACATGGCAGATGACAAGGATTTCGTAAGCTCTTCGAAACTCAGTGCATGGCTGATTGGGCCAGCGTGTCCCGTTGGAAGCCCTGTTCCGCTCGCTATCCCTGGTTTTGCTCGATAATGCCTCTGCAGAATTCACGTTCATCGTCCGGTTCTTTTCCCGCTCTGCATCGACTTTAGAGCGGCCGACTCCCTCTCGACAAGCATCTCGAGGTGACGAAGTGTCAGAATCAGGCAGTCGTATCAGTCGATTACCTCGACAGCAAGCTGAGCTAAACGATGACTTCAAAGACGCGGAGCGCATATGGCACGAGGTCTTTGATTCGGCCATGGAATACGTTTCGACATTTTTCGATACTTACATTGTCGCCTCCCCACCACCGCCTGCTGTACAACTTCTGACAATGATAAGGTTGAATGATCGATTATTGGAGATCTGCGAAGCGAGAGGGACCCTACCGCTCGAATCTTATCTCCAACGTCAAAAGTTGAGCATGTGGCCAATCTTTCGGAAAGAGTTGGACGGTCATATTGATACCTTGAAGAAGCTCGCCGATGGCGCAGAGGGCAAGGGAGCCCTGTTCGGCAGTAAAGGAGTCAAAGATGCGACCATCCGTCAAGCCGCCATGAAATACGCGTCATTATTCTCGTCCGTCACTGCGTTGAGCGAAGAGGCCGATGAGGCGATGATCTACTCGAGGTGAGCTAGATGTTCATAGGTTCACTCGGTGTACGACCCGCTGACGGACGCTTCAGCATGTCCCGGATGAGGACCGAGCTCGTCCGATTAACTCAAACCCAGGCTAGCAAGATCAAGAATCCATCTGAACGTCATTCATTCACCTCATCAATCTACGAAGTTATCATGCACGAATTGGTCGCCGGGCCGGGAACGGTCAATCATCCGAGGATACAAAGTGAGTTGTCCTTCTTTAGGACAAGGGAAGAAGAAGCGAGGCGGAGGATGAACACGTAGAATCACAAACCACGACGACATAGACAACTCTGTTTTTGCATGCAACTGTTTCGTGGAGAGCATCCATCCTCGACACATACAAAGTAGGGCCTCCGTTCTCTTTTCTCATGGGCATACAAATTTTTCGATTGAGGATCGATAGGAAATCATCCTGAAAACCTTGTCAGGATCACCAGATCATGATACGATTAGTCGTCTTTCTCATCCTCATCGTCTTCCTCCTCGTCCTCATCATCCTCCCCGTCCTCTTGGTAATCTCCACCCTCTTCTGCGCCGGATCCGTCAGCAGCAATAAGCCTTCACCTCGGGATGGAGTCGGCGCATGCAAAGAACTTACCCTCATCATCATCTTCAGGAGCCTCGAATTCTCCCTCATCATCATCGTCATCCTCCTCCCCCTCACCAGGTTTGAGTCCAGCCTTCTTCTGAGCTTCAGGCTAAGGGGTTTAGAAAGATGACATGTCAGCATGATCGTCCATCGTCGTCTCCAAGGACCTCTCACATCGGCATAGTTGACCTTGTTCCTCCTTCGTTTCCCACTGATAATGAGGTTATCAGGATCTTCGTCGTCATCATCGTTTCCCTCCTCGGCGCCTCCCTCTTGCTCTGGTTCAGCAGGTGCAGGCTCAGATTTGCCTTTGCCTTTGCCTTTGTCCGCAGCGACCTCTTCGTCAACCTTGGCCCTAGAGGGAGCGAGTAAGTCAGCGCACGAGCTAGTCTATCGATTCGAGTGTGCCCACTTCTTGTCATCATCCTCCTTCTCCACCTCGTCCTCCGCCTTTCTCTTCTCTCCAACAGCTACATCAGTAGCCTCGGGAGCATCTCCATTTTCCTCAGGCTTGTACTCTGCATTGTCTTCCTGAGTCGCAGCCGATGTAGCTCCAGGAGGTGGTGCTTGGACTTGTGCGTCAGACATGATGAGAAGCGTGAGGCGGGCTCTGTCTGGGTCTTGTCAAGTAGGTGAAGGAGTGATAGACGTGAGGGAGTTCAGAGATCGGTGGAGCGCCGGATTCCAATAATGTTGAGGACGCGTCCTTTTTACCTCCGCTCCACGCGTCTGATCACGTGATACACAGCTAGCTAACGGGCTCGTTCGTCTCATGCATACTTTCTCGTTTACAGTGCTCGTCTCGGAGGTCGAGGTCGTAATACAATGTGCTATCATTAGTCAGGGAAGGAGCACAAGAAGTTCAATAATAAGTCTAGAATATGTCTTGCTCATCTAAATCGAGAAGGTATGGGCGGAACAGGTGGAACGCCCATTTGAGGCATCTGATATTGATTCTGAGGAATCGGCGCCGGAGGCGGCATCATCGGCCGCATGTTGCGGCTGACGGCGAGTTGCTGAGGAAACGTGAGTCGGTCTTTGATCGAAAAGGCATCATGGGCTCACCTCATAGTATGCAAAGTCTTGCAATAGACTTGTCTTTGCCTTTGTCTGGTGATCCAAAAAGATCTCGAGCACCTCGCAACCAGCTTCGTAATGGAGCTCTTGGGTGTCTCGGGAGTTTGTGATGGGCTTCTGTTCTGGAGTATTTACGAGTCGGATGTGACGGAGAGCGCTGCGATATTGTGAGTTTGGCTGGTCGTCGTTGCACTCACGCAGTGGGCACGTCTCGCACAAATATCCATTTGACCTTGAAAATACCTTTCCACTTATCTTGAGCCCAGACATTGGAGCTTTGAGATTCGTCAACGCTTCAAGCTGTCAGCTGTCAAGTTCTGCGGATACAATAGCAAGACTCACGGAGTGAGCATTTGAGCCACACCGCAGAAATGTCTCGATCCATTCACCGAGAAGAAGAGATAGATGGGCATCTTGTCTGCGGATTCGCGAAAGGCAACATCCAGACGCTTATTGCCAAGAACTGTTGATGACCAAATCCCATGTTTGAGAGACTTTTGCACATCATCTTCCGTATATGATTTGATGACGAAGAATCTCGCCTGAGTGGGGTGACAGTCGAAAGTCGAAGGGTTGAGACCTCGGCTTCTTGCCAGTTCCATCACGTCGGCCATTTGATCAGCGGTGTTCGGAGGCGAAGGGTACATGTTGGACACGGAAGGAGGCGGCATGTATCCATATGGGTGCTGTTGATAAGGCTGTTTGAGGCTCGGTTGGCCAGGGTATCCGACCTGCGGAGGGGGTGTCAGGTACGGCATCTGATTCGGTCCCCATTGTCTCGGATCGCGCTCTGCCCAATGAGGTGAACGAGAAGGCGCAGGTGATCGCCTGTCTGGCTGACCGACTAGATTGGCCACCCAGGCTGGCTCCTCTTGACTTGGTAGGGGCATGCGAGTGTCCATTCCAGCTTGTCCGGAGACATCCATCATCCTTTTACCCAACTGCATCGCCTCAAAGGCATCCTGCAGCTGCTGGGTAGATCTTTCCCATCCGTCGTCGCCACCGTTCGAGGGAGACCAGACACTACGGCCAATAGGACTCGTCGGAGGAACAACTCGATCCGAGAGTGACTGCGATGATTCGGCCAAATCCTGCGCCGGCTCCATACCAAATCCAGCGTTTCGAATATCACGACTTCTCCCATTGACGCGATAGCCATGGGTGAATGACTGATGACGTCGAATGTCGGCGCCGATAGGCATATCGCTCCCAAGAGTGTACGGAGGAAGAGCGGCTGTAGAGGATACAGGCGGGGGAGTAGGCGGTGTGAAAGGATTTCGCGGCGTTGAAGGTTGAGTGGGGGGTGACAAAACGCTGCCGATAGATTGATCAAGGCGAGCCCGTTCCGCTGCTGTTCGCATACTGGCACTACGACCTAGTGTAGAGATGTCGTGGTGCCTAGCTTGATCTCTCAGACTTTGGGTCCTCGAGACACTCGGGACATTTGAGAAGGGACTGAGGGAGGAATTGAGATCTTGTGAGATTGCCGTACCACGAGGAGGTTGGAGCATAGCCAAGGAAGACAGAGAATGCGAAGCAGTATGTGCAGAAGCCAACGGATTGGACATGCTTGCGCCAGATGGGTCTGCCATGGTTCTCCTGGGAGGTCGGGGCGGAGGTTGTGATCCACCGGGAGAGGCTGTGATAGTTGCATTGAAGCCTGGGAGGCAGAGCATCAGTCATGCTCTCAGGAGCCATGAGCCCACCTTTACGTGACGGCAGGGAACTCTGTCTGGTCAGGCCTTTTCCGAAACCAAGGTTTAAATCTGGTGAACCCTCTTCCCCACTCTCAATGACTGCTTCTTGAGGCTGCACAGCTGCTCTTCCACTTCCTTTCCTGACCAGCCCATTAGTCTCCTCTGTTGAGCTAGAACCAGATAGCGATCCGCTCCTGAATCTCATACCAGAATTACTGTTGAATCGTCTGACCCCGTGAAAGGCAGATGACCCCGCTGCAGATGACGAAATGGAGGCCGAAACGCCATGACGAGGGTTGGAGACTGTGTTGGATCGTCTGAGCGAGTCCGTATCACCTGCAGGGGGTCCAGGAGTAGGCGAAGGGGATCCAAATGCATTATTCGATGGTCCTCTGGGTTGACGAATGGGCGTCGCCACGGGCGTCGTGACGGACATCATGGATGCTTAAGCGTGAACACCAGAACGGCGAGTCGTGGGAGAGACTTCGCCGTCCGTCCTTCGTGCTGAGTGCAGGATGGAACAAGTCGTTATGTCCTTTGTGATGATGCGGTGGGGTTTGACGAGCAGAGCAAGGCGGGACGTAAAGCTACAGGTGTTGAGATTTGGAGTCCAAAGCAGCAGAAGGGGTGGAAAATACACGCTAAATGAGGTGAAGGAGCGGGATCTGGAACCGATCTGTCTATAAGTTTATTATCGTGCGGGGGGTGTGAGATCCCAATAGAGTTTTGTCGTCGATGTGACAGAGATCCAGACCAAGACACGTCACCAAAGATGGACGTGGTGATGCTTGAGGAAAGAAGGATACAAAGATGAAGTCTCCCAAAAGTGAGTTGCTGACGAAATGAGAAGAACAATTGAGAACACAAAGCTGAGCCAAGTCCGACTAGTAGCAGAAGGGTCCGGGCTCTCGAGTGTGGCGTTTTGTATCCGCATGGCAAACGGGTCAGTGGCGGTGCGAATGAGTTAATAAAAGGTAGCTGTTCCATGCTGGTCGTGTGCGAGAGGTGAGCATAGGCAGATGCATACAGATAGATGAGCTAGCCTTGTAATGATACAGGACGGAGACTTGTGAGATACGGAGCGGTGATCACATTATACAGATGTCTAACTGGCGTTGCTCCTGGAGCTTCGCAAACTTCGGTCAAGATGTGTGGTGTCGACTTCAGCCTCTTCGACATCGTAGGGTCTCTCGGCAGAAAGAGGCGAGGCGGAGTGATGAGTGACCAAGTGTCCATCTTTGAGACTAATCTCAACGATCTCTTCGTCTCTGATCCGAACGTTAGTCCTGACTTAAGAGCGTATGCTATCCGGACTCACTTGATCGTACCATCCAGAAGCTGGTTCGCAATCGGCTTGACGACTTTATCCTTGATCATTCTTGCTACAGCTCTCGCTCCGAAAGCTTCTGAGTAACCCTCTTCGGCGAGCCACTGTCGGGCAGCATCATCGACCTCAAGCTTGATACGTCGCGAATCGAGTCGTTTTTGAACTTCGGACAGGCGAAGGTCCACAATGTCAAGCATGACTTTTGGCGGAAGCTTGTTGAAGACCAGGCGATCGTCCAGTCGGTTCAGAAGTTCAGGTCGGAAGAATTGCGCAGTGGCGGCCATCACTTTGGCACGAGCCGATTCAGAGATTGTACCATCGGGGTTGTTTGCGCCAGGTTCGTATAGAGCTCTGCGGAAGGTAAGTCGAATTCTAAGCCAAGACCATGCTACTCACTCTGAGCCGAGATTCGACGTGAGACAGATGATAGTATTCTTGAAGTTGATCTGTTTTCCTTGGCCGTCTGTCAGAGTTCCTTCCTCCAGGATCTGGAGGAGAATGTTGGCTACCTCCTACGATTCGTCAGCAGCTATCCTACTTCGGCGAGGACAGACTCACGGGATGCGCCTTTTCAATCTCGTCGAAGACTACTACTGAGTATGGGCGCCTTCTGACTGCCTCAGTGAGTTGACCGCCGCTGATATCTCCATGAGCAATCGATTCGAAGACTATAAACCAAACTCACTCTTCGTAGCCAATGTACCCCGCAGACGACCCAATGAGTCGAGACAGGGTATGTTTGTCATGGAACTCGGACATGTTCAATTGAATGCTGGGGAGATGTTAGCCGCTATTCATATCCGGTCCTTAGGGACGCTCACAGAGAACGCTTTGCATCCGCGAACAGGAACTCTGCCAATGCCTTCGTGAGCTCGGACTTGCCTGTTCCCGTGGGACCAAGAAATAGGTAACTAGCGAGTGGTCGAGAAGGAGATTGTAGTCCAGCTCGTGAGAGTCGAATGGCATTGCTAACGGCTTCGAGCACTTCGTCTTGACCAACGACTCGCTGTCTGAGGGCTTCTTCCATCTGCTCAACGCGTCAGATACCATAGTCCACGGCATCCATGGGCACTCACATGGATCAATTTTTCCCTCTCGCCCTTCAGGAGATTTGCAACTGGAATACCGGTTGTCGTCGCCACTCTATATTGACAGGTCAGTTTTGTGCTGTAATGTCCGGAAGCTTGTAGCTCACACAACCGCGATATCCTCACTAGTCACACGATCTCTCACAACCATGCTGCCTTCACCGTCGACGGCCGTAGCGGTATCCGGAAGCTGCTGTGGAAGCTTGGACTGAAGTTCTGGGATCTGTCCGTATCGGATCTTGGAAGCCTTTTCAAAATCTCCAGCACGCTGAGCAGCCTCAAGCTCTGTGTGCGCTCGATCGATCCTCTGACACAGACGTCAGCTCATTGCCGACGATCCTCTGTGATTGCTCACCTCCTTGAGACTCTTGATCTCTGCAAATTTCGCTCGTTCCTTGGCCCAAATCTCCGCCAGACGCGCTTGTTCCGCTTTCTTCTCGTGCAGTTCCATTTCGACCTGATCGCGTCGACTGATTGAGAAATCATCTTCTTCCTTTTTCAGCGACTCTCGCTCTATCTCAAGGTTGGCAATTGACCTGGACAGCGTGTCAGAAGAGTCATGTGTGAGCCGATCAGCTCACCGGTCGAGCTGTTCCAGAATCGCAGGTCTGGATTCTTGCGCCAGCTTGAGAGCTGATGATGCTTCATCCACCAAGTCGATAGCTTTGTCCGGCAAGAACCGATCCTGAATATATCTATCCGAGTAGACCGCAGCAGTGACGAGTGCTGTAATCACCTATCAGCACAAGTATCATACAGTCCGTCTGCAACCTACCTGAGTCTCCTATCGAAATACCGTGATGAGCCTCGAACCTAGCTTTGAGACCTCGGAGGATGGACACCGTCGATTCGACCGTAGGCTCTTCGACCATTACCGGTTGGAATCGTCTCTGGAGCGCCGCATCCTTCTCAATGCTTTTGCGGTACTCGTCCAGAGTAGTCGCTCCGACGAGCTGCAGACCTCTAGCCAGGGCGGGCTTGATGATCTCCGAACCGCTGACCGAGCCTTCTGCTTTACCGAGATTCTAGGTGGTGCTGGTCAGCACGTAGTCCATGTGAGATAATTTCTACTCACCAGCAGCGTGTGCAGCTCATCGATGAAACAAATGACATTCCCTTCTTCCGCCTCGATATCCTTCAATAGTCCCTTGAATCGCTTTTCGAATTCTCCTCGTACACCTGTACCAGCCATCAGAGCGGCAAGATCCAGAGACAGGAGCCGTTTGTGCTGTAATGACTGTCCCGAGATTCAGCTAGTCATCCTATACCACCTTGCGCGGAGAACAGACACACCTCTGGAACCTCTTTGTTGACTATCCGCGTTGCTAGACCTTCTAGAATGGCTGTTTTACCTACACCAGGCAGTCCCAGGAGCACAGGGTTGCTCTTTGTCCTCCTAGATAAAATCTGAATGGTCCGCTTGATCTCTGCATCTCGGCCGATGACAGGGTCCAGCTTGCCTAGATGAAGCACAAGTCTAAGCCCAAGAATCACCCAACACGAGAGACGCTGCGTCACTCACCGTTCCTCGCGAACTCGGTCAAATCCACACTGAATTGGGCCAAGCTCTCCCCCTTGGCAGGTTCTTGCTCGCCCATCATCCCTCCAGGCAGTCTCATTCCAGGGAAACCCATCCCTCCCATCCCCCCGAATCCACCTCCAGGTGGCTTATTGCTCACATCATTTCCGTCGTTCCCGTTGTTTCCTCTTTGTCGAGGTCGATCTTGGTTGTTCCCGGCGGAGTTGAATGAGCGAAGCGCGATAGGTCTCGCAGCTACATTCCATCGGTTATGTGTGAGGACCAGTTGATGCGTCTTGGCTAATCTGACAAGCTGCTTGCGTGGTATCATTTTTGGCTGTCTTATCTAGGTAACAGTCAAATTGGTGGCGATCTCGGCTGATGTACAGGATACTCAGACCTTCAGGTGAAGAGATGTCGCTTATGTGTCATGTCTTGAGGAGAGCTTAGGACCTGGTCGTCAGACAGTATAATAAGGTATGGACAATTGATGTTTCATCGTTGCCAGAGATATCTCGAACTTTCTCGATCGTTGCCACTGGAGCCCCGCAAAATAACGTAAAATGCTTTATCGTTCACAGTTGCCCTTTGCCCACTCAAACGCAATGTTTAGGATGCAGACATGACAGACAGGATACAATCAACCGCTCCACTACGTAGCCCTATGGATCATATACATGTATGACACGTACGTGAACATGTGTTCCCCAGACACCCTCCTGAATAGACATTTCAAGCTTCTCTGTGTTCTCATGGCTGAGTTCCATCCCCTGGCCTTCCACGCGGTCTGGTCCTAGCTGAGGGATCTGAGGGAGGGGCAGCTCTCAGAGCGGTGGGAGGTCGGACATAGCTCTCAGTTCCTCTAGCTGTCCCTGGCGCCGGCGGTGGTTGAGCCGGTCTGAGTGGTATTGGCATTGGCACTCTCGCATCTCGTGCTTGAGGTTGAGTTGGTGGTCTTCTCAATGGAGCAGGTACACCCTGACCCATTGGCGCTGTCCTCGTACCGAGAGCTTCCTGTAGTAGATTTTGTTGAAAGTCGATGGGTAACTCAACAGCCGTAACATTCGGATCGATGGTTCCGCCTCCGATCCGTCCGCCTCCACCCACTGCTCCTCCCGGGCCACGTCGATCACCTTCACGAGCTGCCCGGACCCGAGCGACGAGGTGACCAGGTAGATCGGCGTGGGCAAATTCAGCATCCAGATCATCATCGTCAGGTTCTGCACCATGCGTATTCGGATTAATGTGATCTTGTCCCGTCTGTCCTTGTCCAGTAGCCGCTGCGACCCCAGGTGGAGGCTCGTCACTCCGCGTGTTACACCAGAACCGGTGTCCTTCCGACCAAGCTTTACTTTGACACTCTTTGCTGCAGTACTTGGCCTTACGACACCGTCTACATTTGGCGAATTCTCTGGCGTATTCTTCCCACTTGCCACACGGCATGTGCGCGCATTGTCGAATACCGTTTCTCGCTTCATCCTTGCGACATGCGTTTCGCATGATGACACCGGCCCAGTATTGAATCTCGTCGGGGATCACATAAAGCAAGGGATCAGAAGGGGTCGGTCGGAAAGTGAATCGCTCGACCAAGGAGAACATGTTGGGAGTGAGGGATGTCGCCGGACGTTGAGGTAGCGGTTGAGAGTTTGGAGCTGGTGAAAGGTCGAAGGTCGGGTGCATGGGTCGACGAGGATGGTGGAAAGCGGATCGAACGTGTGGGTATTTCGACAGGTATGCAAGCAGTTGCAGTGCGAGCAGGATACTGTCATCAGAGTATCGATCGCCGTCGGGATTGAGCAAAGAGGAGATCCCCACATAACTGCCGAGATCGTGGAAACCTCTAGGTGCGCCGTTTGCAATGATGATTTGACCCGGGGGCACAGCAGCATCAGGTGCTTGCTGAGGTGCGGCATTCTCGGCTGGCGGGACACGAGGCGTCTGCGCTGCTCCAGGCTGGCCAGGAGGTGCACCAGCTTCCATGTCGAGTCTAGCTTGTTCAGCCTCCACCATTTCAGGATCGGGATCTTCGGGCACAGCACTGGCCAGATTCTCCACGATTTCAACATTGGGAGGTGGTCCAGGCTCGTCCGGAACGACCGTACCACCACTCTCCATGGCTTGAGCGTTTGCGGCCGCTATACCAGCAGCGATGGTAGCTGTCGGGAGATCGACATCTTCTCCCACATCAGACGTCCCACTGCCCCCATCACCAGCTTCTCGCCGTCTCTCGTTCCTCGGTGCGAGGGTGACGTTGACAGGTCGGCCGACGATCGTGCCTCTTCTACCAGGCGCACGCAAGATCTCTCCGTCATCTTGTCGTATTGGCGTTCCCATCGGGCTCGACTGATTACTGATGGAATCTTGCCCCAGTGCTGGCAATCTCGTGCCGCCAAGATTGAGATGAGGCGGTCGAGCGGTCGATCCCGAAGCTACGGCGGCTCCAAGATTGTTCTCAGAAGTGGCACGGGGAATACGACCAGAAAGCTCGTCACCAGAAACCGAGTTGGTGATACTCGAAGCTTGGCTTTCGACATGTCGATCTCGCGAGGTGGATCGTGACGATGTGCCATAAGACGGAGCAAGGGAGACGGGCGGGCGCGGCGTCATAGAAGGTCCAGCTCGAGCTTCCGGCGTTTCCTCCTCTCTTGACCCATCATCAATCTCCATACTGTCATCTCCCGGGTCCACGGACGCGATGTCCGTACCTTCGTCGGCCTCACCATCCGCCATGTCTACATCCGTGTCGTTCGTTCGCGCCGGTTCGACGCTGGCTGCGCGATACTCAGGTGTCGGGTCGGGCGCAGCTGACTCTCGAGGGTTGTTACGACCAGTGAGCGATCCGACAAAGCTTGAGATGGAGGAAGTGGATCTTGCAGCGGTAGTAGAGACAGCTTGAGCGAAACGAGAGTTCGAGAATCGTGTCATTCGACGCTGGCCTTCAGTTCCAGGCACAGGAATACCAGCTTTAAGCGCTGTGATTGCCATTTGACTCCCTGTAGGTCCTGCAAAAGTGCCTATGCCATGATAGACCAGCCAGCTTTCGAGGATTTGAGCGACTAGATCCAAAGCGCCAGCTTGAACTACACGGGTACGAATAGCTTCGCTCCCTCTGACTCCGATGTTGACTACGCATTGGAAGGCCAAACTATGGCGGAGAAAGACCTGTCGATCCACACTGATCACGCGGGATGTCGGTGGACCATTGAGACCCCAGAGATCTTGGCCACGTTGAGCTTCTCGCGGAAGACAGGAATTACGCAAGATATCCAGAAGACGCTCGAGGCCGCCATCGAGCGTGAGGATATCACGGATGCGAGGAGAAGTCGATGTGAGGTATGTGAGAGAAGTGAGATTATTGAGAATGGCAAGAGGACTGTTCGTGTCGAGAGCTATCGGAATCGGCGCATCAGCAGGTGGAGATACTCGCGCTACAGGCTTGACTGACCTCTTCTATCGTACAACAGATGGGTGATGGACAGCACAGCCCGATTATGAGGCGGGAACGAGTAGTTTGACTCCCTCATGTTGAAATATAGGGAGGTGACGGATAGGTCCCAATGATCAGACTTGGCTGAGCCCTGTTTGTCAGCTTGTATAGGGACGTGATTAAGGCCGCGAGGGCAACTCCAACTGCCGCCAAGCGCCTGTATTGGACAATAGAGACTCACCTTAACCCACAGCTCAGAGCTTTGAGACGCTCACGGCCGTTGTTTGATCGTGTGATGAGACCGGCGGCGGATGAATTGACGCCCCCTTTGATTTCCCTATGTTCCTCGTTTATGACCACTACCACGGTGTCGAGGAGGTCTCAAGCTGACAAATCGTTGCCACTGGAGAGCCGACTTGTATGCTCTTTCCGCGCGCCTTTTACACTGTCCCAGACCCGTGCCGTGTGATCATGAAGCGTAGAGACAGAGAGAGAGGCTTACAGACTTTACAGGAATGCTTCGAAGTCACGAGCGAGTAGCGACGTAAGTAGCGTGTGTCTGTCCGTGTTAGTGAGCGGATGGTGCCGTTATAACCCCGGACGGACGATCATATGGAGATTAGGAAAATCCCAACAGAATTTTCTAATCCGGCCGACAAGCATTACTAATCCTCGAGGATGGGCTTCTTCTCACTTCTGGTTGGAAGGTACTTCGATCGGGTGAAAGACAAAGCGATGAGAAACGATAGCAACAGCTACATATCCTCTGCATCGTCTTATTACAGCAAAACACTCATGTCCAGAGTTTGATCAATCCGTCCCAAGACGCCGTGATGACTTTTGACTGGAGTCGCCCATCAGCTGATGATCGATCGATCGCCTCTGATGCTCGACTCGTTGCACTCACATGCTCGTTTGGTAACCACACATGATCAATGACCACTTGATTATGGGCATGTATCCTCTTCATGATTCGGCCAGTCTTCCAATCCCAGAATACCACGTCTCCTGATCCTGTACCGGATGAGATATACTTTCCATCGGGTGAGAACCCGACGGCACAAGCGTATCCAGCGACAGTGTGTCCGGCATATCTCTTCTTCTTGTTCTGTTTGAAGCTCCCATCGGCGGAGTAGACTAAAATTTGGTTGTCGAGCGATTGACACGCAAAGTATTTTCCTGATAGACCGCAAATCAGCATGATCTCGCATGACTGCCTGATCGACCACTCACGACTCGGATGCAGAGTCACCGCTGGCATCGAGTGCATGTATGGTTCGGCGATGTATTTGATCACCACGGGGATGTCGTAATCCCATCCACGGAGAGTCTTGTCATCAGACGTGGTGACGAACCGTCTATTGTTGTCCACAAAGGTGATGGTATTGACAGGTCCCAAATGTTGATCATACGTCTGGACTATCTCATGCGCTCGCGTGTCATACTGAATGCCAGCGTCAGCCTTGTTTCATGAGATCCGGACCGATTTTCGTCCGCACCTGGATGATCTTCTTGTCCTGCATACCTGCCATAAAGATATTCTGCTTGTCTGGATCGGGATGAAATTTGACGACATTTGGTATTTTGCCGTTGGAGAATGCTTGGAGACATTGCCCAGTCTCCGTGTCCCAGATCTTGATCTGTCGATCGTAACCTGCAGAGATGAACTTGGTCCCTTTGTTGTTGAAGGCGACGTCTTTGACAGCTTGTGAATGGCCCAAAAACGTCCGTAAGCAGTTCCCTTCGTGGTAAACGTCCCAGAGCTTGAGTGTTATCGCGGCCCCTCCGAATGACAGACTCACCTTGACTTTGGTATCCATACTTCCACTGAGCAACAAATGCCCAGATTTGGGAAACAGGCGTATGGCAGACACGCCCTTGTTGTGTCCAGTCTGTTCAGTGTTGTCAGAGTTGACTGAACGATTCACACACCGCACTCACCCAGGTATGTATACACCTCTCTGGCAGGTATGCGTTGGGCGGATTTGAATCGTCTGATGGGTTGAGTTTGACATCGGTGTCGGTCGGTATATGCATATACGTCCTTCCAGCATAATCTGTGAGCTCCTTGCCTGCATACAAGAGTCAGCAAGATTGCGTCCTACATCATTACCGCCGAACTCACCATGGAAAATACTCTTCTCTTCTCTAGCCTGCTTGAGTTTCGCCTTTGCCGCCTCGGACGCCTCTTCTCTCCTTCTCTTTTCCTCTCTCCATTCCTCTGCCTCTTCTTCTATCACAGGATCGACCTCTTTCTCTCCTTCCCAGTCTGCCCATGGTCCGACATACGCCCCATCGCCATCTACCACCCCAGCATCTCCCTTTCCATGTCGTTTCCGTTTCGCTTCTCGTTTTTCCGCCTTGGTCATTTTGATCCCATCTATTCCCGCGTATCCATTCTCATGAGCGACACTCATTGACCCGACGTAAGCACCGCTAGCTCCCGAGGCCACTGAAGGGTTCAGAGCATATCCGTGCACGTCGAATGTCCTCTGTTGAACCATAAACGTATAGTCGTCCATCGATTGCTCCTCGACGTGTCCTGACAAACTGTTCATCCCTTTATTTCTCTGTTGATTGAACGGATCTTGAGGTCCAGCGACAGGTCTAGACATGTCATCATACGAAATATTGACGTTGATGACCTTGTCAGTGGGTCGAGCGATAATCGCGGATCCAGCTCCGTTTGGATCCTGTACTTCGTGTGAGTGTCTGGATTAGAGCCTGCGATCGCCTGACTCACCTCTCTCAGTACATCAGGAGCGGCTGCTACTTCTGTCTTCTTCTCTACACCATTCGACCTGGATGGTGCCTGAGAAGCTAGTCCGAACGCATCCTTTTTCGCATCTTCCTCCAGGATCGCCTCATCCTCGTCATCATCCTCCTGGGCGGCACCGTTCACGCCGGTTGCCGGGAGTCCATTACCTAATCGAGGAAGACTCGACGTCGAAGCCTTTGGCTCCTCGTCGTCCGACGAGTCATATCCTGCGACCAGAGCTGACATGGTGAGCAGTGTCCATAGATTGAACAGTGATTCCTGGAAAAGTCTGAGGTTTGGAGAGAGGCGGACGAGGTGTTCCCTGACGTAAGCATCTATCGCGTGCATTATTAGCTTTTCAGATTCAAAAGTCAAATAGAATCAAAATTTTGCTAATGGGGGATTTGTGGCCACCATTTGGCCACTCTGAATCGAGGAGGACAGACAGAGTGAGTGAACATGCACAGTGAGAGCCTTCGCATACCATGAAGAGTAGGGGGCTGCTACACAGTGATACTCTGAAATCAAGCACTGTCATTGCAATGAAGCCCGATTGTTCATACATGACCAGTCAGGAATAGTCTCTTCCCGCCTCACCGCCCGGTCCCCGTCGGCCGACAGCCGTCGGAGATCCTTCGTTCGGAGGCAAAATGTGTTTTGCAAAGATTGACAGATCTCAGATCAAGCCGGTCCCTTCCCTCTGCCTCCCGTATGTATGTATGCCTTCGACCGTCGGGACTTGCGTTCGTCGGGTCAAGTGCCGAAGAAGAGGGGCGGCGTCGAGCGCCAACGAAGGATCACCATGCGGCTCCACCGTGAACAAGGCGTAAGAGCTGTGGTTGTTCGTGAGGGTCTGAGGTGCATGCCGAGGGCATTTTTACACTCTAAATAGTCGTTTACCATTCTGGAATGTTTGCCACGGCAACCTTTCAGTCTCTTTCCACCTCGCCCGACCCCACAAATATTCGATCGCCCGGCGAGATGGCGAGAAAGTATCGTAGTAGTAGATCTCTTCATTCTCTTTTTTACGCGAAAGTCCCCGGAATCCCGGATTGAACGGAAAGGTATATAATGGGTCTGGATTATCGATGGCGAAGGGAAGAAGCCCTCTGCGATCTATACGGCGATACCTGTACACTCTCCACCTCGCCTCCTAACTCATTCGCTCACTCGCCATGAAGATCGACGCTGAAATACTGATCGAAGCTCCTCCTCGTGTGGTTCGAGAAGTCGTGAGTCGACGAACCCGTAAGCTAACCCGAGGTTGACGTGGCATCCCTCCTCTCTCCTCAGTGGCTCGACTTCCCCCATCTCTCCGACTGGCATGATGGCTCGTTCTGGAAGAACATTGAGCTCACAGCTCCTGAGAAGTCGAATGGTCTCGATGCGGTGCCTGGAGACGAGGTCAAGTGCACCATGCCCAGTATGACCTTCAAGTGCAACGTTGCAGTGAGTGGAATCTGTGCTGCGACGCTGTCGGAGGCTGCGACGACGGTGATGAAGAGAGGAGAGCTGACATGTGTCATTCTGTGTTCTTCTATATCTTCTTCCCGGCACGATCACTCTTCCCGCACACTCTCACCTGCACCTGCCAACGTGCTCTATTGCCACACCTCTCCTCTCCTTCCCCATCTATCCAGGTCAACCAGCCCGATCACTTTCGATGGGCCAACTCTGTCCCCTTGATGGGATCCGCCGGACACGACTACTACTTCATGTCTGTCCCTGGAGAGGCCAACAGGACTCGCTTCGTTCAGCACGAGGACATCACAGGCGCCATGGGACTTATTATGGGCATGATGGGTACCAAAGAGTCCTCCAACAAGGGATGGAAAAAGATCAACGAGGACCTCAAAGCTGCTTCTGAAAAGCGTTGGGCGGCTGAGAGTGGACACTAGGTAGTACAAGGTGATGTATTTTGATTATAACCTCTGATGTATAGAGCTCGAGTTGTGGATGCATCCCGTGTGCGATACAGAGGAAAGGTATCAAAAATAGCTTTGGGATCGATGGCTCATCTGGACGCCCTCAGTTCTCCGTCGAGTCCCTCTGATCACGATGATCGTCTCTCATCTCCCCTTGACTGGATGACGCGCCACAGATGTCATCTTGGAGCTCATTCCGAATAACAACCCCCACACACACATACCTCGCTTCGCTGGTCACACCATCAAAGGAGGACTGCCAAGCGAGGTGGAGCCCAGCTTGGAACCATGGCTCTGGTGTACAATCAGAAGTATGGCTAGCCGACATCGACAACTACACTACAATGCAGACGGTGTGGACTAGACCCATCCAGGGATGCTGAAATGACCTTCCCTTGTCGATTGGAAGTAGTGGTAAGTTTGAGTAGATCTGTCTCCGGCAAGGACCCCTTCCCTCCCTCTTACCACGGCTGAGGCTCCCTCTAAACTTCGAATGTCCATCCTTTGGAGTGGCATCGTACCATAATCACGGGAGATCAAAGGCGGGGTCTTAAGACCTTTTAGCGAGCTGATATTGTCACTGTGTGTGTGGCTGGAGCTCAGACTGACACTGGGGCTTTAATGACGTCTGAGTCCAGCATTGCAGCACACTTCTTGAGCTGGCATCGCAATGGGAATCCTTGGCTCAGCTGACCATGCCATTTGTTGCCCCTTTGATAGGGGCTCTGGACTTGGACTGGACCCTGCATGGACCCGATATCCTCTCAGCCGACTGGCTGTTCGGGCCTCCTTACACATTCACACCTCAATCAAGTGACGACACTAGCATGTCTACCGGACACTGTCAAAGCGCCTAGGCAAGTGGAGCTGATGGGAGTGATGGGAATTGTGTGTGGTCGATCGATAGACAGGCGCAAAGGCATGTTTCGACCTCACAGCCATCCCAAGGCAGAACGGGGCGTGGAGCTAGGTGTACATTTGCTGACCACGACTGCGGGTCATCATTGACCTCTAGTCTGGCTTCATTGGAGCAGATTGTCTGATCGGAATAGCAGGGAGTCATGTATTCGGCTCAGCTTTAGCGTCATCTCTGGACAGACATCAAGAACCCCAAAACGTAGTAGCTCGAACAATGAAGCCATCAAACCCCTTCACAAAGATATATAAACCTGACCTCTTGGTCGACTTCTTTCCCATCTTCCAACTCTTCGGCCTCAACTTCAATAACTTGACTATTCAATCCACAGACTAGCTCTCACTACAACTACAACTTCATCAGCATCATGCTTTTCGCTCTTCCCGTCCTCGCTACCCTCCTCTCTGTCAGCGCTGCTCCTTGGAGCTCGCCCTCCACTTCGTGCCTCATCAACGGCATCAGCATTCTCGACTGCACCAGTCTCGACATTCTGTCCTTTGTCGGACCCGATGGCAAGACTCAATGCTCTGTCAACGGAGTCACCGTTGGCGACTGCTCGACCATCGATATCGGATCGATCCACCTCAAGCGGCACGAAGAGGAACCTCGATCTGGATCCACCGGAGGAGGTGCTTCGACTTCTTGCCTCATCAACGGTATCAGCATCCTTGACTGCACTTCGCTCAACATCCTCACCAAGGTCCTCGGAAACGGCAAGACCGAATGCATCGTCAACGGTGTAGATGTCGGTGATTGCTCTACCATCAACGTCGGAAGCATCATCAAGCACCTTCCTCTCAAGCGAACCAACTCGCCTTCTACCCAATGCGTCATCAACGGTGTCTCCATTCTCGACTGCTCCACCATCAACATTCTCTCCAAGCAGATCGGCAGTGGCAAGACCGAATGCATCATCAACGGTGTCGATGTCGGAAGCTGCACCTCGGTCAATGTCCTCTCCGGAGTCAAGAACCAATCCAAGGCAAAGTGCATCGTCAACGGAGTCAGCGTTGGATCCTGCTCGCTCATCAACCTCTTGAGCTTGCTCCATCTCGTTTAGAGTGCAGAGGTGAGTGCGACTTGGGGACAATCAATTTGCTAACATCACAGATCGCTCTCGCTCCCAGCGACTCGGTGTCAACGCACACTACGACAAGGTTCTTCTTTTTGCTTTTCACGACTCTGAGACTCTATCTACCTTGAATCGAAAACCGAACGACTCTTTGAACAACGCCAGGAAAACAGGAAAACAACGAAAAAAAGGGGATGGAGAATGGGCTTGATATCACTGTAGCGCTTTTCTATGCAAAGTGTGAATTCTTCAGCTCCTCTGCCACCCCAATTTGGCTGGCCCAGCCTTTGTCCGCAGTGCTACTCCTGCTCGCGAGCTGCTGCATCACACTCCAGAATCTCAGCAAACCTAAAGCTCCTCAAGGATCAGCGCCACAGTGCCACATTCGAGAATTGGTACATAAATCTTTGAGCGAGATCTTTCGTGATCCTGTCGAGACTTGTTTGATCCTGACCGCGGCAGACTCTCATGGACCGTCTGGCGACCGTCAAAGTTGGGCGAGTCACATCCTCATCATCAACTGGCAGGGCTCATAGACGGATCTACATCGCCCCTTCGGCTCTCAAATCCCTGAAGCTCCATGCAGGAGATTGGGTCGAGCTAAAGTCGCTGGCTGGAACCGGGGTGATTGGTCAATTGTGGCCGGGAGCAGACATCGATGATGACGAGAGTGAGCCAAAAGAGCCGAGAGAAGGCGTGCCAGATGTGCTGATATGCTGTAGCCGTGCTCGTGTCAGAAGGTCAGAGCTCGAATGTCGGATCAGACACCGCCGAGCTCTTCAAATTCGACCCTCCATCGTCTGTGCCCATTCTCAGATCCATCACCTTACAAGCTGAAGCTCAACAATCTCCCTCTGGGACAAGAGAGACCAAGTGGATGACAGCTGCAATGACCGAAGAGCTGGTCGCGACGAGATACGTTCGACCGGGGCTGAAGATCATTGTTGGATCCCAACGCTGGATAGTTTCATCCGTAGAAGTTGACGCAGGGTCAGCAAAGCACACCGACCTGCCCATCGATCTTGAACGCTTGTCCCTAAACTCGGCAGCTTATCAAGTCGACTGGCGCACTCGAATCATCATAAGTGATACATTGCAGTCCAAATCGAAACACGACATCAAATCCACGGCCTCTTACATAAATATCTACACGCCTTCCGTAGGTGGTCAAGCGGCTTATCGCTCCCTTGGAGGTCTTTCATCTCAGATCAGGCAGATCCAAGCCCTTCTCGACGGTCCATTCAACCATCCAGAGATTCACAGACGATTCGGCATTGCCCCACCCCGTGGCATACTCCTTCATGGTCCACCTGGAACCGGCAAGACGGCTCTTGCCAGAGCTTTCGCGTCATCCCGTACAGATTGTACCTGTATAGTTGTCAATGGTCCCGAATTGAGCTCAGCATACCATGGAGAGACTGAAGAGCGATTAAGAGGTGTATTTGAAGAAGCACAATCAAGACGCCCCTGTATCGTCGTACTGGATGAGATTGATGCCTTGTGTCCTAGACGAGATGGAGATGGAGGAGAGGTGGAAAAGCGGGTGGTGGCCACTCTACTCACGCTCCTAGATGGAATAGACGCGAATACCGGGGTATTTGTCATCGGCGCCACGAATCGACCAAATGCCATTGATCCGGCACTACGAAGACCAGGTCGATTCGATCGCGAGATCGAACTCGGTGTTCCAGATACAGAAGCTCGTCGAGAAATTTTGTCTCTGCTCATCGACAAGATGCCAAACACCCTGTCTCCGGAGAATATCACGTCACTCGCCAATCGGACGCATGGATACGTCGGAGCCGATCTCTCCTCACTCGTCCGCGAATCAGCCTCGGCGGCCATTGCAAAGTCCGACGGGAGTCCTGATACCACTCTTTCCTTGAACGATCTAGACATGATCCTCAAGACGATGCGCCCATCGACAATGCGAGAAGTCTTTGTCGAAACTCGAGATGTGAAATGGTCAGATATAGGGGGTCAAACTGAAGTGAAACAGAAACTTCGGGAATGCGTGGAATGGCCTCTGACCCACCAATCTACATTCAAAAGACTCGGGGTGGACGCGCCGAAGGGCGTACTCTTATATGGTCCACCGGGATGTAGCAAGACAATGACCGCCAAAGCCCTTGCTACGGAAAGTGGGCTTAATTTTATCGCCGTCAAGGGACCAGAGGTGAGTAAATCCACTCATTGCCTAATCCTAGACTAACGCAGGGTCAAGTTGCTCAACAAATACGTTGGAGAATCTGAGCGGGCAGTGAGAGAGACGTTCCGTAAAGCCAGGACAGCGGCGCCTACCATTATCTTTTTCGTAAGTCCCCCTGGCTGTTCGCCGCTGAACCCTTAAGGACGAGATCGATGCGCTAGGCTCATCTCGATCAGACGATACGGCTCACTCTGGCGTCCTGACGTCGCTCTTAAACGAAATGGACGGTATAGAGGAATTGTTAGGGGTCATTGTGGTGGCGGCTACGAACCGACCTGAAGTACTCGTGAGTCTATCATGGGAGCATCGAGTGAACAATGCATCAGGACTCGGCATTGCTTCGTCCTGGACGACTTGATCGGATCTTGTATGTCGGCGCTCCGGATCTACAGACGAGGAGGGACATTTTTAGGATACGATTAGCAAAGATGGCAGTCGAAACAGGTGTCGACGTGGACGAGCTCGCTCGACTGGTATGTCAACGAAGACTCCATTACGACTTGCTGCTAATCTGGACGATAACAGACCGAAGGCTGCTCCGGTGCTGAAATCGCCTCGATTTGTCAAGATGCCGCGCTGTCGACTATGAATGAGAACGTCGATGCGCCCTGTGTGAGTGATATGGGCACTGTCTGGCGCAATTCTCTTACTCTATCTAGGTCACCACCGCAAACCTTGTTCACTCAGCGCGAACGGTCAGACGACGCATCACACCGTCTATGATCCGACACTTTGAACAGTGGCGCGATCAATCAGGCGTGAGAAGTGCGTAGCATACATGCATGCATCTGGCGACACTCCGTGCGGATATTGCAATGCGACATTCTCTGCGCCATGGATCTATACCCTCGCATGACCCAAATCGACTTTACTGACCCTCTCGATCCCCTTCTCACGACGCATGACCGCGGCTCCCTTGATGACGAGAATAATGACGACCCAGCAAAAGACAAAGCAAGTCAGAGCCACTGTGATGTTCAAAAACGCCATCATGTCGTCGTATCCTGCTCGCATGGCAGCCCACGAGACTTCTTCAACTGACAACATGAAGACGATACCACCTGCCGCCCAGCCGAAGGAAGTGAGGATCTCAGTAGGCGGTCGGGACGGCAGAGTCGACTCAACGGGTGGTCGAATCCAGAGGAAAAAGTAGGTCAGAAATCGACAAAGCGATCCACCGGCTAGGAGTAGACCCCACAAAGAGTGGATTTGGACCTGGAAGACGTAGCGCTGATGATGGGCTGCCATGGCGAGACCGGTCTGCAAAGACGGTCAGAAGGTTTCGAATCGGATGCTGATCCTACTTACGACCGCAATGACCAAAGCAGGAAGCGGATTGAAGCTGAATGCGTATGACGGAGGCTCGTGCATATCCCGAGGACGGCCCAGCATGCTTCCTAGCACTCGTCTGACGCTCTTCGACTCGAGCAGGATCCCGATCAGGCCGGCGAACCAGAACCTGTTGGAAAACCGTCAATGTGGATCTCCACCGGCGATTGGCATACTTACATGATGGCAATGGAGATGTGCTGGACTTGTCTGACGGTATACGGATCACCAGCGTGGGATCCCAATCGCTCGAGCCAGGTGTTTGTGATGCCGTACACGAAGATGACAGAACATTCCACCATCTCGGCAGAAGTCCCGCTCGCCTTTCCGGGTTTGCGATTCCATGCCCAACCTAGATCCGAATACGCTCCCAGGTATCGGGCAAATGTCAAAACTCCGTATCTGATTTCAGAGATGAGCGAGGAAACCAAAAGCTAAGGCATAGATCTCGACTCACCCGAAAAAGATACTGCCTTTGATGAAATGTGCAGCGCAAGCATTCACAAAGCTCCCACGGCACATCCCCTGTTGTCAGATCAGTCGCGAGACTTCAGGCGCTCATGAAAATCACTCACTACATATACTGTCATTCCTAGAAGCGTCACTACATAGGCAAAGACGACCTGGAATCGTCTCAACCAAGTCAAGATTATCTCGCCCAATCGTCGCCAGCTCAATCGGCGGCTAGACGACGTGGGCTCATCGGAGTCGACGGCTGGATCTCGTGCAGCCTGATCAAAATCAAATGCCCCTAATCGAGAAGGACGTTTACCCTCGCCGAGCGACGATGGTGAGCCAGGTTCGTGCAATGTTCCATCTGATCCAGCAGAGTCTCTATGAATCGGAGTGAGCTCCGACTCGCGTCGAAGCGTTCGTCGAGATTGATGATGAAAGGGCTCGTCCACCTCGTCATCTTCCCCTCCGATGGCAAAGACAGGATCAGCCTGTCTCTGTTGGACCTCTTCACTCTGTCTGTCCATCAAGCCGACCATTTCGAATCGATGATTTGGGCCGTCGAGCCATCGAGCCGTCTTTCCGCCAAACACCTGGGAACAGAAAGCGGACCATGATCGATCATCTGATTTGACAAACGCGATAGTCCGGCTGATGAGACCTAGCGAGTCGAGTGCGGCCAACGCAATAGATGTGAGGAGGAGGACAGTGCCGAGACTGCCATGCTTGTTACCTATGTATCTGAAACGGTAAGTCAGCGAAACAGACACCGGTTCCTCACCTATCTGGAGTCGCAGCAGAGTAAGCGACACCTGATAGCCATCCTACCCCGGCGATCGCCAGGAACCCGAGATTGACGAGGTAGTGAGCTGGTGAGTTCGCCGCACGAAGAGCCAGAACTGGTGAAAGAGAGCTCGACAGTCAGCAAAGTCGAGTGTTTTACCCCTTGAGCCACTTACCTATGGGCAAGGCCACAAAATATGCTCCGATCATCGCCAAGACATGTAGCATCATGAGTCCCCTGTGCCCATTCGCCTCGTCTGGATCCCATTCAGCATCGAATTCTTCCCCAAAGATGGCAGTATCATTATTCAACCTAAAGTCGGCAGCGAGATAAGTTGGCGGGAAGCTGTGCCAAGCATTATGGATTTCCGATTCGTCCAACTCGTCTCCCGCCACTTGATGTTCTCCATGATCGTGCATGGACGAACCCATCGCTACGACGACAGAGGAGCCACTCGTATCGTCCTTTTGATCCGACATGGCGTTAGCGGCAATGGATTTACCGGCATCCGCGTCACCGTGATCGATATCTTCATGGTGTTGTCTGTGCGCTAGTGCATCGAGAGCCCGTGCTGAGACACCGCTGCTCAATGCAAATACGCTCGTGCTATACAGCAGGAGGACCGCCAGGATGGTTCCATGTCGTCTGTTCGTCATGATTCGACCGTGTCACCCAATGTTGAATAAGCGTGCCGAACAACAACCACCCAAATAATAAAAATGAAACTTCGGGTGACGTTATATTGCAATCGAGTAATCAAATAGCGGGTGGCGAAGAGGGGATAGGCCTAGAGAAATATGAGTGCTGAACGAGAACGAGTGCCAGGATGAAGATCTGCAGGTCGAGGAGAGTGAGAAGACAACAAAGGAAAGGGACTGAAAGGGGGGAGGGGCAAGGCCGAAAGCGTGGGAGAAGTACTTTCAAGTTCGAGGAGACGCGCATACAATGCCGAACAGTCATCCCCGGCGGCAAGCATGCTAAGAACTACGAAGTCTCTCCCGTATGACAAATCTGACTGTTTGTACATCTTCTTCTTCTTCTTCTTCTGCTCTAGCGCCTTGCGCCGAGAATCACGCATGCTCTCTCTTGACATCTTGGCTCAGGGGTGAAGATATGACATGATTGGACATGACATGCACTATTACCTCAGTAATGGGTCGCACTGTACCCTCATATCCATATGGCTCGGCTCACGTTCACCATAACCTATTCTGCAATGCTTCTTTCACAGCTTACAGCATCTGCAGCAAGGAGGCAGCCATGGCATTACATTCAGTCAACGCGTGGGTTCATTTGACCTACTCTATCAACGATCCAATGCCCCTGTCCTCGGCATCCCCATCGGTGCCTAATTTCTAAAGGGACTGATCCCGAAGCCCGGATCCGTGAACGGAAAGGAAATTTACTTTGTCACCATAAATAAGACGACACTCTCCGCTCATGGATACACAGAACGCCTCGGGAGGCCCATCGAGGCTCAGAGACGACAGAATCAAACAGGTGACCCACATTTCAGAGCCTGCAGAAACCCCTGATCAGCGCGAAATCGACAGCGACGACGGCGACGACCTTTATGGACTTGACAATCTTATACCGGTGAGAAGGGGGGCCGCGATTTGCTCACTGTCTACGGAAGGCTGACCTTGGTCCTTTGTCCGATCCTCATCCTTAGGCACCTGAATCCCCTCTACCTCCGCCTTACTCCTTTGCCACATACACTGTTCCAGCGGACAGGACCTTGAGCCCATTACAGGGTGGAAATCAGATTATCACCCGATTAGTCGGATCTCACCCATTATGGGGTCATCACCTGTATGTCAAGCTGATTTGGACGTACGGTCACAGCTGAGATGTACGACGGTAGATGGAACACTGCTCGAGTCTTGACCGATTATCTTCTAGAGCACTCCTCATTGGTCAAAGGCAAGAAAATTCTTGAACTCGGCGCCGGAGCAGCTTTGCCAAGTCTTGTGGCTGCCTTGAAAGGAGCCAACCAAGTCACCATCACCGACTACCCCGATCAAGAGCTCTTGGACAATATGCAATGGAATGTGGATACGAATGTGCCTCTGGACATAAGGCCTCAGACACATGTCAAGGGCTTTTTATGGGGAGCCGATCCTACACCCCTCATGAATGGCCCAGAGGATCGATACGATCTCCTAATTCTCAGTGATCTCGTATTCAATCATTCTCAACACAAGGCTCTGATATCATCTGTCAACTCGCTCTTATCTCTGGATCTGCCATCCAATGGCGAAATGACACCTTGTGTCTTGATATTCATCACGCACCATCGACCTCATCTCGCAGATGCTGACATGGCATTCTTACCTGCCCTCGCGGAGTCAGGCGATGGATGGGGTTATGAGCAGGTGGTCACTGAATGGACAGGAGTCATGTTTGACGAAGATCCAGGGGACGAAAAACTCAGAGGGACGGTCAAGGGCTTTAGGGCGTGGCGAAGGCGCAAGGAGGCATGAAAAGACTTTTCCAAGGCTGAGCAAGTATGCTTCGCGATCCATGCATGCGCTGCGCAATGTCTTGCTACCCTGATCCATGTATGCGTCTCCGCGTCGATACAGGAGGTGACGATGACTCAAATACGGGTAAAGATGTGCTGTGTGCCACGTGGACCCGTCCATTCCTGTTGACCGCCACTTGATCTGGTCAATGATAGGCCTTCTTGCGATCACTCCTTGATCGTTGTGCGCCGGCTTTGCTCACTTCAGGGAGATCATCTGAATGACTAGACCTTAGAGCGTCCTAGATCATGCCCCTGCCCATTCTTGGACGGGTGGGAAACCGCATCTCCCATGCCTTGCACCAGCTCGTCTTCTCTTTCCCTTCACCCAATTCCACCGAACAGGCATTCAGCGAAGCGCACGAAACCAGCTCGGGAACGGCAGGCAAGAGCGATCATGCTACCGCTGCTCAGATGATGAATTCTATAGTCGATGAGCCTGGCGAGACTAGAGCGTTGGCAGGTGGGATCGGTCCGCTCAGCTTCGCCGGTAGTGGTTATGGAGTAACCCTCGTCTTGATGGTGAGTGACATGCTCGTGTCCCCGAGATAGCAGCGCTGAACGGCCTCACTCAGGCTATACTACTGAACCGTATTCATCACATTGTCAGACGGCCTCGGCTTCCTCCTCAACCTCTGCCTCATCCACCCGTGCGCTCCCTGTATCACAGACTCACAACGAAAAGTAGGTCACCTCTAGCGAACTCGGACCTCATCGCACCGATGCTGATGAAACTCTGCAGTCTCCCGCGCTCTCACATCTCCCTCTGCACCCAAATACTTACGCATACCTGGCATTTTCTGCCTGGTGAGAGCTTGGATCTTATTCTCCATCCTCTTGCTACAAGTCGCGAATCTGTGGCCGGTGGATTCGACCGTCCTTCATTCAGTGGCTGTGGGTCGACTACTGGCAAAACTTGGCCAATGGGCGGGCAGTATGTCCATGGAGAAAGTCTGTTGGCAGGTCTTCCTCAGTGTCTGTGTCGGCTTGGTCTGTTCTGGATTTGCCAATGGTCTGGATCGAACCAGACGGAGAGATACAGGTGCCTCGTTCAACCTCTTTGGCTACAGCTTTCTTCTGCATTTGTACTCCTCACCGCTCACCCATCATCGACCAAACCACATGTCGACCTATGGCAGACCCGATGTGCATGCATTGTTTCAGCTATGGTTGAGCCTGACTGAGGTGAGTTTCCGAGCCAAGAAGCGAGGCGTGTCGCTAAGACCCTTTCCAGCTCACCTGGCTTCAAGCCATCGAGTTGACACCAGGCGGAAGGCGGAACCAGCTTGTTCCGACAGCTGTCTGTGGTGGTCTAGGATTAGGTCACTTTGTGTTTGCCCTTTGGACATCTCCTCTCAAGTTTCCTAGCTTTACATTTCTGACACATCTGGTGAGTGCCGCGTGCAATCGGGCTTATTCACAACGACCAGATGGCATTGTTCCTGTCGATCATCATCATCTCTTCAGTTATCGTCAAGGCGATCACTCACCTTTTCACTCTCGGCTACTTGCCCTCACCCATCTTTGCCAATCTCTTGCCGCATGAAGGAGTCATGCCGTCTCTGGAAGATGATTTCGGCATCGTCTTGTTGAAATTAGGCACAGCCTGCCTGGAAGCATCCCAGTTCTCAGGTTTGAGAAACGAGCTCATCGCTGTGCAGGAACGTCAAGGACCATGGGTCGAGCTTTCAACAGCCCGGAGCGATGTAGTCAAGCCATTGCGCAATTCTGACGGTGGATTCGGCACCGAGATCAATGACATTGCCGTGGCGCAAATCGAAGACCCAGCGATGGAAAGCCGATACTGGAGAGCGTCGCGAGCCTTTTGGAAAGTCCTCGGATCGCGATTGATCGTTTTCGCCTGCGCGACTCTGATGTCTACACCAGTCGGACGGAAGCTTTACGATTGGAGTGTGATTGCTTGGGACAGTCGATGGTGGTACGGTCCTCGTCAATGGCAGTTTTGGAGACGCCAAGCATGGCGGGAACCAGCTAGGTTCTCCAGAAGGCGAGCGCTACGTATACTGCAGGCGTACAACGACAGAAACAGACAGCTTCGGGCAGCTGCTCGAGCTGCTGAGGATGCCGCGTCATCCACAGCTGTGACAACGGCATTGGAGGGAGCCCTAGACGACGAAACCCCTCCTCCTCTCCCATGGCGACAATACTTGATGGGTCAGGAGATCATCGAAGATGACGATGAAGATGATTGGCAGGACGATGCCAGCTCAACATCCTCATCTTCCGAAGCGATGACCGAAGCGGGGCTGGAAGTTGACATGCTTCGCGATCTCGTTTCTCCCCCGGATGAAGACCAGTCTGAGGATACTCAAGCAGTCCTTCTGGCTCACCTGACAAACTCTTCAACTCCACTCACTCGAAGGCGATTCGCAGCTATTATGGCTTCACCGACTCGTTCGCCTACGCCTTCGCGTCTTAATGACATCATCGCCGATAGACGTCACGCGACTGTCGCCAGAAACGACGACGACAATGACGGATGGGACGATGACAGGCGGAGGAGTTGTGTCGTGTGTACCATGGAGCCACGGAATACCATTCTCTGGCCTTGTCGGTGCTTGGCGTTGTGCAATGATTGTAGAGAGAGTCTCGCGGCGAGATTACCAGCGAGGGATCACCTGTGTCCGTGAGTTGCTCCGACTTGAAGAGATTGCATTCCGTCAGCTAACCACTATTGTGCATCTCTCAGCTGCTGTAGAAAAAAGTGAGCTTAGCTTTTGCCGTCGTCCATGTCCGCGGACAATACTGACTTGATTTGCCTTAGGGTCGAAGGCTATAGCCGTATCTTCATCCCTTGACGGCTTCACAGACGCCGCTCACTCTTTGTACAAGTCAGTCATATGCATTTTAGTAATGATTATATAGTTCAGGTCCACGCCACACATCAAGGTCAACAATATCCAAAATTGAGCAGAAGCGCGTGACGTCTTTCGTTTTCCAAATTTCTGTTATTGAACCTCGTCCACCTCTCCCAGTATCATGGCGTGAGTCTGGCCTAGATATCGGATCTTGAGGGCATCTGTAGCTTGCGTTTGCTAATGCGACCGCGCCCAGGTCCACATGGGAAGTCATCTCTTCCGCGTTCACACTCCTGGCCTTTTTGGGCATCGTCTGTGAGTGGAGCATACACTTTCCGTCATTCGCCTCCACAGGGAGTGAGCTCTCACACAAGGATGCCTCTATCCTCTTTGCAGATCTCGGCCTGAAAGTCAAATCTGCCCTGACCTCGACCACTGAAAGTACCAAGAAAGACCTCTCTTCCAAAGGCGTGACTTACTCCAATGGTCGATTATCCGTTCGAACGGATAGAGCTGCCCCGTCAAGAGAAGAATATTTGGCCAATACTCGTGCGGCATTCGAAGCTGGAGCAAAGACTATGAGCCTGCACCCTGAAGCTTTCAAAACTGGAGCAAGCCGGACATCTAGCTCAGAGAACAATGAATCTGCAGCGAGCTCGACGGCCGTGTCACCTGATTCTAGGTGAGTCGACACGAACCGGTGATCTGTGTATCTTCCACTTGGCAATGATCACGATTGCCATCAAGGACTTCCGTCAATGAGACCCAGTCGTGAAATCATGCTGACCGCACCTCGTAGCGAGAAGAAGGGATTCAGGCGAACCAAGAAGCTGGCATGATCACCTGTTCGCCAAGGGATTCTGCCGAATCAACTGCGAGAGGCCTCATGAACGGAGAACATCATACAACACATATGTATCCAGTGTACCAAATAAAGAAGCAACGAGGAAACATACAGACTCATTTCCTGCTGCTCCACCCCTTGCCCCGTTTATGCTTGTGCTTCTGCCCTCCACCACCGCCAGGATCGACGTCGGTCTTTGGCTTGCAAATATTGCACCACCATTTGCCAGTGGGTGGTTGGGTGAGACCGATGCATCCAAGATGGAACCACTCGAGGGGGCATTCGTCGTTCTGCATCGGCAAGGATCAGCACATTGTTTATTGACTCATGATCCGAGTCGTGACCTACTTCACATCCAACCATCTGCCAATGAACAAATTAGTATAAGTCCAAGCCAAGCATGTGTCTCGAACCCACCTGCCCATATGACACATTGTTGCAGTAGCAATATCTTGGCTCGTTCCTGGAAATCTCTGATCAATGGCCGACCATGGCTCATTACCACATCACTCACGGATCCACCTCGAGATCGAACAATGGACCAGGCAGCTCCGTCGTGGCATCTGGCAGATCTGAGGCGCCATTGGTCGCCTGATTCTTCTTGCCCTTCTTCTTCCTCGCGGTTCCTCCTCCCATACCTATTGTGACTTGCTCCCGATCCTCGCCTGGGTTCTTGCCGATGCCATCTAGCAACACCATCCCTGGCTCCACAGCCGCCGAGGGATTGGTATCAGGCCTCAAGCCGAGAAGGATCGACGCCTCATGTGCTGAGAGTGCCGAGTCGAGTGCTCTGATGTGCCGGTCAATCTGAAGTGCGATCAGTGTTCATGGTTCGATTGAGCATTGTTTCGACTGCAACTCACGGCATTGTAGGCTCCCACTGCCAATGCCACCTTTTCCTCTCCATTTCGAACCATCTCCCTCGCGAGTCGCCCAATATCAGGTAGGAGCTCACTGGCTCTAGTATCGGTTTTCCCCTCCTCCTCATCTTTCCCTTGATCGGCCGACGGGTCTTTCGCCTGTCCGACTGCGTCGCATTCCATTTCCACATCACCTTCTTGCCCTTTGCCTTCTTCAGGAAACGCCCTCCGAGACTCGACTTCGAGAGCCTCCTCTGTGCCCTCCTCTGCGCCATCTGGTGGGGCCAGCAAGCCACCTTGTCCGTCAGGTATAGGTGCTGCCGATTCGATCACGGGAACATTTGTCTCCAGCTCAATCCTCTCGGCAGCCTGAATACCCATCCGTTTGGCAATATATCTACGGATCACCGTCTCCAGGTCGTTTGTTTGAGCTACACCCCACGGTAAGCGTATCCATACCAAGGAATGTCCAAGGCGGTAACTCACCAACACATGTCTCATCTAGCTCTCGAAGCAATCGGAACGTCCGATGCAGCTCGAGAGGGAGTTGCTCGATCATTTCATAGTGATCAGCTGCAAAGTCCTGCCATGCTTCTAGTTCCTTCTCCGGTCCAAGGGATATCTTTCCGTTTGCGTCGGGCTTTGCGTCTTCAGATTCAACTTCCCGTACTGAAGCTGAATTCTCCTCGCCCTCCTCATCACTCGCATGTTCCTGTCCTCGCCTCCGTCTCTTTGGACGGGTCGGAGTCGGCGATGCTTGACGCGTCGAGCGTTTCACGGATGTATTGGCTCGTTGAGGGGCTGGACCTCTCTGCGGTGTCGATGCTGCAGCAGGGAGAGATTTGCGAGGCATCGCACCGTGGAGACAGGCCGTCTCGCCCCCAGCTTGGATGGGAGACCTCTAGGTATGAGCATATTGTCTGACAGGCTGAAGCCATAACAAAGGAGGGCTGAGATAGGCGCCTGGGCGATCGTGCCTAATTTTAAAGGTGAAACGAGGTCTGATCTCTAATGAAAATGTGAAACGAGGTAAACAAAGCAGACGAGGTGGAGTGGAGCGTCAGAGAAGCGAATCGTTGGCGAGATGATCGTGGAGGGATTGGACAGGACTCATGGTGCAGATCAGACATATACATACGATGCAGGATGTAGTATATTGACAGCTCCTCACTCGATAACATGGTGATTGGCTTGGCTCACAGTGAGCAGTATGAGGTTGGAGTGCTTGCGGCAAAAGGGAAGATGGCGCTAAAAAAAAAGGGATTGAAACCAATTATGATATGGGACAGCACATCGTTTTTTAGCGTCAGCAGGAGCAACAACTTTCAACTCACACCTACTACCATCTCCCATCAATCTCTCTTCATATCCCCCCCTTTCCAAGACCATCCATCAACGGCCATCGAAGCTCAACATCACGCATTTCGACTCAGCTGGAAGTCATTTCACGCCGTCAGCCTCACTTTCACATTCTCTTGACAGTCCCACAGATCATTTCCGCATCTCCCGCTGTTTGAACGCTCGGATACATTTTTGCTTTCTCCTTTGCCCTTGGCTCAACGACTGTATCTCTCTCTATCATCGCCACCCCCCATAGAGGACATTCCCCATCGAGGCCAGTCCACCTCGACGGATGCTTGGAATCCTGTAGCAAAGTCGCACCATAGATCAGTCGTCAAGGTACTCGCCAAACAAACACAGCTGGCTGGGGGTTCCTTAGAGCTGTCTAAGCTCAGCACTCCTCCAGACTCGTCGATCCCAATATCCCAACTGCTTCTCATCATGAAGCTCTCAGGGGTTCTCCTCACGATTGCCCTTCTGCCTACCGCTCTGTCGAGCAATCACCTCCCACAATCCAGACAACAACATTCACCTGGTCATCACCAACCCCTGTCCAAACGGCTCGATCTCAGCAATCCGAGAGTATTGGAGCTTCTCAGAGCACTTGGAAAGGCCAAACGCGCGCCGCAGTCAGGCTTGGATGATGGAGACGGATTCTTGAATGGGTTGTTGGGCGGGGGAACCAGCTCGGTGGGTATCTGAGTAGGGAACATGGCGTGGCCTCCTTTTGCTGACCATCGTAGCAAACGAGCTCGCTCTCGACTGCGTCGTCTGCCCTCAGCACAGGCAAATCAATCAGCAGTGCCACCTCTGCTGTATCCACTACGGACAGCGATACCATCTCATCTATCGTCAAATCACTCTCCAGCTCTGCCGCCGCTGCAGCATCTTCGTCCTCGACATTGAGCAGGAATAATGCTAGTGCGTCTCGCTGAAGCAAGACATTCGATGGTCGCTGATGATCAAGCTCTAGCTTTGCCAACGTCGAGTGCCGTCAACTCGACTACCTCGTCTGTGATTCGCCCTACCAGCAGCGCAGCAATCCCCTCGTCTTCTACGACGTGAGTTTGACCCTGTCAAGTCATCGGCTGGTCCATTGACGAATAGCTTAGGATGACGACCATCAGTACTGATGAAGCTGGTTCCACCAAGATCATCACTCAGGTCGTGACTTCCATTCCCTCCAGCACCCCATCTACCGATTCCGATGCGGCGAGCAATACCTATACCTCAAGCAACAACGAAGACAGCAGCTCGTTATCGACTCCCGCTATCATTGGTATTTCGGTCGGAGCTGGAGTCCTTGTTCTGTCTCTCATCGCGTGTGCTGTCTGGCGTATGAAGCGAAGGCATGGTGATGAGGATGAGGCTATCAGATGGTGAAGCAGTCCCCCGTACACTGAATCTGCCCACTGACACCTGTTCAGGCCCGAGTTGAATCGTCATGGAGATGCTGACACCCACCATGCATTGCCCGCAAGAGTCACTGGGCAACACGGTATTGAGACCAATCCATTGGTGAGTCTCAGCTTTAAGTCGAGTCGAGCAGGCCGACTGATACCATTCACAGCAACGCTCCTTGTCCAATTCTTCGTCCATCTTCGCTCCATCCTCCATCGCTCCCCCTCACTCTGCCCCGCCCATGGCTCTCAACGGCTCTGGCTTCGGTGCCGCATCGTCTTTGGAAGATTATGATTATGATTACCGGGACAAGCATGAGATCCCACCTGTTCCCGCCATGCCAACTTCATCGATGTCACCGTCCCATTACTACAGCGGAGGTTCACCCAGAATGGACTACGATGATGATTACGCCAGCCTTCCGCCTGCCGTTGGCATGGCTCAGGGACCTCCAGGATTGGCGTACGATTCAGAATCGGAGGGCCATGGTCCGCAGATGAGCATGACGCCGGGGCATCAAGGAGTGACGAGATACCAAGGGATTTGATCGATGTTTAGTCGAGTATATACCAAGCACTGCATCGTAGATCGATGTTCGGGCGGACTCATAGAGTCCTAATAGTGCCAGGGAGTCCTCTCCGCCCTAATTGCATTCCATCAGCTGCGCTTTCAAGAGAAAGCCTTGCATGCATTGTCGAAATGTTCAATGTCGTGCTGCTTTCGCTGGCGCGTTGACCTCCACTTTTATGCGCTCCTTTTTTCTTCGCGGCGCGTCATGTTCATTCGTCCTTCTGTCAATGTCCACCATGGCTTCCTCATCCAAGGGCAAGATGCCTGCCGCTCCGACGGTCAAGCATGCCGATGCAGAGGGGTATGAGATGCCTTGGTACGTACATGTCAGGTGGTCGACTTGCAATCGGTCATCTAGCGGGTTGGAGTTCGTTGTCATTCGCTGACCGGCCGTCGTCTTAGGGTCGAGAAATACAGACCGATACTTTTATCTGACATTGTGGGCAACAGTGAGACGGTGGAGCGTCTCAAAGTCATTGCGGAGGATGGTAACGTGCCGCATATCATCTTGTCGGTGAGCCGCTCCATGTCCCTAGCTGTCCAAAAAATTCATACTGAAATCATTCGGTAGGGCATGCCGGGAATAGGGAAGACGACATCGATTCATTGTCTGGCTCATGCTCTGCTAGGCGATGCTTACAAAGAGGGCGTCCTTGAGCTCAATGCTTCAGACGAAAGGTCAGTGGAGTTGCAGATGGTGGCATGACGTGGTATGCTCATCTCTCCTTTCATTCCAGAGGTATCGACGTTGTTCGAAACAAGATTAAAAGTTTTGCTCAACGTAAAGTGACTTTACCGGCTGGAAGACACAAGATCATCATATTGGACGAAGCAGATTCGTGAGCTCGATAGACTGCTCTCGAATTGATTTACTCGGTTCCTGACGGAGGAGGCAGGATGACCTCGGGCGCTCAACAGGCATTACGACGGACTATGGAGATTTATTCCAATACAACCCGTTTCGCACTCGCTTGCAACATGTCGAACAAGATCATCGAACCCATTCAATCAAGATGCGCTATCCTGAGGTATACCAAGCTCAAGGACGCCGAGGTATTGAAGAGGCTAAAGGAGATCTGTGAGATGGAAGGTGTGAGTGGATCGGCAAAAGGGATTTGTGCAAAGAGATCTTTGGGGCTGATCTTCCCGCGTCATAAGGTCAAATCTTCTGATGAAGGACTCGCCGCCCTCATCTTTACGGCCGAAGGTGATATGCGTCAGGCTATCAACAACCTGCAATCTACCTGGTCAGGATTTGGCTTCGTTTCGCCTGAAAATGTCTTCAAAATTTGCGATCAACCTCATCCGCTCGTCGTTCAAACAATGATCAAACACTGCCAAAAGGGCGAAATTGACCAAGCGCTCGCTCGAATCGATGCGCTGTGGGATCAAGGATACAGCGCGGTGGATATCGTCGTGACTGTTTTCAGAGTCGTCAAGGGGATGGAGGAGCTGCCAGAGTACACCAAGTTGGAGTTTATCAGGGTGAGTCCGGGTATTCACTGTACTGGACAACACGCTAAACTGCTGCCCCAGGAGATTGGCTGGACGCACATGCGGATTCTGGAAGGCGTGGGCACTCTGGTCCAACTCGGAGCCATGATCGCTCGTCTGTGCCGCATGTCCATTCCTCCTGAGATGCTCAAGCTCTGATGGAACACCACGCCCTGAACGATGCATCGCGTACCCATTCTCAGCCTACAACCTCGTTCACGGATTGTCCCCGATCTGACCCAAGCTCTCTCCCACCTTCACCTTTTGTCCATTCTTGACGGTGAACTTCCACTCCCTCGGAGCTTCAAAGACCAAAACGATTGTGCTTCCTAATCTGAATCCTCCCATCTCTTCCCCAGGTAATAGCGGTTGACCACGCAGCAGAGACGCCGAGGCGTATACAGCCTCGGTGAACGTGTGCGCTGGATGAGACATGTGTCGAGTGTTCGTCCGCAGTGATTCGTCAAAATTGATCCTGATCGATCCGACATTCGTAGCTCCCACTGGTACCATCGAGAAGAATCCATACTTCCATCTGCCCAAGAGGGCTACTCGTTCATTCAAAACGAACAGGTCCTTCAGCCTATTAACGATATACGGTGAGACTGAGAAGAGGTCGCCGGTGAAATGCCGTCTCCGCTCGACGACCCAAGCACATGGACTGTGGAATCGATGATAGTCTCCGGGTGCTAGATAGATGACGCAGAAGAAGAGCTTGTCTCTGTCAGGATGTAACAACTGCAAGTCTTGGCCTTCTTCAGTAACCTGACTCGCGACGTGAGATCCTAATCGCATCGCGACCGAGGCATCGTGTGTAAAGTCTCCACCCTCTTTACGGGACGCATCGTGCTCTTCTTGCGGGCTTTTGGGCGGAAGATCCTTATCGGGCACGGGCTTGGCTGGTGACGTACCCATGAGCTTGCCGAGAGAGTAAGGAATATTATTGATCTCTGCAAAGTTCTTGTCATCGACCACTTTGATACGGGATCCAGGTGTGGATGATCCAGAGGGGGACGGAACGGCGTTAGGCGTGATTTCTGTTCGTTCTCCAAAAGCTCCTTCTTCGGTACCCAGGAGTGCCTGAAGGGAGTAGGTGATTCCCTTGACCTGTTCTACACGTTGATCGGCTATCTCGCCAAAGTGCAAGACTCGACCGTCTGCTGGAGAAACCTGCCCCTCACAGTTTAGAATCCCGCTGATCCAGACCTGCGCTCCGCACTCACCATGGGCGAATCAGCAATGGGCCGAGCGGCCGGATCAATCTCTCGATAAAAGAAGTCTCCCAAACTCTCATAGTTCTTGAGATCCTCTGGCACCTCGTCGAGATTACAACCAAAGATCGTAGCGTAGAGTTTGAAACCAAACGGTCTGAACCAAACGGGAAGGACGAGAGAATTCAGATATCCCCAGAGCTGAGATAGAGATCGTAATGGCAGCGCTCCCAGTACTTGGACCTGAATGTCTGTCAGAGCACAATCGCCTGAAGAGGATCTTCATGGCCCACCTGCCATGGTCCATCAACCTTCCTACCGGCATTGACCACCGCCCCTCCCTCGTCTTGCTTCGTCACCTCTGGAGCATCTCGAGCCTGTTTTCTATACTGAACCGCGAGCAGTACCAGAGCTCCAAGAGCCACCGGTATGGGATACCACTTAGTCGGGGTCGACCAGACCTTGGATATACGATCTGGGACATCATCAGCCGCCGCCGGGCTTCCGGCAGACACAGCAGCGACTCACCTCGTAAAGATCCACGAGGCGAAGGCGAAGGAGTAGAGTCTATCTTCTTTGAGTCTGTATTCAAAATCGGTGGACGACGTGAAGAGGTAGAGTTGGGTCGACGCCATACAGCCCGAGTCGACGCTGCCGCTGCTGCAAATCTAGGATGAATGCCCTGTATGGTATCACGCCGTAAACCCCGAGCGCCGATCAGAATCACCGATTGAGCTTGGGGTCGACTGAGCAGCGGATGAGAGAACATCCTGCTTGCTTATGACTCGACCCTCAGGTCACCTGAATGTACCAATACTGCAGTCTACAGAGACAAAAGGACAAAGCTCAAAATGCAATCAACCACTATTCCAGCTACTGAGTAATAAAACGTCATTTTTGATTTTATAGCTCTACTTTATTTGCACTGTTCATCCATCATGGCCTTGGACACGGCGTATCGGACGCGTCGACAGCCATCAAGATGACCATGATGGATGTTCAGAGCCTTGTAAATGCTCTGCGCCGCAGATACGCGGCTCCACGGGTCGATCCAGTGAGTTTCTAGGAGCTGAATAGCATCTCACCTTTCAGGAATGGGTTCGACAATGCGCCCAGGCACTGATCGAAGATGGTCAGCAGGCGACGCTGGAGGCAGTCGTGAGATAAACCCCCCCCCCCCCCCCCCCCCCCCCTACCCCAAATATCCTACACGCAGATGGTTCGCTCATTGTGGCCGGATAGCATGATCAATTTCTTTGGTCCAATTTGGCTCATTCGACGCTGCCCAGCAATGCCACGCCTGCTGATCCCTCATCTTCTCAAAGCGCATTGCTATTCGTGGAACCCACGCTCCTACAGATTGAGAGTATCACAGAGATTGGGTCATCGGCATTCCAACTGCAGAACACCGTCAACATGCGTCGGGTCGTCATCGAGGGACGGACCAGGATACGAAGGATAGACGATCCTGCGGACGGGGAAGAAGTCGATGATGCGAATATGCCAGTCTATCCTAGGGGCATGCTCCGTTTCGAGCTCAGCGACGGGCGATCCAAGGTCCGAGCGATCGAATACAAGCGGTTGAATGGATTGAAGCTCGGGGAGACACCCTTAGGATGTAAGGTCAGTCCAGTACTTGCAACACCTTTGGACAATGGCAAACTAAACGACCCCGTCCACAGCTTCTCGTACATCGCGTGCGATCTGTCCGTGGCATTCGTAAGTGCAAAAAGAGGAGTGACTGTGACTGACGGCTCATCGATGGCAGTTCTTCTCCAACCCGAGAACACAGACATCATTGGAGGCATGATCGAGGATCTCGAAGCAAAGCAAGCAGAATGCTTCATCTCATCACTCAAAGCTCGGATGGACGCCGCTGCGAGACGTGAAGCTCAGCCCACAGTACCAGTTAGACGGACTCGAGCGGCTCCACGTGCTACCACACGCCCTCCACCACCTCGTCCCGCCCGACAGGAGACTGCTACACAACGCATGGTCCCCGGGCCTTCGACGCCCAATACATCCAGCCGACCTCAACGGGCTGCGGGACAATTCGCGAGTGCCAGAATTGGACGCATGTACGATCAAATCGCCCATCCGGATCGAGACGCGGTCATAGGCGCGGCGGAGGGATCAGACGATGAGTTCGAGTCCTTTCACGTGGACGAAAGCTTCTTCCGGCGGGTGGATCAAGCTGAGCGACAAGCTGAGCGACAAGCTAGTCGGGGAAGAAATGACATTCACCAGGTTGAGAGTGACGAATTTGACGACATTGACGTGGACGACAGCTTTATTCGACAGATTGACGAGGTAGAAATGAGATCTTGGAACAGGAGGCAAGTTCAGAAACGGGGCCGCGGGGATTTAGACACAGAAGATCTCGAGGATTTCGACTCTGGCAAGGAGAACAAGCCGATCGTCATTGACAGCGACTGAGGGGCTCTGTTGAATCCTTGTTGTGCATACTATTACACTACCATTGCGTCCTAGAAAAAGCGACATTCGGAATCTGAGCCACGTCAATTTTCCAAGCTTCCTCCGAGTCCCTGAACTAGCCCAGCGATAAGGTGCCTCTTGATAGACAGGCCTTCACGGTATCTGCAGATGATCCATCCACCTCCGGATCCCCTCGTCGCCGCAGCCCGACAGACGAGTTCGGCGGCCATCCTTCCTGTGTTTATCCTATTCTCTCCATCTGCCTCTCCGCCAGGATCCAACTGCATCTTGAGAGCTTTCCAAGAATCTTCCAGCAACAAATGCTCGTTGTCAGATCCGTAAGCGGAATCGGGATGTGCACCATTGAATGCGCAGGGGAAGGATTGACAGAGTCGGGTCGCAAAGATGAGCAAACCTGGATCATTGACGACGTGCGAATCGCTCAAATGGCAGCAAGATTTCAATCGGGTCAAGAGGTCAGGTTGACCGGGCGAGCCGCCGGATCCAGGAGCAGATAAAGGTGGGGTAGGAGGCGAACGATGGTCTAAGCCAGTGTGATGAGCCGTTGGCGGGGGACGTTGATCGCTCGTATCGGTGGGACTGGCAAACATGCTGAACATGTTGTTGAAGGAGGAAGCAGAAGGTCCAGATGAACCTTTGAACAGGTTGGATTCCATGTGACTGGAGAAATCGGGGAAACTGGATTCTGGCGAGACGGGGATATTGAAAGGCAAGGAAGGAAGATTGTAGGCAAAGCTGGAAGACTGATCTGAGGGTCCACCAAAGAGGGATAGAGAATCGTTTCTCGGTAATGCCGATGAGCCACTGGCAGCTCTTGGACTGAGGGTGGCTGTATCTCTCCCTCGATCACTTTGTTCCGAAGATTCCGGTTCAGGTAGACCTTTTGCTCTACGCTCTCTTTCCCTAGCTTCCTTTCTCGCTCGCACGCGTTCACTCATGGGAACACCACCTTCTTTGAGAGATTTACCACGTCCAGTTGGACCTGAGCCAATCTTGCCGCGATCAGCTTCGGGCAGATTGAGTAAAGCTCGAAGTTGAGCATTCTCAGTCTCCAGTGAATTTATACGTTCTTCCAGCGAGGCCAAATGTTCAGCACGTCGAAGTCGGAATGCTCGTTGGACTTCTCTGGCGCGTGATGGTGGGAGATGATCATTGGGTTTACGACCTCGAGGTTCATGACGATCCTGAAGAATGAGCTCGGTCAGGATGTCTCTGGGGCGCGGCGCCCAAAAAACGTGATGACTCACCTTGGACCCAGTGGGCGGCGGGACTGAACCCGAAGCTGTATCGGCATCGGACATGATGAGGGCTTTCCGTCTATGAAACCGATGAGGTGATATGATGCCCCAAAAACTCCGACCTAGCTATGTGAAATCGATAACAGGATAATAATTTGGTCTCGATGTGAAAGGGTTTGAGAGATTTGCAAAGGGTAGGGGGCGCTGGGTCTTAAGAACAGCAGGGAGGAGGAGGAGGAGGAGGAAGCCGGAGACCGGGCGTGTGCAACGAAGCAGCCGCAGCAGGCCAGCGATGGGCGTTCCCCCCTTGGCCTAGTATGCTACAACTCCGCCCTCCACACACCACAATCCGGCGCCGTTGTTGTCTAATCGATAAGGACCAAAGAATTGAAATTTTGGTCGAGTAGAATGTGCAACACTCACGGAGCAGGGCGAGATTGCAAAATAATGTAATAAACGTCCCCCCCGGCCAGTTGGCATCTCCCTCGACGGAGACATCCGAAAGGGGTAATCAAGTGGGAAAATTCTGCTCGAATTGACGTGGCATTTTAACCTCTCGATACAGACCTAGAGCTGGCACGTCACACCCACTTGAAACCCTCGACCACCTACAGATCAAACGATAGATTGAGAGACCATGGCCGCCTCGAACCCTGCTCAAGCCAGCTCCCATGCCTCAGCTCCTCCCCCCTTGCCGAATGAGCCCATGCCCGAGGATGAGGATGGGAACGATGTCGTCGATGGTGGTGCAGGATCTTCACTTCCTGTGGATCAACCCATACGATCGTTGGGAGACGATGATGACGATGAAGAAAGTGAGGACGAAGGAAGCGATGAGGATGAGGAGGCTGGCAGTGAGGCAAGAAAAGTTGGAGATGCGACCGAGGAACAAGAAGATCCTGCGAGTGGCGTCTCCGCTAAATCATCGAAAAAGTCAAAAGGCAAAGGCAAGGCTCCCCCGGCAACCAACGCGTCTCAACCCTGGCAGGCTGTCTGGTCTGCAGAGCGCAATGGTGAGCTACAGTGAGGCTACGAGATATCCCTGCTGATTGATCGAGTCCAGCTTGGTACTTTTGGAACACAGTGACCAGCGAAGTGACCTGGACGAACCCTCTTCAACCAGAATCTTCGACCTCGTCTGCACCTGCTCAACCTCCATTACCTCCTGGTCCTCCACCGGAGAGTACCACTCAGCCGAGTGCATCGTTTGGTATGCCAGCAGACATTGATCCCGATTTGGCCTATCTTCTTCCGCCATCACAACGTGGAGGTTCAGGGGCTCAATCATCAGCTCAAACGGCTCTTTTCAACTCTAGAACAGGCCGATTCACACCTGCCGACTACAGCTACTCGGTGGATCATTTGGACGAGTACAATCGATCCAAGCGGATGAACAGTCATTATTTCGATGTCGATGCTTGGGAAAAACAGAGAGCTGCAGAAAATGCAAAGCGGAAGAGGGACGCTGAAGCTGGTGTCGAACCTGCCAAGGTCACAAGGAAGGATATGGTGAGTGGAAATGTGGTCCGAGTTCGGGGACACCGTCCTGACAAAGAGTGTCGTCCAGCAACGCTACAAGAAGAAAGCTCAGGAGAAAAAGATGAGACGAGAGGCCTGGCTGAGGGAGTAGATTCGATCACCCGCAGTTCCCTTCCTTCCATGACAGCGCACCTGCATGTCGAGAAAACCGCCTTCTAAGCTCTTGGTACAGCGTCCCTGTGCAACATTTGCAGATGTATCCATGTCTCGTGTTCTAAATAGCCAATGGTCCAAAGGATGAATTTGGGGCTCCAGGCATTTTGAAACTCCAGGGGTTTGTGTGTACAATTTCAAGCGATCCGAGCGTCCAAGCGCTCATGTTCTAGTTTTGTTGTACCCAAACCATTGTCCTGCAGAATGTCATTAGGGCTCTCATCTTGTTGTTCAGCATCTCTCTCGCCCCATCTTGACAGCCGACGACGTCCTGACACACACACACGCACAATCCCGCACGCAACACGTCCTCGGCACCTTGCTTGTCTCTTGGCAGCGACACTTTCCTCTCCTTCGCGGACATAAGACGGCATCATTGAGGGAGCTTGTGGACCTCTTTGGGGCCCTCCATCAGTGACCACCATTCAAGATGCTCGACCGTATTGAACCAAGTACCCTCACGCTGATGGACAGAATCAATCTTAACGACTTCGCGAGCCATATGCGCTACTCCAATACCCAACGACAGTTTCCCAATGGTCGCCGACATGACATGAACAATACCGAGGTGACTGATCTGGACAAGTATCAATTCCGGCCAAAAGCAATGGCCATGGGAAGTCTGATGGGAAGTGTCTTCCAGCAGGTGAGTTTGTTTCTCGCAAAAACAGGGACGACCATTGCTCTGACACTGATTTACCAGGTCATTGGTCTTGCAACCCACTGTGGTGAAGAGCCGAATAGCGGCTATCGTCGAGACGGCTTCAAAAGTACAAGAGGCGAGTCATACATTGCCTTTGACTTTAAGCGTGAACACATCGCTATCCGAGCCAAATTCAAAGCGGACGAATCTCAACTGCCGCCAGCTCTTCGACCCCTCGATGCCGAACTAGCCTTTGACGATATCGCCTCGGAGGGTATCCATATTCGAGACGTCCCGGTGTGGGGTCAGGTCAAACACGAAGTCACAGTGACTATCACCTGTCGGAGACCTCCCAAGTTCTTTGCGCCGTTTGAAGTGAATCAGGAAGATTTGGTGAAAATGTCGGAGCAGGAGCGTAGAAGACTCCCCAGGAGGCGCCGAGCGACGGCTTTGGACTTTGCCATCGCAGGCGTGGTGAGTATTCTATCTGACATAATTCACGGACTCTCCTGATTCGCTCCCAGTCTGAAAGGAATGCTGGTCCGCTGTCCACTATACCTGAAGGTCCTTGTGCCTATGTGAGGAATCGGCCCCCTCTTCTCCGTTAACGTGCAGCCGACTTTTTGGAACTCGTACCGTTGGATCTTCAGCCTTCCTCCTGAGCAGCTCGCGAAGCTCAAGGGCTGCACTCAAAAGTTCGAACGACTCGCCGAGATTGACCCAGACATGCACCTCATGTCCCCTCAGAAGAGGTCCCACGAGAGAACCGACAGATTGGATCCGACAACCTTTAATCAGAGCTATCATTGTCCAGACATGTCAAATATACGGTTCTCGACCCGGTGCCTCATTGAGGGTTTGATCGCCCATGGTATTCTCAAACCTGGCGATGTGCCCAGTCTTCGCGCGGCTCTCAAAACCCACGCCACCGTCCCAGCGTTTCAAGACCGCCTCTTGGAATGTCTCTACAACTTCGAGCGGATCAAAAATGTGGGGTTCATTGTCCAACGTAAGTCTGAGATGTTTGCCTCGTTGACGACGACGTTATATCAGGTCGAGCCCAATTTCTGCGGCGGACAAATCTAACAGTCCTCTCCCATTTGGTCATGATACGCACAGTACTCGTTACACCCACAAGTGTTCTGGTCGGTGCTCCACAACAAGAGCCTTCCAACAGTGTGACGAGACGGTACGCGGATCGACTCGACGGTATCATTCGCGTGCAATTTGCGGACGAGGAAGACAAGTTGCAAGTATGAGAGACACTGCTCTTATCGTTGGCTTGGGCTCATTGGCTCTCTCAGATCCAGGACTTTACCAAACAGTGCGACCAGCTTCGACCCGATATCGGTATCATGGCCAGAGTCAGGCGAGCGCTTCAGCACGGCTTGATCGTTGGTGGCAAGAGGTTCTTACCTGTCGCCTCATCGGCTTCTCAGCAAAAGTGAGGGAAGGGGCTGCGACCAAACTGGAGTAGTTGTTGATTCTTACGCAGGGATCACTCTTTGTGGTTCATCGATCCGACCGTCATCGATGGGTCAGAATTACGAACATGGATGGGTAGCGTCGACGAAACAATCGTTGCCAAACATGCAGCTCGTATGGGTTTGGTAGGTCTGCGGCGAATGTACAGACAGACCTTGTTGACGCCGGCGAAGCCATTTAGCACGAGCCGCATCGTTGATCTTAAGATCACCATAGGTCGAAACCTTGCAGATGTTGAGCGAGGCAAGTACTGCTTCACGGATGGTGTCGGCGTCGCTGGGCGAGCGCTCATGAAGGAAGCGGCCAAGGCGCTTGGGACAAAAACTGGGATCAATGCACAGCCTTCTGCCATACAGGTCCGCTTGGGGTGCGTTAGACCCATCGTGGAGTTGGCTCACGATCCACAGGGGCGCCAAAGGAGTTCTGGGCTGCTGGCCTAATCTTGCCGGGGATCACGAAGTACGACTCCGTCCATCCATGATCAAATTCCAGAGTATCTTGAAAGACCTCAACGTCGTCAGGGTGGGTAAATCTCACGAGCTTGGCCACTCGCCATCGCTGATATAGTCTCAGCTCGCCAAGTACCAAGTGGCATTCCTCAACCGCCAATTCATCCTCATCATGTGTGCCAATGGAGTGCCACACCAGGTGATCAGACAGATCTTTGAAGATGCAGTGAGCAGTATAAGAGGGATGCGCAGAAGAGTCGAGCAAGGCAGACATACTCGGGAAGATCTCAAGTTGATGTCGGTGTGCTCAGAGGTAAAGCAAATGTGATCAGCGCTAGAGGAATGACCAACCCCATCAGTTCCCCTTGACTGCTTTGGTGAAAGCTGGTTTCAACCAAGATCCTCTCATCCTCGATATCATCTCCATCATCGAGTGTCGGACTTTACAAGATCTAAAGTGGAGGGCTCGCGTCAGGCTAGACGGGGGCGTGTATCTCATAGGTTTGTTGATCTGCCCTAAGGCATTTGATGATTGGCTGATCATCGTTCAGGCATCGCGGATGAATCGGGTATGCTCAAGGAGGGTGAAGTGTTCTGCCAGTACCAAGATGAGGGACAGGCGAAACCTGTCATTGTGCAGAGCGAGGTTCTGGTCTGTCGAGCACCGGCTTGTGAGTTTCAAGACTCAGTCTCTATGAAATTGATTCGTTCAGTGCACCCTGGTGATATCAGGCGTGCAATGGCTGTGGATTGCCCGGCCTTGAGGCATCTCAAGAATGTGATTGTGTTCAGCATACATGGCGATCGAGATCTGCCGAACCAGTGAGTATATGAATGTAGGCCCATCTTGACGCCGGCTCAGGCTAGGAGGTGGAGACTTGGACGGAGACGGTGAGGCACCTCATAAAATTGGGGGCTGATCTCACACAGACTTCACCTTGATCTGGGACCAACGGTTCGTCCAACCACTCCGTGTACACCAGCCTATGGATTACACGGCACCGGAACCTATCAGAGTCGATCGAGTGTCACAAGAGCACTTGAACGAGGTATATAACGGCCCGGGGTCATCCGTACTGACATGCCAGAACTTTGTGCAATACATCATGAACGACGTTTTGGGTCAAGTTGACAACAATCATCTCGCCTTGAGCGACCTGTATGATCCCTTCCATCCCGATTGTCTGCACCTATCAGAGGTTCACAGTGTGAGTGCTGCTCGAAAGCCCTGAGGCGAGCTGACGTTTTGTAGACCGCGTGAGTTGATCGATACCATTCTTGCACCGACTTCTAACACGATCATGCAGCGTCGACTTTGCCAAGAGTGAGTGAAGAAACGCAGGCTCGGATCTGCGCCGTGCTCATCAATGTTCTAGCTGGTGTCGCAGCGGTGCTGGACCCTAGCCTTCGACCCAAGTCATGGCCTGATTTCATGGACAAGGTGGGTTAGACATACACATTGACCGAGCCTGCTTCTGGTTTTGACGATCATCCAGGACGCCACTAAACTAGTTTACGAGAGTCAGAAGATCCTGGGCCAGCTTTTCCGAATAGTTCGCTGTCTTTTTTCTCCCCTTATACCACCGACGCTTACGATATGCAGGTACAACCAGACCCGCATTTCCGTTCTGCCGATCTCCAAGCTATGCAATATCCTGTCGATTTGCGTATCACTCGTCATCCAGTCTATGCCAGTCTCATCGAGAGGCTCAAACCCATCAAGGCTCAATTCGAATCGTCGATGGCTTATGACATGAGACGGTGAGTGGGAGAGCATGGGCACGTCTTTTGCTGATTGCACGGCGTAGATACCGAGTGACTGAGCCGGAGATCCCGTCTGGTATCGCTGTAAAGAACAAACGACGCAAGCGAGCTCGTGATCAGAATCTGAATGTGAGCCGAGGCTTCCCGGAATTGTAATTGACTGTTTTATAGGAACCCCTTCAAGACGCTTACGAGTGTCATGTCGGTGTGGCCCGAGAATCCTCCCGCGAAATCTTCAAGCATGTCATTATCAAATCGAGATTGACTGAGATGGAAATGGTAGCTCGTCATGCATATGCGCTGACCTATGAGAAGCATTACGTGGAGGAGTGGATCGCCGAGGTGCGAGCTGGCAAGTGGGGAAGTATGGACCGAGGCGACGATGGAGATGATCAGCCCGAGTATCTGAGGTTCAAGTGAGTGTGAACAAGCGGCAGGGAGGTCCGTAACTGATGGAGATTTTCTACAGGCCGATGATGTGTTTCGCCTGGGTGTTTTGTCAAGAGTTGATGCAGCTCGCTGAGAAGGAGATAAAAGTAGAGCCATAATGTTATTTTGTAGATGAGGGACCTCGTTTTTGGTTATATATGTGTGTGTGTGTGTTCCTGACGATTATCCAGCGGAAAATGTAGAGCGAATCGTGTCGCCGTTGCCTCGCTGACATGTAGACGCGGGCCGAGAACCCGGCCTATGGGATTTTTCTTGGCAGCCGCGCACCTCGAACCGAGCAACGGGGGGCATTTGATTGATTAGCAAAGGAAAGGGGTGGACGCAGTCCACTGTACCTTGTCATGCCTCGTTGACAGTTGGCATAAGCCATCTTCTCTCGTATGGCTGTGAGCAGAAGAGAGGGAGACCCCATGTCTGAACTGGAAGTGAGCCTTGACAGCAGTAGTCACAGGTCGAGAATTATTCGAATGACTGGGCGAGAAACGCCACACAATATATTCGTTCTCCCCCCCTTTTCTTTTCTTTGTCTCTCTCCCCCTGTCGTTTCAAACCCCTTCTCCTCCCCCTTCCTTTTCGCTCGGATAAACTCAAAAAAACTCCCCCGTGTGATGAAAGGTCGATCAAATCCTCATCGAGAATCTGGGTCCTTTTTTGGAATGTGACTGCTCTGTTCACTGATTCTTTGGTTGTTTGGCAGGAGGGGGGGGGGGGGGGTCGAGTCCGAGACGCCATTACTCTAGGCACATAGTAGAGACAAAGAGGGAGAGTGCACTCAGCGTCATCTGATCGATGACGAGAAGGGAAGAGGCGGCCGTGCGCATGATTAATGACCTCGATTTCTTTCTGAACTGATAACCCAAGCTTCCCGCACCTTCCCGCTCCTCTATTCTCTTGCTCTGGCCATCCACGACACACTCACACTCACACACATACACTCTCTCTATCTCATCGTCATCGATGCTATCTCATCATGACTGACCTCTCTCACACAGACTGTGTCTGGTACCTGAGAGGAAGGAAGGAAGCGAAGGAAGGGGGGGGGGGGGGGGGGCAAGGGGATGATGGTCGAGCATGAGTATGGGAATGAAGACTCTACCTCATTGACACACACCCAAAGCAGCTCTGCTGACGGTCCCTCACTCTCCTCCCTTCCCTTTCGACCTTTTGACTTTTGAGGGTTGACCATCAAACAAGAAAAACCCGTTTACATTCCTTTGACTATCTGCCGCGTCGAGGCCACACACACCCCTGTTCCTCTCGCTTGCTCTCGCTCTCCTTTATACTGACCCCGAGGAAGGTGTCTCTTCTCTCGTTATCATCAACTTCTTTCATTCTTTCTCTTTCTCTCTCTTTCAGCTCATCTCTCACTCTCACTCTCACACCTTTCCAATCACCTATAGATTCACCTAGACGACTCTCGACTCCTAGATTCAGCCTCTCTCTCTCTCTTGATCAGCATTCGACCCCGCTGCTTTGAGCCATCAGAAAATCGCCTAGACGCCTCCTCCTCCTCCTCCTTTGGTCACTCGTTCAACGCGATAAGGACACTTCCAATGCGCGCCATCTCTCTGCTCTCCATCACCTCGGTACTCGGTCTCGTCCTCGCTCATGGACCAGGTGGACCTCCTCACGAGCCGGCTCCTCCACCACCACCCCCGCCTCCTCCACCTGCTGGAGGACCCCAATGTGGTTCAGTGACCTCGACCCATACAAAGACAAAGTAAGCGAGGTGATCAGTGTTCCCACCGGCCACAAACTCATGATACCCTTTCTCAGATACTCCCAGACTTGGGCACCCGCAGTGACCGAGACCGTCACCAAGCACGACCATTTCTGTTACGAGATTCAAACCATCACTTCCACTGCCAGTAAGTTTATGATCGGTTATCGGGCTGTACCACGAGCTAACCCCAACCCCTTAGCTGAGAAGACCAAAGAAGTCGTTAAGACGGTGAGTTGGCGCCCTGTAAGCGAGCTCGAAGCCAGAAGCTGAAAGAGTTCTCCCCCTCCTCCCGATAGACCATCACCACGACTCCCACCTCGACTGTCTTTGCCTTTGCTCCTCCTTATTCAGTCACTTACAAAACAACCATCACTACCTGCGCGCCACCTGCGCCCACGTATCACAAGAGGAGCTTGGGAGTCGATGACGATCTAGAGATCAGAGACATTGATTCACTCACCAATGCCGAGCGTCTTCGTCGAGGTCTTCCGATCGCTGGTCCCAAGTTCAAGCGTACCGGAGGACATGGCGGACCACCGGGACCTCCTGGTCCTCCTGGTCCTCCCGGTCCTCCCCGCCCGAGCTGCACGCCCAAGACCATCGACACCACTGTCACCAGCACTTGGGTCAAGACCGTAACTCCGACGTCGAAGACCTTCACCACTGAGTGTTACAAGACGAAGACCTTGGATGTCATCCGTGAGTGATTGTGTGATTAATGTGTCAGCCTCCATGCTCAACACGCCGTTTTCAGGTACCACCACGGTCACCAAGACCAATGACAAGACAAAGACAGTCACCCAAACAGCCCCGACGACCACTGTCACCGAGACATTGACTCCATCGTACAGTGAGTGCAACGCTGGCCTTCACGTCAAGAACTAAACCTTCCCCCTTTAGCCACAACAAAGACGGTGACCAAGACAAAGGGAACTTGCCCAACTGTGAGAAAAATCCATCTAATGATATGTGACAAGAAGCGCTGACGTCGATCGCAGACTGCTTAGTAGCTGGTCTCCTGAAGTGCTGCTCCTTGGCGGTCTCCACCGCACTTGTACATTCGACCTGTGATATAAATGGACGCTCCGCAGCGCGTTTCGACTTTGGACATCCATTTCATTCGTTCCCAGGAGCCGTATCCTCTTCAAAGCCGACCCTGGTTCCGTCCCGGCCACTATAGAGAGGTGTCGGGAGGGCCAGCAGAGGCCGGTTTCATTTCTGCCTATAATAATTTCCCTCATCCCAGGGGTGATAGGATGGACGTACTTCCTTCACTGTGCCGGTCCTTACGATCATGATTGATAGAGCAAAACTCATGGACACTATTACTATGATGACAGAGGACAAAGATTAGCTTGCTCGGCATTTGAGGCACTCATGGTTCTTCCTCTTTTTTTCTTTTTGCTGCCTTCCCGTTGTCTCGGAAATCGGGCGACAAAAAGAGAAAAAGAGTTTCTGCAGGGTGAGAGAGCAGTAATAAATTTGACCGGGATCTTCCCGTGGCATCCCGTCTTTCTATCGTACTCTCTCTTGTCTTGTGAGTCCTCCCATGGCAGTGACATGCTCTCTCAAACTCACGGTCAGCAAGGGTTTGGATCATCCCGCTCTTGCCCTCAGTTATATTAGTGCTTATTCTATGGTAACGGTCTCGGATAAAGGGTTGATCGGCGTGAAAACCTCCCCGAATCAAGGGATCGCCCTGCTCTTTCTGCTCATAGATCAGGCTGTCATCAGGGCAAACCCCGAAGCCTGATACCTTTTCAAGCATGAACGAGTGAGGGACCTGAGACCCGACAGAGCACGAAGTCAGAGGGAGTGAGTTCCCTCTCGCATTAGTTCTTCCGTCACACCCGCTGATGGATGAAGCGTGACACCCGAGAGAGCTCAAAAGCTGAAGAGACGCCGATCAGACTGGCATGTCTCCGATTGCCATCGCACGAGGGTTGCAATCACAAGGCAAGACGTCGTAATGCTGGATAGTGACAGAATATATGAACTTGCTAGGTTGCAGCAACCTTCGCGTCCCACTCACCTCATTCGTCACACACCTGACTCATCCTCTGGACAGAGGTCTGTTGACCATTGCAGCCCGCCGCCAAGTGCTTCAGATCTCTGCAATCTCAGCCCTCTGTCGATCCAACGACTTCTATCATGGACACTCTTTCCTCCCTTCCTTCGTCCTCAACGCTCAGCATGACATCTGACGTGTTCAAAACTCTGCCTCAGATCCCCATGGATGCTTCCATGGCCCAATCGACTCAAGAACGGTCTACCCCATCCTCATCCTCCGCCACACCATCGTACCGACAAGACGAGTTCTTTTCGATGCATGACTTGGAAATGAAGCTCAGAGAATCGCAAGGCAAGTCCGTCCATCGTTGAGTGCCAGAGTCATCGCTAACCCAGTCCTGCAGGCATTCGACTCAGCGTACAACGAGCCAGAAAAGCATTGCGACGGAAATCACCACCTCGATACGACTTCACGCCTGCTTCACCTTCAGATCACTCCTCCGTCGGCTCGCAACCTCAAACACCCGCTCTTGACCTATCGACCCATTTCGAATACCCCTCCCTGCCCTCAGAAACGGCATCCTACGTAGACTCGGACAGGGACTCGTGGTCGCTTTCACATCTGCCTCACGATCAGGGGCTTGGATACGCCGCTTCAAAGTCCCTGCCACATATCGACGACAACACTTTTGATACGCAGAGACCTACATGGTGCAGTGAAGTCAACTCCTTCGGCAGAATACCGAGCATGGAATCGGTCATGAGCGATCCAGCCTTTCTCTTACCCTGTCAATTCATGTGCGATCTCTCCTGTCCGGAAACCATGGAGCAATTGACAAAACTACGACAAGCGGCTGCAAACCTCGAGGCTTGTCTTCAGAGAGTCTCTGCATTGCCACTGGCCTCCGAGGCGGATGTCTCGATCTCGATGTCCGCTCCCACTCGCCCGGTTGTCAGGCGAATTCGACGAAAGGCCGTCCCAACTCCTTACGACGATTCCACTATCTCGCACAGTATCTCCATCACCCCTGCTCCGTTTGTTCCCACTACACCGACCCGCATCGCACCGGCTGTTCCCAAGCGGAGTCCTGTTCGACCCGCGCCTCGAAAAAGCAGCCTGATCAGCGCCTCATCCACCCAACCGGTCGCTAAACGCTCAGCATTGGCCTCTATGTATCAAAACTCGCGAGCGTCTCAGTCTGTGTCTGAATTGACATCCCGCGTGTCAGCCTGGTCACCTTTTGGATCCCGTTCTACCAACCGACCTGCCATTTCGAGTCCCATGCGAAGGACAAGTTGTGACACGCAGTCCACCCATTCGGACATTTTGGACTCGGGCTCGTCATCCTCCGGGACATCCTTTTCCGCTACATATGCCAAGACCTCTACCGAGTCGTTGGCTCTGGCTCGATATACAACTCCTACAAAGCCCTCCGTCTCTCCTCGAACATCCAGTATGACTCCTGGGTTGAGCCAATTTGCAGATGCCCAATTTGGCTATCATCAAGCGTCATCAGGATCTTCACTCTCGACACACATGCCAGCAGGTCAAGGCAACCAAAACCCTCATGGACCGTTGTCTGAAGCGGAATCTGGTCTCAAAAAGCTGGGAATGGGGCTCAGTCGGGGGATGAGCAGTGTACTCAACCTTGGGTCCCTTGATCGGGGATCGTCTCTATCGGCGATAGAAAACAAGGAACGACCTCTGCGGACGCACTTCAGACTCCGACGATCCGACCTCAGCTCGAGAGCTGCCAACGACCTCTCACGCAGCTCGCCAATGGGGGAGGAAGAAGCTCAGATCCAGCCATCAAAAGTCAAAAGACGAATCTTGAGTATGCCAAGAGTATTCAGTTCCCGATAAATAATCATTGTATCGTTGAGTGCGATGCATACTCTCGTCAGACATAGACTTGCTCAGAGTGCCAACCCAACCTCGGTGACCATGCTGATTATATCCTCTCGAGTGTCAAAGACTCGTGCTTCCCCCACTCCGATACTGACCATCGGACCAACGGAAACGATGCTCGCGGTGTGCAAGTCCTCGTCGCTTGCCTCGGACGCCAAGGACACACTGTCACGCTGCGTCTTACCGATAGGTGCTGACGCGGACCGTCTTCTCGCGAACGATGACTCGGAGAGAACATGGTCCAAGCCATCTAGGCCTAGACCAAAGCATGAAGAGGCAGAAGTCGGCTCCTCCTCCGCGGGACGCCAACTCTCTGTGCTCCGATACACGGCTTGTCTACTCGAGGAGGCTGAGTTCGAGCCGGCGGACTGCAGTGATGACAGCGAGCTGGCAGATAATGAGTCGTCGACGAAGATGCCAGAGCTAGGCGTGTTGGGTGCTGCTTTCGCCGTCTTGTAAAAAGCCACCCTATGGTTCACTTTGTAGTATGGCAGCTTGCTAGAACCATCTTGGAGATCCAGAGGGGGAAGTGGAGCTCGACGGCGATGTGCCAGTGGGGCGGTGATCGAAGGGGGTTCCGGAAAATCCAGTCCGAGGCCTAAACCGGGATTGAGCGGTTTTTTGTCGGTCTGCCTGGATGAGGATTCCGCAGTCATCCCCATGTCTAGAACATCCGAATCCAGTGAAGCCAGCATTGAACCCAACGCCGCCTCAACATCGGGGAATGACATCAGGGACGATGCGGAAGAGGACGATGATATGCCACTGGTCGATTGAGCCGTCGGCATTGACTCGTACGACGATCGTGCCGAACAAGAGGAGACAAGAGACGGAAGTGAAGGAAATGATTCCAAAGGTTGCACAGGCGTCTGGTTCTGAGGCGGGAGCGTAATCGTGACAGTGCTTTCACTCGATGGCAAAACGGCCAGCGGTGCAAATGGAGTGAATTGCAAGTCGACGTCAATCGTGGGCGACCCAGTCGCCTCGGCTGCGGCCTCAGAAGGATTACTGTGAAGGATCGGAGCTTGCTCCAGTCCCACCACGGCACCGCTGCAGGATCGGTCCTGTCCGTTGTCGAGCTGAATCGATTCGAATCCGTCTGATAGATCTTGAGGAGTGGCTGGGATAATATTCAACTGGGGCAGTGCCCCAGACTCGAGCGTTGCGTGCGATACATCGAGCGAGAGACCAAAGTTGTTCATTCTCATTCCAGACGCGAACAAAGACGAGTGCCTCACAGGTCTCGGTACGAGCTCCGGGGCATCGTTGATGATTCTCGCCGGCAGATCCTGGGACTGCCTTCCTCGATCAGCCGTTGGTCTGTAAGGGGAGGGCGGGGGCGGAGCACGCTGCTGCATGGTAGAAACATAGGCGCTTGGAGGGGTAGTGACATGGTTGGAGGGAAGCTGAGGGTTCGACAACGGAGAGATTTCTGTGGAAGATGTAGGGGGTGAGACCTGGAATGACCTGGATCCAAAGGAAGATGTTGTCGGCGAAGGAGGGCGAGAAGACCGCCTGCCGCCAGATTTGGCAGTAGGAGACGACAGGCTCACATCAAGCGGCCTCACAGCATCGCCACTACCGTCGTGATCAGAAACGACCAACATGGGCGGAGCCATTCGGCGTGGCAAGGGCTCCTGACGAGTTGGAGTCACAGATGGCGAAGCATGGGATAACGGTGTAGCCGGCTCTGAGGTGAAGCGGATGCGCGACGGGGACGTAGACCGAGTCGGATTAGCTGGGCTGCGCAGGATCGGAGGCGGAGCAGGAAGATTTGGAGGGTACGCTATGACCGGCGCCGATACCGGCGCGGACTTTTTCCTCCAAGAGAACATGATGGTCCCTGAGGTCTCTGATCGATGAGACAGCGCCGCGTAGAGTTCGGGTCGTAAATATACAGGATGCTCAGGCTGATAGTAGTTGTATACAATGTCGCGCTTGGTAGGTCCAGATTTGCCAGATCACGTTGTATGGTTACTAGAAGGAACGCCCGAGATAAGATGTAACGAATGTGTTGAATGAATGAATGTGGTAGCTGACGTTTGTCAAGCTGTTGGTCGGCAGGGAGAAGTGTTAATGCGCGAGGCTGGTCCACGAGGCCATATGACGGATGATGATTGATTGATTGATCGACAGACCAGCTAGCGCAAAGGTGGACTGATGATCTGAATCAAAAAGAAATCCGTCGCGACGAGGCAGGGGGGGAAAAGGGTAGTCACCTGGTCTGCGATTTTCCTCTTTCTTCTACCGTATTTAAACAGATCCCAAGATTCAAGTGCGCACCCCACAACCTCTTTAACGCCGTGCTCAACTTGCAAAGTAGCAAGGACAGACTGACAACAAGGCTCTCTCTCGCTCGCTGCCTTGCCAAGGGGTTCGTTCTCCTATGTGATGGGTGGCGTCGTAAAAAGAAAACGAAAAGAGTGAACGAACCTCTCTTTGAAAGACGTAATCAAAGAGGGGGGGGAGAGATCACCTTAGCTTCAGGCGCTGGCAGGGAGAGGTGTAGAAAGGAGTTTTGCGCCAGATTGCAGACGTGTGTCGCACAGCCATATGCAGGCATCGTTGACGAGCAGTTTGCTGATCCGGAGCTGTCCGGCTCTCCTCTCACCTGTCCCTTGAATCTAGGCGCCTTTGGTGAAAAAAGGCAAATAGACTGCGGCTCACAGCCCAAACAAGATCAAAGGCACAGAGGCGTCAATCACGGCACAGACGTCGGACGAAAGGGCAGAGAGAATGCCATCCACATAAACACTCGTGAGGGGTAATAAACTGCGAAGTGAAGGACACCGAGGAAGGAACGCAGAGACGTGTAAAATTCCAGGTATAAATTTTCCACCCTTTTTATGGAATCGCGGCAACAACATTCACGCGTGCCTTGTCCAGGCTCCACAGCCATAGGGCTTTCCGGGCCGCGCACGATTCTCAAGAGATCAAGAAATGACATGCAGACCTTCCAAGATCATCATATGCATGCCTGCCAAGATGAAGAACAACAGATGTACCAATGACAAAGACCTCTAGAGGGCCTGAGAGGGTCAACCCAAAAGCAAAACAAAGTCGCGCTATGCGTCGTGTTCCTTTCTTTTGCGGGGTTTCTGTCGGCCTTCGCGTTTTGCAACTTGTCGAGCAAGTCTCAGCCCACACCTGCGATACGTCATAAGACGTCGGCACTCCCCACCGTTCCGCTTGACTCACGCATTGCAGAGATCTTTGATGCCGCTCTCACTTCGCCGCCACTCAGGACTCTCGGTTGTCGCGCACAATCGACAGCATTGGACGTCTCCTGGGGGTCTGATCAGTGGTCGCGAGCTGCTTGACGCAGTCGTTGCAGACGTCGAACGCCTAGCCGATGACATCGAGGAAGATAGATCGAGTCTCGGTCCGTCACGATCACCCGAGGGAGCCGGATATGCTGCTGATTCTTGGAGGAAGGTTGGACTGAATAAAGGGTCCTCGATGTAGGGAGACTGCGACGGATGCGAGTACGAGAGACTCGATGGCGTCTGGGGAAAGGGCATGGTGTAGTTGCTTTGGTTCCATTCATTAGGCATTTCGTTGATCCGGGCCCAATCCTGCTGCGGTGGCACATAGCCATAGCCCAGCATGGCCTCTTGAGTGACTCCGTCCTGGCCAGATTGGGTTGGGCCGGCATGTGTGACGTGTTCGGGAAGCCGTTGCTGCAATTCCACCTGCTTTGTTGTTTGATAGCAGGAGAAGATCAGGTTTCCGTAGGGAATGAAAACACTCGTTATCTGACGGAAGAGACCTTCGGATGTCACCGTGTGTCTGGCGCCAAATCTGGTGGTGCAGTTGGTCCGCTGCTCGATAGGGGTCGCTGGCAGTTGATTCGGATCCATGTCTACGCCTCTCATGAGATTCGAGTATTCTTCAGCATCATACGACCCATCAAGTATAGAGTCGGAATCGCTGTGCCGTGGCGGAGGCCATGAGAATGTGAGCGTGTGCGGCTCAAGAGGGGACATGGAGGCTGTATGGATTTGAAACACCCTAGAAGGAGGGTAACGAGACTGAGGCATGAAAGGCAGGTAGTGAGATATGCTCTGTGACAGTGCGAGGATTTGCTGAGGGGGATCCAGGATGTCAGCTCGTCCTTGTTGTTTCGTGAATAGCCCTCACATCGTCGCCAATGCTGGCCGTTCCACAATAATTGGTCCATTCGTCATTTCTCCGGGCGGGGTCATTGTTGGCGACGGGATCCTTGTCTCGTATCGCGTGGAAAAAGGCCAACTGAAGACAATGAGCAAGATCCCTGTAGTATACGGATAAGACTGACCAGCAGACCATCAGCCACCTGGATGCGTCAGTCATCACCATGATCGTGTGAATGTCAATGTCGCTCACCCAGTTCAATACGAGGTCTAGTATGAGATATTCGTCATCTTCCACGAATGTCTGCGCGTCAAAAGGTTTCTCAATGTCATCCTCGCTCGCTCCGAGTAGGCGCCTTATCTGGCCGAGACGGGCGAAACGGACTCTAAAGCTGAGCGTCAGCCTGGAAAGCAGGCAAGACATCGCAGCGAAGATCAAATTTCACCTTGTCACACTTCCCTGCAGGTCATCTGCTGCGATTGCGCTGGCTAGATCGGATCTAGCCTCTGGGGACATGTCTCTTCAGCCGCTGCCCTGCTTAACACAGACCGACTCACGCTCGCGTTCTGCTGGATGAATGAAGCTGAGAAGGCTTCGTCCCAGAAAAGACATCTTTTGTGCTGCCATGTGCACCGAAAGCACCGGATCAGGATGCACGAAGAGCAGATCGAATCTTGAACCAGGATCCAAACAGCACAAAGCCCAATAGCATCTTATACCGCCGACCCGCTAAGAAGTCATCAGCTGTGTGTCCGTTTTGCATAGATCAAAGTGGATTCTCTTCGCCATTAACTCGATCAGAGAGGTACCTTGTTGCCGGTAGTAGGGGCAACAGACAGGAAATTCTGTGGAACAAAGTTTGGCTCACCGGCACCCCTCGAGAGCTAGACGACGCATTCGATGGCGTGGATCTGGCGCTCATCTACGCTCCAAGCGTTTCAGCTATGCCACGTGAGTATCTTGCTAGGGGGGGGGGGGGGGGGGGCTCTATGAGCTGATCGTGTCGGGATCTTGTCGCTGCCCTGTGGGGGACTGTGTGTGTCCGTTATCTAATCTCCCGCTAAGTGAATGATCTTTGACGCCTGTCCCCTCACCCGGTACCGGTGGTGTGTGATTAAATGTGATCGAACGAGTGATCGAAGAAGTGATCGACGGATGATGACGGCGGGGGGGAAAAAAGGACGGTAAAAAATCTTTTGGGGTTCTCTCTTTTCCCCTCTGGACTCCCCCGCGCGTGTTGGCAGCCGGCCGGCCCAGCTTATTATTATTTAGACTTATTTTTCATAACATTGTTACAGAGACCTCTGTCCTATTCGATACATTGAATGGGCTAACTGCTCGTTGATGGTTCTCTCATGCCAGATAGGATCTGGTCGACAAGACTGACGAGATTCAGTCGCGGTTGGGCGACGTCAAGTGTATCTATGACATGCTTCAACCTTTGTGATGAGATTTCCGACTCTTCTCCCTCGACCCTACCCTCGAGGTGAGCGAATGGCAATTCTGTGGTAGGGTGCAAAGTCAGGACGATGATTGGGCAAGAGTCCCTCAGAATGAGAGGCATGCTTAGACCCATTGACCTCTCGCCAAGCCGTACCGTTATAGGGACAGCGGCGGAGTCTGTCACCGTTTTCAGCCAGAAACATCTCTGCGGACCAACCTAGCGAAAGATCTTCATCGACGAAAGCCTCAGGTTCGGAAGACATTCGTTCCAGCGCGTCAGGCGCAAAGGCACTTATGAACCATGAATTCAGGATGATTTGCAGATGTAGTTGCTGGCACGAAGTCAGCCTGGAACGCCTTTTCTAGGGACCCACGTCAAGCTTGCCTGCAAGGTCCCGCTGTGAGCGTGAGACAGGGACTTGGCCAACAATCAGACCAATGGGTCCAGGCTCTGACATGCTGTATCGCTGCTGATATCCTTTTTGTTGACCTTCGGATGTCAGATGATGCACAAAGTCGGACGCGTAGGCAAAGGTGGAAGTGCGACCTGCTCGATCGCCTTCGAGGCGTGTCTTTCCCATGTCAGGCGAGCGAACACCTAGAGAGCTTACGAGCAATTGTTCCACCCGCATTGAACCATCCCAGCTGGAGATCTTGGCATTTCCGGCATCATTCTGTAGCCATAATCTCCTGACCACCACTCCTTCTGCGATGGAACTGCTCCTTGCGACATACTGTAGAACCCAGTCTGCCGCCGTCCATGGATCAACCACAGCTTCTTGCTGAGGTGCGCGTGAAGTTGAGGGCTTCAGACAGAACTGCACAGGAAGACTGGCATTTCCCGCGAAGACGATCGTCGGAAACAAAGTGTCTGCGAGGTTGTATGATCTTGTCTCCAATCAGCAAAGACCGCGGAAACACTGCTTACCCGGAGGATTTTACCATCGATTCCAGCTCAGACACTACCCTCTCGAGTTCGGGAAACCATTGTTGCCTCTCATCTGCTTTCGCGAGCTTGTCCAGGATCTTGAGGTCACTGAATTCTTTTTCGAGAAGGATGATGCTGTCTTGCGTGGCAGTCAGATTCGCGATCTCGGAGCTACGTGACGACATATTCCACGCAGAAAGATACTGCTCAATCCGACTTTTAAGCACTTTGGCGATCCAATCACTTCTGCCGGTTGAGTCACCATGGACATGATTTGCCGTAAGTTTACTCAGTCTGATGCCGCCGCGGATTTGATCCTCTGGAGCGCTGGAAGATGGTCTCCCGTCCAGTGAAATGTCGTCATCTTCTTCGTTCCCGGGCATCGCATCCGTTTCAAGATCTATGTCGACGACGAATGCTTCTCCAGCAAGAGTCATGGATTGTTTGAAGAGTCCAAACTGCGAGTCCTCGACGTATGTCTGAATGTCGACTTTGGTCGCAATACGCTTGAGCAGTTCCGACGACGACAGCTCCGTCAAGGGTGAGACCAAAGAAGCACCGCTCGCAAAAGACGGAGCACTGGATGCCATGGCTTCTTCTAAGGCGAGAAGACCTGTTTCCTGCTCACAGCTACAGCGATGAGCATGGTGCGCTGAAAGATTCTGCGACTTACATCTCGCGCAGGGCCAAGCTTAGCTTGATGGCCGCTTCGTCGCCTTTGATTCCACCCAGAATCTTTCGAGCTGCGAGTAGGGCTTCCGCTACCTGCTGTAGTGAACTGATCTGAGAGCTGACGTTCGTCTCTCTCGCTTTGCCCTTTCCAGTGAGATTCGGGGGAGCATAGTCATGTTGGAACGGTATGTTCAAGCTCGGATGTCGAGTCAAGTGTGATATTAGTATAGAGTGCAGCTGAGAGGCCAGACTCGGACTTGACATGCTTTCGGGTGCTGTATGTCGGTGTCCTCAACAGACGAACAGGCTGCATGCAGTTGCTCGTGCCCCACCGGCCGCGGCAGGCCGCGCCGGGTCTCAGGCTTATCACGTGACAGATCATCAGATTTTTGAAGTTGTCCGAGACGCAATTGCATTGCATCCACTTCACATATCTTTCAGGAATTGAACAGGTCCACTTGACCCCAGCGCCGGACTGAGGGTAATTATCTGTCTGTCATGGCGATTCAGGGAGAAATCTTTCCGGACAAAGGCAAAGGTCGGTCGACGTCCGCTGCACAAGAGATCCTGCGCTTCTCGTCTCACCGATTCCTGCGCCAACGATTGGTTCTGTGCATACTTTCCGGTCGCTCGATTCGGGTAGACAACATACGACCTGACGACGTACATGTGGGACTGAGGGACTACGAGATCAACCTACTCAGGCTAGTCGAGAGAATTACAAATGGGTCCACGATCGATATCTCCGTCACAGGTGCATACCTCTGCTCACCAGAGCGTCAAAGAGCTCGCTGATTCATTATCCAGGCACATCGTTTGTATTACACCCTGGAATACTACCTGGAGGGAGGCACACCCATACCTGTCATCTGGGTCGCAGTATCGGCTACTACTTGGAGCTTCTCGTCCCGCTGGCACCTTTCTGCAAGAAGCCATTGACGGTAACACTACATGGAATCACAGGTTCAGTCAATACCGACCTCACCGTGAGCAAATCAGCTGTCCATCGCCCTGACTCTCAGGTCGATAGCATAAGGACTGTGACACTGCCTCATCTTCATATGTTTGGCATAGAGGATATGGAGCTAAAGGTACGACGCAAATCAGACCGTAGCTCACCCGCAGATAATAAAGCGGGGTTCAGCTCCCCTGGGTGGAGGTGAAATCACCTTCTCATCACCCATTGTCCGCCATCTCAAGACCATACAGGTCGTGGATCCTGGCAAAATTGGCAAGCTAAGGGGCATAGCGTAAGTCTAGAGAGACACAACCCGCCACTGAACAGCTCTCAGTTATTCCACACGGGTTTCCCCACAATTTGCGAATCGCATGGTGGAAGCTGCTCGGGGAATATTGAACACATTCGTGCCAGATACATACTTGTACACCGATGTCTTTAAAGGCGAAGAATCTGGAAAGTGAGCCTAGGTGTTTTGCAGCCGCTGAACTCAGATCTCCCGGATTCGGCATTACACTGGTCGCTCAAAGCAGCACTTATACCCTTCACTCTGCAGAAAGTTCCTCCGCGACGAGTCGGATACCAGAAGAAGTAGGGGTACGTGCAGCCAGGCTTCTTCTCAAAGAGGTCCAAAGTGGCGGATGCGTCGATTCTCGCCACCAATGGCTGGTCCTCTTGTTTATGGCCTTGGGCAAGGAAGATGTCGGCAAATGTCTTTTTGGCCAATTGACCAGCAACACGTGAGTCTAAGTCTATACTCAAAGCCTTACACCTCTCAGTGTCCAATTTATGCGCGACATGCAAGCATCATTGGGGGTACGATTCAGAATCACCGATGCCGGCTCAAATCTATTACTCCTGAGTTGTTTGGGTGTAGGCTACAGCAATGTCAACAAGAGGGTCGACTGATCGCTTGTTGTATGCGTCGTATGCACGTCGAGGACTCCTGTGCCCTTCATGCACAAAAGATCTACCTTGCGGTGTCCCGCAAATGCCATCACGAGTTTTTGCTTCCGTTTGCCTCGTGCCATTTCGCCTCTAAATAAAAGACCATCTAAGCGGTTACAAAGACGCCGTCACAGCTACTCTGCTTCTCGTGGGGACTTCGTCTGCCCATTAGACAACTGCGAAGCCATGTCTCAAGTCCGAGCAGTGCATACGTTCACGGCTGAGCATGGCGATGAGCTCGACTTTGCGGCTGGGGAATTGATCGATGTGATTGAGAGAGACGAGGGCTTTGGAGATGGCTGGTGGAGGGTGAGCTCAACTCTATCCGGCCTGGCATTGACGACAGGGTCGGAACGCGCGCGGCGAGGAGGGGCTCTTCCCTGCCACCTATATTGAGGAGCTCAGTCTTGAGAAAAAGGAGACGGAACCGAGTCCAAAAGCCTCCCCCATACCGACTCCGCTAGAGGAGACCAAACCCTTGAACGACAAAGCCGAACCTCGGGAGAAGACTCCAGAACCTGAATCCATGGATCAGACGATTGCTTCTGTTCAGACCGCCATTGAGACGATGGGTCAGCCTTCGCAAGAGGAAGAACTGGGCGTCGGTCAAGACATGCGGGCGCGTTTGGCAGCGCAGGCTAAACTCGCCAACGACAACAGGGAGAAACAGCGCGCTAGCGGTGGAGTGACGGGGTTGATATATTCAGACGAGAGTGACGATGAGGAAGAGCCAAAGCGCGAGGAGAATGGCTCTATCACCCGGTCGCATAGCTCCAGTGCTCCATCGAGCAGAGCAGTCGCCAATGAACTACAACCGCCGTTGTCCCTGCCTGGGACGCCTGTTAACCAGGGCAACCCCAAGTCATGGAGTGTCGAAGATGTCGTCAAGTGGGCCAAGTCAAAAGGTTTCGATGAGGGCATATGTGCCAAGCTAGAAGGTGAGCTCTTATCGCCAATGCTGCTTGCTGACGACGAAGAGCACGAAATTTCTGGCGATCTGCTACTGGAGCTGGATGCCAATCTGTTGAAAGAGTTGGATATCCCTCAGTTCGGCAAACGATTGAAGCTTGCGCAAGCAATCAATGAGCTGCGACAACCGGTTGCTTCTCCATTACAGAGAGGTATGAGCGCGCCACCGACTGCTCTCGTCGCACAGACACCCGCTGGATTATCACCGCGAATTTCAGAGTTCAGCGAGAACCAGGACGATGCTTGGAAAGACACACGAAGGACAACTTCCGGCTCTGGCAACATGGCACCGCCTGCCACAACGATGGGGACGATCCCCGAACGTACAATCAGCGTCCCATCCAGTCCCATGACGCCAGCATCGTCTGCCACTAAGCGTGAATCTACCGGATCCTCTAGTCACAAAAAGAAGAGCAGCATAGACGGCAAAGATCGCTTAAGCTTCTTCTCACGCAATCGAAAACCGGCTCCGTGAGTGACTTCAAAACGTTTCTTGAAGTTGACGCGTTGTCTTACCCCTGATTGCTTCCCATATAATGTGTGTCCTTTCGCATGACAGCACTGCATCGCCTGGTGACACTCGCGCTCGTCTCGGTGCGACTACTCTAACCCATCAAATCCAACCTGTAACTCCTACCTTCAACCGTGCAGCGTCTGGTGGTGCCAAGGCTCTGCAGCAAATCGGTACGCCAGACCACTCCGGCTATATGCGGAAGAAAGGCGAACGCTACGGAAGCTGGAAGATGAGATTCTTTGTCCTCAAGGGTTCTCATCTTTACTACATGAAGAGCGCCGACGAGGATCGTGTCAAGGGAAATATCGATTTGCGAGGCTACCGCGTGATAATGGATGAGAACGCCCATCCGGGTTCATACGCCTTCAAATTGGTCGGAAATGACAAACCACATGCCTTTTCCTCGTCTGAACAGTCTACGGTAAGGGAGTGGATGAAGGCTCTCATCAAGGCTACTATTGCTCGAGATTACACCGTGCCTGTGACTTCATCTTGCAACATTCCCACCATTCCCCTCGCGGAGGCGCAAGCGATGAGCCCGAGGCCACCTTCACCCGCCACCCGAGAAGCCACTCAGCGAGCGACAAGGCGGGAGAACACGAATCAGCTGACGGCGCATGATGCCAGCGTCTTGATGAGTCTTGACGCGGGTAAGAGGGTCAGCTTGCCCTCGCGACCCAGCCGTGAATTACGCAGCCCGTCAAATAACAACTTGGTGAGGCAGATCAAAGTCATTGATGCTGACTGCGCAGGACCCGGGACGCTCAGACGAATTGGTCAAGTTTGTGAATGATCATCTACCATCCCAGTATCCACGAGCTTCGACCATTCCCGACTCCTTCGTATCGGGCGAGGTCGTTTTCCTACTTGTTCGCCACCTGTCAGGGATTGAACCGAATCCTCCCGTACCTCCTAATGCGTTCGCACCTGAAGATGGACAGCCTAGCATTTCGGGCTTGTTCGCCATGATGGACATTTTGATCGATGCAGGAGTGGACACTGCTGGGGTAAGCATTAATGATGTGAGAAACGGGGATTCAGAAGCGATTGCGAGGCTGGTGGAGAGTGTCCGCGAGTGGTCTCGCACCAGGTCAGGTCCATAGTCTGTGTGATTCGTGGGACAATGGTCATCCTGGGGAATGAGCACAGGACGGAGACTATCTTTTTATCCATGGCTTTGTGAGATCCCGGGCGAGGTCGACATTAGAAAGTTTGGGAGATCATCTTTTTGCTAATTGGGGGATTACCTTTTTTTGTGTCTGGGAGAGAGAGAGAAAAACCTAATGAAAAATGAAACCTCGTGCCTGAACTCTTGTGTCGTCACCTCTCGTCGCTCCCCCGCCGCCGCTTTCCCGATAAAGGAAAGAATTGGGAAGCGCGGGAGAACTTGCTACTCTGGTATTTAACGTATCCGAAAACGAGGGGACTCACTGAACTGACCTTAGGCTTTGAGATTCCTCACAGGATTGACTGATTCCCTCGACTTGATCCCTCCTGCCTTTCTCTCAGAGCCTTGTGTCTCCCGTGTAGGCTCACACGCAGCCGGCGTACTGTCACATCATGGTCTCCACCAGACCCTCCCCAGCTCCTGCCAAGGGCAGAATGGCCTATCCCTCTGCCTCCAACTATACTCCAGGCGATGTTGACAATTCTCCCTCATTCCTCGGCTCAACGTCGCCTCCCACGGATGCAGACAGAGAGAGGGCTCAAGGCCTCAAGCTATGGTGGAAGGCTTTTCGCGATCAGGGCCCGGCCGAAGGGCCAAGAGTCTTTGGTGTACCGCTGTCAGAATCGATCAAATATGCGTCTGTCCAGATTTCAACGGCCGCGGAAGACGGTTCTTTATATGTCTGGGGGTGGGTCATAACGGGGTCGTCTGTGGAACTGACGAGTCAGCGTGATCCCGGTGGTCGTCGCCAAGTGCGGTCTCTACCTCAAAGAGAATGGCACAGAAGTAGAGGGTGCTTTCCGAATATCTGGTAGCACCAAGCGAATGAGGGATCTGCAGGCAGTCTTTGATTCTGGCCCGAAGGCATGTTATCTGTTGCCATTCAACGACTCTATTCAAACTGTCTGCTAATCTGTGGTACTACAGTATGGGAAGAACATCAACTGGAAGGTATTGCCATACACCACCCATGATGTCGCGACCATTTTCCGGCGGTAGGCTCTTACTCTGGAAGTCAGTAGCTCACACCATCAGGTTTCTGACTCAAATGCCTGAGCCCATCATCCCCTTTGAATTTTACGATCAAGTACGTTTCGTCGATCTGTGACAATGCTCATGGTTATCAGTTCCGAGAAGGGCTGGACGCGGAAGCTGTGCAGGAAACAATTGACCGCTACAAAGAACTGATCCGAGCCCTACCCCCCGTGAACCAATACCTCCTGCTCTATGTTCTCGATTTGCTACACGTATTCGCCAACAACTCGGAACAGAACCTTATGACTGCACCGAGTAGGTCATCTGGTAATCTGGCAACTGACAGCGTAGATCTGGCCCTGATTTTCCAACCCGGAGTGCTGTCGCACCCTGTCCATGTGATGCGCCCTCGAGATCATGTCCTATCCCAACAGGTATTGGAATTCCTGATCGAGAATCAAGATCACTTCCTCATTGGCATGCAATTGGCGAGTTTCTTCTCGCGCTACGTAAGAGTTAAGCTGACCTTCTGGACAGCCCAAGAGGGACACTAAATCCCCGTCTATCCTCTCTTCCCGCTCGTCTACCCCGCCACCATCCGTACGCATGGTCAAAGCCGACCCTGATTTCATGCTACCGTCCGATTCTGATGACGAAGCTCCCGCCGGGGGCTACTACGTTGTAGAGAGCTCTGGACGAAAGCCCGTCTCCGCGACTCAGCCAGAGTATTCGGCGCCGAAGATTGAGCCTAGCCTGATACCGAGTAAGCCGGCGCCAGTCGCATACACCTCGAACGACATCATGGATCCATCAGACTCGGACGATGATGCCCCTCCAGGCGGCTACGAAGTTCGCATCGGTGACCCTGCTCGTGCTCGAGCGGCATTCCTCACGAGGACTGCAGTAGCGGGCAAGAGCAGAGCGGCAGCTCCCTCTCCTACACCTAGTAGCATTGCTCGAAGGCGGACGCTGCCCGCAGGTCACTCTTCAGGCTGGAAGGCGAGGCGAAAGGATCAGGCCGTGAAAGAGGCCCCGGCCTGAGAAAGGGCTCGGGCTGACCTCCAGCCCCTCCCGTACTCCTCTTTATCTTGATGGACAATTGTAGAAAAGGGTCGTGAGATGCATGTATCCAAAGGTGAATCAAGCTGTGCCACTCTAATTCCAGGCGGCAATATGGAACATTTTTGATTCCGTTTTCGCGTTGAAGACTCCGCCACCATATTTCAGCCCCGACCAATTCAACCTTCGCCCCCTCATCTTACTCCTCATTCCAGGTGTTCTGTAGCATCCAGCCGTTCACAGAGCCTCGCATCATCTCTTTCTCAAAAGCGACGGATTATCATGGATATTGACAAGTCACTCGAAGAGGTCGGTCGGCGCCCCGTTAATTTTCCATCAGTTCAATCACTCACGCTTCCACGAAGATCATTGCGTCCAAGCCTCGTCGCGGGAGGAATGGACGAGGTGGAGCACGCAGAGGTGCATCAGCGCCTCAATCAGGAGCTCGAGCTCGATATGCTGGGCAGACGCCAAAATCTGCTGCGACCGCTCCCCCCGCTAAAGCCTTCGCCGCGGACGCTATGAAGATTATCATCAGCAACTTACCCAACGACGTGACTGAGGCCGCAGTTAGGGTGAGTCAGAAATGACCAGATCAGGACTGATTCTGTAGGATCTTATGCAGTCCACAGTCGGGCCCGTCAAGTCCGTTCAGATGACCTATACGGCTACTGGCAAGAGCACAGGACAGGCCACGATCCTCTTCAAGAACAAGGGAGACGCGAACAAAGCTCATGCTTCATGTGAGCCTAGATCATGGTCATACAGCTAAACGTCCAGATCACAACAGAATGATTGACAACCGTGAGGATTGAACCTAATCTGCTTCATTAAAAACACTCACTGAACATGGCTCTCATTTCAGAGCGCCCGATGAAAGTGGAGATCGCTCTTGATCCCAACCAAATGGTCTCCCTCGCTTCTCGTGTCGCCCCAGCGGCGCCTACCCGAGGCAAAGCTGTCAGCAGGGGCCGAGGCGCTGGTCGTGCTCGAAATCCTCGCCCTGCCAAAAAGTCGGCAGAGGAGCTTGACGCGGACATGGCGGTACGTCACTGACTGTCAAGGTTGCGTCTGCTAAAGCATTGCATGTTATCTACAGGCGTACAAATCGACTGACGCTTGAGAAAAATTATGAGTTATCAGGGTTCTTTGTATGCATCTGGTCATGCCCCTCTGGGGATCGATGACCACACTTGAGTGAACGACACTACAGACACGCCAGACACGCGTTTCGCTTCCTGGACTCGCACGATGAAGTTGATTAAGATCGCGAAGAACAAAGCCACGCAAATCGCGAGCGGGCCCCATACAATGTCTGCAGTGGTCAATGAGGGCCAGGGGGTGAGCACCCACCGAAGCTCCCCGCGTCACGAGCAGAGATCATGGTCAAACGTCTCTGAAAGATGATCCAGCCGTATATCAAGATACCAGCGGAGCTTCAGGACTTCAGCACGGCGCGAATTAGCCTGCACTCACATGATAGCATATGCAAGGGCGAACCAACGAGCCATGGAATCCTTAGCTCCAAGTAATAGTCCAGAGGCGATACTCGACAAGAGTAACCCAGTCGAGACGTAAGAAATGAAGGTTCTCTCGTTTGCGAACCAAACCTTGGCCTCTACCTTGACAGGTGTAGGGATTTTCTCTGTCGGCTGAGGTCAGGACCAAAAGGAAGGTCACAATCACGCACTTGGAACGCGTAGACGCATTGCAGGGTCATCGATAGAATGCAGGTCATTGACCAAAGGTCGGGCAGGGCTGTTCCGTTTGATCAAACATGATGCCTCAGTCTAAGACGTACTCATCAGGGATACGATCGGCTCGTTTGCTCTTGAAGCGCATTCCGGCGCCTTTTGGAGGCAAGAGCTTGGTAGCTCCAGCGGAGAATCTACAGATTGAACTATGAGCATCCCACTGTACATTCATCTTTGGCTCTCTCACGGTTGGAAGAATCGGTCGTATAGATTCTGATTGGAGCTGGAGGATGGCATGGCTGTGGAGTCCTATCGATCAAGGTGAGCAAGTTCGGAAGTCAGAAGGTAGCGTAACGCCTACCTGAGAGTTATCGTTGGCTCCCTGTACTTGCTGTTGGGATGGCATGGTGGTAGTGCATGCACAAGTAGCAGACTCCGTCAGGCGCAAATGGATGCGGTCCATAGCACGTGCGTGACGCCTCTAACGTTTTAAAGGAAAGATATGATCATAAAGTGCCACATAAAATATTCTGTCATATCGGCGTTATCTCCAACCCCCTTCCCATTCCCCCCCTTCCCCTCCCTCCACGCCCGCGTCCCACCTCGTACTCGCAACTGTCTTTGCCACGTTCTCCTCGTTCTTCCTCCTAGACCACAACGACCCGTCAGAGTAGTGCACACGCTCTCGACCCTTCCCTCTTCTCCTTAATCCATCGTTCGATCTCTGTAAGATGGGTCTCTCCGTCAGTCGACTGCTTCAAGGCCTTTTCGGCAAGAAGGAAATGCGTTAGTCAAACAATCCCCAATGCTCTTCACATCGAGGCTTAGGAGACGAGCCATCGCTGACTGGATCGACATTTAGGTATTCTGATGGTTGGTCTCGATGCCGCCGGTAAAACCACCATTTTGTACAAGTTGAAGTTGGGAGAAATCGTCACAACCATCCCCACAATTGGTGCGCGCATTGGTTTCAGCCAGGGCACGCGACTGACGATGTGTATTTTTTAGGATTCAATGTCGAGACTGTCGAGTACAAGAACATTTCCTTCACGGTCTGGGATGTCGGTGGTCAGGACAAGATCAGACCGCTATGGCGTCACTGTCAGTTCCGCAGCCCATCAGCTTGTCGCGCCCGGTCAACTACTGATAAGCCGTTCAGATTTCCAAAACACTCAGGGTATCATCTTTGTCGTCGATTCCAACGATCGGGAACGTATCACCGAGGCTCGCGAGGAACGTGAGTTCGCCTAGACTAGCACTGCTTGCTGACAATATGACAGTGCAACGCATGTTGAGTGAGGATGAGTTGCGAGACGCCCTCCTCTTGGTCTTTGCCAACAAACAGGTGAGTTTCCGTCACTTGGACTTTCAAGCTGATCGTGCAGGATCTTCCCAACGCCATGAATGCCGCCGAGATCACAGACAAGCTCGGACTCCACTCCTTGAGGCAAAGAGCTTGGTACATCCAGGCTGCATGTGCTACCTCTGGAGATGGTTTGTACGAGGGCCTTGAATGGGTGAGTGGCCATGATCCACCATCGCTGAAGCAATCATCCCAGCTCGCCACCAACCTGAAGAAACGGGGTCAGTAGAGGTACTAGGGGTGGCATGCACGAGTCTACGCATCAGTTCGTCACTGAAGCACATCTCCTATTCCAACCTCGATTTGTAAATTCTCTCTCACTTCGAAACTCTCATTTTGATTCATGGCTTCGACGACCCTTTTTTGACCAGCACCAAAAATGCATAGCTGCTGCATCGAATCAGTCCCCCTTCTCGTTCTGACAGGGCTTCCGGATGTCTTGCTGGAGCATGCATGCCAGCGACTGTCTATGCTATTACGTAATTAGTCTCGCGTGCGTGGACAGGTACGCGTTGCCCCCATCTCCGATCTGGTTTGAATATCTGAAGATCGACGACCCAGACAGATGCTTTGACTGGAAAAATTAATCTCACCTTTCTCTACTACTACTTTCTCACGAAGAGAGGCGGCGCGGGTGCGGACGGGCGGGAGAGTCAATTCACCATTCACCGTATAATAATCATCATTGGATCTCAACTTCTACGTCGTTCACCATCATCCACGAACTTCCATCCGTCAAGTATCTGGCCCCGTTCTGCTCTCAATCCTCGACAAACGACCATTCACCACACTCCAGGTCGCAGCGGCCGCCCTCGATTCCTTCAAAATCAATTGCCGGTCCAGAAAGTGTGATCGGCTAGAGAAAAGGAAAAGGAGGCACAGAAGAAGGAAAGTGTGCGTGACAAACCTCTTCTTGGTAGACACTTCTAGCTTGGAACTCAGACACATCGTCTGGAACGGTCACTGCTTCACACTGCGGAGTTGGATTCTCTGTGCCCTTCAACAACCAATCGGAACAGCAGTGACAGCAATTTGAAGAGTCCTCCCACTAACCAACACACATCACCTCGTGAATCTCGGACTGGCCTTCAGGCCGGTTCAAGTATTTATGCTCTGCTGGGCTTGAAACCGCCAAAACTAAGAGTCCAAGTCGAGCTAAGCTATCCGGCTCGGAATTCGAGGTGGGGAGGATGGCAACGGAAGATGTTCAGGGGACGTCAAAATCTGCAGGCGAAAGTCCTAACGCAGTCGGCTCCTCTGAGGCTCCCGCTCGACCCAGGAAGTCAAAGGGAGTTGAGCCGAACAGCAGTCGTGAGTAACATTCGCTTCTTCCAAGCGCCTGAAGCTTCTGAAGCTGATTCTTGTGAAGGCGAACAATACAACGCCCCCTTCCCGTCCCCGCTACATCCCTCTTCCTCATCAACCACATCGGACGAGTCCTCCTCGTTGTCACCATCAGACTCCACACGCAAAAAGAGTCTTCAGGGCAGCAGGGAGCGCCAGGGATCTTCCACACCCTCAACCTCGGTATTCTCTACCCCAGACGATCCCAAATCTTTGACCGACCCTTTTCAGAGGTTATCGGTCACAGATGCCGAGAACCCTGTCGGATCCCTGCCAGATGCCACACCGTCTGAACCAGTCTCCACCCCGTCCACATCAATGGGGGTCACCACGCCTTCGTCATCCGCACCAAGCGTCGTCTCCAGCTCAGAAGCGCACGACCTACTTGGGCCTTTGCCGCCGAGCCAATACGCGGTAGAGCGAGCCTCATCAAGCAGACAGGGGGGCATGACCTTATCGAGTCATGGTGGAGGCAGCGGACCCCGATTACCCTTGCCATCCCCTCCAGCGTCCTGGGGCATCAGCGAACTCATCTCAGGCTCTCCGTACCATACCGCCGTCACCGATTCTTATTTTGCACCGATGCAGCAATCGGATACATCTCAACCGAGTCGGACTGGGTCGTCTTCGCGGCGACCCCCTGCATACTCGCCGTTCCGGACGTACTACGGAGAAAACAGTAGACCGTCAAGCCATCAACGACCTCTGTCCGCTGAACAAAGTTTACTCTTCGATGGCACGCCCTCTCCTTCTTCAGTCTATGAAATTTATGAACATCCCACCCCCAAGCCCCCCTCCGATCCAGCTTCCTCTCCATCTCACGAGAGTCGCAGTAGTCGGAAAAGCCCTCGAGTCCGCAATGTCGGACCTGTCTTGGCTCCTCATGGCTCATTCACTTCGACTAAAAGTCGAAGGACTCCACCAGGAAGCACCCGAAGTTCCGCCAATTCCGCCGTATCAGATCCTCAGCAATATGCTGCGGCACATCGCAACACCGTTCCGGATGGGATGACTCCTGATGAGGCTGACGCGCTGAGACGTGCTGCAGCAAAGGGAGACCAATTAGCAATGTACAGACTGGGCTGGAGAGCAGACACACCCCTGGACAAACGATATGTCCTGGGATCAGTAGAAGACGTTTGGGGATCAGTATCTCCGTGAGTAGCACCGTCTCGAATGCGGCTTAACGTCTCAGATATGCCTCCAGTACCCGCAGATCCTCAAAATCATCACACAGCTCTGGTTACTTCGGCGCTGTCACTTACTCATCGGCAGAAGGCTCCGCCTCCCAACATCCACCAAATCGAGCATCGCATGCCTCGACGCCTCATCCGAATGACGGCTCTGGAGTACAGTGACAGCGCACAATCTCCCTCACTCTTTGGAGTCTACCTTACTCTTTGGATATCAAACATCTCGGAATACCGATGCCACCTAGCATACGGATGCTTGTTCTCCTGCCACCAGGCAGATATGTTATTGCTAATCACTGTGACGCTTATGCATTCAAATAAGTGCAGTCTCAAAGGCCTCTGCGGCTCTGTCCATTGCCTAGACATTCTGACGGCATAAGGCGACGAAAAGATGTCCATGGCACGGGACCTGCAAGACCGCTGACTCTTCCACTCAGTTAACTCAGATTGCGAAAACGTTAAGCAGGTCATCTTGCCTGGAAGGCAGATTTTCTGAGAGTCTCGCTGGAAATCTCGATCAAGAACAAGCATGAGCGAGGCTCTCACGTCAATACCTCCTTCCCGAGGCGTCCCATGCAAGGTTGCCAATGTTTGCCGGTCGAGTGGGTCCGGCGTTACGGCTTTAAGACCATGGCTCCGTCCCGTGCCACGGCTGACATCAGCTCATATCTGCCTCGTCTGCATGACCGTGACTCCATGGATGGATAGGTGCTTCACGCCCCTTCCAGAAATATTGGGACTTCACGGTCATTCAAGTGGAGACTTGCTCGATTACAGCCCAGCTAAATGCAAATAGTCCGGGTGTACCAGTCTCTGAGACCTGTAATCACATCATTCGCTCGTCGGGATTGAAAAGTTGTTGGGAGAGCACAATAACTCGCTGTGCTATTGGAGCCTCAGGAATTCACCCTTCTACTTATGAGAAGCTGGTGCCAGAGGTGGCTATGTATCAAAATTGAAATGAGGTGACCGGAAGATCTCGATGCATGCTCTGTGAAGCATCGGTCATGCGAGTGTTAAACCTGAACTCTATGACGAATGATAGTCTGATCCCCCGAGGTGAAGATCTGCGCACCAAATAAACGGTCATATGCAACAAGTACATGCTGGAGAGGGACTGACAAGGTTGCCGGACTGGGTGTAGTCATCACCTCAGGTCGCTTCAATGGAAGATTGACACAAGCTGGGCCTGCGGTTGTCGATATGAGCTTAGAGTCGTGCAGCCTCGCATAGTAGATCTAAATGTCTATGCAGGCGAGACAGCTAAGTCACAAGCTTGGGTGCTCTGGCTCGGAGTCGCTGCTTTCTTATTCCTTGCTAGCACTTCTCATTTGGACAAGAAAATCGAAGCTTTCGCGACACCTAGTGGTATGACCCCATCGGGCGCCTCGGACATCCTTTAGCCAGAGTGAACACCCGCCATTTGACAATAGCACGACATCTAACTACCCTTTAATGGAGCCACTGCATCGTTTTTGAGCTCTGATGAATCGCCTGATACAAACGTCTAGCTGCTAACTACACTTCCCGGAGCTCAAAAGCGTTGGTCGACTTGTTCTATGTATTCCACAGAATGCAAGCCGAGATCACGAGATGCTCTCCTGGTCAATATGTATATTTGTTGTCTATGAGCTATGTGGCTCGACATTCTACTTGGAAGATCGCTCAAGGTGAATTTTCGAGCGGGGTAGCTTTTAGTTCCTGGCTTTCTCAGCCTCGGAGAACTCGTCGTGGATTGAAAATCAACTCAACAGAGAACTCATCTTGAGAAAAGTTCGATCTGCCACTCCTCATGTCTCTCGAATGCTTGGATTCTTCCTAGGTGATGATGAGGTATGCATCAAAGTCAAGACATGCCGTATCACCCTCATCACCGACATGGGCGAGACCAGTTGGTCCTACCCTGAATGCACGACGCTGTTCAACTTTGACGTGGGCTGGTCGACAGATGCAGACTATCAATTCATCGGCAGGAGCTGGCAATGAGGCCAGACCCAGACAGTCCTCTATCATCCGATCACCGTCGAGGGCACGTCTGATGTCTGGGTTGCGGAGATAGGACGTCGTGCTGCACATATCACTCAGCTCATGTTCAAAGCGACCGACGACGATCATGCACACGTGATCACAGCGGACATGGACGATGGGGACGGCAACGGGGGGAAGTCGCTGGATGATCACCTTGTCAAGATGGCAAAAGCAGAGCTTGAGGCTCAGCGCAGGCGGCGGCAGGCCATGCTGGAGACTCGTCTGGCCAAGCAAATGCGAGCTTTGGTGGATGTGGAGGTGGACGAGGTGGAAAAAGAGGAGCCGTCCGACAAGTAGGAGGCTCAGGATTAGGACGCGGACGAGGACGAGGATGAGGATGAGGAGGAGATGGGCGACGGGGAGGTGGACCATGCGGTGGACAAGGAGATGGGCGACGGGGAGGACCACCCGGAGGACCAGGAGGACGCCGACGAGGACATGGTCATGGATTTGGTGTGAGTATGCTTCGATCCGGAGGCTTGCTGACGTCAACAGAGACATATAATGTCATGATGCTAATCATGAATACGGTACAAGACAGACGCTTCTTCAGGCTCCATACAACCTCCTGTGGTTTCTCAGCTCTTCAGCCTTCTCCCAACCTCCCATGATCCAACGCCTGAGGTCCCAATCATTGCCAGGCATGCTATACTGTGTCTGCCACCATTCAAATGAAAGATCATCTTCCATGGCAGCGGTAAAATTGGCAAAACTCCTGTCTCCAGCTTTGATCTTGTCCTTCGCTGACATCGCAGGTGCGGGTGCCGGTGCTGGTGCAGGTGCAGGTGCAGGTTGGACTGGAACCGGAGACGTCGATGGACTCATCAAGGGACATTTAGGCTTTGGAGGACCAGTCGGCTTTCGAGGACCAGTCTTCGGGACTGTCCGTCTCTTCTTTGCTGGACGATCCACAGCGGGAGTCGCAGCTGGACGAGTCGCAGCGGTCGCAGCGGGGCGGGTCGCAACTGGAGTCGCAGCTGGACGGGCCTCAGCTGGACGGGTCTTGACGGCTGGACGGGGCGGCTCCACCCGGTCTGAAGCGGAGCTGATCGTACTGATGGCATCTTGAGCGTATTGATCGACTCGGATCTCAGCGGAGCTGATAAAGTTGCAGGTCGTCCAAGCATGTTGATCGACCGAGTCTGCAGAGTTGCTGATCGAGCTCGTGGCTTCCTGAGCTTGTTGATCGACCGAGTCCGCAGCTTTGCTAATGGCATCTTGAGCTTGTTGATTGACTCGGATCTGAGCGGCGCTCATACAGTTGAGGGTCTTCTGAGCGTATTGATGGACCGAGTTTGAGGAGGAGCTGATGGAGCTGATTTCATCTTGAGCTCGTTGATCAATTTGGATCTGAGCGGAGATGATAAAGTTGCGGGTTGTCAGAGCTTTTTGATCGACCGAGTCGGCAGCTTTGGTGATCGAGCTCATGGCTTCCTGAGCTTGGTGACTGACTCGGTCTGAAGAGGTGCTGATCGAGTTTGTGGCTTCCTGAGCTTGTTGATCGACCGAGTCTGCAGCTTTGCTGATCGAGTCCATGGCTTCCTGAGCTTGTTGATTGACTCGGTCTTGCACAGCTCGCTCCTGCTCCTCCATTCTCTCCCTGCACGCTCGTTCGGTCTCCTGCATCTGCCTCAACCGCTCCTCCATCTGGATCGAACGGTCTTGCACAGCCTGCTCCATTTGGCTCATCCTGTCCATGCTTGCCCGCTCCATCTGCTTCATCTTGGCCACTCGCTCCGTCTCCATCCGCCTCAATTGCTCCGAGCGCTCCGTCTCCATCCGGGCCATCCTCTCCATGCTCGCCCGCTCCGTCCGCGTCAACCGCTCCACAGAGGCTCGCTCCATTTCCTCCATCTGCGTCACTCGCTCCCGCTCCATCTGCCTTGACCGCTCCGACCAGGCCCGCTCTGCATCCGCCAGTCTTCGCTTGCTCGCGTCTACATCCGTCTCCCAAGAATCATAACCCTCTCGAGCCTTCTCCATGATCTCATCCAAGACGTCCCCTGCATCCTGCCCCTTGGCCTTGACAGCCTCGACTCCAGCCCTGATCTCAATGGCCGCGTCCTCGACCCGGGCCTTGACCTCAATGGCTGCACCCTCGACATCTTTTGCGACATCTTTCGCCGCAGCCTCGACCCAGGCTTTGATCTCAACGGCCGCATCCTCAACTGCGGTCCTGATCTCCACAGTCGCAGCCTCGACTCCAGCCCTGACCTCCACAGTCGCAGCCTCGACCTGGGCCTCAACCTCAGCCTTGATGTCCGCAGTCGCAGCCTCGACCATAGGCCTGACTCCAGCTTTGATCTTCACGGCTGCATCCTTGACCCGGGCCTTGACCTCAACGGCTGCACCCTCGATATCTTTTGCCGCAGCCTCGACTCCAGCCTTCACAGCATGGACCTCCATTGCCGCATCCTCGATCACCTTCACCTTCTCCACGGCATCTTTTGCCACCGCCTCAATATCATTCAACGCGCCCATATACCACTCTTTCAGCCCGTCCATCTGCTCAGCATCATCCTGCATGGCTTGCAGGACGTGCTTGGCTTGATCTCGAGCCTTGAGTAGGGTGTTTGGACGACGGGGAGGTGATGGAGGGGTTGATGGACGGGGAGGTGATGGACGGGGTGATGGTGATCGGCAAGGGCAAGGAGGGGACGGAGGGGACGGAAGTGATGACAGAGGTAATGGCTTTAAGCGAGATCGGCAAGTTTGACGGATTGATGGTGATGGCGCCGACGAAGGGATGAGGATCTTTCATCAGAGCCGTTCTCTCATTTGCTCACCTCTGCACCCCGAGCCGCCACCCGGTCCATTATCCTCTTGGCCACCCCCAAACTTGACTGCACCTCCTGCACCTCCTCGCGGCGTACATGCAGCTGGGATGAGCTCATGTGTTGGCTAGCACTCACTGTCCGCCCGGCATTGTCGGCATTGTCAGCACCGTCCGAAGCGAGGTCCGCTACGAACCCCTGATCGTCAGTCATGCGAGCAATCTCTACCCACCTCCTGTTGTCTCAGAAGTCTTCTTTCTACCCCTCTCGTCGGTGTCACAAAGTTTGGGGACGATTCCATGACATTGGGATAGGAAGCTTGTCTGGTGACGGGTGCCATGGTGTATAGTTGAATGTTGAAGAATGAATGGTGAACAATAAAAATCAATCACGTCTTAAATATCCATAACCGCCTCATTCCTCATCATTCCTCGTTCTCATTTGACCATCATCATGAGCCAAAGCAACTATCCAATCGACTTTGTCCTGCACACATACCTCTTCAAGGGCCTCCGGTACGGGAGGGTCCGATGGGCTGATCACAGCATTTGACATGACGAGGTGGTCGCGCTCAACGGGGGCAAGGTGGGTTGTCATGGGACGTCGACGCTAAGGTCAAAAGGACAAAATACCACAGACAGTCGTCAACCACTTCAACTTGCCGCCCAAAGGCCAACGCATCACCTGGGGGAGCACATATGAGTGTGTGACCGATGCAGAGAGCTGCATGAAGCTCGGCAAATTGCTGGTAGAAGGGATGGGCTTGGTGCAGTGGTGGATGACGTTTGCAAAGTCAAAGGGATGGACGGATCAGCTTGCAGATGTCACGGAGGTCGTAGAGCAGATGAAGTCGGAGTGGACGGCGTTCAGAAAGCTATACAGGGACTATGTGAGTAGTGGGACGGGCTTGAGCTGAGCTGAGCTTGTCGAGAAACTCCCATGTCCATCCATTCAATCTATCCCCATTCCTCTTGCCGCATCGTCGTCCAATTGCACCATTGCGACCAATTGCACCATTGCGACCAATTGCACCATTGCGACCAATTGCACCATTGCGACCAATTGCACCATTGCGACCAATCCCTTTGAGCACAACTTGATCAGTCTCAACCTCATGTCCCAGAAGGTCAAGTTTGTGGCGTTCAAGAGTGAGGATCACGATGTGATGAGGCAGGGGTATCAGTTCTCTGGCTTTGTGCAGGATCTTCATGGGGGCGATTTCTAGAGCTTGATGAGAGCGGCGATCAGGACGTCTGCAGGGATATCGTCAAGATATTAGTGGATGGGACGGATGTGATGTGTGGACTGAACAGCGAGGATATCGGGCGATTGACGTGAGTGACGAGCTCTGTCCGAGCTCCTTCTTACCGAGCTCCATCTCACCCTGCTCCAGAACGTACAAGATGTCGCTCCACCACCACCTCCATCGAGCCAACAAAACCTCCTGGCTCTTCATTTGTGGAGACAGGATTGTGCGAGAGATCGTGAAGAAGCTCCCAGTCGAGCTCTTCCCACCACCTTCGACCTCTACCCTTCCCAAAGTCGACCACACCGTCCCTGCCGACGTGTCCTTTTACCTCGCCTCCCTCCCTGTTGACGGGCAAAAGAATGCAAGACTCAGGTCCGAGGTCTTGAGGAACCCCGAAGGTAATGCACCTCCACCACCCCCAAGGATCTATGCCGATCATGACCTCGATGTCATGCTGCCAGAGGTGCTGGAGGCTTTGGAGGATGTCATGGAGCCTTTCACAAAAGAGGGGTTCTCGCAGGTGCTGCCGAGGGTCAGGAGGATGATGGATAGGCTGAGGGACAGGGTAGAGACGGGCCCAAGGTCGAGGCAAGTGGCGAGAGAGAACGTTTGAGAAAGAAGCTGACTTCGACTTGCCTAGATACTCCACTCAGTTCTTCCTCGACACCATCCCCCTCATCTTTCGAGCCGTCGCGAGCGCTGAGAAACTTGCAGGAGCCATACATCCTCGCATGGCCACCTACATCGACCATCTGCTCACTATCTTGTCCATGTCAGTCTTGTCGACTCGACCAGGGGTCCTTTCGGTCGCTATGGCAGCACTGAGCTACGATATGGTCGACAAGTTGGCCATTCTCAGCTTCGACAACAATGAGGCTTACCACAGCCCCAATGTGGCTTATCACATTCATTATTGGCTGTTCATGACCGTCTCGGCATTAGCCAGTGCAGCGCTTGTGGCGAGCATCGTGGGGTACCACAAGCCACCTGCACCACTTGGACCAATCATGACAAAGAAGCAGAGGAGGCAAGCGTCGAAAGAGGCCATGTGGAGTGATTGCGGCGTGAGTAGTTAGAGCGTGTCCGATCTGACCTGCAGTATGTCTGTCACGTCAAGGGATGTGCACAGAAGCTGCAAGTGGAGCAGGATGACACGACGATCGATCCCATTTACGAAGCTCAAGCCAAGAACGGGACGGCGAACCGATGGTACAGAGCTGGGGACACCTTGTGAGAAAGTTGCCTGCATGATCATCGCTGATTATAAGCTCCAAATGGGTCACTAAGGACGAAAATACTGGCAACAAGCGGGTGGATTTCATGGCTTGTCCAGATGAACTGCACGACTTTGGGGAATCGACCAACCTGCGGACTGGAGCCATGCTGCTAAGGCAAATACTGCATTCAAAATGTCGAGGAGGTCAGGGCAAGCCTGGCGTCGGGGGCTTATAACAGAGTCGTAGGAGCCAGAACTCGGTGGATACACGACTGACTACACATTCCGGCAAGGCCAGCAGCGGGGGCTCATTGGACACTATGAGAAGGACATGTGATGACGACGCATGGACAGGTGATGCGAGATGATGATGCGATTATAATGCAGGTGATGGTGATGCGATTATACTACACTTTTAGACACGACCCAATGTCACCGAGTTGCATAGAGATACAACGGAATATAAGAAGGGATAGAGAGAAGAGAAGAGAGGTTATTTGCTAGACGCGCTCAGGTGAGATGATCAATTCCGACACTATGTACTCTCTATGTAGACACTGTAAGATCTGCGTGTCAGCTACACGCTCGGAAAAATTTATCTGGGATCTGCATGCAAGTTGCATGAACATGGAAAAAGACTGTGTGCGTGGATCTTTGTGTAATTCACGCGTGAAGCATGAGCTATAATGCGCCTGAGCGTATCGTAACAGTGAGACGCGTGACAGACAGCCAATCGGACCTCACACTTCTTGCCTGGACCTTGTCTGATCGCATTCCCGATGTGCAGATGTATGCACATCCGATCATCCGGAAATCATACAAGGCAGACGATTTCATCATGTTCTCCTTTTGTGTTCACCAATGAAACATATGGGCGCAATCTCCGAAAACATGCGCACTCTCAACAAGTCAAATATATATCTTGCCTCTAGTTTCTGCTCCAGTCAGGCTTGCACCTTTTGTCAGTCTGGATATTGACCGCAGTGTAAGGATTTTGGCTGAGACTCAAGTCCCAGCAGCGTCTTCGGTGACAATAACACCATCTTCCAGAGCAGAGGTGTTACGACACGCTCATACGTATCCTAACACCAACTCATCCTTAATGTGTGATACAGACAAAGATCCACACACACACAGCCTTTTCTATATTTGCTGTACTTGCCCAGCGTGCAACTTGCATGCCGATCCAGACGGTCCCCAATATCCCTGAAGTAGGAAAAGAAGATCTTTGTGCAATCTACACGCAGATCCCAGATAGATCATTCCCAGCATGCAACTTACGTGCAGATCTTGTAGTGTCTACACAGTGGGTCCATAGGACCTTCCAGAAACTATGGAGGTGGTCTGTAGTCTTCTTTTCTCCTCAGAGAACAATTCTCAGCAAACTCAGCTTTGTTACAATCCCCCGGACTTCTTCACCACTTCATCTCATCATATCTCAATCACTACCACTCAACTACTCTTGCAACTGGACTTTGCACCCAGCTGCAAGACCCAGCCGTCCGTACACCAAAGCTGCCCTTTCTAGTAGAAGGTGCGCTTATTACAAACGGAATTTACCCCTCTTCTATTGGGTAAGCCCCGCCCGTGACAAGAAGGCCATTTATAAAAATCCTCTTATGAATGATTACATTACACGTATATCCAGCGGCCCTGATCACAACTCAGAGCCATAGTCAAACACTTACGTGGGACACCTATACAGTTGCGTATCTATCCTCTTCGGACCTAAAGAAAGCAAAGTCATTGTAATCTTTTTTCCTCCTCAGACCAGGGATCTCAGTATCTGTACAGTATCGACCTTTACCACTTTCGGCTCGTTTTGCTGCCGTTGTCAAAGTCCACATCTTATGACATCGGAATGTCTTCGTGTCACTGCACCCCGCCGCAATGCTCATCCAGCCGCACACAAAATAGCATTCCCTTCTGACGAAGGGCGGATGTGTAATTGTATATCTCATCCTTGTTCTAGGCGCTGAGCTCCGCTCGTTGGCAGAACACAGGAGAGTCCGTCGTAAATTTGAATTTGCAAATTTTGCAAAACGGTGAGATTGCATAATTACCACACCGTCCGCGTAAAGCTACTGTAGGGTGGGCTGTGAGGTCTGTGCAAAGGCCTCTAGAACGGCATTATGTCATCTTTCCAGGACTTACATTGAGTTTTCTCTGCGTACAACTTGGTTGATATTGAGCATTCAGAGCCCAGACTTAACAGATACATGGTTCAGCCATGTGAAGATTTGTCGGAAATACGAGTATTCGCTTCCGCTTTCTCGCTCGCCATCAATTCATCTTTTCACTACTCTCATTTATTGTCCTTCTATCCTTCTACATGCATCTCGGTCATCTTTGAGTATCCAACGCTCAAACTCAACAAGTTTCAATTATTACCCCTCCAAAGGTATCTTCTACGCTACACGTTCCTCCGCGACTAGGAATTCATACTGTGCGATGCTGCTCTGAACACGCTAGACAAGATTCCCATGACTCCTTTCCCTGGCCGCTATGCCAGAAGCAGCTGTCGTAAGTGACGATTTTGCTTCTGCTGTTTGGGTAATCCTGACTCATGCCTTTACCCTATCAGGGGCGTGTCGAGTTTGAGCGGTGGATGCTCAATATTGACCGAGTTGCATAGAGGTAGAATGAAGTGTAAAAAAAGGGATAGAAGAGAAGAGAGGTTGTTTGCTAGTCGCGTTCAGGTCACGTGATCAATTCCGACAGGGCGGAGCGTCAAGAAGGATAAGTACCGTTTGTTGTAATCGCCACTTCTGTCAGAGAGGGTTATCTGAACGTACAGTTGGCTGGGCTTTGCGACTGGGTGCGAGTTGAGGCGGCAAGAGAAGTCAGGAATTGTAGTGGTGAACGATATGCAACAAAGTCGAGAATTCCTCTCTGAAGAGAAAAGAAAGAGAATAGACTACCAGCTTACAGGGATTTTAGGAATGTCATGTGTATGTATATGTCGGAAATTACGTAATCTAGACGCGTCTCAATTTATTTAGCCTAGCCTTCAACCTCTCTTCTCTATCCTACTTTATTCTCTGCATATTTGACCTATATGCAACTCAGTCAATATTGAGCATCCAGCGCTCAAATTCAACAGGTTATGAGCCTTGCATACGCCTAACAGCCTCCTCAAATCACAGCCCCCCATCCGGCCTGTGAACAGAGTTATCAAGCTCTGAAACTTCGCCCTTCAACCCAAATTTTTAGATCCATATATCTCGGCGACCACTGAGCATCCAACGCTCTAAGTGGTATCATTCACGAGCATTCGTTGGCCTTTTCAACCTCGTACCTCCAGCTACGCCCAACTCTCGGTGATCGTCAAGTTATTGCAATTACTATTTTCTTTTTGCAAAACTCGAATTACACCTTCACCTCTTCACAAGTGTATCTGGGGTATAACTCGGCCAATTCTCACTCGATCTAGACATTCCCTAGTTCACCAGGTCACTCACATTGCCCTCTACAACCTCGTATTTTCAAATCACTTTAACTCTCTTCTGGTGCACAACTCGGCCAAATCTCCATCAATTTGGACGTTCTTCACATCATTGGACTTCATTCCCTCTCCTCTACACTCCCATATCTTCACTCCCCCGCTACCATCGCTGTAGCTCTCGCAATCGCGACATTTGTTGCTCTCATTTTCCGCACTCAGCAAAGACACCAAAAGCCTGTCGCAAGGAGTAGTGCCCTTGCCTCAGGTACTGCTTTCAAGCAAGCCCAACCGACATTTCAACTGGCTAAGCGGTGGAAGAATCAGGTCCAACCCTGTGGCAGGTCACTGTAGTTCCCTTAGGAGCAGTAGACAAACCTGTCTCGCTTTCAGCTAAGTCAAAACTTGCGTTTTTCCCTCCCTTGTCATCGTGATTTGAGCTGTTTATCTGGTGCAGATAACCAAAGACATTGGCCACTTCATCATGTCCGACTCTGAGACGGATACCTCTCATTTCAAGACAGTTATTCTCAAAGGAAGTGACAATTTTTCGGATTGGCAGCTTTCTCTCACTGCTGCACTTCTTGGAAAAGGACTCATTGACTGTATTCAAGAGGATCGACCATCTGCACCTCCCACTAGTGGCTCAGCAGCCCAAAAGAAGGATTTTCATCGATGGGGCAAGGCATTTGCCATGATCATTCAATCTCTATCAATGGTGATTCGATCCTCGCTGTCTACAGAGGCCAGGAACGTCTTGGACCCAAATCCAAAACTCCTGTACACAGAATTGGTGTCTCAGTACTCTGCAATGTCTGAATCTCGAAAAGCGGCGCTTCTGCAGGATATGTGGACCATCAAAGTCAATGAGGGTGAAGATCCAAAACCCCAAATGGCCAAAATCCGCTCTAGTCATGCTCAGATCATTGCAGGAGGAATGGCACTCTCAGACGAAATGTTGGCCTATGCCATGACCATGGCACTTCCTGAGTCATTTGCAACACTCAGACAGACCCTATGGCTGCGATCTCCACTCTCTAGCGCAGAAACTGCGGCTGCGATCCATGCAGAATGGGCCCGAAGGCAAACAGACAGTGGAACTGGAAATGCACTTTTTTCCAACACCGGATTCTCTAAGAAGCAATTCCACAATACACAAAAGCGAAATAACAACAACAATGGAACAAAGTATCCCTATGATGCCAACCTCTACTGTGACTTCCACAAAGTCAATGGTCACTCTACAGCCAACTGCAAAACTCTGCAGCGACAGAAACAATCTGGAAGCGCAAATGTAGCAGTAGAATCAAACACTGCAATTGCTAATCTTGCAAATTTGCAAAATTTTGCAAAAGTCAATTTAGAGGATAACTCTGCAGATAGTGATGGGAGCGCTTTCATCTCTTCACACATCATCAACGGCCATACCGACTTGCTATTCTATGTGAATTCAGGAGCAACAGATCACATGGTGACACACAAATCTCTCATTCAAAATCAAATTTCATTTACACCTCCAAAGAAGATCAAATTTGGAAACGGCAATATCTTGACTTCCAGTGTCAAAGGAACATTGAAACTCGGTGACATGGTACTCCACGATGTCTTCTACATTCCTGGTCTTCCAAACAACCTCATTTCGGTCTCTGCAACTAGCAATGGCCATTGGAAGATCAACAAAAATCCCGCAACACTTTATGACAAGTTTGACAAACAAGTCATCACTGCTCAAATGCAAAGTGGTCTATATGTCATCAAGGTCAGCAATCTCGCCCATTCTCTCTCAGCCATCGCTGATACTCCATCATCTCCACTTGCAGACTGGCACCAACGATTGGGCCATTTGAATGTGAGGAGTTTGATGAGTTTGGCAAGAAGAGAGAAGATAGCTGGCCTATCTCAAGTTTCAGAGAAGGACATACACGATTTTGAATGCAAGGATTGCATACTAGGCAAGGGAACACGGTTACCATCACCTGCAAATGATATCAGAGCTCAAACACCATTGGCAGTCATCCACACAGACATTTGGGGTCCAGCACCAGTTTCCTCTATTGGCGGTTGCAAATACTTCCTTACGTGCTATGATGATTACACCCACAAAGTGCACATCACCTTCCTCAAGCAAAAGTCAGAAGCATTCACTGCAATTACAACTTACATTGCAAAAGTAGAACGTCAAATCAATCAC